TTTAACCTCGGGTTATTTACGTAACTTATCGTATAAGTCTACGTTAGCTACGTCGAGGTATAGGTTATGATTTTAAGCGAGTAGGCTTATAAGGTATTTCCCTCGAGATTCTCCGCGATGTATCGCGGTTGAATCGAGAGAAAAAATTGATCGAGATTAAGTTATGCTACTACTTGTCATAGTTCTTCCTGCTAGCACGTAGCTATAACAAGCAGAGGTCGGAACCGTAATAAGAATAGAGATATAAATAGAATAGTATAGAAGTCAAACAAACGGTTACAAGGTAATAAATAACGATAAATTAATAAACGTAGGTATAAGCAGTTAGTCTTGTATTAAGTTGCTTTACTAACGATGATGCTGTCGAGGGCGTCTCTTATACGGGTACGGCTAGTACGTGAGATATTACGTGCCCCTGATGACTATTCATAGAACTGTGACATACCGTTACTTCTACTATTACTAAGGAAAAGAAGAAGTACGACTACTATAACTATAATCACGAGACTACGAAGTACTACGTCGCCTACCCTAATCTTATCCCTCTATACTATATTAACCGGGATAAGTTAATTAAAAAAGCGAGAAAGCACGTGTATAGCGATCGCTACTGCTAGGATCAGCCTACTTCTGTTGATAGCACCCGCCAGACTATTGTCAAAGCGTTACCTACTATCTTAGGCTAGTCTACCCTTGCCTCTATCGCTAGCCCAGCAGTTTTTACTACTGCCTACGATAACCTTATTACCCGAGACGATATCATTCTCGATTCTAGTTATACTACTTCAACCTTTAACAACTTACAATATTTCGTTAAGTACGTTAAAAAGAGCGATTTAGCACCTTCTACTTCTACCTCTAGCGCTCTAGTCCGGTTACTTAGCATAGGTACCGTCTTCTTCCAGACCTAAGACCCTACCAACCCTAACGTTATTCACGATTAGATACTTTACAACGTTAAGTATAACCCTTCCAGCCTAGCCAACTTACTAAGCCCTAGAAAACTTCGTCGTAATTACGTAGAATATAATTAGCAGACCTTAAGCCTTATATACGTAACATAACATACTTCCCTTACTAAAGTTTATTAGGTTTCTAACGTCTACGTCGTTAAGACTTATAATACTAGGAATTACGTGCCTCGAGATATTGCTATCAGCCTCGCCGCCTTGTAGGCTACCTAGCGACCGTCTCTTAAACTAATACACCGCCGGCTGGTTTACGCCTACCTATTACGTATTATAGAGGCTTGCCGCCGTATTAGTATTCGGTTTATAACGTCGGAAATTAATGCCTTTTTCTATAAGTCTTACTATCTTAGTAAATCTACTAAACGGATTAGTCGAGACTAACTACTTCTACTTATAAGTATTAGTAATAAAATTTACCTTAATCTCGTTAGTATTCTTCCCTTATTAATAAAAGGGAACCGTTAGGTTTTATACCTTATAGATAAGTATAGTAGTTACTACTAGGTTGTTTTTCTACCTAACTATAAGTTTGCTACTATCCTAGCAGCTATTAAGAAATAGGATACTAAATTCTATAGTCTTACTAGCCTTAAGCCTAAGGTTTAGGTTTCTAATAATACTCCCGAGCTAATCAAGGTTTTTAATAACCCCTACTTCGAAGGTACTTGCTATAATACGACTATTACCTATACGCCTTTTATAAACGGTATTATTAAGCATGCTAGTCGTACTATCGTCGAAAGCGCCTAGATATAGCTAATTAATATATCCCTTCTAGAAGAACTGTAGGATTATAGTATCGATTCGGTGACTTAGATTCTCAACCTCTTGCCTATACCCTCCAAAAGTAACTTAAGCCTTTACGAGATCATAGCAAGAGAGCTAAACTTGGCTGCTAAACGTAAGGCACCCTATATTAAACATCTCCGAACGTTTAGCTATGCTGCCTACGTATATAAGAAGGGCCCTCGACGCCTTATACGCTTTGCTAAGATAGAACCACAAGCAATCAAAGGATTCCTCGTCGGTTACGGTTCTCTTCGTAGCTATATTTACTACGTTTACCTACCTAATCGAAAGGAGGTTATTTACTATAAAGATATTCGATTTCGTAAGGAACCGTACAAGACAGTATTGCCTCTAACTACTAGCATACCTAATATTAATAAAATTAAACATAATACTGCGTTTATTAAACTAGATATTATTATCTAGTATACTATCTATTAGAAGCCTATTAAAAGTAAAAAACCCGTAACTAGTAATCCTAAACTAGATAAGACTATCGTTAAAAAAGCGATAGCACCTACTAATACACATCTTATATCTCCGCTACTAGAGAACCTATTAGAGACTACTACTATACTACGTAACAACGACGACAAATTCGTCGCCTCCGTAGAAATAATAGAAACTAATTACCAAGACCCTGATTCCCTCTCTATAATTATTAAGGAAGTAACAAGTCAGCCGGCAGAGTCCTCTCGACCTCGCCGCGCCTTAGCCTAGCTGTTACGAGCAGGTCAGGGCAACCAACTGTGGCACAAAGCAAAAGCTTCGGTAATGATGACTCCGGCATCATTATCCCCTGTTCTGCACTATATAGCTACGCCGGCCAGGCACCAACTGGTTGGGCCGTAACACTAGCGACTACCTAGTTACTACTAAGCCGCTAGTAGCATACGCTCCTATGCTAAAAAGACCTTCCTATCTACTAATATTCTAGCTTTACTAACTTCTCGTTAATTCTCTCTTAGCATGCTTTCTACTACTACCTTTTCGAAAGTCCTACCTAACGGCGTAGCGATTCCGAAGTCCTACCGCAAGGCGTAAAAGAGCCTGCAGTAGCCCTAGTAGGAGCAAGCCTTCGAATAAGAAATAACTTAATTTACGGAAAAGGGGGTTTACGAAGTTATTTACTTACTACGTAACGCTAAAGTCTTACCTAGCAAATAGGTATATAACATCAAAACAAACAAAAACAACGAAATCGTACGCTATAAGGCTTGATATATAGTTTATAGAAACTATAAGAAAGGTAACTAGTTATTATAAAAGGTTTACGCTATAATTACCTCTACTACCGCAACCTACCTTTTCTTCGTAGTTATCATACTTCTCTATCTCGAATACGAAGTATATAATTTCGATACTGCCTTCCTAGCCGCCTCGATTCTAGAGGGGGTTAAGGTATACGTCCGGCCTCCCGCTAGCTACGCTACTATAGACAACAAGGTTTAGCTACTCTATAAAGCACTCTATAGATTAAGAAAATTACTACTTTAGTAGTTTCGACTTATTAAGGGTAAAATAGAACGAATTAGCTTTACTACTATTAATAAGGAGGTTTATCTCTTCGTTAACTATAAGATTAAAGCATACGTTCTTATATACGTCGACGATAACGCTATCGCTACTCCTAATAAGCAAGTTATAATAGAAGTTCGTCGTCTCCTCGAGAAGGTCTGTTCTCTTAAAAACCTCGGCAAGGCTACCGATTTTCTTAGTTTCTAGATTGAACGCGACAGGGCTGCTAGTAAGATTTTCGTTTCCTAAGCTAAGTACGTAAAAACAATACTTTAACGATTTAACTTTGATAGTTTAAGTACTATCAAGACGCCTATAGCGACTACTAACGATCTGCCTGTCACCTAGGATAAGAACGAATACTTACTTAACGAATAGCAACTTTATATCGAACAGACTAGCTACCTTAACTTCCTAGTAGCTAGAACTCGCGTTGACATAGCCTATACCGTTAGTAAATTATTACAAGCGAATTCAAGGCTTTCTAAAGCCTATCTTCGTACTATTAAGTACTTATTCCGATACCTTAAAGGTACCGTTTATCTCGGTATTATACTTAGAGGCATCCCTACGATTAACAAGTTAGGGCTTTACGCTGCTGCAGATGCCTCTTTCGCTAACAACAAGCTATCACGAGTCTCGATAAGTAGTTACGTCGTCTTCCTCGCTAGTGCGCTGATTGCTTAGAAGTCAAAGAAATAGACTTTCGTAACTTTAAGCACTATAGAGGCTAAATTTATCAATCTTATACCTACGGCAATTACTATAAAGTAGATCAGACGTTGCCTCTCCTAACTGCTTAGCAAACCCATCACTATGCCTATTATCATATTTACTAATAGTGCTAACGGCTACGATAACGTTATAAACCTACTTAACAAGGCACGAACCTGCTATATCGACGTCTAATATAAATAGATTATACAGGAGGTTTATACTATGAAAAGCATCGAACTCCGACTTATCAAAGGCGCTGATATAGCTGCCGATAGACTTACGAAGCTACTAGTTACGGTTAAACACAAGGAATTCGTTCGTTTGTTGGGCATGGCGGAGGGATTGGATTAAGAGGGGGATTTTAAGACTGTAAGACTATTGATATTAAGACTTCGGGATTCGGAGGATTTCACAGCCTCCTATTAGCCAGGTTTAACCGGTAATTAACCGAGTTTTCTAATAGTTAAGAACTCCTCGGATTTGGAGGATTTGGGACTTTTCCTATATTTCCTATTATTCTACTGCTTTTTCGCTAAGGAGTCTGAGAGGGGGTGTGGGTGGCAGGCCTCGCCGGCCCGTCACGTGGGCTGACGGCCGCCACCACTGGTCTTAGCCAGCCTCCACAGCCCTCTAGCCAGTTAGTTAGTTCTTCCAACCAACAACACCACTTTTCCCATTCTGAGCGTTCTGTGCCGGTTCTCGCCCACATCTCTTTACCAGAATAGGGAATTCTCACTACGGGACCGGGAAGTTTATTTAATCCTCGGCATCAACCCCACCCGTGACGGCCCGATCCTGAAGCCAGATCTGAGTCTTGTGCGGTAGCGCCTTGGCCCGTACCGCGACTAGAAGATATGCCATCGAATCATCAAATAGATATTATTAAATTAATGTGTGGTTGTCATTATAAGCCCGTCAACAACGCCAAACTCCTGGTGCTGAAACAGAAAGCCAACATTCAGCCCTGGAGCCCATGGACTAAGGTATATAACCCAACCCCGAACATCAAATCCTAAGACCACTATCAAAAGGCAGAGCATTCTCTCCACCAGAATTTCTGTACTTGTCCCAGGCTACACACCCATCGCGGACAGCTTTGGGAATGTCATACTTCCGGATCGCCTTGGGCTTGACCAAGAGGTTGGCAATCAAACCAGGGCTCGCATGCCAAGCGGTATGGCAATGGAAACTCCATGCACCAGGATTCTTAGCATCAATTTGTACAACAAGATGCCCTCCGCGGCGAAGAAGCTCTGTGTCGGCGCGAGCAGGGTTCTTCTTGTTGACGATGGTACCGTCCCAGGTCCCGTTACCTTCTGCAATGATCTGGAACTCACCACCGTGGATGTGCATTGGGTGGATTGAATAATTGTTCTGGACAACAATCCGGACGTGACGGACATTGTCGGGTATTGTGGTCAAGATGTGCTGGGGCTGAGCAAGATAATCCATTTTACCATCCGCCGCCTCCAGTAGCAGGGGACGGCTCCAGTCGGCTTGGAAACTAACTTCGTTCACGTACCACAAAATGTTTCCGGTTGCATTTCTGTGGTATGTGACATTGTAAAATATCTCCATGTCTGCTTTGGGAAGACGCTTCTTGAAAATTGGCTTTATTTTGGGCAATGCAAGCTGTAAGTAGGGTCAGCACTTGTACTCCCATAAGCTAGAGATGATTGTTTGCTCACATTACCGCAAGTGGCGTTGGCTTTAGGAATAGGAATCGGCACGGGGTTGTTAATAGGAACTGCATTTGGAGGTGCCTGGCTGTAGGATACAGTTGCAAGTGTCTCCCAGACATATGTTGTGGCGCAGCGGGTCGTCATACGCATATTGTAAGCTGCTTTGGGGTCTCCGGTAGCCTTGACAATAATCTCAGCTCTGCTGCCTACGCCAAGAGCTATCCAGTCAGCCTCGTATGGCTCAATAGGTGTCCAGTCCATTGATGTCACAATAAACTTGTGGCTATCGATGGAGAAAACTTGAATAGCCTGAGCGCCAGTATTGATGAGGCGCAGCTTGTAGGTCTTGCCGGCCTCGAACAAGAATTTCGAGCGTGGGGCATTGTCGTGACATGTAGCGTTGGTAATGGAAGGGTATTGGGATGGAGACAGGGAGCAGTTGTAGGGATTGAGACCATTAATGAGTTGGTTCGCCGAATGCGGAACATTGACGAGTTCATCATTGATTGTTGATATGGCGCCCTTAGCGATACCCTCATAGCCTCTATGATAGAAGTCGGAGAGGGTCACGGGGCCGAGATCAACGTCATAGTCCACGAAGACTGGGCCGTGTATCACTATTGGCCCCCAGAGGCCTCCTGCATACTGAAGAGCGTGATGGCCATGCCACCAACTTGAGCCGTACGTGGAGGCTCTCCATCGGTATGTAAAGCTCTCTCCGGGTGCAATAGGACACTGCGTGATGCCGGACACGCCGTCCATCCAAGGGGTATTCTGTTGGTGAACCCTGAGGCGGCGTCAGCGATCTTTTGTCGAAAGCGTAGGCATCACAACTAAACTTACCCATGCCAGTGGATTACCGTGCCCTCCTCCGGGACAGTAATGTTGTTGTGAACTGTGACCTCAACAATATCCCCCCAGTTGGCCTCAATAAGAGGGCCAGGGAATTGACCATTGACTAAAAGAAGTTCCTGTTCTGTAGCGCAGCACTCATCAGCAAGGAAAGAGACCGAATCAGGGGATAACACAATGCAGCTTACCAAAGCCATCGGGTGCTGCCACTTTCCTGGCTATTGTCCACTCATACTTTCGGACAACACCGGTATCGGGTACATTCTCAGGATCTGACTTGCATGTCCTGCCCCCCCACGGAGCTCCTTTTTTGTCTGAATCGGCACCGTATTCTCTCCAGCGAGGCAAGCCGGATGCAGAGTTTGGAACCCATGGTGAAGATTGCGCATATGCGAAATGCGAAACGCTTTGAAGTAGGCCGTATAGGCTGCGGTATGTCAGTATGAACGACGTACACGTTCCTCAAAGGCCGGTTGCACGGAAAGACATACCTTAGCGCTGCTGGTACAGATAGCTTCATTGTACCTAGGTAGGATGAAGAACGGCTGAGCGAGTTTTTGCAACCCAACTATGAGGCAGTTTTCAAATTCAATGAGCAAGTTTGGTTTTACAGCCACTCGAAAGCACGTAGACCTCTGACTATATCATATTTCGCAATACACTGCCGCAATATGCGGGCCAGTTTGGCCAGTCGGAGACAATATTCTAGATGCTTACCGGCCACTGCGGCTGAGAGCAAATCGTCTACGCCACAATTTAACTTCGTGCCAGAATTAGCCTCCCAAGTGCCATACCCCGGTTCTGGGACACCGGGAGAGCTTCGTGGCGCCATGCATGCCAAGCGCGGGAGCGAAAGGGAAGGATTTTGGAAACTAGCACTAGAGGTCCCATCTCAGCTCGTGCCACTAGGCACAAGGGCCCGAGCGCATGCGTGGGCTCATATACTTCAAAGAATGCGTTAGGAAAAGAAGGAGACAAGCTGTCTTATGGTTGCGGTCGTGGCAATAGCTACACCATCCTGTAACTAAGCAGAGCTGTTGGCTTGGCCAGCGCTATGTTACCCGTTCTTAACACATGGCCTGGAATCGATTTAGCGTCATATACTAAAACCGCGAGACAGACGGATACGTTCAAGACGCAAGTTAGGTTGCATTACACATGGTTTCTGCAGATACCGCAGATACGAGGCCATGTACAGTAGCCCGAAAACGGTCTGCAGGGCTGAGACATGAAATAGAGTAATGGTATGACAGTGGAATAGCCTACATCCCTGTCTTGTCCGGAGAGTTTGAGCTGAGATACCACAGTACTTCCATGGTCTCAGCATTTTCAAAAAAAAAAAAAAAAAAAAAAATCAGACAACTGATAGCGTTGCAAATATGCATGGTGATCTTACTGGGCATGCAATGGAATAAGATGGGACATCACGAGGCGTTCTCGAGAATGGGGCTGTTCACCGAGATTCAATAATCCTGGTCTGCCGCTACGTTACAGTTGACAAGGATTATTTCATAGCTACTCGTACCCTCGTGAAAAAAGCCAAACAGCTGCTGAGATGATCTGGTCCAATTTTGTTGTCACGGGAGATTCTCTTAGCTTACATGGTGCATCAGCCGTGGAAGGTTGTCTTGGTTTTTTGTATTCGCCAAACTTTTATCCCTCTATGGAAAAAACAATGCCTACAAGCTTTCAATCTAAGGAAAATGCTGAATTCAGTGTAAAGGTCAAGCCGACCTATCAACATGCAAAATGAGATTTCATCCACCCAATTACCACAGACCAGCCACAATTACGTAGATTTAATCCTCCAAAAATCCCGTTGGCCAACCTGCTTTATCTTCGCAAGTGCCACGAGCAAACCACCGACCAGCATGGATGTGCCGGCAAATATTTGCGAATAAAGGTAATTATCATCCTTCGTGACAAGGCTTCCGCCGATTGGTGGTCCAGCCAAACAGGCGAAGCTGACGACCGTAAACACCATGCCGATTCTAACGCCTAGTTTCGACATGTCTGTTGTTACTTCACCCATGGATGCCGTAAAAAGTGTCTGCACCGCATTTACTGTGAATGCATAGGCAACGACCCAGGCTGTGAGTCCTGCGGTAGAATTTACACCAGCCCAAGCGTAGAGATTGAGGCTGCTGAGGAGACTTGAGATCACCAGCGTCCGAAGGGGCTTGATAGATCTGTCGGCAAAGTATGGTGGGATGAGCCGTCCCGTGAGACCCACGGCCGACATGATGATGAGAATCGTGAAAGCCTGATCCTCGCTCTGCTTTAGCTTGGTTTTGCCGAAAATGGGAACCTAGTGATGCGTTAGCGCGAGCGACTTGTGATGGCTGAATTGGTAATTGTTTACATAGTAATAAGCAAAGTACGCTCCAAGTAGCGTGAAAAACATGCCAATGGTGAAAAGAAGATAGGGTAACTCCTTGAAAGCCGCAAGTTCTAGAAGCGGGCCAGATGACCGCTTGGCTTCTTTTGGTCGTGAAATAAGAAAGACGATGATACTGTTGAAGAGCACCAAGAAACCCATCGCCCTAAGTGTCCAAGCGAGGCTCGCTGGTTTAAGTAATTGCTTTGCCATGACCGTGAAGATGACTGCGCCGATGGGAGCACCACAGGAGCTTATGCCAAGGGCAAGCCCGCGCCTTTTGGTAAAGTATTGGGAGACAAGCCAGACAAGGGCCGTGAAGTGCATACCGTTGCCAATTCCCGTGGCAATACCTTGTGAGAGGAGAAAATGCCAGTATTGAGTGGCGAAAGAGGCGCCAAAGATACCGCCGAGTTGAAAGGCAAACCCTACGAGAAGCGTAACTCGAAAGTAGCCGGCATCAATCGCCCTGCCACTGACGGTTCCGAGGAGAAATAGGAGGAAGATCTGCATGGAGCCAATCCACGAAATGGCAGATTTTCCCATATGAGGCATCATCTCGATGTAGGTTGCCTGGAAAACACCAAAAGCCGTGATGAAGCCGAAGCCGTCCAGCACCAAGAGGAAAGCCGAAACAACCTGAAGCCAGCCAACAAACCCTCCATCAGGCCCGTCAACGATGACCTGGTGTTTCTCTTCTATGGTGTGATGTGACGAGTGTCGGCCTTCCGATTGACCATGGTCTGGCTCCTGGTTTTGGTATTCGTCGTTGCTCAGCATGTTGATCTGCTTCTGATTGGGCTCGGCTGGGGTGTTCATAAGGGGCGTGTGCTCTTGATTTGCACCGCGATCTTCGTATTCAACTGAAGCGTTGGTAGCACTATCCACCTTGATACTACTGCAAAGACAATTGAAGAAGTGAAAGAGTGCAAAGTGTGGTCTAGGTTGGCATTGGAAACCGAAAGTTGGACTTGATGAAGCATCAACAGCATCCTCAACCAGGGGGCATAATGTTAACAAAAGGAAATATTGAATCCAACAATCGACGTATGGTAAAGTTGCCGGTCCGTTAACGGCGAGTAAGCCGGCGAAGCTCTTACATCCCGGATATAGACCAATGGCGTAAGCCACGACCAGTGCAACCACGATGCCGGCGAAGCCACTTCAGCCAAGTCAGCCCAGGCATGCACGTACACCAGCATAATGAAGTATTGGGAAAGCTCACCATGTTATTCTAAGCTCTTCTGAGCCCCCCAACCCTAAAATCTGCCGTGCCCATATGCAGGTAAGAAACGCTAGAATACGTCGTGTCTTACAGCTGACTGATCATGCTTTGCTCTAGTTACCGACGGACAGTTATTCAGGACCACAAAAAATATGCTTCCGGCTAGAAGGGTGTCAATCTCCCTTGCGATTGTTTCATGCTCTTGGCATTTGATGATCGTATTAGATCTAGCGGTGGAAGTATGATTGGGCATAGTCCTCGGGTCTCACAGTCGACAAGGAGGGTTACCCCTGCCATGAGGCCTGACAACGAGGGTTCCACAGTCGGTGGCTTGGCTGACACCTTGGCTGTGTGGTCCCCATCATCCAATGTCTTCTTTTAACCTGTCTTGCGCTTTTCCATATGAGGCAAAACCGAAGTCTCAGACGACTGTCGGTGCTTTCCACACGCGCCTTAGCTACTATAGTCCGAATATTACAACGTGTACTACATTCTAGTGCAGTGATCGACATCATTTGCCGCCGCTTTGCCAAGTGCAACAGTAGCCCGAACCCCACGGGACAAATTCCCCGTCCGCTTCTTAGCGATCAACCTTGTGTCTTCCAAGTACCATGCTCCTGGGTCCAACCTTCGAAGACATGATCTTCAGAGGTCGCGAAGCTCTCGCGACAGACGGCAGCGCACACACACAACAGATGGCAGCTGTATGATGACGACAGCCGGTGCGTTTTTGTTTCTACGATGGATCCCTCTCGTTCGGCCAAGACAGTTTGATCAACGCTGTTGGTGACATGCGGCTGGTTATGGCAGTCCTGGATTAACACACACAAGTTACGATTTAGCCTTGATTGTGAGCGAGGCGCATCGCCAGTCCTATTTTGGGCTTGAACGAACTCTAAGTCACAGGAAGCAACCACTGGCGTACTGCAGGACAACGCACGTCAGCCACGGCCTGCCCGTGGAAGAATGCCAGGCTTGGCCAAGACTGGACATGTTCGACGTGTTCAGCCTCCAGGTTACGTTGTTTTGACCCGATACCGCCGAGCCAAACCCGGATGCCACAGCTTCGCTGCATTCCCAAAGCAAAGCAACAAAAAGTCTCCGTCTAGTTTACTGAATGCAGTCGGCTAAGGAGAGGCTCTGTGGGGATGGCTTCAGCTCTGGTTAACCGTCTGTCAAGTATAAGAAGAATATCCCATACGTTCTGTAGGTCGTGGAATATCCGATACAAAATACCTACAATAGCTCAATTAAAGACACCATCTATCATAAGAGTTAAATTCCCCTTTTTTCTCCTTTCTCTTCACTCACAGTACTATCCTTGCAAGACTTTCCCAATTTCTCGTGTGTTCTGTTCTATCCTTCACAATGTCGAACGAAGGCACCAGTAACATGGCTCCCTCGGCTAGGGCACCTAAGCCCAAGCCGTTGCTCACAGTGCAAGCTCCTGTGAGTTGGCAAAAGAGCGTGTTGGCGACTCTCGATACTGGTTTCTCCCCCGTCGACACCTCAAAGCTGAAGAGCCCGCTGAGGGCCTTCAACATTAACATGATTTCTGACCTCGAAATCGGTTCCCCCATTGATTCCTCCGAGGTCGAGATCCAGAGCCCTCTCAGAGCCTTCAGCATCAACCTTGCTTCTGACGACGCGCCTGGCTCCCCCATCAACCCCTCTGATCTGAGAAGTCCCCTTAGGGCTGTCAGCATCACAACGGGACCCGCCTTATCGTTTGAGGAGGCTTCCAAACAGGGTAAGTACACATGTTTCCCAAATATTGAGGGTTGTCATTCTGATTGCGGAGTTAGAAAACTTTATCGTAGCCGACGAAGAGAGAATCACACTGCAACAACCCGGAGCTCTCCCTACGCCTCCTCCCGAGTTCTCCAAGAACACCGAGATTGCCCACAAGATTATGGATGTCTTCCAGAAGTACGGAAGACATATTCTGCCAGAGGGAGAAACAGACGATACCTGGATCGGCCGCAAGATGTTTCTGCCCCGCGTGGAGCAATACATCAGCGACAACGTTCCCATCAAGATGATCATTCCTTCGTTCCCGTGGAAGAGTATCAACCGCCAAGACAAGGTTATTGGCGTTCTACCCGACTTGGGCGAAGACCTAGCGCTTGCGAGGCTGAATGCCCTCTGCGTCGATATCGGAAAGGTCTACCAGGGCGGCGCTGAGGTCCACATCGCCACAGATGGCTTGGTGTTCAATGGTAAGTGCCCATGTCTCAGCAAGTTCTCTCATCTGTTGCGAGTTTTACTAATGATGATCAGATGTGGTCGGCATCTCGGACGACGAGACATGGGAGTACGGATCTACTCTCATGGACATGGCCGCTAAGAAAGGCTACAAGGGCATCAAGCTGCTCCGCGTCATGGACTTCCTGGGCATGACGGACGGCCTGGGACCAATGACCAAGGAGCAGTACATGGAACAGGTCGGCGAGGCCCGCCAGCAGCTCGAATCCCAGTTCGGCAACGCGCTGGAGGAGGTTCGCAAGATGATCGACACGGACAACGACACGCTCATGACCTACCGCGGCTTCATCCGCTTCCTCGAAGTTGATCTGCGGAACAGTCCCGTCGCGGCGCACGCCACTTCCGGCCACAAGTACCGCAAGGTCGTCAAGGAGGTAGCCATGAAGATGATGATGCGCGCCGAGTCGTTCACAAAGATCATCCTGGCCACCTGCCCCGACTACGTCCGTCTTTCCATCCACCCGTCCAGTGGTGCCGTTAAGCTGTCGATGCCTCTGCTGGTTGAGAAGCACAACCCTGATGGCTTCCCTCGCACGCCCTGGCACAGCTGTATTGCCGTCTCCGTGGATGGCGGTTACCGCTCTCTGCACGCCCGTGACGTCCGGAATACCCACGACCTGATCATGAAGAACGGTCAGCCTTGGTGCTTCCGTGAGAAGTCCGAGCTCTTTGAACTCGGTGACAACGTCGAGATTGAGCATCTTTACCCCAGCGGTATCGAGGTTCGGCCCAAGGATGCCGGATCCGGCTCCGTCAACTTGGGCGATGCAGCAAAGGAGAAGTTGACGAAGCTTGCCAAGCTGCAGCCAGTCAGGGCTGTCGGCTTCGCTGATGCTTCAAAGTTTTAGAGTTGGGTTGCGGCCAAGAATGGGAGGAGTAGGTGCTTACAAAAGGGGTGAAGGAATAACGGGTGAATTCAATCATTAAGCAGCGTGGGTGGCATGGGTATCAAGGCGTTAAGGATTGGCTTCCTGGGATAGTGTATCCCGTCAAAGACATGCGGGGATAAACTCTCATCTCCTTCATATGAGATTAGAAGACTAAAGTTTTCAGAGCTGAAAATGAGTCTTTGCATGTGAATACCATCTGAAGATCATCGTCTTGTCAAGATTTATTTGGCATAAACTTCGCCCAATGTTTCGGTACCACAAGCATAACGGTAGCTTTGAGCATGAGGAAACTTAACAAAACGTAGGCGGATTCTAAATATTTATTCTCTGCTTTGAGCTCCGTGTACAATTTTCGTAAAAACTTTTACTCTAAAACGCTGACGCAAGTCGATCTTCCGAATGTCACACAAACCATGATCCTTTCCAACGTCAGCCGCACTAGCAACTATGCCGTGTAGGTTTACGTGCGCAGATAAACGTCGACAGAGGGGTATGTATTTCCTTAGCTTTGTTCTGTGAAAGGGATTTTAGCCCTTCCCGGTCCGACAGTATTGTTTAGCATGCTTTTTAAACTGTACTCTAATATGATTGCAAGCTTTAGAGTTATATCAAGCTACAGACCCCGGCCTTAAACTTGAAGAAGCCAGTGCAACCATTTATTCCTTCAACGATCCAAGTCATAGAAGCTTGTTTGCCTTTGCGGATGGAAAGGTTAACCTTTCACAACGAAAGACACTGCCAATGAGAACGAAACACTGGATTAGCCACTCGGATTGACTGGAAGTCTTCTGTGTATTTCTCGGAAGATCAGGGTGATTGCTGATAAGGGTCAGTAAAGGATATGTGTTTGGACATACAACAGCATGTAGAATTTGAGTATGTTTCGTGCTGCGGCCCTGTTCATTTAATTACTCAAGTGACTGATAAATAAAGGCGACTATTACAATTCCCTAAAAACCCCCATGCTTTTGTTGATAGAATCAAAAGCACAGGCTGCTCTCTAACACCACCCGAGTGATTTAATGCCTCCGATTCTTGATATGTACGTCTCTTCATCGAACACTTCCATGGTTAGCTCATGCGATTCCTCCAGACAACGGCCGCCAAGTTGATAGCAGTCCAGGCAAATGTCCAGGTCCCCACCAATGCAAATTGAACAGTGATAAAACTTGCTGTATAGTGAGATTTCGAAACAACAAATGTCGCAATTGGAGCCCATATCTGACGGTGTGGTGGGCTTTACAAACATTTGATCATCATCTTTGCACGTGCTTCTTTTTCCAGCTTCCACCAACAGCTCTACCACTTCGGTGTGTCCATATCTTGTAGCCCACCATAACGGCGTCCGACCGAAATGATCAGAAGAGCTGACATCGACAAAGCCCGTGGATAAAAGCGATTTCACCACATCGGTATGACCTCTCCTGGCCGCTGCAGATAGAGGGGTTGAGCCGTAGTGATCCTTCCAGTCTGATGCCACTGAGCCGTGCAGTAATAGAGCTTTTACTGCTTCATCATGTCCTTCTAGAGACGCATAGAATAAGGGTGTGCGGCGTAGGTCCTCTATCGAAACGGGATTGGCGTAGGCATTTATGATTAGTTCTTCTATCGTTGATGTATGGCCCCCCTCTGCGGCGTATGAAAGGGCCGTTCGACCAGAACCGGGACCTTTGACTTCTGAATCGACGTTGAATATGTCAAGGAAGAATGAGACGACCTCATCTTGTCCTGCGTAAGAAGCGGCTTGAAGAGCGTTTCTGAAACGGCCGCTCTGTACATCGAAGTTTGCTCCTCTTTCAAGGAGTGCCTCGATAGCCTCCATGTCGCCTCTGATTGAGGCGGCTTGAAGAGCGTTACCGAACATGCCGCTCTGTACGTTAATATCTGCTACTTTTTCAAAAAGTGTTTGAACAATCTCCGTATTTCCTGCGAATAAAGCAGCTTGCAGAGCATTTCCGAATATTCCGCTCTGTATGTTAACATCTGCTCCCTGTTCAAGGAGTATCTGAACGACCTTTTTGTGGCCTCCGAATGAAGCAGCTTGGACAGCGTTTCCGAATAACCCGCTCTGTGCGTTAACATCTGCTCCCTGTTCAAGGAGCACCTGGACGATGTCTATGTGGCCGTTGAGTGAAGCAGCTAGAAGAGCGGTTCCGTGAAAATTACTCTGCGCGTCAACATCTGCTCCATTTTCAAGGAGTACCTGGACGATATTCATGTGGTCCTCGTATGAAGCAGCTTGAAGAGCAGTGTGATACTCGCCACCCTGTGCGTTGGCGTTTGCTCCATTTCTAAGGAGCACCTGGACGATATCCATGTGGTTTCCAAATGAAGCAGCTTGAAGAGCAGTGTGATAGTCGCCTCCCTGTGCGTTGATGTCTGCTCCATTTTCTAATAGTATCTGGACAATGTCCATGTGGCCTCGACATGAAGCAACTTGAAGAGCGTTGCCACACTCTTCGCCGCCCTGTACATTGGCGTCTACTCCTTCCTCAAGAATAATCTTAACAACAGCTGTGTTACCACTCTCGGCCGCCCAGTATAGCTGTTTGTACCTTGTCTCTTCCAAGTCGGTGTTGACGCTATCAGTGTTGAGAAGTACCTTGGCGACAGCTCTATGCCCGTTCTCCACTGCAAATGAGAGTGGAGAATGATTATTGTGATCTTTCGAACACACATCAACCTTTTTAGTAGCAAGAAGCCTTTTTACGATAGCTTCATCTCCACTCCCAGCCGCCCATGAGAGTGGCGAGCGATTGCTATGATCCCTTGAGTCGACTTCAACTTCATTAGTATCAAGGAGCATGTCAACGACGGCTTCATGCCCATTCCCAGCTGCCCAGGAGAGGGGAGATTGATCATTGTAGTCTCTCGAGTCCACCTCAACTTTGTTAGTATCAAGAAGTATCTTGACGATAGCTTCGTGCCCACCTCCAGCCGCCCATGAGAGTGCCGAGCGATTGCTGTTGTCCATTGAGTCGACTTCGACTTTTCCAGTGTCAAGTAGCATTTTGACAATGTCATCGTGCCCACTCCCAGCCGCCCATGAGAGTGGCGAGCGATTGCTATAATCCCTTGAGTCGACTTCAACTTTGTTGGTATCAAGGAGCATGTCAACGACGGCTTCATGCCCATTCCCAGCTGCCCAGGAGAGGGGAGATTGATCATTGTAGTCTCTCGAGTCCACCTCAACTTTGTTAGTATCAAGAAGTATCTTGACGATAGCTTCGTGCCCACCTCCAGCCGCCCGTGAAAGTGGCGACCGCTTGCTGTAATCCCTTGAGTCAACTTCAGCTTTGTTAGTATCAAGGAGCATTTGAACGATAGCTTCGTGCCCATTCCCAGCCGCCCATGAGAGTGCCGAGCGATTGCTGTTGTCCATTGAGTCGACTTCGACTTTTCCAGTGTCAAGGAGCATTTTGACAATGTCATCGTGCCCACTCCCAGCCGCCCAGGATAAAGGTGTTCGCTCGTAGTCAGTGTCTTTCGAGTCTAGACTAATCTCCTTCACATTTTGGTCAATGAAAGATAGTAATCTGAATAGCCGATACCGCGCAGCAATATGTGCAAGGTTGCCTCCACAGGATGGGCGGTCGCGTTCATATCGTGCTAATAATCGGTAAACAACCGCCCACTTCTCGATGAAACAATCTTGTTCTGGTCCCAGCATTCGTATCAGGTCCTCTTCAAATGTCTCCGATACCTCGCCCTGCTGCATGTGATGTACCAATGAAGTTGTTGCATACAGCAACAGTGGAAACCTTGACTGGTGATTCGAAACCAAATCTTCTGGATGCGATGAAAAAACCAGCTTAAAGTAGCGGATACATGACCACGTTAAACGACAATGGGCAGTTGGGGTCACCAAATGGGCTTCCATGGTCTTATCCAGGTATAACAAGCCCCGATTGATGAAGAAGTCTTTCACCGACTGGTGGATGAATTGAACTCTACGAGCATTGTAGGAGGGAATGATCTCAGCCATACCGTAGCTCAACGACATGATTCTTTTTCTCATTCTTTCGTCGCTGGTGACATCTTCCGGATTTTGGCATTCGTCTAGCGAAAGATCTGCAAAGTCGGAGCTGAGGGCCATTGCCACGAAAAGCTCGTTTGTCGTTAGGGGCCTCTTGGCGAAACAAATCCATTGCATTAGTTGCAGGGTCCTTGGTGGATCTTCAACAGCTTTGATAATTTCGAGATAAAGGTCTTCCAAGTCTGGCGGCATTTTCTTGATCTCGGATTCGATTCTGATTCGTGATTCTCCCTGGCGCTTTAATCGCAAGATGCGATCCACCACGAAATGTGCCCACAGGAAGACACCTTCAGCATGTCGAGATATGAGGTTCTGAATAGGCACGTCCTGCTCCTCATGGAAGCGGCCACGAATGTATGTTGTGATATCCTTAGTATTTTCCGTGTCAAGTAGGATTGTCAGTCCACTTTTCAGTTCTAAGACGGGGTAATGACGGGAGGAGAAACAAATGCCGAATCGCAAGTTTGTCGGCGGGATCTTCGCCAGCAGGTCTTTCAAATAGTCAATTAGAGCCACGGCAGATTGCTCGTCACATTCGTCGAGAGCGTCAACAAAGATAACGACGGGGAACCGCTGCAAAACCTTTGTCAATGACGATTCAAGGAATGTCTGAAGTGGCCGTTGATCCCATTGCCATTTAACCCCAGGCTCTCCGACCGTCTTGGAGCGGATTTCGAAGTGATCCACGAGGTCGCGTACCGCTCCAGGGGCAAGCTGGAGTAACTGGTGCAAAAGAGATCGAAAAAAGCCTAGCGGTGTTCTCTGAAGTTCATGGCCGCGACCGTGAAAGAAAAACGACAGTACAAACGCGTCTGCGCCGTACACAGATAAGGCCCGTTCCAGAGCATGCTTCATCAAAGTCGACTTGCCGGATCCAGGTTTGCCCTTGATCCAGAGCAAGCCTCGGGACTGGGAGGCCCATTGTTTTAGGTTCTTATGCACGAAGAGCCATTCGCATGTGTCGGCGGCAGCAGCTTCGATTTTGTTCTGTCTGCCATCTATATCCTCGAAGGCAAGTGATCTCAAACAGGAATGTATCATTTCAGAATGAGGCAGATGTATGTCTAGGTCACACAATCAGCCAAGGCCGGTATGATCACGGAGCGCGCGTACTATGCTCGGCGAAACGTTTCGCTACCTCTTCCTTAGCCTCTTCAACCAGACTCTTAATCCGTGCCCTCACGATGGTGTATTCACTTTGGCTCCTCGAGTCAAACTTGACGAGCCCTGAATGGTCCTTGTTGAAGGAGATGTTGTCTTCATCGGCCACTGCCACCAAGCCGTGGCTGGTAGCCGACTTCTCCGTTACCAACAACGATGGTGGACCGGTCTTTCTCGGTTTTCCTTCTCCGTCAAGCTGCAAAATGATCAGCGTTGTCTCATGACTGTCTTCGTGTGTCTTACCTCTATAGTGCGGCTGAGTTGACGTTCAAAGAAGGACACAACCCGATAACGCCCCTGACAGCTTTCAGAGAACTGGTCTGCAAGCCTTTTCAAGAAAGTCGAGGGCTCGGATTCTTTATCCACTAGTAAATCATGAATTAAAGCCTCATTCGGCTGGCCTCGCACGAGGGTTCTGAGCTGCTCGTTCCGTAAGCCAAGGTTGGGCACACCGAAGAAAAGAAGGCCAAAACAAGCTTTCAAAAAGTCAGACTTGGCATCACTTCGACGCCTTCCCGCTCGTACCAGTGCCTGCTCATATCAGTAGGCTGAATATCAGCGGATTTCGAGGCGGCTTACCTCTTTTACTAACAAGCCTCCTAGGCTGTGGCCGATGAAGATAATTGGACGAGACGATGTCTGAGAATATCAGCCCTAGTTCAATAATCGCGCGTACTACCTACTCCATCTTCACCTCGGAAAGATGTTATTCGTTCCAAGAGTGTGCTGCCCAAATCCTCGATTGACTCCTTTGACAAGCTGCCGGGCAGGAGGGTGTCGTAGCCATAGAGCATGAGCCGAATGTTAGGCACGTCTTTGGACAAGAAGTCGAGCAGCCAGATTTGGCCAGTTTGAGAAGAAATCCAAGAACCGATGGCGTTGCTTCCGAGGCCGGGAACGGCAATGACACTATTTGCCTCAGGTCAGGTAAGACGAATGAATCGGCCGAGATACTCACTCGACTTCGGCGCTACCTTCCGCATCATAGAGCGGCGTGATACCTTCAAACATGCAACTGTAACTGTATGGATACTTCTTTGCAGCCGTGCGCAGCCGCGCACATAACGTCTCTCCTGATAGATGGGTGGTGATCGATATGGTGGCGCATACGGAAGCCTTGTCCTTTGGCGCCAGAGATCGACAGACAATGGTCTCCGCGATGCCTTGTAAGATGGGATCCTTCTGTGTGATAAGCCGGAGGGTACTTTCCAGGCTTTCAGCGTCGTCAATTGGGATATCGTCGACGCGAATCGTCAGGGTCTTGATTTTGGGAGCTACCACCGTTGGCCGAGTGAAATGACGACCGAGTGCTGCGGCAATCAGGCAGACGATAGCCGCAACCACCAAGCGATCCCAAGATGCCGTGATAGCCATACTGATCATAGATAAAACGGTGTAAGAATGCGCCCCAAGAAAAAGAAAAAGAAGCTATCGCGGAGGAACGACGGAGGGAGTGTAACTAATCACCTCATCTGAAATTTGGGTCCACAGCCTGGTGTCTCTGAGAACATGCAGCCAAGGACCACGTGATGATGCACAATCAACGTAGCCTCACCATGCGGCGCAGCTTTAAGTGCAGGGGTTCAGATATTGCGATGGCATCATAGGCTTCCATCGTCAACTTCCACTATCCCACAAATAATGACTTTTGAGCCGCAACAGCCATTGCGTTATCACTATAAGAGCTCGATGGGTCGGCTGTTTGAGGCCGTGATTTTGTAAAAAATACTTTTGAGGCACTATGGGTAAGGTAAAAATCCGTGGCTTACATGCCGGCTTCAAGGGAAAGCCTCATTGTTGTGATTGGGCATCGACGGTATGTGATTTGGGAAAAGCCTCGTTGGAAATGCATTGACAAAACCTAGGTAAGGACGTTATCTGAAGTTAACAGGTAAACGCAAGGGATAGGCAGACTGATATGATAGCGATGTAGCACATTATAGCTAAGGTGGCGCCCTGCACCAGCCGATGAGCCGCTATACAATGTTATCTCCTTCGCCGCAGCTGCTAATCGATGCCACCATCGTCCGAGGCATCATGTTAGTAATACGGCACGACTTATGTCAGCCAAGATGGACCGTCAAGGGTCTCACATCCCTGTCACGATATCAACCGGGGTCTCGCATGGAGGCTCCGAAATAAGAAGAGCAGAAAAGTCGGGACGACATCGCAGCTTATCGATGGACATCCGACAAAAACTGACACAACGGACCCGGGGATTATTCTGGACCTCGATAGGTTAAGCTCAAGGCATGACCTGGGGTGGTGTGCAGGCGGTTCCTTCTTGGCAATCATAGGCCTACAAATGATGGGCGTCAGGGTGTCTGGGAGAGAAGTCAAAGACGGCTTGCTGTCAATTAGTGCCAGTTGAGAGTGGCGGAAAAAAGTTGTGATGGCTTCTTGGCAATGACTTGACGATGACTAGTGGATCGGTGATATGGTTGAGATGAAGGGAGAAGAGGAGCAAATATTCCGGGAATGAAGCCATCATGAAGAAAGCACTGTCCAATCCCATGAGACATAATTGAAGCAGGTAGGATTTGAACCTGAGAAATAAGGTGCAGGAGCGGCACGGATGCGAGCCAGAAGGGAAAGCGGAGTTTGAATTGAGAAACAGGTGGCAGAGCGGCAGGCACACTGCAGCCAGTGGTGGCTGTTACCGTAATTGATGCAGCGTCTCACACGACAGGGAAGGTGGTAAGGGCCTACTTTGTACTGTAGGTACGCTAGTTAAGGGAGGAAAGGGGGGCCAGTGACGTAGCACCATAGGTTTTTGCCAAAGAAGGTGCGTGGTTTGCCTTTAGAAGGCGGGGTTGATTAGGTAATTGAGACCTTCCCACCAGTCTGTCTTTCAAAGTGCGACAGTCTCACCTTCCCGTCAGTTTTCTTTCTGTCGTTCTCGGTGATGCACTGAGGGGAAGGAAACCGAAGGCGGTGACTATTTCAGACGGTCCGGATCCACAGGCATCCCCATTTATCGCTCCACCCGTCCCCACACCCACTCAATGCCTAGCAAAAAGAAAGAAGAAGGAGCTGCCAAAGAGCGTGATTCCCAAGAGAAAAGGTCCCTCCCCGGGTCCCTCCCCCTCCAAAAACGCCCCCCATCCGCCCCTGCCTTTTCCTCCATCCACGTCCCTTTTTTTTTTTTTTTTTTTTTTCCCTCCCTCCCATACGGATACAGGTACAGTGGACGCCGGACATGCACCAGCTCCACTTCTCGTCCTGGTCTTCCCGATTCCCCATCCACATCTCCTGAATCCTTAGAGCCCAATCCTCGTTTCCATCTGCACCTCGCTGTCGCTATCCCATGGTGGCCCCTGGACACTTTGCATCGTCACCTCGCTAGTTTTTCTACCGACGAATCATTATTACTACGTAACTAAACTGCGATATCATCGCTTCAGCCAGGCCTGGCCTCACCGAACATTCCTCAAGTTACGGCCTGCTTGTTTCCGGTCACCGACACCGACAAAGGCTTCCAACAGGGCATATCCGTCCGTAATCTCATACAGAGTGACATTGAACCGCAGTGTCAGAGTCGGTGGCTGCATGCAGCTCGCCCCCGAGAGTGGGATTAAGGAATCTCGCACCCCCGTCATGGTGATGCCACATGTTGCTACGGATCCATGTCTTTCATGTTACCGCCGCCTGAACGACGCCCCCAACCCGCTGATCTGAGCTGAGGCTAGTCAGCTATACCGGTTCGACCTATCCGTACACCGGATTCATATTCCTGGACGCCAACTGCAACTGCAGACATACCCAACGCTACCCTGCGACCGCAAACTGGTCACAAACAACCACACCACCAACGACCGACACAACACCACACTTCCCCCGACCGCTGAGGCTGTAGAAATCTTGTAGATACCTTTTCTAACAAGAATCTTTGCCATTTGATTCTACCTCAATTTTTCCACCGGCTCACCGACTCTTTTTTTTTTTCCTATTCTCCAATTTTTCCCCGGTTCTTCGTTCTCCCGATCATACCCGAAGCCCCAGAACTCGTCGCTCGATAACCCGTCTTTAATATCGAATTCTCCGAAAGACAGCAAATTTACGACCCAAACCCTTTTCCAAGCGCCCGCTGCCCGACGACAAAGGTTCTATTGCCGTCGAGGACCCGAACCATCTCTGAAAACTTCGCCGCCGAAACGGCCAACCATCGTCATTTCCCTGCTCGACTGTCGCTCCAGCATGCTGAAATGGATCCTCCCGACCCTCTACCGCTCCGTATAACGAGGAGCGCCTCCTCGTCCTCGTCTCTCCATTTCAAGCCGCGCGACCGAAAACTCCATTTACTGGTCGCCGCGACCGGCCCCCGCGACATATCATGGGCTCAGGCTCTCGTCGTCCGTCTCTCAAAGAGCTCCGCTATCGAGATGCGCGCCATCGTCGACGATGCCGTTCCCCGACTAAGCCAGACCGTCATCACCTTGCAGAACCGCTCCATGAGCCCCCCTCTCCCTCCTGCGCGCGCCGCTGCCGATGCAGACCTTGATGATATCGAGTTTTATCGCCAGCAAGCATTCGAACTCGTCGAATGGGCCGATCTCATGGTCCTCGCCCCCATCGATGCCGATAATATAGCCAAGATGATGGTGGGCATCGCGGATACCTTCCTTCTTGAGGTGCTTAGGGGCTGGGATACCGCAAAAAAGATACTTTTGGTGCCCGGTATGAGCACGCACATGTGGGAAAACCCCGTCACGAAACGGCAACTCAACAAGATCAACAGCAAGTGGACTTGGATACGCGCCATGTCCCCGATCCTCTGGCACTACGATGGCTCTCACAAGAACCCAAAGCGAATCGTCAACTGGAACGGGTTCAACGATGTCTTGGGCATTATCAAAAATCAGGCCGATCTTCTCGGCCTCGGTCGGGACGTTGATGTCGTGACACATCTTGGTTACCTTGCCTCCGGAGACCCCCGTGTCTACTCGAACTTGCCACCTGAGATTTGGACCATTATACTCGACTACGCTGGTGACTGGGAGCTCTCACAAGCCCTGGGCATCTTCACCAACCTGCCCATGCCGCACCCATGGACGCTTCAACCCAAAGACCCTCGCGACCCAATCAAGGTTTACGAACATGAGCTGGAATGGCTGGTCCTCACCTGCGATACGACCGCAATCTGCAAAAAGCTTTTGCAATCGCCGCCTAGCTTACACGATTTACCTGCCCTTGTTGTCGGGCTTCTTATCAAATTCTCACTCATTGACGTGCTCAAGTGGATGGAAGCCAATCGCCCTGACCTTTTCAAACACGCCTTTGATGGCAAGGTTCTTCCTACCAAGGCTTCGGCTTATTTTGGCCGACCAGATGTCTTGGACTACTGGAAGGAGAGCAAATATTTCCGTGGGAAGCACCAGCAATCGTACGATGCCGAGGCGGTTGATGGTGCGTCCAAAAACGGCTACATTCAGGTCCTTGACTGGTGGTGGCGTCACTCTGGCTTGCCGCTCCGCTTCACCGAGGCGGCTCTGGAGCAGGCTAGTGGAAAGGGACATTTGTTAGTGTTGGAATGGTGGCGAGATGCGGCTGCCCAGGATGAACGCATCGTTTTGCGTCCCGGCAAGTCTCTGCTGTGGGCTGCTCAACACGGCCAAGTTGACGTCATCCGTTGGTGGATGGCCTCTGGTATACCCGTCGCCCACGGTGACGGTGTAGCCAAGGTGGCTTCTCGATGGGGCCAGGTGGGCGTCCTGGAACTCTGGAGGAAGCTCAAGGGCGACGACAAGGTTGCTTTTGACGGTGAGGTACTCGTCCAACCGACGATTCACCAGCATATCGGAGTGCTGGAGTGGTGGCGCAAGTTTGCATACGGCGAGCTTGACGGTATGGAAGGACGGAAACACCGTGTTGAATACAGGACATGCGATATTGAAGAAGCATTGGAGGATAGCATCGGCGACCAGGAGCCGGTGCGCAAGTGGTGGGCCAACAACGGCCTCAACCTTGGGCTCCGCAACGTCGAATGGATGCGGGCCAGATGTTTGTAGGAATATTTCCTTTGGTTCTTTTTCATGACACATTCACAGGCGTAGGTACAGCATTGCTTTTGGTAATGGCGCCATTTGCATCGACACCCGGCACACAAGAAAAAAAGTTTGGCGTTCCGGATGAATGGACAGGGTCACTGGCGTTGGCGAGCGTGCGTGATGAATGTGAGGGGGTATATATAGCATTCTCATTATAGATTGATTCGTCGTTTTGGCAAATCGCGAACATTACATTTTACACATGACCAAAGAAAATGTGAGGAAAGAAACGCTCCACGCAAACAAGACGTCTTTGCGTAATCAAATTACCAATGGCGCAGCCGCCAACAATCCCGCAACCAAGACCACACCGTCTACTTGGATACCGCCTCGCGCCGCTCCCGTGCCGGCCACCGCAACAGTGGTGCTCGGCCCCGGGGCGATGCTTGAGAATCTGGCTGAAGAGCTTGTTGAGGAGCTTGTTGTCGTAGGTACGTCTTCACGGACAGGGTCCGTTGACGTCGGGAAGTTGTTAAAAGTAAATGTCGGCGTGTCTTCGGCGACGATTGACGTAGGAAGCAGCGCTGTCGAAGAATCACCACTGCCACCTCCACCACCACCACCGCCGCCGCCGCCAGTGCCGGGGTTACGGCACTTGTTGTCGCCGTAACATGTTTGTCCCGTCAAGCAGTAGTATGTGCTACAGCAGACATTGCCGGTGGGCATGCATCCTGTTCCGCAGGCCGTCTGGCCAGCCGCGCAACCACCTCCCGAACCACCGCCTCCACCACCGCCGCCGCCGCCGCTGGGGTTCCGGCACTTCTTGTCGCCGACGCAGGTCTGTCCCGTCAAGCAGTAGTACGATTCGCAGCAGACGTTTCCTGTGGGCATGCATCCTGTCCCGCAGGACGTCTGTCCGGACGCACAACCACCTCCGCCGCCGCCTCCACCACCGCTACCCGGGTTTCTGCACTTCTTGTCACCGGCGCAGGTCTGGTCCGAGTCGCAGTAGTACGTGGTGCAGCAGGTCTGGCCCGTGGGCATGCAGCCGGTACCGCAGCGCTCCTTGCCGACGTCGCAGGTTCCGCTGCCGCCGCCGCCGCCGCCGCCCTTGGAGCAGTAGCCGTTGGCCGTGCACGTCTCGCCGGCGTTGCAGTATCCGCCGTCCGAGCAGCAGACGGTACCCGAGGGGATGCAGTACCCGTTACACGAGACCTTGCCGGCGGAGCAGCCCGACGCCGATCCGCTGCACGTCTTCCCGATGGGGCAACACCCTCCGGTCACGCAGTATTTGCCCAGCTCGCAGTATCCGCCCGTGCCGATGCCGCAGCACGATCCCGTCGTGGGGATGCATTTCCCGTCGCAGCCCTTCTCGCCAATGTCGCAGGATGCCGAGACGGCGCCGAACGCGACGAGCGGTGACCCCGTGCCTGGGAGGAGGAAGGCGACGTCTTTATTCAACAGGGCGCCGCTGAACCTTTGCGGTGTGAGGAGGGCTTGTTCGTCGTCTGCGAAGGTGAGGGATGTGAGGCCCGCGAGGGCCACGAGGAGAGATTTGGAAAGCATCTTTTTTTTTTTTTTCTTTTTCCCTCTTCTTCCTTTTTCTTTTTTCTGGTTGAAAGAAAGATGCTTCTCTCGGGGAGAGTAGGGAAGAGGTTGGAAGAAGAGACTAATGGCTGAAGGGGAGGGAGAGGACGGAAGAGCTTTAGGGCGAGAGAGGTGGGTGCGGTATATGTAGACAAACAACAAAGGCAGTTGTCTTATCCCCCTGGCCCAAAGTGACGGGTTGGAAAAGGCTGATCACCTTCCCCCTCGGCCGAGATTTTGGCTGAAGAGTGTGGACGAGAAAAAAAAAAGATAATATGCAGTAATATGCAAAGGCCTCGAATGTGAAGACAAGCCTTTTTTCTTTTTCGAGACTACCCTTGTTTCACGAAAATCAGCCTACCAAGGACACATGCTAGGCTGCAGGATGGGATGGACATATGGGGGAGAGGCTTTATCTGGAGACTAGCGACGCCATTCGAAGCGAGGGCCCCCGGTCTGTCATTTACTGCCTGCCCGTATTCTTTCAAGCCACCGGGTACGATAGGCGTGAATAAAACTAACAAGGCCAGTGAAGCATGCGGGGGGTGTGGAAGAAGATGGTGGAGGGGAGGGGAGGGGAGGGGCATAGGAAGGGGGGTGCTAAGATATGCAGGACTTGTTTGCCACGCTGATGGTGGTGGTTCGTTTATTTTTTTCTTCTCCATGGGAGAAATTAGGTAGAGAGAAAGAGGAGAGAGAGTCACGAGAGAAAAGGCGCGGCCTTTTTTCCCCCCCTCTCCACGAGGTGCTGCTGCTGCTGGCTGATTTCCTTTTCCGTATAAGTGAGAGGGGAAGATCCGGGGGGAAGGTCTCCGTGTGGGTCCTCGGAGACGGCCTGCGGTTCGCCGGGACGCCGGAAGCGTCGAGGTGGTCTTGGGGATATGTGGTCCCGTGTTAAAACCCGCTTCAGACACTTTTACATTCTTCACTTGCGCAAACGTGAAGAAATTCCAGAGCCCCAGTGTTTCTCCCCTCCTCCCAAGACATCGAAAATTCCCACTGACGACAATGATTTGCCATCATCTTACGCATTATTGTCTCGTCTAGGCCTGTCTGTCATTCCAAGTATTCTTTTTTTTTTTCAGCTCATAAATGATTTTGCCTGCTTGTTCCCGTACCCGCCGTCTCCAGCCTAGCCGGGCGGAGTCGAACACAGACGGGCTTATCCCAACTCGGATGAAAAACACGCCGGCGACAGCCTGATTATAATTATTACTATTTTACCCCGATTATTTTCTTTAAGGTTGGGCCTGAGGGGGGTCATTGAGAAAGCTTTGCAGATGGGTTTTGATCTGCGCCTTATCCCCAGTCGACACGCCCCCCCAAGACGCGTGCGGCTGAAATAGACGAGCGAATAATCTGGCCGTACCGTGAGGCGTGGAGACTAGAGGCGCTCGTTAGCGTTGTCCTGTCTGGTGATGTGGCTTGATGTTTGCCTTGTTGGTATACTGACCACCTCGGCGGTGTGCAGGTTGCCCCTGTATGCTGTGTGATGCCTTGGTTGGCCGTGGTCACTCTGAGCTGAGATGATAATTAAGCTTAGTTCAATAGGAAAGGAGGAGAGGGGCTTAGCGTCGTTCAACGGGTGTGGCATGGTTAGTCAAGCCTTTGGTGCGTTGGCTCTCGTGTCGGGGTTTGTTCGTGTAGGTTCTTTGGAGACCTTTTTTCTATACCGCCGATCCGGGATGGTTGGTAAGGCGGGGCCGGAGTCAGCTCGTGTGAGGACTTTTGATTGCGATGTGCAGGCTGAAAGGGCAACGGCATCTTGGCTTTTTGCGAGGCTGTTGGAGGTGTAGAGCGGGATTGCGGACAGCCCAAGGTCCAATGTCTGGACGAACGATCGTGAGAAACTTGGAGGGTTGCCTACCAGCTGAATGAGATGATGGTGCCAACATGGTTAGCTGATGAGGAACACATCAGTCTTACTTACCATCTATCACCACTGCCGAGGCCAGGGAGAGCTGATCACAAGGAGAAATCTTAAGACCTAGGCAGACAGCTAGCTAGGATACCTTGTCTGTAAGCTGGCTGTATCGGTATAGGACTGCGAGCGAATAGGAAGATGCAGTTCCACTTTTCAGTTAGTCGCCAACACAATTCCCTCCCCCCTCCACTATCGAAAGTTTGATGTCTGGGCGGTGAGATGAGCAAACAAAGCATCGGGGCAAACAATGACAACATGACAACAAAAAATGACAACATTCGGTGCGTTCTAGCGCCTCGGGGACAAGATACCAAAAAAGTCAAAAAGATTAACCGACGTTGGCCTGATTCGAACAGACGCTCCCGAAGGAACAAGATTTCTAGTCTTGCGCATTAGACCACTCTGCCACAACGCCTCGTGCTAATGAACCCGCTTGTAAGCGGGGATGCTGAGAATGCCGCGACGAGCAGCTCATGGAGGAAGGGTTTTCGGATCCGTAGTGGGACTCCACCTCTTCATCTCCCCCAACAGTCAGTCAAGATAATCCGCTCTTCTGATCCCATGGCCACACCACGATTAGCTTGGATATATGCATGATGCTTATTTTGTAGACTGGTGAGAAAACCTGTTTGCCAAGCCTTGTTTTTTTGCGGCGCGAATTGCCAACGGCGAGGGAAATCAAGATGGAAATGAGGAGGGAACTCCAGATTCGGCATGTTGTCCGGGTCATGAAGATGAGCTTCAAAAGTCATCCTGCAGTGCGTGTGGCAGCTGCGCCACCAAAACCACCGTTATCGTAACGTAATGGGAAAATGCTGCAGTGGAACGACTCACAGATGAATTCCAGAGTTGAGCCTCATTTCACAGGCGTTAAGCCCTGCTTCATGCGTGACTCTCAGCGACTGTCACCAGTCTGCCTTGCGACTCATCAAAGTTGGCCGAGCATTCCTTGGCACTTGGTTGCCTGGCAGATTGGTTTCCTAGACCATCTTGACCAACAGACCTCGTCCGGGCCTACTCAGCTTGGTTACATCCAGGTTTGTCAAACATTGTCGACTTACCGAGGCAGCCGAAGACACCGCGGAGCTCAAGACGTTTTAACCCAAAAATAACATGCAAGAGGAGTCGAGGTCGTGATCCCAAACTTTGGTCCATCAGACGAACAGGGTCACCCAATCCAGCGAGGGGAAGTCGAGCCGACAGGGCTATTGGGGGCTGAATTTAACACCCCGAACCCCTGTCCGCCAAACAGCTGTAACTCGCCGTCCTCCTCTCTCGAAAAATCGCGGGGATTGGGATGGCATTAGTTTCGGTCTCATTGGGTAGCCCTAACGTGGTGCCCCTCACGTCAAACTTTGTCGCTTTATTTTTATCTCCATCTTTATTCTTTATGTCTGAGCTTCCCAACATTTGCGCTCCGTTGGACTGGTTTTAAGAACTGATATCCGTGGAGATTCCTGACTGGAGCGGATGTATTAATTGGGCTTTCTACACGTAAAGGGTGGTCATGCGAGCATGTGTCTTTCATCAGGTCGCTTTTTGTAATCCATAAAAAGAGTTTGTAACCGTCGTATAATGAAAGTTAAAGCACTCAGTACTACTGCATTCGCATCTACTGTATTGCCAAGACTGCACGGCAAAATCATTCAAGTTGTCGCGATGTCAAAAGCTTGGCGAAATTGTCAACCACGACGCCTCAAAGCTGGGCAGCTCCAGATGCTCTGCCGATGATCTTGGCGGGTTCATTCACGTGGAAATACAAGGATGGGCACCATAAATGTCAAGAGTATGATGCAACCCGACACACGGCCTACATTGGTGATTCAGAAGACTGGCATTCCCGTGTCTCATGGTTTCTGGAACATGGCTTCCCAGTCTGGCCACAAGCGCCCGCCATGTCTCAAAACTCTGTAGCGGAACCAGAAATTTTCGTCTGGAAGCATACAACAGGCGAAAAGAAGAAAGCAATTGTATGTTCTGGCCTACAAACCTCGTACTGAGGCTATTCCCATCGTTTACCTCAAGAAACGGCAAGGGTTCGGAGTTGGCCCCGGTTGCACATCACCAGTGATACTCGAATCATCCCTGCCCTGGGGCAATTCGAAACGACTTCGCTGTCAGGTTCGTTGACGTGAGTTGTGTCGTCTAAACTTGCCCACCACTCTTGCAGTTATTAATAGCAAATCCCCGGATTTACTCGCTAAAACCAACTTCACTGATGGATCCTGCTGATATTTCCATTATCCTATTGTGTTTGAAGACTTGCTAACCTTGGCTAAAACATAGCTTCCCTACTTCGTTCCATGGGCAGTATTGAGACGGAGGTGTCAGAATATGATACCATCTTGGCTAAAGGTTGACATGAGGGGGAAACAAGCGCACATTACCAGCAAAGCACGTGTAAATAAAAAGCAGACAGAAACCTGTCCCCATCCGTTCCGCGTAGATCCCTTCAGCCACCAGCGTCTTTGTTTTTACGTCTCAAGATTCGTTTGTTCGAGCGCGGGCCGCCGAGTTATTGCAGTTGTTCAATCGTAAGCAGACGCCTACTCCATAACACTGTCTTGACATGGGGTTCCTTGACCTTGCCATCTGCTTGCGGCTTTTGGTCTCGAGGCTCTACGCTTTGGCTGTATTCTTTTCAGCAATCACCATTGTCCTCGCAGATGACGACGCAACTTCTACCCCCGCTCAACAGAGCGCACCCTTCGTTGACCAGGCTACCGGCCTAACTATGGAACGCTTCTTTGGTGCAAGAACATCGTTTGCTTTCGGCATGGCGCTCCCTGAACAGGCATCCGGTTCGTTCATCGGCCAGCTCTCTTTCCCTCTGGTCAACGGCGCTGGGTGGGGTGCCATGGGCTTGACCGGTGAGATGGAAGGGAACTTCATCCTCGCGGCGTGGCCAGACGGCAAGGGCGGCGTGATGGCGTCTTTCAGACAGGCCACGAACGAGGATAACCCGCCCGAGGTGAAGGGCAAGTTCGCGGTCCGCCCCATAGCCGAGGGCGTTTCCGTTAACGCCACATCGCTTACTTACACTTTTCTCTGCGAGAACTGCCTCGATGCCACTTTGGGTCTTGGGCCGGAAGCCACGAATGCGAATGCCGTCATGGGATGGGCTTTATCGGAGAAGGCCGTTCGGAACCCGGAAAACCCAGGGGCAAATCTCGGGTTCCATGAAAGAGGATTTGGGCCATTTACTGCTAGGCTTGGAAACGCCAAATCTGCGCAGTTTGCATCGGTGGCAGCTACAGCGGGAAAGCCTGTTGCAGGATCTAATCGGGCGGTTGCTGCGACGCCGAATGCTTTCAAGAACGGAGGGGATGATGATGATGATGATGATGAAAAGAAGGGTGGAAAGGATGGAGGAGGAAAGAAGGGTGATGACGATGATGACTGAAGCTATGGCTAGATAATTTCACATGATCATAAGACTGGTAGATTATCTCCGTTACAAAGCTCCTGTTGTTGTCATATAGTAAACCAACATCAGGGCATGTGACATGCGTTTTCTTCTTATGCGACGAGAGCTTCCTAACCAACAAATTGACCTTTGCCTCGTTTTAGGGTATCTACCGTAACTATGAAACTTGCTATATGTGAGTAACAGTTGGCGTTGAATACCTAGCAAACGAGGAATTCGAGCCCTGTCACAACTTCCCCTAGACTTGCTGGATTATCTCGGATTCTGTCCACATCGGTGCAATCAACTTCAGCCCGTATATTCGGTCAAAACTTTGAACTACGGGAATAGTGCGGCCCAAAAAACCGTTTTGCCCGCCAATCTCTTCTAGATGTGATTGATGACGTCTGGCAGTGTCCTACTGAATCACCAGCCAGAGCTCCCGAAAGCGGCACCACAATGACACGGGAATGCGGGTAACGTATTCTTATTGTGTCGAAAACGTATTCTCGTCGTGCTCAAGAAGAACGCATGCGGCTAGTATTTATCAATGATGTAAGACATGTATGAGGATTAAGTCAGGCTTTTGAAAAAGATTGTTTCACAAATTGAGGTTCGTCTGGATGAATAAGGTGAAGCAAATCCAACTTTGAACCAAAGTTTCATCGTAAAACTAGCTTTACTTCTTAACACAACCATTAAAAAAGTGAATATGTCAGTTGCATCCAAAACAGAACTCATAGTTACGAAGTAGCAAACTATTGGGAAACCCAACAGGCCGGTTTCAATAGTAGAGCAGAATTTGGGTAAATATCGCCGCTGTTACAATCATGTTACTCAAAGATAAATTGCAAAGGAGGCTTAATCTGGTTTACATACGGTTATATAAGTCAAATCCATACACGCAAGCAATGTAAATCGGTCACCCGAGTCACTTAAACACTGTGGAATTGGTCTTCGCTGGCACCCGGTAGGTTACTTCAGTTCCTGATAAGTTGAACAGGGACCGCTATGCCAGTGAGCGGAGCCAGCTAAGCCCACATTCCGACAATCTTAGTCGACGATATTGTTAATCAGATGTCAAGTCAAGTGTTGCATGTAGCGCCCCGTAGGTGATGGTAGATTCAACACGCCAATCGTAGAGAAGGAGCTACATTAGCCCCTTTTCCAAGTATAGGGGGAGCACAGTGAATAATTTCGTATTATTTCTGTCCCGTGACGCGCATCCACAGGACGTAGGATTCCTTGATAAATGGCTTTGCGGATTTCTTTGCTGATCTCCGTCGCTGACATGCAAAAGTGGGAAACTCACTTCGTGACCCTGCCCAGGTTCTTGGTTGCCAAGAATCGTCCCCTACTCTGATGCTACCTTCTGACGATGTTTTAATCGACAGTGGGAACTGTGCCCGCCTCCCCGGTCCCAGATTGCCGGGACGAATAAGGTGAGTCCGGCATCCCACTAAACGTCAGATTGTGTGCAGATATTACCATAGTTTGAACAGCCAATTGAGCAACAGTTGATGCGTTCCGAAGGGGGGGCAATTTGTGAGCAATCTGCTGGGGTGGAGGCGAATGTCGGGGAAGATTTATAGTGCTTTGTTGATGCTATCCTGCGATTCATGCTTGAATGACTTGAAGGCCAGGGGTAAAACAAACCCCGGCTTTCGCAAATTCAGTATCTTTGGTTCTTGAGAACTTGACCATGTCATAGTCTTGTTTTTCAGTCCATGTACTGCCATCTCCAAAGCTTCAGAGCTCAGAGTATCTTGCCGGGTTACGACGATAATGTGGAAACCTTGCATCTGCTCGTTATTATCACACCACCTTCCATTGTCCTGCTTAACGGACAGAACGCGTCAGTTGTCACCACTGAAGTTACAGGTCTTCATAGTCAACAAGCTCTCTTCTGTGAATCCCCAAACGACACACAATACTATCGTAGGGATAACCTCAGTGCTAAGACTTGTATCTCCTTCGGATATGATTCGATCCCCATTCCAACTTGTTGAGCCTGGGGATGTTAAGTGGCGCCTCAACCTGATTAAGGGTTTACACCGCGTCAGCAGTGAAGCTACGACTGATGAATGAACGGTATTGGAGGACAAAGTCCAGTTTTATAACGTTATTGTTAGTATGGTACGAATGAGTTTCTGGTTCAAGCTAGCTCTGCCTCGTATTGAGGATCGATCGCGGAGCTTGTCTCCGCGTTTGCGCGGCGCAGTATCCACGCCTCTCCCGTCTCGGTACCACAATCATGTTGTCCCCATTACTGAACCAAGATGAAGGCCCCGTTGGCCCCCACAGAGTCAGGCCAAACGATTCACAACCGAAATGCACGTCCCTGGAGCGTTGGTCCATATCCATGACACGGAGTTACCCTTACACTATGTTTTCTCAACGCCGCACGCTAAGAAACGAACCCCAGCTTCCGCCTGCATCCGGTGCCTGATTTTCCATCCAATTGCAGACATGGCACGAGAAAAATTTCTTCCCCTTGTGGGAAGATTCTTGAGATTGTCTTGACATCTCAGAGATTGAGGCTAGGAAAGCGAGTTACTTTTGTTTAAATAGTGCAATCAAACTCTGATCTGCGTTTCGAAAGTTTGGGTCCACAATGCCGTCTATCTGAGGGAAGCCTCATTTATCTGCCCGCGGGCAGACAGCGCCCCCAAGGGTCCTTACGACAGCATCTGAGAGCAAGGGTTTAGTCGTTGAGCGACAGGGGATTGAGGTGGGCCAACGAAGAACCCACTCATCATCCGATCGAACTAGATAGACTCCATCATTGACCGCTGCTGAGACAGGGAAATGTTTTCTTCCACGGCGTTCGGCGGAAACAAGGTATTTTCTGAGACCTCCCTGTGTAGTTGAGCCTCTCACTGAGCCCTAGACATACCGTGAGTTCGCAATTCCCTTCAGACACGTCAGTTTCAGTTTCCAGGGTAAAGTCTAAACCGACGTAGCTCAGTAACGGTCGCCGAGCTGCGACGCCTCAAGCTTGCATATGTAATTTACCCTAGCTGACACAAAAGAAAGCCTTTTATTGCTTACCCACCCTTCAGGCGACGATGCTAGGTCTTCTGTAAGCCTTAACTGCCCTTGTATGTTTTCATTCCGCCGTTAGATACCCACCGCCATCATGAGGTCCCTTGTCTTTTTTGGCTCGGCATTACCGGCCCTGGCGAACCCACAAAGTGCAATCCTCACCCTTCAGTTACCCCGGCTGAGTGGCGTTTTGGCGTTAGCCTGCTCATTCTAAATGGATTGCGACATCAGTGAATCAATGATTGGGCGGAAAATCACTGAACACATGATTTGATCGTTGACAGCAATGCTTGACCTCACCAAAGCATGTTAAGTTTTTCTACCGGTCGAGGGCTGAGAGCGTTGATTCCCAAGATAAATGATAACGTTTCATATATTATGTGATTTACCTTACAAATCTCCCGTACAAGACGTAAAGTTTGCGGTTGGCACCAATATGACTTGCCCATACGAAAGGGAGACATGCACAACGGACCTAAAAGTACTCCTATCAATAGCAGATCATGATACTTGGGGTTCGGGAAGTATGTCGTCACCGACAACACCTACCCTTCCGGAAGCGATAGGTAATATATTTTACGCATTTCAACAAGAAGCCGACTGCATTCTCACGGAGGTAATTGAGATCTGGGGGAAAGCCGGGGATTGAAGATGTTTAATTAACTTTGCCATGAGTCACGACACAGCATGTTGACGTGCTTTGGCTCCATTCACCAAGGGCACGTTCACGAAATACATCGCCTCCCCGTACCACAATTTGATAGCCCCTTCGAACTTGGTGCAGCGGTCATTTATCGTCTCATTCAAAGTAGATCGGCGCGGAAGTGCCGCCCCACCAATGTTCATTCTTCTGCTCAACCCCGGTGTCCGCGGCCTTGCCGGCAAACTGTTGAGTTGCGAATCAAGTCCCCGACTAACCTCTTGATATGTATTCTCATTTTCGCGAGATAAACACTACTGAAGCGTCCAAGGTAGCGACTAGTCAACTGAAAAAGAAATAATAGGCTATCCTGATTCAGGCAATCTTGCCCCCAAACAGTTCTCACATTTGACCTATGCATTTGTGAATTCGCCTTCATCTTTTCGTCCCTCAACATAATGCTGCGTCTCGACTCAGCCTGACAGACACCGATACTTTGCATCTTGCTAGCTTACGCGTATAAATGCTATCGGGAGATTCTGTGCTATAATGGCATACCATGTGTTCGGGGTGGTTCCAAATCAGGGATCACTTTCCGTCTCTCGTGTGATTTCCGCAGCGCTGACAGGGACATACTTGTCTACGAGATGAAATGAATCAGGGATCGTCCTGCATGATTCGAACATCAGCAACCTTAATTGAAAGTCCCGCAAGAAGCACGTACGTTGGAGGCTAGATTTGTGTATTACAGTTGGTCGTCGGAAAAGCCCAAACTATTTATCGAGACGTGAGGCACATCAGCCCACGTCACGTAGAAAGTTTTGAGCCTATGCCCAGATCTGAGCTGAGAAGCTCGGGAGAACGCCAAAAAAGTCAGATTACAATAGCAGCCAATCAATTCTGAGAAGAATTATCAGACGTAGGCTCGATATTAATGTCTCGACTAAGGTTCGTGAAAAGCCTCAAAGTAAGGAGCTTGTTTCGTCCAATACATGATATCGGGAAGACAAAGACTTCTCGCACACGCTAAGGCAACAATAATTGAGGTGACTAGAGCAGTCTCGATCTTTGGCCGTTTGTCATATTGGTGACATGTTTCCATGCAAGCCGAGAATTACTGGCTGAGGAGGTTCATCTCGAATCTGTGAGATACGCCATACAAACTTTTGCATCGTGTTTTGAACTTAAAAAATCGATTCTGGTATCACTAACTACTAAGGACTAACGAGACGATGCTGAGACACTTGGTCTTCAGATATTTTGTTGAAACTTTCAGTGGCAAACAGCTTTTCACCTGACCTCTGACTTGCACTCGATTGCACCTCCACCCTCGTCGATCTTGATAAGCCGGATGTATCGGTGTACCATCCCGTACTGCTATCCTGCACATGGCTCTTTGGAGGGCTCTGGGGAAAGTCGCACAGCTCCGCGGTGGCTTCCTCGTCGGTGCTGAAACGTCTGATTTCGGACGTGATTTCGATCTCTTTGGTAATGAAAATCTTTCCCAGGTTGCTCTGAAGGGCAGGCCAGAAGACGGGGAGCGAAGCGCAGATGGTGGCTAGGTTGACTTCGACTGCGGCGAGTACAATTGGAACACTGCCGTACCAGCTGGGGTCGAGAGTCGGGTATGTGCCAGCATTGCTGTAGGTAATGCCGATGAGGCGGAAAATACCAAGAATATTCACACTGAGAGACGATTAAAATGGATGTCAGAGAAGAAGTGCCGTGGGGAGGTACTTACAGAACACCCATGGTGAAGAGACCCAAAAGGCCAAAGCGTGACTTTGCCCGTAGGCCCCGCTGAACGAACAGGTTTATGGGAATGATAAAGACAATGATATCCAACGCCACATTCATGCCCACGTGGCTCTCGAACGTGCGAGCGAAAACAATGGGATCATGGGAGCCAAAGGCCCAGCGATGCTTTGTGTTGGAGGTCAAATCCCAGAACGCCGATACAGGGTAACAAGGCACCCAAGCCAGGAAGGTATAGGCGATTCCCCAGAGGGCGGTGATATAGATGAAGACAAGAGTAATAAGTCGAGACTTGGTGCCTTTTTCGAACATGCGTAGGTATTGGAAGAGTAAAGCCAGCTTAATCAAAGCTGTGGCCATGGGGTACGCGCCATTGCAGACATAGAAGCTCTACACAGATCCTGGTCAGCGGAGTTACGATGGGAAGGAATCCAAAGAATTGGCCTTACCCTCACGAATGCTTGCATGCCATCAAGACCTAACGTAAGGAAGTGTTCACCAAGCCCGTAGTTCGTAGCTATGCATGTGGCAACAGATAAAAGCAAGCTGGTCAACTACATCGTTGTCAGTTACGTTCCGGCAGATGCGCAGCCATTGCTCAAGTCACTAACCATGACCAGCACAACCAGCAAGTCATCCCATCCTGGACATTTGGCGATAAAATAACGGACGTAGAGTCGAAAAGCACCGCAAATCCAAGCAAGAATTAGAAAGGATATGACCATGCCAAGCACCGCAGGCCGTTCGTTAAGGGTCGGTTTAGGATCGCCAAAGTTGTCGGTCTTGCCGAGCAGATCGAGAATGGAACCCATTGGTCCTTGGGGTGTAAGCGTCCACTGTTGTTTGCATACTCCGAACCCCCGTCACTTCTCGCAGAACGAGATATGGCTGCTTGGGCGAGGGTTATCGCCTGCGGTTGCGGTCGAAATGGCACGCCGGTCTCAGCCCAGCAGTTGTGAAAATGTCTGTCGAATAACACCACAATCAGAGCGAAAGGTCTGAGATGGGGGAGGGGGGGACAGATGGGTATGATAAATGATCTGTCTCTCCCACCTTTTCTTTGAGATGAATTCGACCGGGGTTTGAGTAGCCCCCAAGAAGATGGTGCGCGCCACACCCTGCAGGTTGGTTCGACTTTTTAGTTAGGTGTCAGCGCTGGGCCCCTGCACACGTGGGATTTCGGTTCCGGATGCAGTTGGTATAAACTAATTTAGTTTTGCTTCCTAGCGAACTTGTTTCACTTGATGCAAACTGCATTGGCATTTGGGTAGTGTTGGGGTGACTAGGGTGGATGAACAAGGATGGATATGATCTACTAGCTGGCGGTACGCCAGGCGGGCATAACAAACACAAAGTTCCTCTTGTTCCTTGTCACAGAGGGCACAGAGTTATTCAACAAGGAGTTTATCCTCCCCCTTCCTCATATGTCCTGAGTAAGTGGAATCAGCTCAGGGACCCGGACAACCTTGTCGCTGAGTATCCGCAGTTCCCCAACTTTGCCGGGAATGGAGATCCATCAGAAGGTGGTCCACAAGCCGACCAGCCGATAAGAATGGATATGAAGAGGAATCCCCTGAGTAATCGGACAACGAAGAGAAGAAACAGACGTAATTCTCAAATGAGTGCAGGATTTTGCTTTTTCGGAACATTTCTTTTTTAGCCCCATCTTCCGTTTTGCTTCTTTTCTGTTTCCATTGGTTTTTCTGCAGCAATTTGAGGGGTACACAACAAAGCGTGCAGTATGCAAGGAATCGAATGCTAACACATTTGTACATAATACGAGAGGAGCGAAGTCCTCGCCAGCCTTCTCTCACATAACTCCTCCTCGCAAGGACCGTGCCCCGGCTTTCCTTGGCTTTCTCTGGAAATGTATTGTAGCGTAGGTATCTGTTATAGCCTATTGGTCATCGGGGACTTCGCCGGCAGTATTTCTCCTTTCTTTCTCGGGAGGTTGAGGGGAAACGCGCCGTAGCAGTAATCAGACGAACCTAGATACCACGCTGCGACACTACGGCACAGGTTCAGTCACATTTCGGCTACGCATGTGCAGTGAACATACCCCTGTCACATACACTCGAACGAGTGGAATTGGCGAATCATCCTTCGCTAGGCCAGTCCGCAAAGTTCAGTAGGACACCCACGCGGCGTCGGACCGTCCGGGGGGGCCAAGAATACTCCAAGGCTCGTCAAGTGTCGCCCCAGCACGATCTACAATGGTAGGCTAAGTGGACCTCTGACGACTTCTAAATCGCATTCGGAATCTGTGCATTTTTATCCTACGCCGCCTCTTTCACCTGTGGGTCTTATGGCCATTGCGCTTGACGGGAGAACAAACCCGGTCAGTGAGACAAAAGGGCGAGCCGCGATGTGATCGACGCGGCTTAGCAGATCTGGCCAGGGCTTTGGGCGCCGGAATAAGCAAGCTGTATCAGATCGACTCCAACCCTCTCCTCAAGGAGTCATTGGGCACAAAATGGAATTGCATAAACCAGCTGCAAGTGGTCTTTTGGAGTACCCGGTCATTAATGATTACTGAGAAGTCGCTTCTATTGCAGCACTACAGCAAGCAGTGGACGCGTATACTATGACTGTAGTGTTTCGTTTCTTTCCCATAACCATAGCCACAATTCCAAACTAACCATCAATTGAGGAATCGACACGTGAGATACTGCAGCGCCGTTAACACGATTCGGACTAGACCCGCAAATGTGGTGTCATGGCCAAGCCAGAGCCTGTCCTTTGCTTATGGATTGAGGGCAAACTATAACCCCATTCGTTCAGCCCAAAAGCCATCAGGTCCTTTGAGGTCGCAATTTTTGCGCCATAGTTGTGGCGTATGAGGCTTATGGCGCCCTGGGCTTGTTTGTTCCACCGCTGATAGAAAGGTGCAGGCGTTGATAGGTGCAGTATCCGACGGTTGTGGCAAGGTTATCTGTTAGCCTCATAGGCGGTTTGATTTAGCTCGGATGCCAAAGACTTCAAAATAGTCCCGTTGGCATAACGAAGAAACAGCATCGGAAGATTTGCGGTCCAACTCTCGGCCGAAAGTATTCCCCTGGGAAGACTAAGGTTGCGTAGACCTTGCACGGCTTCGAGGGCACACTCCATTGGCAGATAAGGTTTGATAGTATATGCCTGCCACGATGTGCTAACTTGCCAAATCGTCTAGCGCTGATGTGAAATCGACTGACATCTCTCAGACGCGGGTATAGTAAAATATGCTTCTAATTCCTTAGTACTGACAGGTTAAGCCATTTCGTACAAGAAAAAGGGTGATGCCTCAGCCACAAAGTCCAACGCTCAGGTGCAGGTGCGCCTTTGCTTTTCTCTGCGATTGGCAGATTCGTCCTGCCATCTTGGCAACAACACAAGTTTATACCATAGCTACCTCCTACAGCTTAGGATTGGACCGTTTGTGAAGGTTGTTGGATGGGGAAGCGACAACATGATTAGACTACCAGCGACGTGATTGCTAAATTGATACACGATACGTGTCCGTGGCGTTGGCTCTGAAAGACTACAGCTGACAGATGATTGAGCTAGATTCAATTCCGGTCGTCCAGTCATAAGAGGTCTTGTCTGGGAACGACCGATTCCCGGCCCCAACGACACCCGTGCTGTAGCAGCGTCGATGCATTGAGTTGGCCCGGATCGGGTATCGGTGAGGGACGCGTTAAACTATTGCGGATTCAAATCGAAATGGTAACGACTGTGGCGCTTGTGGTTATTCTGAAGACCTGCATCTGCTGAACACTATTCCGGAAGAAACAAGTCCGCAGACCATCGTTGTCAAAGGACAAAAAAGAAGAACACTGCCTTCTACGGGCGGAACATCCCATGGAAGAGGCGTAGTTTGTGCTGCCGTTGTTATTTCGAAGCTCATCACAGGATTCCACAACCAGAAATAAGAACGAACGTCAAGGCTTAACCGCCCTGAGACAGACCGGAAGCTTAATGCCTCGGTTTCTGGCAAATGTGATGGATGTCACCGTCAAAAAGTAGGGAGCGATTCATGGCCCTTTACAAAGGCTAAAGACGTGCACAAGCATTGGTCCTTGCATTTCTCTTGGCCCGTGTCTATCGCTTTCCTACCGTGTCTAAATTCCTTCTCCACTTGTAGTTCTAACTGAACAAAAACTAGCTCGAAATATAGATATACACATAAACAGTGTCATATATTGGACCGCTAACCCTCATTGTCGTAATGCCAATCATACGTCTTGCCGGAATCAGCTGATTACTCCTCAGTTATCAGTTGAGCTTCGTGGCATACAACTACACATCATCCTGCAATGGTTGAAAGAAATGCTCATTTCAACAGTTGACCCCCCTCAACGTGAATTGTTGTCCCAGTAATGAAGTAGTTCTTCATCAGCGACAGGTAAGCCTCTGCCAAATCTTCAGGGGTTCCAATTCTGTTCAAAAGCGTGCCACCGCTGAACATCTGCATTGCTTTCTCCTGGTCGTCCCCGAGGCTCTTGATCGCATGGTCGAACAATTCAGTCTTGACAGAACCCGGCGAGACAATATTGACTCTCACGGGCTTCATATCGACCGCAAGGCCTTTCGTTAAAGCTTCCTTGGCACCGAGAACAGCCGCCCGTACACTCCAGCCAGCCCACGGCTTATGCGACGCCACGCCGCTCGTCATTGTAAACGACGAAGTGTGCTCCCGCTTAAGATAGGTATCGGCAACCTTTGCCAGAATGATGGCGCCGACGAAGCGAGTCTTGTTGACCTCGGAGATGTTATAGGGAGTTGCTTCCTGGAGCAGAAGAGAGCCGTTTAAGGCTTCTCCGGCGGTCTCGACGACGTGGTCCAACAAGTTCTTGCCGCCGTAGGTAGCGAAGTCAAACAGCTGCGTGATGCTGGTCTCGTTGTCATCACTGTGGAGGTCTACCGTGTGACCACGGATCCTATCCGCAGCATCAGGGTAGGATGTCTTGAGTCTTTTGATGGCGTTGTCGATGTTCTCCTGGCTGCGGCTGGCGACGACGACATGTGCTCCGTACTCGACGCTGGCTTCCGCGACGGCGAATCCTATGCCCGATGTGCCGCCGACAACGAGAACGGACTTACCCTCGAGCTTATTGATATATTTTGGTGCCATTTTGTGTTTGTTTTGGAGTTTAATCGCCGTCGTGGACAGTTTCCGACAAGGTCTGTGGGTTTGCTTTATAGTCGAGGAGTTACGCTGCGCATTTCGTCCGAACTCACGAGTACAACTCGATTGCACCCGCCATCTTATTAACCTTAACTCATCCAAAGTCCGTAACTCCACCGACGGCCGTAATGAAAGCCCGCACTCGAGCGTTGTCGGCATGTTTGATGTCGCGAGTCAACCAACCGAATGACGTGAGCTCGTCCCACATTGGCTGCGTTCCGGCTCTACCGCATTAGCCATGGACTTACCAGTAACTCCGAAGCCCTCTGCAGAAGCCGCAACTGGCGACGCTGGATTCTGCATCATGTGGGGTAAATCTCACCAATTTCCTTGGATAACGAGAGACTGGGGTGCACGTCTGTATCGTGCGTGAAGTTGGACTTATTATTGCCTAACTTGGTCATGAACGTTGGTAGAGTAGATAGGTATTACCCAACTTGATAAAGGCCGTGAAAATACATTGAGAAGCACTAATGTGTCTCGCAGATGCATGTATTAAGTTGTCGGTTGAAGTGAAGCGAGATAATAAGCACGGCGACCTTCTATGCAGAACTTTCTCCCGACCGGCGACAAAGTCTCCCCGAAGCCAATCTGAGCCAACAACCGTAGGATCGGTACACTAAATAAGGAATTGAGTTTGATTTGTGCGTTACAACTGTGTTTACTAGGCTAAGCATGGCACGCTATACTTGTGTCTTTGCGCTCTGTCCCTGCTTAGTTAATGTCGATGATCATGTCCCGGATACCGTTTTTGGGTAATATATGCACCCTGCATTTTGTACCCAAAAATACCTACCTTGAGTAGTGTAGCGGAGCTAACAAAGCTTGATGAATGACTGCAGGATTCAGAATAATGATCTACGCTCGAGCATTCGCAGTGTAGCAATACCTTTAAATAGCAGATGAATATACTTGAAATCTTTATGTAGTTCGATGGCCTCAAAGACATCGGAAACCCTGATTAGGTTTACATTGACCTTGGCGAATTTGAGGTCATCTCGTACTCGATGACATGGTCTTTCGCTTGCAGTTGTAGCATCGTGGTTGAATGTAGCTGTGATGCTATCTGCGATCTTGCTAGATTCCATAAGGCATACTGCTATGACTGATCTAGAAATACCATCTTTAATTCTAAAGCGTGCTCAGGCAGCGGGCGAGATAATGTTATCGGAGGTGATATCGTTAGAGCGAAGAGAAATGAGTCCAGCGCGGTCTACTCCCAAGACAGAGGTGATGCAGATGGTTGTTCACCGGCTCGATCAGTTTCTCGAGGTCGAGGAGCAAGATGGTCCAGGTTTATAAAGCCTGCAGGTTAGGAAGTGAATATAAACAGTGGTATGTCGCGTATTCATCGGCTCGCATACATGCATCTCAGATGACTGTATGGTAAAGAATAACCTGTAGGTCGACGGAAGGAGCGAGAAAACAGATTGTAAGCAACAGCTAGTGTAGCTTTATGAAGATATCAAAATTAAGCCTTTTGCAACTCTCTGAAACACTTCATCACAGTCAACTCAAGCGGAGGTGAATTAAAAGAAAAAGTCACATGGCCACTGAAAGGCATAACCACTAGCAGATCAACAATACAGCTACATTCTAAAAGCAGTTTAGAACACAGAGTCTATCCCATCGACTGCTAAATGGCTACAGGTACATTGTACCCCGTTTTGTCTACACTTCTCACGCTTCATAACAGAGATGCATAACGCCGTCGCAGTTCGCCCCTTATTTTCCAGTTAAAACAGCGTCTCATATGTAACCTGGATAATTACAGTTACTTCCGCAATAGTCAAGACAAGAAGACAACATAAGTGTTCAAAAAATGCATTATTTGGTTGGCTAGAAAAGGTCTGGGCTAACTTTTGACTGGATATTCCCCCTCAGGGCATTGTACCTGTAGCCATCTAGCAGTCGATGGGATAGGACACATTGTACATTCAAAGACTTCAAGCACGCGAGTATGAGGTATTTCTAGCAGCAGAGGTGCCCTTGGACCGATCTGGATTGATACACCAATCCTAGCTAATTAATTTTATATTATCTCCACAGTTGGTTGGTATAAAAATAACTCTTCAGGATCCAAATCCATCTGAGAAACAAAAAGTTAGCTTTTTGCACCTTCTGCAAATACGATTGGCTCATATTACACATACTTAGCAGAACTTGCGGATGTTCCAGCTGAATCCGCTGGAAGGACCGTTCACGTCTTGGTCCCAGGTGAAGCGACCGTGGGGGGTGTCGTAGCCAACCCAACGGCCATCCTTGCGGAACTCCAAGGCATAGCCAGGCTGGCAGGTAATGAGCCAGCTGTTTCCAGTGTTGCCGACGCCCCAGACGGCGTCGCAAACGTCCCGGCCATCGTCAAGGATGTAGGCGGCCTTGACGGAGTCGCCGATGGTGTAACCGGAGAAGGTAAGGCAGGCCAGAGTGGAAGGAATGGCCACGGCCATGGCGGTGATGGAGAACTTCATGGTGAATAAGGTAGAGGTGGAAAGCTGATGAATGAAAGAGTTGACTGCGGTGGTGAGAAGTATTAGACGCTTCTTCGAAACTCGAGAGTCGGCATATATATAGTATTTTTGGTGATATAAAGCTACTATAATCCCAGGTAAGTTCGGACTTGTTTCTAAGCGGAAGGATTGTATTGCATTTGAGGACCACAACTATTAGCTAGTTGACCTTGCCTAAGCCGGCAGGAGCTGCTATACCTCGTATCATAATCTGCCAATTAGATGCAACACTTGGGATTATGGAGTCACTGTGCTAAAGGCTGGATTGCTCTTCTCTTTTTTCAATGCTTAGGCGAGGTGGAGTTTTTTACATCTCAAAGTTGCCTCTGCTGCACAAATGTTCTATCATGCCACTAGCGCCTGCTGTAAAAGGTTAGTATCCGATCGAGTGCGAGATGACCAATCAGGGTCGATTGTTAAAGATGCTAAGCTTTGCGGAAACGCAGGGCGCGGAACGCCAGCCGCAAGGTTATTTTCGGACCTTTTCCAAGTCACGCCGTCCCAAGACATTGAAGGATGAACAAATGTCTTCTTGGAAGAGGCCTAGAGCGCTGTTGCCTTGCGAGTTTTGGTTTGAAATGAATCATCCGATGGGGTTGTGGAATGGTAGTCTCTAGACTTCTTGAGAGTGATTTTGTAATAGATGGGTCGTAGGTATTCAGCGTCGGGAAGTGGAAAGCATCTACCCTGTGAGCTCAAATGGATACCTGGAGTTCTTGTTCATCTTCCCCAACGTGGCGTGGATCTGGTACAACCATGCATCGATAGCAACCGGGACCAATGGCTATCATGCACAACTTTGGGTGGCGCAACGAACGGTCCGAGATACCCACGAAGGTATCAAGATCATCATCAGTAATGCTTGATTGGTAAAAGGAGCGGTCAAAGAAAGGAGCTCTAGCCAAAACAGGCTACAAGATCGTTTACATCAGGTGGGTTGGAGCATCGTCTCCAGTGGGCCTAAAGCTATGGGCCGTCGGCTTTCTCCACCTATGAACGCAGGCACGTGGCAGGGTCTCATAATCATCCACGTCGTTGATGTCTGCCCCCGATTCCCTATGATCGGAATCGTTTGTCCTTGGAAGAACCGTATTTTCGGAAGTTTTGTGGTTGATCAGCTAGTCGTTCATCGGGGCCATAGTACTACCGTCATACTCCCTGGCAAAGGTTCAATGGTATCGGTGAGTTGAGTTTAGATATTCGTATTCTTTACTCTCCTTTTTGACCAAGATAAATGTGGATGGTTGAAACATGGAGCAATTTGTTGAAACTTCAATGAAAAGACAGCCAAAAGTCTCATTGCAAATCTGGATCCGAAGAGTTCATAAGGATCGCATATGATGCCCTTGGGATGCCGGGGTGATAGCTGACTGCGGCGAATCTTGCTTAACGATTCTGCAGTGGCATTAGTGAGTGCCTGGAGTGTATGTGATTGCTGGGGTGTGTTTGCCCCCGCCCGAGATTGTAAGGTCGACTTTTCAGCCATGATCCAACTTCCTATTCCGATAGAGGACTAGAGTTGACCAGGTACCTAGGATCCATTTGACAATTTCGCCGTCCATACACCGTAGTGGATCGACTCTTGAGTTATTTTTGTCATGTGCAACAGTATAAAAGTCATTGGAGCGAACCGGACTTTCTTGATTGTAGCTCTTCCTGTGAATCTTTATCTCTAGCAATCGAAAATTCAATGTCACACGTTCTTTTTGTCCTTGCCGAAATGTCGTGTTGGTAAACTTGGAGGCTCATAAATGTCTAGGCACATGGAGCATTGAAGGCATACTCGGGCCCGTAAGCTCGAAAACTAGACAGAGATGCCAGCTACTCAGACCTCCATGATAGGGCGCGTCTAGAAGAGCGATACCGATCTTGGAGTATACATTCCCCAACGCCTCCTCAGCAAGGAGCCGTTGAATCTCAGGCTCTTTCGGCTGTACTGCTGGCGATTTGGTTCACAAAGCGTTAAAGCGACCGCGAAATTCACAAAAAAGACCGTTTGATTGTTTGTTTGAAACTCAAGCTATGTGTTGGAATAGCCGGAACTCCGGGTTGAAGTGGCTCTGTCGCCGGCATTCCTGCCGGCACCTGGGCTGTCCACGTGACGGGCAGTCTGACAGACGGCTATAACTTCCGCGATCATTCCCTCCGGCACTTCTGCTGGAATTTCTTCATATAGACAGCAGAGGTAAGAACAGAAAGAAGTTTTCCCGTCAGTTTTCCCTCTCTACGGGTACCCCTGTGCTCCCAACACCATCAGGTGATATCACTTGGGCGGAATCAAAAGCAAGCCACAATGTGTAAAAGGATAATTCACAACCACTCGTGTAAATTGATTACAGTTATTGTTAATTGATCGACGGATTGGACAATTCTAGTTCTTCACACGAAGTCCCAGTGGAATAAAGTGCTTAATTCTATCATGAGGTTGAGCCCTCGTCGGGGACGGCGGAAGTCAAGGCACGATAGTTGACTAATACATTATTCACTAAGTTTTATTAGTTACGTTCCTATTAAAACGGACAGTTTACCACAAGGTGCCTAGAGCACGAAACAGGGTGAATGCATGGGACTTGTCAAGCTGGGTTGATTGATTGATCAAGACGGAAGTGGAGGCAAAGACCAAAGTTACGGGTTAGGAGTTTACTAGGCAGAGACTCGACACCCTCATTAAATGCGTTCGGTTGGCCATTCATGTCGTCCAGCAACAATATCTCACTGGGCGGCCCAAAAACATGTTTTTAACACATACATAAAGTGTTGAGTATGATAAACAGCTGTTTACGCTATCTTTTGACGTCTCTGGTCCGCAGTTGCTGCTACCCATTCCGTTCTCCCCCCAAATTACCACAGACAATTACCTCGCTCTCGTCAGTTCATTATTTTTTTTCCGTCCGTAATTATAATTTACACGGCAAACCCGCCAGAGTTCTTCTGTCTGGGCTCACCAGCAGCCTCAAAAGTGCCGTTCGGCAACAACCGCACACCCTGCGCCGAGCTGCTACCCGGAGCCACCCTGGTGACGTTGTGGCCCAGCGATTGCAGGAAGCTGACGGTGCTGTTGTCGTAGGCGTACTCGATGTTGATGACGTTGGGGCTCAGCTGGTCATGGAAGCGTGGCTCGGCCAAAGCCTCGGCGGCCGTGAGGTTCCTGTCGAGCACGTTGTGCAGGTTCTGGATGGTGGAGGTGATGATGCGGCTTCCACCGGCGGCGCCGATGACGAAGTACAGCTTTCCGTCGGGGTGTTCCACGATGACGGGAGAGATGGATGACAGAGGCCTCTTGCCGGGACGGATGTAGTTGGCCGGGCTGGGGATGTATCCGAAGGCGTTGCTGGAGCCTGGGATGCTAAAGTCGTTCATCTCGTTGTTCATGACGACACCAGTCTCGGGGACCATGACCTGCGATCCAAAGAGAAGGTTGACGGTTGTGGTGAGGGAGATGGCCAGACCGGTGGCGTCAGCGGTCGCGACGTGCGAGGTCCCCGGAGTCTCGAGCGACTCGAGGCCTTCGGGGTCGTACCAGGACACGTTCTGGGTACGGAAATCGGAAATCTTGGAACGGATCTCTTCGCCCGCCTCAGCGGAGACCATCTGCTTGGTGTACTCGGGCAGACCGTCCACGAAGAGGGGGTCGCCGAGCTTCGTGCGCTGACCGTAGGCGAAGCGAATGGCCTCGTCGAGCCTGTGAACTGTCAGGTTCCTCTGAGCAGGGTCCCCAAAGCCCTCGTAACCGTTGACAATGTTCAGAGCGCTCAGAGCGACGCCACCGCCCGCTGGTGCGTTACAGGCGGTGAGCTTGTAGCCTCTGTAGTTGATTTGTGAGGGCTCCCTGATGGCGATGGTGTAGTTCTTGAGATCCTCGAGCGTCATTGTGCCATTGGAGCGTTGGAGAGCGGCAATTGTCGCGTTGGCAATTGCGCCGGTGTAGAACGCGTCGACGCCCTTCTTCGCGATGGTCTCGAGGGTGTCTGCATAGCGTCTCCGGGTCATGGTCTCGTTCAACTTCACCCGGTAGCCATTGGGCGCGAAGTCAATGGCCCAGGAAGGGTCGTCGGTGAGGAAGTTTCCGTTCGGTGTGACGGCGTTCATGTATTTGACTAGGTCCTCGTTGACCCTAAAGCCGTGGCGGGCAACCTTGACGGAGGGCAGCACGACATCGGCCCAAGGGAGGCGGCCGTATTTATTATGCAGATATTCCATGCCACGAAGCTCACCGGGGACGCCACTACGAATTATTAGTCTGGCTGACCGAAAACACCTCACAAGCACAGAACGACATTAGTCGCATACCTTGCCAAGCCGCCGTACATGCTCGCCGCCGTGTTGTTCTTGTACATATCCTCGAACGCAGCCGCCGGCGCACTCTCACGGAAGTCAATGTACTCATATGTTCCGTTGCTGGACCTCACAATCATGAAGCCACCGCCGCCAATGCCACTGTGGTACATGCCAACGGTACCAACGCAGAGGACGGTGCCTACCATGGCATCGGCCGCATTGCCGCCCTTCTTCAGCAGATCCGTGCCAATCTTGCTGCAAATGTCCGTCTCGGAGGCGACAGCTCCCAGCTTAGGAGGGCCCTGGCTCGGGTGGGCAACGGCGGGTTGCACCAGACTGAGCAGAAGCTGCGCGGCGGCAGCGGTGATGGACAGGGACTTCATTGCAGCGAGACCGAGCTTCGAAAGGCTATAGAGTAACAGGGGGGGGGGGGGGGGGGGGGGACCTTGTCGGCGAAGGAGTGTACCTGCGTAAGGCACGGTAGTGACAACTCTAGACCGATAGAGAACGGGAGGACGGAGGACAAAGGACAAGGAACACGACTGCGGCGGCAGACGGAGGCACCAAGCTTTATGAGGACGGTTAGGAGGGCAGCCGGAATCACATAATCAAGTCTATTGCGGGCATAAATAAACAAATTATGGACCCGACAGACCGGGCAAAGCTTCGTTGCAGCAGATTGCAGACGACGATCCCCAACGGGAGGCGTCCCTTCAAGGTGGAGTATCGTGATAAATCCCCCCCACATCTGGACTCACCGCGGAATCGATCCAACAAGCTTGTTGCATAGTGTAGGTTGCCCGACATGGATCATGACAGGTCTATAGTTGGGGATTTTGGCCGATGTGATGGCGGCGGGCTTATCAGGTGTGGGGAGAATTAATTTCAGCGAGTCGTTACACTGCTATAGTAACTATAGTAGGGGCGGGGGTGGTTGGTAAGATGCAATTGGGGTCCGTTATTGGGCAATGCGGGCAACGCCGGGATGGGTGGGGAAAGCTGTCAAAGGACATGCCGATGAATTATGGATCCACAGCGAACGCGGGGGCGCCGGCTTCGGCGGGGAAATACCTGTGAGCACCTGCCTTTATAGGCCGTAGCGCCCCCGACTGCCCGCTATGGGGGGGGATCCGAACCGTGGCAATCAATGAATCCTTATCGTGTAGCGACCTCGGCCCGTTTATGATGTTGATTGTTTGATGAGACAGCATATTGTGGCGCTAGCCGTGTTTTCTTTCCAATTCTTTCTTAGGTTTTCCCCTCTTTATGACTACGGTTATGCTTGCCTGACAGACAATACACATTCCCGTCTGTTCATGTTCCGATTTGACTCTGACTTAGGGTTAAAGGCTGGCTGAAACTTCAGGCAAACCATACAACATCAGACTGCTCGTATTCTTAAAACTAACTACGTAATCTAGGTATTCTCGGACCTGTCTCGGGTTTCCCCTCTTCTTGAAAATTACTCTCTTACAAGTCGAATGGACTAGGCCCAAATTTGCCGCGAATGGAAATCTCTGGCGACTTCCAGATGCTCCAGTCCTCAGATTTGACCGGATCGCCAAACGGCTTAAGGACTGCAAAACGCATACTTCATGCCGACAGTGTTAGCCAAGCGGCTCCTCTCGGGCCTTACGAATGAAACTTGAAACTTACGTGTAGTTGCCCGGTTCTATTTGGGAGCCATTCGCGAGAATCCCAAACCAGAAATATGTATGTCGGTAGGCGGTATAGATGGCGTTTCGGTGAACGTTCTCTAGAGGGAACGGAATGGCGTCGAAAGGACTAGCCGTCGTCGACCACGGGCTCCAGTATTCCGTATCGGACTTGTCGTAGTATGCCACCGAGCCGATGTAGCCATCCTGACCTTCTGCTGGCGGGTACTGCCACTGACTTTCATTCCAACCGGCCTCATAAATCTGACGGCTCTTTTTTTAGCCCACGTGTATCTCGAATGAACGAACGCGACAGCAAGCCATCTAAACTTACATCCCATCGGGTCTCCTTCGATCCCCACTTCATCTGTAGGTTAAGCCATAGATAGTCGTCCTCGTACCAGATGTCATTCGTCCAGCTGTCACTGGCGTCAGGAGTGTATTCTTAGCTGATGTTAAAAAGTCTATGCTGAAACTTACTAAGGTTTTTCCTCAATGGGAATGAAGTTGTAGGTGGTAGTAGCTGTGGGGAATCCGTGCATGTACATGTCATCCATTTCCTTCCTTAGATCTGCTGCAAGGCCTGTACTACGGTTATTTACATGCATACATCCCACCCTAAACAATCAACTTACCCATGTAGGGGATCGCCAGTGATTCGTTGTTGCTTCCGGAGATAATAACCTTGCCGCTGTATAGAGGAAGACCAGCAGGGTTTCCGTAATCGGGTGCTTGGAACGTAACACTTTAAACTTCACGTTAGCCAAGCCCCGTGGCTTGATATGCAGCAGACACATACCTCACGGTTTTTGACTCGCCTGGCTTCAGAGTAAATTCTCCCGGAAGAGTAACATCGACCGGCATCTTAGTTAGTTCGACTTCTTCAAGGGCTTTCACCCGAGGCGAACTCCGAATGGAAGGGTCATACGGCAGGATGATTTCCATACCCGCCGCATCCTCGACAGAGAACTTGTAAGAGACATCCTCCGCGCCATCATTACTGACGACGATCTCGTGTGAACCGGCAAAGTGGGCCGTGTCATTCAGCGCAAACTTTTCAAACTCCACAGAGGTGGTGTAATTGACGACCTTGAAGGCATCAATCAGTCCCGTGCCAACCTGCGGAGGCGGCGCAGGAAGATCAACGACCCCATCCCACCACTTCAAAGTATTTCCGCTGGAAATAATCCGTCTGGCCAGCGTTTTCGCAAACCCAGGCCCGTGAACGTTGCGGCCGCCGTGGGCGCCAATGTACAACGCCGCAACTCCGGCAACGTAGGGACAAGCCATGCTAGTACCGCTAAGAACACCAAAGCCGTTGCTCAAATGAGAGCTAAAGATCTCACCACCAGGGGCTGCGATATCGGGCTTGAGCTCGAGGTCATATAGCCCGCCCCAAGAAGTGAACTCTGAAGGCAAGCCCGCAAAGGCGCGTGGCAAGCTAACTACATCATTAGGTCCAGCGGAGAAATCAGCAGTAATCTTGGCACCCGCCTTGACGGCCTCGACAAGCGCTTCGCCTGAGTGTTTCTCGATCATGGCTATAGCACTTTGGTAGTCATCGGTGTAGAATCTGACTAGCGGGTTCTCATCGTTGTATATGAGAATGTACTGTGCGCCCAGAGCCTGTAGATTTGCCTGTTTCGTCATGGCATCACATCCGCCTCGACGGACCAAGGCGATGGCACCAGTGAGGTTACGATATCCCTCTGGGTATGGCTCGCAGGCATCAGCAGTAGCATTAGTGTCCAATGAAAGCGGGATTATTGGCCACGAAACAACAGTTTCGGGGAAGTACAGTACCGAAGGGATGTATCCAATCTTGCTAGTGCTGGTCTGGTTTTTCAGATTGAAAGTGGCTTTGAATGACGGGTTCGGCGCGGATTCGGCCTCGACAGAGGCGACGGCGAGTACGTTCTTGCCTGATGAGCCGGATGAGCCGAAGAACGGCCCAGAAGCTCCCGAGTTACCAGCAGCGATGGTAACGAGAACACCTTGATCAACGATGCGGGAAGCCACTTCGGCCCAGGCATTTTCGGAAAAGCCGTTTGGTCCACCGATACTGGCGGTGATGATGTCCATCTTCGTTTTGTTAAGGGTTGCACAAAAGCAATTGGGGCCCATGTTAACTTACACCGTCATCGTAGGCCTTAAGAAAAGCCTCAATCAGAGTGGCCTCGTCGGTCGAACCCTACTCAACGTGTCTTAGCATGCTGAAACCTCACAGACCCTGGGTTCCCTCAAACCTTTGGTGTGAACACCTTGTATGCGTAAAGCGATGCTTTAGGGGCAACGCCAACAAAACTGAAATCCGTTAAGTAAGTTCAAAGAGAATCTTGTGGTTAATACCAACTCACTTGCTTGATGAACCAGCAACAATACCGGCGACGTGGGTGCCATGGCCAGTACGGTCAACTGGATCCTCATCGGGCTGCTTGTCACCAAAGTCGGGCCACTCTATGCCACGTTAGTGCTTGGACGAGAGTTGAAGAAACGGATTACGAACCTCCGTCTCCCACAAAGTCATAGCCTCCAGCAACTTTGAAGCCCTCTCCCAAACCACCGCCAAGCTTTAAGCCACATTAGCATTTGTTCATAACTCCAGAACCGACTCACGGTTGCTCACAGCAGGGTGTGTATAGAGGATTCCACTGTCCACAACGCCCACTTTTACACCTTCACCAAAAATGCCAGACTCATGTAGCTTGTGGACGCCAGTCGAGTGGTGTGTCGAGTAATTCGCCGAAGCCGCGTCGTCGCTGAAAGACCTCGTCACGTTTGGCGGATTTAGCTGGACCTTGTTGTTGTGCCACACTTTTACGACTTGGGGAAGTGCGAGAAGGCCCTCTACACCGTGAGTTTCGCTTTCAACGTATGCGCCAAGGAAGAGGTCATTCTGGAAGGTTTTGATGACTTCGACATATGGTAACGAAGCTACGTTGTTTTGGAGACTGGCTTGTCCCTTTATTTCCGCGTTAGATACCGTCTAAATCAACATGTTTAACATACTTACCCTGGCAAACTCCACGATGTATCGCTTGGGACCCTGAGATGCAGACACAGGCAGCCCGTTCTGGCGTCGCGAAGCAGCATTGGCGCAACCAAGAAAAGGCAAGGCGCCAGTCACCAAGTTGCAGAACCGCATGATGTACGTTCACCTAATGACAGCTTCACTCCCGACTAAAGATAACCCATTGCACTCCAGCCGTCGCAGAGGGCTATGGAAACTTATATCGCAATCAATACGAGAAATAACTGATAGCTCCGGGCAAACTTGCCTCCATTTACGCATCACGGCAAGCTGCCAGTGGTAGCATGGGCCAGGCCAGGACCTGCGTATACGGGGTTGCAGTTCAGCGGGGCTCATCGCTACTTTGGACGAGACGGGCAGGAGGCGAGATGCCAAGATGTCCAGTTTCTTCTTGGGCCAAGGCTTGGTTAACTACCGAGACTCAACACCGCAAGGTCACTTACCCAATTGAGGTTGTTCGCCGTTCAATCTTGTTGGTGATGGGCTCAACGGCGATGACCTCATACAGGTTCGATAACCCACCTTATAAACCATTAAACTGGGCCGTTACAATCAACTTGTTATAATCGGGCATAGCATTGTTATTACAACAGTTACTCAATGGAAACCCATAACTAAACAAGAATGCGTCAAGGGAAGGTTTACAAGTCGAAAGACACAGCTCAAATAATAAACCTGAACAGACTGAGACCTCAATCAATACTTTACACATTCAATGATCTGAATAAATTGACCGCGTCCATAAACGTTCTCCACCTTCAACCCAGCACGAGCCGCCAGCTCAGTCCATCCTTTCAAAGTCCTTTCCTTGCCACCGATGTTAATCATGGTAAAGTCAAACATGCTCTGCATCGCCATCGGCGGATTATCCATGACAGTTTCGGCAATGAGCACTTTACTATCTGGTGCCATTGCATTGCTGAGCCGAGTCAAGATGTTGGCTGATACATCATCGCTGTAGTTGTGCAGACAGCGGCAGATGAAGTATACCAAAGCATCTGAAATACATGTTAGTCAAAATTATCTTTGAAGAATTGCTTGGCTCCTCTGACTCTCAATCGGTTGCTTGTCGTGGAAATTGTGGGCTTGCAATTTCACATCCGATAGTCCTGGGTCGCGATTGCTCATCACCTGCTGAATCACTTCTTCCCGGTCTTCCAACACCGCGCGTCCGTGGGGAATGAAGAGATTCTGCTGCAATACAGCCTTGGTAATATGCCCCTTACCGCCGCCAACGTCCACGAAAAGTATTCTGTCTCGATGCTGTTCGCTGGAGATCTTCCCGCGAAGCCATGTAAAGTCGTATGAGCCCGCCAACGTGGGTCCATGTTGCGCTGTGTCCATGGCTTCCATAACACGATTCAATCGCTCTGGTTGCTGATGACAGATTTCCCACAACGTCTTTTCCGGCTGTCCGTGACCGAAGGAGTAGGGTGTGTGATTTTGGGAGCGGGGTTCATGGCGGCCATAGTGGGAGTAAAATGCCGGCATTTTTACGCAGGTGGAGAACATCTCATCATAACTAGAGATCCATGTGAGCTACATCACTGTGAAATTGGTGAGAAGAAATATGCGTACTAGAACGTAAACATGTTTCTCTCCGGTCGACCGGGGAGATAGACCTTGGATACCTCTGTGTGCGCTATATCATCTTCGCCTTGTTGGCGCAGTATTCTGCGTGCCACGAGAGCCCATGCGTAACGTCCTGATACCAGTTAGATCATTTGATTCTATAGTTTCTAACCGTGTCATAGTGGGGATCTTACTGAGGAGCGACTCGTCTGCGTCTACTTTCTTTGCAAGCTGGGCGTAGGAGATAGTTCCTTCTAGGGGAATGTTCTCGAAGACTTCCCAATCTATGAAAAGTCTGAGGACAACAATTTCGACATAATTGTACATCCGTAACATGGGGTCAGGCAGGACAGGTCTGGTCGCCCAAAGAATCTTTTCGGCAAGTTCTTCTATAGCTGGAGTGGGAACATTGTCACGGGAGGCGTTGACAAGAGCTGACAGTTGGGCCACAAGACCGGGAAGGTCGTTAGGAATGATGGCCATGTCTACCGTAAAATATTAAATAATTCAAAGAGGTAAGATTTACGTTTTGGTCAGATCTGAACATGCTTTGCTACTGAAAGTGTCCTTTTATATTTCGGATGTCAGTGACCCCTCGCATGTTCCGTCTTGAGAGTTGTAAGCGGCCGGGATTCAATATTGCCTGCCGAGCCCGATATTGATGAGATGAGAGCACATGTACAACCCGATCGCTGAAGAGACTACGGCAATTTTCTCTCCGAGCGTGGCAAGCCTGCCGTGCCGGACGCGCCGTCCCGTCCCTTCTCTCCACTCTCAGCCGTGGAAGGTTAAACAGTTTCGTTTCAGGATGCGTCACTTCTCTGCTTGTGCGGCAGTATAGTTCGCAACAAAGATTACAAAGAAAGGGACGAATCAGTGAGAGTTTTTTTCTCCAGGAATCCAGTCAGTATCGGCCGCGCGGTGCAACGTCATCGGGACGTGGTGTGAAGGCGAGCCTAGGGAGTACGATAAGATTGCCTTTTTGATTCCATTTACAGTTTACGGTAAATCTCGAAGCTTTGATATTACACTCTCGTCTCTATGCCGAAGTAAGCGTTGCAGTCTTCATCATAAATTGACACATAATATGGTTCGTTAAGAGAATTGCCGAAAATAGCGGAAGAACAGGTAAGATCTCGTGAGCTGGAGTTAATCGGGTAGCCATGGCGACTATTCCTTCATGAAAGTGGATTTCTGGTAGTTATCACCGAATCATTTTGATATAATTTTCAGAAATTAAAAATGTGCTTCGACAAGAAAGGGAGAAACGAGAGGGGCTTCACAGATTACTGAGACATTGTACTTGGGAGCAAAACGTCTGCATGCAGACAAATGAGCTACCGATATTGGAACCTGCTACTGTTGTCTCACTTAATGCAATCAGAATCTCGTCAGGGAACGCCGAATGTAGAACTAGACAAATAAGTAAGGAATGTATATCAATTGACCTGCCCTAATGCTGCAAAATAGCCAAGGTCTTCCCGACAGACCTTCTGGAAAGCACACGACCGGAAATCAACCTCAGTCGGCGCCAAATACGACATGGAAGTTGCCGGGCTTCCTGTGGAGCATCTCATACTCATCGGTGACCGTCTCGCTGACGCAACAACTAGACTGCTTCTCGATAAGGGAAGAAATACCCTTCCCAACAAAGGAGATGAAAGAGAACGGTTGCGACAATGCATCAAGGACAACATAGTACACATAGATGATATCCAAGATTCAATCGATAGACGATCAGAACAGCTATCCAGGGAGCTTACATGCTTACGATCCGCTCACCTTACTGGGTGCATCAATAAAATCACCAGCCATTACGACACCGTTTATTTTGCCTTACGAGAATATACTCAAACAGAGGGGTCGGATGAGAAATGGGACGAAAAAAAGAACCATGCAAGAATCCAAATCGAAGCAGTCTTACACAGCAGTACATGTGTGGACATTATGGAAATACAAGACTGCTTGGCTGACATACATTCTGCTCTCAACTTGGGAGGAAAAGAATCTCTGGTGGAACTTGCGAAGCATGAAGCCATGAGGGGATCCACCGACTTTTTGTCTTACTACATGAAGATGGAAACTTTCTTCGGCCAAATATGGATTGCAGAGGCGAAAGCTCTGTCTCTGCTCAAGATGGCTAGGCAATGGCCCAGGATGCATTTTGCGGAAGCCGATGACACGATTGACAAGTATCAAAGCTACCTGGTTTCCCAAGAAAAGGCCTTTGAAAAGGTTATCGGACCTCACGTTATGGTTCTTGTAGAGGCTGTAAGAAAGAACCCGGGGGGCTTGGTGCTGGTAAACTTCCAGACTTACGACAAGAGTTGGCCACATCCGCGCTCAGATCCGGATTTGGGAGTGCATGTTCTCGGTGTGGGCAATCGGAAAGACATCAAAGAGCATCCTTGGGCTCTTAAACTGTCCTGTCCCATTGAAGAACCTACGCCAGAGGGGTCGTATCCTTTCGAGTTAGTAAGCCTGGAACCTAGTGACCCAGACTGCCCGCTCGTCTCAGCCCCTTGCTTATCGCCATGCATAATGTGAGTGGGATTTCTTGGTTACCTAAATATTGATCTTCTGACACTTTTTAGGGTCCCTGGCAACTCCAAGGCAAGCTGGCTTATCAAGCCACTGGAGAATGGCAAATTCTCATTTTCCTTCTACTCGTTATCGATGGATCTTGATGCTTTGCCTTCGACTATGGGACTCGGCAAGTTTTATGAGAAGAGCAATGGGCTGTATCTCGACCTTGGACCAGAAGATTCTATTCTCTGCGGAAGAGACTTCGACGCAGAAAAGGTTGATTCATCCGAGGGATGTGGGTTCTTTCTCACGCCCAAGTGAAGCCGTTTAATGGTTTCTGGTGTCATTCATAGCGAGGAGTAGACGATGTGCTTCATACTAATGTCATTACATATCATTCATACTACAAACAAGTCTCAAAGTCACTCCCCCGCTCCTCCGAAACGAAGCCTTGGCAAGTTGATGATTTAACAACAGTTTATGTAGCTGAATACCCCCCGTCGACAAATATGGTCTGGCCAGTTACCGCCGCACTCGCGTCACTTGCTAACCAGATCGCAGCGCCTGCAAAGTCTTCCGGCACCCCGTTTCGCCCGATCATCGTCCGCGCGGCATGCACCTCCTTCTTCTTCGGATCCGCCAACACTTCGGCCGTCATCGGCGTTTCCACGACCCCCGGGGCGATAGCATTGCAGAGAACCCCCTTTCTTGACCAAGCTTCCGCCTGAGACCGCGTGAGTGCGACGACTCCCCCTTTAGCGGCACCGTATGCGCCGCTGTTACCGAATGCCCGGAAGGCTTGTTGGCTCGCGACGTTGATGATGCGCCCACTCCCACGCTCCGCCATAGCTGGACCGAAGGCCTGCCCCAAGGCAAAAGGTGCAGTGAGATTTGCTGCGATTGTGAAATCCCACTCTGCCTGAGTAATGTGTGAAAGCGGAGGACGATGAGAGACCCCCGCTGCGTTAACCAAGATGTCCGGGGTACCATGTGAGGTCTTTATCCGCGATACGGCATGGTTAAGGTCGGCGAGATTTGAGAGGTCTGCTGATATTGACGTTGCCGGAACACCGAGCTGCTTGAGTTGCTCCAAAGTTGAGGCAAGGGGTGGTTCCCGACGAGCAATAAGAATTACCTTTGCACCAGACTGACCCAGTGCAAAGGCGATCTCTTTTCCTATGCCTGAGCTTCCTCCTGTGATGACTGCCGTTCTACCTACAAGACCGAAGATGCGAGTGAGGTAGGCAGGTAACTTTTGAATATTTTTCGCCATTCTGAGTGTTTTTGAATAATTTCTGAAACTTATCACAACGAGATCTCGACTTTTGAGAAGAGGCAAGCAGTAAACTGGGTATGAGATGAACTATAGAACGATGAGGGGTTCGGATGATAGCCCATTCGTTGAAGTGCGTGACTCAAGGCCGTTGTCGGCAAGGAAGCAGTCGGGAAATGGCGGTTGGAGTCGGGCGCTTTCGCATGCAGCTACCACTGGTAGACGAACTCTATGGCATGTTAGGGGCCTCGGCAGCGTTAGGTCTGGGCTTCATGGCCGAGACTAATGTGGCGTTCAGCCATTTGGGAGTTGGACCAACTGTTGAAGTTGACTAAATGTGCCACGCGACTGGATGATCAAATGTCGGGGTAAGAGGGGTTGGAGCCGGCATGCATTATGACTTGCAGTTTTCAAGGGTGGTTGGCAAGCAAGGGGGTTGGTGGCTATCAAACTTTCATCTCTCTTTTCCTTTTTTCTCCAAGCAATCCATGGTAAAGATTGTAAAATTATGTGAAATAACACTCGCCTTACTTTCGTTAAATTTGATGATTGGTACAGTCTAGGTAGTATGCATCTACAATGAAAGACGTTAATATGGGTGCTAAAATCGGACACTGTCACATACTGCGAACTCCACGAACTTAGCAATTCAATAGCAGCATCGAGACCCCCACAGATTCCTGAGCAGAGTTCTGAGAGTAAAGGCAGCTAATACTACCTAGCAATTTATTCAACTTTATATAAGCAAATGCTTCCCCACGCGGGACTTACTAAGAATGTTAATTATCTACCCGCCTGTGAGCCTCCAGCCCCACCACGAGCTTGTATGAAAGGTTGGGCTAGTGCTTACTCCCAGTTACCCCTCTTTTTTCTCTTGATACTTACTTTCTTTCTTTACCATCACTCCAGTTGTTCTATAACCAAAACGTCATAATCATGGCGGAGCCTTCTCCTGAGACCTATGATAAAATAATCACTAAAATAAACGAAGAGATTCTATCACTAAAGAAAGAAGCAGTCTCTGAAGATGCAAAGGGTCACTCATGTAACTACTGCAAACCCTTTAAATTTCGGCCTTGGGCCGCATTCGACACTGATTGGGAGCATGTCGGCGGAGATCGAGAGTCTGCAGTCGATACAACGGAGAAACAGGTCCGAAATATGGCTGCATCTGGGTGTGACTTTTGGGCTATGATTAATGACCAAATTACCTATCTCGAATTGAAGGAGAGGGCTGAGCGAAGAAGAGGCAGTGATAGGTACTCGTTAAATTGGTCTGAGAGGCGTTATGAAAAGCTTGTCACTTCACTGGGACAACGTGTTGCTGCTGAGTTTTGGAGGTTACATCGAAACCGAGCGGTTGCTTGGATAGACTGCGAGGAGACTGCGATGATGTGGGATTCACTTCAAGATCCTCGACCTGCCCCTCGAATACCGGAAACCGTCGTTGGCCCAAGCGACTTTGTGAGAGTAAGCATCGGGCCTGATTCTCGAAAGGAGGATGATGTGGGACCTTTCAAAATACGAGTCACTTTAAAAGTTGCTCGTAAAGCTCAAAAGTCTGTGTGGCTACCTTGGAAGCTCTGGGACAACGTCTCAGAAATTACATTGAAGAAGTATCAGGCGTTTTTAATAGCTTTGGCTTCACCTGGTATGTCTATATCCCTTACGGGCGTCTAACTGAGTTCGAACTAAATCGAACCCTAGGTAGTTTCACAGGACTTGTAGAAAAACATGTCGCATCCCCAATGAACTTGTCACCGGGTAGCACTGCGACAGTGTCTCTCATTAAGCTCTGGCTTAAGAAATGCGAGATCGAACACCAGTGTGGGATATCAAATTGCCCACTATCAATGCCCTCGATGGTCCTCCAAGTGTCTGATCAAGATGTTGTGAGATTGATCAAAGTGCCTCCTACTACCAAAGAGCGATACATTGCGTTGTCATATTGCTGGGGCAAAAAGGCCCAGAAAGTCTTGCTTACGAAAGAAACCATGTCCCGTTTGACGTCAGGCATTAGCCCACAGGAGCTAGACTCGACCATTCGTGATAGCATCATCGTTGCGAGAGAGCTTGGTTTCGAGTTTCTCTGGGTTGACGCTCTTTGCATTCTTCAAGACGACGAACACTTCAAGACAAAAGAGCTACGCAGAATGGATGACATCTATCGCCATGCTTCCTTCACAATAGTTGCTTCCGCAGCGGCTGGTGTCGGAGAGGGGTTTCTCAAGAAACGAGCTTCCACTATAGACACATTTCTGCCCGTAGCCGGAAACAGCCGGGTTGTCTTTGAGTTAAAAGCTGAGCGGGGTACCGATGGCCCGAGTCAACAGGTGCCTGTTTATCTTCGGCCAGACAAACTAGACGAGGTGGAGCCGTGGTATAACAGGGCGTGGACGCTTCAAGAAGCACTCTTTTCCGGGCGAAGACTTCAGTACCGAGCCAACCAGACGACATGGATTTGCTATTGCTCGAAAGAGAAGCTGCAGGAGTGCGACGGTTGGGCAGGCGGTATAGGGCACACCTACTTGAACTTCTGTGACGGAGGGGCCCTCGGTAAGGTGATGGAAGTTCTATGGGGTCGTCAGGATATTCCGCAACATGACGTCTTGCTGGAATATTGGTATGACCTTGTTGAGATTTACACCTCTCGAGAGATGACATATCAAAGAGATCGCCTACCCGCTATTTCTGGTATAGCAAGAGAATTCTCCTCCATCTTAAAGGAAAAGTATCTCTTCGGGCTGTGGAAATCTGGCCTAGCTACTGGATTAGTGTGGAGTCTCCAATCTCCGCGTTTAGGACTTCACCCAGACAGTGGCACCAGTCCCATGGGGGCACCATCTTGGAGCTGGGGCTCTGCTGGAGGATCCGTACAGTGGTCCGGTCGCAAATTATATGAATGGCACGGACGTGAAGTTTCTGGGTGGAAGCAGAACGACGACTTTGAAATATTGACCTGTGAGCTACTTGACGAGGCTAATGCTGTTGATCTTTGTTTGCGTGGCCTCACAATGTCTTTACCCTCATCGGCAACCTCTCTGTTGGAGAAAAAGACAATTAAAATTGGAAACGCGTCGATAGACGTTGATTTAGATCGCGCAGATGACCACAGGCTTCAGCCTGGTTACGGGTTGAAGATCGAAATGCTAGCGATAATTAACGTTGGTCAACGGGCAGTAATCGGCATTCTCATAGTGGAGGAGGGGGAACAAAAGTATTCACGGGTCGGGGTATTCAAATTGGAAGGCATCTGGCCTAGAGGCAGCGAATTGAAGAAAACCCACGAGGAGCATCGTCATCAAATAAGAAGCATATGGGGCGGCGACAAGAACATTCGGGCAATAAGTCTGATTTGAATTGGAAATATTAAGCAAACGTATTTAAAAGCTTAGACTTGAGAATGTTGGTCTATAGCTGTGGGTAAATATTGAAACTATTATGATCCAGGTGTGTAGCATAAGCTAAATCCGTCCAAGGCTTTTGCTCCCCTTCGTTGGCAATTTAATTCAAAGTCGTGTGCCAAGCCATGTGAGAGGTTTTACATGTAGGCTAGTTTCATGAAGGTTTTCTAAGGTGATGTTGCCTAGCACATGGAATTCAAGTGCCGCAAAAGAAAGAAATTCTGAATGGAATTAGGAGAAGACGCAGGCTAAGCTGCTGCTTAGGCACACCAGCGTGAATCCATTACCAATCACTTTTCCATAAGGCTAGCAGTCATATCATCTTACCAGTCTATTCAATAACCCATTATGTGTTTCTCTCAACCGCATTGAGTTGGCGCCGGAAAACCATGCTGATTGGCGACTTCTTGTTGTTGTTGATGCAGGAGGCCGGCAACCCCACTCTTGGCCAATGTTGCCATTGTGGGCAGAACATCCCCGAATAATACTATAAAAGGGTTCTCTTTCCATGGCCCCCTTCTAAAGTTATCACTCAATGACCTTCGACTTTTCAGCTTTCTTATATTCAAGTATACAAACAAAATGGCAGACAGAATCTGTCGCGTTGTTGATCCTGACGGCGACGTTCTCCTCGTCCTCAACAATCCATGCGCACCATTTGCAATCTGGACGGAAAGCGATTACTCCAACATACAAGAGATCAATGGATGGTTTGCGACCCTCTTCTTCATGTCACATTAAAATTTTGTGTTTCGAAACGTGACGGATCTTCTAACTCGAGTACAGTGAACCTTTACTTGAGGACATTCTCTCGATAAGATCTCCAATGTCACCACTTCCAGTAGAAGATGCTACAATGGTACCTATTTCAGAAGAACCTGCAGTAGAAGATTCCCCTCAGGACGAAAATCCAGGGGTATCATTCTCACCGCAACCCGTCGACGCCGAAATTACCCTCCTAGAACCTGTTACACCAGAACCTGCTCTGACGGAGCCGTTCATCGATGAACCTGCAGCCAACGAATTCATGATCAATGAATTTGTTCTTTCTTCAAAGCACCTCATTTTGGCATCAGGATATTTCAGGGCAAAACTCAGTGGTCCCTGGAAGGAGGCTTCTACTCGCGGCGTCGATGGCCGGTATCACGTTGAAGCTTCGGACTGGGATGACCAAGCCCTTCTTCTAGTCATGCGTGTCTTACACGGGAAGAACAGCAAAATACCCCGTCGCATAAGTCTAGAGTTGCTGGCGAAGATCGCAGTATTGGTTGATTACTATGACTGCTTTGAGGCGACAGAGATCATCTCGAGTATTTGGATTGATGCTCTCAGAAATGAAATTCCTTCAGAACTCAATCGGGAGTTGGTTCTGTGGTTGCTGATTTCAAAGGTCTTTCATCAATCAGAGATAATTCTTCAAGTCACAAAGACAGCTATCGGACGGAGTTTGGGCTTGATGCCTGCGCTCGGCCTACCCATTCCTTCGGAAACACTTGGTAAGTTGTACCCTGCCCAGTTTGGGTGTAAGGTTCTGACCAGTCTAGCAATGATCGACTCCTACAGACAAGAAGCAATAGGCTTTGTGAAAAAAGGCCTCGATGATTTAGTCTGTACCTTGCGCAAAAAAACACCAGGGTGCGACTATTTTGCGTGTTCATGCATGCTCTTTGGAGCTTTGATGAAGCAGCTACATACCTATCAACTGTCTCAAACAGAATTGAAGTCACCTTACATCGGCTACCGCCTACTGAAAATTATCGAATTGCTGGGTCGTTTTCATTCACCAACATGGCAGTTGCACAACTATAATCATGTTTGCTCACTCGACCCTTTTATTGCCAGTATTCTTGATCCGGTAGGCGAAAAGCTTCACAGACTAACTTTGAATGGTATATAGAGGAGACATCTGTAGCTCTTAACCTTCAGTTATAAAGTTTTGTTGAGCTTGACCATGTGTACACTCAAGTTATTATTAACAATAATTCTTCGTTCAAAGTGGCCGAGGGCTTAAAGCATATTCACCAAATTTGAGGAGATGTTTGAGGGCAAACGTTCTTCAATTTCAGGCCTAGGTCTGGTAGTAGTCTCACGGACGTACGAAGGGCTACAGTTCTGAACAAATTGAAGTAAGAGGATTATTGGAGTAATGAGTAGGGACTTTGCATGCTCGTACTTGTATTTTGGCCTATTGCTTTAGCTAAGATAAAGTATAGCTAAACAGTGGGCTACGCGCCTCTGTTAATCAAGCATTCGACCGCCTGTCATGTGTATTAAAGCGAACTGTCCAAAGGCAAGAGGCAATCCTCTCAAGTCCACGGCAGGCCCCCTTACTTCTTTTCCAGAATTGTTATCGGTATCTGAGTGATCTCAGTGACCACATCATAGACAACCTATTACGGGCTATGCCACGGGTGATGTGACTTAACCTGTGCTTATGTATTATCCCTATCAAAGTGCAGCCAAACATTAGGTAAACGACTTGTCTTTACGTATTCTTTTGCATTTAGCTCAATAGGATAGAAACTCTATCTTTCTACATGCCGAATAGAAGTTCTATTGCACCTTTTAGCCTTACAAATAGTGACAAAAGAAAAATACCGACAACAAAAGTGCCCGAGAGGGATCACTCATTCAAGAGAGCCCTACTAAGCTATAAGGGCAGTTCAATGCTAGCATGTGGTATGGCTCTTAATACCAACCCAACGCATAGCGACTTTTAACGCTGATATGGGACCTTTTTCCCCAGCAGAGTATTGAGATATGCAGTGTTTAGTAAATCAGTATATTCTTCATTATTTCTATCATTAGTCTAATCAAGAGGAAGGTCTCCCAAAGGGCTCATGAAAAGACTGGAGGAACCGTCCGTAGGGCCAGATCTAGCCCAACATGAGTAAGTTAGTTCTGAGCAATCAGGGAGGACTCCTGTAAATCAACTTGCGGCTTCCATGCAGAAGCCAACCATTTAAATTAACCTTGCTGGTTGAGGAAATCTTCTGAAGCCTTGGAATCTAATCTTGCAAGTATATCAAGCAAAGATGAAAGAAAAGATCTAGCTCGGCCTCGAATGACATCGTTCTCCACATTTTGGGATAGTTCCAGTAGGATGCTTCCCACAACCCGCATGAGTTCAATCTTGCAACAATTGTTAGTGAAGATAGAGGAACAGGACTTTGAATATCGTAACTCACGTCAGGTTCTCCATTGGTTTGGATGTATTGAAAGGGAATGCTTTTCAGACTCTGCACTACATCCCGCGCGATATTGGTTTGCTCCATAGCCAACGTCAATGGATCGTCACTCAGGCCGATAAGGGTGGTAAGACCGTACTCAATGCACTGGCGAAGAACCATGATCCTCACGCCGTGAAACATGTTAAGCAATCGAGACTTTTGCGTCCAAAAGCAGGACCGTTGGAAGGCCACATCATACTGAGGTTCCAGTTCAACAGCGTCCGGTGACTCTAGCCAGTTGGGTAAACCGTCTAAGAAGCCTATGACATCAATGTACATCTTCATCATGGTTTCCCTGTCGGTTCTCTCAGTTGTATCATTGTTTGGGTAGTCTAATGTAACCTTTTGGCCCCTTGACCTAATGGCTAGCAGTAGCCTTCCAGCTAATGTCCAGAAACGTTGAATCAAATGGAAACCCTCCATCAATTTATCTTCAAATGATTCCGGAACATGTCTCATTTCCGGGTCAAATAAGGGCATGCGGATTGGACCCCTTTCTAGAAGATCCATTTTTGAGTCGAACAATGGCTCGTGGAGAGTGACGGGGCGGTTTGCGAGAGAAATGGCTGCTTTGTCGCAAACATAGAGCATCCAAAAATTGTTTCGAAGAAGTGTGGCCTCCAATAGATCGTACTTTGATAGGCTTTGTTCGCTATGCAGTCGGAGGTTTTGAGCCAAAAGACCTGCTTGGCTCAGGACATGCCATGCCAACGGCGTCTTGCCCGCTGAGTGTTGCAGAGCTGCAGACTGTAGTAGTCGGATTGCCAAGGACGTCCAGTCGGGATGTTGTACGTCGTAGTCTTCGTACACTTTGAGCATACTCCTGGAGGCTTGGAGGAAAGGGGTCGCAATAACATCACGGTATGCTAAGAGAGATTCCGGGTACATTGAAGCAACAGTGGCGCATAAAGCAGTAAGAAGAGCAAAAGGCCTCATGATGGCAACCCTGTCCTTATCTGCACCGATATCATATGCATCATCGCTCAAAGCTTGTGAGCCATGTAATGGAAAATATGTGGCTGCCATGGCCCTTACTGCCGGAATGTGGCATATGGGGCAAACTGGAAAGGTATGCAGCACATACAGTGAGATACATTCATCCACCACCTGTCTAATGGTAAAGGTTGGCAGGCCTTTTGCGACGCTGGAAACTAGGTTTCCTCGGATTTCCGATGCGGAAGCTGATGGATTCAGCAAGGAGTAAACTGGGACCTCTGATGAAAACGGTTTAAAGCTAGCCACTAGGGAGGTTCGCTGCGTATTATCGCTTTCGCTGCTTCGTTCAGGAGAGTTTGAGATGCGTGGTCTGGTGGCTGGAAGCTCAAGAGCCTTTTCTCGAGGTGTTTTGGGACCTCTTTTTCGAGGTATTGTGTGAAAGGTACAGTCAAGATGCGATATCCGACAGTTTGCACATGGCTGTTCTGTATCACACTGTGTCGTATCAATGAAAGCTGATCTCCATAGTGGAATGGGGACAGCCAGTCCGACCTGCCCAGATTTGTGCTTCGCTCACCTTGACTTTGCGTTGCCTACATGAATCGCAAGCCCGCTTTGATAACGTGGTACCTGTTTTTGGCATGGCTAGACTTTGGTGCTCAGGAGTGGCCATCGTCATTATGAACCTCAGACAATTTCGCCGCGGAGAATTTTAACGTTGGATAAGTCGGGACTGTGAATACCGAGGTACGCTATTCGATTATCGCAGCAAAAGAGCTATACCATTAGATGCATATAACGGCATTAGTGCATATCTGTAGTGATCACTACTGGTTAACATATAACCGAATAGTTACATGCCATCACAAAGTAGATGGGCACATAACAAGCGATAATAGATAGACACAAGTTCTCGCTTTATTTCTATCGGTTTTCGAACAGAATTTGTATACATTTTTCAAACACCATGCCAGAGGTAATCATCTTCTAGCTCAAAGTCCGCACTTAATATCTCATCTTCTGGGTCGGCACTTTGAGATATAATGACACGGAAAGTACCCTTTTCAGCCAGCCATTTCTCGAGCTCTTCGTTCCAATACGACAAGGAATACTTGTCGAGACTAACTCTGACTGTCACTGTACTCCCAGTCGCCACCCAAACTTTGTTGAAAGCCTTGAGTTCTTTGCATGGACGGTCAAATGCGGCCTCAACGTCTTGAATGTAGACCTGTACGACCTCCCATCCATCTCGACGACCATAATTCCGCACATCAACCGTAATATCAAACGATCCCGCTCTACATTCTCCCAATCTTACTGTCTTTGGAACATGAAGGTTTGAGTACTCGAAGCTAGTGTATGAAAGACCGTATCCAAAGTAGAATAGTGGCCGCCTGTTGAGCTTTTCGTAGTATCGGTGGCCAATGAATACACCTTCGCCGTACAGAATGTCTCTTTGACCTTTTCCAAAGGTCAAAAATGCCGGTGTGTCTTCTAAACGACTCGGAAATGTCACCGACAGACGGCCGCTAGGGTTGATGCGGCCGAACAATACATCAGCAATGGCGTGGCCAGTCTCTTGACCACCAAACCACGCATGAACAACGGTGGCGGCGTTTTGAATCCATGGCATGGCAATCGGGCATCCGGACTGTGTCACAACGATCTGTCATAACAGTTAGTAGCTCTTGTTGCATGGAATTTGTGTCACATACCGTATTTGGATTCGCTTCGAGGATTCGCTGAATCAGATGATCAATCCCAGGTGGTAGGTCCAACGACTCTCTGTCGACGGCTTCGCTCTCATAGTCAGCGTTTAAGCCCGCCATGATAATAGGCACATCAACCGTTTTGGCCAGCAGCACTGCCTCATCCAGTGCCTCAACCGGGTCAATTTTCTCGCAACACCCAATTCTCAAACCACCAGCGCTAAGGGCCCCAATTCCGGGGATTGCGGCTTCGTTCCGCAGGAAAACAGAGATTTGGTACACTTTTCCAGCCTCAACTTTGATATCTGCAACCACCTCCATACTTGCCTGGTTGAACATTGGCGTTTGGAGTGTCTTCTTGGGCTGGCTATTAAACAGGTCAATCATCTCCTCTCCATCCACCCACAGTTTACCTTTTCCAATAACACAAAGACCCAATTGCATGGTTGTAGTCTTTGGAGCAGTATACACAGTCCTAACACGGAGCCAATATGCATCTGGGACGCCCTTGGGGAGACTATCAGCAAAATACATCTGCGCTTGTGTCGTTGTCGTAGTGTGCAACGGCTTCGCAGTCGGCTGCTCCTCGAAGTTCTCCTGGAACCATTCGAGTAGATATCCCGGCTTCTGCATGTCGGGAACAGAGCCATCAGAGGACAAAAGGGGGGTAAATAAATGACCTGCAATACATCAGCGTAAGAATTAGTGGGTTTAGTGGTACATACCGTGGCAGCCAACTGCAGTCTTCACTCTCTCTGCTCCGACAATCTCGGTGATGGCGTCAAGTGGCGTGCTCACATAATACGGGACAAGGTCGGCGGACCCCCCACCACTAACAGCAGGTACTCGAACTGCAGGCCCAATGAGACCGAACTTCTTCTTGGACCGTGTGTCCAGTGGTAGTATAGACCGTTCATTCTTCAGGAGAACGATTGAATCACCTGCCACTTGTCGGCAAAGCTGACGCTTCTCCTCCGTGTCACCCTGATTCTCCGCGTCGGGCTGGTGCTCTAATGCCGGGTGAACTTTGTTGATGAGATTCAGAACGTTCCGCACACGTTTATCTATGGTAGACTCCTTGACCTTGCGGCAGAGAATCGCCCACATCAACAATTGGCTTCGCCATCTCGCGGGACCAGGCATCTCAAGGTCTAGCCCAGCATTCACGGCTTCTGCAGTGCTATAAGTACCAAACCAATCGCTCATAATCAAACCGCCCCAACCCCATTCGCGGCGAAGAATCCCTTCCAAGAGCCAGGGGTCTTCACTCGCATGGGTTCCATTGATCTTGTGGTACGCCGTCATGAACGACCATGGATTGGCATTTCTGACGGCAATCTGGAAAGGCAACAGGTGCATCTCCCGCAAGGTCCTCTCTGTCACTCGGATAGAGTCTTCGATTGACATCGTTGACTGGTCATGCGCGGCGTAATGCTTGATGCTGACAGCCACGCCGTTCTCCTGGACACCGTTGATGTACGCTGATGCCATTGTACCACTCAACACCGGGTCCTCGCCAAAGGCTTCGAAACCACGACCGATGAGAGGAGACCTCTGTAGACACACTGTCGGGGCGAGGATAACCTGACACCCCTTTTCTTTCGCCTCCGTCGCGAGCAACTTACCGACGGAGTGCATCAGTTTGACGTCAAAGGTGGCCCCCATGGCCGTAGCTGACGGCAAAAGACAGCCTGGTTTCTGTGGCTTTAAGCATAGTTCGTATTGTTGGAGCAGTTCCAACTTACACCATTGAAAAATGCAGTGCCTCGTACTCCGTGCGGTCCATCGGAAGTCTAGACATGTCAGCTGCCATTTCTATGCTTTGGCTTATTGTAGTATACCGTGATCGAAGGAATGTTTAACCGGTCGATTTCATGCGTGCTCCAAGTATCTTTGCCAGCAAGAAGCCTAATCTTTTCCTCCAAGGTGAGTTCCTTGATGGTACGGGCCACATCGATTGGCTTTGACATCTTGGTAGACAGTGTCTTTGATTTGCACTTCGCTAAGGAACGTGATCATGATTGTGTTGAGGGAAGAGATTCGCTTCTGCGGCTCTCATTAGCTTCTTATATCGTAACTACCATATCTTACAAGCAGGTTGGATTAATCCAATTTCGCCGTGGAGAAACGTGGGAACGTCAATCACAGTACGATATCCCCTCCGTACTCCACAATTTCACCACGGAGATATTCTGGTGGTTTGCCAGGATGAATGCCAAAATCCATAGTCTTGTCACATTCATATCATTAATTCAGTGCACCGATAGCAAATAATTGGGCCTTGAATCGTTTGTATTGTGTCGAGTCTAAGTGCCCTACCCATTTCCTCAGTTCAGTCAGTCAAGTGTACCACAATCCAACGCCCTCTTTTCAACACCACATCGCCCCAGTCCTAGAATAACATTTTTATACAAAGAAGCATCAGATATATCGTAAGCCTCGCAAGTCTACTGTTGTGTAAAGTACGATCCCTCAGTACCGAGGCATGCATCTGATAGCGACAAACTGGTTTATGGGGGCAGACCACCACAGCCAGCACCACACCCACATGAATCCAATAGTTTTTCCAATCTTGCCGCTCAATGCGGAGTAGACCCGAGGGCATAAGTTCCTCATAGCAGATATCAATGCCGTCTCGCCGCATATCGCGACAAAGTTCCCAACCCACCACGCAATTTCCCACCAAAAGGCGCAGCCCATACCATTCAGCAGGTCAGTGTAGCCATGAAACACGCCGCTGATGGTAAATATGATACCGTTCAGCACCCAACGCTTCTTGCCTCGGAAGGGGCGCTGTCCGAAGCCGGTGAACTCCAGAATCATCTCTGCCCACCCGGCGACGCTCCGATATATGAGACGGTCAAAGTACTTGCTCCAGAAGCGGCGCAAATTCCACGCCTGCCTGATGTCGCCGAACATGGGTGGCCATTCCTCGGGCTCGTCGATACCGATGCCGACGAAGAAGAGAGCGCAGGCGAGGTGGACACGCGTGAACCAGTTGTAAGCGCCCCATATCCCCTCGAAGGCGAAGTAGCAGCGTATGATTGTTTCTCGCAGGGGGACGTCCTTGCCCTGGATCAGACGGAGTATGATGAAGCGTTTCTCTTCTGTGACGTCGCTGTAGCCGAATCGGAGATATCTCAGAACAAGTGCGCTCTTGAAATCGTCGATGAATACGACGAGGACGAGATGGATTGCGGACTTGAGAAGCCAGCGGAAGCGGTGGCTTGCCCAGAGCTGAATCATTTGATGGCGAGCAAAGCTCCAAATTTCAGTTGGTGCAGTTGAATCTTTCAGAGTTGAGTTGGTTGTCATCCCATCGCAATTCACAGTCGTTGTATCAAAGTTGTTTTTCGTGCTTTTCTTCCTATTGGGAGTTGTGTTTCCTTCTTTCTCCTTTATGAGATGGTAAACGGGAGCTGGGCGAGGGGTCTGGATGAAGCGCCCGTTCCACAAGATCTTATACGTTGCAATAGCGCGCTCTTTCCAGGGGAGCCTCAGCTGCTCTTCAGTGAGGACGAACTTCTCCCGGAGAATCATAACCACAGCGCCCATGACTTGAATGATGATGGCTTTCAAAAGAGTGTCTTTCATCGCATAGTGGAGTTTCATCCCGCCGACATGCCGCAGAATTTCGAAGCCAATGGCCATGAAAGCGAAGACGAAGGGTGCTCGATGCTTTTCTCGAGCGTTGATGGCGGCGGCGACGCATGAGAGGCCAACGATGTATATGGAGACAGGCCAGATGTACGCGCTCCAGGGAGATGACTCTTTAGATGCTATGTATGCATCGTAGCGTCGTTGTAATTCTGATTTGTTCGCGACGAAATCGTTCGTAAGAGGCTCATAGTTGTAGCCATCTAGGCTCGTGTTACTCAGGGTGGTGTTGACAAAATTCAGGTTTTCGAGAGTAAAATTCCCAAGAAACGACTCCATATTGACCGTGTTTGTTCCTGTTATTGATAATAGTAGTCAATGTCTCTGCGGGTGAACAAGACCTGGAATAACACTGCGTTGACAAATGGTCTACTGAAACGGTTCACTACATACATTCTCCCAAAGTTTTCTCCGTTACCGTTGCATCTGTCTTTTTTTCTAAAACTGTATCCGCATATAAACGCTTATCTATCTTTACAAACTGTACGTTAGAGTTCGTTGTAGCCATGGAAGCGACGCCATAAACGGCCACACACCAAGAATGTCAAGCCCATAACCCATCCATGGACTCAGCAGAGCAAAGAGGATACATTTACCCCTACTTTTCACAAAACCAAGCCAAGAAGTAGACTGCAAAGTCTCGTCTTCTGACTCATTGGACTCGGTCCGTTCTACTTCTCCACGCGGCACAGCCTACCATTCTCATGAGGCAGCCCATCAGCCGTTTCAACCGTCCAAAACTCGCTTCCAACCGCAGTAGCAGCATAAAACACATCCTCGGGATCCCATTTGCGCTTCAATTCCAGCAGGCGCGCGTACTTGTCTCCGTAAAATGCCTGCTGGAAGTCCGGCTCCATGCGATCCGACTCGGCAAGATACGACCCTGCCCCTGGAGAGATATCTCTCCACCTTTGCATGTCACCGAAAGTGAATCCCTTCCTGGCCTCCATAATCTGGGTGGCGGTGGCGTTTGCAGACCACCTCACCGACTGGATCGCAAAGAGAATGTTTTCTCGCCAAGCAAGATTAACCGCATTATCCGGGTTGTCAGGGCTGGTGGCCTTAATGTTGAAACCTACAAAGACGTGGTTTGTCTCCAGTGATGTGCGGATGGCGTCGAAGGTCGCCTGCTTTAACTCTTCTGATTCAAAGTTTTTGCGCGGGAAGAGTCGGGAGCCACTCTGTACGTTGACTTTCTCAACTACCTCCAATGGGAAAAAGTCTTTCCAGGCAGGGTAAAACGAGTTGTACTCGGTGATATTCGGGTCAAATACGATGCCCAAGTCCTTGAGTGTAGTGAGCCAGGGGCCCAGTAGCATTTCAACCTCTTCGGCCGTCTTGTTCGGTGCGAAGAATGGCGTCATTTGGAACAGGAAATTGCCTGGGCTGGGGTTGTTGGGCAGCATGAGAAAGTATGCATACGTGCCGCTGTCTGCGTTGGTGATAAAGTGGTCAAAGTAGCTCCGCACACCCGCCCAAAACGTGTCGTTCGAAATGCCGTCTGCTGTCGAGAACTTGAAATTGGATGCCGTCGTGCGTACATCCGGAAATGCTTTGACTGTGACAGATGTTGCAACGCCAAAAGTAGACCCCCCTCCTCCACGAAGAGCCCAGAAGAGATCCGAGTTTTGGGTGTGGTCTGCCGTCACGAACTCCCCATCGGCTGTCACGACTTCGAACGCCAGAGCCTGGTCTGCGCCTGTGCCATAGATGGAGCTTAATGGTGAGTGGCCTCCGCCTTGGATGTATCCTCCCATCACCCCAACAGTCTGACAGGATTAGCTTATAAGCTTTCGTGGTCCCAACAATCACGTACCTGACCCTCTCCTCCCACGACGATCTTCCCGTATCTGTGTGCAATCTCATAGATCTCAAAGGCCTGTACGCCGGTACCGCACTTGAACGCCGGGCCAGAATAGCCCTCCACCTGATCAACGACTTCCTCAATGTACTCTACGTCTTTCAAGTAATGCGCCCAGATGCTGAGCGACTCTCCACCCCCCGACTTGCCCGAAAAGTCATGTCCTGTATTTTTCACCACAAGCCGGACCCCGGTATCTTTGGCGAACTTGACTCCCTCTTGGACATGTTTTGGCGAAGTTGCATTGATAACGTACCACGGAAACCCACCCATCGTGCAATTCCCCGAGTCGTAAATATTAGGCGGCAAACAGGTCAGGCCTTGGTACACCGGCGAGAGCATCTCTATTGGGTCGTTAAGGTGCGTGTATGAGTTGGTCCAGTTGGCCGACATCGTTTTGCAGAGCTCTGAATCATACTCCTGTCCCCGGTAGCACGCGGCAGCTTGGGGACGTGGCTTGAGAAGGCGGTTATCCACCCTCGCATTCAGAGATGCCCATGCTTCGTCTGATGGCCAAGCATCGTCTCCAGGGTATGTTTTACAGCGGCCCTCCGCAAAAGTAGTCCTCCAGAAAGTCAGTAAAATCAGGGTTAAAAGGTGGTTGGCCATGGCTGATTCTGTCAGAAGATGGGTTTTTTACGAATCCGCTTTATTTAGTGCAGGGCATCTCCCGCCTACTTATCGAAAAATCCCCATGTTAGTTCTCAAGTGAGGGGGTTGCCGACGTTGCACTGAAGATATGGTCCCCCCAGCCGAGATGGCGATCTTCCGCCGAGGGAGCGACTTCCTGTAGCATGTCAGAGTAGGATATGGATCTCTAACCCTGGCCCGTCGATTATTATTCGCCGGGCAATCTATGCTTAAGAAAAGCCGGCAGCGGACGTTGTATTGAACCCGCAGATCTTGCTTGCGGGGGAGTCTTGATTGTCCTACAGGGATCCAGTTCCAGGCCAAATTCTCTGCTGCAAGGGTGTCAATTTCCAGCAGTCCTTTCGAAAATAATAATCATGGATAGTTATATTCTGCGACATTAGCGAATGAAAACAGATTCCTAGCCCCAGGCATTTCATAGTGTCACTGATAATGCTGATAATGGAGGTACTACTTGTCTCTGAAGACTCATATGTATCTTGATTGGGCCCTATCACAAATTCATATTTTCTTAGCCATTAACCATGCCCGCCATGCATTCTTACCCCTGCTTACGCTGCCCCGGCCCCCCCAGCCCAATTCATGTTGCCAACATTGTTGGACATTGGATCGGCGGATAAAGCAGTCCACTGCATAGCCCTGAAATGAGACCCTCCGGACATCATGGCAGATTCTATATGCGGTTTCGGGAGCCAGAAATGGACACCAGAGTGCTTCTTCTCGACTCCATGATTGCAAAGAGTGTAAACATCAGCAACCTGCTTGTCGTGGTAGCTGTAAACGCTACCGATTCTCTCCACCTCTGCGTCGCTCAGACCGGTGATATAGACACCGTAGACGGGAGTCCCTCTATCAGGCACGAAGCCGTAGGGTGTTCCGGCGCGTTGTGCGAGCCATGTGCTTGGAGGATCGTATATTCTGGCGGAATGCCACTTGTAGTTGTCTCGAAGATGTTTTGGTGGGTCTGAGTTACCATGAATAGTCAGGAAGAACGTCTTTTTGACCCCTATACGGTCATATAGAAATACACCATTGTTGCGGGACATTTTGCCCTCGTTATGCGATAATTGTTTGCGATTGCGTCAGAGGGGCTGCCAAAGTGGCATTCGGTTATGGAAAAGGCCGCGTAATTTCGTGGTCGAACTGACAAAGTCACGTAGAATTGGATGTATGGATGGATACTTGATAGCTTGATGGTTGGGGAATGTCAGTATATTGAGAGTTGTAGTTGTATTTGTATCTGGATGTTCTCGAGGAGGTGTCGACTTTTGATTGGGAGTCTTTGTTCCAATTCTTGGCGTACTTGTTACGGAGTCCTTCGTGCTTGCCACTTTGGACTATTATACCTCATAGGTTCTTTGGTTAGGGCATGACCTAATCAAGGCAAGAGAGTTCATCAATCAACGGTACGTAGATCATGGAATCTTCAAGATGAGGAGGCAACTACGGTGGTCACCTGCAACAGCCACACATCATCCACGTGCGTTTCCGTCAGCCTTGCTTCACAGGCACGCCTCGCAGTAACTTTCCCTTTCTGATACTTCCACTCCCTAGTGCCTACTTCTTCCCTTCTACTCATTGCTCAGGATAAAATGTAAGGCTGGGGCAAGAGCAGCTGTATCATAGTATAGGAAGTACCAGGTGAATTAAAGATCTGAGAAAGAGGACACCCATCATTTCAGAGATGATAGGGATGCTATACTTTCGTTCTATGGTCCTTCGACGCGTAACGCGTTATTTTCGCGATTGTAGGAAATGGAAGATCGTGGCAAATCATGCTTTCGTATAGAGAATGCCCAGTTCAAGAGTAAAGTCTATGCATTCCAAGCCACTAATGTTAAAACTTTGATTTCAGCTTTTGAATATTGGTAGAACATGTCTGCGCGGGAGAAACTACATTCCTCCTTTGGTTGGATGACTCAGTTATCTAGCTTCATTTTGAGTGTGGTTCACTTAGGGCTAATTTGGAGTCTTGCACAGTTGGGTTTGAAATGATGTCAACGTACTGGCAGGCTTATATCACAAGATCATATTCATTCCGGACTTTGGTATTTTACCTTGAACTCTCCAACCGCCAAGCCAATATATCTCAAAGATAAGATTTAGATTTTCGGGCCGAGGAGGATAACCGTTGATGTGAGTGGACTCCAAAATAATGCTATATTTCTCTAGCCCTAAAAGATTTTGTCTTTTGCCTTGAATTAAGTTTATAGCCCTTCATTACGAGGCGGTACCAGCAAAGACGCTCCCACCTTTGCCTTGCAAGGACTTACTACAATCCCACATGATAAGCTCATGTTCGGGACTGATTGGAAGGCTCTAAATCAAACTTTTCTCATTTCTTGTGTCCCCACCGATACATTTTCATGTGCTTTTGGCCCTCACGCAGATGAGTCAAACTTGCCATTATATATCTCAAATACCACAAATCTGTGCATCCCCTATCATACCTGAACTCATCGTTATTCCAACGCGACGCACTTAACAGTCACATAGAGAGCCATTGAGAGACTCAAGGGCCCCATTATGCACAGCTACCATAAGTGCCTGTCAATGTAGCTAAATTCAATTTACATCTTCCTGTTACAAGCCTTGCCTGGCCTCCTCTTCCGTAGGCTTTCGTCCCCAAAGAGAATAGCTACATGTGGTCAGCAATCAGATGATGATTTAGGTGTGCCACTTCACTTACATCGGCCAGTATGCATGGATGTTCCGGTTGTTAATGTCTTTTCGAACATCAATCAGAAATACCTGCACCTCCTTGCTCGTCCACCCATGAATCCTGGTGAAGGGAGCCATGGTGTAGCCTTCGAATCCAGAAATCTGGTTCTCGTTATTCCATAAGCCGAGTTCCTTGTATTTCGCATGCCTCGGCCATGTGTTGGACGGCCATTTGAACCGGTTAAGCGTCACGTCGCGGAACCCGATCTCAATCATGATATCTCTCAACTCCGGAATGCTTTGAAAGGCACGGCCAATCTTTGCCATGGCATCGCCCAGCAGCCGCATGCACCTGGACAACGCAAGGTCCTCTGTGAGAGTGCCATCGTCAGAGGTGGGGAACACGTCAATCTCATTGAGCTCTAGGTAGCCGCCGGGTGCCAGTCCACTATTTGACACAGGTGTCAGTTTTCAGGTTGCTAAGGACAGTCTATGATGGGGATTAGGTGTTTGTCGGTGCTTACTCATAGCACTTCTGAAGATAACCTCTCCAGTCTCCTATGCTTGACGTCATTATCCGGCTGTGGATGTAGTCGAAGGGATGTTTAAACAGCCATGGCTCTTCAATGTCGTCGATTTCGAACTTCACGTTTGGGGGTACACTGAAATGGTGAGTTGGTTTCGCGGCAAATGATAGCTGTCAGGCGGGGGATGTACATACAATTGCGGTTGGATGGCGGAAAGATCAACCCCGAGAACCTCAATTCTCTGTTAGTTACGATTGAAATTATTAGAAAATCAATCCTTACCTCGGCCTCGGGATGCTCATCGCCAAACTCAATGGCCCAGATACCGGTACCGGTACCTACGTCAAGGACGCGTTTCACCCGAGAGCCTATGGTATTTGGCGGGGCAGTCCCCAGTCTGTTGTCAAATGTAAGAAGGAAAAGGTTATGTTGCAAATCTGGATACGTTAATACCGCTCGCTAGTTGGCCTCATGGAAACGGAATTACCTAGTCTATCGTTTTCTGTCTCGTCATTGGGATAGTTGTATTCTATGCTGATTAGATTTTTGGGGTGTCACAGCCACCAATAGATAAATTCAAGCTTACTCCCATCTTTATATTTATGGTAGGTCCTGCCATTTTCGTTTCTGTATTCGAGTATTGAACTGCTTATGCTTGTCGTCGATGATGCGATGCTCTGGTGAAGGAGTCAATGTGAGAATCATATGCTACACCACCACGAGCCTCGCTAACGGATACGTACACCATAATCTGACGCAAAGTCGTCCACATTCTGTGTGTTTTCAATTGTTAGAGTGAGGCACAAAATACGAATAATTGTGTAGTACCTCTTCAGCGACTAGCTCGCCCTCTATCGGGTCATTTTGGACTTGGGCCTCCGGGCTTCCAGCAGATGAAGATTTGCCGGGGCTCGTAGGTCGAGCCATGGTCGTGGTACAGCCTGCTGGGAGATTTGTTAAAAATTCTGTCAGTTGTAAAAGATCAATGTCTTTGAAATGCCATATCCTCGGGTCCGGAAAGGGCAATCAATGACCCAGATTACGCATTGTTTGCTGCACCTCGCGGTTTATCTGTCCATGGAAGATGACATGATCGATCTACTCCCGTTATTACCCCTCATTTCTTGTGGAGATGATCATGCAGTATTGTGGCAAGTAGTCGCTAAGCGACCAATATCTCCCAATGATGCTGCTTGTTTAAGAGACAATGTCTTGGAATCACAGACAAGTCATCGTACAGATCGCCCAAAACGGGACGATTTCCCGCAGGGACTTTTGTGCTATTGGTCAGACCTTCTGATATATTTCTTTTTTGTTTCGGGTGCCGATAACAGCAGACCTACTTATACGAATTTGACAACAGAGTGAGATTCCGGTTCGTCCGAAGTAACATGCGTCCTGCCGTGTAGCCCGGGTGACAGGGGTCTACCTCACTCCTATGGTCGGATTTACTATGGAAGACCATTAACGTGCATGTGCTCCGATTTCAAGTCTAAAGGAGTAAGCCGTTGCCACTCTACTATGTATTGAATTTGTGAAATATGAGGCTGTCTGAAAATTCGCCAATCGGTCCATTACAAAGTGGCTGGAATTCTTCACATATTCTCAACACATCACAATGCTCCAACCGCGCAAATAGGTTTCAACTTCTCCGAGGACCTATGGAAAATCTGTGAGAACTCGATCCATCTCAGCCTTCTTTCAACGTGGAGGCAGTCTGCAGATGTGTATATCTGCTTTTGATTGGTGAGCTGAGATAAATAGGACCACAGCCAAAAAAGCATCGCAAGCCGGCTAACCTACTATCTTAGGGCTCATCAGCATAGGTTACCTTGCTTCCGCCCATAATAAACGGAGTAGACGCGTGACTCTCTAGGATGTCAAGGCATTTTAAAACTGCGAAGCTCGGATTATCTCTGCTGTAACCGAATCCAAACGAGATCAGCTAATTACTGTATTCTTACATGCCTTTTTCAACTCCATTGCTACTCTATCATAGAATCCCAATTTTCCATTATCGTACGCTCCATACGAGTACGCCAATGCCTGGTTTAGGTTATTACTAAGAGAGTTTGAAAGCAAGCTGTCTTCACCTTCCACTCTCTTCACCATCTCAACATAGTCTTTCCGCTCCCGCCACATTTCCTTCACAAATTCATCAAGGGGTTGCCCATCTTGGTCGTAGTCCTGGGGCAAGCCAAACGATGGAGGCATGACTTGAAGAAACTCGGGGTACGCAATGAGTCCCCAGGGAACCGTGCATGCCCCCTCCCAATCGATGATTCCTGTTACGATGAAGCTGGCTTCGTCGACCATGATGTTACTATGGAGGAAATCATCATGGCATAGAGGAAATGGTCCCTCGTTGCGAAAGGGAAGATGTTTAGCCATGTCTTTGATCTGCGATGGGAACTCGTCGATAATTTGGAGCGTTTCTTCTGCTGTGATTGGGCCTCTCTCCATCATTTTGGTGATTGTTTCCTTGTCGAGCTTGAACTTGACCTTATCAGCCCATGCCTCAAAAAAGGCCGTCGCTGTATCGAACGGACCGCCGATCCCCGGAATAGGACCCGACTCGAATACACCATCATCCCTTCGGATAACAGTTCCAATCTTTGGGAGTCGCAGTGAAGTCATCTGGACCTGGTACAGTAAGTTGCTATACAGTGAGGTCAAGAAGGTGGGCTACTAAGAACAAACATGACACTCGGCAACAGATCGATAGAAGGGTTTTCGATACTCCACGGGTATCACACCACGGTGTAATTTGTGACCTCCGAGAGCATCCATAGCAACGATGCCGGGAAGAATTTCGATAAGCATGAAGGCAGATTTTGCAGCGTTGTTCACTTCTGTGTCATATGCAAAGATTCGGGGTACCCGTAAGCTGGAGGCCTCTTGAATGAATTGCATGGTTGCAATTTCATTTTGCAAATTGGTCCAAAAGGAATTATATAACGGGCCTCTTATAATGGGAATCCGAGCTGCCCATCGTGTCTTGTCAGAAAACTCAAGTTGACGGACAATGTTGTTGAGTCCATTTGCGACCTGATCCAGAGCAACACATTCCAGGCTGCAGTTGGCACCTGAGGCAATTCGGCACAGCTGATCCCAGTTGACTTGGTTGAAACAAGAAATAGTTTGTTGATCGTTGTTCTGTAGAAATTCCTGAACTGTTGTCCAGGAGGCTGAGTCGGTGGCCATGGGTAGCGTGTTACTTAAGAAATCGATCAAATACTTCAATGGTTCCAGCAAGTAAAAGAGTAAGAGGGGTGCTGTCCGGGTCTATATAGGAGGCGATTGTGAAGGGCTGAACCCTTGAAGAGGCGTACGGCGATCGTAGACTGATACCCAATGAGGATATGCGCAAGCGTGTGTACTTGATGCAGTCGAGGCTACAAGTATAGCAACCAGGTCACACAAATGAAGGCGGTGTAGGACTGTCTAATTTTAGAAGCACATCTGAAAATTACGATCGAAGGAATACGTGCTGCTTCTTCTATTAGTTGGTATTACTATGAAGAACTAGGTAATGAAAAGTAGTAAAATGTTTGAAAATTCGATAGCAGCCTTTTGTCAATCTTCTCGTGGTAAGAAAAGTCAAGTCTGAGAGCTCCAAGGACTCTCATACTAGAAAATGGAGATAAGATGCCACTTCTGTCCCTCATGCTGCGTGACTGGAATGGCCATCTTTCCGGGCGTGACGGAAAGCCGTCTGATAGCATCTTCAGCCTTTTCCTCCAAGCGCCACCAAGTCTTTTTTTCAAGTGGCTCATAGGACCGCGAAGGGAGATCCCTTACCTTCCCGTCCATAAAATGCGACGACACAAAAGCTGAACCGCAACGACGAAACACGCCGCTTGCCTCGTCCACTAATTTTAACAACACACCGCAGATCTTGTTGACCTCTTGACGGATAGGCCATAGCCGTCCTGTCAGCTTGGCTTCTATTTCCACAACGGGCACAAAAAAACAGTTTCCTTCTTCTGGTGTGTCCGTTTCGCTGTCTAGGGAGACATTGAGAGTCATGTTCTTCGAGTCCGTAGCAGGCAGAACGTAAGATTTCTCACATTCCTTGCTGGGTAATACAGGAATCAGCATGCAACGCATTCGGATGTGCTGTTCTGCATTCTTTTTCTCTGTCAGTGCGGCTTCCTTGTCGATAATCTGCGCCAGGGGAATGAAAATATTGAAACGACTACCAAGATGATATATTTTGTGCTCCCACCTCCAGCCCTCACCATGTATCGTATTCACCGCGCCATCTATGGACATCCAAGACCATGAGGGAGCCAGGTTGTTGCGTATGCTTGGCTGTTTACTCCACCAGCACAGCTGGATTTCGAAGCCTTCACCTACTAAGCCGAAACGTGTTTCGGTTTCGAGTTTCTCAGCGACAACCTCTGCTACTCCAGCGAGGGCCACGAGCTTCTCTGACTGAATCGTTACCTGGCAGGCCGTGTAAACCTCAATAATCCTGCCCCATATCTGGAGTATTTTGGTCTGATCATGAGGAAACTGTTGCAAGTTGAAGAGTCTCTTTGGTTGTAGCCATGGCGGTATCATCCCGTGGTTCCAAACATATGCTGTCTCTAGCGGCGGGTCATTCGAATACCATGGTTCCCCTTCATACGGAAAGGCCTCGGTTGCTGTCCACTCATTGCAGTCCCAAATAATCAGCTCTGACGTGAAGTGCGCGATGCGTGGCGATAGTAGGCGTTCTTGTGTAGTCCAGCCTGATGCATTTAGAGACGCTAACTTGACCTCCCTAATCCATTGGTCTCGAACATTGAGTAGTTCCGGCACAGCTTCGATAAGTCCTTTAATAGGTCCGTTTTCAATATTGATTACTCCGGAACTCATTAGATCCGGATTGCGCGGTGTGAAAAGTCCCTGGTGGGGATTCATCGCGTGTGTCGCTGCCAAGTTTAGTAATGCACTTTGGTGTATTTTCCTCCTTGCCTTCTTCTGAGCCTCCCGATCTTTTTCTGAATCTTGGATGGCGCAAAGTGATTCGATCCAGATATACTTGATTCCCAAGAAGCAGATGACAGTCAGAGCATCGGCAAATGTCACAGGTAATTGTTTGGTAGGGATGCCCCCCATCAATAGGTTCAAGTTTCCAGGGCTTTCAACGCTGCCTTGAGTACATTCCATGACGCTGCTTCCGTCCCGATTATAGGTCAAGGTTGCATAGGGTCCTTCAGGCGAGGTTTCCTTCGTAATTATAAGGCGTGTTTTCGTCTTGTCCACTTGAAGAAGGCGGGTAGGATACCAAGTTGGCTCAACTGTCAAAAGCCGGCATTGCTCATGAGTAGTCTGACACTTATAAAGGCAATCCTTCACAAACTTCAGGGCTTTATCTGAACCAGTACTTTGGCTCGTCCAACTCGACATCAAGCCTGGCTGATCTGCTGTTGATGGGTCAGTCATTACGCGCTCTAACTTTGCGGGATCTGGCGCTTACCCGACTCTAGTCTAATGATTCGGAAGCTGCCACCGATCGTACGGCGTTGGAAGGGTTCACTGCTGGCCGTTAGGCTTACACTTCTCTTTCCGGTTTTCGTATCAACACTCAAGCAGGATGATAAAACGAGTCTGCAGTCGTTGTCTTCCCAGAACCCGAGTTCTGTGGCGCAGCCCATACGTTCGCCGGTCAAAAGTGCGTGACAAGAGGCACAATCCATGGCACTCCGCCGTATTGTTGAGAGCGGCACAGTCCTTTTGCATTCGAACTCCCACCGATCTGCTACCTGTTTTGGAGGCTGCTGTTGTGGCTGAAATACTAGAGCTTGTCTGAGTCTGCCCAACCATCCTTCCTGTTGAGGCTGGGTTTCCAAGACTTTTCGACAAAACCAGCAGAACATACTGTGTTAAAGGCTTGGGATTTAATGACAAGAATTATTTTGAACTGCAAAAATTACTTGACAGGCGTGTAGCACTGACTTGAGTTTGAATGACGAGTAGTTAGAGGGATTTTGCGAAGAATCTCTGTGACGTCTCCATGTTTTTGAGTCAGGTTTAAATAATCAAGGCCAGTGTTTGCTTGTAGGTGATATTCGAGACTTTGGGTGTCAGCCGCCACGCTTGAGTTCAGCCGTGCCGCATAGCGCCAACGGTGGCTTCTATCGCACTCGTTTGCAGATTCTACTACTTAACGCGGCACTGCGCCTCAAACCTTGCTAATACCAGTTTGCAGTCCTCATGTTAGACGGCAGTACACCCTAGCTAAAATGTAGAATGCCTTGTCAGCGGTGCTGAGCAGTGCGGCAAGGCAGATTATGCCACAGACGCAAAGAGGCATCGTTACGAATAGCGAAGGAAGCTAGACACAATGCTGCACACGATTCGAGCTATGTAAGATAGTCAGAATGCAGAATACCGCGTTTGCCTTCAACCGGCGGGCGAACACAAGCCCAGCGACCCTTGACGTGCCATGACAGTGGCACACTGCTTTCGAACGACCCAGCTCTTGTTTTTAACATAAACTTCGGGGTATCATTGCTCTATCTATCTTTTTAAACAAGCCACTTCTCAGCCTTGTTGGGTATCAATCTCCTCAGTACATCAATCTGTCGCGCCTGCGCCTTGTGCTTCAAGTCTGTAACTCCTCGTCGGTCCGTCCGTCGCTGGCCGTTCGCGTACACCACAGTGAAATCGGGAATCTTCTCGCCGGGCTTAATGACTGTCATGGGCGAAATTGTGCAGTTCTGCGGCTGTTAGTCTCGCAACTTGATGTAGGGGGCGGTCGCGCAAACCTTGCCGATGACAGCCCCATGACCGATCCGAGATCGGACACCGATGACCGTGTCTGTACCAATTTCCGTACCTCCCGCCTCAACCACGGTGCCAACCTCTATCGTCACGTAGTCTCCAAGGGAAACCCCTCCGCTAGCATCGTCGTTGCCGAGTGCGCCAATGTGTGTTCGTTCGTGTACAATGCAGCGACGGCCGATAAGAATGCTACCGTTCGTGGACTCGAGCTTTGACCGGGGGTGGAGCACGCTTTCAGACTGAATTGTGACTGAATGAGTTCCCACAAGAATCGCGCTGTCGGAGACGGTAAGGGACGAGGAGAAGTTGACTGGTGGTCGTGGGCCGGTATTAGAGACGGCGGGCAGCATAGAATGCCGCTTGTTAGACGACATCTTGAGGTGTGTACTGGATGCTCCGGCCCGGTAAATTTCTAGACAAAAAACAGTGAAAGACGCATTATTGTTACCGTCGTAACAAAGGCAAGCTTGTATGCAGAACACCGAGTGCCTGACGTCCACGTATTTAGTGATTGCGTGGTGACAAGTTGTAATCGTGGGGCATAGATCGATGTTCCTCCTTGAGCTTCCCCCGGTGCATAACCCCGATTAATGCATCCCGAGTAGTCACGTGATGCTCATGCTGACTAAACGACCCGCATTGGCCAATCAACGCCAACAGGAAATAAGCATCATCGACCTGGCCCAGCAGAGCTTCGCTTCCCACGACGACGAATTCCTCCGACCGAACACCCTCCACATCCACCCACCCCCCTCCGCTCTCAACGCCCACGATGGCTACTCCGAAGCGGTTGCCCGCGCAGGCCGCGCAGGCCGCCCGAAACTTCGCGACAGTACGAACCTATGGCGGCCTCAAGGACCAGGACCGTATTTTCCAGAATCTCTACGGCCGGTTGCCCCCGACCCTGGCCTCGGCGAAGAAGATGGGCGATTGGCACAAGACCAAGGAGATCATTCTCAAGGGTCACGATTGGATCATCAGCGAGGTCAAGGCCTCCGGTCTGAGAGGACGCGGAGGTGCCGGTTTCCCTTCAGGATTGAAATGGGTAAGGTCGCCACCACTTGGATTTTGCGAATTATTTGCCGCGGCAATCAAGGGAAGGGAATTGGGCACAGTATCACTGACATTGATAACCAGTCATTCATGAACTTCAAGGATTGGGACAAGGACAACAAGCCGAGATACCTGGTCGTCAACGCCGATGAGGGTGAGCCCGGAACGTGCAAGGACCGCGAGATCATGCGAAAGGACCCCCACAAGCTCATCGAGGGATGCCTCGTCGCCGGCCGAGCCATGAACGCCACCGCCGCCTACATCTATATCCGTGGAGAATTCGTCCACGAGGCCGCCGTTCTCCAGAACGCCATCAACGAGGCCTACCAGGACGGCCTTATTGGCAAGAACGCCTGCGGCTCCGGCTACGACTTCGATGTCTTTATCCACCGTGGTGCCGGTGCCTACGTCTGCGGAGAGGAGACTTCCTTGATCGAGTCCCTCGAGGGCAAGCCCGGAAAGCCTCGTCTTAAGCCTCCTTTCCCCGCCGCCGTCGGTCTCTTCGGCTGCCCTTCCACCGTCGCCAACGTCGAGACTATTGCCGTCGCCCCGACCATCTGCAGACGTGGTGGCAACTGGTTTGCCGGATTCGGCCGCGAGCGTAACCAGGGCACCAAGCTCTTCTGCATTTCGGGTCACGTCAACAACCCCGTCACCGTCGAAGAGGAGATGTCGATACCCCTGCGCGAGCTCATCGACAAGCACTGCGGTGGTGTCCGCGGCGGCTGGGACAACCTTCTCGCCGTCATCCCCGGTGGTTCTTCCACCCCCATTCTTCCCAAATCCGTCTGCGACAACCAGCTCATGGACTTTGACGCTCTCAAGGACAGCCAGTCCGGTCTCGGTACTGCGGCCGTCATTGTCATGGACAAGAGCACCGACGTTGTCCGCGCCATCAGCCGTCTCTCCCACTTCTACGCCCACGAGTCTTGCGGTCAGTGCACGCCCTGCAGAGAGGGTAGCAAGTGGACCGACCAGATCATGAAGCGCTTCGAGCAGGGCCGCGGCCGGCCACGCGAGATTGACATGCTCCAGGAGCTTACCAAGCAGGTCGAGGGCCACACCATTTGCGGTATGTTTAATTCTAGTACCTGGATATTTGACATTATAGATGACATTTGGGAACTAACGTTGTTGCGTCTACAGCTCTCGGCGAGGCTTTCGCCTGGCCCCTTCAGGGTCTTATCAGACATTTCCGTCCCGAGCTCGAGAAGAGGATGGAGGAATACGCCCAGCAGAACGGCGGCGCCAATGCGCTGGCCGGCGGCTGGGAGCCCGATGCCCGGGCTAAGGGCAAGTTGATTGCGCCGGGACAGTAAAAGGCTAGGGTTTCGCATGATTGTAGACTCGCGCTGAAGGCTTGTATATATTAGTAGTACATTGTGATAGAGCCCGAACGCGCCGGAGTTCCTTTGTTCAGCACCCTGGTTTGTACTCTATCAGCAATGTGATTTCAATTTGTTAAAAATATGTTTCCTCTGTTTGCTCTGTTTGAATCCTGCGGCAACGCTTCATCAGATATGGTGGAATTGGCCTATGTGAGTGCATACGGGCTATCGGGATGCATGCCACGACGTTCACTGTCCATTGCATCAGGGCATTCTTCAAGTCTCTCCCTGTTCGGCGTTAAGCTAAAGAAACAGCCAAAGAGACCACCGTCCATCCAATAGGACGATTGGATTTCTCAGCGCTGGACTAGGATCCCCCCCTCCTCTCGGTCCACAGATCCGGACACCGCACAACCTCAAACTCGGCTCAACCCGGTCCAAAGACCCTCCGACCACGGCGGGGACTTCTTTGTTGTTCATCAACAACGTCCGCTCCTTCGAGTCCCCAACGTACATAGCATCCTTTACAATTTCAACGAGGGAAAAGGTTGATACCCGGGAGGTATCAATTTGTTGTGAGATTGCGACTGTGTATATTGCTCTTTCTTGCCTGTCCGCGGCATCCTTTTTTCATGATGACTTCTTTCAAATATGACCAGTTTGTCGCTTTCGGCTCGGATAGCGGTGAGTTTTGAATTTCTTATATCGAAGCAAATGTTTCGATGAATTCTGAGTTGCATGATTCCCGCGATTGAATCTCATCTCCGGCTCTCATGAGACATGAGGACATCTCACTCAGAAAAAATAAAATAAAAAAAAACACAATAATAAATGAATCCAAAAAACTAACAAACCCCAGCCGGCCTCGAACGCATCCTCCGCGGCCTACAAGCCCTAACGGCGATTCTCTCCGCCATCCCATCCCTCCTCACACTCATCGTCCTGGCCCCCGAGCCCATCCTCGAAGCGCTGGGTCCCGTCCGCGGACACCTGAACCTGACCCGCCGCTTCATCCGCTTCTTCTGGTTCCTCAACTCCTTCGGCACGTCGTACAACCTCTACTCCTCCATCTCGCACCCTTCACCTTCATCCACGCCGGGCAAGAAGAGTTCAGGCGTCGTCGGGGTGGAGACATGGCTCGAGATACTCAAATTCACGCTCCTGGGCCTGTACGGCGGCCTCGAGTCCGTCACGCTGCCTGACCTCCTCAACGTCCCGCAGATCGAGTTCTTCGGAGCTGAGCGGACCAAGGCTCTCAACGTCGAGGCGCAGCGGTTCTGGTTTCTCGCCCTGTTCTGCGGGATCGTGGGGAACCTCGTGCGCATGCTGAAGGCGTTTGCGTATGCGCCTGTTCCGCAGCATGGGGCCGGGTACGGCACGGGTGAAGGGCCCGAGAAGAAGAAGGATGGTGAGGGGGAGAAGTCTTCTGAAGAAACTGACGCCAGTGAGAAGAACGGCGCGGGGGAAGCTGGGGAGGAGAAGGAGAAGCCGGACTGGGAGGCCGAGCGCGCGCGGTTGAGGGCGATCGTCGTCAAGAGGCGCGAGGAGAGGAAGAGGTGGCGGGGCCAGGTCGCCGTCACGGTAAAGACCCTAGGCCGCAAGGTCATTTCCGACTCGCTAGACTGTCTGATTCCCGGTGTGATTCTGGGGTGGATTGATATTAGTCCCGGCGCGGTGGGCGTCGCCATGTTCATCACGACCTTGATGACGAGCAAGGATATCTGGGAACGCTGCGGCGCTGTCGTTGCGGCGAGGAGAGGTGGCATGTAGAGACTGGGGGAAAACACATAGACGGGATGGGAATGGTTTGAAATATCTTTACTGAATCCTTAAAGATAGAACTATAGACGAACGAACTTGGGTGTAACGCCCTGCGCGATGCCAATGATGAAAACTCATATCCTCGTACAACCGCCCGCTGAATCCACTTGCCCTCACTGCTGTCGATCAATTTTCCGGCGTTCATGATATGGTGGTTAAACGTTATGTATACAATAGGTCCCGAACTTCGTTCACATTGATTCATTCACGGAAAATGGTCCAAGATCAGCACGCCCCTTTGGGGGGCTCCTCGGGCGAACCTGTATTATCTCCACACAAGAACAGCCTCACGCGGCAACAGACATGGCAGGGTGCGCTCTGTCAGGGGTCTGCGGGAGACGGATGCGGTACTTGGGGGAAGCGATATCATCCTCCTCCTCTTCATCATAGGACACATGGATCTTGGCCCTCTTGAGAATAGTAAACTGCTGCGCGACCGCAATAATAATCTCAAGACCACTATTCCACACAGTCAGCATATACTACACCCCATAACATCCCCCCTCACCCCGAGACAACACGGGGGCAAAGAAGAAAGGAAAAAAAAAAAAAAAAGAGGGAATACTCACGTAAGGACACCCGCCAAAGCACTAACCGCCCTCGCCAAGGACTGCTGCCAAAACAAAGCCCAAGGGTCGGTTCCCGAGATCATGGCGAGAGTAAACATGAGCACGGCAAATAACAGGTCGGACGCGGTGTAAATCAAACCACTCCGGCTAAGTCTCTTGCCCGCATCGCCCGGGACCCAGCCGAGCAGCGCGTCGCCATCTCCGCCATCTTGGTTGTCGCGTCTCCGGCCCGCGAAGATGCACTTGACGCAGCCGAGGTCTAGGGTCAGATCCTTCTTTGGCTCACTCCTCCTCCGTCGATGGCTGCCTTGCATGAGCAGCGCAAAGGCCTGCCAGGATAGCTGGGCGAACATCAGGAATATGAAGAACCCGACGCCGGGGTTGTGATTCGTGTAGTCGCTGAAGAGCAGAACCACCAGCGCGATGGAGAAGCCTATGGCCAGGAGGCGGATTACGGCAACGGTGTTGACGATGAATTTGGCAACGACGCGCGGAGACGACCCGTCGTTAGACGAGATGGAGTGGTGAGACAGCGAGGCAGGGCGGTATACCCCCGGGTTCAGCGGCTTGGGTTGTGCCGCCGATGTGCTCTCGACGACCGGCGTGGCCGGGGCCGGGACCGGGGAGTAAGCAACGGGCGAGGTCATTGTTCTCAAAGTCCCCAGGAACTTTGTCGAGGAGAGCTCGTGGTATATGTCGAGTGTGGGTGGCGCGTCCTGGTAAGCTGGGCAGGGCTTTGCTTCTAACGAGACAAGCATCGAGAGAGGGCGTCACTTTGGGTCAACCGAGGAGGTCGACTTGATTTATACGATTGCTCACCCCCATTTCACGGAACAGGCTTGTTTCGTGAAGAGGGAGAAAAAAGTCGTGGTAAAACAGTAACAGTCCAGTCCACCCCCTCCCGTTGGAGCAATAGGGGGGGGTACCCTACGCCGCTTCGCCCAGTCCAATCCATTCAACACCCACCCCCCTCCCTCTCCAAAAGCTGAACCATAACAACCCACTTCCCTTTCCGGATTGACTGCTTCACTATGCCGTCTCCTACCTCAACTCCCTGCCGAAACATGGAGACTGAGAGCCACGGATGCGCCCGGCTACGGTATGCCAAAAATCGTTTAGAGGTGTTGGCCGTCCAGTGATGTTGTGCGGAATCTCGGTGCCTGGAGGATATCACCCCTGATCCAGATTGAAACCCCTGTCGCGACTAGCATGGATGGTCATTGGCTTGTTGGTGCGGTGCGGAGACTGGCGGCGGCGCGGCGCATCCCCCTCGTCTTTTCTGTTTGCGGGGATTGAGAGCACGTCGCTATGGGAGATGGTGGAAGCGAGTGGTGTGGTTGACAGCAAACAATTAGGTTTTTGCATCATGATGTGTGTAAAGTGATCGACGGCCAAAGTTCCATCATCTTGTGCTCCGCCTTGTCCGTGGGCGTTGCGGAAACGTTTAAGAACGTTCGCGTCCGTTGCTGCTCAGCCTCGTTGAAAGTCATCTGTAACTCCCAAAGGAATCAATACTGTAGATTGTAAAGGCTGAATATGTGAAGATCTAGAGATCCCCCCGGACATTCGTAAGACTTGATATCATCAGAAATGTAGACATTACTGCTTCCAAGCAGCAGAGATGAAAACTAGAACCAAGTTTCGCTTCTATATCCTCGCATTCTTCACGGCTTGAACATGAAGAAAAAAAAAAAAACAGCTCCTAATCCCGAAACATAATATCCACCTAAACAGAAGTACATCGCTCCAGTGGATGTCATCAAGCTTGCTTCGAAAATCGCCGAGTGGTATCTTTGCTCATGCTGTCCCAAATCATCTCGTCATAACCAAACAATTGCTGCCATCTACTCTGCGCCAACACCTCTTCGTCCAACCTCGCGGACGGCTTCTGCCGATAGTTATGCACGTTTCAGGGCAATTAATGCTGCTGCCTGGCCCCAAAAGTTTTCGGGTGCTTCGATACGACCAGAGCTGACGCAAGCATTGCATTGCTGTCCGCTGCTCACTTCTTCAACACGCACACGAACGGCTCCTCGCCGCCTATGAGCGTCGACCGGTTACCCGGTAGCTCCCAGTCTCGACCGAAACTTTCCAACCGTCGTTGATCAGGGCGGCGATAACACCCTGTCTCAGTCTCGAGACTCCTCCGGCACTGTGGAGGCCCCGGCCCGTAACAATCGTGAAGCCTTCTTGCGCCTTCCTCGAGCGATACTCGCCTAGGTTGTTCCACCAGTCCCAGGTGCGTTCTCTTGCAATACGAACACCGTCTGCCACTTGTATGCCGTGGAGATCGATTGCGTTCCTGTTGCTAGTGCTAGCCACCTGTATGTCAGCAGCTTCACTCTTGGCCTTTGCAAAGCTGCGTGCCTCTTCGCGGCCACGCTCAGCAAAGAATCCTGCTGCCTGTCTGTACAAGTGCCCTTTCTTGTATACTTGACCAGCTGTACTAAACGAATGAGTGCTAGCTTCGCGATAGACACCAGCAGTATCCATGGCTTGTTTGTAAGTGCGTGGTGCCAAGGTGGGGCTGTTGATAGACCTGCCAGTAGGGTTGACTGACATCTTCGGTGACGCCGCCCTCTGCCAGCTTTCAGAGGAGCCATCTACCTCTTCGTTTGCCAATGGAGCGAGTCTGTAGTCGATGTCGAGCCTCCTAGCTGGCAACTTGCCAAAGTAGCGGTTGAGCAAGGCGGCGACTTCTTCGGTCCAGTGGTGGTCACCCGCAGTAACTTCAACTAAGGGAGACAAGAGCTCTTCGGGTACGTGCCGATACTGCTTCTTCAATTCCTGTACATGCTGCTTCCCATGGTCGCCACCGCTGGCCTCGACCACGACGCCTTGCTTAATGTAGCGTTCCAAAAACTCGACAATGGTGCGTTCCACAGATCCCCTGAGGGAGTCAAAGACGTCAGATACTTCATCAAACGGCAAGGCAAGCTTTTCTACAATGAAGAGGATCTTCTCGGTTCCTGCATTGCATCAGCTTGCTGGTCGGAGGGTCAAGGTCGCCAAGCAACCACTTACTCTCGTGGTCTTCGATCCCACCAGAGCCTTCATGAACGCTACTTGAGCTTGAGGACAAGGCGGTGGACAGATCTTTCCTTTTCTTTCCTTTGCCCTTCTTCTTGCCGGATGTCTTTGATAGATGCTCCGGCTGGAAGAAGCCATCGACACCCTTTGGCCTTTCGCCGATGGACTCGAGATATTGTAGGTTCAGCAGGGTCTCCAGAGCCACTTGAAAATCACCCTGGGCTTTCTTAAGAGCAAAGCTGATGTCATGAGATTTCAAGTCCGAAAACATGGCCTGGAGCTGAGATAGCTTCTCCTGGTCCGAATCACCATCAAAAGTCTTGATGCGCGGAACATCATACTCAGGTTCCTCTGGGGGCGGGGGACTCGTGAACCTGGTCCCTGAGGAATCGGAATCCCTCAGGTGAAAGCCATCAGATACGTTGGTCGAGCTGTCCTTCGCATCGGAGGCAACGTCGTTGGAGCCAACGACATCAGGAACGCCGCTGGCATTGAAGCCAGTTGCTTCCTCAGCCAGGACATTCTGAGCAAGGCTGTGCAGGGTGCCCTTGACAGTGTCAAGTTGGGCAGCATCATCCAGGTTGACTTCACTGGCGATGGCGATAACGAGTGTGGAGTCCAAGAGAGGAAACTCGCCCTGGAATGTTGTTAGTCATGCTACAAGGTTCGACTGTTTCCAGTTGGAGTGGGATGGTGTCATTTGCGACACGACCATCGGAACGCGCCCAGCAAGCCAAGAAAGCAAATACTCACCAATAAGTCTTCAAGTTTCGAAGATGCCATTGGTCAGAATCAGGTTTCAGGGTTCGAGGTATTGTCGTGAGATAAACCAGAGGGGCACACTAGTCATGCTGCAAAGAAGAAGAAAATTGCCAGAGATGTTTCGCTGATGGGTCTGGTCGCAACTACAACCAGGGTTGAGGCCGGTCAAAGTCAATAAGAGACGGCCAAGATGACGATGTATAAACGTGGCAAGGCTGAAAAAGCACTGATGAACGTATAGTGCACGCAGAACTTTGCTTTGCGGATCAAGCACCTGGAGACAAGTGTCGATGTGGTGATAGTGATGCGATCGTGAATGACGCACTGCGGGGCTTTTCTTTTTTTTCTTCGTCTCTCTGCTGGACAGAAGAGGGGTCGAAAATAGAGAAATCTATGGTACTAAAACAACCAGAGTTGTGCTCTAGGGAAAGGTTGATGAATCATGGGCGGTCGTTGAAGTCGGTATGCATATTCCAGAATCCTGAATTATGCTTATGAAGGAACAAAAAAAAAAAAAGTCAATGACTCTGATGGTTCCAGAAGGATGGGTCATACGCCGTCACTCGTGTCACAGTTGGTCGCCGCCCTAAAAAGACCAAAGGGAAAAAAGACGTTACGGTGTTCAAACAGAGACAGAGAGACAGGAGGAAAGCCCAGTGGCTGAGGTCATCGGTGGCACGTGCATGAAGATTGAATCGGGTGATCTGTGGCTGAATTATGGCTGGTGTAACAGAGTCAAAGTGGGGTTCCTTTCTGTTGTGGCGTTGTGGCTGCCGAAACATTTCTATCCAATTACCGAGCCGCGAATATCCTTCGACAGCGACACCTTCTCGGAGCAAATGTATTGTCCACGTACCGCGGTACGACGTCAGAGTCTCCACTTTTATGGGACTTCTCTAGCGTCCGCGGGTTCCCTTTCCGGAGACGCATTGTGAGGTGTCTCTTTCCTTCACTGCCGCTCCGGTTAAGCCTGCATAATGAATGTACCTAATCAGTACGTACACCATTATACCATATACCCAGCTACCAAGGTCTAGACTGACTATTGGATCAGTGGCATTCCCAAAAAAAAAAAAAAAACAAATGCAGAAATGGGTATGACTAGGACACCGATCCAAACAGTCCCCATCACCGGCGATCAGGCTCTATTTCTAGGTATACTTACGGCAGGGAAGTCCCCATCACAATGCCGTACGCTAGCGCCTACTTGGTCCGCTGCCAATGCGATGCGATGCTCCATGCTCGTTTCACTGCCCACCGGGGCGACAAAGACACCTCTCACAGCGCCTCCCACGTCTCTATTGTCCCTCTTACGACGTGGTAGGTCCGATCTTTTGACCTGCAGGAAGCCAAGTCACCGGATGTAAAGACAATAAAAAAACCTGCTGCGAGATGATGGGGCGGGAGTCCACGCCGGCGAGACATTGCCTATAGCTAGCATTCGTCAGCGGGAAAGCCAAACTCGAACAAGCTCATTATCTCCTCCGCCAGACCATCTCACCTTAACTCCATCCCCCTTGCATGAGTTGAGTACATAATCGTCCTAATACGGATAGAGGCTCAGTGGCTCACTCATTCCCATCCAACCCCGGAGGCTATTACTACGAAGTAGGGACAGGATAAGGCAAGGCTGCATGTGCAAGAACAGGGATGAACCGACACGGCCGGCCGAGGATCCCGACGACAACCATCAAAACCCCAGAACTGACGCGGCCAGATCTTCTCATCCGTTGTCCCATCTTTCAGAATCAGGCTGTGTTTTAACCTCGCTTTTAGAGAGGTCGCATGTTCAACAGACTCTCTTTAGCAATATCTGCTGGCCGAACCGACCGACGAACTGAACACCAGGCTGGAGCCAACCTTATTCCACCGCTCTTCAACCTCTCTCTTCTCTCCCATCTGGCCACCCCATTACGTTCAGGTCTCTAGAATTCAGACGGACCTCGCCCGTTTGATAGACTCCTCTCTACTCGCCCCTCGTTGATTCGTGGCGAGCATCACACGGCCTGGGCGCAGGCCTGCTGCATGGTTGAGCCTGGTGTCCTCATACGAGGGAGGTCCCGGCGTCTGCATCCCAGCGCGAGACGCATCAACCTTAGTTTTTTTTTTTTTTTTTTTTTTTTCCTTTTATTCCCTCCTCCCGACCCAAGCTCGACGCAAGAGCTTGACTAGGTATATAACCTTGTCTCAGTCGCCCGCCCTACCCTCCTTGCTCTGGCCTCAGCCTTGAGCCTTTCAACAAGTTAGAGAACATGCCGTCGACGACGGCATCTGCGCGCCTTGAAGCCGACCTCGAAACCCAACATTTACCTGAAAACGGGACCCGAACCGGATTCGAGCCACCGTCGAACCCCGTCCATCGACGGTCCGTCATGAGCTCTGAAACTCGAAAGAAATTCATTAACTACCCTGTTCCACAGGCTGGGTAAGCCGCTCCCTTTCGTTTCGTTTCGTCTTATTAAACTTCCACGCCTCTTGACCAGGCGTTCGTCCACGATGCACACGCCCACTGTTCATGAATCTTGCAATGCGTTAAGCTGACAAACTCTCATAGACCACCAATTCCCTACAAGAATGATCGGCGAAACAATCCGCCTCTTAAGGGCTGGGTTCTGGTGATAGCGGCATGGCTGTGAGTTCTTTTTGACAATTCAACCAGCTTATCAATCCACTAATTTTTGGCAGCATGGAATGTTTCTGGTTCCTCCGCTGCTTCATCTGGAGCAATGCAGGCTTCGGCAGCGTACGCAAGATCCGCAAGCACATCGAGGACGCCGAGCCTCGCTACGACCCAACCGTTCTTCCCTTCCCTGTGGATGAAGCCAAGGACCCGGCCGTCCTTCACCGCGAGAGCGCTGTTAAATCGAAGCCTCGCCCTTTCAAATACTACTCCGTCGCCGACTACCATGCCATGTACCTGTCCGGTGAGGTCACGCCTTTGGCCGTGGCCCGCGCCATCCTACCCCTGATCCGCCGCGATACCTCTCCGCCGGGTGAGCACTCCATCGCCTGGTTCGACACAAAAGTCTCGATGGTCCTGGCAGCTGCCGAGGCGTCTACGCGGCGGTACAAGGAGGGACGTCCATTGGGGCCCCTCGATGGTGTGCCGACTGCCGTTAAGGACGAGTACGAGATGGACGGCTACCGGACCTGCCTCGGATCGAGGAACGACTACACCACCGTGACAGAACCGGGGCAATCCATCAACAGCTGGTGCGTGAAGAAGCTCGAAGAGGCAGGCGCCGTCATCCTAGGCAAGCTCTCTATGCACGAATTCGGACTAGGTAAGCTTCCAGTACACAAACATTGCATTATCAAAATTAACAACGCAGACACAACCGGAAACAACCCCATTTACGGAACACCCCGCAACCCCTACAACCGTGGCTACTACACCGGTGGCTCCTCCTCAGGCGCGGGTTACGCCGTCGCCGCCGGTCTCGTGCCCATGGCTCTCGGTAGCGACGGCGGTGGCAGCATCCGCATCCCCTCGTCTCTCTGCGGCGTCTACGGCCTAAAACCTACCCACGGCCGCATCTCCTTCCACCCGTGCCCGAACCACAGCAACAGCTGCGCTGTCAACGGCCCCATTGCCGCAGATATCGAATCCCTTGCGACCTGCTTCGAGACCATTGGCGCGCCGCACCCGGACTCCAGCTTCATCCAGGCCTCCCCGTTCCTCCTCTCTCCCAGCGAGAAGCGCGGCAAGATTTTGGGCATCCCGGAAGCATGGTTCGCTCAGGCCGACCCCGCCATCCAGCGCATGTGCCGCTCCATGATTGCCCGTCTGGTTACAAACCACGGCTACACCACGGTCCCCATCGACATCCCTTTCCTTGTGGAAGGCCAGTCGGCGCACGCAATGACGGTACTTACGGATGCCGCGGCACTTCTCCCGGAAACGAAGAACCTCACCCCCGGCAACCGCATTCTCCTGGCGATCGGTCGCGTCACGTCAGCCGTGGACTATCTCCTCGCGCAGAAGCTCCGCGGCCTGCTCATGCAGCACCTCGCACACCTCTGGCGCGCCTACCCGGGCATGATTATCGTAACCCCCACGACATCCTGCGCCGGGTGGCCCATCATGTCTGAGGGCGAACTTTCGCACGGCGTAAGCGACGGCGACAGGACCATTCGCTCAATGGAGTATGTCTGGATGGGCAATTTCTGCGGTCTCCCTGGCGTCACAGTCCCCGCAGGCTACGTCGTACCGCATGACCAGCCCGGCGGTGGAACCGAAGCCGGGCCCGACACGGTGGGCAAGATCCCCATTGGGTTGATGGGCATGGGCGAGTGGACGGACGAGCACAGCCTCCTCGAGTTCGGTCTGGACGCAGAGGAGGCGTTTGCGAAGGAGCGCTGCAGACCGCCGATTTGGGTCGACGTCATCCAGCGGGCCAAGGACGAGATGGCGAAGGGCGGGGAGGCTGTGTTGATAGACATTTAGAAGCTTGTTTTTTAGTGTCTTTTTTTGTGGTCGATTTCTGAGATATCCATATCCAAACATCCTTTTTCCCTGTCGCATTATGCGGAGCTTTCTCATGCTTGTGTGTCTACGTGTGCAGTGTAAAGGAAACGGCCCACTTGGACCCCTTTTTGAGGGGGCGATTCGTTGTCAATTTCCAGCAAGGATGGTCCCTTGCGATGTTTTTTTTTTTTTTTTTGCTTGCTTGTTTGCTGGGCGGCGCCACGCTCCCTGCGCAGATCAATGCATTAAGCAACGTGAGGAAACTGGCGGGGAGGGGTAAACTGGCCAGGCGGCATGACTTTTTTTCTTTTCGTTGGCTAGGCCGGGGGAGCTGGATGCGGTGGGCATGGACACAGCTCGGGCACGCCGTGGGATCCGGGGCATCTTGATTATTGGCTTTTTGGCGGAAGGATAAAAAAGTATGTCGGTCTGATATATGAATGGCGTGAGATGTGCAGAGAACTTTGTTGAAGCCGGGCTGGTGCTCCTCCGTGCTTGCGCGCCGAGTGGTTGGGGGGGAGGGAGGACAGATGGGATGTTGTCCGGGCCCGGTCATGCATCGACTGACCGTGCTGTTGAGGGAGAGGGGGTTTCGGGGCACGGGCGGCGGGGGTTTGATGGGGGAAGATGTGACGGTGACCATGTGAAAGCGATTATGCGATGGTTTGGGATTTTGAGAAATGCAATGCCGTGATGTTTTTGCGGGTATCTCGGCTTCGACGGGTTGTGTCCGGGTGGTAAGAGTTCGTGCATGAGGCCAGCTTCGCTTTGTTAAGCTGATGTTGGTAGTGCTGGATGGATGTGATTTTTCGCTTTTTCAAGGAGGAGTACTTCGCGAGGTCTTCAAGATGTATTCTATGATGGTTGGCATAGGCGCAGGGTCATCGTATGTTTGCTACTGTCGGCGCGGTGTCCGCTCTTGCCCCACTTGTTGATCGGGGCCGGGACCGGGGCGGGACCGGGGGAGGCGGCTTGGCTTGTTATTTGGGGACAGAATACCACGGTGCCATATACCACATATCATTGATTTGGTTCGCGTGAGATATGTGAGTTTATTATCATGTATGGATTATTCTACCCTTGGCCATCATCATTCTTCAAGATGATATTTTTATCGTCATTTTTGTAACTTTCGTTAAAATAAACGCTTCAAGTTGAAGTAACATTTTTGTTCTTCCAACAAAACCCTAAGAAGTCGATTACACCAGCTAGCAGACCCATTCTGAGCCGACAGAGCCATTTAATTGTGTGCTGTTCTACGACGGCTGCACTCTTCAGTCATCGACACGTCAGTTGGCTGTCATCGGAGTAGATTCTACGGTTGATGGAGTCCAGCTAAAATAGCCGAGACGCACAAGGGCCGAAGAGTGCTCAACTCCGCTTTGCCCGAGGCTGTGAATATGCAGATGTACACAGATGGCAACTCTGCCGCAGATATTGCGGTTCTCTCGAGCCTCTCTGCTAAACACTGTAGATGTTCCTGTAGTCAATCATGGTCGCGGAAGATGACTGCAACCAAGAGGTTTCTGTATCGTAGACAACGGCCAGATCATGGCTGACAGCTGGCTGCTGCCATTCCGGGCTGTAATGTATTAGAAACAACTGACTGCTGTCTCATAATACACCTGTATGCTACGTCACATATAAAGCCAGTCAACAATTCATGGCAGCTATGTCTGGTCTTATACACACTACGCCGCCTTACTACCATCCACAATGACATGATACTTGGCAACTATTCGCCAGGCATATCGCCGGCACAAGACCTCACCGGCTCCTGCTTACCCATCTTGATCAACGAGCGAATAAGACCCGCCTCACCAGCAGATGCCAAGTCCAGCCCCAAGCCACCACTGCTCTCGGCCCTGGCACGAGTCTGACGTACTAATGACCTCGCGGCGTAAATTCTGCACAGGTGGAAGCGCAGGGCCTAGCGAGCTGCAAATGCACCAGCAGGAGACAATGGCAGCGACAGAAAACGGGCATCCCCGGCCAATCAGGACCCGGGCCGTTTCCAGACAGGGCAGAAGATGATCCAGCGGCATGCGAGCAGGATCGGGATGGGACGGGAAGAAGGAATGCTTTTTTATTTTTATTTTATTTTCTCTCTTTCTTGTTATCTGTCTGTCTTTTGGGGGGCGTCGCATGCGGGATATAATGGGACACAAGACAGGTGGTTAATTTACAGAAGTGGTTGTTGAATAGGCATACATCCCGAGATCCAGGTCGAGTCTGCGACGTCCCAACAAAATGCAAAGTAAGAGGTAACGGTTGAGAATGAGGGGTAAAGGTACGGAGTGGTTTAGTGGTGCTAGTAGTGCTAGGAGTTTGGTTTTGGCTTCTCCAATTCGTCTCGTCTCTTCCTTGATGTGCTTGATGTGCTGCAGCTGCAGATGTTTCGCCATACTAGTAGACGTGGTTATACGGGGGGGTGTTCCTCTCGTCCGATGTGGCAATGGCGTTGGAAGTTGGCGTTCATCACCCCGGACTTGGCTGGACTGGGTTGAGCTGAGTTGAGCTAGGGGAAGCTTTCTCCGGATTGTTCATGAATCATTTTTATTTTTATTTTTAATATTTTTACTCTCATTTTGGCTTTAGTTTATGAATCCCTTTCAATTTTATGTATTAGTGTACGTAGGTGGCTTCCCCGCATTGTCCAATGTTGATGGGACGATCCGGGGATGGTTCTTCAACCACCAGTTTTGAGTGTGTGAGTGTGTGGCTCAATGGATCTCGACTCGGCATTGTTTATTGTTTTGTCCCTGAGCGGTGTATGAATGAAGAATACACATAGTAAAAGAAATAGTCATAAAAAAAGAAATGAGAAAATACCTGTAAAAACACGCGAGGTCTTGTCTCAGAAAGGGAACCAAACGGAAATACAGCGAAGAGACAAGAAACTCACAGCCACCCCCATTAGCAGCAAGTCGACGGTTAGAGAAAGAGGGGCGTCTGGGGGGGTAGTAGGCCTCCCCCTCCAGCAGCCCTCCAGCAGCCCTCCAGCAGCCCTCCAGCAGCCCTCCAGCAGGGGTAGCAAAGGGGGGCCTTTCTCCAGTGTGGAATATATAGCGGGCTTTTACTGTCTACCTAGCCAATTGGGCTTCAGGGGGACCTCGCCCAATTTGATCGGCGCATTCCCTGGGTCTTGATCGCTAGAAGGCCACATCCCTCCCCGAAATTTGGGGAAACCTGCCTTTTTGTCAGTCTTTCTTTTTTTTATTTTTTCCCCATCACCTCTCTTCCGTCTTTCTCCTGTTATACTTGGGGTCTGTCGCAAAAAATACAACGACAGCACCATCAGTCGGCTTTCTTTCTGCCGCATCCTACGACTACTTCTCCTCCTTAACAGGCTCTCGCCGCCGCCATCGTCTTTCGTTCGTTCTTCTTCCCGCCGTCTTTCCATCTACGAACCCGGCCGGCTCCAAGTCAAACTTATCCCGCTTTGCTGTCAGAAGCTATCCGAAGGTTCCCGCACCACCGAGAATGAGAGCCTAAAGGAGTGGCGCAATTCTTGGACCGAATCATTCGGCGCAACGAGGGCACTATCGCACCACTTCTCTCTCCTTCTTTGGCATACCTACATACCTACATACCATACATATACACACAGACGTCTACCATATCGCCGGCCATGCCCGATCACGCCGGCACGGCCGCTGCGGCGCCGCCCCAGCACCAGTCGAACCCCACCCCGCCAAAGGAGCTCTATCCCATGGTCAACTGGAAGTATGATCTCTTCCTTTGGGTTTTGGGTGTTCTCGTCGACCTCTTCTTCCGCGAAGTCCATCCCCGCGGCTCCTGGAAGGTCCCCAAAACTGGCCCCGTCCTCTTCGTCGCCGCACCTCACGCCAACCAGGTTCGTATCTCCATCCCTTGTCTTTCTGCCCCAGTTTTTTTTATCCTCAATCACATGCTAACTCATTTTCGCTTCCCCCAGTTCGTCGATGCTCTGATCCTACAGCGCACCCTCCGCCACGAAGCCGGTCGCCGAGTTTCCCTGCTTATCGCCCAGAAGTCTGTCCATGGATTCATCGGCTGGGGTTCGCGCCAAGTCGGCTCTGTTCCCGTCGGCCGCGCCCAGGATGCCGCCAAGCCCGGCTCCGGTGTCATCTACCTCCCCGACCCCATCAACGACCCTACACTGATCCGTGGTGTCGGCACCAAGTTCGGCCAGGGCGAGGGTGAGGTTAGTGGTATGCTGTTCCTGCCGTCTGTCAAGAAGCAGACCGGCGCCAGCGTCGACATTGCTCAGATTATTGGTCCCGAGGAAATCCGCATCAAGCGTCCTTTCAAGGGCAAGGTCCCGCTGGAGCAGCTGACCGGCCGCGACGACATTGACGAGAATGGAAACTTCACCAACAAGAACATCAAGGGTCGCAAGGAGGGCTTCCAGGGAACCAAGTACAAGCTCGCCCCCCACATTGACCAGACCAAGGTGTACGAGGCCGTCTTCGACCGTCTTAGGTCAGGAGGCTGTGTCGGCATCTTCCCCGAGGGTGGTAGCCACGACCGAACCGAGCTTCTCCCCCTCAAGGCTGGTGTTGCTATTATGGCTCTCGGTGCCCTCGCTGAGTCTCCTGATTGTGGTCTCAAGATTGTGCCCGTTGGCATGAACTACTTCCACGCGCACAAGTTCCGTAGCCGCGCCGTCGTCGAATTCGGCCCGCCGTTCGAGGTCCCCCCGCACCTGGTCGAGATGTACAAGAACAATCAGAGAAGAGAGGCCATCGGCCAGCTCCTCGACACCGTCTACCAGGCATTGAGCTCCGTAACCGTTTCCACCCCCGACTACGACACCCTTATGATGCTCCAGGCCGCCCGACGCCTCTACAACCCTACCGGAAAGAAGCTGCCGCTGCCTGTTGTTGTCGAGCTCAACCGAAGGCTGGCCATGGGATACGAGCGCTACAAGGACGACGCGCGCATTGTCGACGTCATCAAGGCCGTCAAGGAGTACAACAAGCAGCTGCGCTACGTCAACCTCCGCGACCACCAGGTCCAGTACGCAAAGATGTCTATCCCCAAGGTCATTTTCACGCTGCTCTACCGTGTCGCAAAGCTTTTGGTCCTCCTTATCGGTGTCCTCCCGGGACTCATCCTCTTCGCCCCCGTCTTCATCGCCTCCAAGGCCATCAGCATCCGAAAGGCGCGTCAGGCCCTGGCTGCTTCGACCGTCAAGATCCAGGGACGCGACGTCATGGCTACGTGGAAGCTTCTCGTTGCCATCTTCGTCGCGCCGACACTGTACCATTTTTACTCGGCCATTGTCACGTACAAGGTCTGGAAGGACCACCTCTGGGGCTACGTTCCCGAGTGGGTGCCATGGTGGTCGACTTACCTCGTCATGTGGCCTCTGATGGTGGGTATCACTTTCGCTGCCCTTAGGTTCGGCGAGGTCGGTATGGACATCTTCAAGTCCCTGAGACCTCTGGTGTTGTGCCTGAACCCCGCATCCAGCTACAACATCCAGCAGCTCCGTGCGAAGCGGGCGGAGCTCAGCGTCCAGGTCACGGAGCTCATTAACACCCTCGGACCCGAGATGTTCCCCGACTTTGAGAAGACGAGACTGGTGGCCGACGCGTACAAGGGCGATGGCTACTCCCGGCCGCGTACGCCTCCCGCCCGCCGGGACAGCGACGCATCCAGCGCGTACGAGGCGGCGACGCCGCCGTCCATCTCCAGGCGGGCAACGACACAGTCCAGCCGGGGTCTCCCTCGCAACGAGTCTTACAGCAACATTGGTGGCGTGGGCATCTTCTCCACGCGGCCGCCTTCCCGATCCAGGAGTCGGAGCAGCAGCAGCGGAGGCGGGCTCAACTCGGGCGGCTTCCCGATCAGCGGGTTCACTACACTGGACTCTGCGGGCGGGTTTGACGAGGCGAGCAGAAAGATTCGCGAAGCCATGAAGCTGCGCCGGCGGAAGAGCGGCGACCACAGAATGGAGCTGGGGGCGGACGAGAGCGAGGAGGAGGAGTACAACGAGGCACGCAAGAAGAACACATGAGGTTACCTTTGACATATACCATTTGAGTTTGAAAGGGGAGGTGTAGTAGCGGAAGAAGAGGGTGCGATTAATACTAAAAAGGTGGCCGACATGATTGGGTCGGTGAGTGACAGAGTTAAATGTATAGACAGCGACGGTACGGTATGGATTCCCATTTTTCTGCTGTCAAAAATGAGCACGAGTTGAATATCCAAGCTTGTTCGTGTTAGAGCTTTAATACGGAGTAATTGATGTGAATAAACAGAGCTTTCCACAGTTTAGTGTTTAGCACCAATGGCATGTCTCGTGGATAGATGACAATGAGAATGGTAATAAGACTAAAGTGCCCATGGAGGATGACCAGGGATGACCACAACTCCAACGAAAGCTGGGATTCCGATTCCGGTTCCGATTCCGTGACAATGCAACCGCCCGGCGATAAAGGAGCGCCGAGTATCTCCGCCGACGTTTAATGGTTCCAAAAGTTCCCTTGGGCCCACATACATTCTTCTTTACATATGTACAAGACATGGTAAAAGTGGCATTGGCTACTGTTGGGGGGGAGGGCCGCCTGGCGGTGACGCTATTTGAGACAAATCGCACGCGTGGCCCCCTCTACCGGCGCGGAACACCGGCATCTGCATTGGTAACACTTTTTGAATTGAATCCTTCGTGATCTTTACCACTTATTCCTGGATTTTCCTTTTTCTGTTTATCTGTTTATCAAAAGTCCGAGTCGGGACTCGGTGATACGAGGGGGACGCCGTCCATTAATAAGGAGCCGCGCGGGAGACTGACTAGCTGGAATTTGCGCCGCCCAACAAAAAAAGCCTTTACCAATTACTGCACTTAGCATTACTGATTACTAGCCTAGGTAACCTTTACGGGTAGTAATTTGTGCGTGTGTGCGTGTTTGACCAGGTCATAAAAAAGCAAGACACAGCATTGGCTCGGCCCCCGGAGCCGTCGCAGCGCCGTGGCCCCTTCCCCAATCATTGCGCCGTCATTATCGCATTTCCCCCTCCACCCCACTTCCCGCCCATTTCGTTTCCGAACGGGGGGGTGTTTGTGGGCCGACCGCCTCGCCGGTTCCCCGATCTTTCTTTCTCCAGCCCTTTTTTTCCCCTGGCGCGGTTACACTAGAGTAGTGGTTGTCCCTTTTGGCCCTCCTTTTGTCCCTCCTTTTGCCCCTCACTTTGTCTGTACTTTGTCATATTACTCGCGGGGGATCTTTTGTTGTCTCTTGTTTTTTTTTTTCCCTCGTCATCTTTTCAACCCGCCCCCAAACGATTTCGTGGAGTGAAAACGGGCCAGACAAAAGATATGGCGTCCGCATTCAAATCCCTGCTCTCCGGCGCAAAGAAGCTCGCCCTCGGCGACAAGCCTGATCCGACGTCGCTTTTCCCAAAGACCGATCCCCAAGTTGACGGCGACGCCTGCGAGCACGACTGCGAGAGCTGTCACGTCAAGTACCCCAAGGGCTTCAAGATTGACGAGGACGATGAGTTGTATGGGCACATCAAGGCTTGGAGCACCCACGCGCTTGTCGCGACGGGGAAGAGCGATTGGGTCAGGGATGTAGCGGACGAGAAGGGGAGTGTCATGGAGGCTATTGGCAAGGCTGCGGCGCCTAGTAATGGGGTATGTTTTTGCTTCTTTCTGTTGCGAGAGAGAAATACTGACATGAACAGAAACTGATGCTATCTGCCTCAAACATCCCTACACCCAACCACTCCTCCGACTACTCAGAACCAACGACCGTCCTCCTCCTCCCGGCCTTCGTCATAATCGACCACGTCACCCCCAACCGCGTAAAGGGCCTCATAACCGAATTCGTCGACAAGTCTCCGACAAACACGTCCCCCCTCGCCCCCCTCGCTCTTCCGACCACCGTCCCCGAAGCCACAAACGGCGCAACAGACACCGTCGCGAGCATCCCCCCGCCAATGTCCCGCCGTCCGTGCCCCCACAGCGCGCTGATCCTGCTCTGCTCGCAAAAGACCCGCGACGCCCGCTGCGGCCAGTCCGCGCCTCTCCTGCGCAAGGAACTCGAGAGGCACCTCAGACCGCTCGGCCTCTTCCGCGACATGGACGATGAAAGGCCCGGCGGCGTGGGAATCTACTTTATTTCCCACGTCGGCGGTCACAAGTACAGCGCCAACGTGATGGTTTACCGCCGTCCGGACGCCTTTGGCCTGGACAACGTGGAGAGGGCAAAGGTCGACGAGGCGGACCTTAAGCCCAAGGCCAGGACGGCGCTCCCGGAGACGGAGGACGTGGGTGCTGCGCAGTGTATATGGCTTGCGCGCATCATGCCCGAGGACTGCGAGAATCTGGTGCGGTACACGATTTTGCAGGGTAAAGTTGTGAAGCCTGAGAAGCAGTTGAGAGGTGGGTTCGATCGTGCCAAGGGGTTGATGAGTTGGTAGTGGACTGTGGGGTTGAACGAATGTTGTCTTTTGGGGTGTAAAAAGGATCTGGGGGGGAACTATGGATGTTTGCGGTGAATTAGAGCCGTGGACGCTGGCGTTGGTGGATTAGATTTACTGGCATGGGAATCTAGATTGCCGGTGTAGATGGATACATAGGCAGATATGGATACAATGCATTATGGCGTCAGACAAAGAATAGAAAAGAATCTCTTTGTTCAATGTTCAAGCATGGACTTTTTCACTGTAGAATGGTGCTAATTAAGCCATGTATAAGCTAGTTAGCCGCCGCCAAGACCTTAGTAGAATCAGGGTCTTGATAACGTCCTTGTATTGTTGTAAATCATCCAAAAAGTCGTAAACCAAGACTGCTTGAGTGTCTTCGTCATCTTCCTCCGCCTCCGGTCTGGCGGCCCCACTTCTCCGGCCCGCCCCGCACCTCCAGAAATAATTAAAAAAAAAAAAAAGGAAACTACCCCAAAATGCAGTGCAGGCGCGTTGCACGGCCGATAAGATAAGGTAAGCACACCAACGGGGAGGCGCTCCACCAGCGTCGCCCAGACGACGAAGCTAGGATAAACAATCCCCACGTAAACGACTCTCCCTCCCCCATAGTACCAACCACATGTTTAGCTCACCGACACGACCACCACCCATCCCCAAGTCCCTCCTCCTCCTTACCCTTTTTATGTATGTGTGTCTGTCTGTGTGTGTGGTGCCTCCTCGGAAACCTTTCTTATTGCATCGACAAAACAACAGAAATCTCGCTACGGGACGACGTCTGGCTTTGTGCCAATCTCGCTCCCACCCACCCTCAAATATCATCTCCCCCTGAAGCTGGCATCTTCTCTTTTTTACTTCCCCCTACTTCACTCTCCTCCCGACAATGGTTTGTGAGCAGAAAAGAGATACATAGCTAGCTGCTCGGGGCACGTTCTTCCATCCCATCTCTAAAGAAAAGCATCGGAGTTACGCCTTGTGTTTTATTTTATTTTGGTGTTTCCCCCCTCCCCACCCGTTTGTTATTCTGTTAGACCGGCAACCCCAGGGAAAGGGTTAGAGAAAAAAAAAGATTGGCCTAGCATTTCCGTCGGAGCATTGTTTTCCATACAAAACCGAACAAGCTGAACCCTGCCTCACCTCCCCGAACCAGTCCCCATTTCCACGACAATGGGCTCCGCTGCTCAAGGGGACAACAATGGAGGAGGAGGAGGAGGAGGAGGAGGAGGAGGAGGAGTCGAGGGTGCACGTCGCCCCAGGTCGTCGGTCCTAAAGAGCTTCATCCACCGGCGTAACCAGTCCGAGGGCTCCGCGCTCTTCACCTCGCCGCCATCCGTCCAGATCACTACTACCACGACGACAACAACAACGACCTCCTCCTCTTCTTCTTCCCAGCACATCCAAGCAGCCTACGACCGCCTCGAGGGCAGGATGATGCCGCCGCCTCCCCCCTCCCCCCTCCGCACCGAAGGCTTCGGTGGCGCCCTCGGCGAGCTCAACCAAAATTCTCAACAGGACCCTGTGCTGCGGTCTCCCCGAAAGCTCCCAGACGACGACCGACGCGATCGATCACGCTCACCGACAAAATCCACCTTCAGCACCATGTCCCTCAAAAATATGGCCAAAGAGGCCCGCAAGTCCCGCGACGTGTCCCCCGAGAAGCCCAAGAAGACAAAGTCCAGCACGAACCTCGCCGGCTTCCTCTCGCGGCCCAAGTCGACCCTCTCCCTCCACAAGACCTCGTCAAAAGACAAGGAGGAGGAACAGAACCGCCGCATGGCCAAGGACAAGGAGAACCGTACGCCGCCGAGCTCGACGTCCAGCGCAGACATGTCTGCCAGTGCCGTTGGCGGACCTGCCCCTCCCATCTACGCCCAGTTCTGCAGCCAGGACCTAGGGAGCAACGGTCTGCGTGGGAAGGCATCATTTGATGCGGGCAGTGGACGGTACGGCAGCGAGGCTTCGTCAAACGACATGACTGCTGCCAAGAAGCAGCGACCCAAATCATATCATCCATCCTCCGCGATATCCAAGCACGAGTCCACGCAGGACTTACGCGGCGGTAGACCGCCTCCGGCTGGACGAGAGCCTTCCGCGTCCGAGAGGATCACTAGTAAAGTCCAGCGGCCGAAGCTCTTCACAGCCTTTTCTGCCATCGGGCCCCAGAAGACGACAAAATCCAAGCAGTCCATGGATCCGCTGGAGCGACGCATCGACCCCAAGGAAATCGACACCCATCTGGAGGCCATGCTCGACCGGCGCAACATCCCCGAGAACCAGCGCTACAAGATGAGGAACCTCGCTGACACGATCAAGATGGAGTTCATCCGGCAGGACTGGGCTGAGATGGCGGCGAAAGAACAGGCCGGTAACGACGGCGTCAACGAACCCACGTCCGCCGTCACCTTGGGCGGCTCCGACAAGGAGGAGAACGGCCAACAGTCGAAGCGCAGCAGAGGCAGGAGTTTCACGCTGTCGCGAAAGAAGGACCAGTCGTCAAACTCGCCGACGAAAAAGTCCAAGGGCGATTCGTCCTCGATCGGCCGCCACTTCAGGAGCAAGTCCACAGAGAGCGTGACCAGCGAGCGGCCGACGTCCTCGGGCTCCAATACGAGCATCGGTATTCTCGCCAAGATCAAGTTTGGCCAGGGGCCAGGCGATTACGTTTCCTACCTCCGCAAGGTGCAAAAGCCGGAACTCGTCGAGGTCGGGAAGCTTCACAAGCTACGTCTGCTGTTGCGAAACGAAACCGTTTCCTGGACCGAAGATTTCATCAAGCAGGGCGGCATGGAGGAGATTGTCGGACTGCTCAACCGCATTCTCGCGGTCGAGTGGAGGTGCGTTTGCCAGATGGCTGTTTGACCGAGTATGAGAACAATTTATACTGACTGTAAAAAACAGAGAGGAGCACGAAGATGCCCTGCTCCACGAGAACCTGCTTTGTCTAAAAGCCCTCTGCACTACCGCATTGGCACTACAATACTTACACTCTATACATACAGACCTCTTGCCGAAGCTCCTGCATATGCTCTTCGACCCGGAGAAGAAGGGTCCCAGCGAATTCACTACACGCAACATTGTCACATCAGTGCTATTTACATATATCGAGTCGGCACCGCCCGCAGAGCGCATCATCCGCGCCCAGACGGTGCTGCGGTACCTCCGCAACCCAGAGCCTAAGGAGGAGGACAGGCCGCTCGGCTTCGTGCTCGAGATGCGTAAGGACCGGCCCTACACGGTCTGGAACAAGGAGGTGGTCAGCGTCACCAAGGAGGTCTTTTGGATCTTTTTGCACCACCTCAACGTCATCGCCCTGCCGTCCGAGATGTCCACCAAGGGCGGCGCGCCGCTCGGCACCGTCACCAACGGCACCACGTTCGACCCGTACGCCTACATGACGCGGCACTTCCCCTCGGAGCGGCCCCCCGTTCCCGCTGCGCCCTACGTCGGCGGCGTCGAGTGGGACGCGACCAACTACCTCGCCTCCCACCTCGACCTCATGAACGCTATTATCGCGTGTACGCCCACCGCGGAACAACGCAACGCGCTGCGTCACGACCTGCGCATCTCTGGCTGGGAAAAGGTCCTCGGCGGCAGCCTCCGGCTCTGCAAGGAGAAGTTTTACGGCTGCGTCCACGAGGCACTCCGCTGCTGGGTCGCCGCAGCCACGGAAGACGGCTGGGACGCGCGAGACGTGCGCTACGGCCCGCCCCCTGAATCGCGGAGCACGAGTCCCGCCAAGAAGAGCCCCGCCAAGAAGCCCGCTGAGCCGGCGCCCCGGATCGAGATTCCCAAGTTGGACTTTGGTCTCGACCGACTGCCCGGCCGGACACCTGTCAAAGAGAGGGACGCCTGGCTGTCATAACACTGTCGTCCTTCTCAGCACTGGACACGCGGCACATTACTAACATGTCATCCTCAAGGAAGACCTACGAAACATCAAACTATTGTACATCAAATCAGAGAACAAAAATGAACCAGACAGATACGGAGCCACAGGGGAGAAAGGTACCACCTCCAGTGTCAGTAAAACCTCGAGATTGTTCGATGCAGGTTTAAACGGGCCCATGTCCCCTTCATCATCCATTCCTTTCCATGTCAGATGGGAGGGCACGAAATTGGAGATGAAAGTGAGGACAGCCCGAGACGCTGCGTTTTTTTTTTTTTTTTTTTCCCGTTTTTCTTGCAGGTATTTGGGAGATTGGGGTGAGGGGAGTTAATAGTCTTATTGATTCGGCCGTGTTTCGCTTTTCTTCTTCTCTCTCCTTATTCGATTCCTGTCCTTTTTTATTTTTTAACTATTTCCTTGTCGTGTGTGTCGTTTTGCATTGGGGTGTTGGGAAGTTTTATGGGAGAAACCGTTTTTTGGTTCCCTTTTTTTTTCTTTTCTTTTTTTTTTTTATACACACACACGCACGCACACAGACACACCACTACACACATCCATGCTGCCTAATGCCTCGTCACGAAAGGGCAACGTTTATGAATTGATGATTATCATACATAGAAAAAGCAAACTTCCCGCCGTTCGTTATACTGCAACGTCTCAATGTGTGTTTTACGAGTGTATGGGATCTTTGTTAAACATGACTTCATCTTGTGACTGATGCCATGGCGGTAAATGTTTGATTTGAGAGGTAAAAATGATTTCGTGCCGAGAGTGTGTATACATTATCTCCAGAACACAGTCTATTTGGCTTCAGGACAAAAAACCCAGAGAGTAAAAGAGAGAAAAGAGATATCCCCAAAACGAGAGAGGGGGGGGGGGGCTCTTCTCCATCCCCTCCATCCCCCTCCGTAATCCCCCACGCAAAACAAAGAAAATGGACTCTCAAATTTTGGATAAAATAAAAATAAAATCGAGATATGACGGGCCCTTACTTTACTTTACTGCGACCCTGAAAAAAAAAAAAAAAAAACAGGGGAAACCGCCGGGGAAAGGCAGCCATGCCGAACAAGCCGGTCGTTGTCGGGCTTTTGTTCCAACCCACCGAACCCTACACGACCACTCCCACCCCCCCGGCCAAACGTCCCTTGGGCTAGGGCACGTTGGAAGAGGGGAAAAAAAAAAGATCAGTGCGCTTTTTTTTTTTAACCCCTTCCTTCTTCGGGGGGTCATGATTCGCGAGTGCCAGGGGTCTGGGGGTGCAAAAGGTTTGGCCCTTGGAGGGCTTGGCTGCGAGGGCGAGGGGGCGGAGACGGGCAACGGGGAAGGGTACAGTGGAAGGCCGTCGTGGGACATGACGCTTTCCGTAAGAGGTATTTGCATAAGGAGGCGATGACGAGAGATCAACGACACAAGATGCGAAAAGCAGTTAGTGGTATGCTTGGGAGTGGCGGTCGAGGGGCGGTGGGAGGTAACATGGAGCCCATCATCACGTTTTGTATTTGGTCTCCGAACGCTATCGTCGTCCCCTCTTCCGATTGATACGCCACGGCCATGGCCCCCTTCGAGACGACTCGGAAACCCAGCTTGGTTACACAACAGGCTTAGAGATTACTCCGGTGGGCCTTGAAGGCATCATACACGCTCATGCCCTTGAGCACGTCCTCCTTCACCTTGTCGTCCGCCGCCGTGAGTTTTGGAAGAAGCTCTAGGACCTGGTCAACCTTGCCCTGGGGGATGACGACGACGCCGTTTACTGCATCAGCGAAGACGAGGTCTCCCGGGTTGACAACGCTGCCGTCGACGTCGATGGGGACCTGCACTGCCCACGGCGTGCTTTCTGCCCCTGCTCCAACGGTGGACATGCCTCGCGCCCAGATCTGCGGTCCTTTAGCCATTGCTGCTGCTCTTTCCGGATAACATGAATCGACGACTCACCGGCAGGCCTGTACTGGTCAGTTCGTCAAGGTCCCTTGCGCGACCCACGACCACCACCGCTCTCGCTTGGCGAACCTTCATCCTGACTGCCATGATACCCCCGCAGACGGCGTTCTTCTGCCCCTCAGGCTGTCTGATGATAACGACAGTGCCCGACTCTGTAATGTCTGCCCAGTGGGTGTCCTTTGGTATGTTGGCCGGGGGCGACTCCAGGGTCTCGCCCTTTCGGGCAAACAAGACTGTGGACGCCGGTGCTATGGTAATGGGAGCGCCGGCGGGGTTTGATTGGCCCAGGAGTTGAAGGTCGGGCAAGAAGCCTCCTCCTGGAACTTTCAGCTTTACGAGTGCATCGGATATGTCACAAGCGGTGTATTTCTGGAGAGCCGAGATGCGGGCATCTTCCGCGTTGGCCATGTTGATAGAAAACGCCCAATGGCCTGACCCGAGACACGGGGCTGATGAGTGGGATGCAAGATGGAAAAGATGCGGCAGGTTTGGAAGCGCAGGGAGCAATTTCACGATCCCCTGGGTCGGTCAGGCAATGTCGAGACCTAAAAGATACGTAGGATTCGAGTCGCAGTAAGCATCTACCATGGGAGTATCGGCTGGCGTTGGCTCTGGACGTTGACCGCGGCTAGGGGGACTTCTGGGATCCTCGACTCCTCGGGAGCCGCCGAGGCAGAAGTCACCCAATCAGGCGGCGTTCCAGGTGGAAGTGTGGGCATTTGATGGAATGCACGTTCAAGGCTTATGTTTGGTGGGGAGCAGGCACGGCAGGTGCAGCATCATGTGCGTTGTGCGGCAGCTTGGGACGAATGCGGTGCCATCTTGGCGGCTGCTCGGCCTCCTTCCAGATGCTTCGAGCTGTTCTTCCAAACGTTCCCTGCAGACGCGTTGGTTTACAGCAGCAGAATCGCCTGGTTCCAAGGCGGCCCAGCCTAGAGAGGTAGGCAAGCCGACGACTCCATTAATTGTGCACAGAGAGAAAAAAGACCAAAAAAACCTCAAGCTCAAAGCTGCGATACCGGCTCAGTTGGACGAGCAGTCCGATTACCGGGTTCAGGGAACTGAACGGAGTCAAGTCCGCGCGGATATGGGCACAGCTGTGTGAGGTGAGACTGTGGAGTTGAAGGCGGTTTGCAGCATGTGTCGATTCGGGGCTAGCATTTCCAAGGGATTTGTCATTGGCCGGTTATGCCCTAGCAGAAGTGTGTCTCGTATGAATATGCGAATAGTGGCGCAAAAGTCGACAGCTGCCGAGTGTGCAAGATGGTGTAAGTGAGACGGCAGGTGTCAGTCAGGCTGGTAGGCTGAAGCCACGGCGCCTCCATGCCTCCGAAATCCAAGGCATGGCGGCTGTGAGCCAAGGTGTTGTCCAGAATCAAAACTCGATCGATATTGTGTGCGCTCGCTTCTCATGCAGCTTCGCCGCGCACGAATCTCAAAGTTCAAACAGAAAACTTGTTGGTAACCAAGGTCAAAAGGGCAAAGGTAGGGGCCTCAAAAATGGGCCGTTGCAAGTGTCCGGGATGGCACCTGTGGCCTCCGGGGCGCGTGTTCCTGTTCCTGGATAAGGGCAGTAAACCCGGATCGGCGGTCAGGAAGAGCGAATAATGAACGAGCAGGCCATCGGTCGAGTGTCCGCAGGTTCATGTACCTCTAAAGTATCATAAGTTAGCTGTAGGTGCTGATGCGGCTGGATGGAGACGGTGCTGCACCCTGCATCTTGTCGACCTGGAGGAGCCTGTCGCCAGCCATTTTGCGAGACCCGAGTAGAGCTGAAAACCGGGTCAGTAGAAGGCGTGTTGGAGGTTGGCTTTTCTGGTTGGAATGATTGCCATACCAGATGTTAGCAAGAATGCCAATTGGTAGAAGCAAATACAGTCATTATTGTCCAATCGATCCGCAGTGAACAATGGAGGTTGTTTGTATCGGGGCATCCAAAAGGCGCAAAATGTGCTTATCGTGGTCTCACGTGGTGATAGACAATGACCAAGATCCACTGGGAAAGAAGGAGCAGATAAAATAAAGAAAAAGGGAAACCAGCACCCAGTATCCGTATCATTACTTAGCGCTTTCCCACACGGGTGGTGGTTGCATCGGTTGTTGGGGCAGGTACCGGGCCGTACTACGTCTAGAAGGTGCGAGCGACCTCCTGTGCTTGCTCCCGCTCCTACGCTTGTTCCTGCCCATCATTCTCATCATCAAGGAAGGAAGGTGCTACCTTCTGCCGCGTGTGTGTGCGTGTACCTGCCTTACGGCATGGGAGGATGTAATAATACTCTTACCAGACCGAGATCTCAGATGTGATGCGATAAACTGCGACACTCACCTCACCGGCCTGCAGTCTGCATGCTCGATGCCCGTCTCCCAACGTATGGTTCGCATCGCGCTCTCTCTCAACTTCTGCTCCATCATTGGCAATGCAACACTGGCCTCAAAATTCGGCCGTACCCCTCACTCGCCATGTCCAATAGCACGTCGACTCATGATACCAAAGCTGGCGACGACTCCAACAGACATGACACGGCGCTCTCGTCACTGGCTGGCCCGAACGAATGAGGGATACGCTTTGTCCACTACCCTACGCCAGTAACCTCTCTCCACTTGTGCCCAGGCCTGGGTAAGAAAACGCACCCCCCCAGAGAGATCTCCGTTTGTTGCCGGGTTGTAACAAGCGGGACACGGCTACGGCTACTCGCTAAGGGAACGTGGCCAGGGATGGCTCGGGCAGGCATGCGACCAAACAGGCGAGTCCACCGGGGGGCATGGTGATGGGGACTGTACTACGGACGAAATATTCTGCGTATCAGAATGGTGCCCTGCTCACTGGATCTGGACCCAATGCCATCCATATGTCATGGGATGTGTCGGCCCGCTGAAGATCATCTCCGTGTCTGACGGCAAAACACTGAACGAATTTAAGAGAGGGTCGAAGAGGGTCAACTGGCCCGTCTACGGATGAGCTGGACCGTAGCCATTGAATTTGCGAGTCATTTCGCAGGACTCGGGGCGGCGCAACTTTTCCTTTCTTTTTTCCAAACATGCAAAATGACTTGACAACTTTTGGATTCGCCCGCGTGAGACATGCCGCGCCACGCCTTGCGTTGCTTTGGGGGCGTCGATGGCCACCGGCTCAGGATCATACCCAATATCGGGAATCTCCTCCGACTGTATTGGCCAGTCTCCTTGGCCGAGAACGAGTACTGGTATCTTTGCCTCGGCGACAATCTTTCAACCTGTCACATCGGGTACACCTGGGTCCCTCCACTATGGGCATAGAGGGTAGAAAAGAAAGAAAACCAAAAAGATATCGTGCGGACTCGGATACCTTTGGGCACCAAGACACCAGTTCCCTACGTTTGTGATCACGGCCATAGTCTCGGTCAGACAGATCCCTTAAACAACATGCATAGCCCAATACTACACTCCTTCCGGCTACCAGACAAGACAAACCAGACGCGAACAGCTAGCCTCAGTGAACGCCGTTGCGTCGCGTTCCCGTCGCGGTGAAGTGCCGCTCACCGAGCCATTCCACACAGGTTTGACGTTTTAACGCAATGCTATGCGAACTGCAACATAACGGATGTCCCTCGCAGACTTTGTTTCAAGACGAGGGTTCATGGCTCAAATTGGGTGCGAAGGATCGGCGCATCCATCCCGAAGCCCCAGTTTGCACATCTCGTACAGATACCTCAGTTAGTATCAACTATCATCACTAATCTATAGCCCGCACCTATTACCTCGCTAGGTCGTGGAGATATCCTCTTTGTAGGTGCCTAACAAGTCATGTCCACCTACGGCCGTCCTTGGAACTTAGTCACGGCTTTTATCACAGCCAGCGATCGATGGGCATGGACATGGCTCCCCGGGAAGAGGGACGGGGCAACTTGAGCACCTTTTCCACAATGGCGCCGCCTGGCGGGTTTCCGAGAGACGGATCAGATCAAGTACAGGCCACGGGTGCCGTCGATTGGCTTGCTGTGGGGACGACGTCGCCTCAAGCTCCGCATCTCACCAAATTTGCATTAACGACGGACGTGGGATGCTCTGCACGCACAGGCTTTTGAAGCATGGTTACTTTGGGGCCTGATGAGTGTCTGCAGTGGCCGCACAGAGCCGGCCCAGCTAACCCTGGCCAAGCGCCGAAGCCATTCGTCCAGATCCTCTGGGCTGCAGCAGTCATGAACCAGCAGGGCCCATGTCGCTGGCACTTCATCCACACCTTCAAGCATAGTGCGATGGAGTGCGTAACTGGGCGGGCGGAGGAGAAAGATTCTATTCGCACGGATACCGAACTCTCCGTCATTCTTCACGGCGGCCACAGAGCCAGAAGGGGGCTGTTACTTGTAGTAACAAGTTTAGTTGTGCCAATCACAGACATTTGACCATCAAACGGAAGCCTCTGGCTTGCCTTCCAACCACACAGACGGACGGACGGCATGAAGAGAAGCAAACATCTCAGAGAAACCATTAAGAAAGTAAGAAAGAAAAAAAAGTACCAAACATCAAGCAGCCCAGCAAACAATCGATCGACGTCGTTGTTCGGAGTCAAGTCAAACTCTTGGCTGAGCTAGCTAGCAGGACACACAACATTCACAAGCTAGACAAAACAGCCCTGAGAGTCAGACTCAGAAGACTCAGATGGGTGTCAGTCAGACACAGACAGAGACAATACGTAGTTGGAGGAGTAGATTCTCATCAATCACAGCCAAAGTCACTGGCAAACGCGCCCTTCGTTCCTATTGGGTCCCACACCCACTGCCAGCGCCAGGAGCACCAGCAAGCCCTGGACGACCGCCAACCAGTACAGCGCATGTACCTCCAGTCCTCACCCTCACCCTCATCCTCACCTGGTCACCGTCACCTTGTCGACCTTATCCGCATACACGCCCATCTCACCTCAGGTTGATGAGAAGAATCCTCCTCGACTGCCACAATCGCCTGCCCGCCTGCCCATCCTATCCCATCTCATCACACCATTTGTTTGTCTGCCACAGAAACCCCATTTCCCCCACCTCTATTACCCCTACGCATCCGAACTTCCCCCAGCCACCATCGTCTTACTGCGCAGTAAGTAATCAACAGCAAGCTGCTTTGAACCACCGCCGCCTTTCGGAGTGCTCTCATTCTCGGTCGCTGGCTCTTCTGTCTGCCTCATCGACTCTTACTGGCCGCCCCCTACTCGCTCGAGGTACATCTCATCCTACCCCCCTCCAACACCAACCAACCCTGCCGGCCTTAACCCTACCATACCTTACCACTACCTTACTTTCACCTTGCCTTGCCTTGCCTTCTTTATCCGCAGGCTACCTGACACTATCGAACCGGCCTTTGCTTTCCTCCCTCCTCTGCCATCTCGACCTGTATCAGACAAGCCCGTCTGCTATTTACCACCACCACCACCACCACCACTACTACTACTGCTACTCGCCAGCGCCGCTGCCCAGAACGCGACGCCCTCCCACTAGGTACCTCCCCTGTGCTTCAGAGATCCACCCCACCACAAGCATCCAGATCTCCGAAGCTTCTCTGCAAGCCCTGCCGCTACCGACCACGCCCACTCCCACGCAACCCTCACCCTCAACTCGCTGAGACGAACTAGGAAGCTCTGCGCTGCAGCTGCGAAGCCGTCCCCTTCAAAATGTCAATAAAGTACGTCCCTCCGTGTCCGGTCTCTCTTATGCCTCTCCTCCTGCCTCTGCCACTGCTCTCTCTTCACCTTCCCGTCCTCCCACGCCGCCCAAGCCCCATCACCACGCCGGCATCCCGGTCAGAGTCCGTGGTACCCCGCCGTCGACCTTCTCTCTTCCCTCTCCCAACCCCACACGGCCGCGGCCCCCGTCCACCATGACGGACCAGTACTTGCAAGAGCAGCATGCTTTTACCATTGCCCGCACCGTCCAGAGAGAACGAGAGCTTGCCCAGGCCCGGTTGGATTCTGACCATGGTGATAGTTGGGTCATGATCACCCAGACGGGTGATATCAACCCGTTACCTCACGAACACATCAGACATAGATCCAATGCCAAAATCAGCCTCGACCTGTCCGTACCTAAATCTCTGCAGCAGGGCCGGACACCGTTCTCGCGCAGGAGTGATAACGGTACGGTATACATAACGACGCAGCGGGTATGCGCAGGACCCTTTTCTTTTCTCTCTGTCTCTTTCTCTGTCTCTCTCTCTCTTTCTCTCACACACACAAACACACCTACCCCCATGTTCCTCCCCAAAGGATATAGCGCCGACTGACAAGCATCTCTCTAGGTCATTTACATCCCTGCAAAACCAACCGCCGAGTTCAAGTCGTTTCATGCGCCGATCCTGAACTGCGAGGACACGTATGTAGGCTCGCCATTTTTCGGCGCGTGGTACTGGTCTGCCACCGTCGTGCCGGTCGCTGGTGGCGGCGTGCCTGCCGACATCCCGAGGGTCGAGTTGAAATTGAGCTTCAAAGAGGGTGGACACAGCGAGTTCAGGCAAAGGTTCGAGGAGCTGAAGGAGAGACTCGAGCACGTCAGGCGACTGCAGCTGGAGACTGGACAGACGGTCAACATTCCGGACGAGCCGCTGCCGGCGTACGAGGCGACGGAAGGTGGAGGCGCAGCGGCATCTAACAACCTCGCTCCGCAGCAGCCGGTGAGCAGGTCAGCGAGCTCGGGAAGCCAGAACCGACGGCCGGACGAGCCACCACCGGATTACGACGAGGCCCAGGCACAGACGCTCAGCATGCGGCTTGAGGACCACATTCGTGAGGAATCAGATAGAGCATAAGGGGGATGGCTCAGTTCGTTACGGCTCACGACTAACGCTTTTTACATGGATACCTTGCTGCATTTCACTCCCTACACATTTGTACTTTTTGATAGCATCTACACCAGCGGTTGCGGAACCTGCGTTTCTTAACGAACATCCAGAGTAGATAATGATGGACTTGTCATGATAACCGGAGGTGCGTATTCGGGAGAATGAGGGCACATTTTGCTGTATGTAGGTATAGTGACCTGTAGGAAGAAACTGGTTGGCTGCCACAGATGGCTCTAACGTTGAAGCTTATGCGCGAGTATGCGCAACCTCATGAGTAATCTCTTGTTGTACCACCATCTGTTATGTCGCATTGCGCGTGCAGTTTCTTTTGCCACTTTTCTTTTTTTCATGTGACGGCTACGACCACATACGACCACAGAGAGAGACAGAGGTAGTAGCTTGGAGCTTTGAACCACAATCAGCGCAGCGCAAAAAGTCAAAAAGTGGCACGGACTGGCTGCCAGCTGGCGAGGCTGTTGAGGTGCTGCTGCACTTGCCGGATCATGTTCGGCTGACTGCTTAGTCATACAGCCTTGAGCCATTCCACCGCAGCCAATCAAAAACGACCAATTGGGAATAACTTACGAGCCGATTCAGACACCCAGTTTTCGTCCGTCAACCTGCCGAAAGCTCCCGACCACCTTTTCCATCACCCTATTCACGACGACATCACGTCAAGCCATTGAGTGAGCTGCACAACCTCTGCCACAATGGGTTTCTGGGACACGATCACCGACCTCGCTGAGGCCGCCATGCCGTGGGCCACCGTCGAGGCCGAGGCCCCTGCTGCCGAAGACAAGGTGAGAGAGGAGCTTTGTGCGCAATTTGTTGCCGTGGTCTGAGGTCGGCGAGGACGCTGCATCAGCGCCAGAGAGTCCTCGTTCCGATCTCGACGACGTCCGCAGCATCTTTTCCTGTGCAATGACAAGCTTGAGGGCAATTTACTGACATTGTTTGTAGGAGGAGACCCCCGCCGAGGAGACCAAGGAGGAGCCCGAGGCTGAGGAGGAAGAAGAGGAAGAGGAGGAGGAAGAGGAGGACGAGGAGGAGGTCGTCGACCCCAAGGACCAGATCGAGGAAGGTGGGTGAAACTTTTTTTTTTATTCTATATGTCCTCTCTGGGATTCGAAGCCTCGCGATACCCCCGGACGATGACACGCACATGAGCAATTTTGCACTGTCGGAGCGGACGTCATCGGACGGCCGCAAAATATGGCGACGGATCACAACCACAGACTCTGCGGGACATTTAAATGCTGACATTCGGCGTACAGAGTGCAAGGAGTCCAAGGCTTGCGCACCGGCCAAGCACCACTACGACGAGTGCGTCGAGCGCGTCACGGCGGCCGCCGACTCCGAGGAGGGTGCCAAGGAGGACTGCGTTGAGGAGTGTAAGTGATGACAGTGGCATATCGCGTTGAGCAAATTTCCCCGGACAACCGCGGTCCCGGGGTTTTTTTTGCCTTTTCGGAGAGTCAAGCGACTGACATATAGCAGTCTTCCACCTCGCCCACTGTGCCACCCAGTGCGCCGCCCCCAAGCTCTGGGCCCAGCTCAAATAAACGTGCCGGCATCCCGTCACGATAATTAACGGCGTCGACGACAATTCTAGTTGTTTGCAATTTAACAAACCGCAATCGGAACGGCATCGGCATAAGATCTTTTCTTGGAAGGAGTAGACCGCGCGAAGAGAGAAAAGGTGACTGCCGAGTTCGAGACGAGACGACCGTCTAGCTAAAGCACAATCCTGGTCCCCTCCCCAACCCTTGGCACGGGGGGGAGATCGAAAAATCTGTACCGCCAGAGATGCTGTTGTCCAGGTCGTGTTACGGTTCAGTTATGAGCCTGGCCGGTCTGGGTTGCGGCATCGAACCCCCTTGTCTTTTGTACCATAGGCATCGCCCGCAATAGATTCCTCTTGATTTACCCCCACGCAGTGCACTCTGACTAGGCATAGGATGTTTGGTGGTCCAGTTTAAGATGGATATAGTACGGTCACGGACAAGGTGATGTGATTGTGCAGTGATGTGAGATGTCACAACTGATGCTGACGATGCTTGCCTGACGCCGACTAGATCCTCCGGTCCGCTGTAGAACATTCGGTTCATTCCAGGCTCCAGTCCAGGGTCGTTATATGTGCATGCCGACAGCTCACGGAACAGTTAAAAAAGGAGAGGAGAACATGTCTGGCGCGGCTACGCTAGGGGTGGCAAGTAGGCGTCTCTCTAGGGACAGGCCAAAAAGAAGAACAAATGGCGCGATGATGGGGGATGGGGGGTTGGTGAAGGAGCGATAGAATGGAGCCCGGGCCGTAGGAATGAATATCTGCTCGTCTGCGGCAAAGCGATGAAACGCTAGATAATCTAGGAAGGCCGTTTTTTTTTGTTTTTTTTTTATGAATCAACAGTCGGGGACCCATTCTGGCTCATTGCGACATACGGCCCGAGTAACTTCGCCGAAGGTCATTTGGATGGACATATCGATTCATTTTTTATTTTATTTTGTTCTTGTTAATTTTGGCGTTTTTTGGTCTTGGCTTTTTCTTCCAGTGAAAGAAAATAAAATAAAATAAATAAATTTATGCAGCACTTGCATGAAGGTCCAGGGCGTGGCTGAAGCTGTTCTGTAGCTGTAGCTATGGCTATCTGTTGCATCGCTTAAACCTAGCAAATCGAGGTCGATCCTGACAAAAGTTGCCAAAAATGGCAAAGAAGACAAAAAAAAAAAAAAAGAATGACACCAAAAAAAAGATGAGGACTCGGATGGTTGGGTCATTTCAGCCATGAACCGGGCGGGACTAGGTTGGCCAAATGCGAGCAAATCGGCCGAGAGACAAGCCAATAAGACGGGTGGTCACCAGGTTCCTCTCCCCCCCCCAATCCCCGCAATGTTATCCGCAGGTTGGTTCTGGGCCCGGTGGTGCTTCTGCAGGAAATGGGATGCGGGTGGTGGTGGTGGTGTGGTGTGGGAAGGGCGTTCGGTGACCAACGGCCATTGTCCCAGCGACACCATTAAACCCCAACACTTATCTTTATGCAATGGTTCCTCGGTTCTCGAGGGTGTCTGCAGGTGTAATTACATGGCATGTGAGCATCTTGACTTGGGATTCTCTCGGGGGAGGAGGGGGGGGAACGTAATGTGTAACCTGTGATTCTGCAGTGTGGTGAATGATGGCTGTGATGAATGATAACGGGGGGCGAGGGTGCAGGACAGGACGGGAGAGAGCAGTTCGAGTTCTATCATGGCATAGTTCGTTGGGTCAACCATGGGATGCCCTCGTTCGCAATGTCATGGCCATGTATGAAATAATCGGACCAAGATGCCATGGCCACGGTTCCTGGTTATCAGGTTCCTAACAGATTTCCGTCTGACAACGGCCCGTAAGTTGTTAGCGCTGACTTAGCTCGTCTCAAATTGTTACCAAAATGAGGAGCCACGCGAGGTGGGAAGGAGGGGTTCCGGCGCTAGGTCCTTCTTTCGCCTGTCCAACATACTGAGTATGCTGGTACATAGGTTAGTGGGAGTGTTCCAGCCGTATGTACCTACATACTAATTAGTAGTACTCCGTACTTCCTCATGGGAAGGAACGGTTATGCACGGGGAACGCTGCCGGAAGGAGTTGACGTGGGCCTTTATTTTATTATGTTGGTACATGGTTACTTTTTTTTTTTCTTTGCATGGGGACTTTGCTTCATTTTTGGACCCTTTTAGCATCCATCAAAGTCTGGCCTCTTTGTCTATTGACTGATTCTTTTGTGGCTCGACCCCAAATGGATGGTCGACATTGTTAGACTCTCGCAGCCAATATCATTCATTCATTCATCCATTCACTCATCCAACTGGCAAGGTTACACTGCCTCCTTTCCTGGCCTAGGCTCATCCGATGCCGTATCTTGTATCTGTACCCATACTTACCTTTCTAATGCCAATGCTAATGTACAACAACTAACTAGTCTAGGTAGGATAGCTTCCGAAAAGAGTGATGCAACTCCAACAATCAAGCACCATGCAAATGCAGGGCTCGCCTTTTTCGATAAACACCTGCCCTGCTGCCCCTGCTCACCTTTCTTCCCACTCCCCTTCATCCCCTTCTTAAAGCCGTCGACCTCCTCTTCAACCCTCCCCCTTTCCCCCTCCCCCTCCCCGCTCTGTCTCCTCTTGGCCTTTGGCCTCTTCCATGTTCATTTTCCATCCCTTGTTGTCGGGAGCGCCCGTTTGTTTGCCACCCAGAGAAAAAGAAGGAAAGACAAAAAAAAGAGTAGTTGGAGCCAAAGTCTGAGACGACGGAGACAAGCTTCTTTTGCGACAGCCCAGGACTCCCCGCCAAGGAGCACCTAGGCTCATCTCCCGCACCCGCTAAATCCACCAAAAACCCCTAGCCCCCGTCTCATCGGAGCTACGCTAGTATCATCCTCGAACCTGGCTGGGCTGAGCTGCGGCTGTCGTGCTCTTTTTTTCCTCCTCCCCTTCAAAAATGCCCTTCTCCCTCCGCCCAAAGACCTCTGAGGTCCCCCCCGACAACACCAACAAAGTCGACGACGACAACCCGGCCACCGTCATCTCATCCCACAACTCTTCCGACGACAACAGCGCCGAAAAGAAGATTGCCATGCCTACCTCCGGCCGCCCTGCCGGCCCCGGCTTTGGGAAGCTCGGAGAAGAGGAGTATGAGCTGCGCGATGTGGACACTTCGGGATCGCGTGACAACACATCCGGTGCCCCTCGTGGAGCCGACAACAGCAGTGTGCTCGAGGGCACTGCGACCGAGTATCGCACCTACAAACGCCGCTGGTTCGGCCTGGCACAGTTGACCCTGCTCAACGTCATTGTTTCGTGGGATGTAAGTGATTTGCAACTTTTCTCATTGTTAAAAGACGCAAAAGAAAAAAAAGAAACTTTTTTTTCGTCATTGTTGTTGTTGTTGTTGTTGTTGTTGTCTAAGACAAATTGGAATGAGATGGTGGAACACACACACACCTGCAGCATCGTGACCGCTGCTGCAAGCCACAGTCGATCTCCCAGGACAAAGGGCGACGAATAACAGCACATTTTCGCAACAACAGATTTTTTTCACTGCAATTCAAGCGCAAGGCTGACAGGTTCCCAGTGGCTAACATTCGCCCCCGTTGCCAAAAATGCCGCCGCCTACTACAACGTCTCCGAGTCCGCCATTAACTGGATTTCGACGGCTTTCCTCTTCTCATTTGTCGTAATTTTCCCCCTGACGATTCGCATCTTGCACTGGGGCCCGAAGCCGTCTTTCATGACAGCCGCCGCCCTGATCCTCGTCGGCAACTGGGTTCGCTATGGCGGCTCCCATTCGAAGAGTGGCGGTAACTACGGCGTCGTAATGTTTGGTCAGATCCTCACCGGTCTCGCTCAGCCCTTCGTTCTGGCCGCCCCTACCCGCTACTCGGATTTGTGGTTCACCAACCGCGGCCGCGTCGCCGCTACGGCACTTACATCCCTTGCTAACCCGCTCGGTGGTGCACTGGGCCAGCTCATCGTTCCCTTCTGGGTCTCCTCCCCGAGCGACATGTCGGCCGGCGTCCTCTTTGTCTCCATTATCTCCACCGTCGCCGCTCTGCCGGCCTTTTTCATCCCCGCCCGGCCCCCGACCCCCGTCGCCCCGTCATCACAGACCCTGAAGCTCGGCATCCGCGAGTCCTTCGGCATCGTCTCGCGCTCCCTCGAGCTGTGGCTCATCCTCGTGCCATATGCATTCTATGTCGGCTTCTTCAACTCCACCTCCACCCTCCTTAACCAGATGATGTACCCCTACGGTTTCACCGACGAGGAGGCTGGTATCGCTGGTGCCCTTTTGATCGTCGTCGGTCTTGTCGCTTCCGCAATCACCTCCCCGATCCTCGACCGCACCAAGGCCTTCCTCCTCGCAATCAAGGTCGCCGTCCCCATCATCGGCATCTGTTATCTCATCTTCATCTGGATGCCCGAGACTCGCAACATCGCCGGTCCCTACGTCGTGCTCGCCATCCTCGGCGCCTCGTCCTTTTCTCTTGTTCCCGTCGCTCTGGAGCTTCTTATCGAGCTGAGCCACCCCATCTCCCCGGAAGTCACGAGCACCATCGCCTGGGCCGGAGGCCAACTGCTCGGCGCGCTGTTCATCATCATCTCGGACGCCCTGCAGGCCAGCGATACCGCCAACCCTCCCAAGAACCTGAAGAACGCCCTCATCTTCCAGGCCGTCGTCGCCCTCGTCGTCGTCCCGCTGCCTCTTCTCCTCGGTCTCTTTGGCAGGAGCGACAGAGTGAGCTTGCGACGTATTCGCTCCGACGAGCAAGGACCGCGGGCAGCCTAGCCTAGCCCCTTAATGAATGTGTTAATGAAGAGGAGTTGCAAATGAAACATGAACAAAAGTTGTAATTAGGTATTATTCGTATAGTAATTTTGGATACCCCCACAAAAACCAGTCTTGTAATACGCATGCTTCCCATTCGCGTTGACACGTGTTGCTGCTGCTACTGCTGCTACTGCTGCTGTTGCTGCTGCTCCCCTGACCGGATATCGAGTAACTGCTCCCACTGCTTCCTCAACCTCTCCATCTCGCCCCACGCCTGCACTCCCAACTCCTCAAACTCGACAAGCTGGTCCCTGTTCAAGTCCATGGCCCCGGGGTGTCGTCCGACAGCCTTCCGCAGCACGCCGGTAGCGGGGTCCCTCGCGAGGCTCTCGCGGTCCTCGACAGCGCCCTCCCACCCCCACCACTCCACCTCCGTCTTCTTCACCTCCATCCGTCCCGTGATGCTCGCCGCGGACCCCCACTTGATCCTCTTGGCGTCCAGCTCCTTCAGCGTCTCGTCGTCCTGCAGCGCCAGCCACACCGTCGCCACGGCGCCGCCGTACCACGTCACGGGGTGCCACGGCGACCCCATCCACCGCGCGAGGAACAGCGCGAACTTGTAGGCGTAAAACAGGATGAAGGGGAACGGCACGGGGAACAGGCTGGACGCGACGACGCCCGGGTGCGTGAGGTAGAAGGACGGGCGGACGGGCAGTTTCCGCGCCGTCTCGGGGTCCTCGGGCGTGAAGTACGTCTTGGTGTACCGCTGGGGACCGGGCAGGTGCGACGTCAGCGCCAGCACGTCCGTCAGCCTCTTGGAGCTCTCGTACGGCGCACTCGTCTCCACGCCCTGGAAATCTTCCAGCCGGAAATGGTGCGCCTGCGGCTCGACGCTGCTGGTCCAGATTATCCTACCCGGTGTCTCTTCCTGTTTGGCCCTGCTTAGCAGCGGTAGCAACTCGTGCGCCAGGACGTAGTGCCCAAAGACATTCGCGCAGAACACTTCTCCTAGAACGGGGGTTGAGGGCTTGGTATCGTAAGCGGACGCGACGGCGAGGGGGTTAAAGGGGGAATCGGTAGGTACCAGATCGGAGCGGACGGGTCGCTGGTTCAGGACGGCGCCGGGGCGGGCGATTTTGAAGTCTGGCCAGGTCAGGGTCGGCAGGAGGCCCTTTGTGAACAACGACTTGAAAAGGCCGGGCCAGTCTAGGCCTGTCCAGCCGCCGAAGCCCGCGTTGAAGATTACCGAGTCGAGACGGGGGATTTTGTACATGTATGCCTTCGGGTCTGTCGGGTCGCTGATGTGTCCTGCTACCAGCGTCGCTGCGCAATTGTACACGGACGGCAGGTCGCAGAGGTCGACTTGGGTGCTGAGGAGGTGAACTCGCGAGATTGTGTCTTCGGGGTCGTAGGTCGGCCCCGTGCGGGATCGAAGGGAGGACGACGAGGATGCTGTGCGCTCGAGGTGAAGGCGCAAGGAGGAGATTGTTTCGCGGGACTTGCGGACGGATCGTGTCGTCGGGATGAGGACGAGGTGGGAGGTTAGGGAGCGGGTCACGAGGAAGTCGTCGATCAGGCGTTCGCAGATACCGAGGCCGACGCCGCTGTATGATTGTCAGTTCATTGAAGCCCGGCGCGGGGTTGCATGGGGGGGGGGAGAGGGGAGGTGGTGGAATGTCACCTGTTTGCGCCGGTGACCAGCACGAACAGCTGCTCGTGGGGAGGCGCCTGGTTCCAGGGCGCTGCGATCATGATGTTGAAATTCAATCGGTTGTGACAATTGTGGGGAGAAAGCGAACGTGAGAAGAAGAAGAAGAAGTGGTGGTTAACGTCGTGGGGTGTTTGGCGGTGAGTTTCGTCGTCCTATCCAAATGTAAAATAAAATTCAGGGACGCGGGCGAAGCTACTTAAGGTTGCTGCCCCTTTGGGAAATCGCAACGACTTGCCTGTACCGGGTCCCGTACTTATGCGGGTCCACGGAAACCTCCGCTTCCGTTGGGACGCTCAACGGCGCATGTGTCAGCTGGCCGAACCGGCTAAGAGAGCTTCCGTGTCGTTCGAGGCGGGCAGCATGAGCATTTTCCTGCCTTCAAATTGAAAAATACACGTTCCGGCTTGACGTCTTCCTCATCATATCACGTTCGGTCCTTCGTAAATGTCGACTTAAGCCCCCGGACGAGCTGAATGAGTCTGGGTGGGTTCTGCGGTTCGGGTCTAGGCGGATCGGTGCCTGTCAGACTACATGCAGATCATCAGCGGGGGGCATGCCATTGGTTCAATGTGTCAGCTATTCCGAGGCACCCGAACGAGGATCCGAATACGGATCCGAGTTGCCTTCTTGAGATGGTGATATTGAGGCTTGTACAGAGCAGTACGCGTGGCCGTACACATATACGTGGATCAATTCTGTGGTATGAGGGTAATTGGTCCAGCGCGGGACGATAGACATGAAGGAAGGCCGAGTTATTCCAGATATTCGGCCCGCTACTTTCATGAATTGCACCACGTTTGTCTCTTTACAATCCTTGCCATTGTCAAGCTGAATTCCTTCGTCTTGGCTTCGTTTTTAACAACCCTGAGTAGTCTCAAGCTCTTTTCTTACAATCGGTAACGTGGCCTTCTACGTTCAGTTTCATAGGTGAAGTTCACTTATCCTAGAAGCTCATCTCTTGTGTAGCCAGTTGGAATTAGAGGTCTTGATAACATATAATTACTATCCAGTTGCTTCAGCATGGAGTCCACCGTAAGCTTTTTCACGATTGTTCTTCTGTCATATTATTCCAATAAAGTCACACTCCCCATGTCAAACATTCAGCATATCATTTGTCTAATAATGCAAGTTCTATTTCCGCCTAGTAAGCTGTGGCAGAGAGGTAAATAATGCATAGAGAAGAACGCTTATCAGAAAGCCAAACATTGGGCCCAAAATCAAGCCCAGCATAACAACGAGATCGTCTAAAGAAAGGTTGAACCACCTAGTCCAATCGTCCAAAGAAGAGTCGAACAGCCCCGTCGAATTGCCCAAAGAAGAGTTAAACAGCCCAGCCAAGTAGTTCGATGGAAGTTTGAACGAGTACTTCGAATCCAATTCATCATCCATACAATGTAAGTAGTAGAGCAAGTAAAAATACCCCAACAATATTTGAATGGTCAGTACAGGTACCCGTTGCCAATACACATAGAGTGCAAATGGGCATAGCGAACAGAATGAGGTCAACCAGCCGAGAGTAGACGTTCTGCACGCCAGCATGACGGGGATGACCAGGTGAAACCACCGAGCTGATCTTTCAAAGGTATCCAATACCTTTCCAAGGCGCGCCTGGCGCTGCTCGTGCGATTCCGGGTTCGCCAAAGAATGTAGACTGACAACAAATATACGACCTCCGCCAAACTGTTTCTGTTTGGTAGAAATCACAATGACCAACGGTCCAAACCGAATCTCATCACTAGTAGCCTTGAGAATGTTGCTGGAAGCATGCTGAAAAAAGCTGCTTAGGCAGCTAAACCGATCAGCTTCAAGGACATGGTAACGCAGCCCCTGCTCGTTCGTTTTCAAGATGAGAATCAGGTCGGGCCTAATATGCCTTGCACGAAGCCGAAGGATCCAATTGATGCTTTCAATTGGCTGCGGCTCGCCATTGCGTGCCATCTCGACTAAACGATCAAGCCCAGGTATAGTGGAGATGGATTCGGCTTCCATGAGCTTGAGTCCACTGGACTCAAGTCTGAAGTCGAATAGTAGCCAGTCCTGCGTCTTCGCGGCCAAGTTACCACCAGCTCTGGCGCTTCGGCATTCGAGGGAAACCCACGCCGATGGCGAATTGACAGCGTTCCGAGGAATGTCATGAAACGGCTGAGCCCGCGCCATTTTCTCGATTTCGTGGCTCGTTTCCGGTTTCTTGGTCTCCGGTGAGAAAGGCAATCCCACAAGTCTTTGGCTGTTGTCCTCCAGGCAGCAGTTCAACACTGCAATTGCTTGGCCTTCTCTAGACTTGTATAATGGGCACTGCAGTTGTACGCCACCAACCAGGGCGTTGTATTTCGGCTTATGCCCCAAGGACTTAGGAGTCCATAGACTCCTGCCTTCAGATGGTTCACAGGACACGATGTTACCACAGTTGCTAAAACAAGTTGGGGAAGTCGCTAACTGCAGTTTCCAGCAAAAAGTGCCTTCTGGGGCCGGGAGCGTGTGGCCTCCGACCAATATTGAATGGTCAGGGTTGTTCTTCATAATTTCTTCTTGTAGTCGAATAAAGGCTCTGTCTGTTTCGCCGTATATCTTGGGCATGTAAACGCCGAATATCCCAAGCAAGCAGTAGGCGGCATCCTCTGTTCTCGTGGTGACGCGATTAGCTGCCCACGACATACGCTGGGCAATGCTGGCCTGTCGAAAGTCCTTGCGCCCAGTAAGAATTTCTTGAGGAATTCTTGTGATTCTCTCAATATCTGAAGATAATTCAACCCTGTCACCAAGAAACTTCCATCGGCAGTTGTAGAACAGAAGCTTAGTTGGGGCGATAAGTTCCTGCAAAGTCCAGCCCCTTGTGAACCACAAGCTTCTATGGAGTTCATTGCCTGAGGAGACATCAGAGAGATAGGCATAGCAGACTTTGGCTTTCTCGTACCACTGGAACATGGAATTGATTGCTTCTGCGAGCTCCTCAGAACTCGACTTGTCGATGCAGCATGTGTCGATCCAAATGCAACCAATTTTCTCCCTCTTGGCTATCTGGCGGCATCCCTCCAGCTTTGAAGGCCAGGTCATGGGCAAACGATAGCGGCGAGATTGAATCTGCTCAAAGGACACCTCTTTGTCGCCCCATCTATGGGACAAAATGGCGTACGGAGGGACGTCGTCTCCTAAGAATTGCTCTCATTTTCTTGTTTTGACATTGAGGAGTCGCATTCTGGAGTTAGAATTTCCTGATTTTGCGTCCAAAAGTCTCCGCTAGTCAGAATGATCAGAATGCAAGAGGGGGTACGCTTCAGGAGGTCGAGAGCCTGCTCTCCCTTGAACATGTTCAGCTGCCAAGACAATCAATCAGACCACCACCAGCCACATTCTGTCTGAATGCCACGTCTTTATGAAGGCTGTTTCGCACAGGCTACCACTTCTGGCGGCTTGGTTGCCTTCTCTCAGCCTTGCATATTAGCTGCCTTCAAATCCTACACCACTATATGCCACATCACACCTCTCGCACCATATACTCGGTTACATGTGACCACGTACCTTGCTTCCTCATACCTTAGACTCGGTCACCGGTTTAGCGTTTACCCTCACGAAGCGCGGCCCGTTCTCGTCCACTTGAAGCCGCAGTCTGACTTCTTGCGCCACGGCTAGCAGCTCCGCATCCCTCATGTGCTGCCAATCCTTCAAATGCTCGTGGCTATCGTGGTCCAGTCTCAACAGCAGCGTGGCCAGCTGACTGGTGCGCCATGTCTTGATGTTCGCCCGGCGCGTCTTAATCACGACGCCAATGAAGAGCGCCAGCCCTAGAGCCCAGACAGCTATAGGCGCTGATATGTATTGCCATTGCGCGACGCAGATCTGTTGCGCTTCATACGTCGTGCCATTGATTTGTCCTAGATCGCCTATATGCCACAATTCATGCCGAAATCCGTTTGTGAGCGCTGCCGCAATCCTATTCATTGCACATACAACCCCATCCTCCTTTACCGCTGTTGTCTCTTCATCTCCGCAGTACAAAGTTGACGAATGGTTTTTCATTGTGAGTTTGAAAATCGAGAACACTGATGATCGGTTGTTCGTCTCAAAAAACTCCGGACTATCAAGTGAGCTGACGAGGGCGCCATTGAAATGATCAGAGAGATATCCTCTCATGCCCTCATATGAGGGCAGAAATATTTCAAAACTGTCGATCCAATCCTGCTCTTTGTTTCTACTCTCTTTATCACTGCGGTCGTCATAGTCTATTGAAACAAATCGTCGTCTGAGTTCGGTCTTTGAAGGAAACATGTAATTTTCCCACTGATTAATGATCTTCATCACTGATACGGCGTCGCCAGTATTGCGGAGCACCACATTTTTGGTGCCGCTCGTTACCGAACGAGTGATATTGAAATTTTGCCTCTGGATGCAAGGAACAATGACGCATTCTTGAGCGGAAAGAATTGAATCTTCCGTGATTATATATACATCCGGTTCGTTCGAAGCGTTGAAGGCAGAGACTTTATCGGGAAAGCCTTGTATGGATTGAACAAAAGCTAATGGGTCCGTATAGTTGTTGTAAACAAGGGCCGGCACCGTAGTGTTCATTGCCATTACGATTCTATGAGAGTCATTATGTGATGCGGGTAAAGAGACGTGGTCGAAGGAAAAGCCATTGGGCAAAGCCACATTGCATCCTACCGCATCGTCAAGTTTGTCTTTGGTAGTGATCTTTGGAGTGCAAGTGCGTGTAAGAAGGTGGCTGATATCGGTGCAATGACTGCAAGCGGCGAGAGTATCATATTCTTCCCAAACACACTCGCCGGTTTTGCACTCGTGGGGAGGAAAGGCCCAGTCGGTATAACTGCCAATCATGGCTCCATAAAATGACTGCATAAGTATGCTGTCGGCCCCTCCAATCCGCTAGTTAGCACAGTGCACATAGACTAAAGAAGGGGAACTCAAGTACATTCATCTTTCGTGCTTGGAAACCCCCCAAAGTATGAGGGTGAGAACGACAAAAGGGCGTCATGGTTGGAAGGTAGATTAGTGATTCTAGTGATAAGCATATTCTGTACAAAAGGGCCATATGCTAAAGCCAACAGCGATGCCAGTCCTCCCAAAACAGCCAAGTGTCTGGAGAGATGGTTACTGAAAGTGCCATGACAAACAGAGTCTGAATACGGTAAACCTACTTGAATCGAAGTTTCCAAATCAGCTTGGCGCTGCCGAGCTTTCCGCGCGAAGCAGAATCGAAAACTTCGAGGTCAGCCAACTTTCGATCCTGCTCCATAAACCATAGGTATTTCAATTGCCCCAGACTTTTCGTTACAGGTATCATGGCGCATGTTGAGCCCAGTACGGAGAGAATGGAGAGCAATGAGTTGATTGATAGGTGAAAGCGCTGTTTTTTGAAGGGCGCACGTGCTGTCCATTCGGGAACCCTTTCATGATCGAACTGAGAGATGATCACAGAGATAGCAATAATTGCGAGGCCTGAGACCAAGATTCCAAAGACCTCCCAGACGTAATACCAGTCGCCAAAGAAAGAGGTAACTCTGTCGGGAATTGTTTTGTTTTGGTCAGGTTCGTGCTCTTGGGCAGAAAATCTCACAGAGGTTTCTTCAACGTGCCCCTCTGAAGCAGGAACCTCGGGTTTTTCGGAAGCCATGAGAAGGAGCTTTTGCGTGAATCAAGCATAACAATAGGATTTGGTAAATGAGAAGGATGCAAGTCAAGATCAGAATTATCCATACACAAGGTACTTATGGTTGTGCTGGCCAGATACCACAATCCGTGTCATGGCAGCTTTCGTCGATCCCATTACACGGAGGCGTTGTAGGCTGTTTGGCCAAAAGTTTACTCTTAGGCGGCAGATGATCATATGAGGTTGTGGCTTGTTTGAAAGAGCCATGTTTGGTCATGTCTTGGTTGATTTGGAAACTGCTAATTCTGATTGAGCTGGTCGGTGTTGCGTGCCAGCCCAGGCCACTTCCGGATTTGATCGATCTAGCACAACACCGGAAAACATAGGTCGCATGGAGTTCAATTTTACAAGAACGTATGAAAAAGAAAAGGTATGACAAGCTCTGGTTAGTTGAGACTGGCGTTGAGCTGGCTGGCTGATTAGTCGGGTCTTGAAACCAAAGATTACCTGGCCATCGAGTCTCTTCACACTCAATGATGGCCATATGAAACATAGACGCAGTGTTTCCGAATCAGGAACTTTCGTCTCTTCCGGCTACTCCGCGCTGCATGCAGTTGTTTGCGACGACAGCTTAGGTTTTCTCTGGTGCTCAAAATGACATTTCAAGCTCCTATTAGGCCCTTGTGCTCCTATTAGGCCCTTGTGCGGAGTGACGTCTTATCTAATAGATCCTACATTGAACCTCCTTGAAGTATCATCCAGAGAGTTTTGTTCGAAGACGAAGGTGAGTGCGAGGGCAAGGAATAGCTCACTCAAGATGAAGCGGGCATGTAAAATGTGCGAAGCTGAAAGCTCTAACGGTGCAATCATCGAAGAAACTATTCCAGAGAAGTGCACTTATGAGAGCAAAATACCATGAACCCTTGATCGTTTCCACTTAACAAATATCTCACCCATCATCCAGCTCACCCAAAATTACCAGACATAGCATTCAACCAATGGTAAAAGAAGATTTCGGCATTCAACGATGTCCACGTCCCGGTTTGGCCCAGTTTGATTGATCTCAAGACATGAATGCCTCTAATCAACGAATAGAGAAGCCCAAGTTAATATATCACCCAGTTTACATGTCATTTGTTATGGAGCTTAATCTGTCACATCGTTTCCAAATGCTTGCGTATGGTCAGGTAGTTCAGTGTGACCAGTGGCCCTCTCTATTATCCCCACATTCGTTGAATCAACGTAAAACCCGTTGTACACATGAGAGATTGATGAGCATTAAATGCCTTAAGAGACCAGCTGCAACGCAGTTGGGGTCTGTTCGCTTCAGACGAATAATTGCATCTTCGGGATTGCGTATGCAAGTGAACAGAAATCTGCCGAAATCAGGCAGTGTTTCCGCCTAACATGACGAAATGAGGGGTTTCCTCATGATACGGACAAGTCGGCTATCGGCAGCTTAGTTGTATGAGCAAGATGTAACAATCCTGAGGTTTGCTAGAGTCACAGACCACAAAAGTTACTCGCAGTTGCCCTGCGAAACTAGCTTTAGCAATGCATACGCATGTTGGCGAATTGGTCAATCCCGCCGGATATCGAGTCACGTCTCAAACCTTGGGGTGCCGAAAAATGCAGACAGCAGTTGGCGAGTCAGATAATCAGTCCCGGCCGTGATGTGGGTGAAAAATTTGCCGTTCTTCTCTACTGCGCATCATACATTACTGATCTTGGTAGACTGGGTAGATCAAGTATGTGCAGCAGCATCCATAACTCCTTGATGATGGTCATGCTGTTGGGCTAAAATATGCGTTAAATGGCGAGTATTTTTCCTGTGCAAAATATGCTTGGACTAATGACTGACTGATGTACAGCTCAGTTCAAACCCATGTCTATGGTACGAACGTTGTTCACGCGACCATGTTTGGAAACCTGAGTAGTTTTGGCGACTTCCCGCCGCACTACACTGACGAAGGGTTACCATTCGAAAATCGCAAAGGTACAATTATAGGCATCATAGTTCCGTTTCTGGTAAGAGCCCTCATGGGGTAGCCTTGGGCTAGTTATTGATGAACGCCTTCAGGTCTTGGCCTGGGTCTCCGTCGGCCTGCGAATATACACAAGAGTGCGCATTGTAAAGGCACCGGGGTGGGACGATATCGTGATCGTCATTGCGCTAGTTGGTCCCTCCCTATTATACTTGGATACGATGAATATTGACTTTGTACCATAGTTTGCAGGCTCAGCGAGTGCGATAGGACTTTCTCTGAGTGAAATCACCCCCATAAATCCATAAATGATTGGTGGGTTCGAATGGCTAATGCAGATCCAGCAACAAATCATGGTATGGGTCACTCTTTCAAAGAAGTTCCTGATAGTGATAGAGAGATGTTCTTTTTGGTAAGATTGACTACCAGTTAAATCTCTGTGCCACAAGGTCCTCAATTCACACTACGAGCAGCTTTTCTATATTTCCAACGCATCATTTTCGATGTCAAATGCCCTAGTAAAACTGTCATTACTCTTTCAATACATGAGGGTATTCGAAGATCGCATGCCGCGTCTGAGGATTGTGACAATCGGCCTGATCATAGTTGTCTCAATCTGGGGCCTTGTTTTCTCTTTCATAGCCTGGTTTCCCTGCTTTCCGCCGTATCAGTTCTACCGCCTTGGATCAGAGTCACATTGCTACGGTTATGGCTCCACCAACCCGTTAGAGGTTTACTACGTCGTCGTCGCGTCTAATGGAACGAACATGGCTTTGGACTTTATAATACTTTTGTTACCGATTCCTCTACTATTTAGCAGAGAAACTGAACGTCCGACGAAGATCGGGCTGCTTGTTTTACTCTGCATCGGAATACTGTATGAGAACTAGATAAACTACATGCCTTTGTGCTTCGCGATTGGCTGATTGACTGGTTATTCAGAATTAATGTTATTGCCGCATGGCGCATAGTTGCCAACAAGGCGACATCCGACCGCCAGCCTGACCCGACAAGGATCTTTCCAACCATAATCCTTCTAGGCGAGACAGAAAACCGACTTTCTCTAATTCTAGCATCTATTCCGGTGTTCTGGCCCATAGTCTCAAAGACGTGGCGCAACACCATCACCGTCACGCATGAAGTCACGATCGAGAGTACATTACGGCACGCTGGCACAGGAAGACCGGGAGGGATGAGAAGAACAGATTTTGATTATAGGGTGGAGCGTGTAACTACCGAGGATGAGGCAACTGAGGCCGGGTTACGGCATCCGGGACGGCTTTGTGAGGTGGACCGGTACGTCAGGGAATTGGTAAGCCCGTTTGCTGAGACTCAAGAAGTTGAGTCTACAGTATCGACACAACACCAGCGACATTTCGCCGAGGAACTACAAGGAAATAAGTTGAACTTTGTAACAGTCCCAAACGCGGATCAGTGAAGGGAGTCTTCAACCTAGTCAACAGTTGCTTAACCGCTTTAATAGGAATGGCGGTTTTTAGATAATATTAAATTCGCTGGGAAAGGAGGCACCACTGGTCTTTTGTGATTAAGTATTTGGTGTATAGGTAACAACCATAAGCCGGCTTTATCTCAGGTCATTGCTTCAAGAAATCGAAGTGATAATACTAGAAAACTCTTGGGTCTCTCCTTATTAACTTGTTGTTTTCTGTCTTTATACCAATTTCTGTTCATCCATAAAGGGCATCCTTTCTTTTCGCAACTTTTTTACGACTTTTGTTCTACTATAGTATCATGTGAGACCAGTTCCGTCTGCAGACAAGTTTGAGCGATCAGCTGGGGTACAAGAACGGGACGTTTACCTTGTGTCTCCAAGTAGCTGATTCTTTGCTTCATATTTGGAAGAGAGAAAACGATTCATCGCATCTCAAATCATTCACAGGAGGCTTAAGCTGGATTTTCAAAGGACTTGTCTTCTGAGCCGAGTTTCAAAATCTGCCCATGAGACACATATAATATCTGGTGACGTTTCTAGCAGTGTATCCGTGGCTAATTTATGCAATACTTTCTGTATTCCTAGTCCGGCCTTTATAACCAACGTAAAGACAGTAAGAAATGGTCAAGAGACTAGCTCAGACGCACACTCCTTCGATATTAGAACAAAATCCAGGCTTTACTTGCCAGCTCTCCAGCACTTTCTATATTTTGAACAAAAAGAAATCTAGAGGTATGTTTCAAGCTTGGTCTAACAGCTACTTGGCTTCTTTCTGGGCCACAATGTACTCTGAAGCTAACAACTTTAAGTTGGCTGATATCTACAGCTATTCGTCTCAAAACATATGGATGACAAAAACAACCGGTAGTTATTAATGAGCAGAAAGATGGATTTAATAGCTAAAACCTGAAAGATTAGAACTCGATGCATTTTCTTAAAGATCGAGCTTTTTGTGAGCGGCTTCTAGTAGATTGGGAGAAATAGTTAGACCGCACTTGAGGTGGCTAGGTATACCCTATTCTGTGACATTCTAAAATAAAAGACCAAAACTTTGCTCAGAATGTGGTGATATCAGAGCCCCTTCATACGTGCTTGATGAATCAACTGCAATTATATCGGAAGTAGTAGCTTAGTGCTCATAAAGCTTCCTCGAGAAAGAACACTAAGTGACTGGTAGAGCCTATCCCTACCTGAATGATAATACTTCATAATAGAGAAGGAGATGAATCAATTCTGTACCAAAATCAACAAAAATAAGTAAATTTTGATTGCCACCTTCATAAGAGACAGGAAAGATGAGAGGACATATTCTGTTGGCAGCAAGAATGTATTTGTTCGGAAATCGTACAGCAACCGTGATCTTAGGAACCTAGGTTCTTTTTACAAAGCGTTTTGGTGCACCAATCATCATGCTCGTTAGATACACTTGAACAGTTTGCTAAACACATACGCACAACGGTTTACTTGGTAAAAATATTACATTACTATTAGAAATGATACATGTACTATTAACTCATTTAAGCAGCCTTGCACAGACGGCCATCACCCTGCACCTTCCAGCCATCACTTCCCACACCCGTCAGAGCGTAAAAAGTATCGAGAGGATCGTAGATCTTCTTAATGGTCTTGAGCTTGGCGTAGTTGCTGCCGTAAAAGACCGTCTGCCAGTCCGCTTGGTTGCGGTCGGCTTCATTCAAGTAAGCACCACCGCCAGGGGTGAGGGCAGTCAGCGCAGGAATCAGTGTGTCAGTGACAGTCTTCTGACCGCTCACGAGAGTAGAGAAGTCTGCGCGGTCATAAGGCCTGCAGAAAATTAGTTGAAAGCCCACATGATAATCGAAAAGGGGTAACTCACGTTCCGACGACGGCGGAAAAGAGAGCCGTGCGCCAAGCAGGGTGAACAGCGTTGGGCACAGCGCCGGTTTTGCGAGCAACGTTGATGGTGAGACCGGAGATGATGCCGCCGTTCTTGATGATGGAGGCCAGAGTATCGACAAGGGTTGTGGCGGAGGCGTCCGTAGCAACGAGAGACCGGGGCATCAGACGACCACCGACGTTGAACTCGGTGACAGCGGGCTCGGGGTTCATGTCGTTGTAGCTGTCCAGGTACGTGCTGTACTGGTTAATATGGTAGTCTGTTTCAGTTAGTATATATCCATAGCCAAACAATTAAGACAATCTCACCATACGTGATGCCAGCAGCATCAAGGGCGTCGAGGGTCGGCTGGAGGAGGGCCTGAAGCTCCTCCTTCTTGAGACCTGGGGCAGTCGTCGGCTGCATGAGAAACATGCCAGGAGTGAGCAGCCAAATGCTGACGGCTCCAGCATCGACGATGCTGGGCAGAGTCTTAAGATAGCTCTTCACGGCACCGTAGAAAACTTCATCAGTGACGCCAGTGTTTGTGAATGTCAGGTTGGCAGACGAGACGATCATGTCAGGATAAGCCTTGACAGTCATGGACAGAACAGCGGCGTAGGTTCCACCACCTCCACCAGACAGAGCCCAGTAGAGGTCAGCGTACTTGGTCGGGGTCGCAGTGATGGTCAGGCCGCTGGAAGTGACAACCTCCCACTCCAGAACCTGATCAGCACCCAAGCCGTACTTGGATACGAGAGGTCCATGACCACCACCTTGGGTGTAGCCGCCTGCGAGACCAACGGTCGGGCTGTTGCCGCCTACGATAACAAGCCCCTGAGCGTGAGCCGCGTCTTGAGCCTCGCCGGCTTGCACGCCGGCGCCAACTTTGAGAGCCTTGCCGGTGTAACCGGCAGACTTGTAGTCGAGCACCTTGATATCCTTGAGATGGTGAGTCCACAGGGCTAGAGCACCCGCGCCGGTGGACTTGCCAAGGTAGTCGTGTCCAGTGTTGCGAATTACGAGGCGGATGTTGTTCTTCTGGGCGAACTTGATGGTGGCGCTGTAGTCGGCAGCACTCGTCGCCTTCACGGCGTACTGGACGTAGGTGCCAACGACGCAGCGGTCTGTGGGCTGGAGGAAGGGGTCGCAGCTCTGGTTGGCGAAAAACGCAGCCATAACAGACGAGGAAGTCTGAATGTGAGTCTCAGAGCTGGCCCAAGAGGAACGAAGCGCGGCGCACTTGTTGGCGTCGTATGAGCCAAAGGAGCTGTCATGGCATACGGCTCCAATGGGGACAGTAGCGATGAGGCGTCCGCCAACGGTCTTGTTGAAGGCATCCCAATCGGCTGTCTTAGGCCAACAGGCATCACCAGGGAAGCAGCGGCATGCTGAGTCTCTCGCGGCGATGTCGATGCCGAAAGAGCCTCCTGGCTTGCCGACGGAAATGGCTGAAACTACCGCGGGTGCGAGAGAGAGGAGGTTGAGGAAGGACACCATCTTGACTCGAAAATGGTGTATGGAATAGGGAAGAGGGAGGTGAGGAAAGAAAGAACTTCACGATACAATTCTAGGCTTCAACACTACATATTTAAGATGTTTAACATGATCTATGGCTACAGAATTGGAATGAGTTGCCGGCCATACCGGTCGGTTGAAATGATAGTTTGATTAGCACCCATGCAAATATTGACTGCCATGAGCCATGATATTTGTCTCCATGACCCCACGCGATCGGCTGCGGTAAGAAACTTTTAAACTATTGAAAAAGACTTGGTGTAACCCAGCTCCTCTTGCCTGTGTCATGCGGGGTCTTGACGAAGTCCTGGCCGTAATGGGGCCACATACCGCGTGGCTCTGCTTGCCAGGCCTCTAGCAGGCGTACGTCAATGATTCAAGATCCAGGAAAAGAGGGAAATAAGGCCGAGGTTGAGGTCCTCAACTAGCCGTGTGCGAAAGCCGGATGGATACCAAACAAGTGCGGAGATTCACCGAACAGTCGTGGGAACTCAGGTCCAAGAGCTCATGTGAGCTACTATAGGCAGGTAACATTTCTCTTTTCTTATTTAGGATTGTCCCTGTCACCGGTAGTTATAGAGGCAAGGATGACTATCATCTGGAGAGTTGCCAACGCTCAAACTCTCTTGGTAGTGCAGGGTACTTGGCTGTTGCATTGCGTGTGCCCGCCAAGGTTTGGCAGATGCCAGTCGCCGTTTTCATCAGAGCAATTAGCCACGGTTCATCCGAACGTACATGTATGTGCGTGTATGTGTGTGTTCTATGTAGTACTTCCCTGCGTGATAATCTGGATCAGCCTAGTGATTGACAACATTTGAAGGGCCAACCCGGAGGGCTGGGTTGATAAACAACACCTGACTGAGCGACGGAGACCAATAAGCCGATCATGCGAGGCCCCGTGTGACTATTATGCCCGTACATCGTCATATAAGCCGTCATCGACGCTAAAAACGGCCTCTAGAGGAGCTAGTTAATTGATCCTCCCGGCATAGTCTAGGGCCACGGCTTCCAGCTAAACGTGAGTGAATTACTATCCATCTAATCCAGGGGGTTAATTAATATGTCTTCCTCCCGCAACTCTAGCATAAAAGAACAGGTCAATTAACGTCCCTGGCGCCGCGCTTGGCATGATGGCTCCCCGCGGGCCGCTCCCTGCCACCGCTTGACTCGTGTCCCCTGTCCAACTCGATCACGTACCTCATGTATTCGTCAACAACTCTCCTCCCTAACCCAGCATAGCCGGAGTCTTATCCGGAGTTACTACGGCCATGACTCGCGACGAACCCTCCCCCGGTAATCCGACGCTCCAACAAAGATAACCAACTCCTACCCAGAGTTACCGGGAAGCTCGTACATCGTAAACCCCCCCTTCGAATCGGTAAACTCGTCACACGTGTTGCAACGACACGAAACCGTCACCGATTAACGGCAGGGAGTACAGGCATACCGTCCACAGGCACCATAGCCTCCATGCGCGGGCATCCGTTTCCGGCGTCCTTGTCCGGAGGACCCCGACCACTACCAAGGCGCCAGATACCACGGGCATGACGACCTGCCACGATCGGACGCGCCAGAAGTAGGCGCACACGCAAGACCATAGAGGCACGAACAGCGCCAACGACGTGCGAGAGACCCCGTCGCCGAAGAACAGGGGAATCGTGTTGCGTCCGCGCCCGGCGTCCCCCGCCTGGTCCTTGAGGTCCTGCACCTGCATGGTCGTGAGGATAACGGCACTGATTATGCCTGCCCAGAGGTAGCCTTCGCGGGTGATGGTGGTGTCGGCGTCCCCGATGGCAATCTTCAACGAGGCCGTGTTGAAGAGACCGTACGCAACGGCAATGATGACGTCCCTGAGAAGCGTGTCGCCGCCCCTGAGGTCGTTGTACAGCCAGGTGAGGATGAGGATGAAGACGCCCTCCTTCCATACACCCAGAACGTAGTTGAAGACGAGTACTGCGGGAATGGCCACGAGCATCGCCCGGCGTGTCTGGTCTTGCGTGACCTTACCCGCGGGAATGGGACGCCATGGCTTGTTGGCGAAGTCCTCGGCCACGGACTCGGGGCTCCTCTGGTTCGCCAGGTCGAATATGAGAACGCTGTACCAGTTGAACGCGACCACCAAGGGGAACCTCTGCAGCACGGCAAGTGCCGTTGCCTGTCCCGAGGTCAGGGGCTGTCCGGCCAGGCCGCACAAGATGCCAAAGGCTGTGTTAGGCACGACGAAGGTGGAAAAGTTGCTCTCGGTAAAGTCCCATACCAGGCGGGGGATGCTGAGAACCGTCCTGAATGTGCTTTTTGAGGGCTTGCTGGGCAATGTGTCGTCTTCAAACGCTCCTCGTTTGAACGCCAGGGGAGAGTGTTCCCCAATACCTGGTTGTGACATGATGGATGTCCAGGCCAGAGACGTATGATGTTTATGCAAGGAAAAGATGAGAGTGGGCTGAGAGTGGTCTCGCAGTCTGGTTCGGCAGCTTCACTTAAGTGACGGATGTGGTTCTGATATGTCTTTCAAGAGTTCCTATCGACTCGACATCAGGAGACCTACATCATCATCCAACGGGACCATGTCAACACTCCGCACACCGCTTCACCGTCCAACAACTTCCATGGACCAGTCATGAAGTCCCGGAAATCCCAAGACGTTGTCAAATGTAAAATTGTTAAGAGGTACATCCGCCTCGGTCTTGGTCTAGTTGACGCTCGTGAGGGTATACAGAACCGCCAACGTGACCTTGGCAACAGCGCAATCTGCAAGCATGCAAGAAACCCCTGGGCGATCATACCCCGATGAATTGATTTAAATGACCTTCTGCGGCACTGAAAGAGTCATTGTCTAGAGAGACTGAACCACCGACTTGCAGAGGCCGTTTGCATGGGACCCCTTTGGGAAACGTTCCCTGAAGCGGTTTCCGTTTGATAGCGATCGCATCTGACGAGCTTGGCTAGACTGATAACCGAATATGCTGCACGAACGAAGTCTAATAACCTCTCGTTGACGCTTGGCTTTATGGATATCAGCGGTTGAAGCTTATGTCTCCACGAAGATCATTCACCAGCAGTGTTACGCGACGTTGTGGCTAGCCTGGTTAACCTTGACCCATATCGTGGGCCCTACGTAGCATGGCACCAGCGTGCTGATTCAGTGATCCGGTCCGAAAATCTGTGCAGTAGGAGTACTAGCCAGAGCAGGAAGAAAAAAAAAAAACGATGGTGTTATAGGTGTGGGTATGAGTAGGAGAAAGCTTTCGCTCTCGCAAGTCATCCACGAAACGGGTTGGTCAGTAAACCCACCTCGTGGGTTCCCTTGCTCACGTTGCCCGATACCCAGCGCACGTGTACCCGTCGGATACTACCATAGCTCCCGCAAGCTTTGATAAGCGGAGCAGTTCTTATTTACTGCGTCGTGAATTAACTGTTGTGCCGAAGGGGTATCCCAATAGTTGGGAGGAGATGGTGTTCCTAGCCGTAGTTCTGGGTCTGAATTGTCCCGTCTTTCTTTACCAGGGAGACCATGCCTGAGTGGATAAGAACCATCTTGGTGGAACGAAGCCAAGTTATCATTCGCCGAGCGACGATCACCACGATGAGTTCGGCTGCGCTGCAAGCGATGCTGTCTGTAGATTATCCGAATGCCCAGTCAACTGGCGTGTCGCGTAAGGCTTCTTCGGCAGTGGTGTCGGGATGCAGGCAGTGTTGAGTTTTGGCCACGAATCAATTGTTTACATAGGAAAGTAAAGAGTAGGTATACTAGTACAGGATATAGAAAAATGAAAGTAAGGTCAAAGAGAAGAAAAGAGTCAGGTAGATCGTGTACGTGTCTCATCAATAGTTAATCCCACTTCTCAAGCATCCAACTTATACCTGCGCTCGCCTCCACGAATCCTGCGACGTGGTAATGTCCTGCTGGACGTAAATCACAGGACGGCTTCCCCTCGGCGCCTCATTCCCCGGTGAGTACTGGCACCTGGTAATGACAACCTGCTCGCTGTCGTCCTCCTTGCCGCGCTCCAAGTCAACATAGGAGATGGGTTCTCCCAGCTTGTCGTACGCCCTGCGGGGGTGACGACCGCTCGGGTTGCTGCTGGACATGTTTCTTAGATGTATCTGGCCTCTGTCGGTAGAGGGGTTGGAAAGCTTGGAGCCGATCTTGGAGACAGCCGGCTTGACGTATGTCTTGAGCAGGGGGCCAAGTGTGGGCAGGCAGGCAATGACGATGCCGATCCACAATTCAAGAAGACTGATGAGGCCGATATCATGGAGGTTATAGACAAAGTCAGTGTCGCCGATGGTCGTCACGGTGTTGACAAGTCGCCAGACCATGATGGCGATGGTTCTGTCTCTATTAGCTTGCATTCCAATGAAAAAAAAGCTGTCAAAAAACTTACAAGAAGCCCATGCCAAACATAGCGCTGACTGCAACCTTGTTCCTCAAAGGCATCTGGAGACCCCAGAGCGCCGGCATCGGAAGGATAGTCATGGCGACATCGACAACAATGTTGATCGTGACGGATACGATTTGATCAATGGTGATGTCTCGGCAGTTGCCTCCAGGAACAGGGGCCCATTGCTGGGAGACAGGCGTGCAACGGCTCATGAATAGAATGAGAAAGGCCACACCGTAAGCGCCCACGATGCCCATCAGTATACGCGACCAGCGCTTGAACTGTGCTGTGGCGAAGATTCTTGTGTACATCCATAGGATGGCGAACTTGATGAAGATGGTTCCAAGGAGCCAAGTGACACCACTGGCGAGGATGAGCTTTGCGACGAGGTGTAAGCTAGAATTACTCAAACATGGAAGTAGAAGGGAAAAGTCTCTACCTTGAACTGCACCGCATACTCGGGCAGACTGAGTTCGTCGGTATGTTTGCCTAAGCCATTGTAGATGGCCCAGATGACCACGCCTTCCAGCGCAACGATGTTCGCCTGAGTCCTGTATTAGCCAAGTCAAAGTAAAGGGGCCAACACCACTAACAAACGCAAACGCAATCATGCCATCATCCCACCAGAACCCCCTCCTCATCATCCGCGCCGCCCAGTAGCGCAGGCAGAGAACCGAGAAGTCAAAGGCCGTAAAGACCACGATCCATACTAGCAGGCCAATGCCCCTCGTACCAGCGCCAGGCATCGTGTCAAGGAATGTTGAAAGAGTTTCTCAAGTAGATGAAGAAAGCACAGCAGCCAACGTTGCAGCTCGTTTAATACAAAGTCCAAACGTTTCAAGCTTTTTCTCAGTCCGATATAATAACCAACCGGCAACCGCCGCGGGGGCGCAGTGCGATACGGGGAGGGGGGATTCATCAACTCTTATGGAGGGTTGTAGGCCGCGAGCTAGCTGCCGAATCCATCTCCATCCAAAAGAGAGCCACCACCACCACCACACCACACGAGGCGGGATATCTTCTTTTTTCGAAACATGATCTCCAGGACTGGCAATCACATATCGACAAAGGCTGCCGGGGAAAAAAAAGAGTGGACAAAACCGTTCGATGAGACACAGGCCCCATGTGACGCTAATCGCGATAGTCTCTAGCTTCGGGTTCGATGTAAAGAAAAGCCAAGCTCATTGTACCTTACTTTGCCGTCCATCCTCCCCGGCAACTATCACACAAGACGAGCTAAACCTGTTCTCATGTGAGTATGTACCATGGGCACCTACAAATGCAAGAGATAGGACGACATGAATCGAGTATGGGTGCCGAACCTGCATAACGTTGCATGTCACCCCTCCCCACACATAATCAACCATGAGGGAGCGTCTGTAATATCTCGTGGTCCTAAAGGACCAACCATCCGCCTTGCGTCACCACACGTGTGGGTATTCTCGATATAGGTGATTATGGAGATTCCTACCTTGACGGCGGGCCTTTTTTTTCCTCAGATGTGATCGGGGAGCGGATGTACGCCATGGACATAGCATGGGCTCTTGGATAGAAGAGAATGAATCCGAGACTCCACAACTCAAAGTACTATGTATGACCCTCCCAGCCCCTCAGGGTTACCAATTCAAGGCACTCCATGGCTATTTGGTGAACGGTGGTTTCCCCGCTTTTGTTAATTGACTGCAGGGGTTATGTCTTGTCCCACTCCAAGTTGAGAAGTCATTCTCAAGTTTCGAGGTGGAGAAGTACACTGGTTTCAAAGTGGAGTTTCTGCGAGTTGACAACTCAAAAGTTGCCTTACCCTTGTCCAAAAGCCCATGACGAATATGGATACACTCACCCACACACACACACGCACACACAATCGCAGACCGAGATCCACATACCATGGAGACGGCCCCCTGTGAAAGAGAGAGAGAGAGTGTGTGTGTGTGTCTGCGTCTCTTTCTTCAGCGCGCTTCTGTCGTCCTGTAACAGGCCTCCCATTCCTCCATAGACACACCGGTCAACCGCGGTACATCATTCAATCAGGTGGCCTTGCTTTACTTTGGCGGTGTCTAGCCACGCCTTACCCGATATTGCCATGAGCTGCTGCTGCAAGGCACAGCTGACCCTTCTCATATGTTTCATCGACAAAAGATCTTCTTGCCCTATTTGTTACCGTTTGAGCTTGTCAAGTGGAGAAACGTTGCCTGCCATAAGTCCGGTTGCGTTGCCAAAGTAGTAATCATCGTCACAACCTGGACATATGCGTGCGAGCGTGCTGTGCCGTACACTGCCCGTATACGCTAACACAATCCTCTTCTCTCCCTGTTGGGCTATGTTTGGCACTATGTTGCTGCGCCTTTGACAATGCCTCCTCACTCTTATAAATCGTCGTTATATGGGTCCATTGCGGCGTCTGCGCACCACACAGCATTCATCCCCCCTCTCCTCTCTCGATTTTTGACTACCGTGTTCGGAGATAAAAGACGTGCCCAGGCTCGCGGTAATCTACACGACCGTTAGAGCTCACCCTTCCCCAATTTATCACTCTTACCTGAATATCGCCACTTCTTCCAGGATCTTAAAGACCTTCCTGTCTTTAACACAACCATCAACTCAAGATGCAACCCCCTCTGCCTTCCGCTACGCCCACATGGCACAATGACATTTACGATGCCATCTCCCCCTCCCGCGAGGAGTTGACCGCGGCGGGGAAGACGGTGATCGTGGTTGGCGCGGTAGGTTCAGTTCCCTTTCCTCCCCCCCTCCCATCCCCCCCGGTCTTGGGACCTACTCCAATACTTCAAGTGCGTCAATCAAGTCTAATTCGGGTCGTGACTTGAAAGGGGAGTGGAATTGGTCGAGAGACCGCCTTAGCTTTTGCTGCCGCCGGTGCGGCCCGAGTCATTCTTCTCGGTCGTTCAGAGTCCGCTCTAGCCGCGACCGCAGCCTCATTGCCACAGTCTGTTAAATCCGAGGTCTTCGTAGCAGATGTGACGGACGAGAAGAGACTGGCAGAGGTGGCATCGGCAGCCGGCAAGTGGGATATCCTTATCCTGGCCGCCGGCTACACCTCGTCGCCCTCGTCAATCGTGGGTTCCACCACGGATGAATGGTGGCAAAACTTCGAGGTTAGAGAATCCCTTCAACACCCCTCCCCCGTCAAACCTGCGACTCGACACTCATCACATGTGACAGACAAACACCAAGGGCACATATCTCGTAACCAAGACTTTCCTCCCCACGGCTAACCCCTCGCATGCTTCGGTGATCGCATTGACGACCGGCACCACGGCGTTGCCGGTCACCATGTTGAACGGTCTCTCCCCTTACATCGCTTCCAAGCTAGCGCAGACCAAGATCATTGAGCATCTGGCGGCGGAGAACCCGAACCTCTTCGCCGCAATCCTGCACCCGGGCTTCGTCGAGACCGACATCTTCAAGAAGAGCGGTGCCAAGGCTGAGGCCCTCCCAATGGATACAGGTGCGTGCTGTCCCTGTCGCCCTCATACCCACCACCCGCCTCTCTTTGGATCAACTCCGCTGTGGGCCGACAAGGTTGCTAACGTCCGTGCTATATCATAAAGTCCAACTCCCTGCCCACTTTGCTGTGTGGTTGGCTAGTTCAGAAGCCGCTTTCCTGAAGGGACGCTCAGTTTGGGCGAACTGGGATGTGGACGAGCTCAAGAAGAGTGCCGGCGTCATCGAGTCCGGCCAGCTTCTCACGAGCGGTATTAACGGCTGGCCATTCACGCCCCTTGCCTAAGAAGAGGGGTTTTTCTTTTTTATTCCATAGTCCAGTTTGAAATCGGGTCCATTATATGCGTTTGTGTAGTATGCAGGTAATAAAAGCAAAGGAGCATGTATGACAAGAAATTCGTTCCAGGGTTATTTCCTTGGCCCAGCTGCTCTATACATAGTCCAATCACCTCAATTCAAAACAAAGCGACAGGGGTCCCGGATTCGACGTGAACTGGTCTCGGATACCGTCAAAAACGCGAGTTCCGGTCTCGCCTGGAGCAAGACGGATGTGATAATTGTTGACCAATCTCGCAACGACAAACCTCATGGTGTCCATGGCGAGGAAACGACCAAGGCAGCTGTGATGACCTGTGAAGCCACGGGGTCAGCGTCCGGAAATGTCATCTACGCAGTGGACCTTACCTGTCCCAAAAGGTGCGAAAGCTGCTGCGTTGCGGACCATTTCTGGACGAGTGCTCCATCTTTCAGGGATGAACTCGTTGGGTCGCTCGAAGCAATCCTCTCCTGGAAAACAGAAATTAGCAGGAGATCTGAGCGCAACCGCATTCGACTTACTTCTGGAAATGACATGTCTGGGTGCAATAATGGTCGTGTTGGGCGGGATGAATGTGCCGCCAATGCTTGCCCCCTTCTCTGTAGTCTTCCTAGCTCCACCGGTCAGGAGAGCTGGGTAGAGACGTAGACCCTCATTAATGACGGCGTTGAGGTGCGGTAGACTTGTGAGTGTTTTCAGGTCAGTCACGTCAACGTCTTTCAACTCTTCATAGATCTTGTCGATATGCTGGGGGTGTTTTGCCATCTCGCAGAAGATTCCAATGAGAGCGGCTGCAGTAGGTTCACTGATGTATATGTCAGTTTCCAAGACTTGAAGAAAACTGAGATGTGCTTACCTTCCAGCCACAATGGCAAGTAGACTGTCACCAAACAGCCACGTCAGGCGGTCCTTCATCTCGGTCTGGCCTTCGTTCAGTTCCATCAAGTAATACGCAAGATCAGGCACAGAAGGCTTGGGACATGCGTCGTCCAGCCTCGTCTTCATCTGACGCTCGCACCAGGCGACCATGTCGAACCAATCCTTGAGAACTCCCACTCGAGGTGCAAGTTTGAAGCCTATCTGGATCAACCAAGGCGCAGGGCTGAAGGGGCCCAGCAACGACAGAGCCCGCTGGAGCCGCACAATGATGTGATGCCACTGTTGTTGATGCAGCATGTCAAACGATTTGCTGAAAACAAAGTCACCCATAACATCGAAACCAAACCAGAAGAAGAGGTCCCGCACTTCAGATGGAACGTTCGCTTTGGCATTGGCTTCGATGCACTGATCCAGTTGCTCAATATACTTGAGAATTTTTGACTCGTGCTGAACAAGGGCTGCAGGACGGCACGGCTCGTCAGAGATAGGCTCATAATGCCGAACACCCATGGAGACTTACCTTGAGCTGAGAACCCACGGTTCCATTCACGGCGTCGAGCGGCGTGAATTGGCTTGACACGGGTTGTAACGAGCGCTCGATCGGGGTGTAAGATGTCATACCACTCTGCCTTGATGCATTCCGATCGGGGACCATCTACAGCCATGAAAACTCCAGGGTGGAAAACGGTAACCTCGCTGGGTCCTGTTCAGATGGTTAGCTTCCAGATGGCAAGTTATCATGGAAAGTCACTTGCCTGTCCTGACGAAATCACCATACTGCTCGTGCAGCTTCTCGAGCACGAGATGGTTCTTGCAGTCTCTGCATGCCCATACGTGCCAAAGCTTTGTGATTCGGGCATACCATGGGCCATTAAAACCACGAAGACGATGGAAGAAAAGCCTGTAAAGCGTGATGCTGGCCAGAAGCCCAGGGAGATAGCCGGCGTAAAGAATGAGCAGCAAGTTAGAAAACTCAGCAATCGCCGTGCCTTTGTAGTATATGCTCGAGGCCATAACACAGACGAAGAACCACAAGTGTCCCAGAGCAATCTGGGGAGCTTGAACATGCCACTCTCCATGCATGAAGAGGCCATAGTGGAAGGCGATACCGCAAAGGAGTCCGAGTCCGTATACAAGGACGCCCAAGTAACTGGAGTCGTAAAATGAACTCATCATGAAGTCTATGCTGTTCATACAACTGCTCAATTCTGAAGGTAGAGCAGATCACTCAAAGACCTTACCTCGAGACTGGAGTTAGGCTGATTTACATGCACCAGTCGACCGTAGGGTGACCCAACATGACTCTCGTGCTGCGTCTAACCCCATCTAACCCCGTCTATCAACAACAGCTCGTGATTGCCTGAGGGGCTACATAGTCCATGACGATTGACTAGTGCCCAATAGTCGGAATGCAAATCAACACGACGTCGCGGCGTCCATCATACCAAGAAAGCCTTTGTACTGAGTGTTGCGAAATACATGCTCGATTGCCTTCGCGATAATCCATGGGTCATCCCAATAAACTTGACGTCCGAAACCTTACTGGGTCTGCCCCTGTCGATTGCACATGAATTGTTGACTGGGGGGCCTGGGAGAGTGGATGGGTCTTCGTCCAAACACATCGAACCTTAGATGCAGAAATACCGTCGTACGAATGCAACTCTGCAGTGGGACCTGCTTTAACGGTACCCAAAATGGTTGATTGGCACAGAGACGCGAATTGACGCAATGCGGCCGCCACGGGGGAGATGCCGGGAAGCTCGTCTTAGTAAGACGGCGGTTGATGCTGTGCAGCGAGGTCTGCGCCGTAATACACAAACATGTGCATGTATCGGTTCCTTCGGGGGCTGGGCACAGGGCATGATTTAACAGCGCCGCTCGTCCGCTGATGCGACACCTTCGATCTTTGTTCACTTGTGATGCTCCAGATCATCGGTTAAAATGAGTGCTCAATACGACTTTGTTATTGTTGGCGGCGGCGTTGCCGGCTTGGTGGTGGCAGCCCGGCTATCTGAGAACCCCGATATCCAAGTGCTGGTGCTCGAGGCGGGAGAGGACCAGACAGCCGACCCTCGGGTCAATATCCCCGCATTGGGTCCTAGTCTTGTCAAGACATCTTCCGACTGGCAATTCCAGACGGTACCACAGGTGAGTTCTCCTGGTGCGGTCTTTACGAGGTGGAGGCAACCCTTTGGATTCGTCTTTGCTGACGGTGGACTTTGCAGAGTGGCTTGGGCGGTCGTGAAATCGGTGTGCCTCAAGGACGCCTTCTCGGTGGCTCTGGTGCCCTTAACGGCCTATCTTTCACCGTTACGACTCGGTCTAATGTTGAGGCTTGGGCCAGTTTGGGGAATGCCGGCTGGGACTGGCCGGCGTTTAGCTCTGCTCAAAAGAAGGCCTACTCAATTGCGTCTGATCAAGAACAGAAGGGTCCTCTAAAGCTTTCTTTGCCCGAAAATGCCGAGTCTTTCTGGCCCAGGGTCTGGCAAGACACTATCCGCGAGCTGGGCTTTCCAGACGCCTGTGATCCGTTGAGCGGCCGGGGCGTTGGAAGCAGTCTCACTCCGGATACCGTGGACTCTGCAACTAAGACAAGGAGCCATGCTGCTAGCGCATATCTGCAGGCTGCCAAGTCGAGGTCAAATCTGACTGTTGCGACCCAGGCGCTCGTGGAGAGGATTATCTTCAGGTCAGATGCTGGCGAGATAGTTGCAGAGGGTGTCCAGTACACGAAAGATGGGGAGAAGAAGACGGTAACGGCACAGAAAGAGGTGATTCTGACCGCCGGTGCTCTCAACTCCCCACGTCTGCTGGAACTGTCTGGTGTCGGAAATGCTGAGCTTCTTCGGGGCCTCGGAATCGACGTTGTGCTTGACAGCCCGTACGTGGGAGAAAACTTGCAAAACCACATCATGGCTGGCGCTGCCTTTGAGGCACTTCCGGAACATGACACCATGGACGGCATCGTCCGTCAGGACCCTGCGGCCGTGGGCGCCGCTATGGAAGCGTACGGAAAGGGCTCGGGTCCCTTTTCCAGGAGCGGAACTTCGGCGACGGCACAGCTTCCGCTGTCGGCTGGAGAAGACATTGTCCAGTTGCTCGACACCCTCAAAGCCGAGGCCCCCAAGACAAAGTCGACATCCGGTTTCACAGATGCGATTGAATCATTCGTTCGATCTGTTTTGACATCGTCATCAGAGCCTTCGGGCTATTACATCTCGTTCCCAGGCTACGCCTTGTTCAACTCAGACGGAACTATGGCGCCGCCGCCTGCTGGCGACGAGAAGTACTTCACAATAGGCGTGCTCCTCGCCCACCCTCTATCGCGAGGTTCAAGCCATATTACATCGGCATCTTTGGAGTCGGCAGCACTGGCTGTTGACCCCGGCTATTTGACGCATCCCCTTGATGTCGAGATTTTGGCCAGACATCTTCAGGTCTTGGAAAAGATTGCAGCAAGCGAACCGCTAAGAAGCCAGCTCAAGCAGGGAGGGAAGCGTACCCCAGCCAATAATTTGACCGACCTCGAGCAAGCGAAAGAGTTTGTGCGAAAGACCGCAGTTGGTGCCCATCACTTTACGGGTACATGCTCCATGATGCCTCGCGAACTTGGCGGTGTCGTCGACGAAAAGCTGCGTGTCCATGGAATCCGCAACTTACGGGTGGCTGACGCCAGCATCATTCCCATCACCGTTCGAGCCAACCCACAAGCAACTGTGTACGCAGTCGCTGAGAGGGCAGCCGAGCTGATTAAGTCGAGTCTTTGAGCGTCGTCAATAGTTGAACTCTGTTTCCAGTAGAAGTAGCTTTGTTCAGGGTCAAGAATGTATACGAATTAGTTTCCTGTCATTGATTCTTAGTCGAGAATATAAACCAGAAACTTCGAAATAATATCTTCAAACTGCCCAGGTCGATTAAATATCTTGGGAAGCCAGTTCGATCTAAGTTAGTAGTGGTATCACGTCAAGAAGGTCACCTGATTTCTTGACGCAAAGGCTGTGGAACAAGGACCAAGGTGCGGTGGAATCGGCTTCAATGTATGGCTCGATGTTCCGGTTTGTTTACATTGTTTGTAGTTATAATAAGGTTAATTATGCCGAATGGTGTAATGACGGCGTCACGATGGCTTTACTGACAGCGTCTGTGCAAGCTGTTTTAATGGCTACAGTGGACGCGTCCAGGTCGCCTTGCGGGATGGAAGTACCAGGACTTTTGTTACACCCGACGCCCCACCAGCCAGGATGTACCTGTACGTCATGTGACCTCCCGCCAGGCAGCTCGCGTCCCCCCCTTGGTAGCGCGTCACCTAAACCGCGTCAACGGAAATAATTCGCCTCTTCACCAACGTTGGCGATACTACACCAAAACCTGCAACTTTTTGCCTCCATACATGTATTGACCTCGCCTTGAGGCCTACTGGCTCTTCACCTCCCAATTGCATGCCTTACATCATATCCAACCATGGCTGATCAAGCTAAAGGCTTGTTCTCAGAATGCTCTTTCGCATTCGTACCGAGTGCCTACTTGGCACCCAAAGAGATTAGTGAGCTCTCCGAGATCGTCACAGGCCGTGGCGGTGAGGTTCTCGATCCACGACGCGATGGATCTATCCGACTGGAACAGGTTTCTCATATTGTCTCGAATACGATCGATTTCCCCCAGTTCACCGAAACGCAAGCCTTTATGATTCCAGTCGTCAACTCGTCCTGGATCAAAGCCTCCATTCACAGGAACAAACAGGCCCAGGTCCGCCCCTACTCGCCCGACCCGCGCATGTTCTTCTCCAAAGTCACACTCACCTGTGCCGACCTACCTGAAATCGACAAGGAGACCATCATCGGCGCGACACTCGCCATGGGCGGCATGGAGAGCGCCGACGTCACGCGCCAGACCACACACATCTGCGCCCTGACCATGGAACATCCGAAATGCGTCACCGCTAAAGAGAAGGGACTCAAGTGCAAGATCGTTCTGCCACATTGGTGCGTTTGCCACTCTCTCCTGCTGCTCGATTGCTAACCAATTCACGTGCCAGGTTCGAAGACTGCTTCAAGCTCGGCAAACGAATCGACGAAGGCCCCTACACATTGCCCGACCCCGAAATCCTGAGAAACCCAGAGTTGCAAGGCGAAGTGCGAGTGCCCAAGTACGATCACCTTCAAGGAGCGACGTCTACCGTACCTAACCAACTCGTCGATAGCACGCGCAAAACTGCCACCATCTTCCAAGGCAAGAATGTCATGTTCTCGAGTGACCTCAGCATCTCGCCGCGATCGCTAGATATCATCAAGCAGCTCGTCAGCAACGGAGGCGGTAGAGTGGTGGAGGACGTAGACGACTGCGACTATTTCGTTTGCCAGTACCGCGACGGCGAGGACTACATCAAGGCTGCTCAGTCAGGCAAGGATGTCGGAAACCTCTCGTGGCTGTACCACTTGATCACACAGAACGAATGGACCTCGCCCCTGCGCCGATTGCTCCATTACCCCATCCCCAGAAATGGCATCGAAGGCTTCAAAGACCTCAGAATCTGTGTTTCCAACTACGGCGGTGACGCCCGCATTTACCTCGAAAACCTCATCAAAGCGATCGGTGCCACATATACCAAGACCATGAAGGCGGAAAATACGCATCTCATCACGGCCCGGAGCAGCAGCGAGAAGTACGAGGCGGCAAAGGACTGGAACATCGAGACCGTCAACCACTTATGGATCGAGGAGAGCTATGCCAAGTGCGAGAAGCAGAGGGTCACGATTCCCAAGTACTCTCATTTCCCGGTCCGTACGAATCTCGGCGAGGTTATCGGCCAGACCTTTTTCGACGAATCCAGGTTACGAGAGACGTACTACCCCGGTGGAGAGGAGCAAATGTCGCCTGGTGCCAAGCGGAAGCGCAAAATTCTCGAAGCTGCGCAGGACAACTCGTACAATCACGGTCCGGCGGAAGGAGTAGTAATTAGCGAACCAGCAGAGAAGAACGACGAGGCCATTGACGATAGCTTCATGACGCCGGTCCGTCCCAAGAGAGGAGCGCGCGGTAAAGAAAACGACACGCCTTCGGTCGTATCGACAGGAAGCCGAAGCGCAAAGAGCAAGGCGCTCACCAACCTGCAGCGTATCGCGCCGGACATTGCCCTGTACGAGAAGGAGAAGAAGCGTGGAGCAAAGGACGGACACGGCCCGTGGGGCGGCAAGCGTGCCGCGGACCAGATCGACCGAGAGCGCGGCCGAACATCCAGCCCGGCACAAGCAGCCGCAGACGACGACGATGACGACAAACGCCCGGCCAAGAAACAAAAGGCTTCACGTCCCGACGTTGAGATGAGAGTCGTCTTGACCGGATTCGCAAGATGGGTCAACAACAAGCACAAGGAGGACGTAGAAAGGGTGAGTGAATTTTGCTTTAGTTTTATTCTCGGATGCTAATGATGATTTTGCAGAAAAAGCTCCGCGATATGGGAATCCTCATCGTCCAGGACGATAAGGCGTGCGACTACCTCGCCGCTCCGCACATGGTGCGGACCGTCAAGTTCCTCAAAACACTAGCCAAAGGCGCCACCATCCTCTCATCTAAGTTCATCGAAGAGGCCCTCGACAAGGGCGAGGCGCCCGACCCCGAAGATTTCCTTCTCAACGACAAGGAAAATGAGAAGAAATTCGGCGTCAAGATCCAGACAGCCGTCTCGCGCGCCAGGGCCAACCACGGCAAGCTCCTCTGGACCGTGCCCGTCTACTGCACGGAGCAAATCAGCAACGGGCCCGACAGCTACAAGGCCATCGCCGAGGCCAACGGCGCCATGTTCAAGCTGTATCGCGCGCGCAGCGGCACCACCATCAAGCCCACGACGCCAGAGGAGGACGGCGGCGCCCCGCCCGAGCCCGTCTACCTCCTCAGTTCCAACAGCGCTCAAGAACGGGCTCTCTGGCCCAAGTTTGAAGAAATGGCTCGCAAGGGACACATGGAGCCGCGCATCGTGGCGGCAGATTGGCTGCTGGACGTGGCCATGACGCAGCAGGTGACGTTTGACGAGAAGTACCTGGTCAGCAACTTTTTTGAAAAGACTTCATAGACCTTGTTTGCCTGCCTGCCTGCCTTCCGGATATGCACTTATCTGCTGCCTCTTGGCTTTTTTCACACTTGTACATATATGCGCGCGCTTGCATGGGAGTTGGGGAGGGTCTTTTATCCATGAGCATTGGAGAACAGACGGGAAGGGGGGGAAGGGTTGGTGCCGGTCTTTTGCTATCGGCGAAAATTTTACGATTGCCGAGAGGTATAATGTCATGAACGCCGTAACGTCTTGTAGAGAGAGAGGGAGAGAGAGAGAGAGAGAGAGAGAGAGAAAATTGCAGGGAAATAGTTCCATGTCGTGTTGTCGTCGTCGTCGTGTCTGTCGCTGATGAAGATGTAAATCAAAAGAACTTGACACCCTGCGAGTCCTCTTGGCCGAATATTTGCGCCTTGCCGCGCTTGACCAGGACCTGCAGGGCCTTTTGCAACAAGTCGGAGTCCAGGCCGTGGAAGTCTAGTCATTGTCCCAATCGTCAGTTTCAGGTTCTGCAAGGAGTGAGTGAGTGAGTGAGTGAGTGCGTGCGTGCGTGCTACGAGCCCGCCGCCGCCACTTACCAGTGCCCCTCGTGCCCTCGCCCTCGGTGAGTTCGTACAAGGTCAAGACCACGCCCTTTTGGGCCGTCTCGTCGATCCACGCCTCGATGCTCGCGGCCCACTCGTCCGGCGTGCGCCAATACACCCAAAAGATATCCGTCGAAGCAGGCAACGCCTCGGCCCTGCCGTCCTTCTTCATGAACTCGAGCACCTCGCGCGCGTCGGCCAGGGAGAGCCTCTTGTTCAGCGTCTTGTTGTGGAACAGCTCCTCCGGCGCTGCGGCAGTCGAGGGCGGGGTCGAGGTCGCATCAGTGCCGGCCGTCGCGTCGGTGTTGTTCGGTAGAGGATACGGGAGGGAGGCGGGAGCTGTCGGGATGGCGGCGCCGAGGGAGAGCTTGTAGATGCGGTGATGGCGGCAGTATGCGAGGATCAGGTCGGACCATTTTACGAGCTGGGCGTGGTGTGTTGTGAGGTTCGTTTGGCGAGTGAAGAACGGCGGAAAGGAGTATTCCCGGGGGAAGGGGAAAGGTGTAGCCGTTGCCATTGTGGATGATGTGGTTGAGGGTGATGATGGGATTGGGAGTGTCTACGATTTGCGACTTGCGTCAGGTACCCCAGGTGCCCAGGTAGCTATGGAGGGGTTGGTGGGGCTGGAGCTTGGTTGGTGTCTGCTGGTGTGTCAGTAGATGACTAATCAGGTACTTCATTGTGGCATTGTATTGAGTTTCCAACCTCAAGAGCTCATGAGTATGTAAGACCTACTTCTAGTATGTTTCTTCCAAAATTAACACCACAACACCTAAAAGTGTAATATCGTCTATAATCTAAGGCAGCGTGCTAAATCGAACGGCCTGCGTCTTTGAGCTATGAAAATATTAAATCCATTTCCACCAAACAATCTCACTTCCAGTCCCCATCACAATCGTGAGACGGTTACCACCACTATTACTCCGTATCTTTATGATTTTAACATCATCATGCACCCTACTCATGATTGTTTGATGATTCCCGGGCTCTTCGTACCTTATGAATGAAGCCGCTGAACGAGAGAGCCAGAAGGACCGCCCAAAGAAGAATGTTTAGGGTTAATTTTTCCGTATTTCGGCTAGTGAGGCACTCCATTACCAGCCCCAGAGTTACTCCCCTACTAGAATCATGCTTTAAAATCGATCTTTGTAGTCCAATTGGTAAACGACTGACGCACAGATTCCTTGACCCATCATGGCCAGGAGCAACGCGCCTCGTGATAGATCTGACAGTACTCGGCCGACCGTGAAAAGGAAATGGAATCATTAGCTAGCGCAGCGTGGCGTTTATTTTGCGCTTGACTTGCTCAGTATATCATCTCCCAGTATGCTATTTGGAACCCAGTTGGTTGAGCCCAGAATGCTATCTTGTTCCCAGAGACCTGCTGCTTGATCAATAAAGCGGTTGAGAACAACCACGCTTGCCAAACTGCCGATTCCTGTAATACCTTCCATCAATGCCATCGTTGGATTCTCGTACTGTATCGAGGATTCAGGAGGCATTTCGAGGGTTCGGAAGAGGTTTGCTCTTTTCAAGTTCAGGTTAGGTTTTGTTTTCATTTCAAGGTTTTCGTTCCTATAGATTTTATCACCTCCCATGACATGACATCTGTGGCATTTACTGTGGCCAACCCTACTTTTCAAAAGGTTTGTACTGTATGAATGACAGTGACTGTCATCTACAACCTGGTGATCTTTTCACACCCGTTTGAGAGCAGGGCAGACCTTCCGCCCTAGTTCGATTGTCGCTCCTGTCGGTGGCGGTCGGCGTCTTTTCCTCTTGTGCTTTCAGACTTCTTAAAGGCGCTACAAGCCGCTCGTCGCTTCGTGATGCATGGTATGGCGGCCTTCGTCAAGCTTAGGGCCAATGTAAGTCCTATCGTACATGTCTGGATCAGGTCTATCTTTATAATTTCATCATGAAACTTCTGCCGCTAATTTAGCGTTGTTCGTTCCCGCCTCAGTGTCTGTGGCTGGGTGATCATTTTCTGAATATTCTAGGGATATCCGCAATGGCTTTCTCTCTTTTCCTCTCTTTTCTTTCTGACTGAGGATAAATATTGAGGTTTTCATCATAGCCTCTAGCTCATCCTCACAGCTAGAGATAGAATTAGGCCTTGGGGAAATGCAAGGCAAGGTGTTGGCCATCCTTTGATAACGTGATATGTTGCTTTCTCTTTAGCAACTATATCCAAGCTTGTTAAGGAGGGTTGAAGACGCAACTGATGAAACAGCAGGGACCGACTCGGCCATATACCATAAATGGTCAAGGTGGTATCATACCATACGTATGTGTGCTAATACTTTTCTCAAGTGCGATGATTCCCTGACCGGCATTATCATGTATAAGTCCTGAATCGGGGGGTTTTGGGTATATGGAAACACTCCTGTGTAGAATAGGGCCGGCAACAAGATAAAACTATCTTTACGGCATCACAGAGCGACATTTATTTTGCATTTACAGGAAGTAGAGCGATCAACGTGGCAATGTGACCATGCAAGCGAACATACAATGATTGCAGAACCCGTGTTGGGTACTTCTCACTTGAACGGTTCACACCGATATATATGCCTAGTAGTAGGTGGGTCGGTTATTGTCGCCACCTGCTGGTAACGTTATAACACCTATCACTAAATGATGTGTCTGCAATCTCACACTGGGTGCCTTCCCACACAGTCTGCCTCTAGCTGTCTGTATGAGAAATTCCGCGCTACGATGGAATTAAACGTCATCAGTCGGGTATAACAGTGATTCTGCCTTTGCATTCGTCATGTAGTTGTAATTCTCCACCGTTTTAGCTGATGTCGCCAGACAGCCGTGGGCTCCTAATCGCCAGACAAATAGCCAGCAAGTATATAAGAGTGATCAGGACACGCCATGACTGAACGAACTCACTACCACCAAGAATAGACAGCCATAAACACTCTCAATTGGTCCATGTGGGAGACTTATGATGGGTTAAGTGTTCCTCGCCCGCTCATCATCCCCGCCTTGCAGGGAACGTCATCCAGTTTATGGCATCCACGGCATTCAGTCATGAGGTCGGCACTCATAGCGTCAAGGCATTTGTACAACCAAAATAAGATATTCAAACTTACAATGACTTCCAGAACCTCATTATACGCATACTAATACGTCTTCTGGCAAGCTACCTATTCCAAGGTATTCAAAGGCAAAGGCATAATCAGCCGTCGACAGTTACTAAGCTGTAACTTGAGTCGAATGACGATATGATCTCATCACTATACCCCTCACCAATCGCATCGGGTTGGCTTCCCAATGAAGTAACCCATCTTATTCCTTCAATGCCCAAGGGCGATGATCCTTCCCCTCAGGAGAATTAACCCGTACCGTTCTGTTGGTAATCCGGGGAACATGGGGTCTAATCCTCACACACCTCACAGATAGTGGATATATGACAGCTAAAGCATATTCGGACGACGTATCCCACAAGAACCGCACGAAGAGAACGATGGGAACCACGTCAAGCTTGTTCCCCTCATGTTCAGGGACAGAATCTTCACAGGTCGACGTTCGGTGACTTTTCACACCGGAGCTCACCTCGGTCAAGTGCAGATACATAAAATATCTGCAGGGTATCTCCATGCAGGGTAGTGGATCTCGGTATCGAAACCCCGAGATACCCGAGAGACCCATGTCCACTAAAATGCAACTCGGAAAGAATTGCTGCAGGCCCATTCCAAGACAGACGCGACAAAAAAAAAAAAAAAAAAGACACCAGCCAGAATAGATTGGGAATTTTTTCAAGCCCAATGGCGAGAATGCGTCCCCAATTACTCCCCAGGATTTCCCCCTTGGTTGAACAGGCCCCGGTGAGACACCCCGGCCGCCCCTCGATTTCGACACGGAATTCAACGTCGACGCCAGCGCCCAATACCACGCCTTTGAGGACGCCGTCTCCGTCATGGCGTTGTACCACCAGCTCGAGGCCGTTGCCGGCGCGTCGTTTCTACCATAGCCAACGCAGAGACAAGCAGCAAGTCTGCCAGACACTCAAACCCCTCAATTCTTCCTCCAATCACCGACCCCCGCCCGCTTCTGACATCATCCCGAACGTCGGTGCAAAGCTGCCGCCGCGACGTCTGTCCGTCCGAAATTTGACGCACCAGACCCAGACCCTGGGGATCCTCAAAAGGTATCATCCGTATGCGGCTGTAGACGCACCTTGGAAAGCTCCCTTTGCTGCTACTGCTGCTGCTGCTTCTTCTCCCCCACGACTTGAGCCTGTCCGCGAGACATCCCGTACCATCCATACCCAGGCTCGCGGAACGACGCGGGCCTCACGTCCCGAGAATATCTCTCAGCCCGCCACTAGCCAGCCTCGGCCGCCGGTATATTTAGTCAGGTACATCCAGCTTTCCCCGATCTCCAGCTCCTCCATCCACATCTTGTCCCATCCAATCCATCCAGGCGCCGCCTCTCGCCCCCTCCGTTTTTTTCGTCTCCATTGTAATTTTTGCATTGAGCCTTCTTTCACCCTTCTCCCCCGACTTGGTCCCCGTTGTGAGCCCCGCCAAGCTCCCGGATCCTACGGCCTCTACTTTGGATACCCAGCGTCAATTTGAATAGCCCGCGTGATACCCTCCCACAAGCGCCCCCCTCCTCCTCCTCCTCCTCCTCCTCATTCTCCAGCAGCAGAGGTCGACCCCCCCAGCTTTAGCCCGCCCTTTTCTATTTCCTCCCTTGCCTCTCTCCCTCGGAACAATCTTGTGCTCCTTCTCCTTCTTCTTCTTCCTCCTCCTGTTCTCCCACGACCTTCTCCAACTCTCGTCACCAAGCCAACACAAGAAAACAGTACCACAAGACAGCAACACACAATGGCCGAGCAGAGAGACCACAAGCGCCCGCGCGTGGCCGCCGACCCCGGCGAGCACCTCCCCGCCGGTATCACCGAGACCGAAGAGGAACTCCAGAAGCACTGGTTCATGGGTAGCATAGACCAGGGCACCACGTCGACGCGCTTCCTCATCTTCAATGGCCTGGGCGACCCCGTCGCCATGCACCAGATCGAGTTTGAGAACCACTACCCGCACTCAGGGTGAGTTCCGTCACAGAATTGCCTCTTCCGTCAGAGGAGGTTGCCCACTCCACCGTCGCTAACACCACTACCCCCTTTCTCCAGATGGCACGAACACGACCCTCTAGAGCTCCTCTCCTCGGTCGAAGAGTGCATCGAAAAGGCCATGGCCAAGTTCGCAGAGAAGGGCTACTCGGCCGCCAACATCCGCGGCGTCGGCATCACAAACCAGCGCGAGACCACCGTTCTCTGGGACTCGCGGACCGGCGAGCCCCTCCACAACGCCGTCGTCTGGCCCGACACCCGCACCACCTCCCTCGTCCGCGACCTGCGCTCGCGCCCCGGCGCCGACAAGCTCCAGGACCTCTGCGGCCTGCCGCTGTCCACGTACCCGTCCAGCGTCAAGCTCCGCTGGCTCCTCGACAACGTCCCCGCCATCCGCGAGGCCTACGACGGCGGCTACCTCGCCTTCGGCACCGTGGACTCGTGGCTCATCTACCGCCTCAACGGCGGCGCCTCCCTCGGCGACGCCGCCATCCACGTCACCGACTCCACCAACGCCTCCCGCACAATGTTCATGAACCTGCGCACCCTCAAGTACGACGACGAGCTCCTCGCTTTCTTCGACATCGACAAGTCCAAGATCCGCCTGCCCAAGATCGTCCCTTCCTCCGACCCCACCGCCTTCGGCAAGCTCGCCTCCGGCGTCCTCAAGGGCGTCCCCATCGCCGGCTGCCTGGGCGACCAGTCCTCCGCCCTCGTCGGCCAGTGCGGCTTCTCCCCGGGCCAGGCCAAGAACACCTACGGCACCGGCTGCTTCCTCCTCTACAACGTCGGCAACGAGCCCGTCATCTCAAAATCCGGCCTCCTCGCCACCGTCGCCTACGACTTCGGCAAGGGCCGCAAGCCAGTCTACGCCCTCGAGGGTAGCATCGCCGTCGCCGGTTCCGGCGTCAAGTTCCTCGTCAAGAACCTCTCCTTCGTCGAAGACGCCAGCCGCATCTCCGCCCTCGCCGAGACCGTCCCCGACAACGGCGGAGTCGTCTTCGTCACGGCCTTTAGCGGTCTGTTCGCGCCCTACTGGATCGACGACGCCAAGGGAACCCTGTGTAAGTTCAAAAATTTCTCCCTCGTTTCGTCCTCGCTGCCCCCGTCAAAATCGCTCGCTCGTAGAAAAATGGCTAACAAATCCGATCCAGTCGGCATCACGCAACACACTCAAAAGGGCCACATTGCCCGCGCAACCCTCGAAGCGACGTGCTACCAGACAAAGGCGATCCTGGACGCCATGGCGACGGACTCGGGCCACGCCCTCGAGTCCCTCGCGGTCGACGGCGGCCTGTCCAACTCGGACCTGTGCATGCAGAGCCAGGCCGACATCAGCGGCATCCGCGTCGACCGCCCCGCCATGCGCGAGACCACGGCCCTCGGCGCCGCCATCGCCGCCGGGCTCGCCCTCGGCGTCTGGGACGAGCTCGAGGACCTCAAGAACGTGAACCAGAACGGCCGCAGGGTCTTCCACCCTTCGCCCGACCGCGAAAAGAACCTCAAGCTGTTCAAGAAGTGGGAGCAGGCCGTCGACATGTCCAGGGGTTGGGTACGTGATAACCTCGAGTAAATCGTGTCAAGAGAAAGAGAAAATGCTGGTTTGCTTTTATTTTCTTGGCCTCTTCTTCTTTTTTTTTTTCCGTCTTGTTTTTTTATTTTTTTATTCCCAACAATCGGAGTATTGGATTCTATAGAAAATAAAAAGAGCGCTCTGGGATGGGATGATATCAGGAGTGTTTGTTTTTTTGGTTAGACGGGGATACCTATCAAGTCAGTTTTATCTCATCCGCCGGCCTACCGGGGGTGGGACATGTATGTAAAGGTGATTCGTCGTCGAGACACCAACAGCAGTAGTCGTTCGACACTCGCATGATAGGTGCATAATACAAACAAATGCAATACAAACGAACGCAGTCACTTTGGGTTCAAGATGCTGGATGAGGCGCAGTCCACAGGTATCGTTTTTATTGTCATCTGTCTCAGAGGAAACCCCACTATTTGGGTTCCTCCGTCCACGGCACTTCGAGGGGGTTCACATCCTTCAATGGACATATCCTCGACACCGTTATCTGCATTCGTAGCAAATGGGACAATCATCTTCCCAAAGAGGAAAAAAAAAGTAGGTAAAAACATCGCAAAGCCAAGTGCTTTTTGTGCTCGCCAAATGGATTCCCCCTGCCGACGCCAGCCAAAAATGTAAAATGTTTGGTTTCCGCCCCGCCCTTCTTAAGCTCGAAACTCGTGAGTGGAGTGGTGAATCGTATCGCAACTTGGAATTAGAAAGTCGATAAGAGCAGGCGCGCAGACAAGAAGTGTAAAGAGCTTTGCTTTAGGGCCTCGGGGGTATCGTCCGAAGCCTGGTATAATTTTCGAATCGGGGGGTGGTTTACATGATGATGGCGGGGATGTCAACGTTGGCCTTGATGCTCTTGTGGGGGAGAATGCTGCCGCCGTTGACGTAGATCTCGTCGCCAATGGTAACGTCGTCGCCGAGAACGGTGACGTTCTCCAGACGGGCCCACTTGCCGACGGTGCTGTTCCAGCCGACAATGGTGCTCTTCACCCAGGCGTGATCCTTAACCTTGGAGCCGGGGAGGAGGACGCATCTTTGGAGACGGCAGCCGTCGCCGATGACAACGTTGGGGCCGATGGTGACATTGGGACCAATCTTGCAGTTGTTGCCAATCTTGGCCGAGGGGTCGATCAGGACGTTACCGGCGTGGACGTAGGGCTCGCTTGGGGGAGCGAGAAGGTGAGAGCCTTGCTTGGTGAGCGAGGTAAGGTAGAGGCAGGTACCGGTGAGGAAGTCCTTGGGCTGACCGACGTCCATCCAGAAGCCCGGCAGGTCGAAGCTGTGCAGCTGGCCATCGCGGACGATGGCGGGGAAGGTCTCCTTCTCGATGGAGGTGGGACGGAGCTCAATGCGCTTGAGGACGCTGGTGTTGAGAATGTACATGCCGGCGTTGATGCGGTTACCGACGAACTCGACGGGCTTCTCGACGAAGCGGTCGATCTTGGTGGCATGGCCAGGCTTGTGAACAACGACACCGTACTTGGAGGGTTCCTCGACCTTTGTGACAACGATGGTGCCCTCGTCGCCGTGGTTCTTGTGGAAGGCGGCGAGCTCCTTGAAAGGGAAATCGCAGATGACGTCTGAGTTAAGGACGAAGAAGGGAGAGTCGTCCTTGGCGAGGATGTTCTCGGCCAGCTTCAGGGGGCCGGCGGTATCGAGGGGCTCGGTCTCGACGGAGAAGGTAATGTTGAGGCCAAACCTCTTCTCGTACTATTTAAAAGCCTCGTCAGTACCAGCTTGGTTGGAGGACAGACATTCAGCTGTAGGGACCCACCTCTGCCAAGTGCTTCTCCATAATCTCAGGGCGGTAGTTGACAGCAAGGACGACATCGGTGACACCTGCGGCAGCGAGAGCCTCGATCTGGTGCTCGATCATGGGCTTGTTGGCGAACTCGACCAGGGGCTTGGGGAGGGTAAGAGTCTGGGCATTGTGTGGTCAGCATATTGTTCAGTCTCGAGAAGTTGGTTCCAGCTGGAGAGCCGCGCGTCAAGCTGAGAAGAGGGGAATCAAACATACAAGAGGGCGAAGACGAGTGCCGAAGCCACCGACGAGAATAATGGCTATTGCGCGCAAAAGTTAGCATGACTGCGTCATCGTCCGAGAAACCATACAGCTAGCTTTCAGCCTGCCTGGGAGTATAGCCAGAAGGCGCCAGGGGATGGACGCATGGTCCAGGCATGGTGAGGCATGGCGAGGCATGGCAGGGCGAGCTATTGAAAGCCATTCTGGGGGAAACTCACCCTTCATTTTGGAGGTATTTGAGGGGGGTTTATACGGTAGTATGTGTGAATAGATGTTCGTTTCTGTGAAGAAGAGGAAGGGAGAAGGCGATGGCTTCCCAAGGAGGTGCGCGCGGGAACAAGCGAATGTATCGAATTGGGGAAAAAGAGGTGTGTAGAGAGTTTTATGAGGTTGAAGCCAGCAAGCGCGACAACAACAACAATCTGTTTGACGACACCAGAAAAAAAAAAATTAATAAAGCTGTTACAAAGAGAGCGTGCCTTCCTCAGAGATTGGGTATATCGAGGATTTGTGAATACACAGTTGGAAGGGGGAGGGGTGGTGGATCGGCAGGCTTGGGAAAGTTGCAAGAGCGAGCGCAGTGAATAAAGTAAGGTCAACGAGGGAGGAAGGAAGAAGTAAGGTCAGGTCAGGTCGGGATGGGATGGGATGGGAAAGGGAGGTGGAGGCGGAGAAAAGGCCAGTAATAGAGAAAGGAGGACGTGAACGGTACAAAGTGGAAGGAGGCACCTTTCAAAAATGACACGACATCGCCTACCCCCAAAGGTACCGATTGCCTTGTCTGTCTCTCCTTGTCTCCTGTCTCCTGCCTTTGCTGCCTTCTGGCTGCTGTCAAGGAGCCTAGACCAGACAGGCAATCAATTGGAGGGCATAGGGTGGGAAAGCACAGGGCAACCCAAGGAAGAAGGGGGGGCCAAGCCTCGAACCCCTCCCCCCTTCCCATCACATTGCCCCTTGAGGAACAGGTACACTAATGAGCGGGTTCTATTCTTTTTTTTTTTTTTTTTTTTTTTGACACTACTGCGCAGTAGGGAGCAAACTATGGGAGCCTCGAAAATGTCTGACACATTTGAGGGACAGACCAAACTCCCTTGGGTCAGGATTAGTTTCCCAATCAGGCGGATGGGAAGACGCACGTTTACGAGGTTTTTATTAACGTGCAATCAGTAAGGATGCTGCCATTGTGTAGTCAGCTCCTCCCACTCCCAGAAGGTCGAGTACGAGCTGAAATGGTGGTAGTATTCTTCTTCTCGTTGCTGCGGCTGCTGATTTTCAGAGGTACACACGTTTGAACCTGGAAACGGTACGTACCGAGTCCGTAACCCAGATGGCCAATGCCCATCCCCGTCCAATGGCCGGGCTCCTCCCCTCACTGAGTGGTGCCCCCATGTGATCCAATGATCCAATCCTGATGGACCATTTCCCCCTTCTGAAAGACGCTACGCCCAGCTGCTGTCAGGGGGGAAAGGCTCTGTGGGGGCCTTGTGCGTTGGTACATGGCACACATGGCAATGGTAGTAGTAGGTGGTGTACACGACTACGAATACATAGTATTATAGTTAGAGCATGGTGCCGTTGCCCAGCGTCCTTGCACCGGGGACACCTCGGTTTCCGAAGCGCTAAATGGATGATTGACACAAAAGCGGGGCTGTGTCGACGACGACGTGCTCCAATTTCCCTGGCGAAATTGTTAATGCCCCTCCCCCCTTGCTTGTGGCATGAAGCCTCCTCCGCTGAGTCTTTGGAGTTTCTAGCCTCTGGAGTTGTCTTCCGATGCATGTCTGGATTATGGATGAACCGGCGACGACGCAGAGGTACTCATATTCTACAAGTATGGACTACTTCAGACGACCGACCGCGCCTAAATCCGCAATAGTCGTGTCTCTCGTTTCAAGCCTCGAAAAACCAGGTTTCTCCCTACACCAAACCAACAGCTGACCTCGCCTCCCTGGGTTGCCTCTTGTCGTAGTATGTGGGGTGGTTGCGAATGTCTGCAGAAAGAAACAATCGTTGGAAACCACCAAGCAAAGGAAAAAAAAAAAGAGATTCCATCTATATCCGGACACAGTGACGGAAGAGTTGCAATCGGGCAAAGGCAAACCTCGTGTTTGTGCCTTGGTCATTACGGGTGATTACTTTACGGGGATTTCCTCTAATTACGAGCTTCGAGTGCAGAGTACGCCATACGAAAAAAACGCCTAACCAATGTCGCACTCACTCCTACAACGACAACCCATCCCCTAGTCTCTATTTTGGTTTTTTTTCTCCCCGATTGGTGAGTTACCAGCGTTTCCATCATTAGAACAGGTGCCTCTAAATCAATCATTTCAATCAATCGAATCAAGTCAACTCGTCCAGCATTGACATTTCGTCTCAACGCCTCAGAAGTGGAACCCCCCCCCTCCACGCATCAAATATCCCCTCGTGACCATCAAACAGAGGGTCCCAATGCAGCAAAGCCACATCCAACTCCCTGGAATAACCGCGATGCCATCCTTTTTAGTACCAAGGACGAGAACCCCGAAAACCACAAACCAGATGCATCCCCGTTTTAAAAATACAAAATAAAAAAGGGGTGGAAACCTCGTTCAACATGCGACGTGACGTACGTGTTCACTCTCCGACGCCACAGACACCACCTCGATAGACAGAAGGGTCTCCATCCACATCCCGGGACCGCCCGGCTTCCCATCATCCCTCATTTTTTTGGTCCTTGAAATGAATGATATTCGATGGGAGGGACAAGTATTCCGGCCGCGTCGGGTTTCTCCCACATATCACAATTCGAAACCCCCCGGTCTCGCCCCCCCCCCGTAATGAGATTCGCAATCCCAGCCCGCCACACGGACTCCCGTCCGTCACTACCCCTTCCCCCTCACTTCCCTGTCTCTTACGAAAGAAAAGTGAAGCAAAAGGAAAAAAAGATGCACTGAAAATCATCCGAAATCTTAACACTGCATTCCACGTCAAATGCTGCAGGTCTGAAAGTCAATGGCAGAGTTCCAGAACAATCATCAGATAAAACGCCTACACGTGGCGCCGATGCAGTTCATATGCCCATTCGTCCCATCTCATCATGCCAGAAAAGGAAGGGGAAAAAAAAGAAAGGAAAAAAAGGAAACAAGACAAACGAAAAGAAAAAAGACATGTCTAAATATTACCCTGCGTGAATTCAGCCGCATCACTCAACGACACCTTACCTCATAACTCACCCTGCAGCCGCAAAACTAACAACTAAAACCTTCTAGCGGGGAAGGTCATAAAACAAAATGTCTAGGACAGAAACGCGGGAAACCTTCCTTCTTTCCACATTTAAACAGCGCCTCTTCGCCTCCAACGCCCTTGCATCACGACAGCCACACTAACCATCTCTCTCTCTCTCTCTCTCTCTCTCTCTCCCTTATCATCCTTCCTCCCCTCACTACCACTACCAACACCACCAACCTGTCCTCAGCCAGCCTCTCCATCACCACCAAATTTAAATCCTCCCCGTCACCCCACGCCACGTTCCAGGGGCTGGTGTACCGGCGCAACCCCCCCGCCATGTGTGAAATATATCGTCAATCATCTCCTCCCCCCCGTCCCGCCGCTTACATGTATGTGCCTTTCGTGCCTCGTGTGTATCCGACACCTAGTTCCAACTACGTAGAAAACCTCAAACCCGCCCATCTCAAACTCCCACGCTGCCGCCTAGAACCCCAAGCCCCCCCGGCCCCGTCTCATCCACCTCGGCTCCGGGTCATGCAGCTAGGTCCTTCCCATCACACTTGTAGTGTACACACACACACACGCACACACACACATCGAAACCCGGCTGTCCGGCGTCTTCCGGATCACACCACCATCCATCCATCCTACCTACCTACCATCCAACCATCCATCCATCCAAACTCTCCCAACCCACATCCGTACCTGACTGGTCCGTGGATTCAGGGGCTAGGACGAGAAAAGGGGTAACAATAACCAACAACTCACATCTCACCACTGCTCTCCAATGCGTCGTCATGCTTTTAACATCGTGTGACATAATTTTCCAAGATGGGGCTCTCAATAAGTTCAAGACATGAAGAAGATATGCTAATTCTTTCTGTTGTATGTGTGTGAGTGTGTAATTTTTTTTTGGTTCTTTTATATCGATCGTTACTATCATAAAATCTTAATCGTCATTATCATCATCATGAGCGCCGCTGAGCGTCGCCGCGGTGTTTGAACCACAATCCCCATCCGTTCATCTTCATCCATCATTCTTCGTCTTCTCTCGAGTGCCCTCGAGAACGGCATTCATCTCATCTTATAGTTTCCTCTTCACCCCTCCTCCCTTCATTGACTCCAAATTTGTTTTCAATCTCGCTCAACCAGCAAACTTCCGCCTCTGAACAAGGCAAAAAGCCCCAGATCCCCCTACCATGAAACGTTCCTGGAAAGGAGGCCAAAAATTAATATGCCAGATCCCACCCCAAATAATGTTCCGCGCTAGAAGATGCAGAAGAAGATGCTTCGCTTTTGAGGCAAAATAAAAAAAAGAATATGAAAAAGACGGGCGTGGCTTCATGTCCGTCTGTCGTCAGTTTCACTCATGTGCTTTCTCCTCCCCTTTTGCGTTCACCCCCTAAATTTTTGTCTCTCTCGGCAGTTAAATGTCCCAAGCAAAGAGTCTAGCCGCCCCACCGTGCTTCTTTCCATTGCAATCTTTTGTTCGTTTGAGGGTTGGGTCCGCTAGAGAAAACCCCCTCCGCCCAAGTCCATGTTAGAAGTCGTGAATCCAGGAGGAGAGGAAGAAATGATGGCCGGCCATCCAGAGTCGCCTCTGAATAGGGATCCGTTTGAAGGTCAGTAACGGTCCTTTAGCTGGTACTGTACAATCCCAGCCAAAGCGCCTGATGGTGAAAAATAAAATAGAAAAAAAGTCTTGGAGGGAAAAGAAAGCATAACCCAATTCTGAAAGCAGACGTGCAGGAAACACAAAAGCCCAACGGCTTTTGTCCAAAGGACATAGAGACCGACCGAATTACAAAAGGCCGTAAAACAAAGACAAAGGTGCCGCGCAGTTAACCATAATCTAGGTCATAAAGTCGTCATAAGGTCGTCGCAGATGAAAGATGTGCGTCGCTTTTCCCACCCCTTTGGTCCAGTTCTTGGCCCATTCTCTCCGTTCTTTTTCCTTTTCCAGACAGACACCCGAGTGCCGCATTATTGCGGGGTGTCGTCAAATGAGAGACTATGCGATCTCTTATGTATATGTTGACAGTCTCAGCTGAACACACACCTTGCCAACTCATCAGGCGAAAACCCGCCCCTCCTTCAGTCAAAAGAAGCCGTGGAGCTGCTGCTCGAGTGGTGTCCAGAGCGACGGTGGCTCTCCCGTGAGCCGTGACTGGACGATGTGTGGCGGCTGCTCTTCTTGGATCGGCGGCCCGTCTCAGTGGCGGGCAGCCCCTGAACGATGCCGTTGCGCGCGAGCATGCCGCCGTTGACGGAAAAGTTGCGGCACACCATGAAGGCGCGCATGGCGGCGTTTTCCTGCGCCAGCGAGTCGGATTCATACGCGAGGTCCGTCTGGTACTCTCGCCCATTGACCAGGACCAGACAAGTGTAGCCGCTGTGGTCACGGTAGCACTCGTAAGAGGGATCTGTCCATCCACGTCGTCGGCAGAGACCTAAAATGGAATCGATTAGCCTCTGATATTCTTCCTGCAAGTTTTTCACATTCGACGACAAAGACGATGGCGCAGCTGAACGGGATCATCAAACGCATGCCTCCTCCCCGGCAGGGCGAGGCGAACTGCATCTGAGCCCAACCCGACTTTCCCACAGTTGTCCCCTTCCCCTTCCCAAGTCCTGCAGGTTGTCCTTCAAGTGAGCCTCAACGTAGAGCTTACGTCGATCACAGGGGCCCTAAAGTCACGTCCCGACTCGCCAGAAAAACATCAGGGCCCAGGAATACGCATGTCATTCCCGCCTCAACAGAATGCAGGGGTAGGCATACACGATCTGACCCAGTTCCCCAGGCTCATCGTTGCCAGCCCCACTTATACAGACAACTGGCGATGGACGAGGTTCAGGGAAGCATTGGGTTCCAAGGATGCATCTGGAAAAGTCAATTGATCACTTACTCTCAAGGTACTGCATGTAAAAGCCTCCCATGTTGACGGTAACTCCCAATGTGTCGAAATCTATTAGATATGGCAGGTTCGAATCCGGACGTGCAGGTCCAAGAGACTGATTCGGCTTGACCGGCGAGCAGGGGGACAACAACGTTGTCTCGGACGCAGAAGAGGAAAATTGAGATAAAAGTGAAGCAAATGAATAACGGGTAGCTCTTGTCCAGACAACTGGATCAATGTCGAGGCGGTCGTAGGATGCAATCAAGCCCAAAAAGTGAGGCGAGCGAGCAATCTGTGGTTGAGGATGCCGGGGGCTCGTACGTACTTCTACGCACCGCACGCCAGAACCGTCGAGGGGGGTTGTAAGGCGTAGGGCAGAAATCCGGGGTGTGTTCGAGAGGAAGCGAGTATGTATTATTGCTCAAAGAAAACAAGTGAGCAGATGAGCTGGGATCGGAACCAAGTCTTGAGAGCTGTTTTGGCGATTCCCAGGTTGTGAGAAGTAGAGCTCGAGGAGGTATAGGATGGACAAGAAGAAAGAAGTCCGTGGAAGGGGTGGTCGATGTGTTGTTACTTGTGAGTGAGTGAGTGGGAGAGAGGGGGAGAGAGTGTGTGTGTATGTGTGTATGTGTGTATGTGTTGTGTGTGCGTGTGAACGTGGGTGGGTGTGGGTGTGTTGTAAGTTAAACTACGTATCCAGGGCTTCTTCCGTTTCTTGGGTTGCAGGAAATCATCAGAACCATGGACAGAGAGACATGTGTCTGCTTTATTGCAGAAAAAAAGGGTGCCTTTTTTTTTCCCACCTTCGTCTGCCTTCGTCGATGAACTAGTGCGGGGGCATGGGAGGGGGGTGGAGGGGTGGTCCGGCAACAGGTCAAGTCCAATTCAGGGCCAACATCAACGACATATGTAAAGGTACATTAGATCATACATGGGGACATGGCAACGGCCAGATGTAGGTAGTGCAGTTGCAGTGTATGTGGTAATAACAAGCTACGGCGGCAACGGCAGCGGCTGCGGCAGGAAATGAGGGACCGGACAGGCGAAAGAGGAGGGGAGGGGAGGGGGGAGGAGATGCAGAATGTACCTTGGACGGGATCAGAACAAGACAAGGAAACGGAGGGGGACAAGAAAAGGCCTGGGCCAAGGACGTGGAATTAGCCTGGTGGTCACTTTTCTGTTCTGTTGCTAGGGGAGGAAAAGAGATAGAAAGAAACAAATGCAAAGTGGGCAGGGGACAGACACACGCACAGAGGGACGGGGAAAAAAGAAGAGGAGAGGGAGAGAGAAAAAAAAAAAAAAAAAAGTACGGCGGAACATGCACAATGGGGTGGTTCTCTTACTTTTCGGTTCGAGATGCAAGCGGCGATGCGGCTCTCGAAAGAGTGTGACCCATGCTTTGCTGCGTTGGCTCGTCTCATTGCCAGTTGATAAAAACCGCTGGAGACTAGGCAACTCCACCACGACACATTGGGGAGGAGGGGAGCAAGAGGGGACCGAGTGAAGGGAGGGGGGTGGGAGGGGGTACCAGCATCATCGCTGGACCTCTACCAGGCCAGGGCCAGGGCCAGGGCAGCCCAGGCGAAGATCTACCTCTGTGCTGAGAGCTTCTTCCCTGCCCTTCTCTCTGCTCAAGTCCATGTACCTGTTGCAGTTGTGCCCAAGTATTCATGACCAGCACTGAGTCAAAAGCGTATTTCAACGGTAATGCCTTGTACGGGAGTTGACCGCGGTCGGATGGTGCTCCAAATACGTCGATACCCCGTCGTTGGTCGCTGATGCTCGCGGCGCTTGCTGGTCCGGTTCTGCATCAGACTCTGCCTTCTGTAAGGGCAGTTTAATTACCCTACCGCCGGTGGTGCCGCCAATTTGGACTTTATTTTGTTTTGGGCCCCGTCTGTGGTCTACCCACGACATCATCGTCACAAGCAAAGGCGCGCGCCTCTCGAAGCATGTACGGATACATGCGGACTTACATGGCCGAAACTTTGGACGAAGTCTCTCCGACCATGTGGCCCGCCGGGTCGCAGACATGGCTGCTTTAGCTGCTTTAGGGCTACAGTAGGCCAGGAGGGCAATGTTCGAGAGGGAACGAGACTGCACTGCACAAAAGAAGTAAGAAACTGACGAGGGCTGCAAATAATGCAGGGCCGGTGGCGAAATGGAACCATTCAGAGAGGCGGTACTCAATCTGGCGAACCGGTCTGGCCTACGTAGTAGATGGTTGGACGTAATCATTACCGAACCATGTGCACAGTACTCGGAACTCTCACCAAGGCACACGCTAGTCTTAAGTCTGGGTTTCCTTGCTCTCTCGTGCAGTCGTTTCGAGCTGACGACGAGTCAAAACGTCGAGGGCATGCTTATTTGATTGTTTGCTGCCTCCGCCGGAAGGATATGCCTGATTAGAGTTGCGAGCCTTATGCCTGTCCAATGCGAGCTGTGGGAAGAAACAAAGGAAGGGGTGACTTGATGATAAACCAAACATGCGAGTACTCCGTATTAGCAAGTCCTGTTAGCGGCGACTAATGCACCACAATCAATACTGCAAAGGGCCGGTTACAATTTGTGGGTAATTCGTTAGCAGTATGTTAGAAGCGCGGCTTTTTATTGCTGCTCTGTTGCCTTCCACCGCTAATTTCTCTGTTGTGGCATTGAGCATCATTCTGCTGTTCAGTCTGCTAGCATCGCTGTGTAGGCCTGGAGCGACGTCTGTTGCCTACTAGGCTTGCGTTTTGCGTGCATGTACTCATTTCTGTCAATGGTCGTTGCTTGGGAGGGGGGGCAAAGTTGAATTCGAAGCTGTACTCGAGGATTTAGTCTCTTCAACGTAGTGAGATCCCTCCCCCTGGCCTGGTTGTCGCTTACTCGCTTGTGCTGCGGGACCCGAGGTTGAGGATTGGAACGACAGCGGCGACAACTTGGAAGGTGACATTGTAAGACGATCCCAGAAGGACAAAGAAGCAAGAGCACTGGCTGCCACAAAATAGCCAGGCTCGCCTGTCTGTGCCATGTCAGGCAAAGCTCCGGGGGCATGTTATGCGATACTGGCTGCTAACTAGGGCAAGGACAAGGCCAGGCGCTGGGCCACGTTAGGGATCAGCCAGTGGCTCCCAATGATGTGCAGCGATGGTGGGCGATTCGCACGGCATCATCAAAGCCAAAACAGCCTGTTGGCCAGTCTCGTGTCGTTGTGTAGCAGTTATGCCCAGTCAGAGATGGGCAAAACAGTGATGGTCTTTGTGTGTTTGACAAATCAGCGCTTGGAGAAATGAAGAAAATTCCCCGTAAGGTGATGTACACCGGTACAGATATTCCTTGTGGTGATGGAGCAGGGAACGGAGCAGCGAATCAGCGCCTGTGGCCCGGCCAGCCGTTCGTTGGTTCGGAGAGCGTCAGCATGGGTGCCGACTAAAACAGAGGCCTTCTTGTCTCCGGCAGGACAATGTGGGCGAGAGAGCAAGCGGAGTGTGCGGCGGCGAGACGCTGAGTGCCCTTTTTTTTTTTTTTTTTTTTTTTTTGTCCTTCTCTTTCAGTACTGCTTGTGCTGGTCTTGTTGCCGAGGACCGTTACTGATACCGCGGGTGGTAGAAGCTGGGCTCGCTTCCATGGCATCGTTCTCCAGGGAACTGAATTCGATGGCACATGGAGAAACGAACGACGGGCGTCGGGCAACCAACCAACGTCGGGGTTCAAGCCCCATCACCGGCGAATGGCAGAGGCCCCGCGGACGAGATTGCAAGGTCGGTGAAGGGGTCATCTCTCATATCTTGTCGCTGTGAGGGACCTGGGCGACGTGCATGAACACTTACCCAGCGCCGAGAGAAGACTACTAGAAGTGGGTTCAACGGGGGCGAGATCCATTTGACAAGGGGTCAAACGAGAGAGCGAGCTCTGTTCTGGCTGGCTTCCAGGGTGGGATGAGCAGCATGGGATCAAGGTGAGGGGGTGCGTCGTTATCGTCGCAAACAGGCAGTTCTCCATATACGAAAAGTATCTGCTGCATCCATCTCTCTATTTCATCCCCTCTCTTTTGGAGCTTTGGATGCCGTAGACGACCTAGGCAAAACGAAGGGTCTTCTGCGGTGCAGGTGAGGCAAAAACATGGTGGTTCAAAGGGAACCCGATAGTGGGCGGGAGGCAAGTGTGGATGGGCCGAGAAAAGAAGCCAAAAAGCCACGCGAATGCAGACCGTTGGATGGCCGGAAACGGACCATAGCGGCGATAGGTCCGAAGGGGTGCGGAAAGGTGTTGGTAGGACAAGAGGAGAGAATCACGACGGCGAACGGAGGCGACGGGGTTGGTTGATGACTAGTTGGATGAGAGTGAGGTCAAGTCGAGGTGAGGAAAACGGCTGTTGTTGTTGAGGTTGCCGTTGTGGTTGTGGTGGGCGTGCGTGGGGAGGGGAGGGGAGGGGGTTAGTGGGGTGGAAAGATGGTCTTTGAGATGATGTATGTATCCCTTGGTATAAACACCCGGCGACAAAGACCTGTCGAAGCTACCACCTACCCCTACTGACCGGGGGCGTGGTGGTGGTGGGTGCTGCAGCATTAGCAGCAGCAGCCAGATGCAGCGCAGCAACTGGTGTGCACGCGGAGGCAGAGCTAGGCGAAGAAGTGCAGGGTGTTTAAGACGCAGGCCATGCAATGATGAGTTGGCAGTGCCGCTGGAGGTGGACGGTGGACGGTGGGTGTTGGATGTTGCTTTGACTATGTAATAAACGGGGAAATCCAGGGAAACACATAGGCGTACTCTTTTCTCTGGGCATCTCTATTCGTGATTGCGATTGGGGAGGGGAGAAGAGAGAGAGAGAAAGTGAAGGCGGGTATCTCTGCAACTGACCTCGTAACCCTCCCTGACCTGCTCCTGCATCGTGAAAGTATCAATACCTGAGGCGCCGAGGCGTGCAAGTACCTAGTCTCTTTCAGCAGCGCTTTATACGTATGAGTATCCATACATGAATGGAATCTATGGTACAAGGTAGAAATTGAATTCAAAGCTTGGATTATGCAAGGCAAAGGCAGGCAGGTTTAGATTGCCGCGGGCGAACTGCTCCTTCCTAGCCGGATGAGGTTGGAAAAGAGGTCGGGGAGCAGGAGGTGGCAGGTGGCAGGTGCAGGTTGGAACCGGTGAGCGAATCGCCCATGCCTTCCCTGTCGAAACAATCTAGAAAAGGTTTGGAAAGGCGTCAATGGCTCACCTCAGTCAACATTGGCAGCAAGAACAGGAGCAGGAGGAGTAGGAACACCTTCCTCATCACCAGCCGTATGGAAGGAAGGCAGCTAATTAGCTGTTGCCTATCTTGTCAGACATGAATAGTGGCAGCAGGAAGCAGCGTTATTCTTTGCCGCTTGCTGCTTTCAGCATCAGTAGACAGCCCAGCCATACACATTACTGTGTGCCATGTACCAAGTAGCAGTAGCATCCTTACATACTACTTCCTTCCACTACAGCTCCCAGCTAGCGCACGCAGTAGACGCCGCCCCGCCTTCTGATTCGACAATTGCATCTTCTGGAACCCTGTCCCCGTCCCTTCCATCTCGACCGACCGCCCCTCCAGGCGTCCCACCGTCTCCACAACCCCTCAGAATCGGCACCGGCCATTACAGCACTGCTACTGCCTAGTAGTAGCTATCCCCAGCGGTGGCTGGAGCATATTGTGACGTGACTGATACTTCTCGTCCTTTTCTTTGCCTATGACACATTGCTTACCACTCTAGCAAATGAGCGATGGGACAACTGACTATCATCAATTGCCGCATACCTTGCTCACATATCTGATAAAAAACAAAGTCGAGGTAAGAAAGAGCAGAATAAAAAGAAAATCAAGGATATCACATCGAAAGTTGAGCGAAATCGATGGCCGGAAATCAAGCATTGAGGGCTACCCCCGTCACTCAAGATCCGGTGATCAACGACCCCTCCGAGAGCACGGCCGCAGCTCACCAAACCGGACAACTGACAAGGAACATGGACCTGGGGATACCCTCATTACGCCCCGGAACTTCTCCCGAGACACTGCTTTTACAGTCTCCTCCTTCTCCTTGACCTTATCCAGCCCTGCCGACGCTACGGAGAAAGCCACCCCACTACGTCCATCCTCTCTCGTATCATTCATGGCTTGCCAACGGCCGATTGAGGCCTCACGATGGCCCGTCACTCCTCGCATCATCAGTTCTCTTTCCCTTTGGTCCCTTGTCGTCCATCGTACAGTCCCCAATCCTCGGCCGATGCCCATACCCACCCACTGTCGGGTTTTTTTGTCACCACCACCTGCGGGATCCGGTGGCTCGGGAATACAAGTTTGTGATTACGCTGGTGTCCCTCTTTGTGTTCCATGTACTACGTACGACCTGTACCGAGCTGGCCTGGCCAGGGTTGCTGTCGATAAAGGGTGTGAGGGGCGAGACATCAGGGACCCCTCCTCGCCAAACTTCTACCACACCCCGCAAGAAAGAAACAAACATACTTGGCCTTCTTTCAACGTCATCCGCTTACGAACGAAAAGATCCATCTTTATCTTTATTTCATTGGATATCGTCGCGGGTCCGACAGATGGGACTTCATCAGATCACAATGGGGAAAAAAAAAAAAAAAAAGAGGACTCCCTTTCTCGAACTGGATCCCGCCGTTGGGACTGAGGTCGCACCGCAGACCTGACCGCCGTTCTCACATACCGGCTGCTGCAGCCATACCACGCCAGTATCTAGCCTGGCCTGGCTTGCCTGTCTATCCGTTTTCGCTACGCAAGAGAGCGAATGACAGACAGCACGTCGCTCACCGTTGAGTCCACCCTGGCGGGCCCAATTTGGGCGACTCCTCGTTCATGGCATGTATCATCAGACGACGCGTCCTCCCCCAACACATGTAGTATGGCCATCCCTCTTCGAGACACAAGCGGCCAGTTATTGCGGCCACATCACGAACCTTCCGCCGTCGTTTCTTGCTGATATTAAAGACATTGAGGGCGTTGAAAAGAGGGGCCATCTGCGGCTTGTTCATGTATGACAACAAAGACATCTGCGCCCAGGCTCTGCGCGCTCCTGTAAGGCTAGATGCGCCAATCGAATCTCGCGTGGGCGCCATGGGTTAGGTCAGTCTGCTGGGATTGTCCACCATGCTCGCTTCAAATATTTTCCTCCTCAGTCTGCCGCTCACACAGATACCTCGTCAGGTTTAGTCTCTAGGGGGCGTCTGTCTGCTGTCTCCAGGTCGGTACTGGTCCGGCCACTGTCTCATATCTGCCAGCCGCCCCCAAGACAACAAGCATCGAGGTCGAGCCCGTTAGCTAGTCTAGTACAGACATGCGCGCGGGCGGCCACACGAGAACGGCACGGCAAAGGCATCAAAGTGGCGTGTTGCAGGGGCCCAGGCCGCGGGATTGGCTCGGCCTGGGTATGATGTGCATTCGCCGCCACCACGCAGTGGCGCCGAGGGTCAGAAAAATAAGTGAGAAGTGCTTTCCATCTGAGATGATGATGTGCGCTGCTCGGCCGCTGACCACGGGACGGGGGAAGGAAAAAAGAAAACAAAAAGGTGGGCACCCATTGATGGTACATGATGCCAACTGATGAATCTCGCCGGGCTGGCTCCTACAAGAGGCCAGAAATGTTGCTGTGTTGTATTACCTGCCATAACAGACCTCTCGTCCTTCCCCGTGCTCATCATATGTCGATTCGCGTACCGCAGCTGTCGTACTGTTTTGAACATGCACCTCGACCTTTTGGGCGGCCCAGCCCGGAACTCGACATGTACAGCCATAAGTCTCCTGCACCGCTATATTGCCGTGATGAGTTGTCCAAAGTTGCACATACGATCCCTGTCCGAGATCGCTTCTGCGCCGGGACTCGAGCTGCAGGCTCGTCGTGTTCGTTCCGCAGTTCCACCACCCTTTCCCTCCTGGTCGGGGCCGTCAGTAGGCGCGTCGCGTTCACGGAGTTGACCCGTAGAAGGGCTGTGCCATGTTTTTTCCAATACGCTTTTCTCCATCTAACCCACGTGACACAACGACTCTAATGTGTTATCCTCCCCTCCTCTTTGTATACATAGGGGTGGGTGGCCTCCTTCCGGCGGCCTGGTGGCGGGCCTAAAATCCCTGCTTGGATGCAAAATACGCCTTCATGTCGCTGACACTCTCTTGAGGGATGGCATAGACGGGGTGGATCGTCCCGATGCGGTCCTCCTCGTCAAATATCTGTGCACCCTCGATGCACGGCGACACAACCCATTTGGGCTCCGGTAGGATCGTGTCGTCTTCGTTGACATATGTGAGATCCCACTGGTGCTGCGCAGAGCTCAGTCCGGAGAGCACGTAGCAGGTGTGGTATGCGTCCGATGGCCTGGCCTTCAAGTCAACAACACAGAAAAGACACACCGAGTATAAGCTTCGACTGTGGTCATCTCACCTGCTGGGTTTATCGCGAAGGCCGCCGCGTTTGGACCGGTCTTGACCACAACATAAGATGTAACGGATTAAACCTTCTCGACTGTATAAGCTGCCGTTGTGGGGAGCGAAGTGGCCACCGGTTGGATAATCCTCAAGCTCGCTCGCACCCTTCAATACAGCGTCGATCAGTGGCCAGCACCCGCCGACCCAGTGGCTATAGCAGCCATCAACAAGCTTGTTTGTACGGCCGCAGAAGCCCCCCTCTGGAGCATACTGCCGTGACGAGAGCCAAGAGATAAGTCGTGGCACATCGAGGTATCTGCCACCGAACGGAAAGAGTCAGTTATGCGCCACTTTCATGGCAAAACATCAGTGGACGGCCGACTACGTACTTGGGGATGATGCGATGCGGAGTATCCAGAATTGAGAGGCAGCCCAGCGCACAGAAAGCGTATGCGCCATGCGCTTCACCATCCGGCTTTCCCGATATTCCACCCTCAAATGTTTGACCTATTGGTGAGCGGCGACGAGGCAACCGGGCTAAGGCATGACTTACATCTGCGTACATAATCCGCCAATCCAGTGAAGAGCGTGGGTCGCTCAGGCGTCCAGGCCGGCGAGTCGGTAGAAAGATCGAGAGGAAGGTTTAGTAGGGTGACAATGACGGCCGCGCAGTATGCTCCCCTAAAAGCCTGTCAGACGATGATGGTGCAACGTTGAGGACAGAGGAGGGGGAAGGGTTGGTGAGTCTACCCACCTGACGTCGACCTCTCCGCCCAATGTCATCTGAATGCCGCCTTCCGGCCGTTTGAGAGAGCAGATCCATCGCCACATGGCCTTCCTATCAATGGCATCGTATGCATCTTCTCCGCCGACAATGGCAAGAGCAAGCACAACGGCATAGGTCGTAGCGAGATGGGAGTTCTGACCGTGGCCGCCACCGATACCACCGCCGGGATTCTGCATGGTCCCCACCGTTTTGATCAGGTCCTCTCTATACACTGCTGTGTCGTAGCCAAGCAGAGCCAAGGCGTTGAGGGACCAGTACAGGAACCACGGCCGGCTGGCATCGGCGGCCACGTACGGGGCGGGGAATCTCCCCAGCTGTTTCTGAAGGAACTTGATGTGGTTGTCGCGGAGAAGTGCAGGAACCCCATGGTCGTTGTACTCAATTTCCGGGTCCGTTGCAGCCAGCAGTGGGACACACTGCTGCACTGTCTCGTCCTGGACCTTGGAGGTGGCCGTCGTGAGCGCATCGCGGACGGGCGGAGGCGTCGTGAACAGCTCCGGCACGACGGAATTTGGGTGAACGTCAACGTCACTCTCGTAGTCAATAAACTCTTCATCTACGTCGCTCTCCGGTCGTGGAGATGCGCCGGCCTGATTTTGAGCCGAGGCAGCCATGTCGGCTGCGCGCTTGATGAAGGTGACTTTAGGACGACGCTTGAGAGGTTTGAGGCGGGGTCTCATCTCACACAGGGGAGAACGGAGCGAGGCAAAAGTCTTTATATAAAGTCAGTAAATGCCTATGCTTTCATCATATAACAAAGACCACAAGGTCTCAATTTCGTCTTGTCGAGGCAAGTTCAGTCAAACCGTGAGGCGGTTGCTGAGCAGTGAGAGACAACAATCGACAGATGCCCCTCCTTACTGTCAATGTGCTTGTGAAAGGACGTTCATTTAAGTGGGGTAGCGTGGGGTGATTGGTTTGTCATACAAGGACACTAGTGCCTAAGGACCCACGATGGCCCAAGCTCACCACCAAAACGTCGTTTGACGTTTGACGATGTTACTAAATGCAGCTTTTGTGTCACTCAGACTCGACAGATACGGCTGTGATGATGATGAGACTTTTGATTCCAACTATTTAGATTGTTTTGGGATGTTCTACATTCTTCCTCTTTTATCTCTTTCCCCTTCAACGCAGGCCTTAAGTTTTGAAATGATATGCTGGCCGCTGACGTCTCGATGAAAGTTTTCATATTACCGCTAACTCTTTTGTCTATCTGATCTGTCTTTGTTTATTGATTAAATAGTTAGGCTATGGAGGCACTCACGTCCTTTGTTACAATATTCCTCCATATTAACAATTCTCTACGTATGTTTTCAGAGCCCACATCACCATATCCACCCATGCGAAAGATCATACGCACCTCATTCGGTGGGAATTTTACTGCAATGGAACACTCGGTGTATGTCAGTAACCACTGTTTGATATCATACGATGTAGCTAGTTAGAGTTACAATATGGCGATGAGTATGAAGATGTGAACATGTATATTTCAATAAACAAGCACCAGGGTTCTCGGAGAACATGTAATACAAAATGGTACGGAATAGCTTTGTATTAATCACTTCTTAACACCTAACTTAAACTGAGCTGAGACCTCAAATTTTTTATGTTGAAACTTCTTTGGCAATTAGTAGCCAATTATATAGCTCATCGCTGAGTTCCAGAAACTGACGACGCCCTGGTCCCGAATCATTCTATGGGAGCATGATGGGTGAGCATGGCGTTGATCAATTAGATTCAATCATTGCAGTCTGGACTCTAAGATACGACTCCTGTTTAACTTATTGAAGTAATGAACAGCAGACTCTAGTTGTTACTTTAAGTCCTCGAGATGAAAGGTCTGGTGAGTGTGTTCATTGCCTCCGAAGATTCATTTCAGAAAGCAACACCTCCTCTTAAACCATTCAAAGACACGTCATGGGCTTCATTTAATTGTTAAAACGCCTCACAAACAAATACCTAGAGAGTGGCTCCCTTTTTCGGGGGCTCCCTCTTCGAGCCAGCTGGAACTCACTACGTTTCTCGCACACCTGTCGACTTTCTACGTGATACTCGAAATACCTATTTGATGACTTTGGGTAAGAAGTTGGATTTTTTTGCAGAGACTGTTGTTGAAAAATAGTGCTTGTATTACAGCGGGACCGATACCAAGGTGACTCCAAGCTCATCTGGTAAAATGCCCTGCTGAAGTCGAATTCTAGAATGGCGGTCATGATGTCAACTCTGCAGAGCTAGATGAGGGTCAAACTCAAGCACATTTCTTCCCGCTGAATCTAACCTCATGCAAGATGTATCGTAAAATTGAAAGTTGGGGCAAGCTATTGTTTGTATGGGGATCAAAAAAGAAAGCGGTCTGTTATAAAAGGTAGCTGTGGCAGCCTACGAAGAGGCTCTCACTGGGCTTCGGCGCCTCTATAGGCTTCTGTGTCTAGAAACATGTGTTATTGAAACAATGCGACTTTGTTGCCCTGTATGCTCGAAGGGACAAAAGGATGAATGCCAAGGCCGAGGCAAAAATGCTAGATCTTCTCGAGAAGGACATTTACACAAGAATATACAGTGACTTAATCGTTGCGATATGAACGTGGACCAAAGTCGTTAGAATTCAGGGAGCAGCCACAGAATTTATTCCTACCTAAGCCTGTCTTGTGCAAATCATCAAGGTCGCCAAAAAAAGCCCATATCTCAACAAACAAGTCTGTTATATTCAACTATGAGTGCGAAGGCGAAATCCGAAGCATTAGTAGTTAATACTAGCATGTTTCGATATACCTTCAGTTACCAAAAACTTGATACTCCAGTTGCTGAGCGTGTCCATAGGATGCGTAGCATTAAAGAGAATACGAACTGGATGAGCCCGGAGTAAAGCTCTGAAGTGTAGAACTTCTGAATGATATGACAGCCAATTGCATGAGCCTTCACGAAACCACCTACCCAGCACACTGAGCTACCCACTGATATGGGATTCGAACGTGACAGTGGAGATAGTCAACCGGTATAATACCAACTAATTACATTTCTTCATTGCATTAAGTAAAATTCTGGTATTGTTTGAAATGGAGCAGATTGCTACGGTAGTCGAGGGCAATTCAACAATTCTCTAGACCATTGGGGACGACAATCACGGATGAGTCACTGAACTGACAGGATTATCCAAGAATAGTTCAACGCGAACAAAACCCACGTTATTTAAAAATTAGAATGGTAGTCGGTTGCTTGGAAAAGACTCAAAGTTGATGAAGAACAGTATCGATTATAAGGACAGACCTTCCTCTTCCTATACGCCAAAGTCCTATACATAAATTGACATCCACTAGATAAGTCCGCGTTGAAGATAATAATTGACGTAAAAACAAATAGTTAATGGACAAAAGAGTCCGAAAATTCAAACTCATGCTGCAACCTCAATTTCTTCATCTAATTATTCATCTGATACAAATGGAAGTTCACCCAACGCCACAAAACGTGAGAGCCAGACATAATTCTAGGTCGCACAAACCAACTATGCTACTCAAGACATGAAAAGACGACTAGCATTCCGCCATTTCCCCAACAGAGGTGAATGTGTTACCCGAAGCCTGCCATCTCACATGAGGAATGTCAACTTGATGCGGGGTGAGTTGAAACACTCCATGAGTCACCCACGTTGGGCATGAACCACAGTTGTAAGGCTGGCCAGCCAATTTAACATAGAACCTCAGCAAACCGGGGACAGTCAGGAACAAATTCCCGCGTGGATCAAAAGATGCATTAGCTTCTCACGACGAAACAGTGCTCCGTTGGGGTTTATTGAGTTGTATGCCCCCTTCCAGAAGAATCCACCCCGTGAGCCAAATCTGATGCAATAGTGACCAGCATCGGAGAGTGGACCAGCCAGCGGTGCCAGGGGAACATGTCAAAAGAACATCTATTCTTCCCCGAGCAAAACTCCATTCGGAGCCCAAATATAGATCCTAAAAAGGGCTGTTAAGGTGCCCCATCTAAGGATTCCCTTTGACGTACATAGAATCGCTGAAGAAGCAGAGAGAACATGGCGCCTCGTGCCAATGACGGCCATAAACGCTTTCGAATGCATGCGTTGGCCATGTACCTTCCCCTTCATATTCGGGGCGGTCAAACTCGTCCAGGATGCGACTGGAGCCAACACATCATCATCATGCCCGCATTGGGCCAAGACAAAGGGGGCCATCAGAAGAGTGTTTGAAGCTATTCAAGAAAGCAACATTCTTCAGTAGCGTTTCGAATCACCCGATGAATTTGGGTCTATGTTGCCTTGCTATTTTACTCGTAAGACGATTCTGGAAATGGTGACATTAGTGACCGAGTCGAAGAAACCATTTTCAGCTCCGGGCAGCACTACTTCATGCGGAACAAGCGGTCAAGGTGTGCTCAGACTCCCGAGCGTCCCTCTAAGGGCGGTCGGTTCCGTGACGGTCTCGAGGCCGTCCAGCGCTTGGGCCGTAAGGCTCGATCTATCTATCCGCGGCTGTCAGTGTCTTTGACAATCTCGATTGTTAGTTCTCGCCGCTTCATTGGATGGCTGGCTAGCGAGGTTAACCTGCTGGCGGCTCAATGCGTCAACAGGTCCTGACATCATGTAACACTTTATGATACCTTGTAATCAATTGCTGTCAGGTGCATCGTATCTGTATCCGTAGTCGACGAAGAGTTGCCTCCCTTTAGTGAATTGAGTTGAATCTTGCATAATCACCATTTGCCATGGAGACACTGTCTTGGACTGCTACAAACAAATCAGTTTTTCAATCGGGCCAATGCATTGTCAATGCCTTGGTATAAACTGGGCTAGACTAGCCTCCTGTCTCTCTTGACGGACAACCAGAGGCATTACTTGCATCACGTAATGCAAGGAAGACGCTAGATTGGCAGAATTCTCGGACGAATCCCGCCAACGTCCGATAAACTTGCAACAGGACAAGCGATGATTGGATGGGGCTCTAGTGGACGACCAGCAAGGCGTTTTCCATCAGACAAGAAATCTCACACCGCACATTCAGGGCCCAGGGGATGGCTTGCAGCCGGTTTCTTTTCCTGTTCACGAAGCTGGGGGGATGGCGGGGAGACAAAAATGTGCCTGAGCGACCCCTTGACTGACACTTTGGAGATGCACCAATGGCAGTGCCAAATTAATCTTGCCCGCATTGCTACCGGGCGATTCGCCGCCTCTCTACACCTGAACCCGGCACTGGTCGGGTTTGGCCATGGAACTGATTCACTTTAGCACGGAGTTCGCAGCTCAAGACAAGACAAACGGCCCTCTGACATCGGATTCTAGGCTTCGTGCGACATCGGCTTATGCGGATGTCTGCTTCAGACCACGCGCCATTTCCATTCTTTGGGTCTCAAAAAGTGTCCCATTGGCGTGGGGGGAGTGACCAGCCGCTGACGACTGGTCATGGCTGGAGAAACCAGCTTGGTTAGAGGTAGAATGGTATGCAAGATAACGTGCCATTTTTCATGCCTTGACTGCAAGCGACCGAGAGCTGCTGGTAGGTGGCACGAATCGCCGTCAAGAATGGCACCTGTCGGAGTGGGCACAACGGATCAAAACTATCGTCTTGTTCGTACGCCGCTACGTACCCGCAGGGTGTGCAGGGTAACAGGGTCCAGATGGCGTCGTTGTCGTCGCCCTTGATGAGGGAGGGGGAACTGGGAGCAGCCGACGGACAAGCGTAGATCTGATGTGCCGTGTTTGTGGGCGAAGCCAACAAGAGAGACGTGCACTCGCGGCAGCGAGGGCTAAAAGAGACTCCCGTCTGCGACGTTGATCGCTCTGTGGCGGCAAAGGACATTGCAAGTGTGTCAAGGTTGGGATGTACCCTGATTGCAGGCCAGTCTTCGAATATCGCAAGGCCATCTTCAGACATTATCCGTGATGCGAGTGGGGAATAGACCGTCGTGTTAAGCTGCTGCTGGCTGATGGTCGCTCTCTGCTGCAGCGCGACAAGTTCGGCGTTTTCTCAGAAGATGCCTGGTCCCTGCACACATTCTAGTGATGTACGAATACTGGCTATTGCAACCTGTTTCGTCATCCGCGACTGGCTCATTTTGACAGGTTTGCGGGCTGTGCATCCAGTGCCCCTCATTCTCGTTGGAGCTAGAAGAGGGAGATCTGCTGAAGCCTCGCAATGGTCTTCGCGCCAGCACTCCGCGATCCACCTCGTGCTCAGAGAACTGGAGATTACAGCCAACCACCGGGAGGGTAGCAGCCGTGGCTGCGAACCGTCGGGCCACTGAACACATGATTCAAGTTTTGCCGGGAACAAGCTATTCTCGCGAGAGATTCTCCACCAAACTGTGCAACCTGTGTCCTTATTGCACCGGCGTATCGCTAGCTACGCCTCAACCAGGCACCCAGATTGCATAGTTGAGGGCCTCATAGCATCTGAAAATAAGCGATGCCAGATAGCTGATGCAAACCAACAACAACAATGCAGTACGGCCTTCTCATCGAGGCTCAGAGGCTAGGGCCCAGCAACAGGCGGGGTCTGCGCTGCAAGAGGACAATCCGGACGCAGGTTGTCTCTACGCCTGTGGGGGAGGCAGGAGCATCGGAGACATCAGGTCGTCTTCGCCGTCGTGATGAGGACCAAGGAAGGATGTTAAGGCGGGTTATGCCAATAGTGGCTTCGTCTACCTGTAGCGGGGACTGGGACGACAGCGGCGAGGACAAGGTCCGTCAGCGGTAAGTGTAGGGGTACTCGGCAAACAAGTTTGTGCAAGGGCGTACAAGGGCTGATGGCCTGGTCTGTGATGGCTCTGGTTGGTTTTATTAGGCTGTGTGCCCCAAGCGCGAAGGCGGCGTTGTCTCCTGCCATAAAATATACTGCACGCAATGGGGTGCAAGGCCTAGGTGAAGGTAGGTGTCTAGGCTTTTGGACCCAGAATCGACTGGAGCCCGTATGAGAAGATTTTCATCCTTGCGTTTGCCAATGTGGCATGGTAGATCTGCGGCAACTTGCGATCGAAACCTAGCGCAATAGGTGCACTCTCAATGGTCGTTCTGGACCTTGTTCGTGGGGCTCTGTCTGCGGTGGTAGGGGGTCGGCTTGAAAACTCCGAAGGGTCTGGTGAGAGAGAGGTTGTGGTCCTGATTCTCCCCCAGCCACTGTCGCCTTGGCACCAAGGGAAGGGTTGTCAAATGCCTGGTTTTTTCCCCTCGCGGTTGAGGACTAATGAACGACCGAGGCTGTTTAGCGGGCGGCTACACTATGTGGACGGATCTAGTCGGCGTTGCCGCTTGAAGAAACAGGGCCAGCAACAATATTGTGCTTCCCTAAGTCGATTGTACCCATCTTGAAAATCATCCCACTCTTTCGAAAAAAACGCTGTCAGTACGGATTGGACCCTGTCGGAGGTAGACCGTAGAGCGAAGGAGGGCCGTTGTGCCGTTGACGCGAGGTGCAGATAGAGTTTGCCCGCTGACAGCCGATCCAATGCCGTGTAGGCTGATAAGGGCCCCCGTTTCTCTTCAATTGTGTGGGAAACTTTTCCCTTGCCGTTGCACTGTGCGGTAGTTTCGGTGGTGGCTGTTCATACGTGGCCGTCGCCGTTGCACTGCAGCAGTCACGACCACACAACGTCCAGACCACATATTGACTGATGTAGGACGGAAGCACAGTCAATGGGTGATCAACAGAGCCTTGGGCATGAACCGGTCAATGTCTGTGGTCTGTGTCATCTTGCAAGAACAGATGAAATACATCGGGCCTAGCCGCTCGATGCGATCGTGTGCACATTAACTGATCGGGAATACCTCGCCATTCCGATCGATGGATGATGCCGGATGCTTTTGGCGACAACCGCTAGAGTCGACCGGTGGTGGCGGCTGCAGCAGCAGCGCAAGTTGAGAGGCAAGACGGAGAGGCGATGGTACTCCATGGCCACAGTCCAGGCTCTGCGATGTAGTGCAGTGCGAGGCACCTCCGCGTCGTGCCGGTCGGTTCCTGCAACTACCGATGGATACCTTCAGGTCCAGCTTCAGCTTCACAGGTTGGGGGCTCCATTCTTCTGCTACTGTGCCTGATGCTGGGTCACAGGTTTGCGTATTCTAGTGTGCTCGTAGTATAGAGTAGGAGAGAGGGTCGAAATGCTAAAGAGGCCCACCAGACCGGACCAGGTTATCATCCGGAACCTCCTGTTTTAAAGCATTACCTCCGCGGCGTGCGTGCGTGTAACACGAGGGGGAGCTTAGGAATGTGGCAGCTGGATCAGGTAGCCAAGTGACATCTCGGGAACGGCGAGTCAACGACACAGAGAGCTGTGGAGCTATGGGTATTTTTTGTCTTGTGCTTACTAGTACTACCATGAGTCGCGGTAGGTTTACAACAAAGCTGGAGGAATGACAGGATTGGCGTGGAGCGTGATGCTGGTGGTGTCCCCAACTCGATAGTGAGACTGACAGAGGGAGGGAAAATTATGAGTGAGTGACCTACCTGCCTGCAGCTAGGTACGTACATCACGCAAGAAAAGGTACGTATCTTTTGAAACTGCGGAACAAGTGTGGAGGGACAGTGGAACTGGAGGGTTGAGGACCTCCCTCGCCAAAGGCGGAAAGAACGTTTCCATTGTCGCTTCCATGGCTGGGGGCTACGTACCGAGTTGCGAGGCTACTAGTATTATGTCTACCTTGTGTGTGTGGGTGTGTGTGTGTGAGTGAGTGTACTAGTATGTGAGGCTTGCTTGGTACAGGTAGGGACGTATCCTAGCATCCTACCTAGCCTACTTAGCTAGCTGCCATTAAGTGTCGACTTTTTTTTTTCCCCCCTTCCCCTCGCACCGTGCCTTTCCAGTTTTTCCCGTCTATAGTTGTGTATGGGTTTCCAGCCATTCGCCATGGGGGCCTCATCCATTAGCCGTGAACGCTAAACCCACTTTGGATCCCATGATGGGCCAACTAGCGACACGTTTTGCAACCGCCACCCACTGTTTCCCACCCACTGAGGCTTGGCTGGGTCTGCAAAATACAGTGTTGTTTCTGACGAAACACAGTCCCCTTCACACGGAGATGGCTGGTGATTGGCTAATAATCCCTCCCCGTTACAAAAGTGGTCCTCGTGAACAAGCCCTCCCCCTCCCCCTTCCCAAGTGCTCCCACTGGCGCAGCTTCGAGCAACCACCCCCGGTCCACCCCGCTCCACAATCGTGCAGCTGCAGAAGGAGCATCGGCCCCATTCATTGGCTCCTTCTCCCGGCCGGGGCTGGAGGTTCAACTGCATCTCTCACCGCTTCTTTCGCGGGCTCGTCGCCGTTCCTCTTCACCCACGCATGCCCGCATTTGGGGCACCCTCTGCTGTTCTCTCGCCCTTCTCACCACCAGAATCCCTCTCAATCCACCCTTCGCCGCTCCCAAAACCTTCGTCGCCGCAGCGAAGAAGGTCGACTCACCACCCTCATCCACATCCAGACACCCCGTCGAAAGAGCGGTGTCCTGGGGTCCAAGGCCATATCACTACCCCAAGTCCCGTTCCTCGACTTACACCTACCCGTTTGACTTTCCTGCTTTTGATACCAGCCAACATGAATGTCAACTTCGATTCGAGCGGAGGCGACGGCCTCATCGACCTGTCCTCGTTCGATCAGCGGGACCGATTTTCCTACGCCTCCCAAATCCCCTCATCCCAGAATAGCCCCCAGAGCGTTGCAAACATGCCCGCCCAAAGGATTTGGCCTATTCCTCTGGATATGGCTTCGAATGTCGCTGCTTCGAGTCCACCCGAGGACCAGCAAGCCCACTCGCCCTCCCATAGCTCTTCGCCTTTGAGCCAGCACTCGCATCACTCGCCGTACCAACAACCTGTCAACTCCTTGACCGACTGGGCCCTTCAACAACATCAACACCAGCAGCAGCAGCAACCTCACATGCCAACCCAGGACTTTTCCCAGTTCGTTTCCGATGCCTACATGCCAGTTACCTACAACCCGTATGCCCCGGGCTTCCAGACGAGTCCTATCGATTTCCTCCCGGCGACGACTCAAGCTTTGCAGGCCGCAAACTTTCAACTCGCGACTGCCTTCAACACTATGCCGCCCATGGATGAGACCGTCCCCGCCATGAACTGGAATATGGGTATGGAGAGCTGGCACGATATTCAAGCCGCCGCTTCCGCTTTGCAAATTGAGGGGCTGTCCCATAGTATCGGCAGCAACTCGCCGACCGGCACTTTCCTCGAGGTCCTGTCTCTGCCCAGCTCCAGCGGGGAGGGTTGGTCGATGGTTGTCGAGCAGGGTTCCGGCACCGGATTTGACCACTTTCAGCAGCCCCAGCCCAACGCGGCAATTTTTAACCCCAGCCAGACGTTGCATCTGCGAACAAATTCGGACTCGTCGGACGGTGCCAACTCGTTTGAGCTCGGTAGCTATGAGGAAATTGCCCCCTTCCCCATCTCGCCCTTCTCCCCCGAGTCTGATGGATATGTCGACGCCGGATCCCACCGCAACTGCTTCGGAGACAATCACAACCACAACCACGTTCACAACCACGACACAGTCAGCCCAGCAGCAGCCGTTGCTCCAATGCCCATCAAGTCCACCACCCCCACTCGCCCGACGCCCGCAAGCGGCTCCGGTGCCACGTCACCTCCCATTGTCAGCGTCCGAAGAAACTCGGGTCAAAGACGGAGCCCGGTCACCGGCAAAGCCACCAAGGCTGTCATCCGACGCACATCCACCGGTAAGAAGGACGGCACCGAAGTCAAGAAGGTCGGCCGCAGAAAGGGTCCTCTTCTGCCTGAGCAGCGTAAGCAGGCCAGTGAGATCAGGAAGCTTCGTGCCTGCCTGCGTTGCAAGTTCCTCAAGAAGACTTGTGACAAGGGTGAGCCATGTGCTGGATGCCAGCCATCTCACGCTCGCCTGTGGCAGGTTCCTTGCACTCGTATCGACATCAAGGATATCGGCTACTTCATGAAGGACTGGAAGGCCGATTACGAGCGCCATCTCGGCCGCGGTGTCTCGGTTTACAACGTCAAGGGCTTTGCCCAGAATGAGACCATCATGTGGATTACCCATGGCTACGGCTTTGCCCTCCCCGTCTACGTCCGCGAGGTCTACGTCGCCGACGAGAGCTGCTTCCAGGCTGACTGGGTTGAGTCTTGCCTGACCGACCAGGAGCCCATTGACTTTGAGCTCCGCACTGGCAACCTTGACGTTGGCGCCAAGGGTGTTTCCGTTGAGGCTCTGTCTGACTACCTCGACAAGCACATTGACGGCGGCTTCGAGGACTTCATTGAGGATCACTTTGAGGGAACCCCCTTCATCACTGAGATCCTTAAGACGGCTCACCGGTATTACGTCAAGGAGCGCATGCCCGTCATTCGCAAGGCTCTCAAGCTTGTCCTGGCCTACAACCTCACCCTACACATCACTCTGGTTGAGAACCAGGGTGAGGAGGTCAGCCTCGACGGCCAGATTGACGATGAGGACTCCAAGTATTACGGCCGGACCGTTGCCCCTGTCATGATCAATTTCCAGATCAAGTGTGCCATGGCTGATATGTGGCGAGAGCTACAGAAGGAGATTCTCGAGGAGCTTTCTGCCTTGTACTCTAGCGTGTACAGCGGTGAGCGTCTCAAGAACTGGCCCACCATCTTCATGTTGGCTTCTATCCTGCTGGCTGTCTGGGAGGAGATGCAGTTTGACTGCCACTACCGCGTGCCCGACCCCGCCGCTGTCAACAAGTTCTGCAGCGACATGGAGACTACTCCTGTCGGTGTCATTGTCGGCCTGTTCCACGCCATCTCCCAAAAGCTCCCCGCCTTCATGGACTGGGATACCTCCAAGCATGGTCATCTCCTCAACAACAACGTTGCCGTTTGCGAGGCCATGACTGAGGTCCGCGAGCATGTTATTAAGCATGGTGAGTCTTACCAAAAGCATTGGCAACCGTTAAAACATTATACTAACAATTGGACAGAGTCGTACCTGCGCACTCGCCCTGATGCCACCTTTGACCGCAACGACTTTGACTGCTTGTCAAACAAGTTCCTGTCGAAGCTGGTCATCCGTGCCAACTAAATATACTGTGCTATAATATGCGATATATCTCAATTTCTGAGAACGATTGTCATTTGAGAGTCCCGTGGTGGGCATTTTGTTTCCTATGTTATTTTGAGTCACAGCGACGGCGTTGAACGAGACACCACACAAGATCTCCTTCCCACACACACCCTCCGACTTCACTTCTTTGCGGCTGGTCACCTCAACGATGCATCGCGATGTGTTACGACCCTTTTTTTCATGATTCAAATTACGAATGTATGACTTGAAGCTTTCACGAGTTGGAGGTCTGGAGCTGCGCGTTGGCTAGACGGCTACGCTGCGGCAAAGAGAGACGCGACAGATGCGTTCAAGACATTTTGTTGTTTTTTAACGGAGACGATCATGCCGGCACGACAGGCACGGAAATGACAGAGCATAGCATAGACGATTACGATATGCATTTTTTTGATTTGGCTGCTGGAGGGCCCGTTTGAAAAAAATCCTTTTAGAACCGGAGAGGCTGGTTGGCCGGGTTCGGCATTTATGTTGTTGTAGTTTGGCCAATATTCGGTATATCGTCGAAAAAGATTGATTATTTCCTGCCCTTCAATGACGAAGATTTTCTTTTCATCATGTGACATGTCTATCAACCGATTGTCTTCCCCATGTCTTGAGACCCCGGTTTATCCCACACCTCGGTCGGAGCACCGAGGTGTCTGCAAACCGAGGTTCCAGCCTGATTATGGAGACGCTATGTTCTATACATGTTCCGAGATGGACTTTATGTCTTGTCCAACACTGACTAACGTATAGGTCTCCACCTCTGGCGCTTTTATCATGGTGTATCAGGAGGGACTTGGGGAGGGGGGGGGCCTCGCTGTTCGTTTTGGAGATTGGGGTGTCCTCAATACAGACCACCTCTTAATCTGGCTTCATGGCAGCCATCTGATAAGAAAATGTCTTGGGAAATTGGCAGCCAATTCGACATGGCAACAGCGACAGGCTACTTGCGTCTCTTGACGCTTTTACAGTCCGTCCGGATGGGGTAGGTGGTAGTATTTGGCGAAGCGGAAAGGCCATCAAGTTATATGCAAGTTGAGATCCTTGCGGTGATTCTAGAGAGGCGGTCTGCATGGGTATGCAAACACGGTAACAACGGATTCCCGCCGATAGTGTGTCAACAAGCTACCTACGACCCTTGAAGGGGAAAACCCCCCCCCGGTCCTTTTGGGGATGCTATTTTTTTCGGAAAAAGATAAACTTCAATGGATGCTGATTGACGGTAGACAATCGTACGATGCCCAGCAACAAATTGCTGACGTTTTGGAAGTTTGAACAAGGGCCGTTGTGGGCATATAGGCAATTGGCATACTACAGACCGCCAGAGAGCGAACGCCTGCGGGGGTTCAGTCTAGACTGAGGAGGATGAGGAGGCTTATCAGAGCAAATCAGATGCGAGAGGATGCTTTGACATATTGAGGCCAAACCAATAAGACGGGGTGGCTGGATGCAAAGGGATGCGTTGGGGACGGTTGGTGTTCATGGTCTACTGCAGAAATGAGCTGCCACGCTGGCCACGTTCGTCCTCTTCACGTCACGATGTCGGTCGGCGTGGCTAGTAGGGAACACTGCGTCCGAGACGGCTCGACCGAGTCGCGGCGACAGAATCCGAGCGTCATAGGATGGGTAATGTCGCAATCGCCCATTCCTTTCGGCTGACGAATGCGTCACTGGCATGCGTTCCCGGCGCGATTTCATCAATTTCTTTTCGCTCTCATCTTCCCATGAACCCTGTGGCTTGCTCCCGAAACAGAGGAAGAGACATGTCCTTACACACCCATCTGTGCCGGGTAATTCCCATTGAGGACATTGTTGGGCAAGCTCAAAGGGTTGCAGGCCGGTCGGTTCTGGTCTCGAACAGCGGTAAAATCAGGGTCGGGTGTTGGAGTGGTTGGGGGAATGACGTCTGGCGTCATCTTGCACTAAAGTGCGGGGGTCCGGCGATACCAGGGTACGCTCTGTTCAGGTCGGACGGGGTCAGGCTGGGCTGGGCTGGGCTGACTGTTCACCGATAGCGGTTTGTGAGCTGAGGGTGAGTTGTGGAAATGAAGCCATCCTGAGTGAGGCCAATTGTAGGCAGTCGAGAAAACTCATGGGGTTTGAGAGTTGGCCACTGACTGTACCATGCAGTCAGTGTTCCGAAGTCTAGAGAAGCTTTAGAGTCGGCAGGATTGGCAGGCGATTCTTCGGACGAGGAAACGATTGACCAGAGGCTCTAAAGGTGGCAATTTGGGTGGTAGTGACACAACGTTTGCTCACCCCAGGTGACAGCCTTTCTGAATTTGGTCGGCACCTGGGTGGCGGGTGGGGCGCCTCTTTTGCATTGTCATTGAATGTGTGGCTCCTGAGTCGGTTTTGGCGTCTGAGAGTCCCCTCTTCCCCCCATCAATCGTCAAGGTGTTGCTCCCGATACGGTTGAGTGAGACAAGGCGATTCCAGGCCGGGAACCATAATGAAGACAGTCAGTATATTCATTGTTTGTCTTATCGGATTTAACAGGTTGGCTCGTGGGGGGAACAACATTCCAGTCTAAGCAAAATGTTCTCGGCCACCCTTCAGCCCCAAATGAGTCGTCGGCAATGACGACTGATGATGAGTAGGATAAAGAGAAAGAGAGACAGCAAGCGGGAGGCGGAGCTGTTACAGGGTTCAATGGGAGGGGCGCTGACCCATCAGTGACAGACTGCCGCCTAAGGCTACCTACATAGTATGGGGTAGCAAACAGTAAACTGTGGCTCTACTCTTAGTGTGCGTACCGGGCAGGTGTTCGTAGTAACCACCAAGCAGTTCATGCCCCTTCCTTTGAAGATTGCCATCTCGCAGCGACTACAAAATCAGATCTTTGATCTGTCGCAAGCCACTCGTCGAATGGCGTCTCGGGGCAAGTGCGGCATGAGCGAGGCCATCTGATCAATGGTCAAAGAAGCGGCGACAGCGAGTGGCCAAACGTCCTGGTCCAGCGCAGCGAACTGAGACATCAGGCACAACAAGTTTGGGTTCTAGCCTTCCCAGGTTGGCGGGAGAAGTGGCCCGATAGCGCAGATAACGAAGTGACCGATACTTGTCTTCAACACCAGAAGCACAACCTAAGCAAAAGTACTGGATACTTCTCGACCCTTCTCGACTCCACTTGGTTCTGGAGGGTTCCGGCTTGCTCCTGCCTACCTTAGCGCCCTTTCCCTCTTGTGCACTTGCTCAGTTGCTGATGAATCATTCGCCATTCCCCCAGACAAGGACTCAAGGCATACTGCATAATCAGCTCCACTTGCGCCTGCGCCCCCCATTGCCTTCCCTTGGCTTCCGTTCGCCGCGGGCAGTCACCACTCACCTGGCTCCTTCCCTCTCGAACCGACCTCCGTTACCTTGGTATTTAAATACCGTCAACTTCTCCTCCAAATTTCTTCAACTTCTCCCATATCCATCCATCTCTATCACACATCTCACACTCACTGGTCCATCAGCGACACAGTTTACAATCAAACAACCATCAACATCAACACCGACTACCACATCATCAGACAAATACAGCAGCGAAGTCGCCAACATGCAGATCTTCGTCAAGACCCGTAAGTTGCCTCGCCACGTGCCTTCTCTGAATACATGTAGCTAACATACTCTTCAACAGTCACCGGCAAGACCATCACTCTTGAGGTCGAGTCCTCCGATACCATTGACAACGTCAAGTCCAAGATCCAGGACAAGGAGGGCATTCCTCCCGACCAGCAACGTCTCATTTTCGCTGGCAAGCAGCTCGAGGATGGCCGCACCTTGAGCGATTACAACATCCAGAAGGAGTCCACCCTCCACCTGGTTCTCCGCCTGCGTGGTGGTATGCAGATTTTCGTCAAGACCCTGACCGGCAAGACCATCACTCTTGAGGTTGAGTCCTCTGACACCATCGACAACGTCAAGTCCAAGATCCAGGACAAGGAGGGCATCCCCCCCGACCAGCAGCGCTTGATCTTCGCCGGCAAGCAGCTTGAGGACGGCCGCACTCTTTCCGACTACAACATCCAGAAGGAGAGCACTCTTCACTTGGTGCTCCGTCTTCGCGGTGGTATGCAGATTTTCGTCAAGACTCTTACTGGAAAGACAATTACGCTCGAGGTTGAGTCTTCCGACACTATCGACAACGTCAAGTCTAAGATTCAGGACAAGGAGGGTATTCCTCCTGACCAGCAGCGTTTGATCTTCGCCGGAAAGCAGCTCGAGGATGGTCGCACACTGTCAGACTACAACATTCAAAAGGAATCCACCCTGCATCTCGTCCTGCGTCTGCGTGGAGGTATGCAGATCTTCGTCAAGACTCTCACTGGAAAGACCATTACCCTGGAAGTCGAATCTTCGGATACCATTGACAACGTCAAGTCCAAGATCCAGGACAAGGAGGGTATCCCCCCCGACCAGCAGCGTCTCATTTTCGCTGGTAAGCAGTTGGAGGATGGCCGTACCTTGAGCGACTACAACATCCAGAAGGAATCTACCCTGCATCTCGTCCTGCGTCTGCGCGGCGGTCAGTAAGCGGTTCTTGGTACATAGGATGTTGTCTCGTTCAAGGCACTGGCGTTTATGGGATAACGATTACGGTCGGGACATGGCATTTGCATTTGGATGATATCTTTCTAGCCCCTAGTAGTTAGCTGGGCCACTGCGCGCTCTTTAAGCGTGCCAATACAGACTCTATTGAAGTCTAAATGTTTTGTTCCAGTGCCTCGTGTGACAAGCTCATGTGATGTTGTGACTACGAAACGCGGAGTGCCTTATCAGTGACGTACTCGGTGGGACCATACCGGCCTGTGATAGTGGGGTCGTGGAGGTCTCCCGCAGCTCGCTGAACCCTGCATCCAAATTAATCTTCCTACCAAACACATATTTCGACCGTTTTGTCGTGCCATGAACAGCTTGCAGAATCTTTGGGAGGTGCTGAAAACACTCTCTCTTCTTCCTCCGTAGTACTTAAAACCTCTATTTTTCTTTTTCTTTTCACTGTACCTATTTTACTGGCCTCGGCCGACCACGGACAAGTTCAGATCGACCAACGCTGCAGCCTGCGAGGCTGAGCGAGGCTATGCGGACCTTCTTCTACCACTTGAAGTTTGAGCTCTACCCGACTCCCAACCCAGTACCCAGCGACAAAATATCAAAAGGGAAAGCGCAGGCTTCTTTTTCCAGCAAAGAGGTTTGGGTGCCGCCGAAAGGCACCGACATCTTCGACGAGCTTCCAGCGCATTCTAGGAAATCGTCAAAGAGATCGTACTCTTTCCGACCTCAGCCCTCGCCGTTGCAATCCTACGAAGCGCCCTTCCCGGCCGATACCTACCGATCGAGCGAGCTCCGAGATTTGAGTACATCTGGGACCGCAAATCTGATTGACTGTGGCCCGTCCAGAGCGCCTGTCAAGGAGGACAGCGGTCGAAACATCGAAAGGATAACAGAGAAGCAGTGGCGAGCGCGCACGCAGAGCTTTCCTCCGCCACCGTCTTCTGCGGCGATTCGGCCTGAGACAGCCGTTCGGGACTGGAGGTTCGGACAGCTTAGCATACAGAGTATCGATCTTGAGGGCAACAGCGACCAAATGGCGGCAGAAGGCGCAAGTTCGTCCGCCGCGCTTGGCGTGGGTCCGACATTCGTGGGCACGACAACAAAAGCGAAATATGTTCCTCTCGAAACAAAGAATACAGACATCGGCTGGGGTGTGGTTCACTTTTACCGCGAAGAGGAGGAGACACCAGAACTCGGCCTACCCCATTCAGAAGATGACAGCAACAAGACAGAAGACTGCACAACGCTCTGCATTCCTGCGGTACCCAGTTATCTCACGCCGAGCGATTTCTTGGGTTATGTGGGCGAGAAGTGGAGGGACGATATCAGTCACTATCGAATGGTCATGACAGCCAGGATGAACCGATATCTGGTCCTGCTGAAGTTCCGGGACAGTGACCGCGCACGGAAGTGGCAGAGAGAGTTTGACGGCAAGGTCTTCAACAGCATGGAGGTAAGCAATCGCAACAACAGCAGACGCGCAAGGATCATACTGACTTTTGCAGGCCCAAGTTTGTCACGTCGTGTTCGTGAAATCGATTACTTTTGAGACCCCTACGAGAGAAAACCGCACGTTTCCCGACCTCACCCACGATCCCTTCACGCCGTCTTCTTCTGTTGCAGCGTCGAGCAGTCTCAAACCCTTTCCTCCTCCAACACCGAACCTCGTTGAATTACCCACATGCCCAGTTTGCCTAGAACGCATGGACGATACAACCGGTCTGATGACAATACCATGTCAACATGTCTTCCATTGTACCTGCCTCCAGAACTGGAAGGGCTCAGGGTGCCCCGTCTGCAGACACACGAACCCTGAAACTATCTACGACCCATCAAACCCATATACACAACCTTTTGGGTCATCCGCTTCCAATCTCTGCAGCGTGTGTGACTCGACGGACGACCTTTGGATCTGCCTCATCTGTGGAAACGTCGGTTGTGGTCGGTACAAAGGTGGTCACGCAAAGGACCACTGGAAGGAAACTGCACATAGCTTCGCCCTCGAGCTCGAGACACAGCATGTGTGGGATTACGCGGGTGATACCTGGGTTCATCGTCTCATCCGCGACAAGGGCGACGGAAAGGTGGTTGAACTCCCAGGAAGCAATGGCCATCATCACAGACCAGAAGGGGGGTTCGAGGACCTTGTCCCACGAGCGAAGCTTGACAACATAGGTCTAGAGTACACCCACCTTCTGACCAGCCAACTAGAATCGCAGCGCGTCTATTTTGAAGAGATGCTCAGCAAGGTAGCTGACAAAGCATCCAAAGCCGCAGCGACAGCAGAATCCGCCTCGGCGCAGGCATCGATCGCGCTAGAAGAGAACTCGACCCTCAAGGCGGAGCTTGCTCGTCTGAAAACACAGGTCATACCCCAACTGGAACGCGACGCAGAGCGGGACAGGATGAAAGCTACGAAATCACAGGAGCTGGCACGTAATTTGAGCAAAGCTTTACAAGAAGAAAAGGAAGTCACGCAAGGCCTTATGAAGCGCGTAGAGCATAACAACGCCGAAGTTGAAGCCCTACGACAAAAGGACGGGGAGTACAAGGCTCAGATTGCGGATTTAGAAGAGATGAACCGCGACCTGACCATGTTCATATCGGGGCAGGAGAAGCTCAAGGAGCTTGAGAACGAGGGCAAAGTGGAGGCGGGAGAAATTGCGGAGGGGAGCGTGAGTGTACCTGACAAGAAGGGCAAGCGGAGGGCGAGGAAGTGAGGAGGTAAGGAGGTAAGGACATGGAGATAATGGAGTTCCGGCATGGCATGATTCATGCAAGGTAGCATTTTTAGCGATGTTTTAATATCTAAGCGTCTTTGCAATGTTTCTCATGTTGCTTTCTTCTTACGTTGAAGGAGACGGCTGGCATTCTCCCACTGGGTTTCTACTTCCATTTGCCTTCTTTCCCCTATATTAAATGGTTTGCATCTCCTCAGCAGCGTTGCAGAATACCGTGATCTTTCCTGTTTTCTGGTCAAGAACAACATGAAGCCCCCAACGGCCGGCAACAACGTTCTTCAAAAAGAAGCATTTCATGGTATTGAAGATTCCGTCGTCAAAAAAGCTAATTTCAGCTGGCTCTTCGAGAGGCCGTTATGTCACTGGAGCCCATGAATTCGAACTTATGGTCAGAATCATTGAGTTGGTCAGGCCTTAGGGAAGATGTGATTTAAAAAGACTCTAGAAGATAAAGCCACAAGGCTGGATCATCAAAGGTAGACTCAGCGAGGGTTTGAAGCGCAGTCTATTCAGGCTCGCGGTGAAGGCTGGAGCGAAACCGAGGTATGGGTTATGGCTAGAAAAGACGGAAACGACAAGTTTCACGGGTGGTTTTGAGGCCTTGAAGTATCCTCTCGGAAGTAAGATTAACGGCCTCACCATAAATGCTCGCTCTTTCAGTCGAGACTTCAACAATGCTCCCCTCTCAGATGCTAAAAATACGGACATTGCCGGGCCCCTGAGATACTCGAGCCTTTATATGCAATGTATCATACTCAAGTGGCAGCAATCATGTAGGCACAGCATAAAGTGGCTCATCCTACTGTTCAACTGCCAGAAGTTGGAAAAGGGCTATCATATGTCCGCCACGTCTCGACCATCAAGTCCCCAAATACGAGTCCATTAGACTGCCGCCATCTAATTTTCTAAGGCATGGATCACGCTGCAAAATACAATATGCCAAAATCATGAGTTCATCAGTCATTGAACATGTCCTCTCCCTCCGCCAACCCCCCTTTTAACACCACCAGTCGATGGGTGCTACGTGATTAGAATTACCAAATTCGCCAGGACCATAATTGTAATAACCAACCAAATCAGTAACGCGATCGTAGTCACGTACCACGTATTGGCCATCTTCACGCCGACGGTACTAAACCTCCTCGCGGGCACAACCCCTGTATCAAATCCGTAGGTCGCGGCGCCTGGGACAACGGTCATGTACTTGTTGAACGAGGTGAAGTAGATCAGCGGCGCCGTGATTATGGGGAGCACGGTGCCCAATACAACCTGCGTCCCATTCAAAGCGTTGCTCAACCCCTTTTGGCCTGCGAGCGCAACAATGATGGCTGTCGGCGTGATGCTGATTACTCTCGTGACCAAGCGGCGAAGCCACGGCCTTACTCGCCAGTTCAAAGCGCCCTCGCTGGCAAGCTGGCCGGCAATGGTGCACACCAGCCCCGCCGATACTCCAGAGAGCAGAAGTGCGAAGGCGAAGATGATTCCGGCGGCAGAGGATATGCTGTTCGCCAGCAAATCGTGCATACCGAAGATGTCGGGCGCGTAGGTCGTCTGGCCATGATAGAGCGAGGCACCAGCGACGATGAGGATGGCAGAGTTGACGAAGAGCGCAAAGGTGAACAGCGAGAAGACGACCTCGGCGATGGAAAACTTCATGCAGTGTCTGATGGCCGCCATAGAGGGGAAGTAAAACATCTTCTCAAAACTGTTGGCGGTTGTCATCGTGTCGGTGCGAGGTAGATCCCGTAGGTTTCCTGCTTTCATATCAAACTCTTTGAGGCGTGACTGCACCACGCCAGAGCCCAAGTGGAGGCTGTGAGGCATTACTGTTGCCCCCAGAATACCACAGGACTGGTATAATCTGAGTATTGTTAGTGTATGCCATCTCAATTAGGCGTTTGCGCTTACCCGTTGCTCTGCACGATCGAGTCTGACGGGAGGTATCCACGGAATACTTGACCAACGGTGGTGTCTTTGATTAACGATAACTGAATGCAAAAACACACGACTACCCCAAGCACGAGGATACAGACGCCAATCTCGAATATTTTCAGTCCTCGCATGGAGCCGTCGGGCCGGTAAAATATGAGGATGAAGACAAAGTCCAAGATTGTCAAAATGACACAGGCGAGTAACGGCAGTCTCGGGATGAGCAGGTGTAATGCCGTAGCAGTGCCGATGACTACGGCCATATCTGTCGCGATGATAGCGATTTCGGATAGAGCGTAGACGACAATGTTCATCCATCTCGGGAGAAAAACACGACAGGCTGTTGCTAAGTCGAGGCCGGTGATGGTGCCGAGTTTGATGGCGAGGCTCTGGAGAAAGATAGCGAACATATTGCTCACCAGGACGATGAACAGAAGATCAAAGTGGTAGGATGCGCCAGCGGCAATGTCGGTAGAGTAGTTTCCGGGGTCGACTTCAAAGCTGTTAGCTGGGACACGCTCATTGACCTTGGCAATACCTACTATACGCAACAGCAATCATGAACCCAGGCCCAACAAACTTGCCAAAGGTGATGAGATCGCTCCATCTACGCTGAAGCCATGTACCCTCCTTTTCGTTGGGATTATTCCTCGGCAAAGGGCCTGGACGCGATGGAAGCGATAACGGCTCCGCCTCTATTCGGTCATCTTTCCCTGTCAATGAATCGGGTTTGGATGTGCTTTCCGATGGTCCTGGTGTTGAGACTATGGTTTCGAGGCCGATATAATCGGGTGGAATATCTATAGTTAATCGCCTCGGTCGGTTGTTTGAAAGACCATGCAGGGTCTGGTTGATTGTGTAGTCTGCAGTAAAGGGACTGGCGCTGTGCCTTCGATCTTTACTCCCATGCTGGGGCTCTTCCAGCCACGTAGGCTTCATGGTTTCCCAGAGAGTAACGATCGTAGAGGTTCAGAGTCTGGAGGCTGCATTCCTCAAGTCAGTTATCCTGGAGGCTAGGGAGTAGACTTCATGCTCACCAACAACATGGGCGACGGTGGATGAGAGCGTTAGACTTCCCGCAGCAACATCGAAAATGGGCAACTCGAGAAGAAAGAAACAAAAAGCAGCGGATCCAGACGGTGAACCTGGAGTCGAAGTGGTTTTGTCATATCACTAGTCCGCCCGATGAAAGCAGAATTCCTAAACGACATGGATCCTGCACAACGGCAGGTGAGGTATGCCGAATGCGGCATCAGACAAGGTATACGGGCTCCTCCGGTTGAGATGATCACTCGTCATTAGCATGTCGGAGTTGGGCACCCGAGTCTGTGGGATGCCCAGAAGAGGGCCATGGCATCAGTGTGAAACAATCAAACCCAAATGGTCTTGGTTACTAGTGGGTTGTCCGGCGAGGATTTGAAGAAGAAGTCTTCGAGAAGTCGGCCGCCACTAGCTTCTGAAGGCATGCATCTGGTCCGGAATTTCCTTAGACCCAAATATCCGGCTTCGGAATAGCGCACATTGCGAGGCACATGTTAGACAATCGGCATAGAAAGATCAGCACTTACGGCGTGGCTGGTTCAGTTTAGGTACGGGAGTGGTCAGAAGCATGTAATGGGGTTGTGGCGTAAGGAAGGCTTGCAACCTTTTTGCCAAGAAATATTGTATTTGCTGGTTGGCCTCTCTAGATCGGCCTGACTAGAAGTGAAGTTCTTCATCCTCTTTTGAACATTGTTTGCCAGCCGCTCTCTGTTGAAGGCTGATCTCTTGCTCTTGGCGGACCGGTTTTGGCTTGATTCGACCGGCCTCGTGCGCTTGTGGGACGGTCAGCAGCTCAGCGGACTGACCGGGCTCACGGGGACCCATCCTCGTTTGTGTAACCCGAGCGGGCCCCTGTGCTTGGCTCCGTACACCCTTGTCATTCCGGCCTGACATTCGGCCCCGGACCGGAATGGGATGTTGATTTATGGGGGATGCTGTTGAAGCTTGTGGGCCTCTATTCACACATTCACCTGATCTTCTTGGTCTCCTTTCCAGCAGCACGTTCGCGGTCTCTCTTAGCGTAAATGCCAGCGGTGAAGGGGTTCTCGTAGGTCAAGGCGATCTTGTAGACGATGAACACCCATACGGTCAGCAATATTCCGGCAGGCTTGCCGTAAATAAGGGCGGCGCCAAGGAAGCTCAGTGTTGAGCCGTTGTACATGGGGGCATCGGTGATGTTGAAGGGGAAGCCAGTCACAATGCTGTCCATCAGAATGCCAAAGTAGTCACCGAGGAATGTGCCGACAATACCCAGCTGCCACGTCGAAGAGAGAACGAGCACATTGCCGGTCGCAACAAGAGCGTAGCCGACATAGGTCACCGCGTCGGACGCAAGCAAAGGATGTGTGGGCTGGAAGCGAAGGGCCCGTTCGTAAAGGAGGTCACGGACGATGCCGAGGGAGAAGATGGTGGCAGCCAATGCATAGCAGGCAGTCCTAGAGCGCCCACCGAATGCCTTGGTGAGGATCTTGTTGTGGTACTCTGGAGTCCGGGTTAGAGGCAGTTGTTCACTCTGGAAGACGGTCCTACGAACCTTGTCTCGCGACGATGCTACGCAACTTGTCAGCCCACAATTTGATGAGAGTGGTTTCGGGAGCCAAACTTACTTCCAGAACAAAGGGTTGAAGGCAATAGAAGCCGCAGAAACTATTTACAACAACAAACAAAAAGGTCAGCACAGTCAACGACGACGAGGACGACGACGTGAAGCTCCAGAGAGAGAGGCCCAAGCTCCACTGAGACTGAATGACGTACTGAGTAGGCTCTTCTGGTCAAAGTCGACCAACGCCTTGCTTTCGATCTCGACAGGCGCCATGGCTGAAGTTTTGAGGGATTAAAAACCGAGTGGTAAATGGCCGAATTGATCAGTTTGGCAAAAGCAAAGACTCGTAGGAAAAACCGTTGAGAACAGTTGTAGGATGCTAGGTACGATTTAGCTTGTGACAGAGCTTGGCTCCACCAGTATTTATGTCAGTGGGGACACCTGGCCATAGCGTCGCAACATTACGCAGTAGTGCATGGGGTCGGTTTTTTCTTCTATGGAGTTTCGGGGGCCTTCCAGCCCTCTCCCCCGCTGTAGCCGATGCTGGGGCGGGAACAGGCCCCATGACACAGTGGAAAGGAGGCCTAGGCGGAAATACCGAAAGGCCGCTGAACAGCACCACACAAGTCGAGCCCTTTCTCTCTGGTCACCAGGTCAAAAGTAATCATCATTCAAGTCTAGCCTGTAAACAGCGGCGCCAGCCAAAATTGCAATGGGTATCAACCACAACCTCCAAATCATTCGAACCATCCTCTCAGGAGTAAGCCAACAACGCCCGGGCACAATTCACCTGCGATTCCTAGTCTTCTTAGCCACTGTGCCCGTGTCTTCCTCCTCGTCGTCCTGGCCCTTCTTAAGGTCTTCAATTAAGCCCCATTCTTCCTTGTCATACCAGTCCTCGCCGTCCGACATGTCTCGGTTCGGTCCGCTGTGCGCCTCCGCCTTGGACCACGCGAGGACAGTCCTACGAAGCCGATTGGCCTTGAGAAGACCCTCATGAAGCTTCCTGGCCCCGCGGCAGACCTCTTCCTGCTTCTGCACGTACAATGCCAGCAGGCGGCGGATATCCTCGGCTTCCGGGTCCGGTAGCCCCACATCTCGGTCTGGACGGGCGTTGGCGGGAGGTCGAAAGAATGGGTGCACGAATGTCTCGTCCACCTTGTCGGATGTTATTGACGGCGCATTCGCACCGTTGCGATCCGTCAGTTCCGTTCCTTGGTGAGATGGGGGCGCGGTGCTGGCCTGCCGCATCTCGACGTCGGTAGCTTTCTGCTTCTGTGCCTTGTTTGAGCTGGCTTCCTCTCCCTCTTTGGCCCGTGTATCTCCGTTTGGTGGTTTTGATGTCTCGCCCTCAGCTTTCGCATCATCTTTGGCTGGCTTATCAGGTAACGGCTTGCGGCCCTCAGGCTTCTCTGACCCTGCGTCCGTCATTGTCACGTCACCATCGCCGCTGTCCTTATAGCCTGATGGCTCGCCGTTCGTGCCATTCGGTGCCTGTCCTGGCTTCGCATCGCCATTGATCGTCCCGGGCGAGGTCCCTTCATTTTCGGCAGCAGTCGCCTTCAGGCTCAGTTGAAATCCACGTTCTAAGTAGTCGGCCGAGTAAAGTTCGGCGTCGTCGGGGCCCACCATCATGCCACAAGGCACCCAAGTGTAGTCGCCGCATAACCTTGTGAAGAGGTGTTTTACTCTCCACAGCGACTTGTTCTCTTTACGCATGACTTCGCAACTCTGTTCGGCAATTTCATTCAGGGTCTTGGCTGTAAAGGGCTTCGAGAGGGTAGGATGGGTCGGGAGGTCGGTCGACGCGGTCAGGGGGGCGAGAATCTCTGGTCAGGGTCAGCGGAGTCTCCACGGTGCCCAGATGACGAACTTACGTTCGATTCGAATGTTGGCATAAGGGTCAAGCTCTGTAGCCGACGCAACAGCCTCTTGTATACGCTCTTCATCGTCGTCGCTGTCGATCTCGTACCCCTCCTCGTCAACAATGGGTGGGTTTCGGCTTATTATTGTCCGCTGCTGCCCGGCGTAGTCGATGACCTACAATTGTCAGTCCTGACCTGTCAGTTGAGAGTACGCCGCGCGACGCACCTCATTGTAGACCTCCGGTCCAGAGGGTGGCGCGAGCTGCCCCTGGTGGGAGAAGAGGGCTCGCTTCTTAAGTTTGTGGCCACGGTTCCCGTAGTGGTCGATCTCATCGTCCGAGTCGGATTCTAGGGCTGCTCGTCAGAATGCTACACCAACAGCGAGGGTGAGAGTGAGTGTAGTCGCATACCGTAAGCTTTGCGTTTGAGTGCCTTTTTCATAGCGGCCACGGTCTCGGCGAAGAGGATCTGTTGGGTTGCCATTGCGCCGTAAGGCCTTTGCTCCTGGCGAGGAGCCGAGAGCGATCACGGAGGTAGTTCGGCAGCGAGGACGAGGGGGGAAGGCTTTGACGAGAATTTTGGTGACAACAAGAATAAAATTCTCACAAGTTTTCGGTGAGGCTGCAATTCGTATCGAAACAGGATTGAAAGGGAGGCATCCACGTGGTAGATCACTGCGGTAGTGTGGTGTGGTAAAGGTGTAGAATGGGTAGCCCTCAATTTCTGCGCGCAGTCTCTGTGACGAGGCGGGAGGAGAACCACGCGGGCGGCAAGGCTGTCTCTCTCTCTCTCTCTCTCTCAGTGCAGTGCTAGTCCCAGTTCCTTTCCTTCAGGGCACTTTGGGCACAGCAAATGGGCCATGACCGCATCTGGTTTATCGGCCAATCAGAAGTCTCTTCATCGGCACCCATTTTTCCCGATCCCGAGGTTGGTGCGAGTCCCTCCCCCTAGTGTGCTGTACATAACCATTACCATAGAATCGTTGTGGTACTACGGTACATGTATAGGGGCCCCACCTTCTGTGAAGTCACTGGGTACAGTGGGCTGGGATCGCTGACTTTGGTTCTGGACGCTGGAATGGAGCTGCGATACCTATGACATGTACCTCACCAGGTGGAGGACCCATACTTGTACGATTCCCATCTGAATGAAGCTTTCTTTTTGCGACGATCCGTAGCTTGCGTTCGCATTGTCAATCTCGCTGACGGCCTTCATTATTCCACGTTGAGCGACCATGCTCCCTTGAGTCTACTACTGTGTGTTCTCGCGAACTAGTACATCGTTTAGGAGCTACTGCTGACTCTGCAGGCCAGAGCTTCTGCGACGAATCCCTCATTGCCCCTCGATATCTCAGTCGCCTCGTCCATGTGAACATAGAAATACCTTTACAATGGACGGATACCCAATTGGAAGCCTGGACCACAACATCCCGCACATCGTCCTCGCTGGCTTGACCTCGAACCCCACCAAAGCCCTACCTCTGAACGCCGAACTTCGGGACCAAGCGATACTACTGCGGTCGGAGCTACCGAGCCTCGAAAGCCCAGATGCCGAAGCGCTGAGAGAGTATATCGTGCGCCAGGATGGGAGGAATCACCCATGGAATGGAAGGGACAGCGGGAAGCCGTACAAGCTCCGGGTCACCGTAGCTGGCCGGGTACGGCTTATACCATCCTCATGTGTCCCATTAGACTAACCCCTTGGATAGTCGTTCGTCCTCCCTCCCCGCCGAGCCAGGCTACCAGATGGCTACGAGGCCACCGATGTGTCTCCTGCGCTGCATTCCCCCTTCTCGCCCCTGAGTCCTGTGTCGCCTCTCTACCCGGATGGCCTTATGGACACGGAATGGCTGAAGAAGCATGAAGAGCTAGTCCCCAGCGTCTATGTGTCTTTCTATACCCTCACATCTGATCCGACGCTCGCTACGCTGCACGACAACCAGCTGAAGACCGATATCAACAATACAAAGGCTGCTCTGAGCAAGTCGGGTTATAAAACGCGCTTGGCCGTGGTGCTTCTTAGCGATGGCACAGCATCGTCTTCCACAGCAGATCTTGTGCAGGACCGACTTGACAACATAAGGAGGGGCGTTGGACTGGATGCCAAGTCGTTCTTCTACCTGTCGCCCGGCGATATATCCATCGACCTCGAACACACGGCGGACTCTATGCTTGCGGCGGTGTTTCTGCAGGCCATCGAGTACTACCGCGATCTTGGCCGCCATGCGCGGAAGAAACGCAGCCGTGGGATTGCCCCCCAGCCCACAGTGCCACCTACAAATACTTCACAAACGCTTACAGTCCAAGATTGGAACGTAAGATACGATTACAAGACAGGCATATTCGCAGAGTTCCGCCAGGAGATGGATGCGGCTCTGCGCTCATATGACCAAGCGTACGAGGGGCTCTTGAGCCAGGATGTTATGGACGTCATCCCAAGCTGGAGTCCTCGTTGGAACGAAGCGCGTCTACTGGCCGATATCATTGCAATACGGGGCATAAGATGCGTGCTCTGGGGTGGACACACCACTTCTGCGGTACGGAGATGGCAAATGCACCGAGACAGGATAGCCGACTTTGTTGATCGTCGTGGTCGGGGAACCAACAATTACGGCTGGGAGGCATGGGAGTCGAGATGGGCCATTGTAATGGCGAACTTGATCGAACGGGTAGACTTTCGCAGCTTGGCACCGTCTACAAAGACCCTGTACCTCCAGCCGGAGAAGGCTGCGGCGATAGACAGGCTGCAACCTTGGGACATGCTGCATCACACGGGCTATTGGTACCGCACTGCTGCAGAGCACCTCGCAGCTCGACGAGCTCTTGCTCGGTCTATTCCTGAGGAGGATCGTCGGTCGCCAGATACCACGCCCGCATCAACAGTAGCTAGCAAAGCCTTCACATACGACACCTACATGTGCCCGGACCCTCATGAGGAGTTTCCTCTGCATGGAACAGGCGTCAACCACTCACAACTCATAATAGATCTTTTAATGGCGGCGACATCTCAGTTTCAGGCACGGAGGCAGCACCGTATGTCAGCAGAACTGTCTCTGGAGTGTGCTAAGGAAATGGTGAACCTGAAGGCGTGGAGCAACATCGTGGCGTTGCTTCGACCACTGTGGGAAAACATGTCGTTCAGGGCAGAGGGATGGTTCAACATTGCGGAGGACCTCGGCTGGGTGCTCCGAGCTGCAGCGGCTCACACAGGGAATGGAGAGCTTGTGGTTGCCATTGACTGGGAGCTGATGAACAGAAGTAGGCAACGAAGCTATCCTTCCCCTTTCTATTACAGCTACTGACAGCCAGCAGAGTTCACGCGGCGGCCCAAGTGGCACTACGATATTACTAGATCTCTAGAGGGTCTGTCGATCGAATCCAAGCCTACAGTGACGATCAATGATGACACCACATCATCGTTCATCTCGGCAGCCTTCATCTTCCAAGGTGAAGATGGCAAGGCCGGCGAGACTTGCCAAGCTCAACTAGCGATCAAGTCTGATGCCTTCCCTGATGCAGCTGCAGTAGCCCTCAAGGGGCTGCGAGTTAATTTCGAAGGCAGCCTCAAGACCATCACTCTGGACCATGAAGCCGACTCCAACACGGTCAAGTCAAAGGGCAACGTGTCGCTCTCCGACGTGGCACTGAAAGAGACGTCCCGAGACGGCGAAGAAGGTGAGGAGGGTGCTTCGGTCTTGAGCGGATCTGCCAATTTGTCCGTCAAGCCAGGTTCTACTAATGTATACGAAATGGGCATACCGCTACGCGAGCCCGGCGAGGCCCGCGCATCATCGGTTACCTTGATTCTAGAGACGGACGCTTTCTCTCTAAACTACACGATTAGTTTCCAAGACTTAGGCGCAGCAGACTTCTGGTTTAGCCCGTCGCTGTTCAGGAAACGGGTCGTGCGGCAGAGTGCCCACGTCATCCATGTGCAGCCCAGGCCGCCCAAGATGGATATCAAGCTCGCACAGCCTTTGGGCCAATTCTACGCCAATGAGGCTATGGAGCTGCTTCTAGATGTGGTCAATGCAGAGGACGAAGAAGCTGTCGCCAAGTTGGAGGTGCACGTATTCGGCGAGCAAATACCCCCTTTCCGCGTCCAGGTGGAGGACCAAGAAACACAGAGCGCAGAATCAGGCCAGGAAGAGGCCAAGCTTACCGGCATACCCCTCGGCACTCTTGGAACCTCGCAGTCGACCAAGGTCAAGATCAGCCTGGACCCCGTACAAGTAACGACGTCCTACGACGTGACGCTGAGGGTCTTCTACCACCTCGTCTCCGACCCGGCGACGCTGATCATGCAGATCCTCCCTGTCCAGCTCAACGTTGTCAACCCTTTCGAAGCAAACTACGACCTCATCCCCCGCCTCCATCCCGACCCCTGGCCAAGTCTGTTCGATCACGAAGGCGTCCAGGACCCCAACGTCAGCGACGACGCCGCCATCCACCCCCGAGGCATCTCTCAGAAGTGGTGCCTCGTGTGCCATTTCGCTTCCTTCGCCACCGAGGACCTGGAGATCGTCAGTATGGACGCCGAGGTGATTGCATGCCAGAACAACGCACGCTGCACAACGGTATCCCGGCCAGGAATCCCCGAGGGCGGTCTTCGCATGTCCCCGAAGTCGATGCAGGAGGCACAGTTCGACCTCGTTGCGCAAAAATACAGCCTCGACGACCGCGGCCCCGCCTCCCTCGACGTGGCGTTCGTCCTCAAATGGCGCCGGGCATCGTCGCCTTCCTCTACAGTCAACACGACCACGATGCTCGTGCCCAGGTACATCGTACTCGGCACCGAACCCCGCGTGCTCGCGTCGTACACCCTCGCCAACCCCGTCACGGGGCTGGTGAACCTCGACATCACCATCGAGAACCCTTCGAGCCATTTCCTGACATTCGGCCTCAACATGGAACCCAGCGATGAGTTTGCCTTTTCTGGCGCCAAACAAACCACGCTCCATGTGCTCCCCGTCTCCAGGCGTTCGGTGACATATCGTCTCCTGCCCCTCGTCAGGGGAGTTTTTATCCGGCCGACGCTTGTGGTGAGGGACAAGTACTTCCAAAAGGTGCTGAGAATCATCCCGACAGAGGGCATGAAGATCGACAAGGACGGGCTGCTGGTGTGGATTCCGCCGGAAGAAGAAGAAGAAGAAGATGATGATGATGAAAAGGATAGCTAGTTGGCGCCACAGCTCTTGTATACATACATGATCTATCTACATCTAAAGGGGTTTACAAGTCACCACCGCCCACCCACCATTTCTATATCCCGTCTTGTATATCCTTGCCTGTCTGCTTCGCTTTCCGAGTGACTGAGAACTAACTTCTCACATTTTGGCTTTGGGTGGCCGCTCTGGCCGTCCAATTCTCTTCATCCACTCTTCCGAAAGCGTCGTCTTCTCCTTGGCGCTCAACCGTGTCCACGACTCGTAGTCCTCCTGCTCCCGCCTCCACTCCCCAAGCCCCTTGACAATCCACTCCCCGGTCAACCGCGCGCTCAGACCGGGGATTTCCATGGGGAACAGGTGTCCCGCCTCCGGCAACGTAATCTCCTTCACGCGACCTCTCGCCACGCCGCCACTACCGCCTGCTCCCGTCCCCGTAAGCCGCATCTTCTCTTCCCGCAGTTCCGGGGTGGACAGGTCACTGGTTCCGCCGAAGACGTACAGCACCCCAGGGCGCAGGTTCGGCAGACGCGCGAGTGTGCTGGCGCCCTCCGGTCGGTACAGCGGGTATGTGTAGTACCTCTCGTTCAGCGAGGTGTCGAGATCGGGCACGAGGTCAGGGCGGATGACTTCGCGGCCCGTCTCGTCGTAGGCGTCCCAGCTGGGACGGAAGAAGGTGAAGACTTCCTGGTGCTTCGTCGTCGTCAACGTGACGCCCTTGCCGGCTTCAGGGTACAGCTGCGTCGGCACGTCTCTCAAGCCGTACTTGACCCATGATTCAAAGACTCTCTGGTCCCAGGCGCGGTAGAACGGGCTCTTGAGGAAGGCATTTTTCGCTTCGTCTCTAGACGGCCAAATGTCTCGTCTTGAAGCGGACGCGGCCGCGGGTGACTGGCTGATGCTGCCCTTTGCGTTGGACGACCACTTGGAGATGACGGGGTCGAGGAGGATGACGGCGGAGAAGAGGCGCGGGTTGACGAGGCCTACGTTGACGATGGCGTTGCCGCCGAAGGAGTGGCCTACGCCGATGATGGGTCGCGGCGGGCGGAGGGTGTTGATGATGTGGGTTATGTCGCGCGGGTAGTCGAACCAGCCGGGGTCGTTGCCGAGTTTGCCCTCGTTTAGGATGGAAGAGGCAGCTTGCCAGGCGGCGTCGGCGATGATGATGGAGCGGATGCGGAAGTTCTGGACTTTGGACTCCGCGTGGAGGTCCTCCCAGAGGGCTTCGTAGAGTTCCTGGCTATGTCAATATTAAATAACATAACTTTGGGGAGGCTTATGATTTGAGTGATCGGGTTCATGAGAATTGAAAGATGGGTTGGGTTACCTTGGGGAAGCCGTTTGCGTGCGCGCCGATGATAGTCACATCTCCGGGCTGCGGGTTCGGGTTATCCTTGGGGATGTACTCCTTCACAGCCACTTTGAGGACATCATCTTGAGAGTTTGCGAGGGCGCGGGGGAATTCGCGAATGTGCGAGGCGTCGAGTATGTGTTCTTTGATGTGGAAAACAGAAGAGGGCGACATGATTAGGCTGGCCTCTCTGTAAGGGCAGACCAATTCAAAACGACGTCGTTTGTGAACAACGAATCTCAGAAACCGGACTGCGTTAAGGTAGTTTATGAGATTGAACAACCCTTTCCGGAGTACGGACAGTGAAATTGAAGAAACGGCTCATGAGAGTGTTTACAGCTCATGAGTAAGTGGAGGTTGAAAGGCCGGCATTGCGACATGGGGGGAGAATCTGGGGTGTGGAGATGCCGAGGTCCCAGCGGCAGCAAGCCCCGGCCCTTCAGCGTAGTTCCACGGCAACACTAATCACAGAGCCCCTGGAACAGGCCTCAACGGCAGTTGGCTTCGGGAACGGTTAAGGAACTGGTGTATTAAATGACCATTCCTTAAAGAACAGGGCTATATTGCAAAGACATATTAAGCCACCCGTGGCTTCATCAACTAATGAATTGACTTTCCATCTGATGTAACTCTGTCTGATCATATTGACTCGTGAACTTTTTCATCTGTTCATTTTGTCCGTTAACATCTAGACCATTGATAAATGCACTCCAGATTATACCGATTACCCTGGGTACTTGAGTGAGAGCAAATCTACCCCGCTGGGTTTAACCCCCACCCACTCTTTTCCAGCACCCACACTCACACGCGCACTCCACAAACCATTCCCGGGACAAGCATCCATCCCCCGATACAACAGACACAGGCCCCGGCCCTGCATGCCCCGTGTCTTAATCTTCGCCGGCGCCCCGGAGGCCGATTGGTCCTCCCCGGACCTCCTCCTCTCCACCCCGCCGGCACCCCACCCCACATCAACGCCTGCCGCTGCCGCCCCGGCATGGCGCTCACTCCCCTTCCACCGGGCCCCCCTCGTCACAGGCTTCTCTCAACACCACGGCCTCCCCTCTGACTTTAGACCGCCAGCACACTTCTTCAGCCTCTCGCTAGACGTAGACTCCCAGCAGAGCGTCGCCGCCTCCCAGGAACTCCTCTCGCAGTTCTACGATCACTCCCTCGCACTCCACCATGACCTACCCTCATCCCAACTTCCCCTCCCCTCGCAATCCCATACCGGCAGGCCACCGCCCGACACGCAGTCGTTTGAGACAACTGCTGCGGACTCTTTCATGACCACCACCACCACCACCACCACAGACTCCTCCTTTCAGGACACGACGCTGAGCATCAGACCGCCACTCACGACGTCACACCACCTAAGCGACCTAGAAGACATCCCGACCGGCCCGGACCTCCTCCGCCTCGCGCCGCAGACGGTGACGGTGAACCTCATCGCCGGCGTAATATCCGTCTCGGCGCCGCGGAGCATCACGACGCGCTGGGGCACCGAGCTTGCCCTCGTCGAGGTGCTCGTAGGCGACGACACGCGCGCCGGGTTCGGAGTCACTTTCTGGGTACCCGCCAGCGCCAAGAGCACGCCCGGCGCCACCTTGCCCTCGCAGCTTCGAAGACAGGACGTCGTTCTCATGCAAAACGTCGCGCTGCACGTCTTCAGGGGGAAGGTGTACGGGCAGAGCCTGCGGAAGGGGCTAACGCGGACTACGGTGCTGTATCGTCGGAAGATGGGTGAGGATGACGAAGGCGGGTATTATCGCCGGCGAGACTTGGGGTCGGGCGACAGCGGCGGAAGTGCCGTGCACCCGCAGTTAGCCAAGACGAGGAGGGTGTGGGAATGGGTTTTGCGGTTTGTCGGTGGAGAGCAAAGGCCGGCGGCTGAGGATGGGAAGGGGAAAGGGAGGAAGAGGGGATGGGACCTCCCGCCGGATGATACCCAGTGACTTGACTTTTACATGTTTGCATATGAGGCGCTGCATTTAAGTACTACGCGTACGGTTTAAAGACTAGCATTATAGGCTTTTGAGGGCAGAGGCGGTTGGACGGAATATCATTACATTAATCATCAACTTGCCAAGTCGATATTACACTTTCTAGTCTAAGCTGAGAGTTGAGAGCCAGCCCGGGTATCCTCTAATCACATCCAAACGCATATCGTACACATAAAAATTCTTTTCGATTAAACGGCGACAGCCGGGGTCCCCTTGCCCTCCTTCTTGACGCTCTTCCACTGCAAGCCCAGACAGACGACAAACGCGGCCGCAGCGCAGGCTACAGTGACGTAGTACGTGTGTCTCAAGCCCACCATGTATGCCTCCAATACCGCAGGAATCGCGTCGGAACGTCCCATCTGCGTCAGAATGTTGCGGACCTGGTCGGCGCCGGCGTTGACGAAAATCGAAGGGTCGAGATCCGGCACGCGGCTGGTGATTCCGTTGACGAGACCCGTCTGGAACAGGTTCTGGGCGACGGCAATCATGATGGCACCGCCAAATGCCTGGAAGAACTGCACACAGGCCGTAGCGACGGGGACGTCCTCGAGAGGCAGAACGGTCTGAACGACGAGAACACCGATTTGGAAGCCCGCACCAATACCAAGCCCAGCGAGGACCTGGTAACCGAACCACTCGCGCATGGGTGTGTCGAGGTCGAACGTTGTAATCATGCCTGAGCCGACGGAGAAAAGAACGAGGGATGGCAAGATGATGGCGCTATAATAGCCGATGACTGAGATGAGAGCACCGCTGGCCATGCTAGCGACGACGGTGGCCAGCAGTAGGGGCAAGATCTTGATGCCCGCTTGTACCGCACTTACGCCCTGGATAGCCTGGAAATAGAGGGCTGCCGTTTGTTAGTGATCTGAAACATCCCGGCTCGTTCTGATTGACTTACAAAGATAGAAGATGAGAGGGAAGAATGCAGCTCCAAAGAAGCAGGCGAAGAGCATGGCGCACACCACGTTGCGATTCTTGAAGAGAAATGGAGGCAGAGTTCCCTTGTCGCCCTGCCACAGCTGGACTCCGATGAAAATGATGATCATGAGGCCGAAACCGACAAAGAGACCAATGACCTTGGAGCTGTTCCAGGGGTACTCGGCGCCACCCCATTGCAAAGCAAGGAGCAGGCAGATAATGGCGGGGATGAAGATGGCAGTGCCGATAAGGTCGAGCTGCATGAGGCGCTGGACAAGCGTCTTCCCATCAGGGTTGTTCTTGCGGTTGAGGTGAAGCAGGAAGAAGATGAAAACCATGGCGACGCCACCGATGGGCAGGTTGATGTAGAAACACCACCGCCAGGTCGCCTTTTCCGTGAATACGCCTCCTAGCAAGGGACCAGCAACAGAAGCAACACCCCACATGCCGCCGATGAGTCCAAACGCCAGCGGGCGCTTCTCAAGAGGCATTGTGTAGCTGAGAATGACAATCGAACCGGAGAACAAGCCTGCGGTGCCAATGCCGGCAATAGCACGGCCGACGATGAAGGCGGTCGAAGTAGGAGCCAAGGCACATACCAGAGAACCAACTTCAAAGATGAAGATGGCGGTGAGGTACGAGTACTTGATGCTGAAGAGCTTGTAAATGGTGCCATACATGGGTTGCAGAGCGGTGGTGGTCAAGAGATACGACGAGCCGTACCACCCAATGTCCTTGACGCTGCCATACTCTGAGGTAATGGCGCCGAGGGCCGGGGCGATGATGGTTTGGTCGAGGGCTACCAGGAAGACGGCGAGGCAGAGCGAGGCAATAATGAGGACGAGCTTCAGGCCCTTGGGGTAGTCGATGTCGTCATCGGTAGATTGGTGAGTTGATTCACCTTTCTTACTGTTGGTCTCGACATCGGTGGCATTGGCATCGCGAGGATGCTTCTCAGTGAGGATCGAAGGGTCGGCCGAAGTGGCATCGCCAGGCTTCTCGTCGTGATGCTTCGTATCCATGGTAACGTTTTCTTCCCAATGGGTGGGTGGGCGACGAAAATGTTGGAGAGTGTAAACAAGGGTGTAAGGGAGGTTTCACTTTAAGTGAAGAAGCGACAGAGGTGAAAGAATCTACGCCGAGATCTACTGTCAAGCCGTGGACAAAGAAGGGCTTAACCCGATGGAATGAGAGTGCAGATGAGACGAAAACGAAGAAAGAGAAGGCGAGGCCGCAGGCAGATACTTAACCATTAGCACAAGCTCGTCTTACACACAACATCTGAGTGTCGTGAAATTTCCCAAGTGCAACATCCATCCTGTCGGATAGCGACGCGGACTACCGAGGATACCCACCCCGATCTAGACATGCCTTGCAAGCCACAGGGATAAACTAGCCTACTCAACCAAAGCAATCAGCATTTAGCTCGAGCTTGTCTTCGTTTGGGTTGGTGGATAGAAGGGCTAGTGGGCGGACGATGGTGCGGACGAAACTGGAGCAGGGGAGGGGGAAGCCCACTCAGACGAAAGAAAAGAAAAAAGGAAATCTGTTCGATGACAAGCTGGCCAAGATGACGAGGTTCGATGATGACTACATCAAAGTCACCACGGTTACATCTCTGCTCAATGCATATGAGTGGGATACTTTAGCCCAGAGGAGGCTGAACGAGCCAGGGCCCCATGATCGTTCTTGGAAAAAAGGTTTACGACTCCTGCAGCATGTGGCACCTCCCTGAGGGTCTACTAGGCTGCTGCCATGTGGTATGGAACCGGGTTAGGGAGGGAAATGTGCTGGTCGGTCGGTTTCTCTCGGAGGTCGGCGAGTAAACATGTCCGACTGACACAAAGCCGGCCCGGATGATTGGTCAGTTCGCCCATCGGCACTCGCACTTGGGGTTATCCTTCTTTAGGATTCACGACGTCAACGACACCAAATTGCTGGGAATCCCTCTCGCTTTGTCAGCTATGGGACCTCTAGGATTGTAGGTTCCGGGGTCCCAGCGCAGGCCACGACTGCAAGCACATTCGGTGGCTTGCCCAAGGCCCAATCTACGGCATGCCCTATTGTTGGGAGCTCGGGGGCGTGACTCATCTGCTGGCTCGGTGTTTGTCGCTTGCGGCTCGAAATCTCTCCGACTGCAGCATCTTTCTTAGTCATGGTGGGTTTTCCGGACTTTAATCGGATGGAGATAAGGGTGTAGCACCAGACACTCTAGTCCTCATACCAGGCCACTTGCTTCCCATCGTATCTCCTCGACGCGTCATGGAGGGTGGCACTGTCGCGTACTTGTTGTTGTTGGCATCACGCCTGTGCGCATTCTTCTCGAATATGGCTTTCTTTTTGCTAAGGCAACTGGCCGCAAGGCGACTCCTGAAGAACAGGTTTCACCACCGTCAACGCTTTGGTGTCTCGTTCTTCCGACACTCGGCTCGGCTTCCAAATGTCTCCCTCCGATATGGACCCCAAAGTAGCTGCCGTGGCTTACACGCGGTGCGGCGCAACTGATCCAGAACCGTCGGCCAGCCCAAGAAGATGTAGCATCATCTTAAGCTTATACTTAGAACAATGTCGGCCGAGAGTAGCGACGACAACAGGGCTGACCCCATTGATGCTCTATCAATTTGGATCTCCCACCATTAGTTTCTGACATGTTATCCAATGGGTAAATTACCTTCGTCCGATGTCACAGCTACTAACAGAGGTTAGCCCGAGAAGAAGGTTGTCTCTGTGTGTACTTGAAACGCTCACCCTCGATAGAACATGACCAAAGTGGCTTATGTAACCCAGTCTGCACTATGCGAACAGAGCAGCCTACGGTCTTGGAGCATGTCGAGGCCAAGAAGCAACAGCTCTCAATAACCTTCTTCCCCTGCACAAGAGTCAGTCTTTGTAGGCGCTAATTTTAAAGCTGTGCTCCACGACGTTTTGGGGGCCGTTGTGGGGACCAACAGTACAGTGTGTGCACCTATGCCCGCTGTGGATCGAAACAAAAACGATCCAGAAGAGGAGCGTTCAGCGCCGGCCCAAAGTACCGGTGCACCCACCCTAGGCGCCCAGGTACATGGTGCTTGGTGACGCCTGTTTAAAGAGCCTCAGCGTCACCCGCCAAGCTTCACTGCAAATGGTGCCCTATCTAATCTCGGCGCGTCCAACCCTTGCAACGCCCGCCCGCCTCGTCAGTCTGCGCTTAACTACCTTTTGGACCTCCCCAATAATACCATACTGTCTATGAGGTTATTGCGTCTTCACTATTTCCTCCACCCAACCGGGCGTATAGACATTCCACCATGGGTAATTTCATTTGATTCAACTTTTTCGTCGAAATTTCAATGAACTCGCTAGCGCCGTAATCGCGAGAATCAACGAACCCCCAACCGAACGGTCCACCGCTGAACCCACCTATTGCCGGATATAATTCCCCATCCGTCGAGAGACTGGCCTCTCGACCAAACATTTGCCGCCATGGATCGTGCCATGGTAATGAGAGATATGGAGTACGAAGAATCTGCCATCATGGACGACGATAGGGATGTCGACATCGTCGGGAACGTGGGAACCACACCGCAGCGCCTCGCCTTGGGACGCTCGCCCTTGTCCAAGACGCGCTCCATGTCGGACGGCGGGACGCCCTCAAAGCTTTCGCCCTCGCCGCACATTGCCGAGCGCAACACCTCCAAGGACGACAGCCATATCGGGAACACGGGACCGGTGGCGACAGCTGCACCTCCCGTGACTCCCCACCGATCCGAGTTTCCCCTCCGCGGCCTCTCGCTGCAGATGCCTGCCAACTCTCCCTCCTCTTCGTCCGCCGTCTTCACCAAACCAGCACCGCTGTCCCCGAAGCTCGACCACTCCCAGATCTACGCAAGCCCCACGCATATCCTTCCACGTCGCTCGCGCGGTCTCGATTTCTCCCGTGCCGCGACCAGCCTGCACCACTCGACCCTTGCGGAGTCGTCGCCCGACTCGTCCCCCACGATCGGAGGCAGAGGGATGAACATCCCGGGAAGGAGGAGCAACGACTACGGCCAGGCGGAGCAAACGACGACCTCTTTGTGGTCAATGATGGGCAATCACGAGCGCATGACAGTCTCGAGCTCCCTGGGCAGTGCGAACCACCCGCTGGGATCCGATTCTTCATCCTCTTCCGACAACGATGACCTGATGGACGAGGACATGGATGAGCCATACATCGGAACGCCGCAAGCGAACAAGTCTCTATCGTCGGTTGGGGCGCATCTTCCCGGCGGGCCGTGGATGGGGGGAGGATCTCCTGCGATGAACAGTCTGATGAGCTTCCAGCAGAGGCAGCGACCGAGGAAACAACAGAGGAAGAAACACAAGCCCCCTCTGGGCCTCGGGTTCAACCCCTCCACTATGGCTGGGCTCTCTAAGTCACCGCCCAGCAACATGTCAAAAGACGTCTCGGCTCACAACCGGAGGGAGAGCATCAGCTGGCAGGCAAACCAGCTCCACATATCTGGGAGCGAGGAGGAGAGGGGAGATAACATCGATGGCATCCTCACAACTCCCAGTCGCGACGGGCAACGAACTACCGTTATGAAACGCGTGGTAACCCGTCGCGGAAACTTACTAGTGAGTCGACTTCCTACTCCTGTTCTGACCGACGTGTGTCCTAATTGTGACTTAGCCTAAAACGAAGAACTTTGCACGTATCAGGGCAGCTCTTTTCGAGGAAGGCGCACCCGTAGAGATGGAAACGCGGCGCGAGGCCGAAGTTGTGCGCCAAGTACGCGAAAGCGACGTGGACCTCGAGCCGCCCCGTCCACCACCAGCCTCAACAGCTCACTCATCACCGAATCTCGGTACACAGGAAGCTTCACTGGATGACATTCCAGAAAGCATGATTTCCGACTCCGCGATGACGTTATCAAGCAGCTTCAAGCAACAAGCACTCAAGAACTCCAAGGGCACCAAGTTTTGGGACACCTTTTCCGAATCGAGTAGCATCGGCACACGCACAACACCGCCGCCCCAAACTGGCCTGCCCCGTGGCTCTTCGTCTGGCATGAGCGAGGACATATCCATGGACTCGCCATCCCTCGGACCGACGGCAGGTTTCGCTATGGCAGCCAGCAGCGGCGAGTCTCAAAAGGGTGACACGCCACTCCTCGCGCAGGGCCCCCAACCAGCACCCAGCGCGGCGGAAATCACGCGGCGTATTAACAGCAAGCGCCGAAGGGAGGACGATTTCGACCCCGTTAGCTTCAAGCGCCGCGCCGTCAGCCCAGGCATGAGTGTGCACAACTCGCCCATCATGCAAAGCCCCATGCAGCGCGACGTGGCGCCGTGGGGGTCACGGCCCGGCAGTAACAGCGGCGACCGCGGCGGCAGCGAGTCGGGCAGTCTGGGCGGCACGCCGGGGAGCAACCCCAACGGCAACGGCCGGGTGAATGGCAACAAGGGAAGAGTCGGGTTTCAGGGCATGGTCGATACCAGTGACGGCATGATGCGGATGAGCATCGAGTGATTTGCGTAATTCACGTTCTTGGGATGGAAAAAATTAAGTCGGGAGGCTCTGGATAACTAACTTTGGGCGCAGTTCTACTTGCTGCGTATTGGCGTTTATATGGTTCGTTTTTTTCTTGGGGTGGTGATTAAACGTGGTGACTCTATTAACAAAAAGGAAAAGAGAGTGATGGAGGGCTGCAGGCGTACCATGGGAGATGGATGGTGTTTTCTTTATCGGGGGGGTTTTTTTTTTCTTCTTTCCTCTTCATGGGAGGGACGAGCAGTATATCCATAGAGCCGTTACCCAGCATCACACAAACAGCGAAATGATCATCTTTTTTTTACTTATTCATAATGAAATGATGAGTCTTTGTGAGATTCTAATAATCAACAGTAAAGCCCTCCCCCCCTGTTCCCTAAATGCCCTGGAACAGGATATGATCGAAGAAGATGATACTTGTTTGGCCGTGGTATCTTCCCAACGCCTGTATACGCCTTTGATGCTTCCAGCGCGCTCTCTCTCCCTGTCCTCCTCAGTCCGTCGTTGAAATGACCCTTAACATACAAACCATCATGCAAACGCAGTGCTCCTCTCAAGTCCAGCCCAGCACAGCCCAGCCCAGCCCAGCCAATCCTAAACCCTCTGTTCTGTTTTCAAATATTTACTCCACCCCAACCCCCTCCTCGGGGACCCTCAGACTGCCCAGCTTATCATCAAGCCACTTGGCCAGCTCCTCGGCATGCCGCCTCATGACAACCACACCAGCCGTGTTGACGCTTCCAACACTGCCCAAACTCGCCGTCGTGATCCCGCCGACGCTCAGCACACTATCTGCCTCTGACGGGGAGGCAGGCAACTGGTTCGGCGTAGCAACACCGGACCTCTCGCCGTTATGTCCATGGTGAGAGAGATGGTGGTGCACCGCCGAGTCACCGCCGGCAGCATCGATATGTTCCGCCAGAGGTCCAATGCAGACGAAGAGCAGACCGCATTTCAGCCGTCTAATAACCACAACGCCGGCCGCGAGCTGTACCGTTATCGTAAGCGGCTTCGTGCCCTCGGGGGCCTGGGTAGCCAGGCCGGGAGCCGTCGTCAGACTGCTCGCGTTTGTGGCGGACGCCGGGGGCGAGGAGTGGGATGTCGGCAGGGCTTCGGGGATGTCCGGGGCCGTGGAGGCGTGCAGAGCGAAAAGGGACGATGCGACTGTCGACTGGGTACGAAGCAGCGAGACGGGGTGCGGGGAGGCGTGGGCGAGCAGGCGGCCGGATGGGGTGGCAAGGAGCGCCGTGTGAAGGTGCGAGTTGAGATTCGCGTTCAGGAAGGTCGTAAGGCGTTTCGTTAGAAGGAGCGGCGGGGTTGGTTGATTGAAGGACATTTTGGGATGTTCTGGGTTTTAATCCCGTGACGTCGATGCGAGGAGTCCGAATGGGAGAGCTTCGGGATCGGAAAAGAGGAGGAGGGTTGAAGAGGGAGCCCGGATTGGGATGGTGGGTCGATGACCAACAAATCTGATGACGATTTGTATATATAGATATGTATGTGTGATTGCCTTTTTTGCCTTTGTGTGAATTGGCTTGGTTCAGTCTGGCTTAAATGAATGAGAGACGCGATTCGTCAATCAAAAGTGGTTGCGTCGGAGCTTCAGAAGCTGAAGCTGGAGCTGGCCCTGAGCTGCTAAGTCGAGGTTGTGGTGGGTTGAGGTTCGAGGTTTGGTCCACTGTCCGCAATCTGAATCGGAGCTGGAGCAATAGCAGCCTCACGCAGATGGGAAATTGGGCGACAGCGGGGCACCATAGCTGCGGTACGTACCTTTTTCTAACTAGCCTAGCAAGGACTCTAGTGGGCACCATTCACTGCAGTATTGACATGGCAGCTGTGGGGACGGAATGTGTCTGTCACGGCGACATATTAGGCTGGTTTAGTGATCGGCACAGATTGCTCCGGAGTAACGTCCTCTGTACATTTTGCGGCGATGTTATCACATGATGGATCCGAAGGACCATGATGAACGCCATCTAAATTATCATCAACGGGTTATTTAACCCAATCCCAAAGCCATTGGTATTTGGATGTTCGTGCTATGGAGGTAAGGGCCACAGGAGGCCACAATCTACTCCATCATGTCGTCCATCCCGTTCAGCGAAAAGAACTTGCCCCTGAGGTCGTCCAATACGTCCACGTACTCTCTTCCTTCTTCCGTCTTGTTCCGCCATTTTTGGTATAACACCTCAATCTCGTCGCTAAGATGCTGCGAGCCCGCCGCCGGCGTCAAGAGGTCGTAGTCCAGGAGCAGCCGCACAGCAAGCTTGAGGTACTTGGAGTATCCCATCCGCATCAAAGTCTCGTCGATGTGAATGTCCGTCTGGTCGTCGCACGGTTCGACACACTTGCAGCCCAGGATGTTGGGGTGCTCACAACCGCGCCCGAGGTGATCGTCACCTCCGATGCATTGGATGTTCAGACAACGCCGTATGTGGACGCAACCGCACGCCTGGCAGCCATCGAGGCTCGGGAGGGGGAAGCCGGCCATCATGCGAAAAAGTACGGCACCAAGGGCCCAGTGGTCGTCGCTGATGGTGTACAGGCGTTTGCTCTACGACTGTTAGCAATTGCTCTGATGGTCGACGCCTAAACTAACCTTCTCTCCGGTCACAATGTACTCATTCCATTGCTTCCTCATCTCATGCAGCTCCATATGGCCTTGCCTGGGCGCCAGAGGGAAGCCCTCGCTATTTGGGACAGGCTTCTCTCCAGAATACGTCGCCTCCCGCCGCGCCGGGATGCCAGAGACGAAAACTCTGCCGAACTTGCCCAGCTTGCATACACCGTACGTCTCCTGGCCACGCGAGTGCTGGAAGAAGACAGACTGGCCGCTGATGCCGCGGTGCAGGATCGGCATCCATTCCATGTCTGTCCTGACCCACTGCACCTCGCCCGTCTCCCAGTTTACTTGCTGGCGGTGGCCGTCATGGAGCCAGACGAGGGCGCGCAGGATCGACGTGAGGACGTGCCAGCAGAGTGACTCGGGTAGAAAGCAGTCGGGTTCGCGCTCCGAATGTCGATCTGCAAAGAGGAGCTCCAGATTGCCGGCGTCACAAATGTCCCAGATGAGGTAGTCCTCTGTTGCTTGAACCTGAGAATGGAAGGGCTGCTGGCGGAGATAGCCGGCAAGGGAAATGATGTTTTCATGGTTCAAGATGTGCGACACGTTACGGCCAAAGTTGCATTCGTAGAGCAGGTCCATCAGCCCCTTGATTTGGCGCTGTTTCTTGGTCGTGAAGCCCAGTGCATATTTGCCAGCGTCGTAGTACTCGTCAAAGTCATCTACCTTGCGGGCGATGAACTCTTCGCCATCGGCATATCCTATGTGCTGAGCTATTCTTCTCGCAAGCCAGATGTTTTCCTGTACTTTCTTGACGAGTTGGAAGACCGGCTGGGGGTGATCTTGGTCCTCCATTATGGTGCAATCAACAAGAATAGCTTGACAGAGAAGAGTTTAGCCATTGGGAAAGCGCACGTAGAGCGCTGGGTACAAGTCGAATTTGTAGCATCAGGATGGGTTCTGATGCCTTCAAAGCAGACCATCTTGATGAATGAGCATTCTTCAAAACGCAGTGCGATGGCTTCAAAGCACTCCTGGCCATGAATGCACCCACTTCCACTGCATTAAAGGCTCTTGCATCACAACAAAGACAGCTCAGACATTGTCGTCTTCTATTCAACGGCTTTCTGCCTTGGCATTCCGGAAGCGGTTGAGCAGTGCGCCTCCTCCGTATTTAGTGTCAATTCCCGTTGGATTCTCCTCAATCGCGGGCGGTACTCCAGGGAGGGAGAAACAGAAACATCTAACGGCGGTCGGACGAACTACGAAGCAGCCACGATCCCTTACCAAGACTTCGGCGCTGACCACTCGAGAAACGACACAAGCATCCACGACCATGGTCCAATTGCTTGGCGCAAGCAAGGACCGCGGAGTTCCTAGAAACATTGCCTCTGCTAGTATATCCGCCGCTGGTTCTTTGTCGGTCTTGTCTCAACAAGATTAGACTGGCAATAAAGATAGCCGAATGCCCGGGGTGATCCACGTGCCCTCCCCCGTCTTAAAAAAAAAAAAAAAGAGAGAGAGAGAGAGAGAGAGAGAGAGAAAGGAAGATTGGCTAATAGAAAGCGAAATGTCGTGTTTCCCAAAGCGGGAGGTGCCCAATTTTCGAGCCGGGTCATGTTGGCCAAGACCTGCCGTCTGATCCGTACTAGTAGTGTGTTTGCAGCGTCTCCCTTCACGCTGTTTTGTAAGGGCTCTGAGCCCTGTTGGACGTTGACCGTTACCTGGGAGGGCTTGGGAAGGGAGGAGAGAGGCAACAGCCACTGTAGGGACCATGCGGACTAGCTGACCAAGTCGAATGACATCGGCGGACAAGGCTCAATCAATGCGAAAGTGGCGCATGGGCCATGTCGGAAGCAGAGGAGCACAACTGTGAAGCCGATTTGGTACCCCGGATGACGTTCCCGGGTGCTCGACATCATGCATACCGTGGTACGTTCAAGGGAAGCGCGTTTCATCGAGACAATCCCGGAGGCAACGTTGAGCAGAACTGCGGCGAGTTGAGACGGGATGCCCGGTTTATTTTAGTAGTTAGTGCGTGGAGTATCCATTCTGATTGTGACAAGCACAAACGATGGCGAGTAAGTGTGAGGTAAATTAGTAGAGATAGAGAGGCAGAGAGACAAGAGGCAGCCAGCCGAGTCAACCGTTCGGCACCCGACGGCAATGTATGAATGTGGTGGTGTTCGGTGGTCAAGCCACATGGAAAGCCTATCATTTAGGCGAAGGATCTCAATTTGACGACGGGCGCTATTAGCTTTGGGAAAAAGCTGACGTTGCCCCCTTGGAGTAGTAAGCGACCAGCGCGCGCTGCTTCAGGATGGTCGAAACAATGCAACCAACCGGGCACTCTGTCTCTCTGCTTGCCATGCCATCGCTTCGAGAAGCGCAGGACTTGGTATAATGGTTGGCTAGATGATAATCGGGCGCGTGTTAGGCGCGGCTGTAAAGACGAGGCCGCAAATCCTGTGGCCTTGCTCAATCTCGAACGACGTAGCCGTCTCAAACAGAGAGTGAGAGAGGGTGCTGGTCCAGTCAGAGAGCAGAATCTTTACGTAGTACATTGTAACTTGGGAGAGGGTCGATGCGGGCGGCCAAAGTGAGAGAAAGATGACAACAGGGGGGAGGAACGCAATGTGGGGGCCCTTAATCAACCCTATATGTGACCCTGGCCAACCAAAGGCGACAATTGGATGGGGAAATGGGACCTCAAACGCTCTGATGGAGCGCTAATCCTCTTCTATCTATTAGTGGCATCGTACCTGCGTTAAAGACCGCGCTTCTGTCGCTATCGCTCCACACACGCTTCAGATGCTCTAAACCGCCAAACAGCCCACCGGTGCCCTCTACCCTTGGGGGACCTTCAAGGGGCCTTCCAGGGGCCTGTCGTTGCGAATTCCCAACGGGAGGAGATTATTGGACGTTACCACCAAAAAGCCCCCCTTTTCCTTCCGCCTTAGCACCGTCTTGTCATGTCTTGACCCTCTGACCCTCTGACCCCCCCTCTCGCAGATCCCTCTTCAAGGCCTCCACTCCCCTCTCACTCGACCCCGTCACGTTCACGTCGATACTCTCAGTGCCTCTTACACACACTGGCACCCTCGAAAATTCCTTTCCTTTCTCTAGTTTTGGGAAGCCGTCCTGGGCCTCAAGAGGAGTATTCAACCTTTTCTCGACCGACAGCATTCTCATATCGCGTGAAAAATTCACGTCGTCCACTCATTCTCGCCTCGTCTCGTCGCTCATTCTCGATTCGATCCATTGCACCCCCGTCCGATCATTCGCTACTGTCCACATTGTATCATACCTCTACCCTTTTCGACATCCTGATACTCAGCCTTGCAACCAGCACCGGCCGATCAAACGCGGCTCTTCACCTCGAGAAAAATCACTGCCCAAAACGCTGTCAACACCGCCTTGCATTCCGCCTTCCCTGTGTCTTGTTTGTCGCATACCGGACAAGGCCGATTGAATGATTGACAGCCGGAGCTGAATCGCCTTGCCTTGCTGCCCTCACATTATTGCTACCCTTTTTCCCCCTCGTCTCTCCCATCTTGATCCACCCTCAAACGCCCGGTCGCTCGACTATGTCTTCGTGACTGTAGGCGGTCCGAACTCTTGTCTCGCAAAGTCAGCCCTTCCGACGCTCGACCCACATTCCGTTCTCCCTCTCATTCAAACTCATCTTTTTACTCTTGACCATCATCTCGTCTCTGGTATCGACTCTTCTCTTCTGATCGTCAACGAAAGAGCACAGTCGATTACTTCGCGGGCGAGTAACGACGTGTGCTGACGGCAGGTCCGGATTTGCGGTATCATCCTCACTCTCATTTACGATACAGGTCCCAGTTGGCCGTCGACAATTTTCATTTCTACATTTTCTCGACTCGACTGCGTCGAGATTTATCCGATACCGTTTATCCGTCATCACCAATTGCCCATAGTTCAAGATGGGTTGCCTCAGCCATCGTCGGAAAGACATTGAGTACAAGGCCGAACAGAAGTGGGACTACATCGTAGGTTGCCATCGCAGGCGTGGGTGTTGAATGCTACTAACCAAATTACGCAGAGTCTGAACGACTTCCGGTCCCGAGGATGCCTCACTCCTTTCGCCTACTTCTACCTCTGGCTCATGCTACTGATCTCAGTGGCCGTCTACGGCGTTGATATGTTCACTGCCATCAACCTGCTCGCCTTTGACCGATGGTCCTCCGAAATTGACCCTGCCATCGACTTCAAGATCTCGAAATGGATCTTCTCCATCTCCATCATCGCTTCCTTTGTCAACCTCGCCTTTGAGCAGTTCAGGGCTATGCGCGTTATGAAGCGAGGAAACGTCGCCGAATGTTATCTCGACACCATCGCCGTCCGTCTTGAAAGTCTCCGTATGGGTAAGGGACAGGGTTGGAGACGTTTCCTGGTTTTCGCCGAGCTCACTAAGAGCAAAAAGGGTGCCGAGTATATCGCCCTCTTCACCTACTTCAGCTTTCAATGTAAGCACCCTTGCCGGATTATCGAGGCATATACTGACATGAGCAGCCTGGATCCGGGTTATCGTGTGTTCCGGTCCCCGTCAGGTTGTCAACGCCCTTACGCTAAAGTCCGTCTATGACGCCAAGCTTGCCGTCCACGAAGCGGATGTTGGAGGTTCACTGTTGGGGTTCTTTGAAAAGATAAGACAGCTCGCCACGGAAGACTACCAGCAGGCCTTGATCTTGTCTGGTATGCTTTTCACCCTTGTCATTTGGGTCTTTTCCGCTCTCTATCTCATCTTGGCTGTCCTGTTCTACGTTTTCTTCCTTTTCCACTGGATCCCTAGAGCCGATGGTGGTCTCACCGGATACTGCGAACGAAAGGTCAACAAGGCCCTCACCAAGATCGTGACTGCCAAGGTCAACAAGGCATTAGCAAAACAGGAAACGGATCGAAAGAAAGCAGAGATGAAAGCAGCGCGGAAGAACGGCGAGAAGCTAGCCCCTGAACGACAGGCGACTCTCCCAACACTCCCCGACATGGGAGACCCGGACAAGCTCACTCAAATGCCAATGATTGGCCGCAGCGACACTTTCACAACCCTCCCTGCGTACGAGTCTCGTCCTGGAACCCCTGGAAGCATCGAGCTCGGCGCCATGGACCAGAAGCGGCCGCCCATGCCATCCAGAATGGGCACTACCACTTCGACCACCAGCTATTCCTCGCGCGCTCCTCTTGTGAACAGTGCTGCGGACATGGGCTACCAGCGTTCCGCTTCGCCTGCTCCCACTTTACCTCAGTTGGATCTAAACAACTACCCCCCGCCTGTACGACCGGGAACTTCCAATTCTCAAAGGAGTTTCCGGCCCCAGCTGTCACATGTGCACACCAACTCACAAAGTTCGATGCGTGCTGGCGGCTTCTCGGAGAGTCCCGCGACCTACTCTCCGGATACCATGCCCCCCTTCCCGCCCCCGGTCCGGTCTCCGACCGCTCGTACCATGACTATGGACAGCTACAACCAGCCAAGGCCGCCCCAAAACCCGTACCAGGGTGGTCGCGCCTCGCCTGCTCCCAGGGGCACCTACGACGATTACTCCAGCCAGTCCAACGGGCGGGCCAGCCCAGCGCCTTCGATGTACTCGACGCGGTCTGGAGCGCCTCCACGCGGCCCCGGCCCGGGCCCTGGCCCTGGCCCGCTCAACGGCTCCTCGTACCAGGCCTACCAGCCGTACAACCCTCAACGGAGCGCTACTGGCCCGATCCCTCAGCGCGGCCCGCCGAATCCCCCCATGCGGAACATGACGGCACCCATGCCTCCCCGACCGCAGGAGGACTACTTCGCCCGGCCGGGAACCTCGCAAAGCCAGCGACCTCCCCCGCGCAACCAAGGCTATGGCTACAACGACGACATCGAGTCTCAAAGAGACCCACGATACTAGGGCTGCCCGGCGTCTTTTTGGTGTTCATAGAGGAGCATTGGGTTAGGTTCAACAGCATTTTCTTTTCATAATGTTTTAACGATTCGTGGGCGTCAGCTTTTTGCGTTGGAAGACGCCCCAACTTTTGCACGAAAGGGTTTCTACCATTCCATCACAGTCCATATGGGCCCGCCTCCGGGCCTCTCCCCTGGATTTATGGCAGACTTGGCTCAAGGCCAAGATCTGGACTCGACTCTTCTTCACGACTTCTACCATCCTTTCGATACCCCCTCGATTTTCTTTTCACACTTTTACCCGATCTCATGTACTATTAGGAAACAGGACGCAATCCCCGTGCGGCGTCAAAAAATAAGAAGCCACTCGGAAGGACCGTTGTTCACGACCGAAAAAAGAGAAAGAGAAACAGGAAACTTTGTTGTACTATTAGTCAAATCCAAACTTGGCATCTTTTGATGACGATCCAATACCTCTTTTAGTGACCTTGCGACTCTCTCTCTCCCCCCCGCCATCGCGCTGCAGGGCCCCCGGGGAAATTTTTGGGGATATGTAAGCGGGGCGTCAGCCTTGATTGTCAATGCGACAGACCCCGGAAGGCGCTAGGGAACCTTTTTGTTACCGCCGGAGTGGGAGGTGGGAAGGGAGGGGGGGCCGCATCTCGACATTCGCTTGACATGGCGTGCCCGCCAGCGCGCCCTTTGGATGGATGATTTGTCACTTTTGCATGTCCAGAAACTCTCAAATCCCGAGCTCCCACATTGTCAATCCCCTTATTAATAAGCAACATGCGTCTTGTTGCATTACTCGGTCTTTCGCCTCAGTCCAACCAATTTCCTATGGTTTTTTTTTTTTTTTTTTTGGTAAATGGGTAATTTGGTATAGGTACGGCAGCGCATCTATTAAAGAGGAACAGCAGGTCAATCGGGGAGGGGAGTTTGTGCAGAAAAAAAGGAAAGCAACCGCACATGAATTACTCGTTACTCCTCACAAGCCTCTTCGCATCACATATACTACCGCAAGACAGCCTCTTTTCCTCCGCATTCACAACAAAAATGCCGGTGCTCACAGCGGAGTGGCACGAAGGCGAGATAGCAGTGCACGAGCTGCTCAAGGTCCCGCTGCAACGCTACCCGACGGCCGCGGGGCTCCCGGCGTCATACGGCTACCGTGTCGCGGCGGCCCCGCTGCTCGCGCTCGGCACGCTCGACGGAGATGGCCGGCCGTGGACGACGTTGTGGGGCGGCGACGCCGGCGCCGTTGCGCGACCTGTTGCCGAGGACGTCCTGGGCGTCCGGAGCAAAGTTGACGTCGTTGATGACCCTGTCATCCGGGCCCTTTGGGGCGGAGAGGAGAGGGAGATCAAGGAGGGCGAGGTGGTGCAGCCCGGCCCCGGGGGCGAAGGGAAGACGGTTTCGGGGCTCGCGATCGATTTGAGGACCAGGGACCGGGTCAAAATTGCGGGGAAGATGATTGCCGGCGCTGTTACGACGGTGGACGGCAACGGAGGGGGTGAGCTGCAGATCGCTGTCAAGGTTGACGAGAGCCTTGGCAACTGCCCCAAGTACCTCAACAAGAAGGATGTTAGGGAGAGGGAGGCGGTGGTGAAGGGGAAGGTGGAGAGGGGGCTGCCACTGTCTGATAACGCTATCGCGGCGGTTGGGCAGGCCGATATGTTATTCCTGTCCAGCAGTTACGGCGAGACTATGGATACGAATCACCGCGGTGGCTCCAAAGGGTTCGTGAGAGTCATCAGGAACGATGATGACGGGGTAGAGATCATTTACCCTGAATGTAAGTTCTCATCCCCCCCCCCCCCCATCTGTTATACTTGAAAGCGTTACTGACAGATGGCACCAGTCTCTGGGAACAGGCTCTACCAGACTTTGGGTAACCTCAAGGCCAATCCTAAAGTGGGCGTCGCGATACCGGACTTTGACACGTCCGATGTCCTCTACGTAGGTGTTCTTCCCTATCTTTAAAAAAGTCTACGGAAAAAATAGGCTAACCAAAGAAAGCTTACGGGAACGGCTTCGATCCTCGTGGGACAGGAAGCTGCAGCTTATCTGCCGCGCACCAAGCTCGCGATCAAGATCACCGTGACCTCGGCCGTCTTCGTCCAATCCGGACTCCCATTCGTCGGCGCCCCGCTGGAACCGTCACCCTACAACCCGCCTGTTCGTCACCTTTTCACCGAGCAGACGCAGCCTGGGGCATCATCGGCAGGAGCAGCAGGTACGGCTACTCTGATCAACCGTGAGATCATCACGCCCACTATCGCGCGCTTTACTTTCGGCCTGGAGCCTGCGGGGCGGTGGGAACCGGGACAGTACGTCACGTTGGATTTTGCACCGGAGCTTGACGTCGGCTGGAGTCATATGCGAGACGACGAGCCGCAAAGCTTGAACGATGACTTCGTGAGGACCTTTACCATATCCAACACTTTCGGAGGAGGGCAGAAGTTGGAGATCACGGCGAGGAAGAAGGGGCCTGCCACAGGGTTCTTGTGGAGGTGGAACCTACGGGTGCCGCTGGAGGTACCTGTGCTCGGCTTCGGTGGTGAAGAAGCGTTCAGGATGGGGAAATCAGCTGGTGACGAAGTCTTCGTTGCGGCTGGCGTTGGTATCACGCCGTTGATGGCTCAGGCCGAAGGGGTGATAAACTCTGGGACCGGGTTGAAGGTGTTGTGGAGTGTCAAAGGGGAGGACTTGAAGTTCGTCAAGGAGGTTCTGGACCGAATCGATGGGCTTGCCAAGTTGACCAGGGTGTTCGTCACCGGCCGGGTGGGTGAGACGGAAGATGCCCTGATCAAAGACGCCGAAGCCCTCGGTGCAGCCGTGGAAAGGAGACGGATAGAAGAAGGTGACGTGAAAGGAACCGGAAAGAAGTACTTTCTATGCACCGGCCCAGCCATGTTGAAGACGTTAAATGGCTGGTTGGAAGGGGAAGATGTTGCCTGGGAAGACTTTGCATATTAAGCCGGTTGAGTTGTAGTTCCGTAGACCAATGGCGATCATTGTAGAGAAATGCCTACAGAAATGATTACCATCTGATGACAGTCAACAATAGAGATCGAAAGAAATTAATGAATCGAGCGGAATTGACTCCGATGAAAATGGGCAAACATGCCAGCAAACTGGAAGCGAAGTTGCAGAATGTGCCAAATCGCGTTAGCGGCTACGGGCAAAAGAAGCATAGATCGAACACATCCCATAGGCGCATACGTAGTGGCCCCGCTGCCCATTCCCGTATTACTACGTAGTACGTCTCGATCGTGATTACATGTACTGCGTAACACTACGTACATTGTTCACAACAAACTCCCCCACACCTGTCACCACCTGGGCAGCTCATCGTGATCCTTAAAGGAGCAGCCACGATGCCACACGTTTTCTCGATGTGTGTCAGCCCCCAGAGGTCCAGAACCCGTCTGTCCTCTAATCGATTTTCCTTGCACCCATCGCAACGGGGCCATATCCGATGAACACGCTAAGCCCACAGCATGTTTTCTTCCCCATGCCTTACCTCCCAGGTCAGTCGAAACGAGGGGGGGCTCGGGCGTCAGTGGATTCTTGTTGGTTGGAACATCCGCAGACGGTTTGTCGATGCCAGGGTCAGCCTCAAGCAGGGAATGTGTTCGATTGAAAGCCCAAGTCCCAACGTTAATCTATCGAATTTTGGCCCAGTCAGCACAGCAGTTGCATGCCACCTGCACACCGATTGACTCTCGGCTTCGGTAGGCAAGCGAGGCACACCGGTGAATGCGGATTGTGGATTCGTATGCGATGCGATGGAGGACGCCTTTCCGGGGGCCTCAGAATCGGGAACCACAATTAGGGAGAGAGAGACATGGGTGGGATGGGAGACGGTTTGAATGAGGCCATCGTCGGGTCGAACCGTACCCGAAAAGGCTTAACAGCTCCCATCGGGACACGCAACTGATGCGTAATCATCCAGCAAAGTCAACACGATCCTCCACCGAGCGCCTCGTGCTTGACTTGGCCGCTCTCAACATCTTCATCCTTCACCTGCTCCTCCCTCAATTCCTGGCTGCTTTTATCGAAGCCTGGGCAGGCATTCGAGACCCAAGTCTACAAGGTAGTAGACCTCCCTTCTAAGCGAAGTAAGGCCCGGCAAAGCTCCCGGGCCATTAGAGGGATCGAGCAGAATTCTATCTCGATGTAGCAGCTCCTCGGCATGAACGAGAGCTGTCAGCACGCATCACGCCAGCGGTACGATTATAATCGGTCGGCCAGGGCAAAGCCATCGCCCAGACCGGCCATAGCTGGCCCTCTACTTTAAAGGACGCTTCATTTCAAGGTTGATTTGCCGGAAGCTCTTCCTTGAACAATGACGAAGAAAAGCAAAGAATGATTTACTTCGAGACGGGGGAGCTGCAGCCTGTCAAACAGGGTCAATGTCTACGATGGGCGTAAGATGCACGGTAAATCGGAAAATAGGATGGATCTAATCCGAATTTCTCCAGCAAAACACACCATTGGCATTGCCAGAGAGAGAAACAAAAATCAAACAGAAAGACAGAGATAGAGAGAGAGAAAGCTCATTCCAATCGGAGTGAAGAAGAGAGGGGGCTTGCAGGGGCCCATGCAAATTGCGGTAGTGGGAAAGCCGTTGTGGCGATCGCTGTGATCGCTGAGGAAAACGCAAATCTGAGCATCGGATTTTGCTCGAACACCGCACAAATCTACGTTCCAACTTCTTACGTAGCCCACTAAAGGTGCCGCGTTCGGTAGACCCCCCTTGTCCTCTTGGAGGGGGTCGGTCTGTTGCAGAGTGGCGACGCGAGGGGCTTCCCCCAATCAACAAGACAAGCACTGACAAACCGAAAAAGACGCTACCGAGACACCGATCCAAGACATGAACGCCGTCCCCCAGAGACCCTGACAGGACCCTAACACTGGGCCGACCATCTCTTGGGGTTTCCATCACTTTACAGTACCACACAGGTTCTTACCTGTTAGGCAGCTCTTAGCCCCTCCGACACCTATCAGTGCATCCATCCAACCATGACGCCCATCGCCATCATTGCTCACCCCGTGGTCCTCCCACTCCCCTGTGGGACACTCGTAGGACAAGGTTAATGGAGGTCTGCGAACCGTCCACATGGGCCCCCCTCCAGCAAAGTGTACTGCAACCTGTGTACCCTCTGCAGCTTGTTGATGTAATTGTCCATCGTCCATCGTCCATCGAACACCTTTACCAACCCTGTTTGAGTTCTCTCTTTCGGGGGGTCAAATGGCCTGATTTTGAAGTGGGAACCATATCTGGGTCTGTCAGTCGTTCTCACATTGGCCCACGCTATTTACTCAATGGTTGCAATCTATGCCTGACGCCTGTGAGGAAACATTTTAGCTCCAGATGAGCCGCAGTAGGGTATGCCTTTCAGGCCCCTGGGCGCTGAGAGTCTTTACCGATCAACGGACTATCAGACCCCTACGCAATTCTCCCCAAGTTCCGTTTCTATTCCCACCCCCCCTCTCTCCGTCCCCGATCACCAAGTCTGCCGCATCAACTCGCGATCAGCACCATGACATGAATGATGGCTCCGCTCGTAATGGGACAACCGCTGTCCTCATTCCCACACCCATTCACCAGATTACCACAAGTAGTCGTCCACTGCCTGATATTGTCTGCTTCAATGTGCTGCGTGTATCTTGTCACATTTCAAATAGCAGTAGTCCATCATCATCAGCCTTCCTCTCGGCTCCTCCACCAACACACACTCACTGCTTCACCCTTGTCACACTTTTGAATCTGTTGTGTTCTGCTCATATCTCTCAAAGCCGCCCACCTGTCCTATTGCCTTACCTACCGTTGCACTCGGCATATTATGCGAATCGCTTAAATTACCCTGTCACCTCATATTATCTTTAACCCAAAGCCCTGCTGCTGCAGCTCGACCCGTCCATCACCCCAGACGCTGCGCCAGAGCCCCTCCCCCTCATCAACTGTACCGCCGCCATATAATCACGAATCGTTGCGGATTTTGCTTCCATCATGGCCAGACAAGAGATTCAGTACCCCCCTTCTTACCTCCACACCGAAACGGAGCGTATTCTTTCATTTCGGACTCACTACAAAGCCACCACCACCATGAATCCTTGGGAATCGTGTGCGTTGCAAGTATGTTTATCTGATGAGAACTTCTTTTTCCACTTTTGCTGCAGCAACTAACATTTCATGTTTCCAGTATCAATATCCCGATGAAGCCGAGCAAACCTCCCACAGTAAACCAATTACTTGGCGGCAACCAATCGCTGCTGCTGATCCCATAATCTACCCTGGCTTATACGCCCCCAGCGGTTTCGACATGATGAGCATTCTGGTATGTTGGCAACACTCCTTCCTCTCTTTTCCTCCTTTCAGACTAACAGAACCAGCTCCGTGTCGCCACCAGACCCAACCCCAAGGTCCAACTCGGAGCCATCGACTGCTCTGTCGCTCTCCTTCTCTGCGATCTCGAGCAACCAGACACCCCCATCGTCTACGCCTCGGAACACTTCAGCCTGCTGACCGGCTACTCGAACAAGGAAATCTTGGGCAAGAACTGCCGCTTCCTCCAGGCACCAGGTGGCAAGGTCAGGAAACAGTCGGCCCGCAAGCATGTCGACAAGGACACCATCAAGAAGATGGAGCGTGCCGTCAAGACAAACGACGAGGTTCAGCTTGAGGTTCTCAACTTCAAAAAAGACGGCACTCCTTTCGTCAACATTCTCACCATGATCCCCGTATGCTGGGACTCCCAGCACTACCGCTACTCTGTTGGCTTTCAAGTGGCACGGGAGGATTAATTTCTCTCCTCTCACACTCGATCCATGATATTACGACCAGTTCTTCGTTATCATTCGGTGGGACTGGCTTTTCACCCTCATAACCTTTCTTTCTACATGTCCTTTTTCTTCAAATTTCGGAAACATCACACGGCAAACGACAGTTCGACGTTATTCACGAGCGAGGCATCTTCTGCTATCAGGCATTCAATGATACCCAAAGGAACGCATGCGAGTTAGAGCTCAGGCATCTCGGGGTTTGTTCTTTCTTTTTCATGTTCTCCAGCAGCGGGTTTTTCCCCCCCTGGTCCAAGGCGTTATTATGGTGTTATCAGACAACAAAAGAAGGCAGCGTCTGGATATCAGGTCACTTTCAGGTGCATAAAGATACCATTTACCCCCGCCGCCTCATTGGAGGCGTGGTGGGCAGCATTACTATCGGAGACATAGAGACGGCATGGGGGACGGCGTTTGTTCAAGTTATAGTCGGCATTGGCCTGACTGGGAAGACGATATTTCAAGGGCGGGCATTTATGATAGCTTTTCCATGATATCCTGATCATGATGATGTGAGATATATTGTACAGAGGCTCAGGCCGCTTACCATTGAGGATCATTTGATTTCGTCAAACTGCTTTTCCTGTTTACCCACTGTGACTGTCCGCGGTAGCGAAAACCCTTAAATGGAATCAACGTTACTGATGACTTTGACGCAATTTCAGTCAAGTGCCTGCATCTGTCCACGTACTGTCATTCTCTCCTTCCCTCGGAAACCCCGCACGACGGGTCCGTACGACTGCCATCTTCGTGGCTAGACCAAGTCAAGCAAACACCTGCTACCTCACCACCCCCAAACCGGTTCCCTAAACAATGCCAAACCTGGGCAAAGAACGACGCAAACGGCACTGACTTCAAACATGCGGACACCAGAACCGTGCCTGCCAACATATTACCTAACTAAGTCTGCCCCTCTTCATCTCAAGTCGTCGTCACAATGACACCTCTCAAGCGACCCATAGTTCCGGGTAACGTTTTTTCAAACTCGATCCCAGCCATATTGTTCTTTCTCCCGTAATTATACGAGACAAGCTAGATAATATTGAAGCAAAAAAAAATATGCCTCTCCGCGGACCCGTTCCCGTGAGGCTCTGCAAGAAGGAGGACAGCGAGGTGGTCAAGCTCGGCCCGATGACCATCTACATCTTCGAGGACGGGAGCAACACGGATAACCGCATCGGCTGCATGACGCTGGAGTTGCCACCGGGGACGTCGGGCCCGCCGATGCACTGGCACCGGTTTCACGACGAGTGCTTTCTCGTAACCAAGGGTTTGTATTTTTTTTTATTTTTTATTTTGCCCAATGGATCATCGTGTGTTCTTTTTTTGTTTTTTGGATTTGCCAATGTTGACTGGGACTGCTGTGCGCAGGGACGGTGCGATTTACGACGCCTGAGGGGCATGTAGATGCCGAGGAAGGGCAGTTGATGGTCGTCCCGCCAAGGGCAATCCATACCTTCTCCAACCCCTCGGACAGTGTCCCCGCGGAGTTCTTCATGACTTCTACCCCTGGTAAGTTTATTTCGATGATTGTTAGAGTACCACGCTGACATGAGAGAAGGGTATTATATGGATTGTAAGTACAAAAACGGCTGGAGTGATGAGTAGCTACACTGACTGGATAGACTTCCGGATGATGGGCAAGATGGTCGAGGAGGGGAAGAAGCTTACGCGGGAGGACACACAGCACTTGATGTCGTTGTTTGGAACATTCCCGCCTGATGTGGAGTCTGAGCCGTAGAAAATGCCCGGGAGCTTGGTATCTACAACATCGATCTAAAGCTGGTCTGGTAGATTATTTCCTTAGCCGCTGTGATCTCCGCCTCCCAGTATCGACCGGTGACTGCGGCCCAACTTTGGTAGCCGGCTGCGTTTTGTTTTTCTCTGCACCCTTCGTGCTCCGCGACTTCTTGCTTGGCGGCGCCTCCACAGCTGGCTCTGGAGACTCTTCCTTGACTTTTTCGTTCTTCACAGCCTTTGCCTTCTTGCTGGGTTTCTCTGCGTCACCGCCAGCGTCCTTTGTGCCCCTCTTCGTCTTTGGGGGCTTTGCCTCCTCGCCATCCGCAGGCTCCTCCTTTGCTGAAGGCACCACCCGGCCCGTCTTCTTCTGCCGAGCCGGAGCATAGCAACTCGTCCTCCCGCCGACGGTGATGAACGCAAGCTTCTCGCCATTCGGCAGCACCGAAGCAGCGCCCTTGCTGCCCTTGCCCCAGCGGTAGTTGAAGAGCCAATCTTCCGGAAACTCGTCCGAGTCTCCAAGCTTATCGACAGCCGTCTGACAGACGAAACGAATCGCCTCATAAAGGTTGTGGATTTCTTTTTCGCTGAAATCGTCGCAGTATTGCTCCGGGTGTAGCTTGGACTGGTAGAGTACCTCGTCAGCGACCCAGTTTCCGATGCCACTGATGTGCGTCTGGTCCAGCAGGAGAGCCTTGACCGGGACGTGTCGGGACTGCATTTTTTGCTTGAGGTAGTCTTCTGTGAATACGTCGACATCGACGACAGGGTCCGGCCCGTTTTCTTTCAATGGAGAGTGATTTCTGATTTCATCGCCCGGGCAGTCGACGAGTCTGATGCGGCCGAACCTTCGCGGGTCGGTGAATGCTGCCTCGGCTTTTGGGCTTCCTTCAGTTTCAATATGGAACTTCCAGTACTTGGGCGGCCAGATGTCTGCTTCCCCTTCCTTCATCTTCTTGTAGTAGTTTGTATAGGCTGTCTTGTCTCCTTTGATGTGAATCCATCCTATGATTGTCAGAAACGACACTATTATGAGAGCCAAGTATGGTTACCTGTCATTCCCAAGTGCATCACCGCATGAGGCGGCCGGTCAAATGTAATCCTGGAGGAGTGAGCTTGCGAGCAGTCCAGGGAGAGACGCAAAGACCAACCAAAAGTACTTTCCCTGACTTCCTACAGAGACTACCTTCTTCCCTTTGACTGCCTTCTCAAAAGCCGGGCCACTTGTGCCAACCTTACCGAAAACATTCGCATCATCGGGAGCAGACACCTTGGCGATCTTCTTGCCGACAAGATGCAGGCGTAAGAAGTGCACGCACCGAGCGACTATGAAGGTCAGTCGGATGTGCCATGTTCCAAGTGGTTTAGGTCTCACCTTCAGCAATTTCAGGCATTTTTCCACTATGTACACTAGAGAAACAAAACCTACTAGCTATGAGGTTCTTTGGTATGACGAAATCCGGACCCTTGAGCGTATGACGCGACGACCTCATCGGCGGCCCACCGCGGAGGGACGCGAGTGCACGTGACATCCCCTGCCACCTCGGGTGGGTCGTGGCCGACCACACGCTGGTTTTTCCAGCTCCCCCCACATTCGAGGCTCAATTTTTCGGGACCCTTTAAATATTCGTCCTCCGCCGTTTCTTCACCTCACGATCTTCTTCTAACCAACATCACAGTCCAATGGCTTCGTAGCCTTGCATGGTCCGGTAAGTTCGCGCTCGCGCTCTTTTCTTGTTTCTCCTTTCTTCTGATGACACACCAAACACCGCAAACTAGAGTCTTTGACCTAATTGGAATGAAAACTCTGTTTTACACGTCAGTCTGATCGACACAAACACTTTGGCGCTTTGCACTTCGAGTTCTTTACCGCACTTGGAGCACGACGCTGACTAGATACAGGCTTATGCAGATTTAATTCTGACGCTGGCACCACTGCTACGCTCCTGCTTGGAGATGGCTAATTGAAAGGTAAGCCTCGAAAATTTTCTTGCGTTATTTAAGCAAACATCCTCCGAGAACCTGATGAACAAATTATCATACTACGTATGTTGGAATTACCGGCTGAAACTTATTGACGAAAAAAACTGGCTGTTTCTGATTGTTCTCCATTGATCTTTTTTCCATGTTACCTTGTTCTTGACATGACCCGTCGCTAACATGGACATCAGTCATCTCAGCTCCCTTGGACAAGGTACATACCATTCCTCGCTTCCCCGCCAGTCATCTTCTGATGAAACGGCACTGGGCTCCGAGAGTACCCAAAAGGGACTCGCTACATGAGCAGACAAGCCACTTTGCGGCAGGCCTAGAAAACCTCGCCCACTGATCTCGATGCGGACACTCGACATGTCATGACACGACTTCCAGCATCAGACGCTGACCCGTGACAGTGTCAAAGGAGCTGTGTGTCTTCTCTGTGGATTATGGCTCCAGCCTCTTTGGCGGAGCGTCGTCGTTCCGGTGCGGTCATGGTAGGTCGCATTTTTTTCTTCGTCTCTCATTGCCTACCTGATGAACACTTAGATGACGAGTCTGATTTGGATTTTCCAATGCGGATAACCTTTTACCTTTCCATTCATGCAACACTGAAATGCATATCATATATACACATTATTTGGAAGATGAGCATGAACATCGCTGACCATATCAGACATCAGATTCTTGAACATTGACCTTGCCGGACCCTTTGGGCTCAATGGTATGTTCCATCATTTTCTTCCATCCAGCCACCGGGCTCCGTTCTCCTGATGAACGATAAAACAAAAGACAAGCATATGTCAGAGCCTAACGGCGAAGCTGAGAAACGTTGACAACACGTCATTCTGATCAGAACCTCACATGCAATCTTCTTGGGATCTTGAAGAACGCAGAGGGCTAACTAGTCAGAACAGTGTGTACAACTTTCTTCTTTTCCGCGCTGGAATACAACCGCTTTGGTAAGCAATATCTTTTTACTACATATGTACCTTTTCCCCCCAAGCGTCATCATATGATGATCATAAAATTTTCACGACGGTCTCCATAGCCATATGCTTTGATGATAATGCCTTTGACAAGGCTCCCATACTGAATCTTGACGCTTCATACACTGTTTTCAAGAATCGTGAATTGCAGACAGTTGCTAACTGAAGTCACCAGATTCTGAGTTCATTGTTGGTTGGCCTACTGCCCGCTCTCGGGTCACATGTCTTTCACCAGTGTGGGTGGTCGAGGGGCCACTCTGGGACACATCAACTTCGGTGTATCACTACACAGAAGAATGATGTGTGTCGGTTCGAATCCGGCCACGGGTATCCCTCCTGCTGGATACACTCTTTTTTGAGTGGATCCACCAAGAGCAGCCGCATATGCGGTAGATACCTGCTAGTGTCGCAGTGTCGTTAAACCTGGAGCTCAGAAACCAATCCAGAGGCCTATTGAGGTTACACATGGGGCAACCTTGCCCGAAATGCTTTATGCAATTCCCGGTCATCACAATATGTGAGCTGAAGACCGACTAGTTCTTACTAGTTCGGGTTTTAAACAAACATTGTTGAGTGCTGTAGGGTTCGATCCCCTCTTGTCTAGTGCTTCTCGTGGCCGGTTTGGTGGCCAGTACTCAACTATCGCCGTGGCGGCCGCCCAAACGGGAGGGCAGTGCCTGAGGGCGTAAAACAAAAACTCCCAATTGCGAGAACCATCATTCTTTTCATTGTGCTAGCCGCCACTGTGCGACTGTATGAAGAAGAGGCGTATATGTCCATTCTGCTTTCATATTATAGAAGATCCATACGATTGCGTTGAGGTGTGTTATCGGCTTCCCAAGGTCGACTTCTCTCCCTCAAATGTTTTAAGTTATACTAGGTCACAATATCTACTTGTACTAGGCCACTACAAAACAAGCCAGAGAGTCAAGAACGCAATCGTTATTAGCTATCATTAGGGGTATCATTAAGTATCAGCAACATGATCTGCCAGCACATCGGTGCTCTTTTGTTTTTACCCAAACCCAAACGCCCAAGTAAGCACCCGTATGTATGTTACCGATGTACCTTTGCAAAGTCTATCCATGTTTTAAAAGGAATGCGCACCTGGGTCTCGCTAGAACTCTACCATGCCCAGCAAAACGACGACAGCGAAGAATGTTACTAATGCGCCAAACGAGTCGCGGGAACCGTGGACGGCACCGCCGCTCTTGGGGGTGGATGTGGCTGTGAACACACCCGTGAGTACCGTCGTCGAGGACGATGCGGCAGGTTGCGTCGAAGTCGGCGCTTGTGTAGCCAAAGGCCAGTCGCTGGACGCACTGTATAGCACGCCGTTGATGACTACACCGTTGCCCTGCTGGAGCATCTTGACCTGGTCATTACTGCAGGAAGTCTGCATAGCGCGCAGCCAGCACGTCGGCTCCGGCGAGTCGGGCAGCTTGTCCGTGTGGGTGGCGCGGGCGTCCCCTGACGTGTTGTAAACAGCCAAGTTGACCTGGTCGCCCGTCGAGATGGATGTGCCAAGGATGACGCGCGCAAAGACCTGGAACGCGGTTTCCGGCTGGTAGGCCGGAACGGAGTGGCCGGCCTGATAGATGCGACTAAACGATAGGTTTCCAAACTGTCGGACAGCGCCGCCAATGTATGAATCGTTCACAATGATGGGCGCGTAACCGGCGGAGCTGAAACGCTGTCCGTAGACGGACCCGGCCTGCCAGGCTAGATTGAGCGAAGCGGCCTCTCCACCCAGCCAGTTGCAGATATAGTCGCGGTCGCCGTATATGAGAGCAACACGAATGCCTCGCTCCAGGAGGCGGGCTAGCTTCGGGATCAAAGGACCTCTCATGTGGTCACCCGTTGCTTGGAAGTTCGTTAGAACCGCCTCGCTGGTCATGGTGAAGTTGACGACGGAGCCAATGGCTTGCTGGAAGCCCGCGGTATTCACATATTCGAGGTATGTGTTTGGCGGGAACGAGTCTGGGTTCTTGCGCGCAATGTCGTACCAGCTCCTCCCCGACTCTGCGTACGGTGTCACAACATTTTCGTTACAAGTGCTGTACGCCTGCGAGCACAAGCTGTTTACCTCTCTTACCGTGCCGGTATTGTTAGCATCATAAACCGAGTTAGCAGTACGGCACTGTCGTATAAGGTCCAGGCAGCCGCCGGTAGTGTACAGGCTACCGTTGGCTAGGCTTGCGCGAACGTCGTTCATAGCTTTAAAACCGTACGTGTTGTTTATGGCCATAGCTGGGTAGTATGCGGCCTGAACCTGGTCATCGATGCAGCCGTTCACAATGCCCAGGGAAGTAAGGTGGATTTCGAGCGTCTTGTTGGCTGACAAGGTTCCGTTTATGCGCTTCTCGTTTTGCGTCTCCCACACATCAGAGAAGACAGGCCCATACTTTCCACCGTAGCTCTCAGCAAAGAGGTTGATGCCAAGGGCGCTGTTGTTTGGGGGGTTGTACTGGGGGAAGGCGCCCAGAAACCCTTGCAGCATGTGCCATATTGCCATCGCGGCCGTCTCCGTGGTGTTAGCCGTGTTGTTGGTGTTCAATGAGCTGAAGGTGCCGTTGAGGAACGTCGCGGGCGGCTGGCCGTTGGGAACCGGTTGCGGTGGTGTCGACTGATTGGCATTAAATAGGTCTATTGAGCCATTGGTTGCAATATCGTAGGAGAAGCCGACTTGGTTAGGCTGTGAGGTCAGCATGGCTGCGAGATGCTTTGAGCGTTTGCAAGCTTTACCTGATCAATGAACAACATATTGGAAGCGCGGTCCCAGCCCCATTCCCGGGCAACAGTCTCGTACTGGTCCAGGCCTTTCTCAATAACCTCGCAAGGGCCAACCTCGGTGAACATGCCAAACAACGAACTGACGCCAGGCCCGCCGTTCAACCAAATGGTCATGGTGTCGGTCGGTTCGCGCGCGCCGACGAACCAGAAAAACATATTGGCCGGGAACGGGCCCGGGACATTAACCCATCCTGTATATTGTTGCTGGTTGTCATAGGCGGTTTTGCAGGCGCCCTTGGGGATCTTGTAGCGGACGGTGACGTTGCCGTCTACGGGAGAAGTGATTGTGGTTAGATTGACCGAGGTCGACGGGAATTGGGCGGCGGCGGAGGCGCAGAGCAAGCTGCCGACGGCGAAGGAGTGAAGGAAGCGCATGGTGAGATGTCCTGCATCGTGCCGTCGGCGCATATTACACTCTACCAAGTCGAGGGGGAATGGGGGGGCGTAGAGATGTTTATGGGCGCCGAATGTGCGGGCGTTTGGAGGAAAGAGAAAAGTGACGCAGTAAGACGAGTGTTGGAACGGAAAGCTGGAAGGAATGTCGAGGTTTTGAATGTGCTTATAGGGCGGGCTTGGCAGACGTGCCCCTGCATTTAGCAGTCCTTTGTGGGTGTAACGGCCGCCCACAGGAGCCGTACGGAGCCCCGAACCTCCAAGTTAGGCTGCTTTGTGAACTCCAGGACTCCTTCAGCTGGCTGCCACGCGGCCCACGGGGAGTTTTAGCGGATCGCCCAGCCGACATTCTAGGGTATCATTCCCGCTGGGGATATTTTGGGTGAGTCGAGCCCCTCTGCCCAACCACAGCAGCCGTCGACCCTGCAACCTCATCAGCACCATCCTGATCCTGGACGTCCCGTATCCTGCCGTTCTACCCGCTGCGCTGTCGGGCGTTCATCTCAAGTGCCAGGACGTCCCAAACTGGCTGAGTGCAGAACTCTATCCGGGATGAGCTGACATAGTGTATAGCGTGGGCCTCCGGCACATCATGAATGTATCTTTTGTTGATGGAAAATGGCAGTCAACATGACGTTTGTCGTGATCCATCAAACAGATCGTATCGGAGTCAATTGCAGGCACTCATAGATTGGACGACACCACAAGTTTTGAAAATGGATGGTAGGTATGGTACAGAGTCGTTACAACGCCCATCGTTCAAGACACCTCCTGCAAGTCGGCATTCCGACTTGCATATGCTCCCCCCCCCCCCTTCCTCCAATATGACCTCCGCATTCAGGTAACCAACCAAACCCAACCAATGCTTCCTACGTAAGTAAAGGTAATCAGGGGACTTCAACACCACTGGCGCCTAGAGAGATCCAGGGGGAAACAGCTATCCGCCACAAGCTTCCTTTGGAATTCAACAGCCCCCGATAAGCCTTGGTTGTGAAACATCATCATTCCAGACGAGTAGGTGTTGCTGTTGCTTAGATACGTCTGAAGTACACAGCTTCCTTCAATTGACCTTGACCTGACTACGACATTTCCACCATGCTGCATTCACTTGCTCAATGGCACAAAATACCACCAGACAGCCATCTGCCTAGTGGTAGCCCAAAGTGGTAAGCTCGCCTCGAGCCATCGCCAACGGCTTCCTAAATCTGTCAGGAGTTGGTGCGGCTGAAGCCGAATTGTCAGGGGTTCATTCACAGGTTCCAGCAGGTCAAATTCTCCTTCACTCCCATCTGTGGCATTTCAATTTTCAATGAAATCTTTGAGAAACCTTACTAGTGTTTATCCTGCCTGATTTCTTTCTTGTTGTTTCACTCGGCCCTGCTCAGCAATGAGCGCCTCCGCTTCCGATATCATCACCTACATCGGTGTGCCCCTGGCCGTGCTTGGCGTACTTCCCATTCTGTACAACACCATAGCGACCCTTGCTGCCCGTTCACGAATTCTGCGTATGCTCCGGCATGCCCGTCTAACAGCCCTTACCCGTTCGGATGTCGTAAATCGTGTTATTGAAGTCGATCTCCCACGCTACGCCGTCACACCGTGGGACCGTTTCGAGCATCAGGAAGAATATTGGTCTCTCGCTCGCCACCCCTCTTCTATCCCAGGCGGTAGCTGGACCACCTTCAACTGGCGCACAAATATTATTGGGCTCAAGACTCAACGCGTCGAATATGCCGACCAGTTGCGACAGCCACAGGTCGACGTCAGCTTTGACGAGCTGATCTGCTATCTCCTCGACCTCGGTGCTGTTCCCGATGCTCATGGTTGGAGGTTGTTGAGAAGCACCGGCCTGTGGACCCCGGTTGGCTGCACTCTGATGAAGAGCCCTGACGGCCAGCACAAGGCCCTCACCATTGCTCCTCTAGAAGATTCAGATGGTCACTTGTCACTTGCTGTCTCTTGGTCTTCCCATTGGATCACTAGGAGCCACGAATCACTGCCTCCGTACTGGGTCCGCCTGCCGCCCCCTGCTGTGATCGAGATCAAGGCCGATATCGAAACAAATGACGACGGAACCGCTGAAAAGGTAGACACGACTGAGGAACCCAAAAAGGCACCCTCCCCCGCGTCCTCTGTCGATTCCATCTCCCGCGCCGTAGCTACCAACGGACAGAAGCCCATAGCTTGTAAGATCTCCAACCACGGCCTCATCAGCGCAATTCCAGAAGATGGAGACCACCCTACCACAAGCCTTTACATTGAGCATGTACGGATTCGCCCCGGCTCTTCCACAGGGACATGGTTCGCGAGCGCTGCTACCGCCTATGGCACCTCCAGCAGCACCATTCTATGGAACTACCGCATCCCAGAAGATATCCTCGCCTTTGCTCGCGGCTCTTCCGTCCCCTGCGGCGTATTAGAGCTGCTCGGCATCGTTGATAGTTCGCAGACCCCAGAATGGGGCTCAAAACACGACGATATGAGAGATCGTATGGATCTCAGGGAAAAACGGATGCGAGAGCAGCTCAGTGCACTCACGGCTGAATCCCGTTTGAACCCTGCCCAGCGGGAACAAGCCGTTCGAGAACGCATTCGCAGGGAAAACGACCAGCGGCTAGATGACCGTAAGTTCTGCCTCAATTGCATGCTATGGTAGTCCTGCTAACAGTCCAGTCCGAGATCAAATGCGTCAGGACGTTCGACGCCGAGAGGCTCGAGAGTTCGAGGCCATCCAGTCCCCCAAGTGGGATGCCGCCCTAGTCGCTTCCCACAACCTCCGCTGGCTCCAGAATCACAGCCATGTGCCCTCGGACCCGACAAGTGGTTCTCTCCGTGCCGTTGCCGCAGGAATACTGCACCGCATGATTCTCGACGGCGCGTTTGCCAACGAGATGAGCACCGTGCTGAGCCAGTGGAAGACGTGGGCTGAAAACGGGGGAATGCGCCAGTCGGATTTCGCAGCTCTGCGTGACGGTCCCAAGCATTTTGCGCTAGCAAGTCTTCTGGTTGCGGTTATTAAGGATGCCGGTAGTGCTACGGAGGAGTCGCTAGGTATGGACCTGCAGGAGTGCCTGCGTATGTGGCGGCAGGTGAGGCTAGGCTGAATTTCGACCGTGATGTAAGTTTTGGAGACGATACCCCTTGTTATTGTACGATTAGGAGAAGTGGTTCTTGGTGCTTGTAGCGGATGCAAATGATTGTATGATCGAATCAAACATATGTGAGTTAAGAAAGAGAAAGATAAAAAAAAAAAAAAATGATGTCTTTTCTACATCGCAGGGGATCATCTCCATCTGGCACTGGGCCTCTCGTATCTTCGTAGGCCATTCGTTACATTACAAGCCTGTCTTCCTGCATGATACGCATGATATGCAGCAGTATGTTATGGGCTTGGCGCAAAACATAGACCATTGCCATGCCAACAACAGATGAAGGTCAGGAATAGATATTCCGCAAGCTGTTAGTTGGCTACTGGACTCCATGAAGGCCATCAAGATGTCGGTAGCTTCGTTTCGAGGCAATCTCTACGGCTTTTCCAAACGATACGCCATTTTCGCTCATTAATATCAGAGGGCCCCGAACCAGTGCATGTGTTGCAATCAGTTAATCCCTATTTTCACACAGGCTATGCCTAGTGATTCTTCATACTACCCATTCTGGTCCCGTTTGTTCCCATCCCGTAAGTCAAAGACGCCCCGCCAAACTCCATCGCTCTAAATGCAAACTTCCTTGGCTACTAAAGCAAAACCAGAAAAAACCTAACGGTTTCTACAGCTCGTCATCGTCACGATCAGAATCGTACACGATTTCTTCCCTCTCATCGTCCACCCACAAACTCTCGGGCAACATCTGACTCTTGGACAGTAGCTGCGAAGAGCCCAGCTGGAAATTGCCCGGCGGCAAGCGAATCGGGCTGTCGTCTTCCTCGTCCACGAAGATCGGCAAGCTAGAGTTCGCGTGGACAGGTCGTGGAACCGACTTGATCGGTGACTGAGAAGGACTTGAGGTCTGGCTTGCTGTGGTTGCCTGCGAGGGCCGAACCGCACGGCGAGGCGTGGGGTTGGACGGCCGGCTAAACGGAGTTGGAGGCAACGCAGGTTTGGGGAAGAGCTCTGTGCCAAATGCCCGCTGGCTACGGGTTGGTGTCTGACTTGACGGCACCAGAATATCTGCCTCTGATGAATGATGGGCCGAATGGTCATTGTCACTCCGAATCTGTTCAGCCACCTCCTGTGATATCGTCCGCTCAGCAGATATCTGTGATGTTTCCTTTCTGCCAATCTCAGGTTCATCTTCATCCTCCTCTCCGTTTTCCTCTTCGCCAAACACGGAACACCGTAGGTTGGCCATCAAGTGACCCACGACAGCCGGGGGAACATAGTTGTACTTTTGTGGTGGACCGTGTAGCCATCCGTTTTCTTGCATCTCTCCAAGAGGAACCGGATCGTTTAGCTCATAAACCTCGTAAAGACGGTAGGCGAACTTGGCGCCGGGCAGCTTGTGCCGGTTGAAATCAGCGTTGCCAATTCCGTCCTCGTCGATCTCGCCGGGTACCTTTGCCTCGCTTATGCACGCCATGTACCTCAGCTCCGAGGCTGGTTTGGTGATGTACATCCACATGCGCGACACAGTGCTCGGGATTTTGTAGCTTCGGAACTCATGGTCTTTGGTTCCGGCCACAATATTATCCATGTGCTCCGGATGAATTGAGATAAAAATGTCGGAACGGTCGGTTTGAGGGGCCATCGCACGAATAACCTCCAAGGGAATTCGCTGGCTTTCAAGCCCTTGTGTGTGCGGTGTCTTGGGCGTCTCCACGGCGGCTTTGCCTTTGCCTTTCGACGTGGGAGTTCTTTGGCTCTGCGTTGGGGTTTGAGAGATGGACTCTTCAGTCGAACCTTTGTTGGACTCCCTCGAAGCGCTCGAGTCGCTGTTTCGAGTTGGATCAGGGGACGATGTGATAACCTCAACAGTCTCCCTACGATCTGAGGTGTTGGAATGTACACGTCCAAGTTTTGGCAGAATGAAGGGCTGGGACAAAACCACCGTTGCCTCCTCTTCCTCGCTAGTAGCAGGGGCAACATTTTCCTTATCAGAGTCGCCTTCCTCTACAGGGGAGAGTTCTTTGGACGCTCGTTCCTCCGACGAGGTAAGTAGCTGGTCCATCTGAAGCTGTGTCTCTTCGCCGACGATACCGTAGCCTTCAGCCTCTTCATCCAAAACATCGAGAGCATCAGACTCGTCCTCAGAGTCGGCAATTTCACGAAGAGGTGACCTAGGCGGTCTTCGAGGGGATGGGCTGGTTTCCCGTTCATTTTCCTCATCTTCCGTTTCCTCCTCTTCCAAAGGTACGAGGCTAGCCGTAGGATGCGGTGTAATGAAGCGGACATTCTTTGCAGGTTGCAACGGCGGCCTGTTAGGAGAGGAAAGCTGGGTTGAATCTTGGCTGCCAATTGTGGCATACGAGTCTTGAATAGTCAGAGTTCGTGGCCGTTTCACAGATCCCGTAAGCCTCATTGGGGACATCATCTTGTTTGTAGACTTGTCCTTCAAGGGTGATCTCTTTGGGGCCGGGCTATACCTCGCCAGCATTGGCGTAAGAGGGCTCCCCTGTGAGGACGGAATTTCCAAAATAGTTCGTTTATTGGTCGGCGTTTGAGGCACGACAGATGGGGTTCTACTCGGAGGCTTTTTGCCGGGAACAAGATTCTCTTTGTCACTCGCCGAAGGGAGAGTAGGTTTTTCGTGTTCATCATCCGACGGTTGGAACTGCCAGACATCGTCATCTTCGTCTGGCGACTTCTCTGCCGATCTTCTTGACATCTGGGTTAGGGTCTGCGTATGAAAAGAAGAGCTCGGGGTCGGCTCGTCGCCCATTGTCTTCCTCCTCTTCTTCTTGGGTGCGGGTTCATCCTCGTCATCGGACAGATCAATGCGCACCGGCGACGAATGCCGAGATTCGTACATTTGAGTTAGGGTTTTTTGTTTTTGATTGGTGACTCGGGCTCTTGGTTTACGAGCGCTATATGTGCGGACCTCTGTTTTTCGATGCGGGAACTTGACCTGCTTGGCCGGCGTAGTGGACTTGTAGACTCGATCGGGAGGGGCATCAGCGGCCCGGCCGCCGGACCGGGTTTGTGGTGGCATGTTGAACGTTTTTGTCACAATGTGGAAGAGGCAATTCCAAGTTGACCGCCCTTCCAAAGTAACAATGAAGTATCAAGCTCGCGATGACGAAGCAGTCTGTGTAGCTGGATTACACGCTGACTTGTCCCTGTGCTGCGTTGAGGGCGCGTCGCGTGTGGGTGGAATCGATTTACGCGTGAGAGCGTGTGGTAGTGACATCACATGCGACAAACGGGGCGTATCTTTATACCAGCACTTCTACATGCGTAATTGAATACATTTTCTTTACCCCATCTCAACACTGTCTTCAACAACTGAGGCGGCTTTTATATCGACAGGCCGATTCTGAACCAATAGGCTGATTGCCTGGAGACTTTGAATCAGTTGCCATGCTGAACATATTTTCAAATCATGGACTGGTGTTTGCCAGCATCAAATGGTCAATCGAAATCATGTTTGTAGTGTTTTTATGATAACCTAACATTTCAGTTCCTAGTTGCGTACACCTTGACATGAAGATAGCGTTTCACCCCTGGATGCCATTCCAAATCTAGCACTCTAAAACAAACTCCATTCATTCCATCATATCATGCTTTTTATTTCATAATATCCTAAACCATGCTTCTCTCAAGACCATTGTCATGCTTGTGCAGTCTATGGGACCATGATCATGACATTAGTCCTTTGCTACAGTTGCTGCGGTTTCTTCGTGTTGCGAAGTCCACTTTTTTCTTTCTTTTTTACGTCGGTTAGCTGCTAAACTCTGTTGCGGATTACTTCGAACGCCTTGGATGACAAGATGTAGTGTGTATAGAGACGCATCTCGTCCGGTCTATAGGACAGTGCTCAATGAGCGGGCAGCTTTTTCTTAGTAAAGTGGTGCAGAAGGCGTTTAAATTTGTGCCCATGTTTCTCAGAGGGCTTGCCAATAAATTTGAGGACTGGAATTGTCCTGCTCTGTGCCCGGTAGTAGTCCTCGATATATTCCTCGATGAAGTCCTCTAGGTCCACACCATTGATGTCAAGATCACAGGCGTGTTGCTGATAGTATCGAGCCATGGCCTCATGTCTCAATCTGTTGTCATCCTCTGTAAGCACCGACTGTCCTCGAGATGTATTCACCAACATTTTTCTTCGTTTGGCTTCTGCTTCGATGGGTTGTATACTGTAATTTCAGTTTTTGCATTAATTGAAACTAATGTATGTTGCACGAGCTGGAGCAAGTCTCGCTGTAGATGCAAGGCGCCTAGAAGGTCTTATTGGATTCGATTGGGGTTTGATAGGCAACCTTTTTTGAACAAACGTCAAGGAACGTAACAAAATACTGATATTGGCCAACCTTGGACCTGGTAGAAGCCTTTTTATAAGAAATGCTGAGCCGATAATGGAACTGTCTCCGAAACCATTCTTCAGATACTGGTAACTAGGTTAGCACACCAAACCCACCCGAAACTCAATATCACAAATGTAGGCCATAGAGCAACACGAAATGGTTGTACAAAGAGGACTCTAGCGCGGTAAGTTATATATACATCAGGACCTTCTGATTTATTTCTTGGGCTCCTCCTTCTTCTCCTCCGGCTTCGGCGTCGGCAGCTTGAAGGTGTCGGGGCGTCTGTCCGTGCCAGCTCCAACTTGCTCCCAAGCACTGGTACCACCCTCAAAGTTGCGGAAAGCCTGGGTGAGCTCGAGGGGCTCGGTGACGATGCGCTTCTTCTCCTCGTCGTATCTGATCTCGGTGTAGCCGGTAAGGGGGAAATCCTTTCGCAAGGGGTGGCCCTCAAAACCGTAGTCGGTCATGATTCTGCGCAGATCGGGATGATCGGTGAAGTAGACGCCAAACATGTCGTAGACCTCACGCTCGTACCAGTTGGCTCCATCAAAGAGGGGGGTAACACTGGGGACAGGCGAGGCCTCATCGGCGTAGGTCTTTACGCGGATGCGGGCATTGTGGCGAACACTGAGGAGGTTGTAGACGACCTCGAATCGCTGGTCTCGGGTCGGGTAGTCGGCAGCGGTAATATCACTGATCTGGGTAAACTCGGCCGAGGTGTTGTCTGGAGAATTTTAGATGATAGTCACAACATATCTCGACGGATTGGCGCTTACACTTCAGGAACGAGAAGGTGGGGATAATTCCGGAGGGAGAGACGTAGATAGTGAGCTCGTCCTTCCAGACGGAGATCTGCTGGACGTACTTGGGCAGGCAGCCCATAATCCAGGAACCGTACTTATGGAGGTTATCGGCCTTAGACTCGTACTTGTCGGCAGGGTTGACGAGAGGAGCCTTGAGGATACCGATGTGTTCGCGAGGAGACTTCCTCACGTCAACGGCATCCTTGGGCTGGCCGGTCGGAAAGCCGGCCAATTGAGGGATCGAGGTCGAGAAGCATCGAATCTCTGTGGGGCGGCAGTTGCGCAAGCCCGCCAGAGCCCTACTACGGTAGAGCTTCGTCGCCATTGTCGCGGTTGTTGCAGTACTGGGGGCTTGATGCCTCTGTGGGAGTTGGTTGATGATGCTGTGCTTCTGTGATGCTTGGGAATTGAAAGAAGCTAGCCGGATAAGGAACGCCCTGGGGTGAGTTTATCTGACGCCTTACCACATCGGGCCAGCATTTGACTAGAGTCAACTTTGTACAAGCGATTCTAACATAACATTTTGAAAGAAAAAAACTCCTCAAAATACAGAAACCAAGTTTTCTTTACAAACTTTGTCTAACTCTCTCTTTTCAGCTCACGTTGCTGTAGATTACATGGCTTTACTGCCCTTCCAATACCAGTATCTCACGGTGAGGGTGTGCCTAGAACCTGCTGACTCGCCTCATTCTAAGGCTTTTCATTGGCTTGTATGGCAGATCTAATCACGTGATACAGATCTAGTGGATTTGCTGACCTAAGGTGCTAGCGCAGCAGGCGACCCATCTGAGAAAGGCTTTGGCTTCATCTGTATTGAACAACTTCCCTCTCCTTACCACCTCCACCCAGAAATCGACCACTACCCTCCCGCAATACATCATTACCCCCCGCAAATTGTCACCATGGCGCCCCAAGATACCTTCATCGAGGAGGAGGAAGACACATGGTATGCTACCCTCTGGTCTTGCTGCACACGTCTCGCGCTGGCTACACCTACTACATTATTAGGCAGCATGAACTAACCTCTCCCAGCCCGCTATGTATCGAAGAGTTTGACTTATCAGATCGGAACTTCCGACCCTGCCCCTGTGGCTACCAGGTACGGCGATTTCTACGGCGACATGAAAAATATTGCCTTCGTCGAACACCGACCTCTGACCGTTTCATAGGTGTGCCAGTTCTGCTTCAACAATATCAAGAACAACATGAACGGCCTGTGTCCTGCATGCCGCAGACCTTACGATGAGAAAACGATACAATGGAAGGTCGTTACCCAGGAAGAGTATGTTCCCCTCACCTGGCCTAGCGGCGTCTGGTTGACAGAATTTTAGGGTTGCCGAGTTCAGAGCAAACATCCAAAAGAACCAGAAGAAGCGAGCTCAGGAACAAAGACAAAAGGAAGTCCAAAAACGCGAGGCTGAGAAGGAGAACCGCAAAAACCTTGTCGGCGTCCGGGTTGTTCAGAAGAATCTGGTTTACGTAACTGGTCTGACTCCAACAGTACGAGAAGACGAGTTGCTCAAAACGCTACGGAAGCCTGAGTTCTTCGGCCAATATGGAAACATACAGAAGATTTCGATTAGCAATCGGAAGAGTCAGGACGGCCAAAATCAGTCACTTGGCATCTATGTGACTTTTGAGAAGAAGGAGGATGCGCAACGGTGCATCCAAGCCGTGAACGGTTCGCAGAACGGCGACCGCGTCCTTAGGGCTCAGCTCGGTACAACCAAGTACTGCTCAGCTTGGCTGCGGCACGAGCAGTGCACCAACAGACAGTGCATGTTCCTGCATGAGCTGGGCGATGAAGAAGACAGCTACACCCGGCAAGATCTGTCGTCGATGAACAGCATCAGCTCGCAGCGGCCTCTGGCGGGTGGATCATCCAACAGCGGTGGGAATAGCGGTGGGAGCAGCAGTGGCGGTCCGCCAAGAACTGCATCTCGGCAACAGAATACACCCTCAGCAACCCCAGCTTCGCAGCCCATGGCACGCACTTCGAGCAAAGATGGATCCGAAAACGGTGGCGATGGCTCAGCGCTACCCTCGTCAGCTAACTGGGCGAGAAATCCTCAACGCAGTCGCAGAGGAAGCCACGCTACCAGTGGCGCCGCCTCTAGCCCTGCAATCTCGACATCGCTCCCCGCAACCGCCGAGGCCGTACCCGAGGCTGTCGATGAGACTCCGTCAAGGAGTGAGACTCCAGCACCTACGACCGACCATAAGTCACCGAAACTGGGCATCATAACTGATGGCAAGAAATCTAATAGCCTTCCCGAAAACTTGCTCAAGGCCCTCCTCAAGGCCATGCAAGGATGTCCGTTCACTTACCACGCACCTGATACGAATCAGTTGGAGACCATTTATCCTCCCATGTTTGACGCTCGTGGCGGAGAGAAGCGAAGAGCGATGCGTGAGGAGGAGGAGTCACGCCTTGGCGTAGACCAAGAGCAGCAAAGCGAGGCTCAGGAGGCTTCTGAGGGAGAGCCTGAAACCGGAGGTAGCCTCGCCCTCGGCGGTGAGCCTGAGGATCGTGATGTTGCCCGGGATGTTGGCTTCGAACAGCGCAGGCCCGGAACGCAGCCACCCATTCAGCGCAACAACACCGAGGGCCTCTTTGGTCCCGCTCTTGGCTCGGGCTTTGGGCAGGCCTCCGTAACTTCTGGCTCCGTCGCCGGCAGCCGGTCGATGACTCCTCAGCAGCAACTGTTCATCCGCTCCCAGAGCGGCTTTGGTGATCACCTACCCCCCGGCATTACTACTGCACAGCCTTCTGCTGTCCAACAACAGGGTGGGAACGGCCACAACAGACAGGGTTCGAGGTTCAGCTTTGCTAACGATAGCACCGGTACCTCAGCGTCGGTCAAGGTGGCCGCGAACCCTCGTATCATGGCGCAGCAGTCTGCCATGATGCCGTCGACTTTCCACTCACAACCGGGCAGCCAGTACTATGCATCATCTATGCCTGGACCTCCTCCGGGCCTCAAGTCGACAGGCACGCCACCTAGCATGTTTGGACAGGGCCACTCGTTTGGTGGAAGCTTCAATGCGTCCAAGGATTCTGCTGAACTTCTTCAGACATTGATCCGGGGCCGGGGAGCCAACGGTCAGGGTCATGATGCTGGTAAGCGTGAGTACATGTTATCTTCTTTTTCTAATCAGTACCCATCCTCTACCTCCTCCACCCCAGCTCCTGCTTCGGGCCTCCTGGCGTCGCTCTACGGTAACCAGCCTGGAGCATTCCAAGACTTCGGTCCCAAGCAGAAGAAGAAGGGGAAGAAGCACAGACATGCTAACACTTCCTCCTCTGGGGGAGGTGGCTTAGTTGATCTTGCAGACCCGAGTATCCTGCAAGCGAGAATGCAACACCAGTCGCAGAGCAACGCCGGAGTCGGACAGGGACTGTTCGGTGGTCAGAGCCAAGGTGGGTACAACCCGAACATGATGTACAATACGCGTTTCCCGGGCGCCGGCTGGTAGCCCATGGGATGATGCGATAGATGAGGGGTGGTGTTGGTCGTTCAAAGGGATTGTTTTTACACTTCATGTATCATGAGAGGGAGGGCGTCGCGGCATGTCACAGGCGGACGACCGTCCTCGAGGGACCGGGAGCACAACCGCACATTACACGCATTGATTCAGCGAGCATTGCGGGAAAAAAAAACATCAGGGCCGCTCAGGGGAGTGGCAAGGGTTGCATTTGGCGTCGTCTCGTGTTTCTTCTGGGCAAACAAGGACCGACACCTACAATCGTCCCGACATTATACCTCTTTTTCTTTTGGACTCGCATGTCATGGTTTATGGGGTCACGTCAGTCAGGCAAGCCATCATCGTCTTCCAATCGCCTAATGTACGTTAACTTGCAGACTGTCCTCTGGTGATGAGGATGGGAGTGGCATAAGGACAAATATAGCATCTTGCGCACACATTTCGCTCGTTGTTTTCACAAATCATCAAGGAAGACGATGATGGCAGCCGTGACTTGATCCTGTAAACCTGCACCGCATGTATATATGTGCTCATGCTTTGGCGGCGTTTCCTTTCGTCTTTCCATCCTGGCTAGGGAACCTTGGCTAACTGGTTCCCTAGATGACGAGCTACCCTCGCTCGATGAGGCGACCAGTTCCGTCGATGCCCTGGTCTCCGATGATCCCATGCCACACTTTGGGGGCCTATCGAGGCCTGCCGTCCCGACCCCGCCGCCTGGTCTCGGACCTCCTCAAAGAACGGCATCGCCGGCCCTACGGCAAGCGCCAGTCCCAGTTGTGCCCCTCACGCCACATGCGCCAACAGCTCCGAAAGCAACGCCTACGATGGCCAACGTCGTCCGGGCGGCCACTCCCGACCTCACACCTCGTAAGAAGGTCCCCGGATCTGAAGCTAAGAAAAACATCAAGGCTCTGGCCATTGAAAGCGGGCTTTCTAAGGACATTGCATCGCAAGCATCCCCATCCAAAACCAAATCCGTTTTGCAGGAGGAAGACTTTCCTGCGTTAGACGCTGTCAAGGCGAATGCTGCCAAGGCAAACGCTCAACGACCCGGGACACCGGCAAGGTCTGCAGTGTCGACACCGAAAATTGCACCCGCGAGCATCAAGAAACCTCAAGCGGAACCTCCTGCCTCCTTTAGTGAAGCTCCGAAGCCAACGCCCAAACCAGTAGAGAAAAAGCCTGTTCCAAGTGTCCTAAACATCGCTGCAGCCACAAAGGCCGCGCAGCTGAAGCCCGCGGAGCCCACAACGGCTGAGCACTCTGATTCTTCAGCTTTTCCAGCTCTGCCAACCCCTACAACTGCCAGCGTGGCATCTCCTGTCACAAGAACAGCACCCAAGACGTTACGGGTCGTTCCGACACCCAAGACCGAGGTGCCCCCCGCGTTGGTAACGGGCGCTTTCTCTGCCGCCGCCAGAGCCGTTTCCTCTGCTTCTGGGCGTCCTGGAACCCCGGCGAGCGAGATCATCAGTGACAGCGCTTCCATCGTGTCAGCGTCTATCTCTGCATCTCGTACGAGCTCTCCCCCTCCCTCAAAAGTCGGGACTGCTCCTGTGCGTGCCACGACGAAAAGCCAACAGCGCAAACAACGCAAAGAGGCTCACAAGGAGCAGTCAGCATCCATTGTTGAGACAACAAAGCAACCGGAGCCCGAAGAACAAGCCCCTATCATTGGCCGCAAGAAAAAGCAGAAGAAGGAGAAGGCACCTAGCCAAACGTCTGCGGCAGCCAAGAAGGCAGCCGAGCGCGCTGCTACTCCTCCTGTACCACTTAAGATAGAAGAGCCTCCCGCTCCTCCGAAGCCTATCCTTGAGAGGACAGTCGTGGATTTGCCCCCTCCCAAGGGCAAGGCGGCCAAGACCGCTGCTAAGAATGCTAAGGCTTTGGAGGAGAAGGGCAAAGCCAAGGAGAGTATCGCTGCTCCCGCGCCACCCACGCCTCCAGCTGCGACTGCAGTCTCCATGGTGGAGGAGTCCCAAGACATTGCCGAAAACCCCAAGACTATTCCCGAGGTTGTTTTCCAAGACCTAGTTAGTGTCGGGGAAGCTCCTCCTGCAGATCTTCTTACTCTGCTTAAGCCTCTCATGGAGCAGAACACCCGCCTTGATCGAGCACAAGCCGCCGCCCAAGGCAAAAATCCTCCCCCATCTACGACAACCAAGGGCATTATCACCGAGTCGGATCATGCTACTCTTCTGTCCGGACAGCCGGTTCGAAAAGTAATTGAGGGTCAGCGTGTGCTTATTACTCCCAACGGCGACTGCCTCCGCAACCTCACAGAAGAGGAGGAAGATAAATACCTAGAACTTCAGATGTTTGTCGCTGAGGCGAGCGACCAGCCCGATAGCTTTGTGGCACCTCGCCACCAAGCTCGTCCCGGTGGCTTCTCCCTCATCAAAGGTCGCGCCGTGCCGAACGGGCCTCCGTCGTACTTCCCGCCGTCACCTAACGCACAGAAGATGTTCTCCGATGACCCGGTCAACAAGATCCAACGTGAGGAGGCCATCAGCTACATTAATCAGTATGTCCTCCCACGCCTTAACCTCGGCAACACGAACTTGTTCCCAGGCAGCTGGAAGTCAGCTCCTGGGGCCAAGGACGCCCTCTCAGCGCGCGAGACGGCTGCGGCAAGCCTTAATTCCCTGGCTCCATATATATACGGTCACGACGCGGCTGCTGGTGCTGGCATCTACTCCGCTGAGAGTGGTGGCTCTGGCAAGGACATACCTGAGGATGAGACTCCGTTCGGGGGCCTTGACTCGCCTCACCAGCAGGGCGAAGCGGCGGTCAACGCTTCCGCTTCCGCGGCGTCTGCTGCAGCAGCCGCTGCCGCCCAGGCTCACGCGCAACACGGCAGCGCCAACAGCGCGCACCCCAAGCTTCCCGGCACACCTCTTAACAGCATGACACTGATGAGTGTCGAAGATGCCGAAGCCGCGCTCGCTCTGGCACGTAAGGAGACGGAGAAGTTGGAGAAAAATCTCAACCAGGCCATCAAGCGCAACCGCCGACTTCTTCTCGGAAGCAGATGACTAGCCGTGGGATTGGTTGAGATTGTTGAAAGAGTTGTTTTAGCCGTAACCGTCCAGACTCTCATGTTAGGAGTCGGGGTCGTCGGAAGTGTGGTAAGCATGCTATCTGGGGCTAGGGGCGCTGCGAGGTGGTGATTTAAGTTCTCGACAAGGGAGTAAGCATCCCTACATGCAGCGGATTGTATATGTCTTTTTGGAGGACATGTAACCCCAGCGTTCAGTTTTGATACAATTATGTTGTCTATGCTACAACATCGTTGCGTGTAGCAATACCTGTACAAAGATTTGTATTCTAGAAAGCGGCAAAGGGTAACCAGGGATTTAGGACCAACTGGCCTAAGGATGGAGCGGCATTGCTCCCAGCGGCTTATTAGCATAATGATAGCATCGATACCCATTCACCACAACGCATAAACTGACCCACTCTCAAATGTGATTTGGTACTTAACTCCAACCATGAGCCAAGCCACGAGGTAAGCCGAAACTGCGTTAACGAGAGCTAGCCAGGCAAAGCCGGCTGTAGAAACTTACATGGACGCTGCTGCAATAGCATTTTGGCACTCGTAAGTTCGTGCTAGCAGTTGAAACTGCCAGTGCGCAGGCCAATATCTAGATTCAGTGCGAATTAGAGTCTAAACCGGTGAAATATCATAATGGTAAGAACGAGAAAAGGTGGCGAGAAATTCATCTGTTGCGTACTCGGCTCAGGATTCAACGAGTGCAATACAGGTCCATGCAAAGTTTACCAGAGGTCTTGACTTATGTTGACACAACATAACCGTATTAAAGAAGAAAAAGCATCGGGGGTATCATTTGCTAGACTCCTTGGCCTCATCCATCCCCTTCCTCTCCTCCTCTAGATCTCGGTTTCTCTCTGGGGTTTCCCTCCTCTCCAGGTCCTCGCCACGAACTACGTCGAGCTCATCTCGCAACTTATCCGTCAATTTTTCCAGTATCCATTCGGATTCGTCTAGACTACCCATCAGCGGCGATTGCGAGCCTACCCAAGACCATTTGTCCTCGTCGGGGCACTCCGCGTCATTGTCTCCGTCACCTCCGTTCAGCCTCTTGCGCTTGCTCTTCTTCTTCGAATGAATGTGCGGGCGGGCCTTGCGGTGAGTCGCAGAGCTACTCTCGTCTTCACCTATCAGTTTTAGATACCATGCCCACTCAGCAAAGGAGTACCTGCGGGGCGGCTTTTGTTTAGCGTGTTGGCGGACGGCGGCGATTTCGGAGATGAGAAGGTAGTGGTAATCTGCACGTGAGGTAGGGAGGGCAGCAGTCGGGTCACGAACGCGGGACCGGCGTCGTTGTCGGGGCTTTTCGGGTGTAGGTCCCATGCTACGAGATCGTTCCTGGTCAGGGACGAAGGAGGGATCAGGGGCGGATGAATAAGCGTCGGTATCGTCTTCTTCTCCTGAACTGCCTTCTCTCAGCCGGTGGGCGTTCCCGAGAAAGCCTGGTGGTAGCTCGTCATCCTCGCTGTCTTTTAATCGTTTGAAAACCACGCCGCAGGTCCATCGATTGAGAATAGACACAAAGTCCTTGCGGAATCCACGCTCGCCTGGCAGAATCGTGATGTTTCCGAGCTCTAGAGTGGCATCGCGAACAGCCTTCACTACAGTGTCACCCGCATTGGAAATCATGACTGTCATTGTTGGCAAAGCAAGCAGGGACCAAAACACGAAGAACGCCTTGCCCGGATTGGATACAGGCGTACGGTCACCATAACCGATGGTTGTAAGAGTCACGAACGCAAAGTAGAAGCCCTCGAAGTAAGACCAGTTCTGATATGGGCGCTCGCATTCCTGGAAGACCTTGGCACCTACAAGCCAGAGGACGAGCCAGGAAGAAAAAGATATGGACATGGCCAACCAGCGACGACGGACAGAGGCGGAGTCCTGGATTTCGCGCATCAGATTGAACTCCTCCTGCCGGCGCTCGAATTCGGTTGTCGGCAAGGGGGAGCTGTCAGGGGATGCCTCTTCATTTGAATGGATAGGCTTTAGAATGTCGTCCTTGCCTTTCCGGGTCATTGTGCGGATGAGTTGCCGACGTTTCTTCTCGACCATGCGGGCGTCCAGTCGTCGGCGACCGCGTTCAAGGACTAAGCTACGTATGGAGCCGACCACTAGACCGAGACTGATGACTCCGATGAGCGCATATGGGATGAGTAAGGCACGGCCTAGTGGTGAAGCGGCTGCAAAATCGCCGAAGCCAACAGTAAAGAGCGTGACGTCGGCCCAGTACACAGCGTCAAGATAGGTCCAGCCTTCGATGGTGGAGAACACTAAGGCGCCGAGAAGAAGGTACAGGAGAAAGAGGATGGTCTGCAGCATGAGAGTGCGCTGGGCGGTGGTGAGTTGAAAGTCCTTTGCGTAGTGGCGAGTGTAAGCGCCATAGACAGTGACGACCATGAGCGAGGCGGTGACAAAGTAGAGAATGGCGGCAAACATGCCGTAGTAGAATGCCTGGGAATTGATGTACTCTTCACGAGGCTCGATCACCAGGGGTCCAGTAGCTGTGGCGTTGAGGGCGATAAGGCAAATGGCGGAGATGTACCACCCCACAATGGTTATGGGTTGTGCAAGGGAGAAGCGGACTCGGCGGGCCATGTTAAGGAGGAGAAATATGTTGGAGATGATGGCTATGGCAAGCTGGATGGCATTGACGATGATGAGCCTGAGCGTGTTAGTGCGGTTGAGAACAGGAGAGAGTGAAGCAAACCATTTTGGATCCGGGATGAAGGCGGCCGCATTGATATCGGTGCCCGGCGGGAAATGTTGGCGCCATGGCCGGACGAGGGCACATATACTGAAGGCCGATGCAACGGGGCCAAGAGTGCCGGCGATCATGGGGAACGCCGAGGAGGCGAACCACCATCGGCTACGCAGGTCAGGTTTTGTGCTTTGAGAAGCGGGACAGACTGTATTGGCGGCAACACGAAAAGAAGCCCAAAACGTTGATGCTAACGAATGCAGAAACACTGACAAAAGAATGCAAAGTCGACAGGACAGAACTCTTACCTGGGGTCTAAATGGGCATCATCATTCTCGAAGCGCTTGTCCCGTTGAGCCTTGGACTGCTCCAACTGGCCGATGCGCTCCTCGATGTTGTCGCCCAGATCGGCGTCGTTCATCGCGTGTACTGTTGAGAGGGTCCAAGATAATCGGCTGACGGTTCACATCGGCCAAACCCCCAAAACGAAGGCATCACCGGAATAGCCACAAAACAGCCGATGAACAGGATTTGCCGACGCTCTTCACAGTTTCTGTAAGTGAATACACTGGAGGAAAAGGGGTAATGTCTCGATCGTTGTCGAAAATCAAGGCCTTGGCCTGGAGCAGGACCTAGGTCCCGAGCGGAACCAGTTGTACCCGGGGTCCCCCAGATCGAGGTTGGACGTGCTTCGCGATGACGTCTTTGGTGGTTGCGAAGATGGTGTGCAGCTCAGACGCAGCTGGCTTCCCGGGCCCTGCTTCCCCCTATGGTTTGTTTCGATGACCAGGGACGCTTTAGCGGATAACGGGCGGCGTTTGGTGGCTAGCTGCTTAGTCTGACGAGTTTCGAAGGTCGTAATTTGGTAAGTTTCTCTTCTTTGCAACTGCGCCGTATGTCTCTTGAGATGCGGCCAGTCGTTGTGTATGCAATCCATACTGGGTAGCCATCTTTATATCTTGGTCCCTTGGCCACACGAAGGCACTCACTCATCAACAATAGATCAGGTTACCCATGCATGCATAAAAGAACTCATGATTTGCTGCTCGTGTTGACTCAGCGATGCCAGGGATCAGAGTCGTGATGGGGGTGGAATGACGAGCGCTGTTTGGTTCCTGGGATGCCCACGCGCTGTGCTTTACAGTGTGTTAGCGATCTTTACTCCGCGCTTGGAGACGCTAATGAGGGCCACGGGGGGGCGAGACGTGGATCCCTTGGCGAGAGCTTAACAGCGGACGAGTGGGGGGTTGCGGCGGTGCAGACATGGAGACGGAATGACCGCTAGTTGGTCCGAGTTCGTCAGGAGGTCGAAAAACACGTCAGGGTGTCTGTGGTCTGTTTAATTATTTACATTTTGCTTTCGGCGTCGACTTAATGAATTTGTTGAGTCAAGTTCAGTTGGCTGTATTAACACCGGTTGAATATGAAAAAAGAAGCGTTTAATATCACATCATCTTTTCGAGTCGCTATTTTTAGAAGATGATAAGATGGCCGAGGCATTGGCTGTCGTCTGGTCTATCACGTCGCGTCTTCCAAAGGCGATGCTTTCATCAATCTAAGCCAGCCCCTGATGGCTCTGTCGACATTGCCATTGGTTCTTCAGGTACCATCACAGTAGAGTATGTCTCCATTTTCATCCCCGTAGATTTGTATCTAACATATCAAGCCTCCACAATGTCTTCCGCCAATCCTCATCAACGCCCCTTGTGATATACATACCACCAGTCTCACCACTTGCGGGTACGCGGCCGGCTGTACCCGGGTTTCTTCAGCCGTATCCAACAGCTGTTATCAACTACCGGTGGTCGGCTCCGATCCCCACCTCCGCGTCTCACGCCGAGGAGGAGCATGACTTCACTACACCCCTTCAGTGGCCGACACCCATCCATGACATTCTGGCCGGTTACACCTGGATTGTCGAAAACCTGCGTCCAGACCGCAATGCCCGCCGCGACTTGTACATCTACAGCTCGCACGCCGGCGCCAGCCTCGCCGCATCCCTGGCTCTAACGGAGTCTCATCATCACGAGCGCGTGGCCGTCCGGGGGCTTGTTGCCTGGAACGGTATCTACAACTGGACCATGTTCCTCCCGGATCACAAGGTCAACAAACCACTGACCGCGCGTAGTCGGAAGCTCCCGCCGCGGCCCGAGGAGGGCTCGGCTTTACATCTCCTGCAGAGCGAAATGCCTGATCTGTTCCGGAAGCCTGTGGACTTGTTCGATCACTTCGTAAGCCCAAGCCTGTTCTTCCAGACGGCGGGGATGCTTGTACCCCCTACTTTCGCGCAGGCCGCTGCGGTCACATCGTTTTTAGATCAGATGACTTCAATAGCGCCTGATCAAAAGCCGTTAGACCTGATGGCCGCGGCAGCCACCGCGTTCACGGCCCCGAGGCGGAGCGCACTCATCTTCCCGCCAAGGCGGTCTACCCTGAAGCTACCTGCAACATTGTTTCTTCACGACAGCCCGCCGGTGCCAGTGACGAAACGGAAGACGAAGAAGACTGTGATGACGAGGAACCGTAGGGCTGGGGGGCACACATTCGAGGCTCAGACGCTGGAGTTGGCAGGGCTCATGAGGAGAAGCTTAGAGAAGTTGGAATTCAAGTCGAGGACGGAGTGGGACGAGGACTTTGACGCCGACGCTGAGGCCGAGAAACGAGTGAAGGTTGTGGATGTTGGAGAAAATAAGGGCATGGAGCTGGGAGAAGAAGGCCAGAACGTTATTAGGAGGTGGTTAGAGGAAAGGTTTTGTTCATGATACCCATTCCACTCTGCTTTATAAATCTACTTGACTCATATTTAACTGTCTGTGCTTCTGTGTAAGCTCACAACTAAGCTGGGCACGTGACAATCGTGAACCATCGGGTGGAAGATGAAGTCAAGGTGACTGTCAAGTGAGGAAGGACCAACTGAATACCTCAGGCGCCACCGACTTCCTTCCTCGCCAGCAGCAACCTATATCATTGATTCCTCTTTCCTAGTTGTTATCAGTTCGACTAGACGCAGGTGGTCTAGTTGGTCAAACCCGAGGGTTAAGGGCGAAAGAAATATCACGATCGGGGCCCCTGATTACTCGCGTGACGCGCTCAGTTCGATTCATCGCCTGTCTCGAGTTGAGGGCGTGTACTTTTCCTTTTTTCTTTTTTCCCTCTGTTATTTCTCCCTCTCTTCCTGGCTACTCTTATACATTTTGGTTTCATGTCGCACAGTTTTGTAGGCTTAGACATTATGAGTTTGGTGATAATCTGTTATGGCAGCTTTTGTCTCCGTGTATGTATCCTAAAGTCTTGTGGTCTTGGTTATGGGTTGGCTGTGATGATATAATATTATCTTTTGTGAGCCGCAGCCAGGCTCTTAGCCACTAGAGTGAAATACAGCCACATATGGAAGTAGTCTTGGGCTAAATCGAGCTCATCTCATATTGAAAAACAAGTCTTGGTTACAATTTCTCTAGTAACAGCTTCTCATAGAGTCCTAGCTGTTTTTGCTGTGTTTTTATGTATTGAATCAATTTGGGTCCGGTTTACCAAGCTAATCTGCATCACGCCTTGGCTGCCCGTATAGTAAGGAACTTTACCTAAGCATGTGCGCTGTGTCTGGCAAGGTGGGCAGGTGTGTAATATTTATATGACTTAAGGAAGCGGTTGAAGTTCTGACACGCTCATGTGTGATTGAGAGACACACAAGCCAAACAACGCTGATTCCCACTTTTGAGATACAAGATTAGCTGCTGAGCCAAGATATATTATCAACGTTTTTTTTCAGCTGTGTATCACTTTTTGGATGCTAGTGGGTATATTCTTTGACCATACGACAACGTCTGATACAAGACCCCTTATTTGAGGCGATACAGTCATAAGAGTCGACATTTCACAAACCGCGTCACAAATGCACCAACATAGCAAGGACAGACACGCTTTCTCAGTTTTCCAGGAGAAAATGAATGATTAGGACGGGCAGCCACTCCGCCACACATTCATCTTTCGCCAGTCTGTCTCTTTATTCTCTCACTGAGCTTCAGGCATAGCAACAGCAAGCGGAACTGTTCGCTCTCCAAGACGCGCCTACACATTTCCGCTGGGTTGACCTTGAGTTTTGAACCTCTGTCCAATGGCTTGCGGCAAGGACAGGCCTTGGCAAAATTACTTGTCTATCCAATCAATCCTGGCTTAGCTCCGCCGACCAATCTGGTTTTCGCCGCCAAGAGGGCGGGCCACTTGCATTATTTTCACAACCACCTCCCATGTTCAAAGGGAAAAAAAAAATCTGATCTCTTGACACCACTAGTTTATTTGCTTGATTAATGACAATATAAGGTACTAGCACCTCTGGATTGAAACCAAGCCATCTGTCGGCTTTCTTCCTACAATGTTTTCAGCATGGACTAGGCCACTATACCGGCACTGCTCCCGTCAACCCGCCCCAGTACCGCGGGCGGTCCTGCATGATATCCCTGACATAAACTCACGTGCGCCTGTGGAAACGCACCCACATTCCTGTCCTCACCCACCCGCTGTGCAAGGCGAGTCACACATAAGTTGCAGATCTGGCTTCTCCGACATCGCCAGTCGCTTACACTCCTGTTCAATCTTGAGTACTGACACGGCCTGATGGTCTAGAGGTATGATTCTCGCTTTGGGTGCGAGAGGTCCCGGGTTCGATCCCCGGTCAGGCCCCAATCTTTTGTTTTGCTCCTAAATACCATTGCATGTTTTTAATTTTCTTTTTCTATTATTGTTATTCCTCTTCCTCGCACTTGAATGGATGCATCATGGTTCGAAGCTTGCATGTTGAACGTCCAGCACACTACTGTGGCCGTGGAATCATTGATCATATAGATGTACTAATTTAAGCTGAGATACCTCCAGCACTCGCGCGGTTTCTGAACCAGTCAAATCTTGAAGTTGAACCTCATATGGGCCCAATTCAAAAGATCATGGCCGACCGTTGAGCCCTAGCACATACTGCGTACTCGGTAGTGTATGCAGAAATCACGATTAGCGCTGTGAAGGCATAAGTGAGTGGATCGTCAGAGCAGCTGGTGGACTGCACGTGGCTTGTATTGGACCCCTCCCTTGTTTCGACGGCTTTTTTGGACGACATTTCCGCTGAGGAGTGATGTGAGGATCAACGGGCGAGTCGAGATGAGGGATGTTACAATGGGCACCCGCACCAATTTCGAGCAATCTCGAGCAATCTCGAGCTTTCGGCCCAGCGTTTGGTCTTCAGTATCTATCTGATTGCTCTCTATCTCTCTTCTGGAGCAAACGCCGAACTAGCCTAATACTCCGGGATCCCCGTGTAAAGCTGGTGAAATGACGGCATTTTGTCAGATTTGCCCAGGGTAGCTGTGGGCTGTACGCCTGCAACTTGCAGAAAATTAACGATAACTCGATGCCACCCACCAGGGCAGCCTCCTGATTATTGGTAGTAATACCTGGCACCATCGCCTCTGGTCAACCAAGGGAGAAAGTGTGTGAGTTACGAGAGCACGGCAGAAAGGCGACAGTACCTTGGCTGCAGCTGCAGCTGCAGCTGCAGCTTCAGTAAGCTGGGAGACAAAAGCAGGGTTTCAGCACCCGCTGCTCGCCCATCCTGTTCATCAAACTTTGCCCGCGTTCTACGATACGAATGGCGCGAGGCTCCGATTACGGGTAAAGTCTGAAGGGGGAGCGATGCTCTAGCCACTCTTTACAGGAAAATCACGCTGGCTGGCTCAAGAATGATTGAAAATTTGAAGGAACTTCTCAACTGTTCATCTCAATCCCCAGACCCCATGCTGACCATATAATGACTCCCCAAGCCTCCTGCCTGACGTCTTCACTCCTCAGATCAAGCTTGTGCTTGGAGTGTGAGATGTGCTTAGTCCGAATTTAGTCTCTGCTTCGAATGGTAGCACTATTACAGTGTACGTAGTGCCAGGGCTAAGCTCAGGTACGTATCGTCTGGGGAGGACGCCTATTGCGTTCTTGCACTTTCTCCGTATTTTGCTAGTAGGGGGTCTACAGGGGTCGAAAGTCTGCTGTAGTTTGGTGTTACTGGTAGGGATGGCAGCTGCACGGGCGCTGGGTGCCGCCACTAAGGGAAGCACGGGGGTACCCTCGCCCCATTGATTGTCACTGCCTCAACAGGGCACTCATGCAGCCCATTGGACACCGTCGCCAAGCTATCCCAGCTCTTTACTTTCGTTCCACACTGGCACTCTCCGTCGTCTGGCCTGGCCAAGCCAGGGCACTTGCAATGCTGTGCTGAGACGAGACCATCTCCTCCTGCGCGGCTATTTATGACTACTTCGAGGCCCCAATACCGTTTCTTGGTTTCTTCCGATTTATTTTTCTACCGCGCTCTTTGTCGGATCCGTACCCAGCGACGAACATACTGTCTGCCAGTCTACCACCACAGGTCTCATCACCACACACACCACATCATCTACTAACACTCACTCACATCAGCAATCATGCCTGGAGTTCGTAAGTGCCACTCTGTTTCTTTCTGAGTGACTACACATGGCGATTGCACCGTACTTCGCTCGCGATAGCTGTACTCATCGAGACTTCCTTGATTTCTCAACCAGCTATGATTTCGATATCAAATGCCAAGAACTAGCACTAACACGGTACCTGAACAGCCATCGACGCCCTTGACAACCTCAAGGCCAAGTTCAAGGCTATCTTCAAGAAGAAGGACGAGAAGAAGGCCGACTCGAAGCCCACTGAGCCCACGCCTGCTGCTGCTCCCCCCGCTACTACTACACCCGCTACCGAGCCTACGAAGACTGAGGCTGCCCCGGCCGCCGCTCCTGCCAGTACGTGTATTATCCCGGGCGCCAGAGACGTCCAAATTCATCCATACGTCCGAACGAATTTACTGACAAGTACAGCTGAGCCAGCTGTTCCTGCTGCCGCTCCCGCTTCCGAGCCGGCCAAAGCCTCTGAGGCCGAGGCCAAGCCGGACGCAGCTCCGGTGACGACCGAAGCCGCCAAGGCCCCCGAAGCCAGTATGTCCCAATACACATGATCCACTCGGCGAAAGATATCCGTCATTAACGCGCTTCTAGCTCCTGCTGCTGCTCCGCCCGTGACTGCGGAAGCTCCCAAAGCCGCTGAAGTCTCAACCGCCACCCCTTCGACACAGGTTACCGAACCCGCGAAGGCTGAGACCCCCGTGATCACCACCACCGCCCCGGCCGCTGAGACCGCTCCTGCGCCTGCACCCGCTGCTGCTGCTGCTGCTAGTATGGCCGCCCCTCCCATCATTGCCATAAGTGTGACCTTAAAGTCCTTTAAAAGTACTAATTAATGAATGCAGCTGAGACAGCCGCACCTGCTCCGGCTGCCGAGCCTGCGAAGACGGAGACTCCCGCGGCCACTGACGCCCCCAAGCCTGCAGAGAAGGCCGAGGAGAAGAAGGAGGCTCCTCCCGCCTAGACAGCGTCGCCAGACATCTCTCACTTTGGTCTACGATATCTCTCTGACGATGACGCGCACCGAAATGCCCACGAGCCGGATTCCGATGTGCCCACGGAATGTGCGGCGTCGAGTGCCTAAAGTGTGTCGGGGGTTTAACGGCAACGAAGGCGGAGTTTTACGGTATGCGTGACCACGTGGAACGTTCTGCACCAGGGATAAGGGGACGTATGGTTATGGTCAAGACCTTTGCCTATTTTGTTGATTTGTTTAATTGTCGGGATACCCATCAGTCGAGTAGTTGAATCAAGCGCATTTGCTTAGACTTTTTCTTGTTGGTACTTTTGAGTCGTCTTCTCGACGGAAGACTTCAGTCGAGACTGTGTCGAATTCAGCATCCCCAGTTGAAGTGCAATTTGAATTCATCGGCAATTGCCATACCTTTGACTGTTTATCAGTTACTGGGTGGTATTCTCCTCTCTAATTCCCTTGTTTCTTTTACAAGCCATGCTAATTTCTAGTTTTGCTTGCATCACCATACACCTTGGATCACTCTAACCCTTGCCTCATTTGGCCCATGGTGCCTTGGTCAGTGTAATCTGCGCATCCGTCGACCCACCCTCGCTACCGCCTTGCGGTTGCGCACCCGGAGCTGGCATCGGGAGCATGCCCGGGCCAGGAGGCGTCCGCGCCGAAGCCGCCGAAGTTAACGGCGGTTGTCGTGAATAAGGAATGCCGCCCTGAGGAGGCATCCGTCCCGGAGCACCAGTAGCCCACGGTGCTGCAGTGCCTGAGCCCTGAGGCGGAGGGGGCATCCGGCTTGTAGCTCCCGCTGCCCATGGCGCTGCTGTACCTGCGCCGGGAGGGGGAGGGGGAGGCGTTGTTGTCGCTGGATATTTATATGAGGGCTGGTTCGCCGCGTGGACAGACGGTGCTACGGGCGCTGCGTCGGGGTCCTGGTCCCAGGAGAAGAGGGAGCCAAAGGTAAAGTGCTGGACGACAGGGAACTTTTGCAGCACTTCGGCATTAAACATCTTCAGCATGCCCTACAAGTCATAATAGAGTCAGTGGGCCGTCAACGCTTCCTGGGGAGAGAAAGCCTAACCTTGTTAATCTTGCCCCAACCGTCGCGTACGCCAGAAATGTCGAACAGAATGGGGCTGTGCTCCCAGAATGGACCCTTCTTTACATCATTGATGAAGCCCACGGCTGAGAAGTACATGTTTTCACTCCGTTGTTCCTCGACTACGGCTGGCTTCACGATGTCTCCCGTCTTGGGTGCTCCGCGAACTGAGCCTTCTAGCGGCATGGGCTCCGCTGACCCCTCCGTAATGGGCGCTGTGAGCTGGGCGGAACCAAATATGTAGGGCAGGAAAGAATGGTCGTCCAAGCCCCAGACGCCGTGAGAGCCCGCGGGTTCTAGGGTGTATGTGAGGATGAGTCGACGGACGACGCGGAGGTAGGGCTCGATTACACCGAGGACGATGTTGCGGTCTGTTTCGGATGAATCATTTTCTGTGCCGTCGGTGAAGAACGACAGTTTGTACAGAGCGCCGAGGAATGCTAGAAAGGAGAGTTCATGGCCCGTGCCGAAGTCTAGTCTCTGCGAAGACCCGAACGATCCCAAGAGATAGGATAGAAGCTCGGAGGCGGGCGGCTCGGAGGACGCTGTTGTCGGAAATTCGAGGACGGAGGGTGGTAGATGTTCGGACAACAGCGCCGGGGCGCGCTCGGCTAGGAGCTCGTGCCATTTGCGAAAAGAGACGTTGCCAAAGCGGCGCGGGCCGGGGTCTGGAGGCGCGAGGTCGATGAGGGCCTCGGCGGCAGAGAGGAGGTTTTGGAGTGCTTTTATTGAAGGTGGGAGGCGGTCGCTGGTAGATGAGGGGAGAGAGGATAGAGGGAAGGTCCTCGCGGGCCCGCCCTGCGGAGAGCGGCGCGGGCAAAGGGAGCGATTTAGTTGGAGGAGAAAGACAAGAATGTCACGATAGGCGGTTGTGGTGAGGAAGGTCGCGAGGTCAGTACCGGTGTTAATGCGCTTGGTGGGGGTGTGGAAGCTGTGAGGGGTTCGTGGGAGCGGTTTGAGAGACGGGAGGGAGCTTGGAGGTTTTGGTGTTGCGCCTGTTGTTGATCCGGCCACTGAAGAGTCCATATTGATTTGCGGCAGCTCGTGCAGAGCTGTTTGGTGTCTGTTCGTATGATCGGAGTTTGATAGCTTTGGGAAGCTCCCGGCGCAAGGTTGCTGAGGATGGAGGGGCGGGTGACGACATGTCTGCTTAGTCAGCGGACTGACGGGTTAGTATATTAGTGGTCTCAGTAAGTTTCAACCTCGTTCGAGTAGGAAGGAATTAACTTTCGTTTTGATCGGAGATCTCCATAGTTCGAGATCAGATGCCAGATTTGAACATGCGAAACGAAAGATGTCTCCAAGGAGGCCTTTATTAAATACGTCTATGCTTAGGTTCTACTCTCATTAACTCTCGGTCCGTCTGAGCACCGCTGTCGGTCTCTAATTAAGGACACTGAATATGTACTTCGGTGTGGCCAGCTCTATCGTGCGAGTTAGAGCTCAGCAAATCAACCAAACTTGGAAAGCACAATGCCATTTTTGGGGCATCTATTACAATTCGAGACGCGCGTCCTCTGTCTTGAGTAATGTATTCTCCCACGCACGCGTCCGAGTGCGAGCCATTCTCGATCGGTTACAGAATGATTCTCCTCTTCGGAAATTTTGGCGTCTATTTCAGTTTATCACTGACAAACTGCTTGATCTGATCGCCGTAGATAGTCGGATACTGCAGGTGAGCTACCGGATCGTTGCCGTTGCAGCAGAAAGGGTCAGCCGAGTCACAGAAGGACTTGATGTTGTCTCCAAATGGGCACTGGAAGCCTTGGGGACGCGGTGCGAACTAATTCCTGTTAGTGGTTGCACATGTCGACATGGCGATGGACTCACCCCCTTCTCCTTGCATGTCCCGATCTCGTATGGCAGTCCCGCTACATATCGCGGGTCGCCCATGAAGATGGCAACCTTAATCATCCCCAACGCCTGCTGCGAGAAGAGCACGTTGGTGTCTTTCACGCCCTCGATGCTGTCACCGCCGCCACAATATGCGTTATCCATGATTTGGGCACCCTGCCGTTGATCAGCGCCTGTGGTGTGTCTGCTGGTATTCCACAACTCACCTGGGAGAATCCCAGCAAGACAATCTTGGTTTGAGGACACTTAGTGTTAAAGTCGTTGATGGCCTTGGCAACGGAATCTGTACCGTTCTTGACCGAGTCGGCGTAGCTCACTCCAAGGCAATCTGTCCCGCCACCACAGGCAGGGTAGTTGATGGGCTCGTTCGTGGCCCCTTGGTTCGCTTTCGTGAGGTCATCCACGATTTTGGCCGCAGCACCGAAACCTGGCGGTGCAGTCGTCTCCCGGGCTCCAAAGATGTGGATTGGTGGGCAGTCGTTCCCTTGCCTCTTCTGTAAGGAGTGAGGCGTGGCCATGGCTTGGCTGGCGAGGAGGGCAATTCCCAGGCTGAACCACATTTTGGGCTACACCAGTTGCTGGAAGGTTCTTCTGAAGGAGTGACTTGAAAAGAATCAAACATTAAACCCACGCGAACAGTCGTTGGCATATGTAGGGTTTTGGGAAGCGTAACGAGCAACAAGAAGAACGGCAACCGCGACTAACAGGAAAACCAACTCGCTTCCGAGAGTTAACTTAGTGGCTTCGTGGTGACGAGTTTTCGGTGGCTAGAAAGGATAGACTATTGCTTTCGAACTAGATTTATCGCTTCTCCGACGGATGAACCCATAACTCCGGCATCCGCACTCAGCAAGCTACGGAGAGCACCATGCCGCATGGAAAAGACCGGTGCGTTCACCCAGCTTCCCGTCAGTTCCCGCCAAGGCCCGAGTAGGGACGAAACGGACGCGGTCGCCACCACCATGCGCTCCGAAACTGATGACAACATAATGCTGTAGCTCTGGAAAGCTGAATGGCGGGAACGGGACATGTCGCACCTTTCAGACGATGGCTGTGTGGTCGCTGTGCAGCATAATGTAGGGCGGGGAGGATGTTTCCAAGAGAAAATCAGACAGAGAAGCTAAGGAGCTTGTGAAGATCGGAGAGTAGTTCAGACTGTCTTGAAGGTATGAAACGTGGTGGAGTCGTTGATTGGTCTGGAACACGTCGTCGTTTGACATGGACCGCCATGCTCAAGGACTCTGTGTTGACTGGTTAAAGTAACCTTCATTAGTAGAAAAGCGCCGCGGAATGGGTAGTTTTTGCTGCCATGATGCCAGTTGCTCTCGCATCGGGATATCCTCACCGAACCTACCAAGGAAATTTGGCTACAAAATATCTGATTTGGTCAAACTGTTGTGTGTTTGAGCCGCTTTGAAGTAAGCCTTGCCAGGACAAACATAGCCTGTATTAATTTAACCTACCACTTCTTGCGTTTCTAAGTTTTCGAGATAGGAAATGACGGCCGCAAGGATCGTAAGCGTCACTTAAGCAGCCGTAATTAATAAGAGACGACAAGGTTTGCTTAAGAAGATGCGGGAATCCCTGAGGAACAACTTGTTCGGTGAGTTGTCAAGGGATCATGTTGCCAGACACTAGACTTCTCGATTTGGAGAACATGTGAGCCGAGGCTGGCAAAATTCGGCAAAGGAAGCCCAAAGGGTAGCTGCGATATAGATGCCCGAAGGAACAGGTGCGCAAAACAGATCCCTGAGTAAAGACCACTTGGGTGCTTGTGCAGTCTCAATAAACAAAAGCTATGACGATTTTGTTGGTGGTGGTATTTTGAGGCCGCAAGAAGAACTGGGTCAAAACTCGATTGGTCGTTGAGCCTGCGCCCACTATGCCACTCGTATTTCCTGTCAGAGGTACGAAATTGGATATATTGATGCTCAATCAGGAGTTCCAGCTAGTTGAAATATTCTCAATCACAAAGCTGACTTATCAGTTAGTGGGGATTCATTAATGTTTGGCCAATCAGCATGAGTTAGAGCACTCTGCGTTGCTTGAGCTTCCCGACGCGTTTGCGTCGCGTTGGGAATATGCCGTTGAATGATGAGCTTGAGAATTAGTCACGGGACCTGAAAATCCTCGATAGCCACCATTTGTCACTTGTCAACAACACGTCCTGGTAGGCGCTTGTTGGCGCTCAGTTCAAATGCCGGCTAGGACAAGATCGAAGCCTGCCGGGCAGGGAACTGGCCAACGTGACAGGAACCTCACTGATACGATCAGTGATAACACCAGCACCACGCCAACACGCCGCAGCAGACGGCTAAGGCATGATACTGATGTTCTGGAGGACCCTGAACTTCCACAACCGAAGAGGCAGCGAGAAAGCCCAAGGTCTGGAGGTGAAGCCTCTCATACCAATGTCAAGGACGGCAGAGTGAGATCAGTATGCCAGACCTTACCTATAACTTAGCAAGATGCTTACAAGCGTCGATAGATCGAAAAGAAAACTAGCCTCAAACGATTAGACACCAACTTGCGAGTAAACACACCAAGAAGGGCCGCGGATAATACTCAACGCACCCAGAAACGCCAGCAGTCTGAGAGGGCATATCGAGGACCGCAACAACTAACAAGAGGGGCTGAAAGACCACAGCCTACGACGCTAAGCAGCACCCAAGACATTTCTTTGAATTATGAACTCGACAAGCTATTTGACGTTTATGATGTGCCCACGAGCCCGCCCCCGAACCCCCAGACCCAAAAGCTCGGTGCATCCTACCAAGAGGTAGAAGTCGTGGGTTCTGACCCGGAAGAAGAGCTTTTCGTTAGACAAGAACAACACGACGACACGCGCCTGTACGATGATCCGACAATTATAGGAGCTTCAGAAGAGGCTGGTCAAAAAGAAGCACAAGCAGGTGAAGCTGCAAATCAGGAAGAACCACCTCCGGCTTCGACGCAGCAGCTGGCGGATTTCCTCGTTGACATGGGCCCACCTCAAGAGGCCCCTAATAAACATGTCGACATCGCGTATCCCGACGATTGCTTCATATTCAACGCTCCTACAGGTGAAGACGGGTCGACGGCAGCTACCCTTAAGTCCAGCGCTCTCAAACACATGGTTGACTTGATGAGCGGAACGGGTTGGGCTCAGCATGTTGGCATTAGCACTATTCACGCCGGCAGTACCCAACTTAGATCGAACTGGAACCGGCCTTACTGGGAACACTTTGTGTTTTTAAAGAACTTTTGGCAATGTATGCCTCGAGCGCCTCAGTTTTCCGAGCAATGCCGCTACTTGCACACGTCCGAGGATGCGGCCAAGGCAAAGGAGTCGATCAGGGAGGTGGACGAATTTGTTCGTGCAACGGTACAGCGAGCCAAGAAGATCACACGAGGACATGAAGAAATCATGCCCCCTAAACCGTCTACGAAGGACCTTTATGAGAAGATTATCCCGATGCTTGTATATACCCTCCACGGCGTCTTTCTAAGGGGGGTAGAAAGCAAGGTGTATTCCTGGCGTGGGAGATTCACAAAACCGACTCTACAGATCATGGAAAGGCTGCTGGCCTGGCTCGAAAGGTTACATACGACAATGATGGACAGCCTGAAAAGAAGGCCGCGGGACCAGACGGGGAGCATGATGACCAGTCGGAGCAAGCTTGCTCGCTATCTCGTGGATCTCAAGGTTGAAATCAAGGGCACGGTGGCCGAGATCGACGCTGCCCCCGAGCGCAAACGGATCTACAAGGAGAGACTATGGCAGGCGATAGAAAGAGAGGAGCGCGCGCGTCAAGAGGAGGAAGAGAGGAAGCGACGGCAGCGAGAGCTTGTCGACCGGCAGATAGCAGAGCGCCTCAGCCGCACTTGGTCTGGGTTATCACATCCAGAGGCACCTCAGCCAAGCCAAGAAACCCGATACAATGCGTCACAACAAACGGCAGCATCACGACAGCTTCAAGCGTCTGAGCCAACAACAAGACCTGGAATGGACCTGGCAGAACTTGTTGACCAAGACGAATCGTGGTCTCTGGAAGACGATAAGCGTCTCCTGAAGATTCTAAGGACCACATCAAAGGTGGAGCTGCAATACCTTGCGTGGGAGTTTGACCGCAGCATCAACGAAGTAAGCGACAGGGTGGAATTGCTGAAACACGCCGCCAGAGAAGCCGCCATTAACAAGAACAAACCATTCCCAGAGTTTGCGATTGTCTAGATGGTGCTGGGATGGTTTTACCAATGGCAACATTAGTTAGTTACGAGCATTTTGATTTGAGTGACACCCAGAGTATGCTATGCGCGCAGTTGTCGGCATCTCAACGCGAAGCATGTAAAATAATACAGGTTGCTGGCCCGGAATTACCAAACAGCCCCCGTCTCTATGCGCAGGGTTTGATGAGTGGCAGGAAGCGTTTCGGTATCCCATCATGCGGTTGCAGAGACAGGCCGCTACATGAATCATGGTCAACTGCGGACCTGCAGAGGGCACGACAGAATGCCATATAAACTTTATAAACAAGCACAACGGTGGCTCACTTGATGGTAACGGAATGAAGGCTAAAGTAACGCTAGAATCTGAACAGGGTCACCATTCGGAAACGGATAGGCGAAGAAGAGGCTTGTCCGCGTACTAGTAATGTCTCTCCCACGTGGGACATCCAAAGCAATTCCACCAGTTCGTGCCATGGTCGTGGTTGTCGGCCTGCGGCACATGTGGACGGAGACGCACGGAGAACACCTGTGCTGGCGGCCTCCATTTTGCATCTGCCGAAGGTTTTGGCTTTTGGAGATGGTACTATGTAATACACCATAAAGGTGCTGCTGGGTCTCTTAGTTTTGGAGGGGTGCGCTGTCCGTGGGGCTCGGCAGATGAAAACGAGAGCTGTTGGGAACTGAGAACTAGGGTTAGTCCCTGGAGGTGGCATCATGGGGCAGGCTGGGCTCATCGCGGATGGGACGGAACGAAATGGAATGGCCCAGAGGAACGGATGAGAATGTAGATCACAAGTGTGAGGGAAGGAATTCGGGCATGTTGCGGCGATGTTCTGCATGAGCTAGTAAAGAGGAGCTTGACGTTAGGGCAGCAAATGTTGCATTTACTGATTACTGTTGATTAGTAGCCATGATGCTGTGGACATGGTTCGACTTGGAAAGATAAGTCTTGAGGTTGGCCGGTTCTCTGATGAGTATGAAGTTGGTCGTCAGTTCCGTGTTACAGGCATGCTCTACTGAGGGACACAGTAGAGCAATCGGGCGGCGCACAAGCGTGCAGTTATTGGCGGGCACTGGACGGGATTTACACGTGCTGTGAAACGTTGACTCCGAAAGAAAATAGGTTTGCCTGGGCCGATGAGCAGAATATCCGGTTGGCATACAAGAGGTGTAAATTAATTGCCGATGAAGCTGGAGCTTGAAATCGGGAAGTGTGGTGGTGGCATGACCAAGGGCTACAAGGCGTCTGGCTTGTAGGAAGTGACGAATTTGGCATCGTCCCATCCTGGAACTCGGCGAGCAGGATAGCGGCAAAGGTGATGTGCATGGTTGCCGCGATTTGTTTTCTCCTCCGAGTCTCACAACCGCAGCGCTGAAGTCAGCCGCTGAGGAGGAAAGGCGGCCGTTAGAGACGTCAATCTGCTGCAGTGCAACCCACCCCAGAGCTACGTACTGGGCTGAACGATGCAGGTGCGGGGAACCCTTGAGTTGTCAAAAGAGAGAGAAAGAGAGTAAGTAAGCCTGCGATGTGCTCGGGCGTCGGGACTGAACGGCGGTTGAGAGGATTGGAGATGGCAGCTGGCTTATTTTCTGGAATAGTGGAACAGTATCCGTAAACATTTGACAGACACAGACACGGCGCCAAGCAGGAGAGTGAAATTTCCAGCAGTGTGACAACCATCATTCAGTCAATCAGTCAGTATTTTGTCAGCCGTCGGCAGTAAAATCGAGAATCAGTGGGATTCGACGCCTGTCTTGTTTAGGGCCAAAGGTATTTGACGAGGTGCAGAGTCGCTTGGAACGAGATGTGATTGGTGCAAAGGGAGTGTATGTTAGAGGAGGCTGGGCTGGAACGAAGGCATGGGTCGTGTCTTGGATTATGTGGATGTGAAAGAGTGGGCAGTCTGACGGGCCATGGTGTCTTCGGGCCAGAATGTCGGCAATGGAATGTCGGATCGAATTGTGAGCCTGAATGTTTCTGATAGCCCCTTTCAGACAAACCCTTTGCGAAGTCGATGGCAACAACAAAGGGAGGCAACGAGTCAGGCTTTTCAAGGTGGCGTTCGGCAAAAGAAGGGAAAGTCTCAGTCCCTGAGTCGCTGGCTGAGAAATAGCTCAGGCTCAGAGACCACCAAAGGCGGAATGAAGAAAGGGAGACAAGGAGAGAATAGCCCTTCAACACCGTATGAGAGCAAGAGCACCTTCTGAGTCCATTTTCAACTGCCGTGTCCCCCACCTGTTTCCATAGCCATGTCATGCCTGTTTCCAGCAGACGCCGGACCCTCTTTCCCCCGCAGATAAGGTGTCCAACAGTGGGTCGCTGGACCGTGTTTTCCGCCGACACTTCGCAGAGAAAGAGAGGGAGAGGAGAGAGACGGCTGGCAAAAGGGTGTCACGGTTGGTGGCCAGCGGCTTCTCTTGCCCATTCTGTCCAAAACTTCTCATATCCCACATACGCAGATACATCATGGACAGGGAACTTGGCCTCTCCTTACTGCAGCCATCGCGTTGCTGCTTCGCCTTTCTCCATGGCACGAACCTACCGGTGGTATCGGAAATGTCGGCCGATAGGTTCGATCTGAATTACGAAGTTAATCCTCGCCTACCATTTCCGTACCCTGTTTTTCGGGTCTAACTCGTCCTCACTTAGGACGAAGAACCACACAAATGCATCTGCCGAAGATGGAATTGGTCATGACCGACCTGAACATCCACTCTCCAAGACCTGGTCCCCCCCTCCATCGGATCATTCGTCATATTTCAGTTCCGCGCGCATCCTCTGCCAATGGCAACGCCCTTGAAACCTTCGGCAGGCAGTCGGTTCCCCCCCCCCCCCCCCCTTCACTCTAGCTGTTCAAGTCACAATACGGCACGGCAGTATCAACGTTGCTGAGAACCTCGAGCTATACTCGCTGGAGAACGACCTGCCCATTGCACGTGTTTCCTCTGACACACACATACAGCAAAGGGACACAAACGGCCATGACTCCAAGGCCAAATAGCCCCGGCTCGGTCCCCCGGCAGCGGAAACTCCCCCCTCCAATTCCCCCTCAAAGACGGGCCCACCCAGACCAGGGTCACCCTCCTTACCCCAGGATCTGTTGCGCCTTGCCTAGGCTTTCCCCAATATTTATTCTGCAAGCCTCTGAGTGGCCGCTATCCGCTGCAGTCCCCGGGGCCGACACACCTACAGTTGCTCAAAGAACGGCCGACGCCAAGTGCTGTGTAAGATGCGACACGCTATTTGCTGGTTGTTTTTTTTCTTCATCGTGACGTGGGGTGTCCCCCCTTCCAAGAGGCGATTCCATGCAGACTTCCACGCTACTACGTTGTCTGTGCTGCCACTACTCTCTACGCGACCTTGGACACGGACAGGAATCGCTTTGTGACTCGGTCCAACGACCGTTGGTGCTGGCCGTGGCCTAATGAGCAGTGAGAAGGAAAAAGGATTACCCCCATGGTAGTCTCGTCTGCTCCGGACAGTTTGACAATGCTCCGGTCCTGGTCATCCCGATTGCATATTCCATCTGAATTTGCCATCATTGATCAGCCCTTCAAATGCGTTGTTCTCGTACGGCTCTTCGGCATGGCGTCTAACACCGCCTCTTTCGCTACTCATCCGCATCCACACCCGCCCGCTCTCAAACCTGGATCCCAGAGACGCAGAACCCTTGTGAATTCTAACTTTATTTCCAGCTCTCTTGTCTCATCTCTGACGAGACAGACGCCGGCGCCAACACTTCATGCTTGAGAGAAATCAGGTCGTCTTCTTCGAGGGTGACCCATCCTACCCACATTTTGCTCATCTGCGTTGGATCTCAAGGCCTTGTAGTGTTGCCTACCCTTCCCGAAGACCGTCCCCTTACTTGCCGTTTCCGCCGCTGGATGCCCACACAAACTTAAGCGCATCTGCCATCCCGAATGACGCCTGTCTTCTCCACCACCGAGGCACAGGTGCAGCTGCAAGTTGACCACACGGCATGCCCCCTCGCATACCTTTCAGCCCCATAAGATCCTGTCGATGCGTCCCAAGATAGAAACTGGGTAATTTGCTTTCGGTAACTAGTTCGGGTAATCGTCTGGTCCGTCTCCTACATCAACCTGATAACCGCCCCGTTGGCATTATTTACATTTGTTGCAACTGGCCGCATCTACGTGCAATTGCTCTGCAGGGAACTTGACTCCCAACTTCATCACCTTCTCAGCCAAAGATGCACGGCATTACGGAGACTTTACTAGACACACTTGCCCAGCACTGGCTGTCAATAGGTCTATCACTTATTGCCGCCTGGCTGGTCAAAAACCATTACCACAATGGTCTAAACAAGTACCCTGGGCCATTTTTGGCTTCCCTGACAGACTGGTGGCGTTTCTTCGATGTGATGACTTACCGTCCGGAGGTAACGCATCAAAAACTGCACGAAAAGCACGGAGACATTGTTCGACTAGGACCCAACACCCTCTCGTTTGCCGATCCTGCTGCCTTGAAGACCATTTACGGGTTGAACAAGGGTTTTGTCAAGGTAACATCCACTGAGCCGTTGTATCCTTCCCAAGCATAGCTAACAGGACCTAGTCCGACTTCTACATCGTCCAACAGTCCGTGGTCAAGGGTCACAGGCTGCAGTCGCTATTCAGCTCAACGGACAACAGCTTTCACTCGCAGTTCCGTCGTTGCGTTAACTCGGCCTTTTCCATGTCGGCACTAGTTCAGTACGAACCTTTTGTGGACAACACCACCAAATTGTTCCTGTCCCAGACTGAGAAGTTGTTCGGAGGAAAGCCAGACGGTTGCGATTTCACTACCTGGCTGCAATTCTACGCGTTCGATGTCATTGGAGAAATCACTTACAGCAAGCGTCACGGTTTTGTTGAGAAGAATGAGGACATCGACGGCATCGTGGCGTATTTGAGCAAGCTGTTCCTCTACGTTGCACCGGTAAGGCTCCACGGTATCTTTCATCAGCAGAGGCCCGTCACTAACACTCCGTCAGATCGGTCAAATCCCCTTTCTCGACCTTCTTCTACTCAAGAACCCCATTTACCTCAAGCTTTCACAATGGGGCTTCATTGATGCCACATTTCCCGTTGCTCGTTTCGCTCGTGCCCGCATGGCCGAGCGTCTTCCTCAGATCGACGCCAACGACAAGCCCTTGCTGCCTGTGACTTCGGGTAAGAAGCAGGCCCAGCAACCGGACCTTTTGTCCAAGTTCCTTGCTGCTCGCGAAGCTCGCCCGGAATTCATGACGGACGTGCTGGTGCAGACGATGGCGGTGAGCATGGCATTTGCCGGATCCGAGACGACGGCCATCAGCCTGGCTGCCGTGTTCTATTATCTACTGCGCACGCCAACAGCACTTGCACGGCTGAGAGAAGAGTTGGATACTTTTGGCAAGGAGGGTGGCTTCAGCGACACCGAGACAGGACTTGTTACGTGGACTGAGAGCCAGAAGTTGACGTACCTTGACGCCTGCATCAAGGAGGCCTTCCGCATGCACCCTGCCGCCGGATTGCCACTGGAGCGCATCGTTCCCGAGCAGGGTGCCGAGATTGCCGGAACATTCGTTAAGGGAGGAACTATTGTTGGCTGCAGCGCGTGGATCATCCACCGACGACCTGAGATCTGGGGCGAAGACGTCGACACGTACCGGCCGGAGCGGTGGTTGGTGGACGAGACCAAAGATCGGACGACAGAGGAGCAGCGTATTAAGGAGATGAACGGTATGATGTTCCAGTTCGGCATGGGCAGCCGGACATGTATCGGAAAGAACATCAGCTTGCTGGAGATTTACAAGCTGGTGCCTTCCCTCCTTAGGAGATTCGATGTAAGTGCCTGTTCATATTCGGATCGACAAGATGATGCTAACAGCACGTAGATCAGTTTCAAAGACCCGAGCCAGGAATGGGAACTGGTAAATGCATGGTTCGTCAAGCAGAACAACTTCCACGTCAAGTTCGGCAGGAGAGAGATCGTCAAGCCGAGCTCAGCGAGAAAGCTTCTTCCACGTAGTCATGATGTTGTTCGTTAATGTACGATGGGTGATTGATGAAGCAATGATGATAGATGCAGAGTATCACGATACTGTTCACATGTCTATACAATTACAAATTTCACCATGACGTGTCCTTTTTTCTAGCTCAAACGTGACCGATCTACAGGATATCTTGCGGCAACAGGGACAATTAAAAACAACAACAATATGGGAAGCCAACCTCCACTCACGCCGTAATCACGCCCACTCAAACTCGTTCTTCAGCCCCTCAGCACCGCTCTTGTCCTCGAAGTCGAGGAACCCGCAGATTCTGCCCTCCGGGTCCCATTCCTTGCGGGCCTTCATCAACCTCTTGCCCTGCTCGTCGCCCCAGAACTTTGTCCGGCGGTACCGGAAGTCGGCATCTCCAAGGTAACTTCCCGCAGACTGCTTCTCAACATCCGCCATGACGTCCCTGACCCAGCCTAGACACCTCTCGTCGTCCGCGGCATCGGGGTATACAGTGTACAGCGCGAAGTAGTGATCGCTCTGCATGCTCAGCGCCATGTCGGGCATTGCCTTGACTTCACCATCCTTCTTGTCGGCTTCAGTAGCCGCAGCAGCGCCGGGGCCGAGTTGCGGCCGGCGGGAGCACGGGTTCATGGAGTAATAGAGCGCGAAGGACTGCGGCGTGGGTAGCGTCGTAAAGGCCTTCTTTAGTACAGCGGGGACACTGACGTCGTTGGAGACGTAGGCGTTCTCGGAGATGTACCGGTGCGCGGGCGGGTTGGCGCCGTCCTGGTCGCAGTATTGCTGGGGCAGGGACGTCGGCGTTGCGAAGACTGTCGATAGCGGGCGGGACGGGTGGCTTGAGTGAAGGGGAATCAAGGGGTCAGGCGTGGGGCTGAAGGAGAGGAAGTTCGCCATCACCTGCGGAGATGTTGCGCCAGGGGGTGTCAGAGTGAGGAGGACGATTTCCGTCGTCGGCGAGGCGGTTGGGCAGATCTGGGGACGGTCAGTCCAAGGCACATATGAGAGAAAGAAAGTGGGCATGAGCATACTTTGATGACCCAGTTCAGAATCTCCTCGAACCGGTCTAGGGAATAGAAGTAGAGAGACTGGTACATGCCCGTCAACGGACGGGTGCGGAGGTGGAAGCGGGTGACGATGGCGGGAAACCCGGGGCCGGAGCCACGTGCCGCCCAAAAGAGGTCAGTGTTCTCCGTCTCGGAGCAGCGCAGCTCTCGACCATCGGCAGTGACGACGTCGATGGCGACGATATTCTCACACGCCCAGCCCCAATTCTGATACAGTCAGCGTTAATCCTTAAAAGAATTCTCCAGACAACGGTCTCAGGAAAAATAATCTTACTTTGCAATTCCAGCCCATGCCACCCTGCAATAAGAAGCCTCCCAGCCCGACATCAGGACAATGGCCACCAGGAAACCATCTCCCTACGCCCTCTTCGCTGTCGTCGTCGGGCCCGCCAAGCTGCTGGGCGAGGAATGAGTTCAACTCCCTTCCCGTCCTCGCAGGCGCGGCACTAACCACCCCGGTGCTCTTGTCGTAGACAATGCCATCTTCACCACCAGTCCCCTCCCCCAGATAGCCGAGATCAATGAGTAGAGCTTCATCACGGACAGACCACGCAGCCCAGCTGTGACCGCCGCTGCGCACGCTCACGCGCCATCCCTTCTCTGCGGCGAGCTTCACGGCTTCCGCAACGTGAGAACGGCGCGTTGCCTGCACGACAGCGACAGGGCGGCGCGAGAAGTCCCGAAGGGCATTGAACACGCGGCCCCAGACGGCAACGGAGTAATCTGTAAAGGGCGTGTCTTCGGCATAAAGAATAGGCAAAGGCGGCACGGGCATTTTGGCGGTTGTGCGTCTTTCCCGTAACTTTAACGCTGGTACCGGGTTCGTGGGGAGTTCTGTCTTTCCGTCTTTCACGACTGTGGGAAACTAACAACGTTGTCGCTGAATTGTGCGAGATCCGGAGATTCAAAATACCCGTCCAAGATCGAAAACGAAGAACCGACGATAGAACAGATTTCCAAACCTCGTGGCAGTTCTGTTAAGAAGAAAGAATGCTTCCCCCCTACAGATATGGCCAGGAACGATGAAGAGCTTCAGAGATCTAGAACCCCTGCTATCGGCGGAACAAAGACTCTCTCTCAAAGGAGACAAAAAAAGACCACTGCTGGCACCGAGTCTGGAACCCTGTCTCGGCGCTGTCCAATCCCACGCAACTGAGGCTAAATGTAGCTTGTACAGAAGCGGCGAGAGAGTCTAAACGGACCTTTCAGCCCTGGCACGCCAAATCTTGAGCGTATCTGGGAGTTTAAGTCAGTTTCCCTATAGCTTTATAAAATTCGTGGGGAAGGGGGGAAAGCCAAACCTAGTTAAAGCTTAATAGGCAGTACACGAGAGAGAGAGAGAGAGAGAGAGAGAGAGAGAGAGAGAGAAGAAGAAAAAGAGAGAGAGAGAGAGAGAGAGAGAGAGAGAGAGAGAGAGAGAGAGAGAGAGAGAGAGAGAGAAAGAAAAAAGAGAGAGAGAGAGAGTTCAAGTCGTCAGCTCAAGTAAAATTAAGCAAACCGTTCCTTCAAGTCAACGGACAGAGTCGAACCACAATCTTCTCGGTAGATGTGTATTTCGAGGTCAAAGAGTCGATTGAATAAGCTAGGTATGGAAACCAATTGGTTAATCAAGCAGGAATCTTGGACATTGGCAAGGGCAGTTAAATAGAATGGTTTCATCGCTTCGAACGCGAAGTCACCCTCATTGAAAGCTGAGGTTTACTAGTCATCCCCCCACACACCCTCCACTGTAACAGGCGGGACCTCTTCTTTACCCCTCCACTCACCCGCCGCCATTCGTCCAAACGATTCGTGTCTCTAGAAGAAATGTCGCCAGATGTCCATTTTGTTTCACGGGATGCGGGAGACATTTGCATTCTGTTCAGGGTACTTGGGCAAGGATGTGGCATACCCCTCCCTCCCGGGCTGGCCGCTTACGAAGCTGCCGTGGGAGGGTGTGGTCAAGGCGACCATTGGGGGGGGGGGATAACCTGACCAATTACCCACTTATTTAAATGAATTATGGGTCTATCTGACCAATTTTATGATTGGCTGTATTGAGGTGAAGTGGGTCCACCTGACCATGGAATTTTTAATCGGTCAGGTGCACGGACCAGTTACTGATTGCGTCCCACTACTGATTGGGGTGCATACCCCATATTAATATTTAAATCCCTATTCCATTCTGATTCTCTTCCTTTTCCCTCCGTAACCCTTTCAAATCGTATGCGCCCCCCCCCCCCCCTGGCGCACCGATTCCTAATTACTTCCGAATCAGTTCAGAAATCCGACATCATGCCTTCATACAAGGATTCTGTAAGTACAATGGAATCGGTTTAGGATCGATTCAGAACTGATTCAGAATCAGGACGATTACAAGACCTACAAAGAAGGTCTTCTCCAGGGCGGCAAGAACCACCGCATGGAGGATCTTCCTCCCTTCGAGTTCAACGAGGTAAGTGATTCAGAAGCGATTCCACAACGATTCAGAAACAGTTCTGAATCGATTCAGGCTGGCGAAGTCAAGCTCGCCCCTGGCGAACTCTACTGCCGCTGGGGTGGTAGATCCAGCAGCATCACGTGCACCAAGGTAATTCAGAATCAGTTCCGGATCAGTTCAGAACTAATTTCGAATCGATTAGACGGAGCGGTTCTCGAGCGAGTCGAACCTCAAGAACCACATCAAGAAGCACAAGCTCGACGGGGTCCCGGCCAAGGTTAAGAGCCGCAAGTCCGGCGCGAACTCCGTCGAGGAGAACGATGATGCAGCTGGTAAGTGATTCTGAACTGATTCTGTACCGATTCTGAACTAGTTCTAAACTGATTATGAATAGAATTCTACGACCGCATCCACGGCATCGCCATCGGCGCTCGCGATGACAGCGAGCTGCAGACTCCTTCCAAGAAACGGAAGGCGCAGACCCCTCCCCCCCTTCTTGCCGTGCCCACGCGCAAGCGGGGCAACCAAACTGTGGTAAGTGATTCTCAATCGATCCGGAATCCTTTTGGAACCCATTCTGAATCGATTCTGCAACAGATCAACTTCGCCGAAATGCGTCGCGCCGCCGGCTTCCCTGCCAAGGGCAAGTGCACCCACTGCACCACTGCCCGCAATGCCAGTAAGTTTAGAATCAGTCTTGAAGCAGTTCAGAACTAATTACGAATCGATTCAGAATGTCCTCCCGCCCTTCGCGATCAGGAATGTGAGGTCTGGGCCCGCTTTGAGGATGATGAAGAAGATGAGGCCTGAATCAATTCAGGATCGGTTTGGAACCAGTTTGGGACTTCTTTCGGGACCGATTTGGAACCGCTTTAGAATCAATTCTTTATAGATACCCGGGGCGTTCGGTTTTTAAGCTTTTTTTTAAAAAAAGCATTTCTAAATCAATACAGAAATGATTTAGAATCGATTCTCTACCTATCCTATATGCTATCAAAGTCCTAACCTTCTCCGCCGCTCTGCTAACTCTAGTTCCTTTTCTTGTAGTTCAAGCTTCTGTTTTTCAACTAGAAGTTTTCTTGCTTCTAATTCTAATCGCTTTTCTTCTAATTCTAGACTTTGCTTCTGTAAGTCAAAGTCATCTTGTTGTCCCTGTCTGATTTCGTTTCTTAAGTTAGAAATAGATGTTCTTTGGAGAGTATTTGACCTAATAACCCCAGAAGATGAAGCATGGGAAAGACGAGGGGATCGATTCCGAATCGCTTCTGAAAGACTTCGGGATCGATTCGGAATTGAGGATGGACTTCTTGAATTAGTACCCCTTGAGGGACTAGACGTAAAGAGTCGGGTTGATAAAAGCCTTTCAACACGTTCATTATCTAGTTGCTCACGGGATTCCCTCTGGCGTTGGCGTTTAAGTTCTAAAATAATTTAGAAATAATTATTAATAAATATTAAAGTATTTTTAACTTACGTAAACGGCTTGCAGCTGTATTATAACGGCTAATAATAGAAACATCTTTCCAGGAAAGCCGGATTCCTAGTGTTGTAAACACTGTATCCTGCTCTAAAAGATGGCGATCGTATTCTGCACATCTAAGTACTTTTGAATTAGTTCTCAACGCATTCCAAACCAATTCCGAATCAATTCAGAAGGGATTCCAAACTTACTTCTGGATACATGTAAGTAATGGTAAATACCGATTACTCCAAGTATATGAGGCTTCATGTAAAACCTCAACAGTATTTGTATTAGGTATGAATTGACTCCAATCTGATAAGGGGATTTTAGAGCAGTTCTGATTAAGTCCAGCTGCAATTGTTTTTCGGGCTTTATGTTGAGCCCATGCTTTTATTTGAGGTTCAGCTAAGTAAATTAGTTCCCAAGTGATTCTGAAGCGATTCGGAAGCGATATAGAATTGTGGGAATTGCCGGGCATGGTTGTACTGAATCTGTGATGTAATTAGTTCTGAAGTAGTTCGGGATCGATCCCGGATCGATTCAAAAGTAGTTCGTTTACCATTCTCCAAGGCGATTTAATATCCTCCTCATTTAAAGTCCTTATATCAATAACATAAAGGACTCCATTCTCACTTGTTTCTGGATATTCTATAAATGTAGGTAGAAAGATTACTTTTTGAGCAAGTACATGAACATCCCTGAGGCTATTATGCCCAGAACGGGTTGCCTCTGATGAAACAAGTGTTGGAGGTATTTCTGAATCGGTTTCGAGTTGATCCTGAATCGATTTAGAACTAATTCCAAAGTCGTTCTCATATATCCCTACCTCCTCATTTACTGGTAAGCCAGACTGGGCCTGGGCTGGTAGTTGATAGTAAAGATTTAAGTCTTCTTCAGCTTCTGCATCAAGACTAGTAGGTTCTAATAGAGGACTTATTCCCTCTAGGCGAGGGAAGAGATTTTCAATCGATTGAAGAGCCATTGTAAATCGATTCGGAACGGATTTGGAAGCGTTTAAATGTCGTATGTTCTTACAAAAAGTATGTCAAGGGTGAGGTTTCAAACCGCGCTAAGGAATTTCAACCTGACCATAGCTAACTAGCTGACCATGGTCAGCTGATCTCAGGGTAGCCCCACAAATCACAAAATAAGTGGGTAATTGGTCAGGTTATCCCCCCCCCCCAATGGTCGCCTTGACCACACCCTCTGCCGTGGCGCACATCAGGGCCGAGCCACTTCAGATCCGGTTACTAGGCACTGCCACCTCGTGGCTTGTGGAGCCTACAGAAGTCGACCACGCAGTACACACGCACGCCACCGAATTCCGGCTACTTGGGAGCAACATGACACCATTTTCTGGTTCGCAAACAGTCATCTTTATAGCGAGAGGAAAAGGGGGTATCGTCCATTGCTACCTCGTCACATCACGCACATTCCTCCCTATTATCCGCGTTCGACGCAACGCAGTACAGCACTCGGCAGCTCTATCCCTCTCTTACAAGATCAAATTTGGTACCAGTAGGCAAAACAAGCACCCCTCCTCACTGCCAGGCAGATAGACATTCCGGCCGACATAACCCCCGTGCTGTATTAAAACGAAACCTCAAGCCCCGGCCATGCGGGGCGAGGAGAAACGGCCAAAAGCCATGCGTGCGACAATCGTCAGGCGGCGAGCCTGCTAGCCAAAACCAGACATGTGTGCCATCAGTAGCGGGGGGGGTGCTTAGTTGTCGACCCGCGGCGACTGCTGGAAGTCCGTGATGGATTCCAGCATGGCCAGGTTCTTCTCCTGCATGTCACGGTCCATGTTGTGTATCTGGTTCGCGTTGACTCTAGCTCTTTGTAGCTATAAGCTTGTTAGTAACTCTGTCAAAAAAGTAGACGGGGAGCATCAAGCAGGGCGATCCCACCACAGCCAGTGCCTCGGAGGAATGGTCTTCTTCCTCACCTTCCGCGGGCTCATTGGACGCGCCGTTCGCGTCGTCGTCGGCATCGGCGAATCTGCTAGCAGCAAGACCCTTCGGCTTGGCGGTTGCTGCGTTGGCCTGTGGTTGTTAGTGCCAGCTCAATTGTGACTGTGACGCACGTACCTTGACCTCCGCAATCTCAGCATCCTTCACCTTGAGTTGCGCTTGCAACTCCTCGACGCCCTTCTCCTTGTCGGTCAAGGTACTCCTCAGACTCTCAATCTGCTCCTCCAGAGCCCTGCGCTTGGCCTGCTCCTCCTCGACGATCTTGGTCATCGTGTCGTTGAGCTCCTCGTAGTCGGCCTTGTAAGTCTTGAGCTGCTTGTCAGCCTCCAGTTTGGACGCCTCGAGCTCCTTCTGGGCGAGCGCCAGGTCCTCCTTGACATCCTCGACTTCCTTCTTGGCAACAGTGAGGCTGTTTTGGACGATGTGAAGCTCATCCTCGAGACCCTTCTTGACGTTGGCGAGCTGCTCACGAAGACCGTCCGCCACGGAGGTATCGGGAGGCGTGGGCGACTTGTTCTTGACCGCATCCAGAGCTGCCTCAGCCTCAGCGCGAGCCATTTTCTCCAGCACAACAGCCTGGCCAAGCTCACCGATTTCTTGCTCAATCTGAGCCTTCTCGGCCTCGGCCTTGATGGCCGTCTCCTTCGCCGCCTTGAGAGCAGCCTCGAGCTCGGAGGCATCGGCCTTTTGCTTCGCGATCTCTGCGGCAAGGGCTTCGCTCTTGGTCTCGTACTGGTTCGTCAGCTCTGCAACAACCTTCGCGTGAGCCTGCTTCAGTTCATCAAGCTCGGCCTGTGCGCCAGAGGCACTCTGCTGCTTCAGCGCGTCCAGCTGCTCGGCGTGCACAGCGATCAGCTTCTCGACTTCGGCGGAGTGAGTGTCGTCGAGGCTTCGCTTAGCCTCGGCGAGGGCGGCGGCGCTCGACGTCTCGGTCTCCCTAACTCTAGTGAGAGCCTCCTCAAGCTGGACCTTCAGTGTGGCGAGCTCCTCAGAGTGCGCGTTGCCGGCCTCCTTGGCAGCGGCCAGCTCGGTCTGGTGAGCGGCGAACAGCTTCTCCTTGGCATCGGCTAGTTCAGCCTCGTGGGAAGCAGTCAGTTTCTCACGAGCCTCTGCAAGCTCGGCCTCATGGGCAGCTCGCAACTTCTCTGTGGTAGAAGCAAGCTCCTCTTGGTGGGCGGCAATCAGCTTTTCTTTGTCACCAGCGCTCTCAGAGAGGGCCAAGGCCTTCTCCTTCTCGCTGGCAATATCGGCCAACAGCTTTTCCTTCTCACCAGATGTCTCAGCTTTCAGAGCCTCGACAACCTCAGCGTGAGATGCCTTGAGCGACTCAATTTCCTTGGCCAGTCCGGATTCGCTCTCGCTCTTGAGAATCTCAAGCTGCTTGGCGTGACTGTCCTTCAAGCTCTGGAGCTCAGCGAGCTGGGCATCCTTGTCGGCGGAAGCGCCGCTCTTGGCGCCCTCGATCTCCTCGGCGTGGCTAGCGCGAAGGGCATCCAGGGCCTTCTGATGCTCGGCCTCCTTAGCCTCCAATGCGGCCACAGCGGCGGCGAGCTCAGCCTTGGCCGCCTCGAGGGCCTTGGTCTGGCTCTCGGCGGAATCAGCCTGGGATTTTGTAAGATCGCCGTGCTGGGTCTCGAGTGCACTGTGCTTGGAAGTGAGCTCAGTATGCTGAGCCTCGAGCTCATTGTGCTTGGCCTCAAGGTCGTGGAACTTGCGCTTGAAGAAAGCGTCTCCCTTGAGCGACTCAATCTCCTCCTCGTAGTCTTGCGAGACCTGCTTGAGCTCTGCGTCATGCTTCTTGATTTGGGCCGAATGCTCAGCCTTGGCCTTCTCAAGAGCCTCATCCTTGACAGCAATTTCCTCCTTGATGCTGTCAATCTGCTTCTTGAACTCCAGAGCCTCTTCCTGGGCCTGGGCGAGCTCAGCCTGGGTAGCGGCGAGCTTAGACTCAACCTCGGCAACGGTAGCCTGGACAGCAGCCAGCTCGGCCGTCTTAGCATCGAGGTCGGCCTTGGCCTGCTCCGCGGCCTGCTCGGCAGCTTCGAGCTTAGCCTTAAGCTCAGCAATCTCGCCCTCAACGGCGGCGAGCTTAGTCTTGTGAGACTCCAACTCGGCGTTCACCTTGCTCTCGTGGGCGACTTCGAGCTCGTTCTGCGATGATGTGAGTTCATCAATCTTCTTCTGCAGCTCGGTGATGGCATCCTCGTGGCTAGCCTTCATCTTGGCCAGGGATTCTTCCTGGTCGGCAGAGGCAGTCTTGCCCTGGCTGGTCTCCTCGGCATGCTTGGCCTCGAGGGCTTCGATTGCGGCTTGGTGCTGGCCGGTCAAGGACGTCTGCAGCTCTTCGAGCTTGTTGGCATGCTCCTCCATGGCCTTGTGGAGGGCGGACTCGCTTTGCTTCAGTTTCTCCTCGTGCTCGGCTTGGAGGGTCTCGAGGGACTGCTTCAGCGAAGCGAGTTCAATCTCAGCAGCCTCCTTGGCGGCGATTGCCTCCTTGTACTCGCTTTGCTGTTTCTCGAAGTCAGCATCAGTGGCGATAAGATGTTCGTTGGCCTCATCCACCTGGTTCTCCAGCTCGGTTTGCTTAGCTTGCAGATGGGCCACCTGGTCTTGGTGGGCCTTTTGGATATCATCAACCGCGCTCTGCACCTGGGCAGCCTCTTTGTTCGTGGCATCGCCTAGCTGAGCCAACTTTTCATGTGACTGCTGTACTTGTGTCTTGAGTTCAATAAGTTGAGATTCCTTCTCATTCAGCTGCGATTCCTTCTCGGTGAGCTGTGCCTTGAGCTGCTCAATTTCCTTGGTCAAGGCCTCGGAAGCGCCAGAGGAATCCGGTCGGATGGACGGTCTTGAGCTTCTCGTGGCGGTGCTAGAGACGGAGCCGGCGGCAGTCGACAGGCGCTTTTTGGCCTCGGCAACGGCGCCAGTGCCGGTGGTAGCTGATCGAGTGCTAGTCGAGGACGGGCGGGGAGCGGAGCTGATGGAGGACCGCGACCCCGTCGACGAGGGCCTCAAGGCGGACGAGCTGCTCACGGAGCTGGTAGGTTTACGAGCGGCAGCCGTGGCAGCACCGGTGGTGGTGGTCGAAGTCCTCTTCTCCTTGCTTGGCGAGCTGGCGGCGCTGCTGGAGACGGTCGAGGTGCGACGGATGGTCCGCTTGGTCTCATCTTCAGAGGCAGACACACTCGGCCGCGAGCGGTGAGTGGCCGTGGACGAAGTGCTGGGGACCTTGCGAGTGGCGCTGCTCGTCGTGCTGGTGGTGCTGCCAGGAGGACGGGTAGGGGGCTTGCTCAGACCGCCAGCAACGCGGGAAGTCGATGCGGTACCAGCGGGCTTCGCGACGCTCGACGTTGACCCAGCAGGGCGGCGGACGGCCGTTGTAGTTGTTCCCGAGCTCGAGCTGGGCTTCTTCAGGGAGGAAGAGGCCGAAGCGGTGGACTTGGTGCTCGGAGAGCCGGTGTTGGCAGCAGCGGCGGCAGCGGCCTTGGGCGCATCGTCGTGCTGAACGACCTCGAAGCTATCGGCGTCGGACATGGTTGGAGATTATCGTGGGACGGCGAAGAGAACGTGTCGTTGAGCAATTCTGTCGGTGCATGTCAGGTTAGCCAGGAGTTCCGAGAAGAGTTCGGGTAGCTGCAGGAATTGATAGACACTCAGGAGAGCGGGAGCGACGTTATGTCTCACTGGGGGTTAGGCAAGCAAGGGCAAGCTGCATTGACCCTTGAAAGAGAGGAATTTGGATAGGACAAGGGCGGAATTGGGTCGAACTGGCTGGACTTACCTGGCGACGTCGTCGTACGAAGTCTGCTTCTCCTTTTCTATCCTTTGGACACTGGAGCTCCTCTCGCCTTGGGTAGAAGCACCAACAAAACAACTCCAAGGAAACAGGTTTGATAAAGAAAGATACACAGAAGGACACAAAAGTGGCCGTTAAAACTACGAAACTCTGAGCTCTGATCAGTAGCGAGGCTCAGTAGAGTAGAATTGGTATCGAGAGAGAGAGCGAGAGGAAGGTGCGGGATAGAAGGACGAAGAGGTGAGAGGTGTCTAATTAGGTAAGGTACGGACCAGGAGCATATAAAAAAAAAAGTTGCTGAGAATGCGGCGTGGATGGAGACACTGGGGACACACGGACACGGCGTGGACATGTCCAGCTAGGGTGGAAAGGACCCCTTCGGATAAGGTGATGGGTGCATGGGATGTGCGTTAGTATGGGGACAGGTACAGCGGGCAGTCTGCACCAGATGCTGCACTAAATGTGCGGGTGAACTGGCATTAGGCGGCCCTTGCAGCACTGACACCCGACAAGCACAGCGCCGCCCTGATTGTGCGAAGCTCCTCCTCTTTACACCAGAAGGGCCAACAGTGGCAACGCAGCGGCGACAGGGGGGTTCTTGCCCACATAGCAGAAAGATGGGAGTGGATACGAGGCGGTCCGTTCTGGAATATGGAATATGGACACATAGCGGTCATCAGGGACACTGGGGTGGGACATTCTATCCACTGCAACCTCCCATCTCCTCATCATCCTTTTCCCCTAGAGGCTGCTGGGCCAGGACAGCACTTTAGGCAAGACATAGGGTAACCAGCAAGCCCCCGGCAAGGCGATAAGGTGCACCAAACAAACCAAACATTTATCCAGCCAGCTTGAGGAAAGTGCTGACAGCGGCACTCGCTTCAGGAGCTCGGGCAGTGGGACCATCCCAGGCTTGTCATTTGCTGACGAGGGATATTGGATGTCAATTGGCTTTTTGAAATACGTGCTCCATACGTACCGTTCCCCCTACCCTTTTTTGGCTGGCGCCCGGCTCGGTACTCGGTACCTTCCTTCCTCCCCTTACACCTCCACGTTCCAAACATTACCTCGCCTCCAGGTCCCCCCATCGTCCTTCACCTCGGGCCTGGGAAGCGCCTGTTCCATTACATTTATGCATCCATGGAAAACCTGTTTCGATTCGTCGAGATGCCTGGTCGCCAGATGCTCACAGGATCGACGCAGGTATGGCATTGACGACCGCCCAACTCTGATGTAACTGGCGCCGCAACGTATCAAAACTGTCTCTCTGTCTTACGGCAAGCGCTGGGCAATATTGATGGAATGAGATGGAATGGATGGATGCCTTGGAGAGAATGGTTGTGGTCCGTAGTGCTTGTGGAAATCCCCGAAACCGCATACCATCGTCCATCACCCTCCAGTGAAGTAGCTTTTCAGCGGCAAGCCACATAGAGCTATCAAATAAACCACCCTGAAAACCCCTGAGCTAACATGGTTAGCATTTCACGTGTGGCCCCGTTACCGCCTCTCTATCACCTCTTTCTACTCGTGTCAGATCCCCTGCGAGAAGAAGGGGAAAAAACGGCCATGTTACGAATCGCAAAGGGGCACGAGCGACCTGCCAATATACACGGAAATTGTCCTCAGGTAGCCCGAGCCCCCAGCGCTTTTCATCTCATGGCCCCCCTCATCATAGTCATCGGATAAAGGCACGTGTTTATTCAAATTTTTGTGATTTATCGATTTCATCACTTTGGTATTTCATCCTGTCATAACTCCAAGGCACGGTCTAGCTGTCTTCTCCCTTTGGCAATCAGAGCCGCCGAGATGGTTTTGCTGGGTCCCATTACCAGAATTACTAACCAGGGACCATATCGCTGTTTTTGCCTCTCCGCTTCACCCACTAGAACCTTGCTGTCCTCCCACTTTGGACATGTCTTGCATTCAACATCCAGTGTGGTCGCAAATACCACAGGAACTCCTCCACTGCTCGGTGCCCACAGAGCCCAAGGCGCCCAATCGCTGATGCGTTGTCACTGCGTGTCAACGCAAGCCCACTGCGCGATGTGGCACCTCACTGTTGGCCCGCCTCAATGGGACGGCAGCAACCAACTAACCTGCATCGTGGCCAAGGGAGCCCGAACCATACAACTCTTCATCGGAGAATAACAACGAGACGGTGCCTGAATGTTCGTTCCATGCCTAACTTGATCTCCGGGCTTTTCCCCGTTCCATGTGCCTTTTGTCAACTGCTCCCTTACGCCACTCCGGCATGGTATGACTCGCATCGAGATCGTTCGTACTCAAATGATCGCTCGCTGTAAACAAAGAGAGCCATTGTGATCACTGTTTCCTGTTGTCTGAACATGCTGCGTTTTGATTTCAAGCTATGTTATCTAATGAGATCCGCCGCAAATCCTAATCCCCCTATTCTCTCCATGAACTGGTCCCCACAGACGATCGCAAGGTGCCCTAAGCACTTAAGGATAATAGAGCGAGAACGTTGAAGCTTCGGGTTTTATTAACTTCAATCTAACATTACAAAGTTCCACGTCTAATAATCATCATCGGAATCTGTGTCCTCGTCTGGAACCAAGGCACGGTATCTTCGGCTTGCCAAGTCCTCCTCGATGCCACCCTCGCTCTCGGGGTCAACATATCCCTCTCCGCCGAACAAGCTAAGTGCGACAGGAAGGAAGATGAGGGCATGGGTGCCGGCAAAGATGACAAGAGCGAGCCATACACGGAAGTAGTAAATCTCAAAGATCTTGGACCTTGTAAATGCCAAAACGCAAACTCCCAAGAGTTTGGTAACAGTAATACCAGAGAAGACGGAGCTGCCGACGTTGACAAGGGCCGTCCATGCACGTGCATCACGTCCGCGGAAGCGGTTCTTAGCCCGTTCCATAACGGTACGGGATGGGAACATGAAAGCACGAGCAATGTGTGCACAGAACTCGACACCAATGCCCACGCAAATAATCAAGTTGACGAGTGAGACAGCGTTGAGCGACACCCCGAACACTGCCATAGCGCCAATAATGTCGACAACTGTCATAACAACAGTGACGGTAACCACAAGAGCCGTGAGAAGGGACCCCAAAAGGACAGAAGAGATGACAAAGATAATAGCCACCGCCGATCCAAGAAGAGTGCCCGTCAGCGAGACGATGCTGGCATATTGGTCGAAGAAAATATAGAAGAGACTGTAAGGGAAGACGTCAACGCCGGTCTGGCGCGTGATATCAGATGCGATTCTCCGAGCGGCTGACATGGCGTTGATAAAATCGTCCTGGCTACGCAGGGGGGTGTGCATGGTTCTGAAATGACTGGCTGGGATGGTGTCTCTCTCGGCGTCAACCACCACAGCTTGACCGTATGAGGCCTGACCACCCAGCGGGCAATCATCATTGGTAGGAGCCTTTATGAACTTTTCAAGATAGCGAATGAACTCGCCATCTTGAGGCATGCCGGAAAGAGTGATATTCCACGGCGGATTACGGTCAGCAAAGCACGCCTTGCCATTCTCCATGCAGCACGAATCACCAAGATCGGGGTTGAGCCAAAGGAAGTAGTCATCAATCCAGCTGGCTGTAGGCGAAGAAATGTAAGAGACTTCCGGTCGCTTTCTCTCGCCTTCGAGGATGTTGGTGAGCGAAAATTGGTCGCAGGTTGTGAACCTGGCGCAGATCTCCCGTTGATGGTTTCGCTCAGTGGCGTTGAACTCTCTTGTAACAAAGTACACAGGCGGGCCAGTTTCCAAATAGGCATAGAGATCGTTGAAGTAGGGGATGAGATAGGAGCCGTCTGGGATGGCGACGCGCTGGTCAAGACCAAGCTGGACCTCAGGAATCAAAGCAATTCCGGCAGCAAAAATCCCAAGGAAAACGGCAATGATGATGGCCTTGGCTTGCCGGGCAAGAATGGCTGGGGCGTAGGTGCGGCGGATAAACTGCTGAAGGAGGCTCTCCTCGGGCACCTCGTAGAACCTGGCATTAGCGTTTCCGTTACCGCCGCTGAGGTGTACGCGAGCGGCCTTGACTTGAATGCAAGGGATACAGTCGGCTCGATGGTCCTCGACGCGTATTTGGTTCATGGCGAGGAAAGATACAAATAGTGTAATCTGGAGAATAGCATTGATGAAGACGGCTCCGGCGGCGTAAGCAGCAAAGTTACGAACTGCGGGCATGCCAACGAAGGTTCCGAGGGCAAACGCAACAGTTTCGGTTAAAGCAGAGAAGAGGATGGACGGCCCCATGCGGCCCAGTGCTTTGGCAATCCGCTCTTCGACCATTTCGTCGGGGTGGCTAACGTTGACTCGCTCGAACTCGTGAACAATCAGGAAAATATTGTCCACACCGACAGCTAGAACGATGAAAGGAATAACTTCAGCAATGATGAGTGTGGCTTTGAGGCCTGCCCAAGAGAAGAGGCCGATGGAGGCGCTGATAGACATCAGCACGATCAAGATGCCAACAACACCGAGGCTGAACTTTGACTGAACCAGAGCAACTGCAGGGTTTCTCATCATATCACGAACCGACAGTGTAGTAGAACCAAGGGCCAGGGAGGCGTAGATGAACATGATGATGTAGCTGATAATCACAATCTTGGCATCGGTGTTGGTGGACTTGTTGAGTTCTTGTTCCAAACTGGCCTCCGTAGAGAACGACAGTCGAAGTCCGCGAGCCTTGGCCTCATCTTGAGCGACGAGGAGGCGGTCACGCAAAGCGTTTTCCCAATCCATGGCACGCTCCACAGCAGGGCTGCCTTCGGCTGCATTGCTGACAACCCAGGTCACCGTGATAGCGGTGGCATCAACGGGGTCCTCATCGTAGCCACCAAGAATCATGTTTGGCTCAATGGGTTGACCAAAATCAGGGCGACACTCGACAGGCGACTTTGCACACTGCCTTAGTTGATCTTGCCAGTTGTTGCGTCCCACAAGCGAGGGCTCATTCTCAAAGTAGGCGGCCACAGATTGTACAACACATGCAGAGCCGGTGGGCTTCAAGCAAATGTCATTAAGAGTGGCACCGTATTTAGAGCCCTTGAGTTGCTTGACGCTCTTTTCAACCTCCATCCACCAGAGAAGAGTGTCGTAGCTAAGGACAGGAGCCGGGCCACCTGGTTGTTGGTCGTTGACCAAGAACACCTTCTCAGCACGATAAAAAGGACCAAACTGTTCATCAAAGAAGGCCTTCTCCTTGGCGGCAGGTGAGGTAGGACTGACCCAAAGGCGGGCAGGGTCCCGTTCAAGATCGAATCTGACCCAGCCAGCACTGAGGATAATCACAACAATAAGAGTGACACCAATAGTAATTCCTTGGTATCGTGCCGCCGCATGTCCGAGCTTGCTAAAGGCCGCGTCACACCACGTGTTGATCTTGTAGTATCGCTGAGGCCTGTCGAACATCGCACCATTCTGGACCAGGTCGCCCTCGTCTTCGTCGTCACTGGGAGACGCGTCTTGAAGAAGCCTAAGCCGCTCGCTTTCCCTCCTGGCACGGCGTCTCCAGTAAATGTGTCCACCGACAGCAGCGATGGCGGAGAACAACAAAATGCTGTAGGTGAAAATGGCCGCAAAAGAAAGGCAGGGCAGGACGCCAACATGACACTGACCCGGCTTCGAGACAGCTGGAAGCTCCGGGCAGACTTCAGGGCAGTCAACACAAGCACAGCGGTAGTTGGGGTCCTCGTCGTTGCACTTCTTCGGCTTCATTTCTCGAGGGGCCATACCGGGCTCACTGTATTCAGTAGGGAAATTGATCTGGAATGGTGATCCGATAACCTTTTCGTCTCCTAAGAACTTGAGGAGCTGAGTGTAGTTCTTAGCACCACCTCCAATGAAGTCAATCGCCTTGGAGTTGGACGGTCCAAATTTGACCTCCTTGCAACTGTCGAAGAACCCTGTTCCGTATTCTTTAGAAATAAGCTGGTCCAGTTCGGTCACCATTTCCTTCTTATTTTTAACCGCCGTCTTAGTGACATTTAGAAACAATGACTGATCCGGAGAACATGTAAAGGTACAAAACATGTTGAAGAAGTTGTCCTTGCAGGCGGGGCAGGAGGAGATAATTTGATTCGGAGTACCGAGCTCGGAGGCGAGAGATTTGACCTGCACATGTCAACAATGGTTTCCAAAGCTCCTTCAGGGAGTAGTTTTACCTGGTCGGCATCACAGCAGACTGGTCCGGAATTCCATTTCGCACCGCAGAGGTCGACAATCTGTTGTCGGAGCTTCTCGTCGGGGTCCTCGGCCAGCCCGTTATCGACACAGGGCAACTGCTTGCCAAAGAAACTCTTGGAGCCACAGTGCCCTCGAATTGCGCATCGTCCGGCTTCATGTTTAGGAGTATAGGGCTCCGCACTGGTGAGCCCAGCCAGCAGCAGTACTCCGCTGGCTCCGAGGAGCTTCCACAGTGCCATGGCTGGTGTGTTGCCGCGCAGCGGCAATATTTGGATTATTATTCGACGGGTAATTCTTGAAATGAACACGAGACGAAGAAGAATGTCAACAAGAGTAATGGCACCGTCAATTAAGCAAACAACTGACGACGGCGATGAAGATTTGGGGTTGGGGGAATGGTGACGGAGGGAGTGTAGGAAGCTTCCTGGAAGCTCCGGTAAAGTTAGTTGGTGGTCTGGTTGTCAGCCCAGGCGCACTTGCGACACTGAGAAACTGCCGCCCGCGTGCCTGGTCCTGCGTCATCCTCCGCACTGATTGCCCACCTGCCACGGGCCTGCACAGAAGTGGAGACCTCCGCTTCAGCATTCCATTGGTGGTCCTCACACCAGCCACCGAAACGTCCTTGCCCAGCAAGTCAATGGCGTCACGATGATTATCACGTGGCACATTGATGGACCTGCCTAATGGGGAGTAGATAGCTTGATCTTATGCTGTCCGTTTCATCTTGCTTCTCGGACTAAGAAGTAGACCCCCAAAACGAGGGCAAAAGTAGTATTCATCAAAATGTAATGCTCGATCCTTTTCAAATAGCCATAATAAGACCAGTGTGAGTATGACAAAATGAAATCCAGTTGATATCGACGAGCTTATTAGTGTGAGATCTCTCAATGATGAATCTGTAACTGTTTTGACAATAACCTGTAAGGAATCCGTTTGTAACAGTTGAATATAGGAGTTAGTTTGTCGCATAAGGAAAGGTCGGCTTTATTTGGAAACCTTGTACCCTCCCCTGACGCAAATTCCAATAGCCACTCCGGAGCACTGTATGTCACACTTTCATACGAGTGTCATGGTAGACCCTACCAACACAGTTGATGGTGATGGAACCCAATACAATTTCTTGAGCTTCCTGTACAAGCAAAACGGGCTTAACTAAACTGTCACTGAGTGAGGTAGATCTTGTTTAAAAATGCCCAAGAGGACTAGAATAAGCATAATTATACCGCATTTGCTGTGGTGAGACTGATTGGACTGGTGGTTGATACGCTGGAACTCTCGTTGTGTAACAATGGTCAACGTGTACAGATGTGATACAATGAGCTGAGACCGAATGTCTAGCTTTTGCTGTCAGTAGCGTCTTAGTACTTATGATCAATTCTGTTTCCAATTATTATGATTTCAATATGATCTACGGTATATACTTGGTCAACCGTTTGTGAGGCCTTTTCAAGAGCAACCAAGTCAGTTGGTACTCGGCTCACGCAACATCGACTGACCTAAGACCCCATCAAAATTGGTCAGACTCAGGTTCGGGGCCGACTACATTTGCAAGTAACATACAGGATGGTGGACAGAATGAGACTTTCTTGATGGGTACATATTTAGCGTAGACACCAGTGTATAAGCCGGCAGACATCGTCTTCAAACCCAGTACGGGATGCTATACTGAAGTTTGATTACATGGACCTTACATTCACTGTTTTCAGGTCCTCAAATTGCCCCAGTGGAAAGACTGAGAAGCCACCACTAAGGCTGTTAGGAGGCGTTCAAGAGTGTAAGATACCCCACCCTGATGTAATAAATAGTGATAGGCGGTAATGGCGTACTACACCACCCGACACTACCTGCGAAGTTTACACGATGGTAACACGTTTGTAAATTTAGATAGACTTGGCTAAGCCATTTGAAGCCAGGATGAACAAGAGGTAGCTGAAAAGCGGGTGCTGCAGTCTTGCCATGCTGGTATAGCTGGCCGCTCCGGCCCGGGATTGACGACCAGCCTGCAGAGTGGGATGGCAAGGATAATTCACATTATTAAGAAGTTTGTCAATCTGCATTCATTGATTCCATGGAAGAAAGGGGTACGCATAGTAAAAACGGAGGGGAGTTAGAAGAGCTCATACGCCAATCGTCCATATGCCTGGTTGCTCTGTTAAGATGATTTCGCAAAATCCAACCGTGAGCCAAACCAAGAGAGAATAAAAAAACAAGCGCAATAAATATCTCCCACAAGAGGCATCCTGAACTGTCTACTTCTCCTCATCCGTCTTCTCCCACCTGAGAATCTTCGGCCCGAAGTTATACCACCCATAACCTTCGATGGTAGCAAGCACGCAGAACCCCGACATCAGCCAAAACCTGCCCCTGGGGCTCGATGTGACATGTCGGATGCTGAATGCCGGAATCTCAATGTCCTCAGGCTTGTTGCCGTTGGTGTTCTTCCTGGGTCCAGCGGTAGCGGAACGGGAATGAGATGTAGTGGAGAGGGCAGAACGCTGGAGCGGGCTCCGGAGAGCCGTATGTGTGATGCGTGCTGCCGATATTGCGGACATAGTTGGATGTATTGATCTGAATGAAGACGAAATATGATTAACTGGGTGCTTCGTATCGCTTGGAAGGCTGGAATTTTAACTGCTGTGATGATTGTGCTTATTTTATTTTTCTACACACTTCATCACGCTGGGGCTGCCTTATCTATGTTGCCAATACTTGTGACATAGGCACCCTTAGTTTCGAATTTACGAAGGATGCGCCAAGCGTTATCATTAGGCGGCATGGTTGAGAGTTAAGAAGTCACCGAGCCGGATCAACCCGGGGAATTGTGTGGGGCCGGATGCCACCCGGAGGTTATCGGGTCAGACTGCGCCTTCTGCCCAATACTGAACTCGTCCTAAGAACTTCCAATTGCACTTTTGGGCATCATGTATGACACAGCATATATTCCCTGCCTGTGCATCTTATATTTACGCAAGTTCATTGCGTGCACCCAAAAAGAAGAAAAGTTGTAACGCCCCAAAGCCTATTCCAATAAATAATGCCACCTCCCATCATGATCTCTTAATCGTAAGCGGTTTAAATGGCTTTCTCAACCGATCTATAGGTGCAATCCCTCCCTCCTTCTTTAACGCCGCTGGTCTCGTGAACCCCCTGAATCCATTTGTTGTAGTTGTTGCATGCAAACAGCTCGCCGGTCGTTCCCGAATAGGTGGCGGCTGGTCTTTGTCCTCGTTTTCCTTTTCAGGAGATATTGGCTTCGGTGGAGAACTTGAGAAATTGGTGTAGTGCTTCTTGGGTCCTGCATCGCCACCGAAAGTCGATTTAAACGGCTTGACAGGCATTCTGCTAGCGCCTAACCTGTGACCGGCAAGACCAGGTTCAATGGCTGTGACCGGTCGTTGGGCATGGTGCAGGTTTGGCAACTCGGGAAGCTCCTGAAGAGCCTGCCGGGAAGGAGCTGGCATGCTGCTAATATCTGATAGTTCAGATTTTGACCTTTTGACGAACCCCAAGAGGCTCTGCTGATCGGCAGGCCGCTTGGTGGTCCCTCTTCTAGGACCTGCAGACTTTTGAGGGGCGGCATTGCGCTCCTGGCCTTGGGCCGACGCTGCCATTTCTTTTGCAGCTGCCAATATCGCTGACTGAGCTGCAGTAGCGGTGGTGAAACCAGGCAAAGAAGACATCGTGAATGACGACGCAGCATCCATGGTCGTGGATGAATGCCATGATGTTGCCGTTTGGGAGTCATCCTCCGAAGCTGACACCATATGCGGCTTAGAACGCCGTTGCAATTGCCGACCCTTGCCATTCTCACCTTCTCCGAAAGAATCTTCTGGATCTTCAGGGTACAGATTGTCTTCAGGTCTTTCCATGAGCGGCAATTCACTGTAGACCTTGTTCTGCGTCGGAATGCTAGATTCTCGTCCGAGTATCCGACCAATCTCTTGCAAGATTCCAGGTTCGAAAGAAGGGCCACGTTTTCTAAAATATGGGTGAATTTCCGACGGAATGAATGGCGACACTTCGGTACGCTCGCCTCCGTTACCTCCATTCTGCGAGCTGTACATCGGACAGCTGAGGTAGAGAAGAGATTTCGCCCTCGTCATGGCAACATACAACAACCGGCGTTCTTCATCATGGTCCTCGGATCTCATGTGAGGAATGGACCCGTTATACACGGCGGGGACAAAAACAACCGGCCATTCGAGTCCTTTGGCAGCATGGATTGTTGATATTGTTACCAGAGGCTTATCCTTGGTATCACCCTTTTGCGCATCCGATGCCAGCGAAACATTTGCTAGAAACCGACCAAGAGCGTCATTCTCCTGCATTTGCGGAACCCCATCTATTTCTGGAAGGCGATCCTCATCCGCTGTCGCGTTCAGGTCTTTCATGAAGTCTCCTGCCAAGTTGATGAATTCTTGGACATTGGCCCACCTCGCCTCATGATCTTCCGGGTAGTTATCTTGGAGGTATTTTTGAAAACCCAGCTGCGAAAGGAGATTTTCAATCAGTTCCACCAGGTGGTAATAGGGGCTCCCGGTGGGCGGCTCTTCCATCTTTCTCCTGATGCCAGAGACCAGCCTAAGTAGTTCTCCGCTAATTTTCTGTTCCATGGCTTTTTTGATGTTAGTTTTGGCGATTCTGTCTCCCCGGCAGTGTTTGTTAAGCAGGGCCCAGAGGCTCTGCTTGCTAATTTCTGACTCTTCCAGAAGAGCCTTGATGGTGGTCTCTCCAATACCCCGGCGAGGGACGTTAATGATGCGTGCTACTGCGTCGTTGTTGTCTGGTTGATAAATGACACGCAGATAATCAAGAATCACCTTGACCTCAGCGCGGTCGTAAAACTTGAATCCGCCAACCATTCGGTATGCAATACCTGCCTTGCCGAGGGCCGATTCAATGTGCCTGGAAAGGGAGGCCGATCGCAGGAGAATTGCCACATCATCATGGTTCAGCATCCTGCCCGCCATAAGCAGCACTCTTTTGACCTCGGAAACCATCCATTCAGCCTCGGCCGCGGAAGATTTCAGTCGACGAAGAACCGGCCTTGTGCCTTTGTTGTGAATGGGTAACAGCACTTTTTGGTAACGTCGCTTGTCCTGCTGAATGACCTTCAATGACACATCCAAAATAGCTTGCGAGGAACGATAGTTTTCTTCGAGAGAAATCTCATCGGTGTCGGGGTAGTCCCTGAGAAAACGATACAGGTTTTTAATCTCGGCCGATCTCCATCCATAAATGCTTTGGTCTGGGTCCCCCACAATGGTGATGCGCTCCCGTGCCTGTGCGAACAGCTTCATGAGCTCGTACTGAATGCCGTTCGTGTCTTGATACTCGTCGATAAGCACGGCTTGGACATTGGCCACACAAGAAGGATGCACGCGCATCAGCTCAACACATCGCGTTAACAAATCATCGTAATCGAGCAAATTCGATCGTTCGAGATGGCTCTGATACTCCTGATAACAGGTCTGCAAATCGCGGCTCTCGGGCAACTCTTTACCGTTAGGTTTTGGTGTAGGCTGAGCGTTGCCCTTGGCCTTTTTCTTGCTGATCCATGATCTTGCCACTGGGGGGTCCACGGCTAGCTGCAAGCGTTTGCATATCCTCTGGATGATAGACCTGGAGTCTGAGTCGTCTGCGATTCCGAACTTCTCGTCAAGTCCGATTTTCTTGCCGTAAGCAGCCAGATACCGACGAGCTATGCTGTGAAATGTGCCGAGAATAACTCTCTTCCCCTGGTCATCTCCTAGGGCTTTGCCGATGCGCTCCTTCATCTCCCTCGCGGCCTTGACGGTGAATGTGGCGACGATGATGTCTTTTGGCGCGAGCCCAACGTTATCAACCAGCCATACAACTCGAGAACTCAGCGTATGTGTTTTTCCGCTGCCAGGCCCGGCGAGGATGGCAACCGTAGCCGCCTTTGACGTGACGGCTCTGCATTGTGCAGGGTTGAGGGTAGCCAGAATGGATTCAGCCGGGCCGGGGGCCGAACTTGAAGAGGTCATCTTGTAGTGCGATCATGGGAGACGACGGGAAAAGTATTGTACCATAGATAAGGTAAAGCAGCGCGGTGAGCTGCAAGGACTTGGCTCCGAAATCGTGATGTCTACGAACGCGTCTGGCCACACGGGAGCCACAACACCCCGTGGATCCTGGCACGTTGTCACGTGCACCTAGAAGCTTGCAAGATCCCTCGCCACGCACGTGCCAGCATTGACCTTCCGTTGCCATTCACTAGCTGACAACGCCAAAAATGGATAGACCGGCGCAAATGAGCGCCGGCTCCCCCCCCCCCCCCCCCCCCCATCACAGTGCCGCAGCCACTAACACAACTAATCTGATTACCAGGCTACTGGGCAGTTAGTATAGACAATTCAGTTTGTCCTCAGCACATGTCATGCGTTTGAGAATCAAAGAACCTTTTGTCAAAAGTCTACTTTCAACTTACTACAAGCTTGTCCGAGTCCGACGCCATCGTCAAATGTCTATCGGTCGAGCCACCACATCGCCTTCGCCCGCCCAGACTGTCGTTCGTGGCGCTGATTCGACGAGGTCTGTTTCGTTTCCTCAACTAAGAATATCATCCAGCCGTTCCCACCCTGCCACCGGTCTTGGAGGGTATGAAAAACGCTCAATCGGGCATGGAGATAAGCATCGCTCGGGTAAAGTCTGTTTTTGCTTTGATGACTCGCGGGGAGAGCCTTTTCCGCCGCAAGCGACACGGACCCTCACAAAGTCTTTTTTCCTCTTCACATTCGTGACACGCAGTTCAACGGGGCAGATGGAAGTCAACGTCTCATCGGCCCCCAGCCAGAGAAACTGTCACAACCCTATCACCGCTGCTTTCACGTTCGACAAAGTTGCGATCATCACGCTTTAATGCTGAGCACAATGTGAAGTCACATTGGGCAGAGTTCCCATTCGAGGAGGCCTGTGATGCGATGCCGTAGAAGGTAAGGTCTTCGCAATATGTCATGGCCTATTGCAGCATCGCATGCGGTCAGAGAAATAAGTGATGGGTCGAAGCAGGGATGGGCGCCGCCGGAACTGCTCACAAGTCAGAACACAAGGCGAGAAGCGAGGGCAACGACCGACAGCTGACCCGGGAACGCTCGTCTTTTCACTCCTGAGAACACTGTTCGACATTGTGAGTGGACGAGGGGCCTGGGGCCTCGCCGGCATGGCATTGCCCTGCAGCGACGAATTGAGTTGACAGAGTCGGTTCGGGTGTGGCACGGCGCGGGGTTGGATGTGACGGAGCAGCCCAATCACCACCCTAGCGGCCCTCCTCGGCGCTTACGGCCCCTGTCATCACGTCGATCTGTCCAACCACATCTTGGGAAGCCCTTGGGAAGCCCTTGGTACTCCCGCCTCCCTCTGCAGACGACATTAATAGCCACGGGCCATTTTGGGCGCTACTGCATAGTATCTCGTCGTCGCCCTCATGCAAGTGCGACCGCTTCATAGACTCGTTCCTGGGGGCTTCAGCAAGTCAGATTCGAGAGCAGCCAGCCAGCGCCAATCTCGACGCACTGCCGAACCTCACCAGCCGCTATATACCCTTTGTACGCCGCATATCCGAGCCTTTCCATGTAACTTCTCCATCACAATGTGTTTCGGACCCTCCTTCAGGAGGTAAGATCATCAAAGCTGGATTTGACTTTTAAAGACTTCCGGTGTCCCTCACCACCATGAAACCCGTCCAAGCCCCAACCCATAACTATCGTCTTCTTTTCTTGACCTTCGTTCATACCTTCTTTTTCTGCAGCCCAACACATGCAGTACCATCTGTCCATGAGTCTCGCAACAACAACCCTTTAAACATCAATTGGGATCCCGCCCCAGCACCCGAGGACGGTCCGCCCGCATCTGCAAACGCTTTGAGAGATCCTGCTTACCTGCCCTACCAAATTGGTGCAATCGTCGGTTCATACGGCGTGTCATTGGTGCTGGTCGCCGTTTTGTTGCTCATACTCTCAAGAAGACGTCGCGAGGCCCTCTCCGCAGGTGACAACGAAGTCGACTTCGACGAACCTAAGTCGTCACCGAGACTTACAATAGAGGTGCCGAATTCGCCCAGAAGCATTCCGCGAAGCCCCGTCCGCAACTTTTCATACCCTTCTCCAGAGGACTACCAGACCCCCGAATATCCCTCTCCTCAGACGCCTTACGTGGCCCCAACGCCCACGTCAACGCTGCACGCACCAGGGACAGACTTTTCCGTGGATCAGAGAGTCGTCGCAAAGGACAAGAAAATGGCGCAGACGCAGCTTGAGGAGATGTACAAGTACGTGATGGAGCAGGAGGAGGCTAAAGCGCAAGGCATCACGCTGCAGGGCTCGCCGGTACTTTCGAGCAATGCGCAGTTCCCGCCGCCGAACAACGCCAACTTTGGCAAGCCGACGCTCAAGAAGGAAAGGCACAAGCCGGCCAACTTGAACCTGTCAGAAGACAAGCCGGAGAAGCAGTCGCGAGCCTCGTCCATCTTTTCGGCTCTGCGTTCCCCCAAGAAGAACAAGCATGTCAAGGGTATCAGCATATCATCGCCCATCATGACCCCCATGACAGGAACTTTCCCAAGGCAGGAGTCGCAGGAGATGAACGCTATCCCACCGCGGCAATATGCGCCACCGCCGCCACCGCCGATCCCCACAGACCAGATTCCGTACGGGTTCAATCAGCAAAACGGCCAGGTTTCTCCCATCACCCCGGATCACTCGCCGGAGAGCACGCAGAGTATTGATGAGCGGATCGGAGGGCAGATCCCTATCGGCCACGTGCGGAAGCCTTCTGCAGCCCCATCTGGCTACGCCGTCTCGGAAGTGGATCCCAACTCGGCCACTACGGAAAGGTCAACGGCCCCGCTCATCGGTCTCCCGCAGTCTCCCAAGCCCGGTGCCCGCTTCCCCACCTTGCCCGCCTCTCCCAAGCCCGGTGCTACATTCCCCTCATCACCTCAGCCGGGGGCCACATTCCGATCCAAGGCTCCCTCAGCCGTCCGCACTGGCGGTGCGCTACCCCTGCGTGCGTACGAGCCGGCCCTCAGCTCGCCATCCATGACATCGCAGACCACCAAGCAAACCGTGTTTACGCGCACGGGACCGCTGTCGCCGTCGGGAGCGCGCACGCCGGCGACTGGCATGGCAGTGCCGTACTCACCGTACCAGCCGTTCACGCCTTGCGTGCCGATGACCCCATCGCTGGTGACCAAGGCAGACCGCAAGAGGATGAAGAGGCTGGAACCCAAGACACCGACTTTGGAGATGGTCAAGAGTGACGACGACATTTGGTGAGGCAGGGGAGAGAAAGTTAGAAAAAGGAAATACCATATAGACAGTGGACAGCAAAGGGCGACCCGGGTAATGTGACTACGATACGTTTTTTTTCTCTCTTTGGAGTGAGGGATGTTTTTCAGCTTTGTCTCCTTCTGGATTTTCCTTTGACCTTTGCCGCCTATGTGTATGCATACCATGTACCGTGTACCGCGTACCACATACCACACACACGCACACGGAATCCCATGCCACACAACAGACGACTGGAAAGATGGGTGGAAAGGCGGAGTCAGAAGAAGGGATCAGAGTTCATGGCCAGAGTCAGGGAAAGCAGGAGGATAAGGATAATGGCATGCTTCTGGAACCGTGATCTAGCATCTAGGTATTTAATAAGGTTTTTGCAATCTTCACCCAGGGTTCGTGCCATGTGTGTCGAGGACGAATAAGCGTTTCAAATGCGGACCAAACGAGAATGAGGGTGTCTCGCATCCTCGCATGTCGCTATGCTGATCGGCAGGGGTACGGCGAGGTTAACAGACAGAAGAGTGTTTTGGGCGGAAGGCGCACCGTAAGAAAAGCCGGGGTGCGTTAGCGGGCATGTCAGGGCCCCCGCGGAGGGGATGCTGGACTGTGTACCGTGGCAGGTTGGGTTGCAGTCATGCCCCCAATGTGAGACAGATGCGAGGCGGGCGTAGCTGATTAGAAGAGAGCGGATGAAGGTTGGACGGACGCAAGGAAGGGAAGGAGAAAAAAAAAAAAACATGGTTGGAACGAGGCACCAAGAGGACCAAGCACACAAAGAGCAGCGCCAGGCCAGAGCGAGATGATCCGGAGAGTAGAGCAAAAAAAAAAGAAGGGGAAAAAAAAACACGGGATGGGCGGGCCAGACATGCAACGAGGCCCCGACACCAGGGAGAGACGATAGAACAAGCCACTGGCGGAGATGTGGTTCCTGAGATTGGCAGGATAGGCTGGAACTAACAGTGGCCCATGGCCGTTTTCAGCGGCCGTAGCACTATGAAAACGTGTATTTTTTGTTTTGTTCTAGGGAGGCTTATTCGATGGAGGTCTAGCGAACCGACCCAACGCTACGGAGAGCGCCGGTGGAGGTGGAGAAGACGGGTTGGGACGTCAGGCAGTTTGGATAGAGAGACACGGATACTGTCCGGGTACTTTTTTTTCCTTTTTTCTTTTTTCTCCTTCCATTACAGGTTCGTCGTTGACGAAGAGGGAGAGAGAGGGAGGAGGGAGCCCTGCAGCAAGTGAGCATAATAGCACTAGTGCACGTGTGTACACTGGACCTGTAAAGCTGGCGGATAGACTGTGCTTGGGCTGGGAGCGTTCAGCGCAACGCCCCTCCTTGAGCGTGTTGTAATAGGCCAGTTCCAGTGGCTTTCTTGGCTCAGTGGCGTATTTTGTCGTGGTGGAGCATTGAAAATGAAGATGAAGCAGGGCAGTTTCTGCTGTTGCTCCTCCTCCCCCATCCCCCCCGGTCGGGCGCCGGGCACTGTATGGAACAACACTATCATAGTAGGGGCTAAAGATCAAATGTACCATCACAGCAATTTTCATATGAGAAACTACTTTCTCCTGGTGGACCGCGCTCAAGGCGACGGCAAGGACGGGGGGGAAAGGCACTCGGCCCATTATCAGCTGCACTTTCCCATTTATCGTACGATCTGCCTCCATTTTCTTTCCCTCTCTCTCAATTCTTGCTCTCCTTCCTCTCCTCCCACCCAAGTCCCTGCCTGCCCTTTCTTTCGCGATCTTAGCATTCCAGCGCTCTCCATCCGTGTGTGCCTGATTATCCTACTGCGCAAATCAACCCCAAGCAAGCACCATATTTCGTGCATTCTGCATCCCGACTCTGTGCTGCTGACCCCCCCGGTTGCAGTGCCGACAAACGCCCCCCTCTCCCCCCCAATCCTAAGCACTGAACACCGCCAACCGGGCCAGCGTCATACGACTTCGAACTGTTCATCTGGGTCTCCCTCCCGGCTGACACCACTTCTCAATCCCCATCCATCCATCGCCTCTTGCCGACAGTCGTACGACCAGACTACAATCCCGCTGCGACCACGCCGCTGTCTGCCGTCAATTTCTCACGTTCCGCACCTGTCCGTAATCTGGCCCCTGGGGCCCCTTTCGACCGATCCATCGCGACCAACCGGCCACTCACGTCAAGTCCTTGCAGTCGCCGGGACCTGGCCCCCCATTTTCCAGTCCTGAGAGGGCCGTTCCGACCTTCGATGAATTGAGCATCAGGCCATAGTTGCATATACACCGCTTTGCAACATGGCCGACCAGGATCCGAACGCCTTATTTGGGCTCGACGAGTCTAACCTCGGCGTGGCGCCGTCTTTCCTTGACGACTCGGACGGCCAGAACGTCAAATCTAACTCCAACGGAGCCTCCAACATCGCCAGCGACAATCAGTCCTTCTATGACGCCAATTGGGGCTTTCAGGACACACCCCCGTACGACTCCTACAACATCGCTGCCACTACCGCAGCCGGCGCCACTCCTCTATTCCAGACTTCCGCACCCTGGGACCTCTCTCCCAACCAGCAGCAGCACCAGCAGCAACGACACCAGCACGGCCTCCCCAACGTAACTGCAGGCCTTGATCAGACCATCGTAGCCCAGGCCGGCTTCTATGCCACCACCGCCCCCTCCAACCATCACCAACGAGGAGGCCAACTCCATACCCTCCCTCAAGAGACCCTGAGTCTCCTTACCCCCGCCCAGCAGGAAAAGCTGCGAAATATCGCCATGCCCGCCCACCTCCAGTACCAATCACCCAAGAGCGAGCCGAGCCCCGGATCTGCCACCAGCGACCACAAGGCAGCAGGACTGTCCTCTCCCGATGCCCAGGATCTATCCAGCAAGGCCAGCAGGAAGCGCAAGTCGTCCGCCGAAGTCGACGAAGATGAGGACGAGGACGACGAGAACCAGCCCATCAAGAAGACGGCGCATAACATGATCGAAAAGAGGTATCGCACCAACTTGAACGACAAGATTGCCGCCCTTCGAGATAGTGTCCCTAGTTTGAGGATCATGTCCAAGAGTGCCAGGGGAGAGGATACGACCGAGGATCGCGAAGAATTGCACGGCTTGACGCCTGCCCACAAGTTGAACAAGGCTACGGTGAGTTGCGTTGCCCACGGTTAATCAGCAGGGCAGTACTGACAGTCGCAGGTCTTGAGCAAGGCGACCGAATACATTCGCCACCTCGAAAAGCGAAACAACAGACTGCTGGACGAGAACAATGCCATGCAAAATAGGATCGCAGCTTTTGAGAAGCTCTTTATGGCCGGCGCAATGAATGGCGCCATGAGCCCGCTCCAGCAGCCACCTACCCCGATGCAGTACCCTCAGGATCAGTACATCAACACCCCCATCGGAACGCCTCGAGGCGAGCCGACTCAGGGAATTATCCCCGTTCCCGAGGATATGAAGCGCATTATTTCCGCCCAGATGGCCGCCGGCCAGCCATACCCCGTGCCGCAGCAAGCCTACCGCGGAAACCCCGCTCTGATGCGACAGCAACAGATCCAGCAACAGCAGCAGATGCAGCAGCAGGGCCGCTGGGGCAACACAGGTCCCTACTTTGGCAAGCTGATGGTCGGCTCGCTCGCCGGTCTAATGATTATCGAGGCTGTGCGCGAGAACGAGCAGAGCAACGAGTCTCCCGAGGGCCGTGGTCTCTTCGCCCTTCCTGTGCAACTCCTCAGCTATCTTGGGTCGAATTCGCACATGCATGTTGGCGGGTACTACATTTCGCCCGCTCAGATCATTTCGCATCTCAAGTTTTTGCTCTTCCTCGGTACATTTTTGTGGGTCTTTGTGCCCTCCCTATTTGTGCCATCTCAGAAGAGGCCGAAGAAGGCGCAACAGCTCAGAGAGTCGCTCCAGGCCGCTGGGTCTGTGGCGTCTCCGATCCACGTGCGCCGACAGGCCTGGTTGACGGCCATTCAGACCGTCTGGGTACCTCAGCACAACTTCTTCCTCGAGGCTGCTGCTCTCCTCATGAAGACGATGAAACTCAGCGTTCGAAATGCGATTGGCGTCCATGGATACCAAATGCTCACCGGCCTTACGGAGGAGCAGGAAGCTGCCCGTGTCAAGGCGTGGTCTATTGCTCTCGACGCTCAGTTGGCTGGAGGTGACGTGGAGATCAACAAGAGCCGCCTCACGCTTACCCTCTTGGCATCCGGCACCCTTCCCGATACCCCGTCTCGACTGATGCTGAAGGCTCTTCATGTCCGTGTGCTCCTCTGGGATCTGGGTGCCAAGGGTCTACACAACACTGTTGCTAAGAAACTTGCGCGCTCTCTGTGGAATGAGGCGAGGAGCCTGAACCGCGTGCTGAGCCAGCTTCGCCGCAACTCAGAGCAAGTTGATGACGATCTTCCTGAGCACCTGGCTGCCCTTATCGAGCAAGAATGCGATGACGTTCTCAACAACACTGTTATTCAGCGAGCTTATAATCTGGCTTGGAACCTGCCGACAACTGAGGGTGTTGCTGAGCACAACGATGGAATGGACTCGGTTGTTGATGACCAGGCTGTACGGTCTCCTTTGGATGCTGTTGCTGCATGGCGATCCAGCCAGACGATCCACCGTGCCCTCATCACCAGCCTCGAGGCCGACAAGGATGATGGTGATGCTCCGAGAGTTGTCTCGACTTGCCTGGACACCGCGCTCAAGACAGCTCCCATCGGGTCCAGTGTGCAATCTCGTGCTCTAGTTGCCCGCGCTGTTCTTGTCGATGACAAACGCGGTGCTAACATTGCCGCTGCTTTGCAGAACATTCAGCCTTCCGGTGAACAAAAGTCTTTAAGCCAGATTGCCGCCATTGTCGATTCCTCCTCCACTGTCCAGTCACCCGATGTCCAGATGGCGCTTAAGTGTGCCATGGCCATTGCTCACCTGCAGCGCGCCAAGTCGACGGCCGCTTACCCACAGGAAGGTCTTCGTCTCGTCGAAAAGATTGCTCGACCCAGCGCCACTGCCAACATGTCACTCCTTGGTTGCACTGCTCTGTTCAAGCTCATGGAGGAGCTTTTCGCTCGCCAACCCTCTACCGAGTCCTTTAGCACGTCCCTGGAGCGTCTCGCCGGCAGTCTACGCATCTGGATTGGTAGTGCGCCGGGTGAAAAGTGTGGGCTGGAGCAAGACGTCCGCCACAAGATGGTTGACCGCTGCCTCAGCATCACCAAGAGCGTGGTGGGCATGGAAACTGATACGGGCTACGGCAGCATGAGCGAGTGCGAGGAGGAGGGCTGCTAACAAGATTTCATTTTTCTATGTCTAGAGGCGGTATCTCCCCTTACTACATACTAGATGCACTTATTTCCTTTCTTATTGTATTTTCTACGGGTAGGGCATTGGATTTGGCGTCATACTAGGTGAGGATATATGTCTTCGACTGGCGTTTCGTACGGAAGCAACGCGACGACGGCTGGAAAAGGCTGGGACCAGCGGATTTTGCATGAACAGAGATGGGGCGTCGCTTCGGGCTGACATTGATCTCCACGAGGACTGTCATGGTATGGAATGGGAGAGAGGGAAATACGGTCTGGGGATATACACGTGTCGGCTTCAAAAGTTGCGATGGGATTTTTCTCTATAATTGATGGCCGTTGGCCGCCACTATGTAGAATCAATATCGACATTAGTCGTTGCGAGGACATGCAATAAGGCTTCATTGTGATTTGTGAGAATAAGTGGTGTGGGAGGGAGAGGTCGAGCCTTGTCTGCTTCTAGCAGGTGCAGATGCTGGCGTGGGTGTGACAGATGACACACACCCTTTTGCTTTGACTCGGCGTTTTTACGATACAAAGTTTTGACCGCCAAATGGCTGGGGGTAACGGGGTGACTTTTGTTTGTTTTTCTGCTTTGATGCTTGGCCCTCCATCGCCGATCCTTGTCAGACAGTATAGGGGAATCTCCTGATGTATGATGTTTTCGATGTTGATGTTGATGTTGGGAAATGACGACCACAGAACTGATCACCACACGACACCTGTCAATACGTACTTCCATATTGGTACTCCGTAGCTAAACCAAGAACCCCAGCTGGAGACAGCACGGCAGTCCCATGTCCAGCAGAGAGCCGAGTCCCCACATCTCCACCTTTCAAAGCTAAATGCCCCCCACCTGCCAAAGATAAACAACCACCGTCGGATCCGAGCCAACTTTTGTTCCCCCCTGCGTTCGCACGGCACATGACCACCGAAAAGGGAACATCGTCAGGGCTCGGTTATCAACGTCGCAATCTATCGTGCGCGAACGGATTTCGGATACCGCCCGCATGAGATATCTTTGTGTTATCTACGGTGGGTGATGACTGCCATCCAGCGAGCTGGGGTGAGGCGTAGAAGTGTGCAGAAACCGGGCATCTGCAGCATCGCCAGGAAAACGATGCCATCCATGCTGGGAGGATACGCAGGATGCTACTACCGCGAGCTGAAAATCTTGTTGTTTTTCAAGTGAGACTTTGGCGAACGCCCCCCTGCGCACCAGTTCACATTACTCCTCGGCGAAGAGTCGAATCGGAGCCCATCCTGCCGCGACAAACATGCCCTCCCTTCAGGACGACATGTCCAATGACGGCAACGGGTGACCCCAATTGCAACTCCCCGCATCCCATAGGACACCACCATTAGACACAAACCCAATCAGACTTCGATATCCCCGGGCGCCATGTGACGCAAGATTACATCTGGGCAAGGAAGTGCACATCGTCTTGTCTCGTTGAGATAGATGGCCGCCCCGACCTGCTTTTATTGATTTGACCTGGCCTGCCAGCTAGTCAACGTTGCGCCGCCATCAGGAGACGGGCAAATCAAGATGGGGGCTTTGTCGGCACACTTTCCTCTTCCCGAGGCACCGGCATTCCATCCAGGAACAGCTAGCTGAGAGCTCGGTTACAATCTGTCGATAGTCTGTAGTCTTAGGAACTGAGCGCTCGACATGGCGGTCATAAAGACCGCCGTGCCTATTAGCTATTAGCTCCCCTTTAGCTTGGTAGAGGATTCCCATTCTCATCGCCCATCATGCCTCGACACCTCCGTTCTGGCCTTGAGCTGCCGCGGCGCTCATTCTTCGTCGTCTTTGCGCTTATATCTCTTGTGCTCCTTGCCACTGTCGGCTTCTCCAAGCGCGGCGCACCAGGAGGTCCCGTGTTGAACATCCGGCGCGATGATACTTGGAAGTCGCACGCAAATGCCAAGACGCGCGCTGCTCCGGCCGGTGATAAGTATTTGATCGGAGCAGGCAAGGCCGATATTACAGGTCCTGTCGTCGAGATTAACTTTGCTGGGTATGCGGACCTAGCGCAGGTGGGAACTGGCTTGCGGCAGAGGATCTACAGTCGCGCTTTCATTGTTGGAGATGTCAGCAAGCCGAATGATCGATTTGTTTATCTTGTGCTGGATACACAGGGAGGTGACACGGCCGTTCGTAATGGTATCCTGGAGGGCGTCAAGGCTCTTGGATCCGGCTACGCCATGTACAACAAGAACAACATTGCCGTGACGGGCACCCACAGCCACGCCGGGCCGGGAGCTTGGTTCAACTACCTGCTTCCTCAGGTCACCAGCTTGGGGTTCGACAAGCAAAGTTATCAAGCCATTGTTGACGGTGCTGTGCTGTCCATCAAGAGGGCTCATGAGTCCCTGACCGAGGTAAGACTTTTTTTTCTTTTTTTTTGCAATGTTGTAAACCCTGACTAACTGGCCCAGGGCTACCTTGACGTCGGTACCACAGAAATCACCGACGGCGCCATCAACCGTAGTCTCTGGGCATACCTCGCTAACCCTGAGGCGGAGAGAGCCAGATACAGCGCTAGCACCGACACAACCCTTACCCTCCTCCGTTTCCAACGGGCCTCTGATGGCAAGAACATTGGCGTTTTGACTTGGTATCCTACCCACGGGACGTCGATCCTGCAGAACAGCACCCACGTAGCAGGCGACAACAAGGGAGTGGCTGCGTATCTCCTCGAGAAAGACCTCGCCGGGGATTCGAACACCGCCCCTGGATTCGTTGCTGGGTTCAGCCAGGCCAACGTTGGCGACACCTCTCCCAACACTCTCGGGGCGTGGTGTGACGATGGTTCCGGCCGACAATGCAGTCTTGAAAACAGCACCTGCGCTGATGGCAAAAGCCAGTCATGCCACGGTAGAGGCCCGGCCTTTCAGAAGCTGGACCTGGGCATTTCGAGTTGTTATGAGATCGGCAAGCGGCAGTCCACCGGTGCAAAGAGAGTCCTCGTAAGTTGATCATCATCGAGTTTAGGATACAGCTGACCGAGTAGAACGCACTTGCATCATCATCGACGCCTATCACCGGTACCAGCGTGAAGTCTTTCCACTTTTTCAAGGACATGTCGTACTTCAAGTTCCCTCTGGCGGATGGCACCATCGGCCAGACCTGTCCCGCCGCCCTTGGCTACTCGTTCGCTGCCGGCACAACGGACGGCCCCGGTGCCTTTGACTTCACCCAGGCCGACTCTGGCGCGCCCGATGCCAATCCTCTCTGGAAGGTTGTCTCTGGCCTGCTGAGAACACCCACAGCTGCGCAGGCCGCCTGTCAGCAGCCGAAGCCCATCCTTCTCGATGTGGGCGAGATAAGTGCACCTTATGCCTGGAGCCCGAACATTGTCGACATCCAGCTGCTCCGCGTTGGCCAGTTTGTGATCATCGTCGCCCCAGGCGAGGCCACCACCATGTCTGGACGCCGTTGGAAGTCTGCGGTTAAAGATGCTGCCAAGTCGATTGTCAGCAATGAGCCAATTGTCGTCCTGGGTGGGCCCTCCAACACCTATGCTGTAAGTCAGCCGTCCCCGTTTGCGTCCCGACTAACAATCACAGCACTATATTGCCACCCCTGAAGAATATGGCGTTCAGCGCTACGAGGGCGCCTCGACCTTATTCGGCCCCAACACTCTCCCCGCCTATATCAACCTCACCGTTTCTAACATCGGCTACCTCTCACCCTCGTCCACATCCAGCCCGCCGGCCGGCCCTTTACCCCCCGACAACCGCCAGAACTCGCTTTCATTCATCACCGGCGTTGTTCAGGACGGCTCCCCTGCCGGGCGTTCGTTTGGGTCTGTCATCGTGCAGCCGTCTGCATCGTACTCGCGGGGCGCTGTTGTCAATGCCACCTTCCAGGCCGCCAACCCACGCAACAACCTCCGCCTAGAGGGCACGTATGCTGCGGTTGAACAGCTCCAGAGCGGCACGTGGAAGCAGGTGCGGAATGACGAGGACTGGTTCTTGGTCTACACTTGGACGCGCACCAACTGGCTGTTGGGTCACAGCGAGGTAACCATCAGCTGGGAAACAGGCGGTGATGGCGCTCCAGCTGGAACGTATCGAATCCGGTACTATGGCGACTCGAAGCCGTTGATCGGGTCGATTAAGGCATTTGAGGGTGTAACTAACAGTTTCACGCTGGTGTAGCCTCGGCGGTAAGGACAAGTCTTGACTCTGTGATTTGCTACTACGTTCTGGCCGTGTGCTTTTCAGGTTTGGGTACATTTGGACAGAGACAAACGAGGACAGATGATAGGTTGCATGGTCAATAAGATAGTAGTATTAAAACAATGTACGGCCCGTTCAACAGGGAACATCTGCACTCATCAATATGACAGTTTGGGTATTCTATTCACGACTTGTCGTTCGTCATATCCTCGTTGCTCACGAATCGCAGGAAGTCGTAGGATTGATGCCGCAGGTCTTCTTGTGTGGCCATGTGGAACTGAACACCGGGCGTAGGGCTGGTGGAGACGACAGTTTCTGGTGTATCCTGACTTTCAAGGCCCCTGGATCTGCTTTCCGTCGTGCTACCAAACTAGTCACGTGCCAGTTGGAGGGTATCGGTCATCTCTGTTGACAGCACGCGTAGCCATCGCTGCTAGCCAGCGGCGGCGGCGATGCGTAGGGCATGTCTGGGTTACGAGTGCTCTGGCAAAAATCCACTAACTGGAGAGGCGATTTCAATGTCGGGCAGAGTGATGTTACGCCTTGTTATAGTCCGTCAACTTTGGCTGTCAAATATCGACAGCGATGTGTAAGTCTCGACGTGGTCGCGGGACGACTTGTTTGTTTCCTGTATTGACGATCGACTTGGTCGTGTGAACAGCAGGCATTCCCTGACTACGGTGACCCAGGTTGGCAGGTGGACAAGGTCAACACGATAGCTTTCAGATGGATAGCATGTACATCATCAGCGTCACACGCAGCAGGATCGTGGCACTGCTACACCTACGGAAGCGTAGGGAAGGAGGATCAGATTTCTTCGCTGTATCCCTGGGCAAGCCAGAGCACACAATGAAAAAAGAAGTGTTCGCGTCACCTGGAGGCAGTGTAATACCAGGGACACTGTGGGAGGAGTCATGTGCAAGCACAGAGGACTTCTCCCTTAGACCAAAAATAAGAATAATCACGATTGGTCTCCTTAGAGACCTTTCAGAGATTAAACTGAAAAGAACAGATACTACACTTGATCTAAGCCAAAAGGCAAAGAGAGCTAAAGAAGAAAGAGAAAAAACAAGTAAAGTTGCGCGGGCTGGCGAGGTATATATAGGTTTTTTTTGTGGACTTACTGATTGGGGCACGCGGGCTTTTTGTCGGACCGAAGGTGGATTTTCCCCTTTTTTTTTTTCATCTTCTGTGGGCCCCCGGCTAAGTATCGGCGGCATGGCAACCAAGCTGTAGTCGTCTCCACTAAAAGATAGCACAATTATCGTATCCGTCGCTCGTACCCATCTTGCAGAACATCACCTTAGCCTTCTTTGAGCGGCATATTACTACCGCAACAAAACCAGAGCAGAGGATTGGACGAAAGTAAAATTAAAATTATATGCTAATTATATACCCACATGTAGTAGGTAAGTTCAGTTAAGTGTTCAAATCCGCATCCTCCACGACTAGGTCGTAACACAGATTTGCATCACAGAGGATGTGACGTTTGTCTCTTGCTGTGCCACAGTATGCTGGTCGTTTGCAGTCTTGGGTGCAATTCGTTTCAACTTAATCATTTCAGACTTGCATTTTCTCGGATATCTTTACTGTACGCTAATCTCAGTCCACGTGGCCGAGCCCGAGTCTCTGGGTCTGCTCTTAGCAGTCACTTTATGTCGTGACGGATGCAATGCGCCCTTAGATCTCTTGTGATTGACCTTGCTTGCAGTATTCTAGAGAGCCTCAGAGAGATAACCAATACACTTGTAAAGACCTGTCTGACAAGACAAGTCAAATCACAGGCATGTAATCAAGTTTCTACGGCAAACCCGCAAGTAGCCTGCTCTATTTGTATCGACCATCCTATTCCGCCAGAGTACGAGGCCGTGGCAGTGGTTAAAGCAGCGATAACGATTTGGCGCCTGTCCAGTCAGGTATGTGGTATACCTGCCTAATCCGGAAAGAGCTCACTACTTTGGGAAAGCTCTAACTTGATATGGACTAGATCCTTGCTGCTTGACCGTGCATCATTTCTATCTTGCAATTTTCAATGTTTCTGGAGCTTACATTGCGTCGATTTCCGACTCGCCGGCCTATTCTAGCTCTCTATTAGAATAGAAGGGAACTATACATACAGTAAGATGACGCAGTATTCTTTACCAAAGGCCGTCTGGGCTATGTGGAGTCATTATAATGTGCTCCCCGTTGAGGGACGTTACTACCGTACTGCTATCGATTGAGTCGTTGAGCTTTACCCCTCTGATCAACATAACCTACCGTAATGCAACAAAGGGAACGAATTGGAACTAGAGCGGTGAAAATGAAACTCGTCAATGGTGACCACTCCACTAACAGCTCTATAAACATGTGGCTATGTAGCAATTCTGTCATTGTCATAGAGTTTCCAAGTCCAGAGGGACAACCACAGGCAGCTACATCCAAAGAAACTACAACTCATATTACATCATGTATCTCCTTTGGCAACAGAAGATAACAATAAACCAGACCAACTTCCAAGTAAATCCAACAATCTCTACAACCCAAATCAATACATCATCTCGGCCACTACATCCCGGCGACATCCAAGCACAATGAAATTCTCAACAACAGCCCTCCTCGCCCTCGCCGCAAACCTCGCATCAGCCGGGCCAAAATTGACAAACCCTGAAGGCCCTAGAGTAATCGGACCCCTCGAAGGTAGCCCCTTCTGTCTACACTCGGACCAGGGCCTCGACGGACACACAATTATGCCGTACCTCTTCCACGGCTTCATCATAGAGGCGATGACAGTCCGCGACGTCCCTGCCGTCTGTAACGATCTCTGGGGTGGCCTGGCGCATTTCGGAACCACATGCGGCTTGATCATGAAGCAAAACTGTATCGAGATCGAGCCCGGTGTGTTGAGGTGGGAATTTTCTGTCGGAAGCGCGTGTCAGTTGGGGCATATCCAGGCTGCTTGGTACGAGGCCACGAAGAACAAGTACGGGGCCCTCGACTGTTTCGTAAGGGAATGAAAGGCAAGAGTTGACTAGGCTTGACATAAAAGTGTCTAAAGGGTTGTTTCAAGGGGACACAGAGACAATCATAGAGAACCGGTTGGATCGTTGTAATATCATCGGATATGTATTTGGTATTCCACTTCCAAATCTGCCAAAAAAGACTGCGACGTACAAGTGACATCGAATTCGTAGACTGCACATAAACGACCGTAATTCATTCACGCCCATCTATTGAACCAACCCATATTATATGCCCGCTTTTTCCAATGCACCGACCCAAACTCCACATGCAAACCACCCCCCACTACCAATCCGGCGCACTTCCGCAACCACCGCCGACCAGTAACTGTGCCGGCTTCTGCATCTTGAGCGGCGCCAACGGCTTCACACCGGGCTTCTTGGCGCGGTGCCCCTTGAAGTTAATCTTCTTGTCCAGCTGCTCAAACGGCGAGCTGCCGGCCTCGCCCTTCTTCACCATCCACTTGGCCGTGCCCAGCGCGGCGTCAAGCTCCTCGACTGGAGGCAGCTTAAGGTAGATCATGCCGTCAGGGCGCTCCTCTACAGGGAATGTGGCAATGCTGACCTCCTCATCGTTCTTGCAGTCACCGTTGGCGAGGTCGAAGTTGCGCTTGTGGTATGGGCAAGACACCCATGGGGCAGATCGCTTGGCCGTGCCGTTGGTGCTGCACGACGAGTCGGGCTTCTTCGCATCATCGCAAGTGTCGGTACCCAGGTCCTCGCCGATGAGGCCGTCTGATAGCACGAACGAGCGCTTGTGGGGGCACATCTGCTGCGTTGCGTAGTACTTGCCACGGATGCGCCAAATGGCCAGCTGAGTGTCGCCGCGCTTGACCGTCGCCGAGATACCGTTGGGAGTCTCGTCGGCCCCGAAGAAGTGACTCGCCGGTAACATTGGCTGCCATGCCATGCTGGTCCACTTGTTGATGAGGCTCTTGAAGTCTTCTTTGACCGACTCCTTGGCCCAGTAGACCGGGCGGGGCTGGTCACGATCGAGCTCGACCTCCATGTGCTCGACAGTCTCCTCGGTGTTGTTGAACTGCTTGAACTTGGCTGCGATATGGGGGTTCTTGATGGCCTCAGCCCACTCATCGAAGAAGCTGTCGACAAGCTCCTGCATCTGAGCCTCTAGAGAGGCGCAAATGCCAAGCTTGTCTTCCAGGACGACCTCCTGCAAATACTTGATGCCGCCGGGGAGGTTCTCAAGCCAGCGAGCCGTTCGCTGCAGCTTATCGGCAGTGCGGATGTAGAACATAAGGTATCTGTCGATGATAGGGATGACCTCGGATGGAGGAACATCCTTTGCGAGGAGTTCCGAGTGCTTGGGCTTGGCGCCACCGTTGCCGGCAACGAAGATGTTGAACCCCTTCTCAGTAGCAATAAGACCGAAGCTGAAAGGTTAGCTGTATGTTCACCTGCGGAATGTGTGAAACACTTACTCCTTGTTTTGGGCTTCAGCGCACTCGCGGACACAGCCGCTGACACCACCCTTGATCTTGTGCGGCGCGCGAATACTCTTGTACCGCTCCTCCAACCGGACGGCCATACCGACACTGTCGCCAATACCGAAACGGCACCACGTTGTGCCGACACAACTCTTGACTGTTCTGAGAGACTTGGCGTATGCATGGCCGGATTCCATGCCGGCGTTAACCAGTGTCTTCCAAATGTCAAGGAGATCCTGCTTCTTGGCGCCAAACATATCGATACGCTGCCCACCAGTGATCTTGGTGTACAGGTTGTACTTGCTCGCCACCTGGCCGATGACGATGAGCTTATCAGGGGTAATCTCACCAGCAGACACACGGGGAACGACACTGTATGTGCCGTTGCGCTGGATGTTGCCGAGGAAGCGGTCGTTGGTCTCTTGCAAACCGTGCATTGGGGTGTCCATGACGTGACGGTTCCACAATGAGGCGAAGATGCTGCCGCAGGTAGGCTTGCAGACCTCGCAACCAAGGGAGGCGGGGTCATTTCCGGCCTCACGCATGACGTCCTCGAATTTCTTGAGTTTTTTGACGAGAATGATGTTGTATAGGTCGGCACGGGAGTAGTTGAAGTGTGCGCAAAGGTAGTTCTTAACCTCATTACCCATGGACAACATGGTTTTGTTGAAGATGGTTGTGACTAACGGCATGCAACCACCACAGCCCGTTCCGGCTTTAGTGCAGGCCTTGACCTCGCCGATGGTCTTGCAGGTGCCGTCCTTGACCGAGTTAACGACGTCTCCTTTTGTCACGTTGTGGCATGAGCAGATCTGGGTATCATCCGTCAGGTCGTCGCCATCGTCTTCGCCCTCTTTCTTGGCGCCTAGGATGAGTTCGCTAGGAGGAACATCCAGCTCCTTCATGTTCTTGACCAACGGCACGAGCTTGATGTAGTCTTTCGTATCGCCAATCATGATACCGCCAAGGAGATACTTGCCATCTTCGGTGAAGATGTACTTCTTGTAAATGTTTTGAAACGGGTCACGGTATGTGAGCGCCTTGACAGGGGCAGGAGGAAGGCCGTTAGTCAACGTCTCGATAGTGCTCTGCTCGTCAAGCTTTTTCGTTTTCCTAGCCGCTTTGGGAGGTAAGAATTTCGGTCCGTCTGTGTCGGCAAAGTAGTCGCCGAAGCTGGCCACGTCAACGCCGAGAAGCTTGAGCTTGGTGCTGAGATCTGGCCTCTTGAATGAACGCGGCTGGTGCAGTTTGGCTTGTGTCAGGTTAAAGGAGAGAACATCGGCCATCTCAACACCAGGACCGATCAGACCATATGCCATTCCTTGCCAGCTGGCGCACTCGCCGATGGCGTAAATGTCGGAGATGCTAGTGCTCAAGTCATCGTTGACGATGATGCCACCACCACGGTCCGCACACTTGATGCCGGCGCTCCGGGCTAGCTCATCTCTAGGCCGCACACCGATGGCAAAGCATACAGCTGAACAATCCAGACGCTCGCCATCTTCAAACAAAACACCCTTGACATGGTTGTCTTCAGTGGTCTCGATCTCACCAACCCTTCTGCTAAGAAGGATCTCGAGACCCAGGTTCCGAACCTGGTCCACCACCATGGCGCCCGCATCTTGGTCGACCTGTCGGCTCAGTACCCAGCGATTCCTCTCGATGATCTTAACTCTGTTGAAGCATTCCAGGTCAACCATAGCCTTGGCAGCTTCCAGACCGAGCAAGCCGCCACCTACGACTGCTCCGTCAGTACCTTTTCGGGTGGCGGAAAAGGCAATCAATTTGTTGAGGTCGTCAATTGTGCGGTACACGAAAACGCCCGTTGCGTCGTGACCGGGAATGTGTCTTGGAAGCACAGCATCTGAACCGGTGGCGAGGACCAGGATGTCATATGGCACGACCTCACCGTTAGAGCATGCTATTGTCTTTGCCTGGGAGTCTATGGCGGTGACTTTGGTATTCACATGATAACCAAGTGCTCCTTCAGGGGCGTTGCGGTACTATAATGTGTTAATAACTTGAGTCAAGGTCGCCTGTCGTACAAGATGTCTTACCCATTCTTCAGGGTTAAGGTATAGGTTTTCAATCTTGCGGTGGTCGAAGAAACTTGTCAGGCCCACACGGTTGTAAGCTAAGTACGGCTCGTCGCCGATAATTGTGATTGTGTACTGGTTGGATCGCGCATCCAACTTCAATATCTTTTCTCTAAGGGGTTGTCAGAAAGATATTCCTTATCGTCGTTGACATACTCACACGAAGGCTAGGCCGACCATGCCCAGGCCGACAACGACGAGTCTCTTTCGTTCGGCCATCGTGAACGATGCCAAACGCTACTGAGACACGAACAAAACTAAGAGTTGGCGAAGAGCGAAATACGGGAGTAACGAAATCAGAAAGAAAGAAGGAAGGAAGAGAAATAGGACTTCTTAGGTGGCTAATATTGATTCTCGACAGCGCCATAAAAGACGCATGGCTCTTTCTCAGCGCATATTGAAGTCAGTCAAGCACGATCCGCTGGGATCAGCATCTCCGGTGCGTTGGTCCATGACGTCCTAAGGACAGCAGCGCCTGATTGGTCACAAGGCTCATACGACGAGTCTAAACGAGCATTTCCACGGTTGAAATCACAGTTTTGGTGGCCCGGGCGATGGCTCGCATGGCTCGCATGGCGGGCAGGGAGAGTCGATGTCAAGGTGGCACGGTATTACAAGTTGGGAATTGTATGGCGTCTAAGTCGATCGTCTTGATAAGGAAGCACCATCAGATGATAAGGCCACGGCGGACGAATCAGAGGCGCAGCACTACGGGCCGCAGCGGGCGGCTCAAGCTACGCCCGCGGAGAAAGGCACAACTGGCCCATTTTCGTCCGCTGTGCCTTCCCACTGAAACCGTGGGCAACTGGCAAGGGGGGCGGCGTGGGGAGACGTTTTCTTTATTTTTTGCCTTGTTGCTTCCTAGGAGAAAGGAAGCCATCCAAGCCCGTAGAGCCAGCACAACCTGTCCGTGATAACAGATAAGCGGGAGCTTATTTGATTTCAATTGGCCTTGATTGGACAACCACTGCCGATATCAGCACGCGGGCTGCCTTGGGAGATACACATTTTGTTCCAGATTGGCTTCTTGCAGTCCTCCATCTTTAATCCTTATCTCAAGCCCCTCTGCTTGACACTCTGTTTGCTGTGCGTTATTACGGACAAATTCCAACTATTCCCAAGATACGATCAGAACCCCCCTGAACGGACACAATGCTCCACAGAGCCTAGCGACCTTTTTTTTTTTTTTTTTTTTTTTTTTTTTTTTTTTTTGGTTCTTCATTTCCATTGTGGCGACAATTAGTCTTCCCGTCTGATCATTTCTGATACCACTGACATCGAACCACGAAAAGGCGGTCGTGCATTAGCAATCGGAATTCGGCTTGGTGCTGACTGGACCAAACACAAACCGCTTAACGGATCATCGAGTGGATTCAACCATACCATGCATAGGTAGTAATTCAAGTTTTTGACACACGGGCGCCTGGTCAAATCCGCATTGTCACGTTGGGCAATGCTGTCATATTTCGATGCGCACCCATCAGACATGCCGTGTTTTCGCCGATTAAGGGTATCACCAATAGTGTACAGTATATTACAAAAACTTCGGCTGTCACGCCACTCGCCTTACGCCGAAGAAATAATTACCGACTTTTTCGCTTCCCTTGACCTCCTTCCAGCCAAGACCGGGCACGTAGACAACGCCCAGGACGCGGGGCATCTCCCAGCCCTTGCCCATGAACATGCCCTTCAACTCGTGATCGTTGATATACTTGCGCCAGTCGTGGGTGCCCTTGGGAACGATACCCAGTATGTCCTCGGCGATGAGGTTCGTCGTGAACCAACTGACCCACGTCCGCGCAATCGTGCTGCCGACAAGCCATCCACCAGGCTTGACGAAGGGGGCGCACCGGTCGAGAAACTCGGCGGGTGACGAGACATGTTCTACTACCTCAAAGACAGAGACAACATCATACAGCTGCTCCGGCGTGGCGGGCAGAGGCAGGGTCTCGATAGTGGCCGACTTGTACTCCAACTTCCCTCTTAAGGCGGGGTCTCGCCGGGCATGTGCTTTCGCAATGGCGAGGACGCCAGGGGTCGGGTCAATGGCCGTCACGGCGCTGGTATCGGGGAGTCGGGCGGCGCTCTCCGCAAATATACCGCCGCCGCAGCCAACATCCAGGAAGCGCGTCGGTGTCGATGGCTTGTCGGGTTGGCTGGCAAGACAGTCGCGGATGAAGGTGTGACGGAGCGGGTTCATCAGATGCAGGAGCCGCGAGGATCCCTGGGGGTCCCACCAGTCGGCGGCGAGAGCGTTGAAGTGCTCGACTTCATCGGGAGAGACGGAGGAGAAGGTAGAGTTGAGCCGGCGGGACGCTGCCAACCCGGGCGGCGTTCGGAGGAGAGGGAACGTCGTAGCCGCGCGGGAGGCTTCTATGAGAGGGGCTGCCCGCCGCAACGAGCGCAGCAGCGTGGCTGCTGAGCGTGACGATGCCATTGGCGACGTAGTGGTATGGATGGTGGTGTGCTGAGGATAAAACCTGAGCAAGCAAAAAATTGATGACAAAGCAAGGATGAGAAGATTAAGCTACCTTGCTGGGAAATTCTAGCGCAGCCTCGGCGGTGTTGCCGATGCCGTCAGTGCACAACACACACTCACAGTCCCCTTCCCCCTTGTCCGCCGTTGTGCTGCAGATGCAGGCACGGCAAATTCGTCAACACAGGCAGCCTTAAAGCATACCTCGGGCTCGGATACGGATGGACCCTTGTTTTCTTGATCCAGACGACAGACCCGGCGCATCAGCCGCCGAAAATAAATCTCAACTAATATTCCGTACTACGTAGCATGTTGAAGAGCCACGATCAAAGAACGGGGCCGCGCGGGTGCTTCCACAAAGGTTTGTCAGCGACAGTAATCGCCAGGCGGGGCCTTTCGGGCAATTCGCAGTAAGCTCCGTCCTTATGTAATCCCGCACTATCGGTTTCCGCCGTGCCACCTACATAGTACCGTAGAACATGGGTGGGTTTATGCGTGTACGTAGGTACACGCAGCTAGTGGTAGTGTAGTGTAGTGTAGTGTAGCTTAATAGCACCTGTCAGCAAGTGGTCCGCTGCGCAGTCAGAAACCCGACCACCGACCGAAAACCAAACCTACAGGCCGACTCCTCGGTGAATTCGGCGCCAGATCCAGGCACATGGGTGACAGGCCTAGGCCCGCGCATCATGGGTCAACCAATGCGAGCCGAGCGGCCCTCGGAACCTTCTCAGTAACCACCCTGAAGATTAATAACGTTTAGGTATCCTCCGTCAGCCGGCGCATCGCGGGTGGTTTGATCAGACAACGTTATAGGAAAAAGAAGGAGGTAGCAGCATTATAAAAAAAGAAAAAGACCGGATACAAGGGCAATTGACCCCTCCGACCACTTGACGGACGAATCGCTCATACTATTTGCCGGTTGCTGCCCCTCATTCGCATGACGGAATCCCTAGCGGCAGTGAAGAAAACGGGACCCTTGCCATAGAACTTTGCCCACCCGCCAACACCACTGAATTTCCCTCGGAACCCCTCCCCCTCCTAAACCACGGCCCATCAGTAACCTCACGACACTTCTTCAACCTTCACCACCGCCACCACCACCATCACCACCACCACCACCATCCCTCCAAACCAGCCCCGGACACACAACGACCATCACCCAGTCGCAATGCCCTCCTCAACAATAGACGAGTCAAAGTTCGACTCCATCCCGGATGCCATTGAGGCCTTCCGTAAGCAATCCCGCGCATTCCGCATTTCTACATGCAAGACACGCGCCAGTCAAGCTAACTAAAAACTACCGGGGCGTAGGCAATGGAGAGTTCCTCGTCGTGCTCGACGATCCCTCGCGCGAGAACGAAGCAGACCTGATCATCGCCGCCGAGTCCGTCACGACCGCCCAGATGGGCTTCATGATCCGCCACAGCTCCGGCTACGTCTGCGCACCCCTCGGCCCCGCTGTCATCGACCGCCTCGAGCTGCCCCAGATGGTCACCTCCAACGAGGACTTCCTCCGCACCGCCTACGCCGTCTCTGTCGACGCCGTCGACCCCGCCGTCACCACGGGCATCTCGGCCCACGACCGCGCCCTGACCTGTAGGGTACTCGCTGACCCCAACGCCAAACCCTCCGATCTGCGCCGCCCGGGTCACGTCCTTCCCCTTCGCGCGCGCCAGGGCGGCGTGCGTGAGCGGAGAGGCCACACCGAGGCTGCTATCGACCTCTGCCGCTTAGCCGGCAAGAAGGAGGCCGCCGCCATCTGCGAGCTGATTGACGACGGCGTCGCCGTCGAGGGCCAGGCTGTGCACGAGAACCCGGGTATGCTGAGGGGCGAGCAGTGCATCGAGTTCGCAAGGCGGTTCAACCTCAAGGTGTGCACCATCGCGGATATGGTCGACTACCTGGAGAAGACTCAGGGCAAGCTGAACGTCAACGGGTCGTCGTAAGGGCAAGGAGGCTTGGAGCATGGTGGATAGGCAAAACAAACGAAGCCGAGTCCGATGACCGGCGACATATACCCCCCTCCCTTGTAGGGTCACAGAAAAAAAGGCGCTTGGGATATTCGTCACATTAACTACGTGCGCTCGTGTCGGCGCATTTGTGTTACCTGGTTGGTAGAGCAAAAATAACGAAAAGAAAAAGAAACAGAAAGAAAAAAAAGACACTACTTTGATACCAGCAAGTGTTGTTACGGCCAATGTACGATATTTTGTCTGATAACTTTAATGAGACGCACCTCCCCTTTCTCTATGATGAGGACAGGTGGGACAGCCTAATAGTGCCCTGCCATGTACCTGCATCACCTCAAGCCGCCGCCCCCTTGCTCTGGAAGCGCCCGCTCGCTCATGCACTTTGGCACCCTTTATCGCTTTCTACTGCCAATCGCCCAGATATCGCCCAGATCGCCACTCACCTCGTAGGTGGTGTTGGCGCGGGGGTAGTCCGCACCCCGATCCCAAGCCCACATGTCTCGGTAACTGGGATCGAGCGTGCCATCCAAAACCCCTACGGTGTACTCGCCAATGACGGGCAAAAACTTCCACCCGTGGAAGGAGCCGCCAGTAGCTATGTACAGGTTCCCGCAGCGTGGATGAGCCGAGATAATGAAGTCGTGGTTCGGCGTATACGAGTCCCTGGCTGATATCAGAAAGATTCAAGGTTGGGATGAGACACAATGGCACACTCACCAGCAGAAGCGGTACTCTTCAATCTGACAGCCCGCTAGGTCATTCCCACACAGTCCTACAAGGGTCCTTCGAGCAAGCTGTTTGATATTCTCGGGGATTTCCTTGGGGTTCTTTGCCCAACGGGTCAAGTTTGGCACTTGCGGGACAAGAGAAATCGTCTCATTCGTGAGCGCGTGCTGCGTCTTGTGGGTATAACAAGCGTCGCAGTTTAACTTGAGCTGGCCGTCGCGGTACGATACCAACTCCCCTGTATCAGATTAGCATTGGGCTTTCCGTTCATGGTAGGCACACTTGCCCATGACTCCAGGTACGCGATTCTTAAAGACAGGGACGGGGTCCGCATCGAAGCGTGCCTTTAGTTCTCCTTCAAGGCGCACCGTGAAGCTCATGGCACCGGTGGCTGTGAGCCTATGCTTGGCATGAAGCTCCTCTCTGTCAGGGGCACTGTCGATGAGCAAGGGAGCTGTCCGGGCACCTGTGCACAACATGACGGTTCCCCTGATTTCCTCGCCGTCACTCATCACGACGCCAGTGCAGTCATTGTCGCTGCCAAAACTCAACTTCTTCACCTCTCCCACAACAGGCTCGACTCCTCGTCGTATGGCTTCTTCGCGGACACTTCTCAAAGCGGCCTCCGCCTCCACATAGCCGAAGTCGGGATTGTACATGACCTTTTCCAAGTCCCCGAAGTTGGCCGCGGCAAAGACTGTCGATTTTGCCCGCACTTCTTCCAGAGTCATCCACTTAGACTTGGTGTCGAAGCCGAGCTTCCTATATGCAGCAAGGCTGTCCTCGTTGAAGGTGTCTGGCTGGGCACGGTACATGCCGACTTTGTGAAAGTGCACCGAGTATAGAGGATCATTATGCCACTTTTCCATGGCCTTTCTTGCCATAACTATCAGACGACTCTGATCATAATCATATCTGACAATTTTGGATATGTCATGAGATGCCGAAGTTGGGTCAGCATACCGATCCGGATCAACGAGAAAGACTTTGCAGTGTGGGTATTTGATAATGAGTTCAAGAGCCGTTGAGGCCCCAAAGATGCCGGCGCCGACGATTATGAATGGTTCTCTCGACTTGACGACCATTGTTTCTGGTGATAAGGATAACTTCTGCCTGTGTTGGACTTCTCGAGTGCCTGAAGTGCGCCGATGAGTTCCACCTCCCGACAGAAACTAGGGGTTCTTATAGAAGGGAGAGTACGAGAATTTTCGACTTGGGGTCGGAGAAGACAATGTCCTATATTGAACCCTGATCTGCATCGATGTCCAACATGTCAGCCAACTTACACAGTCGCCCCCTCGTATACACGCCCGCCATGCATCGACATCCACTCGAGGGCCTCACCGCATCCTCGAAAATAATTACACTCCCTGGATGAGTTCCCGTCATAATGCGTAATATTCTCTTGGGAATCCTTGGGTTAACTCTCCAGACAGCCGCAGTACCCGGGACATAAGCAAGCTGCGGCTGTGACAGAACGGGAGGAACACGCATCGATGGAGTCTTAAGCGCACCGCAAAAGCCCTTGTCCCGCCATCACATCCAGCTGTACAGAAATGGGAGGGTTGCGGCGGAAGCGGATACCCGGCCATGGTCTTCCCGCATAGCCCGTCTCTTCCTCCTTCCGAGTGAGATGTGAAGAGGCAGGTTCGACCGGGTCAAGCAATGAGCGTTTCCCGGAAGACGGAATTGCGATCTGTCAGAAGTCCTTCCCCCCCAGCGCCGGATATAGGCGGGGGTGCGTAGATTTGAGCGAGGGAACCGACCGCTTCGTATGTGGCAACAACTCAGAACGGACCGGGTGGGTGTAGTAAGTGAGCTGGAAAGGCATGGCAAGCAAGGGGCTTGCTGAGGGGGGTCTCAAGATGTGGGTGTGGTTGGAAACCGCGAAGAGGAGACATGATCTCGAGTTTTCTTTGAACAATATCCGTACCATGCAGAGTAAAAGAAATTGATTGGTCAGGATAGCATAACCCCGGCCTCCCTCGTCAGTAGCGTTCTTTCCTCACTAAGTAATTGAGAGTCTAGGATCGTACACGCGCATGAGGGTTTGAGGCACAGGTAGTGGCAAGCCCTGGGTGAACGTCTCCATATCGCCAAGAGCGGACGTGTTAGGCTTCAGTTACTTCCTATCCAAAAATAAGAAAAAAGATAAAAAAATAAATGACCACAGGGCCTGGGTCAGAGGAAAAGTGAACGTGGGGTTTTTCGAGCCTTCCTCATCGCATCCCCATTGTCGATGTCGACAAATCTGAGGTCGGGGTGCGATTAGCACCGCAAGTCACAGTAGGCGGCATGGGAGGAGATCTTGCTTGTCGTCCACTCCTTTTCCGAGTCATACATGGCCTTATTGGTTGTTCATTCATTCTTTTCTTTTCTTTTTCTTTATCCGCTTACTGAGCCAGGCGTTTACAAATACTTGCACCAGCACCGGCACAACCTAGCATTGTCGTGCGGCACTTGGATATCCGCACCGGCAGTGCTGTGTAGTAGTCTCTAAAACCGCCTTAGGGTACTTCACCGATTACCTCCACGATGGAATATCCACATCCCTAGCCCCTGATGTGAAACTGAGGTAAGACTGCCAATTTCAGAGGGGGTGAAGGTTTAATCTAGGCAACTCATGCCACCCACCAACATTGCTCCCTCCCTCGCAGGTTAGTGTTAGCGCCAACATCTTTTCGTCTCGGTACTCTCACCTGCCTCCCATCTACGAGCCCAACACTTTTGTATTTGAGGAAGCAATCCGAAAGAAGGAGTCTACCATTTTTATGGCCATACATAGATATGTAGTGCTCGGCCGATCGTCTGTATTAGAAACTTGTCTCCGAAAAACACGGCAGAATAATCGTCAGATTCGCGCTCGCCAGTCTGATCCTAGGTCGATCTTCCACAATGGTTGGTTACACACGGCAGCTAAGTCGTGTTTGGGGAACCCAAAAAAACAAATAAAACAAAACGACGGGGCTTGCTCCGTACCGCAGCAGGCAATGGCACCATATCCCAAGCCCTGCAAGGTCCGGAACCGGCCAGACGGGAGACTTTGGGTGACTTTGATTACATTACCTAACCAGCCAACTCCTTCTGCCTCCTCTATCATTGAGCTGCTGACCACCGAAGCATGCCCTCCTGGTATCATGTCGGTAGGTAAAATTTGGTCTCCTTGCATAGCCACTGCTGGAGCCCTGTACGCTTTTGCCGGATGAGCATACAATTGTGCATTCTTACATTCTTACATGTCACACGTCCTTCCTCACAGGTACCGACTCCGCTCTTATGCGACGAACTCTCGTTTGATACTGCTGGTCTTGGACATCCTGCCGTCTCGCCAACGACAGAACTGTATCGTCGTCCATCCTCAGTGGCGCGCATAGAATATCCCATGTCTTACCAGTACCACGCATACCACAAAGATCTCAGCGATACAGAATGCCCGGCTGCGCTGATCGGAGCGTTTTCTCCGGTCTCTTCTATTCAATAATCAGGGTTGTACACAAGTATGGCATTGTGATTCAGAAATCTTTGCATTACTTCATACAAATCCATGTTGGGGACCAGCCTACTGGTCCATCATATCCTGAGCACACACAAAACCCATCTTACTGTGGGCTGTATGCAATCCTTCCAACCAACCAAATAACCGTGGTTGTCCCTCACACCGTTCTGCGCCGTTCCCTCATCCCGATGAAAGATGGCCCATATACAAGCCTCAGACCTTAAAGATCGTTGGAAATCCTGCTGATATGTCGTAATAATACATTGAAGCCAAAACTCCGTACTTCGTGTCCCCCATGAATCATAAGCCCGAATGAGGCACGCTGTCAGAAATCAGAAAATTATAGAAACCTTCATACTCTTCCATATCTTGCCGCTGGGGGCACCGCAATTCGAGAAACTCTGCCCCAAGAGCTATTCTGAAGACCTGACATCCGCAGAACTGAGCGACGCCTCAACCCCATTTTTTTTTTTAATTACCCCAGGACTCTGCAAGACTACCTTCGAGACATAGGGATGGGATAAGGCTGATCGTGCTTCACATTCTGCTGATGCCTGACAAGTTGATCTTTTCTTGCAAAGCCCTCTTTGTTCGGGCACCCGGGCAGTCTGCATTTGTGAGGTTTGGAGTGCTTTTGTAAGTGTTGTCTGCTGCTCGTTAGTGAAATGCTTAGGTTGATGGAAGTGAAGGTATCTGTACCTGAACATGCAGTTGCGGCTAAAGATTTTAGGGCCGCCGTTCGGATTTTGGCCTCCTTTCTGGCAAGTCCGCCAATGAGGACACTGGTAGGTGCCTTTCCCTCGGTGCTTCAGAGTATCCATATTCCATCCTCTTGGCCCGTCCTTAACATCATCGTTCGTGTCATTGTCTCCAACATTGTCATAGTCTTCGTCGTCCCTCATCTCATCGACAACGTCGTCATATTGTGGGGAACCTGGGCTCATTGACCTTCGGTCGCTGTAAGCATGAGATGTCGCGATGGACGATTGCGACGCAACAGCAGAGAAAACCCCCATCCCTGTGGACGTGGAGATGGACGACCTGGAGCTGGATTCCGTAGGCGCATGGTGCCTGGTGGGCTCTTCGGGACTCCTTTCTACAGGAGATAATTGTTGCATGATATCCTGCATATCTTTCACAGCCTTGCAGGCCACTTCCTTTAATTGTCTGGCAGTTGTCAGCGGCCCAGAGTCTGTTCAAACGAATGTGCTACATACCGAAGAGTCTTGCGCTGGTCTCTTGCGAGCTCGAGAATTCCCACGCCATGAGTCCTTGAGCAATACGCTTGATCTACAATGGTGTACCCTGTCGACTGCAGACTCTTTTCATCCGTGAGCTGCTCGGCGAAATAGCCTGAGCATTTGGTGGCATGGATGACGAGGTTGCAGTAATATGATAACACAGCCTCCTCCTTACTTTTGACAGGAATTTTGCGCTGATACTGTTGGAAAACATCCTCCAAAAGCCGATGGCCTTCGTCCTCGTGGTTGACTGGTTGCTCTGTCTGGAGCAGAGATGAAATGTTCAGGGCCGACATGATAGACGGGAAAGCATAAGCTGAGGGAAGCAGCCGGCACGCAATGATCTGTGCGAAGAGCTGTGGGAGCAGTCGACTAGTTTATCAAAGCCCTACCAGTTAACAAACGTGACGGGGAGAGTTGGGTTGTGGTCTGCGTGGGTGTGGATGACCGTTGGGACGGCGGCTCAAAAGGCTACGTCGAGGTACGCCAAGTGGGTCGTCTCAAGATGGATGAAGCGAACAATGTAGTGCAGTCTAGACTGCGGCGCAATAACAAAAGCGCAACGCGGAAGATGATGTGAAAGAAATATGATAGTTCTGCTCGAGTCCAAGAAGAGCTTGGGTTCAAGGTTCAGGTCACAATTCAGTAAAAGTCGTAGGATTTGGGCAGGGGGAGAGGAAGATGGAGACGAGTGGAGAGGGGTCAAGAGAGGTGACGGGGAAAGAGAAAAGAGATAATCAAGCAGTGATAGCAACAGATTGGCAACGAGGGGACGGGAGGAAAGCTGCTGGGGGGAGGGGAAGCGGCGGACACCCAAAAACCCACCTGCCCTCAGATTGGAATGGGAACAAGGGCAATGGCAACGGCAGCAAACTGGACTGGGAAAGAAGTGGAACAGCGTGTGGGTGAGGCGTGGAGAAGGAGGGCGTGAGAAAGTTGAGGACGATGGCGAGGATCTGGACGAGGGAGGAGCTGGAAGTTCGAAGGAACGACCTGGGGAGTGTCTGATGTGTGTGGTCTCTATGTTGAGTTGCAGCGGAAGTCCCTTGCCTCTCAATACGCCCGTAATGCTCCGTTAAGCCAGACTAAGGTGAGGGGGGGCAGACACGATAAACCAGTGAAGAGAGGGTTGGCATTCTGCGTGTTGCTGCATGTCTAGGACAGCTCGGGTTCGGGGGCCAATGGCCAGGCGCATGTCTGATAAAGTAGACTGGATAGTAAACGGTTGGAGACCGCGTGCGCGTTGCTACTCTTTCCTACCTGACCTTGACAGGTACTACGTGACAAGTGTAAGCAGAGAGAGGAAATGGGGGGTGTGACAAGAAGAAGCAAACATGCGGCTGGCGACAAGGGCAGCAGTGGTCCAGAACGTGGGCGATATAACAGAAGATGGGGGAGCGGGCAGGCACAGGGACCTTGCCGTGGGGCGGAGTCAGCCTTGGAAGCCAGACCTTGTCACCGTTCACCCTGATTATATTGGTGCCTTAGCTTGCGTAAGTGTGTGAAAGGTACGGGTCATCTTTTTTGTTTGGAGCTGCAGCCGGGGTCTAGTTACAGATACAAAGTGGGAGTTTGTTCGCTTGCTCAAAGACTAGGACCAAAAAATAGGCGGTGTCGGGATCGTATCGGCGGGATGGCGCTATCTAGACACTATCTTGCTCGCAGGTACTGTGGAATGAAGCATGGTGCAGATGCACGGAGCAGGATTGGGAACTTGTGACAGGAGCAAAGCAGTAGTTAGGAGCATGGGCCAGGCAGAACCAGGCAGGCCTAAGACATTGGTGGCGGGCGGGTGACAGTTGGGGGAGTCTGGCGTTGTCGGGTCGTTGGTTGCTGTCTAGGATGTGTTTAGTGGTGTCAAACGATCAGAGCAACTGGCGAGTGCTCTTTCGCATGTCTTCAAAAGGAGGCTACCGATATTGCTTGCTCGCTGTTGCTCCTGTTAGTGCAGGGTAGTTGTGGTGTTATTAGACGTCTATGTTAGTAAAGTACTATGTAGATGACCATGTTGGCGTTCATGACAATCCAGGATCTGGTGGGGGCATCAGGACACCGATCCGTCAGGCACCATGTAAGTTGCCGGGGGTAGGATTTCTGGCGAGAGAAATAGAGAGAGAGAGAGTGAGAGAGAGAGCGAGAGAGGCGAGATCGAGGATGAAGAAAGCTGAGGTCGTGATGCGCCTCGACACCTTCTTGGAAGTTCCATGCGAGACAAGGCCAAGCGAGGGCTCGGGTATACTAGACTTGGTCTTTTGGCCTAGGGGGAGAAACGGGCAGCTTACCACCCCCCGACATCCTGGCACGCTAGTAAGAGGCAATAAAATGTCAATCTGTTTGCTCTGCTGACACTCCCTTTTCCCGCTTCCGTCGTCCCCGGGTGCCGATGGGCGGGGGGGGTATCCGACTGTAACAGAAAGAGAATCGAGGGAAAAGAAGAGGACAACAGAAATTGCAAGGTGGAAGTGGAAAGAACATGGGGGAGGGGAAGGGGAGGGGAAGCAAGAACAAGGGTGTGTCATTGGTCGAAAGCCAGGGTGCAACAGGCAGGCACGGCAGGTCAACGGATGCAAGCGGCACCTTCTCTTATTTTTTGGTATCTTTTAGGCCAGGTGCAGTGATGATCGGGTTGGTCGCAAGTGTATGGGATAACTGCAGGTGTCTCTGATTTGGGAATGGCAAAGGCTGCTAAGCTGCTGTAGGCGTTGGTGGCGGGGAAAGGGAGGGGATTGAGAGCGATCGTCCACCCACACCTCGTCCTTGTTATTGCCTATGCTACCTAGATATGCACGACTTCTCACTCATGTCTTACCTGACATTCCTCCTTTTTTTTTTTCCCTTTCCTGTTCCCTCCTTTTTTCTGCCCGCTCTACTTTCCTTCGGCCCCGTGATACCACTACTACACTTGTACCCGAACATCCTTGGTGTTTCGGCTTCTCCTACGCTTGTCTCGTCGTTGCTTTCTCATTGCACGTTAAACATCACGGGCCGTACCAAAGAAACCGACCGGCCAGGAGATGTCGAATTAAGCTCACACCCCGTCTCTTCCCGACTTTGGGTTCGTCTGGAATGACATCCACAAGCTAGCAGTTAGTTGTTAGCAAGTCCAAGCCCAAGTCAAGCCTCAGAGAGCAGCAACATCAGTGCATTGAGCCCTTGGCATCTTTGCGCCGTACTAGGTATGCACTGTACCTTTCTCACTTTCTTTCCTTTTTTTTTTTTTTTTCGCCCGTAGCCCGCGCACGACGCAACTTGACGTGTCGTTTCTCATCGTATTGCAGGGCAGTATCGTGGAGAACCACTTTCACCCGAAGTTGCAGTCTTCTCCGTCAGGTCCCTCCTTTCTCTTTCCCTCCTCCAGGGTCCCGGTGGAGGAAGGATCCGCCGCGTGTTGTCTCCTTTTCCCCCCAACTGCACGGTAGCGATAGCGGTCGGCAACGTAGCCACGACACCCGCGGTTATGGGTGGTACCTTCCAGGAGCAACAGCTTTAGGACTTGCTTCATTCCTTTCATATCCCTCTTTCCTGCTGCTGCTGCTGCTCAAGACCCTCATTTCACATCCGCTTGCCGTCATTGTTGAAGGTGCACCTGCTCCGGCCCTGCCCTTAGCCGGCACTACGCTTCCCGACCATCCCGTGTCAGCAACTGAGTTACACCAGAAAGTTAGACAACTTGGTTGACACCATCCAAGACACTGCATGACTGCATGACTGAATACCCCTCCTTGCATGTCTACAGGTCTCTCTTTTCTCAAGCGAGGTAAGTACTCCCTCAACTCCCAGTTAGCGTTCCTCTCTCACTAACTGGTTTGTACCTAATAGTCACGTCAATGTTACAGTCACGCTAAGGCCAAGCAGGACACACAGGGCGACCTATTACCATTTTCCCCGAGTCTCACTCCCCGCTGCTTTTCCTCCGGCATCCGTGCTTTCCTCCACGCTACTTGGCGCTACTTCCCGTGCGGATAAGACAACCACTACCACCACCACACACACAGAGACACACAAGGCCCAATACCTAATACCGTCCCATGAGCGGGAAGGTCCCATTGGATTGAAACTCTAATTCGCGGCCGCCAGCCAGATCAAGACATTGCCGACATATCAGGTCATTTGACAACTTGCATTTGCCCTTGTCTTGCGTCCTGCCTTCACATTTTTTATTCTTATTTTTATTTTTGGTCTGACCATCTTTCAATACCAATCTGCACAGCAGGAGACACACAACCTTACCAGACACGGACAGGATTCGATTTCTCGCAGACGACATTCTAACCCCTACATTGCGCGGGAACATCCCGGACTCTTACACCCCCTAAACCTCCTTGGCAAGACAGCATAAACCATTCGAGGGTTGCTCTTGCCCTTTTCCGCGGGCCGCCATCTACCAATTGGTGCCCTGGCCCTGAGTCCCATGGCAGAAGAGTAACGAATTCTCCGTCTGTGCCCTTCTTGCCAACAGATACCCAACGCCTGCCTGACTTTCACGGACTCGGTGGGGAGGAACTTTCCTCTGCCTTTTTAAGGAAAGCGGGCCCGGTAGAAGTGGGTCATCAGACACTAAGGCCCCGACATTTCGGTTCCGCGTTGTCCGATGCCATCAGTACCCGTTGCCTTCCTTATCTTACCTTATCCACTATCATTGTCACTGTCGCTCTTAACGAGCTGTCATTGTGTGTATCGTCCGCTCTTATTGCTACGCCATCTGGGCGGTATCCGCTACATTTTTTCGTGTTGCTGTTACGCAATACCCAACGACCTAAGTAGACGTTGCAGTCAGTCCCAAGGCGGCCCGTTTCTGGGGCTGTTACTGGTCTTGGGCTTTGTGCTTAGCGTTAGTTCGGCGAAGCCAGAGGCCCCGCCTACTGTTCTCTCTCGGCTCCATTCCATATTTCCTCACTAGGCTATACCTGCACGACGCTAACCGCTTCTCACAAGCATCCATCTTTGATCCCTCCCTTCGCTCCACTTTGAATTCAAACACAACGCGACTTCTAGCTGTTATTCATCGGCGCCGTTCACTGTCCCTTGCTGGGGACCGTTTTGATGCTGGAGCTCGTGCCTTAACTGAGTTTAGCAGGCTCATGATAACCTAGCTAGTGTTGTTGTACCCATGGCTGGCCGGCTTTCCAAAAGGGCGAGAGATCCAGATGTGGTCCTTTTGACGCTCAACTTGACTTCGTCTCCTGTGCCTAATCCCTCTCCGTTACCATCAAACGCTACAATATTGCCCTCTCCCAGTGTTAACTCTGGGGACCAGATCAGCCATTCAAACCAAGAGGAAACTTCAGGCCCGCCAACTCGGCGGCGTCGTCTGTCTAGGTCGTCATCAAAAAACAGCCGATCTTCGGCACAGGCCCTGTCAGGTAAGCCCATATATTTCCTTGGCTCATCTGACACCTTCCGCTATTTTTGTTTCGAGGAGAAGCTCAGAGAAGGCAAGGAGGAAAGAGGGCAAAATAAAACAAACAATTAAAAAAAAAAAAAAAAGGCGTGCTGAGAGGTTTACAACAAGCAACGCACACTGAATATTAATAACAGATTCCACTCCCTCGTCTCGTCCATCTGGGCAAGGGCCTTTGCACGGCCCACCACCTCCCCCGCCTTCGGAGCTCATTGTAGTATTTACGCCACAGATTCCCCGTCGTCCGCTAGTTGACCCAATTCTACCAAATCCTTTTGAGGACCATGTCGACAAGCGACAACTTGAAGGGCGCAAGTACCAAGTCAGCGAAGAAGGCCCCGTTGATGGATATGTCAAAATTTCCAGATGTCAGTTCACTCAGGGGTTCGAAAACAACGGCGATGAAGTTGTTCGCCCAACCGATACAGTGCGGCTGACGCTATCTGCGTTCCCGGATCGTTGGTTTGCGGACCTGAACCCCATTGACAGGACGTTCTTCAGCTTTTGTATGTCAGATTCGCGATTATTACGGTAATAGAGGCGCTGACTCGCTAGATATCGGCGCATGGTGTGCTGGTCGGACGGTCCTTAAAAAGACCAACTGCTGGCTACAAGACATTGCTCAGATGGCTCACAAGGACGATTGTGTCAAACATTCACTACTTGCCCTTGCCGGGACATATGTGTTTGATTATTTACCTGATATGGAGCACAAATTGGCGGCTCAGGTCCACTATAAGAAGGCTGTGATCTTACTGAGTCTACTGCTAGGAAACGCTCGACAACACACTCCCAGCACCCGGGATGCAGAAGCTTTGGTTGCTGCAATTGCTCTACTGAACATGAACGACGCAGTTTCTGAGGAGCACTGGCGGGAGCGAAAACTCACCCCTCGCTGGTTGGAAGGCGCACGCCTCGCCTGTCGGGTCCTGGATATGACGAATCCTGGTCACCATTACCGAGACCCATTGAACGTTCAGCCTTCTGATGCTCGTGTTGGTAATGCCGTTATTGCCGGCAGAGCCACAATCCTTGCTCTTCCCATGGCACGTCTCAATATCGAAAACACCAAGGATGGACAGTTCGCTTGGTTGCTTCAAGGATCTGAACTGAGCACCCAAAGAATTCACGGTGGATGTGGCATGTCCCCGTCACTGCTCCACCTCTTCTCCCAAATCACCCACGTGGCCGCCTTCATCCATGACGACCCGATTGAGTATGAGTCCACAGCAATGCCTTTGGCATATAAGTTGCTCGATGATCTTAAGAAGCTGTGCCAGTGGTATGAATACGAAAAAGCTGACGGGGACACAAGAAACATATCGATAGACGTTCACAGCATCCGCGATCTGCTAGCTTCCGGTCACCTCGACGCCCATGGCGCTATAAATTCTGGCGAGGGCATGACGGCTTCGACTGCCGAGGCTTGGCGGTTCGCCGCTATCATTTACCTGCAATGCCGCCTCCTACGGCTTCCACGCACCCATCCAGAAGTTTTATTGCAAGCTTCCAATTTGGCAGCGACCATTCGTGTCATGCCAACGTCGGGCTACATGTTCACCGCCCAGGCGCCATTTTTCCCGGTATTTCTGTTGGGCATCGTAGCCATAGAAGACGAACATAGCCAGTGTGCTTCACAATGGTTCGAGGCGGTCACTCAGACGAAGTGTCGCTCGGTAAGTTTGGTACTGGCCCATAAGGCGACACCAGCTGACGAGTTGCCGCCACAGAGCGTCCCGCCTGCGTTTGCAGCCTTGAAGGAAATCCGTCAGTGGATGGCCGCTGAACTCACAGACGCATCTCTTCCTATTCCCATATCCGTTTCGGACCGCTATCCCTGGTGGGAAGACGTGGTAGATCACGTCAATGAGGCCATAGGTATGTTATGCTTGGTCTAGGTGCATAAAATTGTAGAGGATCACATTTGAAAGGGCAGAGAGGCAACTAGACTTGACAAAAACGTGTTCTGTATTTGGTACTACCGTTGCGTGGTTCAGCCTCCCTTCACCCATTGGGTGTGTTGTAGGTGCGTAAGCTTGCGGTTTCCCATCGCTTCACCCCTTCCCGAGATGTGTTGAGAGACGTGTGACCTGAACCCACTCCCCTGTCCGTACTTCTTCCCTCGAACTTCCGCTGAGCAGCTACGCTCCGCGGACGTTGGCGGAATCAATGGCCTGTCAGAGGAAACCTCGGCGCTGTGGTCACGGCGTATGAGGTACTGGCGCATGTCGGAGCCATCAATAGCCCAGGACCTGATAACCTCGAGGCCAGCCTCAGCACACATCTTTGTGACCATCCATTCAGGACGCTTATGGGCGTCGAACCAGTCCAGCTCGGTACCTCGCCCGATAATTTGGATACCATCCTCCGCACTGCCGCGAGCGGCTGCGGTGACGGCAATGTCTTGCTTGGCCTTGAGGAAGAAGCGGTGTCGTCCCTCGTCCTCCTCGATCCCCGCGCAAATATCCCAGTCCTCCGCCTTGAAGACTCTCTCCCCGAGTAGGCCGTTCGCATGCTCCAACCCGTTGCAAAAGAAGTCTTGAAACAGCGCCGGATGGGTATGGTAGGCGTCCCAGACCTTGGCAGACGTAACATCGTGGCCGTCCATACCGGCGAGGATGAGATCGTCACGGCGCATGAGGGCGGCCCACTCGCGGAGAGAGTCGACAGCCTTGTGCCATGGATCGTTGAAGAGTACCGAGCCCAGAGAAAGGAACATGCGCGGCGACGACGAGGGAAGGGCGACACAGAAATCGATGCCGGCCTTGAAGTCGCCCCAGAGGCCCGCCATGTGGACACTGCCACCGGCGTGCTCCGGAGCAAGGAGGTCGAGGTTGGTGGTCAGGGAGCGCGAGGAGATGTCGAGGGCGAGGTAAGTTGCTTCACGGCCGAGGCGAGTCAGCTGGTCGAGGAGGAAGTTGACTTTGCGCATGTCACTATATATCATTACCCCGAGAGTTAGTTACTTGGTCAATCACAGTTTCTCCTTGTCTTTCTTCCTAGACGATCAAAGACAAGCTATCACAAAGTGTTGCCGTGCTCACCCTGCACCGAGATCGACCATGATGGCCCCTTCAGGGATGTAGTTGGCAATCTCTACGCTGTTCTTTTTGAAGAGGGTAATCTCGTCGCGTGTCTGGTAGAACTCGGGCGTGAATATAATGTCGGCCCAGATGGCCAGGCCCTTGTCGTCGTAGAGTAGCTCGTCGGGCATGGTTGGGGGCGGCTGGCCACTAAGGGCGGCCATGGCGAAGACACGTCGAAGATCGTCAAGTATGTTGGACGACATGTTGCCACCGCCTATGTCAAGGACGGTTCCGTGGTCAGGTATTCTGTGTGCCATTTTGAGGTGAGATCTCGTCATAGTATAGCCCAAGTGTGTGCAAACGTTTGTACGTGGTATATATATTTACGTGATGAATGGTCTATGATGGAGGGGGAATATTGTCAAAGTGCTTATAACAAATGTCAAGGCAAACGTAAACAACAACAAACAACGATCAGGAGGAGTTGTACGGCTACGGACTGTCGCAGCAGTGTGTTCCACTGCCTCTATTTTATATTTGTTTACGATAATGCTGAGCCAGCAACCCTTCACTGCACTTTCCCTTGTGTGACCTGCCCGTCCCCTCCAACGCTGGTTCACCAGACGCCCACTCGGTTACCTGTCATGGCGAACGCATACATCGGCAGCCCCAGTCAACTGGAGTCAAACTAACATACCGCCCTGTCCCGTGCCTTGGCATAGCCGTCGAAGCAGCATTGGTCCTCACCGGGAGATCCACAACGGCAAGAACTGGATGCCAAATCCAATGAGACATTTGAGATCAGATCCATAAACCTGACCGACTTTCCCTCTTCACCCACAGCCCGGATGCAACTGGATAGCCCGGCTCATCGATAATCGACTCATGTGAAGTACACTGCATGAAGGGCGACCAAGCCAGACCACGAGGCGCCGGCAACGAGAAGACGCCAACTGTGGGGACGAGACGACAAGCAGCACCTGCAGGAAGTTGGTTGTCTCCTAGCGGTCTAGCCAATCGCTTACTACAACCAACTACTTTCACCGCGGGGGCCTCCTGCCAAAAAGAGGCTCGTCCCGGACGGGCTTCGAAAAGAACGGCACAGGGCCAGCAAATCTTGTTCTAACGCGGAGTTGGATTCTTTCGCCATGTGCCCTTGTTTCTTGTTGGTCCACGATGTCACGCTCGAGCGAGACCCCATGTTCGGCCGTAAAAAATGGGCAGCAGCTGACCTAACCGCTTGGTAATGTTTGTCCGTCTAGGCACGCAGAGGTAACCCATGCCCAGTGGTACCGAGCCGACATATCTTACACACGGCAGCATTGAGGGCTCCGATAGCTTTACGGCCAACTCAATCATGACGTACATTCGACGTACCTCGGGCCGCCGTATCATTCTGATACTCAACGCACCGAGCCGCCGGTCTGCAAGGGTCAAACTGATCAGTTTACCGCTGCCAGTCACCAGATGCTGGCCTCATCACTCACCGGTTCGAGACAACGCGCGCTTCGCGTGCGCATAGAGAGGCAGCCTGGGAGGAGCTACGCCGCCAGGGTGCCTAGACGTAGGCCCTCTCTCGGAATGGAAGTTGTCCAAAGACCCGTGACCGATGCATTTCTAACAGAGTTGTGAATGCGAACATCTGAACGGGTTATCTCCTTCGGCCAGGAAGCATCCGTCAAGGACCCTACAGTGGTCCAAGACTATCCATCCATCAGGCGCCTAACGGCAGCACGTCAGGTATACTCACACCAGCATCTGCACCCGCCTTGCAAAACGTGGCACCACGTGATCGGCCTCAACCTGTCTGATACGTATGCTCCTAGATTGGTGCTGTTTGCAGTGTTGCAACGCCTCCTAACTGTTACCTATTTAGCTGAAGCTCGGGTATTAAGCTTGGTTTCCGGTAAAATTGGCCCGTGTATTGGGCAGTATTGAGGTCACCGTGCCGGCCCCGGGCGGCATCACGGAGCGGACCGCTTGAGAAGAAGACAGCTATTCAGCACGGGGCCTCCTGACGGCCTTTGCGGTCGTGGATCAACCGCCTCATTTCGGGATGCAACCCTGGCACGTTGCGGACCAGCCCTTAAATCCTCTTAGCCCCCAGCCCTTCACCACACACCATTCATAACGCCGTTCTCCTCGTAACCAAGGGATTTGGGAGCTGCAGCCGGAGTTCTAGGCAAGCTGGCAACAGCACTGTCAAGGTGGGTCGAGTAACACCTGTCGTTGTCTATTGGTGATGCTGCGAATGCAAAACATGTTCAAGTGTTTCGCGCTGTCTCTCGCATTGAAGTTACGAGAGGTGACTCGCGGCATGTGCTGGCCGAGGTCAGCAACTTGAAGGGGTGGTAATTCGTTTAGATGTTAGGCGGGTATCACAGCTGAGGTTAGTCAAGCAGCTGCGACAATATGCCTGTCTTATCGCTTTCTGTAGGGATGCTCTTTGACGCTTGTTGGTTTGTCGCGGCGGGACCGCAGGATTGACAGCGACTCCACGGCCGCTCGGCAACGTCAGGTCAAACCCAGAACCCGACTCCAAGCATGAATGCAGCAGGGTTAGCATGGAACTTGGCGATCATTCCCAATGCACGCGCCTCAGAATACGCCTGGCGCGGTATCACTATTAGGACCCAGCTCCCAGTGGAGAGTCCACTTTGTCAGGTGGTAGTAAACACACCGAATAGTATTGACATCAGAGCATCGTGAGCGGCTTCGCAAGTTCCGGGTGCGTGTTCACTTCCCCAGATTGGATCGTCTGAGCAGCAGTTCATATTGCTCGGTAATCAAGAGCGAACCATCTTGTCAGATGGTAAGGAATCCAATCGGACGGGTGTGACCCAGGGCGTACCAGGGCCAGCATTGCTCCCGTAATGTTGTTAAGCCCCATTGTACAGGTGAACTGCCCGGAGTCAGTCCAGATCAGGTTGTTGTCCTTGCTGGGCCCTCGTCATGGATCTGCTTGTTGGAGTCATTTGCAACGCGTCAAAGGGCCCGGTTCCGACAATCCCTTATACGCCCATGGGGCCGAGAAAAGCTTAAGGTCCATCCATCCTGGTCCCGCAGAAATCCGAAGAAATTAACCACGACAGAAGTCCTCTGATTTTTCTGACATCTTTTGGGCTACCGGTTGCAAATGTGCGGATATGCTACGCAGCCTCTCCTTTTGCACCACATGATCCTACGCAGGCTTGTTAGTTCTTTTCGGCTCGATCTACCCGTGCAGCAACACGTCTGGCAAACCGTGCTCCGTATGATACAGCAGCGGTAGGGATATCGCTGCTGTCGGACCCGAAGAGGGTGGGTGTGGAGCCGGCCGCTCAGCCTGTTGGAGTTTGAGGTCTCTCGAGTCAGTCTTGGACACTCAGCGGGATTGAATTTGCAGTGGCGGTTTCAGGAGGCAAAAGACGGAGAGATGCTTGAGCGAATAATTCGCCTCTTCTCGCCCTTATTCGCCTGCACAAAGAGACGAACGTTGAAGTGATGCCCGGTGGGAAAAAGTCCAATGGTGCCCAAGGTGGAGAGGTTGATGATCTACAGTTCGGCCGGGTGTCGTTGGCGGCCGTGATGGTTGCGTCGATGCATTCGAGAAGCTGGGGGGGAAAGCCTACGGCGAGTCTGTGTTGAAAACGAGGTGTCGCTGAGGCGCCCGAGCGGTAGAAACAAGCGGCAGAACTTGAGTGGTAACAGCGTCGTCGATCGTTGACCCGGCCACCTTCCCTTTCGCGTCTCGATCACGCCCATTGGACCTCGTGGCAGGCGATCTATTTCAGAGACCGCCGTAGCTTCGCGTGAACGGTCCTGTCTAAATTGGTGGCCGTCTGTTGTGACGGACACATTGCTTTGGTCCGTTTTGCCCCCTGCGAGCAGGTAAGCTCCCAAGATGATGGTGGGACAGCGGAAATGCCGGTTCTGACCTCAAGGAGGCCCGTCAAGAAGACTCTTAGATTCCGGTTCGATGGTTTTGGGGCGTTGCTAACCCTGGGTTGCCGGCCCTGGCCATCCGAAGAAGCAAGACAAGGTCTGCCTGGGTACGCTGAGCACCCACGTCATATGCACTGTCTTTCTAGCCAGAAAGGGTGAGTATGGATAGGTATGGGGGGATGCCATTGACACGCTCCATCAAGGATGAAACAGAGGAATAGCTATCATCATTGCATTCTCTTCTCTTACAACGTGACTTCCATCAAATGTCTCTCAACATGCAACCCCAACTTGGCGGCAGTGGCTGACGGTCCATAGGTGTGCGTCAAGTACGTAGCATGAAGAGACGGAGAGAGAGCATTGCATTGCTGGTCGACGGCTACCTTGGAGTCAGTTCATCCCACTCAGCTAAGTTCAGCTAACAGACGTGGTTTCCTCGTGTGAGTGGGTCTGACGAGATTTAACATGCAAATCCCTCCAACTGCCGGCGACTGGTCTGACACTCCCTGCTGCCGTCATCGTCGCCGCCGCCGCCGCCGTCGTTGTCGCTTTCCCCTGTGAGACAAGGAGGGCACTCCGTACTAGCCAAACTGATCGTTTCTTTGCGCGCTCGACAGTGGTGACTGACAGAGACGCGGTTTGGGCACGGGCGTTTCATGTCCAGATCGAGAACGGATGATGGTTGGGTTGACTTTTTTTTTCTACTCATTTTCCCTGAAACTGAGAAAGGGTGTTATGCTATAGTACTGAACGTCTAACGGGACAACCGTCGATGAATGTTATTAAATTTGCTACTAGTTGCGGCCACAATTTGAAGAATGGGGCGGGCGGGTGTGGCTACTATTCACGACTCCTTTGTTTGGTCCCTTTTTTTTTTTTTTTGCCCCTGCCTCTCCTCTCTCTTCAACCTGCCCTGCCCCTGGTCCTAGCTAGTTTGGTCTGCGGGAAGCCATCCCGTTGGCTGACATGCGCGCAACTGCCTTGCCGCCATAATGAGTGTCGGCCTGGACCTGGGAGTGTTTTTGGTCTTGGGTGTGTCTTGGATCAGACTGAGGCTTTGGTCCTGTCTTTGTCCTTGTGTGAATTGGATGGGGGGTTGACGGAGAGCGCGGGCTGACCACGCCACAGCATGGACATTAGTATGTTAGTGGTTTCCAAGTGTGATCAGGCCCGGCGTTCGTCGTGTATGTCCGGCTCAGCGGTCGCACGTTGGCAAAATACATTGCCTGATAAATGTCGTTGCTTGAAATGAAGTTGATAAGAGGCTGAGGGGCTGTAGCGTGCCGCTACCGCCCTGTAGCATGGCGAAATCATTGAGGATTGATCTTTGGAAGGTTTGATTTTATGTTTATTTTATTTTATTTTCCTTTCTGGATTAGCACGTCGGCGTCTGAGAGCACTGATGATTTTCCATGCTGCAGCCGGTGCTTGCTGCTAAAGGTGATGTGATGTATCCAGCCGAGCGGCACGGGTTGAGCTACAAAAATAGACAAAATTTAGTTTTGCGACCGTTCCCAAGGGCTGTTGATACATCGTAGCCTCTCAAAGGGGGTTAACCAAACAGGGATGGAAACCGAGGGTGGCCCCCAGTGCATGGTTGGTAAGAGCCACGGATCATGTTTGGTCAATGAGCCAGGGCCGTGTGGGAGGCCGCAGGGACTTTCATCTAGTCCGAGATGCACAAATGCAGGCACGGAAATGGTTGACATCGTACTACGTAATTACGCTTTTTGGCAGCTCAGAGCTATCCACTGTCGACATTGCTCTACACTGTGGGCAGCTGCGGCTTTACCAAGAGCAGGGCCCATACAGCCTGTCTTGAGCGGGGGTCATGGCACGCAGAATATCAACGGTCAGGGGTGAGGGGGGACAAGCAGATATAGCACAATGTTAAGCGAGTAAAGGAAGAAGAAGAGGAGATGACGGCGATGACGATGAATGGAAGCTTGCATGGAACAATGATCGAAGCCTCCAAGGGTCTTTGCATCAGAAATCACGTCGGTACCCGTCAATCATGCTCCTGTACAGCCCGCTGTTGCTGATCTGACATTGGTCTGTCGGCTGTCCAGGAACAGATCTCTGCAGTAGCGTACATAGTACCTTTCTCAAGACATGCCAAGGGAGGGCGTGGGTGTCAAGCATGCAGTGTACCTACCCAGCCGCCGGCAGGCAAGGAAGCAGTTCATGGGAGTGAAATACGAAGATTCAGCCCGCCACGTCTTCGAGCTGCACATGGTATCTTTCGTGTTCCTGTTAGCCGTTGCTAACTCCTGGGTCGTTTTCGTCTCTTTTTCACTGTTCTTCTTTTAAACTGGTGTCATCTTGAAAGTCGACCGGCACTCCTGAAACAGAATCCCCAATGCGACTAAAACAAACCGCAAGAGACCAAATTCAGTTCGCGTTTGTTGTTTGGGACAATGCTGGTCGCTGAACCTCTTCTTCGCCTTGCGGAGCCTCTCTTCTGTCATCGACTGACCGCCTGTCTCGCTCATCTGCGACCGACCGGTTATGCCTGTTCTCGACCCGTCCGTGCTGGGGTGCCGGGCCCTTTCTCGCTTCTGCCAACCCCACGTCTTCCATTCTCCCTCTCTTAGGTCGGTGGTCAAAGCCACCAGATTGCTCGTGAGCTTCGACTGATTGGGATCTTTCTAACTGCAGTAGCGCGACCCGCCCTGACTATCGTTGTTCAAAGTTGCCTGCGGCAATCTCCGTCCATGCTCAATAGCCCCAAAGACCTTGTCATCTGGACCACTCTGAGAACCATGCATGATGGATGTAATCAACGATGGCTGTCCTAGCCATAGGACATGCCGTGCCATGCGACGGCGACTGTGCCTGAGCTGAAATGTAGAGACACAGACCGAGAGAGCATGAGCCCCGGTCCGTTCTGGTGAGGCGGGTACCTTTTGTAAAGGGCCGCTCGTCAAAAGGCCCGGCCCATGGGAGTCTGAGCTTCGGCAGCAGAGCCGCAGGATACTACACTGGCGATGGAACTCGTCCTTTGCCTTATTGTTCTCGTGATAAGTAATTGTGTTCTTCCCGATGAGCCCATTACGTCTTGATTGTCAAATGCGTTCAACTTTTATCCCTTTCTTTGCCATCGGCTGTTCTGCTTTCAAACAAAGGTATTCGAACAGGCGGTCAAGGCAACAAACAGCCTACAGAGGTGCGAAGGTCATCGATGAGGACAGTGTGTTGTCTGAGATAACCGAGTCGGCCGTTTGTCTGCTGCCCACACACCCCCCATAGTTGGATTTTAACGAGCTGTCCTTGCCGTGAACGCCGGTGTTCTAGTCCGTCCGCGCGAGCCAGTTCAAGGCTGATACGACACAAGGCGCCTTGTTTTCCAAACCCTGCCGTGTGCAGCAAGAAGTCCGTGTAATCTTGCTTAGTCGGTTAATTACCCGGGGACCCCTGAAGGCGGCCAACCTTCTCGAAGCATTCCAGAAGGAGTGGGGAGATAAAAGAGGACTTGCAAGGGCCACTCGACCTCGGCGTCCCACCCTCGTCGCAGATGAAGCAGCGAGACGGCGGCGCAGTCCATCCCTTTGACGCAGTCGTAATTCCATGGGAGCTTCCGCGCTATGAAATTCCTTCTAGAAGCTTTCTGGAAACCTTCCCCATCAGGCTTAAGCCCAATCTCCTTCTTTCATGCATGGACCATCATTCTCCCCACGCGTCCAGCTTTTCGCCAGGTTTGTGCTTTCCCTCCCCTGAAGCTCCTTGTCAGAGATGATGACGGCGGCACCCCTTTTTGGCCGTTACTCCCTAGCTCAGATGCTCAGCTGCCCTGCGCAAGCGCCGACCTAGAGATGGCAGAGGCCAAGAGAGTCCACTGTGAAGATGCTGATCCTCGCTAAAGGAGGGGGGCGGCCCTTGCGTCCCTATGCTTCTTGAGAGGTCAATTTTCGAATTGAATGCCATGTTTGCTGGCGGATCTCAATCGAATACTATGGTACAACAAGCAGGGCCCGCCGCAAGATGACCGTCATCGAAGGGGGGTTTCCCGGCAAAGAGGCAGCAAACCCGGCGCGTCATTCACCATTTTGAATTAGAAACCCCGCTAACGTGCAGAGTACTCGAAGCCGTCGACAGAAGCATGTACTTTGGTGAATGTACCGAGCCATGGCCGCACAGTGCTCCCCTGACTGTCTGAACGAAGCATGGTGACCAGTCTAGTTGTAAAATGTAATACTAGCCTGCTATACAATGGACAACGGTTCAAACGGCTTTCTGTATGGTTTGAGATAGCCATTATTAGGCCGCTACCAAGTGCACACTCCGAAAAAAGAAAAAAAGAAAAAAAAGAACACATAATGTTGGCATGCTTTCCAGTCCGCATGATATAGGCCCTTATTCGTGCTAGGTCTCTGCATCTCTCCGGCGCGACAACAACAGTTCTGTCACCTTAAATTTTCCATGGCAAGCAATAGTTTCCAGAAGGAATGGGGTGCTTCCATGACCTTGCCCCTTTCATACTTGCAGAGCTTGGGTGCCCTGTACATTGTAGCGTCACATCCTCGCAAGGCCCCTTGGATCGAGATTGCCCTTGCAAAGGCGAACAGATGCCCAGCTCTACTAGTAGACGTCAGTGAGAGAACCGAGCAGGAATGGGTTGAGGAGGAGAGAAGCAAGGGGTATTCAAACAGCTCCAGCGCAACTTTGTTTCGTGGCTTTGAAGCGTGCTTTGGAGGACGCAGTCAATTTCATGGTGTCCGAGCGCTCATTAAATGACACTCTGTATCTCGTGTCAAAACGCTACGGTCATGGGCATAAAAATGCACCTTTTCTTTGTCTTGTAGTCAAAATTGGCCGCCAAGAGGAAGGCAGTACACCAAGAGAGAATTGGCAGCCTCTGTGGTGGCTAGTCCAATGAGCCATCTTTTGTGAGGGGTGTTGTGTGGGAAATGAACGGTAATGAGGTACACATTTAGCCATTGTTGCAGCGGATTGCAGCTCATGTAAGGTGCTGATATGTCAGACACAGCCGGCATCCCCTCGCACATGCCAGGGATGGGGAGAACAAGTGCTGCGAGGCGATCTGTATTGCAAACGCTGCAAGTTGGATGGTCTTGGGCTCAGGATAAATGCGAGATGGAGTGGCTCTGACCACACTCTGCGCGTGCTCATGACAGCAGTTGCTTGACAAAGAAGTCAGCCAGCCGCAACGGCGGTTGCCCAATCGAGGAGGGGAGTGGCCACATGGAAGCTTTGGAACATTCGTCTGGCACAGGGTCAGAGCGTCGCCAAGTGCACCTTATCTGACGAGCACTGGCGGCGGCGGTTGGGCACCCGAGCAGTGCCGACGGGCACATTTCGTCCATCTCCAGGCTCAGGGATAGTACGGCTGGCGCAAAATGGTGGGGGCTGCTGTCATTGTCATGGCCAGAGTGGTTGGATGCCGGCACAGACGGTATATGCTCTGTTGTGTGTCTTCTGGGGACGCAGAAGGCTCACGAGCCCCAACTGTTGTCAGTCCACAAACGACCAGACTTTCAGCGACAAGTCAGTTCAGACTTCAGCGGTTCGAACATCGGGCAGTCCCCAGCAGCTTGGGAAACAGATGTGAGCAACCACCCCTGCTCCGCCCTATCGTAGGTTTTGTCTGTGGGGATGCGAAAGGTAATTTGGTGTCTCAATCTGGCACTTGACTGGGAGACGAGAGACCCACTTCTTGGTGGAGATGATGGCAGAAATAACCCGATTGTTTGATGATGACGAGGCCAAACGAGAGGAAAGGCAAATAGGTGCCCGGGGGTGGAGGAGGGGCGTTGTTGTCTTGTGCCTTAGGCGAGCCAGCCAGTAGCCCATGGTCTCGTTGTGCCTGGGTTCCTAGCGAGGGCCCCTGAAGAAAGAGAGGTAGAGGACAATAATGATGATGAGCAGCGGAGGCGGTGTCGGCAGCCAGTTGCATAGAGGACGTAGTACACACGTAGTCGTGATTGAATGAGGATCCCCTATTCTGATTGATATTGCAGATCAACCTGTATTATCTAGTCTGTTTTCTCAACGACTCATTTAACATGGACATGAAGCATTGGTGATGGGCGCTGCATGGTGGTTGTTCTGTGTTCTGATGGCAAACAGGTACTGGCATTAACTCAGTCCTTGCATCAGACAGAGGGTTTCGGTACGTAGCGAAAAGGGCAAACAGGGCAGGAGAAGTATCGAAAGATTAAGCAGACAACTTTGGTAAGGGGTTGCAAAATGGACAGGCTTTGATGAGGAGCGAGAGAGAGAGAGAACGAGGCTTTAGCAAGATGAAGGTACAAATGTCAGGCGCATGATGCCTGCTCCTGTACTTTAGTTGTTGGACAAAAAATCGAGCGAGATGACTAGGACTGAGGTTACTTGAATTCCTTCTTCTGGACCTCAGTGGTAAAGGTAAAGGCAAAGGCAAAAAAAAAAAGGCAGAAGCAATGGCAAAGGCAACGAGCACCAGCTCGCAGGGTGGTCCTAACCCCTGGGTGGGCGGTGGCCCAAACCGGCAGCAACACAGGGACGATCGTCACTGACTCCAGGTTCAGCAGGCACAACAGAAGTGGAGTGAGTGAATGGAAGGGGATAAGCAGAGAAGGGAGAGAGAAGTGCTTGAGGGTGGACTGTGGGCCCCTTCTTGGTAAAGACGGATGACACACTGTGCGCACTGGGTACGGCAGGTGCGGCCTCTGACAAGTATGTGTGGCGTGGAAACTTACAGCTTGTACGAGGCAGAAGTATCGAAGCCGGGTGGAACTCAGTGTAAGGAGGGGAGGGAAAGAAGGAAGAGGAAAGGACGTGGAAGGCAAGGAAGGGCAGGGGTGGGAGGAAAGCATGGGGCACGCACCCTTGCTTCCAGGGCAGGGCAGGTACTCCCGTACCCTTGTACCTCCGTACCCCCGTTTACCCCCGTTCGTGCCTGCTTCAGCGTAAAGGTCCCCAGTGTCCCAGCTAAACCGTTCGTTTCAATTCACCTAAGCTTCCGCCCTTGAGATTTCTCACTTGACCTGACTTGGGGGGAGGGTGCGTGTGCGCGAGTCTCCGGCGGCCTGAAGTGGCTCTTTTGCGCTTTTCCGTGTGTGAGATGAGCGCGCGTGTGTGTTAGAGAAAGGGAAAGGTGAGGAAGGTAGGTGCGTGGGTTGTGTGTATTATGAGATGAATAAGATATGTACATGCGTAATGAATCTTCTCACCTCCCAGTCTGTTCTGTCCGATGGCTGGTCGTATTCATATTTCCTCTCTCTGTCTCCTTCCTCTCATTCGATTCATAAAGTAAACCCATTTCTTTTGTCCCCATCACGTCCACTCTTACCTGGCCGCAACCTGGCTCCTCTGATCGATCCGTCACCCCCCTCCCCTTCTTTTTCTTCCTTTCTTCCCCCCCGGTCTCACTAAAAGGATCGTCCCCCGTGGTTGACATTTTTTTATAACACCTGCCGAACCCCGTCCGTCCGTCCCTGCGCTCCGCTGCTGCGTCACAGCTTCTCCTTCCTTCCCCTTGCTCTCTGCTGTACCTCACTCAAGGGCCTTCTACCTTACATATCTCAACGCTCCCTCTGCAGTAGCGACAGGATTTAGCCAACCGTGCTTTCTTTTTCTCTACTTCTTCTTTTGCTCGCAATTGACGACCTGTTCCGATATCGAAAAGGAACTGGGACCCAGCATTTCGAGATACTCTCGCCGAGGATACACCAAGTAAGTTGCATCATTTCTGTTTCCTTCTCCCATACCTCTCTGATTGTGGTGGTGTGGTGCTGCTGTTTCCTTCAAGTCGATGTCGTCGTTTGTCGTTTTCACCTCCTGTTTGCCGGCTTCAGGTTGGCTTGCTCATCATCTGCGTTCCTGGGTTGTCGGTGCCGTTTGGTAACTGCTACTGCCGCTCCTGCTGTGTCTGCAGTACGTACCTTGTCGCGCTGCCCTGTGGCTGCCCTGGTCTATGCCTGGGGCTGTCCAGCGCCTTGGTCACCTCGCCTCACCTTCTATTTTTTTTTCCTCCACGCTTCCTTTCCGTCCACTTTTTCCCCCCTAACCCTGCCGGACCATCTGCACCCCCGATCATAAGGTTTCTTGGCCCCTGTTACCTCATCTCGTCCGAGACCTCAGCACACGCGAACTTTGACAAACACTTCCTCGACACTGGCTAGCCCTCGGCCTCGGAGGCACCAGTTATTTCCTTTACCTCCTCTTTTGGCCCATCCATCCCACCACAACCTCCTCCTTCTGGCCTCTGTCGCCTCGTTTTCCATCGTTACGACCACTAACCACAGGCGCGTCTACTAGGACACCCCGACACGACCGCCTCTTCACCTATTCGCTCCCTCTTCCTGCTCAATCACTTCGCGTATCCTAGTAGGAAATACACATCATTTGCCCATCGACCTGACGAGTGTACTGCACACGTCTATATACCGACGATTACTCGAACAAACTGTGGTGGGCTGTGCCTCCGTCAATCAAGAACACAAAGGCCTTGTGGCCTGTCGATATTTTACCAACACGACAGCAACCCTATTTTTACATCGTTCTTCCGAGTCGTGCGATTACGGATCCTATCCTGGTTCCTTTCACTAGCAGCTGCTGCCAGAAGAAGTCCTGGATTGAAGCGTATTTCTACCCTGACAGATATCTCGACGGCAAGGACGAGCAGCATACTGGTCTGTGATCTTTGATCGGTCTGTCCCGGATTTTTTTTCAGCACCCGTACAAGGTAAGCCTGCAGTCAAAACCCATCATTCTGATTCAGCTCGAATCCGCCACCAGGTGCTCCTGGCACCTCTAGTCATGCCAGAGGGTACGCTGGGCTATCCCCGTGTTCGTTTTGCCTTCCCTAACCCTGCCGGTGGAGTCGCACCCAAAACGCTTCCTACTCGTGGCGATGCGCGTCCCCCAAAGACATCCCTTCTCGAGCCTGTTCTTTCCAAACCTCTCGCCCCCTCAGTCGCTTACTAGACTAACTTTCCCAAGAACACACAGTCTTCTTAAACCTTAAGTCACCTTTGTCTGACACAAAACTATCCGAGAACCTCTTGTAAGCTGGCCATTCAAGCTGCAGAGGCCCCAACAACCGCTAGCGATTTTCATCGTAATATGAGGTCGCCAGCTCCGGGCGAAGTAATGGACATTGGCAACTTGATGAATCAAAGAGGTGCCGCTATGCAACAACACGCTCCCATGCCCACCGGATCGACCCCGGAACGACAGATGCCCCATCTCCCTCAGCTCACAGCGAGAAACATGCCCGAACCACCCATGGACCGCGCTGGTTCTCCTCATGGCTCAGAACACTCTCACTACTCCCGTCACACTATGGACGGTGTCCCGCGATCGTATCCTTCACCTAGCGCCATGGTTGGCGCCCCAATGCCCATGCAGGTGCCTGTTTCTCACATGGCCCCGATTTTGCCTGGCATTCCGCAGGATATGTCTCATGGAATGCCTCAATACAAGGCGCCTGAGCAACAGGCACCGCAACAGCCTACGAAGGCCTATCCGTGCAGCACCTGCGGCAAGGGATTCGCCCGTCGAAGCGATTTGGCTCGTCACGGTAAGGTTGACCCCGATCCTCTGTCAAAACAACAATACTGACTGAAGATAGAACGCATTCATAGTGGCATCCGTCCCCACGTTTGTGACTTTCCTAACTGCGGAAAGCAGTTCATTCAACGATCTGCACTTACTGTTCACCAACGCGTCCACACCGGAGAAAAGCCCCATATGTGTGAACGTTGCGGCAAACCTTTCAGCGACAGCAGTTCCCTCGCCCGTCACCGCCGCATTCATTCTGGCAAGCGTCCGTACAAGTGCCCTTATGCCGATTGCCAGAAGACCTTCACCCGCCGTACCACTTTGACGCGACACCAGAATCACCACACTGGCACTGTCGAGGAGGCTGCTGCTGCTACCGCCGCAGCTCTCGCTGCGCGCGGAGCCGTTGCCAAACCGAACTCGGCCCGCTCTGACGGAGATGCCATGTCTAACCGTGGCTCGCCTCTGACAACGCCCTCTCCCGGTCAGCGAACGCTTTCGATGTCCCCTAGCGCAGACAGCATGCACCGCGCCAACGCCGAGTTCCAGTATATGGGCAACAGTTCGCTCCCAGTGCACCTTCAAAGGGACATGCACGTTGGTAGTCCTGCATCGACATCCTCGACTGGCTACAACACCAGCATCAGACCTACTTCCCACCCTACGGGCTACGGGCCACCCCCCACACTGGAGCCTAGCGTTGAGCAGCATTCTGGTCCTGGCAGCGCAGGCGGTAGCCCTCACATGGGCAGTGTTGGCTGGCAGTCCCCATCTCATGTGCCATCGCCTTCGCATAGCAGCAACGGCGGCAACGGATATACGTACCCCGATCCCGATGCCTACCCAGCTGCTCCCTCCCTTGGAGGACAGATGTTCTACGGCAATGCTGCACAAGTTCGCCGGCCTCAGAGCACAGAGCCCCCTGCCGCCTACGACCTGAAGGGTCGCCAGAGCGAGCTGTGGGCGGGTGCTCACTAAAAGAACCCATGGTCAAACATCATACCCAAATTATCCTTGGCTTTTGTCGTCTTTGATGACTTGAGCTAGTCCCAGGATAATAACTGCCACGACAGGCCAGGAAGAGTGCAGTTCCAACCATTTCCTTAGTGTGCTTATTCCATTTCTTTGCGACACGAAAAGTTTGTGCATGGCAAGGTTGGGGGAGGGTAAATACATACAACTTTAATACTACGGGCTGCACCGGGACTGGGTCAGGGAGATACCAAAAGCACGGGCAGCCATCTGGTTCGATTTACACGCCTTTTCTTTTGTTTTGATAGACGGGCGGAAAGCACACTTCATGATGACTGGGTTCTGCCGCATGGGCGGGTATTGGCTGGAGGTAAAGGGCTGGGGGAGTTTCCAATACAGGAGACGAGCACTCTTGGGCGGCATGCCGACGGATCGGCGGGGAACCCCGATAAAGGAACTGGACCTCTGTTTTGTTGCGGATCTTTGTATGCAAACCTGTACTAGACAATGAACGCGCGTAGCTTATTCTTCTCATCTCAAATTGGACTTGCAGGCCAGTGAATGCACCCGCATCTGCTTGTATGGGGATGTGACCAGGGAAGCTTGAGGACCGACCTTAGGCTGGTCAGTGTGCTGACGGGGTGCACATGCAGTCTGGAGCGTAGCGTTCGTTCGTTGGAACGGGACTGACGACCCACTGCACTTCACGAGCATGCTAAGAGGTTTAAAGGGTATGTTGATGCAAGCGAATTTGTGAGAAAGAGACATATATCAAAATGATGTGGCGTACCGTAGCGTCTTCTTACTCATAGGTTCTTAATAGTGTTTGAGATGAAAGTAGAGCAAGATGAAAGGGGCCATATCCATCAGGTAAAGGCAGTGTCAGCTATCAGCCAAAACATCTCGCTTGACGAAATCGAGATTGATAGACTATTTTATGTATCTGCATCGGGATGTCTGCAGCAGTGATCGTGCATGGCTATGAGGTAGGCAACGAGAAGGATGAACAACGAAGAAGGACAATAAGAGGTAAAGAACAAGACCTGGCCGGTGCACTACGGCCTCTTTGCTGTTTTTGGTGTCGGATTGATGAGAAAATCAGAAAAAGAATTGGGTAGTGAAAAGGGGATTTGTCTGCCGAATGTTGACTCCTCATTGGCTGACCAGTGACGCACAGACGGGAATTGGACCTGATTGGCTGCATATACTCTTGGGGGGCCTGCTGTATTCCGTAGTGGGAATTGATTAGTGAACTTCATTCCGCCTTCAGATCGTTCCGAAGCTCAGACACCCGAATCTCCAAGTTCAGTTCGTCGGGGCAGGAAGAGATGTGAGAGCGTACCGGGAAAGGAGTGAGGAGGAAGGGGCAAGATCATGGTAGACGACACTCGCGGCATATTGTCCGGTCCGTTGAATCGGTATAGTGTTTTGGATTTTAGATCACTCAGGCGGAGTGTTCTTGCGGAATCAGAGGGTATCACATACCTGATTACTACCCAAGGCTAATAGGTAGAAGAAATCATAATTGATAGGAATACTGAGGGGTGTTGGCGCAAGTCGCCTGGGAGGAAGCCGAAGGCACGGAGATGCCTGGGTGCCTGTGGGCTATTTATCCCATGAGAAAGAGCACGAAGATCTTGATTACTATTCATTGTGTCTCTTGATATCGGCCGGGCGGCGCCCATTTTTCAGCCCGCTTACATACGTTTCGAGCTCATGCGCTTTACCGTGGAATCCTGCTCAAAATGGTGTGTCGTTTCTTCCCTCTCGCCTTGTTCGTTGACCCGTGACCTGCTTAACCTGCAGATGTTGACCATACTCCCCAGAGAGATTTGACCCCATCTGGAGCCGAGGCATTTACATGTCGGGTGATACAAACACCACAGAGAAACCCGCCACCCAACTTCCCACTGAGAGAATCCTATCTCTCGGCACAACATTGCGGCCGCCGATATGACTGTTATTCAAATTGAAGCCGTGACCGACTTGCTCTGCCCGTGGTGCTATGTCGGGAAGAAGAACCTCGACCGCGCTATCGATATATACCGGGAGATGGACCCATCCGTCAAGTTTGAAGTTGACTGGAAGCCGTTTTATCTCATCCCAGCCTTGAAGAGTTCAGGTGCGTTTATGCTACTTGGTCTTTTGCTACGTTTGCACTGATATGGACAACAGGTTACGACAAGCGTGTCTTCTACAAACAGAGGTTCTCTGTGTCAGGAGACTACGAAACCACATTCTCTCGCATTTCCTCCATCTGCAGCCAGGCGGGTATTAACCTCGACGTCAGCGGCACCACAGGCAACTCCCGCCAGTGCCATAAGCTCATTGCCCTCGCACTGCACAAGGACCGCGACGTTCAGGATCGGCTGCTGAACGCTGTGTTCCGGGGCCACTTCGAGGAGGGCGCCGACATCACGGACCGGGGGTTTCTGCTGGCGGCGGCAGCGGAGGCGGGACTCGACGAGAATGAGGCCGCGAGTGCACTCGACAGCGTAAGGGCTGGGGAGATTGTTGATGGGGAAGTGCTCAGTGCCAGAAAGGCTGGCGTCACTGGCGTCCCGACCTTCACTGTTCAAGGGCGGTGGAGAGTTGGCGGGAACCAAGAGCCAGATATTTTTCTTAGAGTTTTTGAGCGGGTTGCCGATGAGGGTTGAGAGACACCAAGAATCGCTGGCTAGTGTTTTCCCCCATTTCTTCCTAGCCAAGTCAGTTGGCATCGGAGAGCAGTAGCAGACGATACCATAGCGATGAGCTTCACATCTAGCAACTTTCTTTCTATTCATCGTATTTTCTGCCCGTTTATCGCGGGAGCACTTGTTTCTGACCGGCCGTGACAAAGCCAGATTCGAAACATCTATAAGGCCGAAAGCAAAAGACACCTGCCCGGTTCGCCCCGAAAAATAGACTCCCGTCCCTCAAACGCCCAAAAATGCAATTTAGTGTGTTTTCCGCGCCTACCGCTTGGTCATGTGACTGTAATCCTTGAGCAGATGCTCCATATGGGTGTTGGTCGTCTTGCCAGTGCGACGGACAGCGCGCTTCTTCTGCTGCTTGCCCTTAGGATCGACTTTCTTGATGGTACTGGGGTCGGCGCTGGCAGGTTTCTGCCCGACCGATATGAGCTTCTTAACGATGTCGTCGGTGCTGGGCACTTCGACGGCGTTCCACATGCGTTTAAACTCGTCGTCAACATGGTGGTGGAGCGAAGCGTCATCAAGCCAGATCGCACGAGGGTGCTGTTCCTTTTTGGTTTTGACAATCAGAATCTTATGCTCGCGCTCCAGCTCCATCAAAGCCTGGTCGCAATCCGGCCAACCGTCTTTGAGGTCCTTGACAGACGTTCCCTCTGCATCCTTCTTGCTCTGTAGGTGGCGCAGAAGCGAAATCTTGTCCTTGACACCGGGAATGATAGGGCGATGCACATAAGTGCCCGTTTTCCACGTCTGCTCCGAAAGCTTTGGATCAGGGACCCACTGGATGCGAGGGTGCCTACGCATGGCTTCAACGAGAGACTGCTTATGCTTATCGGTGCTGCGCGTCTGGCCGAGATGGTCAAAGATTTCGGTGGCTGTTTTGGGCTCGTCTTTCCCCTTCAACCACTCGAGGGCGTACTGCATCTGGGTGAAGACCTCCTGCCCAAAGCTCGTGTTGGCCGGCTGCGAGTAGACGACTGCATTAGGATCTCGCTTGCGCTTGGTCGAAGAGGAGGCATCGTTCTTAGACGCGGTGCTGCCAACAGAGGGCGAGGGCGAGGGCGGTGCAAGGGATGGCTTTTTGGAGTTCAGTTTGCTGGCAGCCGAGGCAAGCGAGCTGTTGAAAGCTGCCTTCTGCTTCTCGAGGAGAGACGACATCTTTGGATATTATTTGATATGCAAGGCTGTAGGATATAATAGGTTGGCCGAGAACCAAGGAGGGAAGCTTTAAACAGCAAATGACTCAGAGGGTGCCCCAGGAAATGCACTCGTCCTATACCGCTCTTATGGCGCCTTCAATGCGGAATCGGTCCTCTCACGAGTCACCACGCAGCCTCACGGGCAGTTGCGAATGTATTGTCCAGAGAGCAGGCTCTAGAGTCGCAGAGAAAGTAACTGCCTTAACCTTTCTAGTACAACTCGTACAGTCAAACCTATCGCCTCTTCCGTTGTATTCCTTTGAGCTTTGCTGACGCGATGACGAGCTTATGTGGTCGCGTTTCGTCTGCGGCTTCCTGCCTCGTTCTCGTCTTCGCAGTCGCTTGACTCGGTTCGCCTCCTTGTATGTCACTCCTTTACTGCCGCCGGTAATGCTGTTTGGACTTCTACAGTGTAGTCGGCGGAAGCTGCGGTCAGCCGATTGACAATGAAGATGCGGGTTGTGTGACGTGGACGGGCGATCTTTGATGGTCTAGTGGTGGGATGCTGCTAATTCAATTCTCTTGGACGTTCGACGTTGTGGCGTTGACGAGGCTGGAATTGCTCAGCCACGAAACAATCGCTATCACGTATCAACGATTTTCCGATATGTATGTTTAAGTTGTTGGTGTCTAACCCCTTCTCCCTTGTATGCACAGTAATATGTGCGCTATTGTGTTTACTGGCTTACTGTTACAGTATTTCCCTTTCACAAGCATTTCTCACAACTTAGGTCCGAGGAAAGATTCGGAAGGACCAACCCTCGGCGCGGTTCACTTTCCGCTGGTAGCAACCCGAGAGTGCACAGACCACTCACCGTGGGAACACTTGTTAGCATTATTATGGACAAACTGCAAATCGATTTAGAGAGGCGAATGTCACTACTGCTACAAAGGTATCGGAACAGCAAGTGTGCTGGAGTTTAGAATTTAGTTCGTGGAGTTCCGTTCACTTTTGGATATTAATGGTTATGGAGACGCGGGTCCTGCGATACCTACTTAGTAGTTGGCTATAAGCACTGGACAGACAACGGACAACAAAAAACAGACGAGAACCACGAATTGCCTAGAGACTAACTCAACATGAAGTAGACACACGTTCTCCATTGCCAACCATATCCAATGCTGCGTATCCACTCCAAGCAACTGATTTATCGTCCATTAGCATCGTGACTGAACGTATATTCTATTAAAAGCATATCTTCACGCGGCGGAATTGGCTCAGTCCGACTGACCGCAAGACCCTCCACCGCCCGAACCGACACCCAAAAGCTCCCTTCGGCCGTCCTCGCCGAGTCGCCGCTTCACTCGCCAAATCTTGTGGTTATAAAAACGGAAGTCCAGTAATCCCCCGTCACGTCCGTCCTACTTGTCCATTACAGACGACGCGGGCGCGTTTCCCTTCTGGAAGTGTGCACGACGACGACTTCCCTCCTCCTCAAACTCAGGTGATACATGAAACCCGGATGAGTAGCTTATGCAGCGGTCTGCTGTTGCTGCTGCTGGTACTGGTAGGCGACGTAGGCGAGGACACCGCCAATGAGGAGGACGGCGTACAGACCGACACCGAAACCGGGGCTCTCGGTGTGGCTAGCGGAGCTGGTGGCCGCGGCTTGCTTCTTGGGGGCAGGGTCACCGGGCTGGATGAGGAAGACAGATCAGTACCACTTCGCTGGACCGGGGTTTACTCATGCATGGAAGAGTTTACTCACCTGGCGCTTCAGGTTGCCAATGTAGAGCTGCTCCAGAGTCTCACGAGCCTCGTCGCTGTGGCCGACATCCTCAAAAGCCTCAGTAGAGTCCTGTCCGCCGACATCAAGAAGAACCTCCTCGCCACCGCTGTGTAAGAGATCGAAGTGGTTAGTTTGGACGAACAATTGGGGACGGGGGGGAGGAGGACGGCGTCCATTGGGGGAGCGAAAGCCTCAACTTACGGGTGCTCGTCGACAAACTTGGTGCAGTCGTAGATCTTGTCATGAACTACGATGTAAATATCCTTCTTGGTGTTGTGCTCGGCAACATCCTGGTAGGTGAGTTCGAGGACCATTGTGACAGATTTCGCAAAAAAATACCCGGGGGTGATTTTTGGTTGTAAACGTGTCTCCTTTTTGTTGTGTTTGTTGGGAAGAGCAAACAAATCTGCAAGGCGGTCTGTCGGCGGTAAAAAAGGATGGGTGGATGCGCAATGAGGTTGAAGAAACAAACCTGTTCACGGGAAGAGACTTTTTGGCGAGATTTGGTGGTCGGAATTGCACAAGAGGAATCAGACCAGAGGAGCGTCTCTCGGATGTTGTTGAGCCCGGTCACTATCGCGGATCCAGGTAAAATTGGGGGGGCACAAACGCTGACAGCTGATGGAAGCTTCTGCTTGGACAGTGGGAACAATGGGACAGCTTGGGGGGACAAAGGACATCGGGGGTCCGCTCGGGGAGGTTACGGGCCAATAAGGGATATCGAAATTAGTGCACGGCACTTCTGATTCGCTGATCTAGTGGGTTATGGGCCTGCAGGGTTTAGGGGAATTGACAAGAGGCAAGAGAGTGTTTACTGGTTGTTCAGGGCCTTTTAGAGGACTGAAAGGAGGTAGGGACACTGGCTGAATGAGATTGAGACTCCGGCGGGGACTAGAGTGATACCGCCGTCCCTTTTCGGCATCGCATTCGGGCACTTTGTCCTCAATCCACTACTGGCTGCCAATTTTACCATGGTGAGATCTGCCCCAAACCCGCTCTACCCACCGGCATTCGTACCTTACCTCGGACCTTGGAAAGCCAAGCCACGTTTCCTTCCCCGCCCATTGAGACTTGACCGGCTGGCTTCGAGTCAGGGCGAATACTTGCATGGCTCTGTATGTGGACGATAAAGCATAAACGATGAACACCATCCTTACTGCCCAACCCACCTGCAACTAGCTAGTAAGAAAGGTTAGCTCGTTTTGGAATGCAATCCCCTACGTAGTAGATTGCCGGACTCGTGTCGGGATCCGGTAGATGTGGCTGGAAAATATGCCCACATCTACAGCATCTGGCGCAATCACTTACTCAGGTCTGAATTTCAGCCACAGGGTCCGGCTCCAGTCTTTCGTGTTCGTATCCTTGCATTGCCAAACCCAAAGAACCCCCAATTGTTTGCTCCGCCGCAGCTGGCCGTTCCCGCGGGGTTCTCTTCAACTAGATACCCACATCACACCCTCTGATGACTGGTTTGGGTTCTCGGCGATTCTGCCTGTCGGAACGTTCCTTATCTCACCGTTCCATGGGGTAGCTTGGACGTAAATGGCGCTCGCGGACTTCTTGCCCGACGGTAGCCAACCCCGGGTTCCACGGAGCGCTCGGAATTTCCAATTCTTGGGACGGCACCTGATTCAGATGGACGAATCTCATGTCTGAAAAATGTCACCCTCCCCTTATTTAGCTGGAGCAACGTAAGGCCAGCATTTTTGGCTCTTTAGTCACTTCTCCAAACCACGGAGAAGCTCGTGACCCGCGTGCTAATCCACCCCCACGATGACGCTTGGAAACTCGGGATGATGCCGAAGTATTCCGTGCTGTCTTCGGGATCGAGATGTAAGCCGCCCGTGCTACTACTATAGTAGCACGCAGCCCAGTGACAAAAGGCGGGGAACGCGCGGGGTAGTAAGAAGGCTCTTGATATCGGCTTCTGACTTGGGCTATTTCTAAACCCATCCCCTCCGTAGGACAAGTCATTTTGACCGGTAAGACTCGCGATACTTTGCCTAAAGGGGCAATTTTCTCCGATATATTCCTCTGCACTTGTTGCATTCCATCCACTATTGCATGGGAGAGTTTTGGTTGGTGTAGTATCGGGGCTGCTTGACGTCAAGTCTCCAGTCTATACATGCACCGAGTCCTCGCTGTAAAAACAAAACAAATAGACTTATTCCAGCTTTTAGACGACCTTCGCCTGCCTGTGCGGAAGGAAATCACTCTAATGCCATGAGCTCTAACTAGACACCAAACCCACATCGCCAGCTTATCGCCTTGAGCTTCCCCCACCAATATCTTGACCGAGGCGGTATGAGGTGATCTTGTCCCACTCAATCTTCTGTCGCGTCACTGGCAGCTGCCGTCTCAGACCCTTAAATGCTCCCTCGCTTAGGCTCGTGAAACCTCTGTTCAGCTCCTCCTGGTACTTCTTCTCCGACGTCGAGATTTCCTTGACGATGCCAGCGCCTGTGCCGGAGACAGATGTCTGTGTAGGACGGCTGGTAAGCAATCGGACGTTGCCGTCTTCGTAGTAGTGTACGTCAACCTTGACGGAGCCCCCGAGGCTATCGGACGAGGGGTCGTAGATGTAAAGGGAGCGCCAGCGGCCGTTCCTGGGAAACGTCAGTAAGGTGCAGCAACTACAATAGATGGCACGCACCAGAAGTTGTTAGGAGAGTACTTGTTCGAGACAATGATAATGGCGACCTTCGAGTCGTTCTCAGTCGGGTAAACACCGTAAGCGGCGTTCGGGAAATGCTCTTTCACGTAGGGGCCGAGACTCTTCAACGTTGACTTGCTGTACCACACTTAGCGGAAGCCCGTATATCCGTACCGTAGAACCTACATCAAGTCTGCATTTGCGCTCTCCAACACGTAGCTCTTTGCGTTGCTGGCCTTCTGTGTGCTGTGATCAAAAGAGAAGCTCGTAGAGCTTTCTACGTCAAAGTACTGGCCATCGCCAAGCGAGCTGTGAGAGCTAATAATGACCTGCAATATTCCCTTAGCTTCCGAGTGCTTCTGCATAGCTTCACTTAACCAACCTGCTGGCTGCCCCCTGGCAGCTTCACCGTGATAAACTGCTCCTCATTGTACTTCTCGAAAGCCGGCTCGAGACTGGAGACAAGTTCGGGATCGGATACTGTGAGTGATTTGATGTCTTTGTCGCATTAGCACCTGTCGAGCTAGCTGCAGGATCGAATGGTGAAAGGTGATTACCTGCGATGACATCTGCGAGCTTCAACAGGTCAGCTTGGCATGCCGCACGTGGGGGAGAGCTGGAATTACCTCGCCTGGGGGAGCACCCTCCACAAAGGAGGACACAGTCTCGATCTGGGACATCTTGAAGGGAAAGCTGCAAACTTCGATCTCGCAGTGTCGCGTCAGTAGGTGATGATGTGGATGCGATGCTGAGCTGTTCCCGATGTTGAAACGTAATGCGGGGCGGTTGGAGGCAGTACAGGGGAGGAAGGATTGGCCAGGAAAGGGGCATTTATTGTTAGTGCGGGACTTCCACTTTCGCGGAAAGAAGCGGGCAAAAAATGTACTTTCTCATCGCCAAATCTCAAGGAGGATAATGATGCTCATCTAGCAGCCTTCTTTTTGTTTTCTAATTTCAAAGCTTGCATACGTCTTTAAAGATCGATCGCTACGTTGCTATGGGTATGTATTAGAACGTGGACGCCTATTCTGCCCCCAATATCCGTCCCTCATCTTCCGGCTCAATAGTCAAGCACCCGCCTTATGTTATCATATACCCCTACACAAGTCAGCTTTTGATTTGCAACATCAAAAAGGGCACAACTTACTCGAAACATCTGGAATGTTGAACTTCTCATACAGCAATGGTGTATGAATGCTCCATCCTGCAACTCTTGCAACGGGGGCCTCCAGTCTGAGGAAGGTATCAGGGTCTTCCTGGATGGCCGCGGCAACCTCAGCGCCAATGCCGGCGTTAACCATTGCCTCATGCACAACAATGCAATGGCCCGTCTTTCGGACGCTCTCAAATACGCACTCCTTATCCCAGGGGTAGAGAGTTCTGAGATCAATGAGCTCCACGGAGATGCCCAAATCTTCCTCAGCCTTTTGGATGGCAGACATGCACGTGTACAACGGCTGACCATATGATACTATCGTCACGTCCTTGCCTTCCTTCAGAACTTCCGCTTTGGATAGCGGCAAGGTATACGCTCCCGTAGGGACCTGTTCGACAGCCGCGCGATAGAGAATCTTGGGCTCCATGAAGATGCACGGGTCATTGCTGCGAATGGCCGACAACAAGAGGCCTTTGGCCTGAAGAGGTGACCTTGGCATGATAACCCGCAATCCGGGAATGTGCGTAAACAAGCTCTCGGGGGATTGAGAATGGTAAAGTGCGCCGTGTCCGACACCACCGCAGGGCATGCGTACCGTAAGACCGCCTACACTGCGTCCACATGCACCATCTCTGTACCGGAACTTGGCGGCCTCATTGACAAGCTGGTCAAAGGCTGGGTAGATATAGTCGGCGAACTGGATCTCTGCCACAGGCCGCATGCCCTCCGCCGCCACGCCGATGGCGAAGCCCATAATGCCCTGCTCTGTCAAGGGTGTATTGAAGATGCGATCTGCGCCATAGGTCTCGGCCAGCTTCATTGTGCATCGGAACACCCCGCCAAAAGCGACATCCTCGCCAAAGACCATGACAGAGTCGTCTTCGGCCAGCGCGATCGACAGAGCGTCATTGATGGCCTGAAACAGGTTCATCTTCTTTGTCGTTCCATTGCGAACCTCTGCAGGCAGTTCTGCTGTGCTGAGAGCGGTCTGAGAAGAATGCGCAAGGAGAGACGTCGTCGAGTAGTCGACGGGAATATTGAGTTTCGCATTGGGAGGATGCGTAGAGTAGAGCCGAGAAACGGCAAGGGGGAGCTGGCTCGATATCGACGGCGCCAGCGCTCGCCGAAGGGGACGCATTGAGATTGACCTCATTATGGATGATTCTGAACCGACAAACTTCATTGAGAACCAATTCCCTAGATGACAGACGGTTCAGAGAAGGAGGAAATTGAAACCGCCGGCCAGACGAGGGAAGTCGTCCCTAACCCGAGGGATGCGGGTGATGTAAGTTCGGCTTGCAGCGGCGTTCGCGGGGTCGCAGCGGTCCTTGGCGGCCATGTCACTTAACGCCCTGATAAGGAAGGGCCCGAGCGATTGTTGCCTAGCCAACAGCCGAGTCGCCAATGCAGCGCCAAAACAGGGCAGCGGAGATGAATACGACCTTGGTAACCTTGGCGTCAACACGTATATACCTCTGGAATGGATGCAAGTCAATAAATTCCGGTAAAACGGCTGCTAGCACTTCCTGGACTGCATTCCAGTTCGACGAGCAATGGCGCCCGGTGATTCCTCGAGAGAGTCGTCGCGTCGACCGCGGGACTCAACGGGCAGGAAACATCACCACAAGAAACGACGCTCACAAGACCATCACCGGTCAAGACGACCTGCGACGGACTCGGGAGAGAGTAGGGCGGAAAGAAGCTCGCAAGCGCTGTCCGCAAATGCGCTGGGGAAATTAAATGAGGAGAATACGAGAAGACACCGAAGAAGGGAATCCGACGCGGACAGGCCCAGAGATGCGGCCAGAGACGCAGAAAGGGAAAGAATGAGAAGAGAGAGAAGAGAAAGAAGAGAGAGAAGGGCGCAGCGTGAAGAGTACAGGGATTCGCCCAGAGAAAGACCGCATCGGGTTCGACGTGACGAGTACAGTGATGTGACCTACGAGAAACCGCGGAGAGAGCACCGGAAGAAGCGAGTGGTCAGCGGCGCCATCCTCGAGGAGGGCCGAGGCTCGCGGGGGTTAAGAGGTGGCGGATGGAGCAGCTCAGATAACAGCATTGAGAAGGAATACCTTGTGGGCGATCCCCCGAAGCCGATCAAGAAGCGGAAAAAGCTTTGTGAGTATTCCCAAGGTGGGGTTGCGATCACCGACTAATTGCAGCAGGGATTTGCCTTGGGATATGCCTGGTTCTTCTCATCATCATTATCGTCGTGGCAGTGGTGGTCAGCAAGAATAATTCCAACAAGAAGGAAACGAAGACGGTAGACCTCAATGGTCAAGATAAGAACAGCATCCCGATGAAATGGCGCGGTACCTATCTCGACCCGTGGTCTTGGGCGGACACGACCGACTTCAACGTCACTTTCACCGATCAGATGGTTGGCGACCTGCCTCTTATGGGTCTCTACACCGACTGGGACGACTCGAAGCGCGCCAACGATAAGGTCCCGCCTCTCGACGAGGCTTGGGGGTCGTATGGATCCAGGCCGGCACGAGGAGTCAACGTTGGAGGGTGGCTGAACCTCGAACCCTTCATCACGCCGTCTCTCTTCGACTACGACTCCCGCCTAGGAATCATCGACGAGTACACGCTCTGCAAGCACTTGGGTGCCAGGAAGACGGCTGAAGTGCTCGAAAACCACTACAAGACATTTGTGACGGAACAGACATTCAAAGAAATTGCCAACGCCGGCCTCGACCATGTCCGCATCCCTTTCAACTACTGGGCCGTCGAAGTCTACGACGGCGACCCGTACCTGTTCCGCACCTCGTGGAGATATCTCCTCCGTGGCATCGAATGGGCGCGCAAGTACGGACTCCGCGTGAACTTGGACGTACACGGCCTGCCGGGCAGTCAGAACGGATGGAATCACTCTGGTCGGCAAGGAGTCATCGGTTGGCTCAACGGCACCGACGGAGCCACCAATGGGCAGCGCAGTCTCGACATGCATGACCGATTATCCAAGTTCTTCGCGCAAGACCGGTACAAGAACATTATTTCGTTTTATGGACTGGTCAATGAACCCAAGATGACGGAGTTGAGCGTTTCGGACGTGATTGCGTGGACGGAGAAGGCATACAAGCTGGTCAAAGACAATGGTATCCGCGGCATCGTGGTCTTTGGAGATGGGTTCATGGGCCTGCACAACTGGCAAGGGCGAATGACGGGGTACAGCGACATGGCGCTGGATGTGCACCAGTATGTCATTTTCAATACGGACCAGATTGCGTTCACACGCAAAAAGAAGGTCGAGTATGCGTGCGACGGCTGGACAGAGCAGACAGTGCAGTCGATGGACACATCGACCGGCTACGGGCCGACACTCTTCGCCGAGTGGTCGCAGGCGGATACGGACTGTGCGAAGTATGTCACCAACGTTGGCTGGGGTAACCGATGGACGGGTACGTACGACACGGGCAACTCGTCGACGTCGATTCTTACGCCGCGATGCCCTACGCAGGACTCCAGGTGCGACTGTGGGGTGGTCAACGGCGATGCCAAGGGGTTCAACAGCGACTACAAGAAGTTTTTGCAAATGTTCGCCGAGGCGCAGATGCATTCGTTCGAGAAGGGGTGGGGATGGTGGTACTGGACCTGGGACACGGAGAGCGCGCCGCTGTGGAGTTACAAAAAGGCTCTCGAGGCCGGAATCATGCCTGCCAAGGCATACGACCGAGACTTTGACTGCTCCGGGACCATTCCGTCTTTTGACAGCCTGCCCGAGTACCACCGTATGTGAGGGGCTCCTTGGCAAGGCCGGGCCGGACGGACAAGCGGCCTTTTTTTTTCAGTTTATTTGCATTACTATTGGCGTTTCTGGAGTAAGCAACTTGCATCGCATAGTAGTGGACGAGACACATAGATTGACGGGGCGATGATGGATATGTAACGACAAGGGCGGAGATGACGGATGTAGTTGGTCATGTATGATAACAACGCCTAATGGAGATGTACACGAATACTCCGTGTAGATAGTTCACACCAAAGATAGTATTGCCGGGACTGAAATCAGTCAGACAGGCACAACACATATTTTACTGACTCAGACGGATTCTGGCTGCGTTAATCATACGGATCTGGCTCCCCATTTTTAAGATGAACTCGACGCTGACATGATTCCATGAAGGCACAAATAGCGTGTGCTAAAGAACCACTTTTGCACGTGGTTCCCCAAAGCTTACATTAAAAAGACCAGACAGCTGTCAAGAGTGAGCACAGACGGGGCTAAGATGGGAAGAGAAAAAAGATGGATACAACTGGAAAAGGTTAAACGGTTTCGACTTCGCGGCTTCGGCTTCCTGGAAGAAGCGAAGTGACATGGATTCTGGATGCTAGAAGGCGAGGGTGGGGGAGAAGGTAACAGCGCAAGGAAAATTCCATTGCATGTCTCTGGGATCGATCCGTAGCCCACATGCCAGGTCTCTGGTGTCGAACGGGTAATTTTGCTGTAATCGAAATTAACTATAAGACCGCCATGAGAAAGAAGGGGGGAAAAGCCAATCTCGATACCACTATGTCGTAGTAAGCCCATCCCCATCCTCCATGAGCGGCTATTAAGTAGATCGGGGCAGGGAAAGCCCAAACTTAGTCAGGCCATGTGGAATTCCGCTCGATCACTGTTCAAGCTTTTTTTTCCATCTAGTTTTCTAGAAGTTTGATCTAGAACCAATTTGATAGGGTTGACAGTTCCTTGTTATTATTACTTTTTGCTTTTTTGTCTTTTTCTGGTTTAGCACGCTTTTGAACCCCCAAACCGTCGCTGTAGAAGGAGCCAAAAAAGCATCCCAAAAGAAGGGAAGAGAAACATCGGTAGGCGAGCCCCCCTCATGTCTCAGCTCGGAACGCAGATGCCGAGAGTCCCCCGGTCGGCGCAGCTTTAGAATTGGAAGCTGTGACTCGACCACTTTCTAACGTCATGTTTTGGGAGGTGCCATTTCCGATCCTCGCCCCGCATCCACCCGACCTTTGGTTATCATGTTTTTTTCCTCTTTTTGCAATATGTAGCTGCTGCTGCTCACTAACAACACTGGGCTAGGCAAAAGTAGTGATGAATGATGAAATGATGTGCTTACGCCCTACTACCGAATGGGTATCCTTCCGTCTGACAGGTCCCATTCACTCGGTCACCTACTCTTTCTCTCGCCCATATGTTGGTTCGGATGCGATTCATCACCTCGCCTCTCACCCACCACATAGTACGCAGTAGATCGCAGGGTCTATGGGTAGCGTCATGCACCCACTTCCTGAGGTGGGAAGGATGATGCTCTTCCCACTTTCGCTATTACTATCGCCGCCCATGACGAGGTCCACCCCTTTTCCAATCGGGAGGGCGGGTTTTCCCTAAAGGCGAACCCGCGCCAAAGGGTCCTGGTCTGGGCTGAATAATCGTCAAGGTGATGGGAAATTTTACCTAAGAGTGCGCCCTACGACTGGTGTTTGCCCGTTTTTGACTAATGTTCCGATATGTGATTCCCAATCCATCTGCCCCTTCGCGAACTGTCGGGAGTTCCTCGCGTTTGTAGTCCAGATTTGTCCTCTCTTTTTTGGACCTCGCGCTTCCACCCACATAGATTGAAGCGTCACAATGAAAGAGGACCCGTTTCTTATAACATCCAAATAAATACCCAGTCCCTTTGTGACACTTTTGTTTGCAGCAGAATCCCCCAGAGGCCTGCCTGGCAACCATCCTGTCAAGATCCACAACCGCTCCTGGAACTCGGAACCCGGCCCATAATTATCTGTCGTTTCCGTACATAATACCCGACATCCGCAATCCGCTAAGGTCAACGATTGTTATCAATCTCGTCTTTGCCATCTAAATTTTTTTATTAAGGGGAGCAAAAGGGAGGAGAAACAGAAGAGAAAGAACAAGAAGGGGGAAAAAAAAAAAACAGACTGTTGTCTGTAACGCCAACAGCCATGACAGACGTCGAAAAGGCTGAGAGCCGCTCAACGAACCCCGACTATGACGACGCCACCATCGCCGAGGACTCGGGCTTCGAGCCCATTCGCACGGGCGCCGCCCCTACGCGGTCGCTCCGCCAGTCACGGTCCCTAAGCCGGACACGGTCGCAAAACGGATACAGCGTCGACGACTACCAACCAAGCGATGACAGTCCGCAGAGGGAACCGGAAAAGGATCCGTTCGAAGTTGGTTTTGATGGCGGTGACCAAGACCCCCTGTGCCCGCGTAGCATGGGCAAAGCCAGAAAGTGGCTCATCGTCTCTATCGTGTCGTGTGCTAGCTTTTGCGTGTAAGTGAATGGGTCCAGGGTCTAATCCGGTGATCCGGTGTGGCCAGCTGTTGACACAAGACAGAACGGCGGCTAGTTCCATCTACACATCAACATATGCGCAGATGGATGCAGAGTTTGGCAACTCCAGAATCGTAGGCACCTTGGGCTTGTCAGTCTTCGTGCTTGGCATTAGCTTGGGCCCCATGTTCCTAAGCCCTCTCAGTGAGTTTTACGGCCGTCGCCCCATCTATTTGGTATCATGGGCCATGTATGTCATCTGGATCATACCGTCTGCCGTTGCCAAGAACATTGCGACCATGATCGTCGCCCGCTTCCTCGACGGCCTGTCAGGCAGCGCATTCCTGGCCGTGTCTGGCGGCACTGTGAGCGACCTTTTTGCGCGCCATGAGCTTCAGGCACCGATGCTCATGTACTCCCTGGCCCCCTTCATCGGACCTTGCATAGGCCCCTTGATTGGCGGATTCATCAACTATAACGCTAACTGGCGCTGGACGTACTACGTGATGATAATTTGGGCCTTCGCTCTGCTGGTTGCCATCGTCGTATTGGTGCCTGAGACTTATCGTGAGTGACTCTGGAGGGTGCGCCCCTGGATTGGGGCGAGAGGCTGACTTCTGCGGTTAGATCCGATTGTTCTACGGGCCAAGGCACGCAAGATCCGAAAAGAGACCGGCGACGAGAGATGGAAGGCCCCCGTCGAGAAGACGACCAAATCTGTCGCTCAGACCATCGGTCTGTCGCTGATGCGGCCATTCCAGCTTCTCATCTACGAGCCCATGGTTCTCAACCTCTGCATCTTCTCCGCCATCCTTTTGGGTATCTTGTACCTCTTTTTCGGCGCTTTCCCGCTTGTTTTCACGACCAACCACGGTTTCAACCTGTGGCAGGTGGGCATGACCTTTTTGGGCATCCTTGTTGGCATGTTCTTCGCTGCCGCGACCGACCCCTTGTGGCACCGTATACGTAGTCGGCTCATGGCGGACCTGGAAAAGGAGACAGGTGTTGAGGGAGCAAGTGAACCAGAGTTCCGTCTTCCACCAGTTATCTGCGGCGCTTTCCTAGTCAGCATCGGCCTCTTTTGGTTTGGATGGACCACCTTCTCTTGGGTGCATTGGATCCTGCCCATCATTGGGTCCGCGATATTTGGAGCTGGGTGAGTCGAATTTGTTTTCCTTTGCACAACATATCGCAAGTATAACCCCAAGATGGAAAAAGGCCCGTGGCTTCCCAGCATCCCCATGCTGGGACATGAGATGCCCGTGATCAGTCACGCAGGCTCCCGTTTGCAGATTCATGTGCTGGCGTACGCTTTTTGCGTTAGTCACGCTTTGTCATGCTCCGCGGGCCCATGGGATGAGCTTGATTTTCCCTCCTCCTCGACTGCGCTCAGAGAGAATGCAGCTAACCGTCTGGGCGTCCCGCAGAGTGGTCCTTGTTTTTACCGGCATTTTCACGTTTCTTGTAAGTATCGCTGTCCCACCGGCTGCCTTCGGTGGCGGACCAGGGGTCTGGAATCATTTTCAGGCCCACGAAGTTGTACAACAGAACGGTGCTAACACTTGGCTTGCAGGTCGACGCCTACCCTTTATATGCAGCGTCAGTGCTTGCTGCGAATGCATTTGTGCGATGCATGTTTGCTGGTAAGTGCACTTGTGGTACCAACGCTCTAATCCACTCAGCTGGGTTGTGCCATGTTTCGGAAAGTTCTAACTTGGATGTCTTTGACAGCCGCATTCCCGTTGTTTGGAACTCAAATGTACAACAAGCTTGGATATCCCTGGGCGACATCACTCCTCGCTTTTTTGACCGTTGTTATGCTCCCGTTCCCGTATATTTTCTTCAAATACGGCAAGAAAATCAGAAGCCGCAGTCGCTTCGCGAAGACTGCTTAATAAGGAAAATCTTGACGGACAGATATCGACAAGCAGGCTGAAAAGAACGAGAAAAACCGAAACAACTGGCACCCACACAGAGTCGGGACATTGGTGTACAGCACCAACAGAAGTTGGCTTGGTCGTAAGTGGCCGAAGGCGTCGCACGTAGCCTTGATGATGTTGTGGTTGCCTTATAATATACGCGTTCCTGACCCAAATTGTTGAGACGCATTGCCACTTGGCATTGTTGGACAACTTCACAACTGGGAGTCAACCTTGCACTCAAGAGATGCGACTGTTGATCGTGGCGATCATCATCCAGACGACAGTAGCTATTGTCTGCAGCTGCCCAAAAGTGTTAGACTGTCATTGATGGAAGAGATTTAGGCAGTCTGGCCCATCGTGGTCGTGGGTAACGCGACAGGAGCAGCCCGTCGAGTGGCTGCCAATAACAGGCGTGAGAAGCGATTGAATTTGTGCTCACATGCAACAAGATACCCCCCCTTAGTGGTTGCTAAACTATAGATAAGAAAATAGAAGACAGAGACGCTCGGCAGTTCGGTTATGGCAATGTTAATGCAATGTGCGTAGCAAGCGGTGCTTGTGAGTCGCATGTCAAGTGAAGATGAAGTTGGTGTAGGGGATTTCGGCCCTCGGTTTGGACTTAATGTTTACCGTGAGTCGTGACTGTGAACGTGTACCTCCGTCGTGGATCGTATTAGATCTCACATGCAGCGGTTTGGATATTAGGGATGTCAAACGCCCAATAGAGTGGCTTGTAGGTGCATTGTTAACGTAATGCTGTGTTACTGGATTAGGTCATCTTGACACAGAGACGAGGGTATCCAAGGAGCCGACGCAAGACGGAGGAGTCAAGTGGTAGTTCTTATTAAAAGTTAAGTTTCAGAAATGACAAGATTGGCGAGGTCGACAAAAGAAATCTCAGATGAGCTCAAAAAAAGCAGAGCCATCTCTGGTCTGGCCAACCTGGTCCATTTTGCGAAGAAGTTTGTGTGATCAGGGGACCGTACTAAAATGGGATGCTCGGACTACATCTGGGTCTTAGTGGCCTGCCAATCTGCGGGTGCAGGTGCGTCGATAGTGTGTGTCCTGCAGGCGGCAGGCCAGTAGGACTAATTATACAGACTTTTAGGTACCAAGTACAGACGAGAGATACACTGGAAAATTGCAGAGGAGGTCCGCCCAGGCACTGTAAACAAATGAGTTGTGCCTCAATGACATGCCAGACCACCTTGATGACGCTCCCTCTGGTGGGCCTTAAGCGAATCTGCTGGCGGATGTAGGTACTGAATACCTCAGCCCTGAGCGAGTGTGGCGCCTTTTCTCGATGCCCATTGCCGCGATTTCATGTAACCGATACAGAGTGGGGCGACATGTGTGTACCCACACAAACCACCCACATTCTGTCAAGACCGGCGAATCGAAGGCCTGATATTTTCTCCAAGAGAAACCCCGCAGCTCAGCGCGCAAATCTTTGACCAACGGCAGCGAGGCTGGGATTCCATCCCTCGTCGGCTGTGTAAAACTAGTAGGCACTGTTGGAGTACTTTGCCGACCTTCTTTTCGCTTTCTCGTCAGATCCGACAACGACCTCGCGTGCTCCTCTTCCACCCGACCGAGGATAAACATCACAACCCAAGAAACCGACCTCGACCCCAAAACGACGATCTGCAATCCCCAATTGTCCCTCCGCGACTGCGATTCGTCCTGTGAGGCCTGACGTTGCACTGGAATAGTCACCGCCCGCGTGCTCTTGTGTTGATGCTTGTCGGCTTCAAGGGCCACGGTCACGGCTACTTGCAGACACTTCTCTCGGTCTCGACCTCTTAAATCCTCCGTCACATCACCTCGGCCCAGCGCCCGCCAATTTCCTGTCCGCCTCTCGACCCTGTACTTATCTTCGTCTTCGTGACCTCATGTGGTCCGCGACGCGAACACCGGTCCCAAAACGACTGCGTCAACTATCGAGTCCTAATCCTACCGTGACGAGCACGTAACACGAGAAACGCCTCTTTTCTCTCCACCACTACCTTGCTGAGGAGTTCTAACTGCTGAGAATACGAGCTTCAGGAGATCAACGCCCTCCCTTTTGCTGGTCTCTCCTGCGCCGGCTTACCTGTGAGCTTCTCGCTTGCATCCTCCTGCGGCGCACCTGGCAAAAGTGGTGAACCAACATCTTCCCGTCCATATTGTGGGAGCGCACAGCTTCTATTCTTGGTCTAGCCATTGAACGACCCACGTTGGAGCGAGACCTTGTGGGCGGCTCGACTCCTATTCGCAGACTCAAGATCTGTTGCGCGCGCGTAGGCCCTGGAAGTCAACAAGTTACGCTCGTTGTGCACTTTACCCTGCCTGCGGTACAAGTCAAATCCCAGCGTGCGAGACTACACTTTGACTGCAAAAGTTACCTCAGGCTACTTTCCGCTTTCCTCACCACGCTTGTCAGCGCGGCGTTGGGGCACACACTCGCACACGTTTGGGATTAAGCCGTCTAGTTGCGCAAACATAGCATCAAGGAATTTCATTTACCGAGGCTTGCAGCGCCTTGCCGTAACTACGGCAGCTTGTTCGTTGTTGTACTGTTCTGCCAAGGGGAGGCTTGTATATAAATCAAGACAAGATGCCAGACGGCCTCGAGGACCCTGGGACTGAGGTTTCGGATCCCATGTCCGATAATGACCACGAATACGACGACGAGACGCCATTAAAAGACGACGACGACGAAAAGATGGCGGAATCTCACGAAAGCGGCGCCGATAACAACGGCGAGGTGAAGAAGAAGTACGATCCTAAGGACCCTTCACGGCCGAGGAGGAAGAAGGCTCGCCGGGCGTGCTTCGCCTGCCAACGAGCCCATTTGACTTGCGGTAAGCTCTGCCCGGTTTCTCAGGGTCCGGCTCGCGATAGTCTTTGGTCAAGTGAATGCGTGTGATATGATATTGTCACTCCTCCGTGGTAATTGGGGGTCACATCTTTGTCTTGCTCCACTAGTGCAGCCTCTTGTGATGCAACCTTGCTGATGTGATGGCTACAGGAGATGAACGACCTTGCCAGCGATGCATCAAACGTGGACTGGCGGACGCCTGCCAGGACGGTGTACGCAAGAAGGCAAAGTATCTCCACGACGCTCCTCCTGAAGCTCTCCGGCCGGTGCTAGGCCCCAACTACAACCCGAACGCGGTCCCGACCCGTCCCAACGGCCAACGGCATCACAGCGGGGCCTCGGACACGGCATCGACCGCCGGCAGTACCTACTTTGGCCAGAGCTCTGCCGCATCCTTTCCCGTCTACTCGGGCCAGCAAACCCCCGTCGGCATTCCTGAAGGCCTTCCGTTCCAGGCGCAGCCATCCCCGATATCGCCGTCCTTCCCACAGCCGGGCAACAATGGTCGTTCAATTGGCGGCATGATCTCTCCCCAGGTCACCAATGACCCCTTTAATACGTTATTCGATCCGAGCAACCCGGCCATCTTCAACTTCGATCTTGAAGGACTCAACTTCGGCAGCCAATACGGCGCTATGGAGTTTGGAATGCTCGGGCACATGTCGTCCGGCGCAGCGGAAACACCGCCGCGGGACGGTTCATTATCTGGACCAAGTGGCGAAGTCAACTTCGGATCCACAAATGTCTTTAGCAATGGCAACAATCAGTTTGGCCAAGTCTACGATAGCGGTATGATCAACGATTTCATGGGTATAGACCAGTCTTCCAACGGCATGTACCAACAAGGCAACTTGCAACATGGCCTCCCACATGCCTACGCCATCGCTGCTGGCCCAACAAGCCTACATAGCCCAAGTACAGACAACACTGCGAGCCCGCAACCTACTAACTTTACGTTTGAAGGATCTCCGAGTGGGAACTTTGGCGCCGTTGGAAACTCCCAAACCATATCCGCCCCCTCACGTCCCAAGGCCAAACCTGGTCAACCCCAGAAGTCAGGCCCCCACTCCCTGCTGGGCAAGCGGCAACGCGATCCTTCGTCAATTTATGAGACCGTAAAGGAGCCGTATCCCTACCTGGCCGGCTTCCACGCTCTCATCGACTACCTCCCGAAGAGGTTCTCTGCCAACCGGACACTGCGCATAGCGAAGGCGCTCGCCAGTATCCGCCCATCCTTCATCGCTTGCACCAAAACGCTCAGTCGGCAGGATCTTGTTTTTATGGAAAAATGCTTCCAGCGGACGTTGTTCGAATATGAGGAGTTCATGCACCATTGCTCAGCGCCGACCATCGTTTTGCGTCGCACGGGCGAAATCGCCGCTGTCAACAAGGAATTTATCGCCCTGACAGGGTGGACTAAGGACGTCCTGCTCGGCAACGAGCCGAATCTGAACGTCAACACCGGCGGCACGGTGTCAGCAACTAACAGCGGTCGCAACACAGGCCGCGCGGGCTTCTCAACGCCTAAGGTACCGTCGGCCACGCTTGATCAGATCAAGAACGAGGGCAGCGGGCGCAAACAGCCCGTATTCATCGCAGAGATCCTGGACGACGACAGCGTGGTCGAGTTCTACGACGACTTCTCGCATCTTGCTTTCGGCGACAGTCGTGGCAGCGTTAACCGGACGTGCCGGATTCTCAAATACCGTACCAAGGAGCAGACGGAGGCTGCGGCGTCGTCAGACATGACGCCCCAGCAGGACCCGCGCAAGAGTATTCTTAGCAACCGCGTTACACGCATTGACGGCGAGCACGGCATTTCAAAGATCGAAAAGGACGGCAAGGTGGACTGCCGGTATTGCTGGATGATTAAACGAGACGTATTCGATATACCCATGTTAATCGTGATGAACGTAAGTGTCCTTCCCATCCCCTTAATTGGATGCCAGCGACTGACTTCCACAGTTTCTTCCATGCTATTATCAAAACAAGGAACCGCATCAACTAGCCGTTTAGTTTGGTTATGTAAGAAAAGTAAAAGGGGGGGGATCAGGGTATATATACATATATACATATGAAGGCATGGAAGGCGTTTGGACAGGTTGGAGTTTCATAACCAATCAAACATAGCCCCCTCTCCGAGAGGGCCGGACGGCGCATCTGGGCTTGTTGGGTTACCGATTCTAAGTTCACGGGCTTTTTTTTCCCCTAGCTGTTTCTTTTCTCTAGCTTCACTTCAGCCACCCCGAGGAGACTAAGGGTCGGTCAACCACCCGTCACCCTCATTGCGACGGAGAAGATATTCCTAGGAATTATTGAGAGAAGGTTCAATTCTAAATTTCTACGCTACGTCCGGTTTTTCTAGGCCCCCGTCGTGATTGTAACGTTAAAGAGACTTGTCTAATTCTTGGGCAGAGGCTCCACCAACCACTTCGCATCCAGCGCCCCGTCCTTGGCGGCACCGGGACGCAGCGAGGCGGGTGGCGCCCAGTTAGTCCTGTCGAGCGAGTTTCGCGCGACGTCACAGTCCAGGTTAATGTCCTTGATCAGCGCCTCAAGGGACTTGTAGTCTTTCTCCTCGCGGACGTAGCCCAGGATGAGCAGGCGCATGTGCGAGTCATAGAAGTCGTCGGAGAACTTGTGCAGCACGTGTACCTCCGCCGAGCGCACTGTGTTCTTGTAGAAAGGGTTGTAGCCGATGGACATCACCATGGGGTACAGCTGAAACTCGAGAGAAGGCTGGGCCGGGCCGTGGCCTGCGCCGGGAGGGGGCGCGACGCGGTCTGGGTGGGCGGCCGGGAGGGCGAGGGACGCCCAGCCAAAGTAGACTCCGGACTTGACCTCGTCGATCCAGGGCGTTTGCGAGGAATCGACGGGGAGGTTAGCTGTCGGGATACCGAGCTTTGTAGGCCTTGTTGTTAGCCTCTTGCTTCTTGTGTGCGGTGAAAGGACCAATGTCTGAGTGAGTATGTGATGAGACTTACCTCCTTGGATCCGCGGCCGAAGCCAGAGATGACCTTGCCTTCCATCTTGAGCGGGAAAGGCGCCTCAGGGCCCGACTCAGGGCCGACAATGAGCGGTCGTGATGTCTCTTCCGCCATCTTTGCGTCTTTTGGGTGAGAGGGTATGGTGTTGTGTTTGAATGCTGATTAATCACCTAAAGTGAGATTTCAGTATCAGAGCGCTTTCCCACCGTCGATGACTGCCCAGGAAGCGGGTGGCTCTTACACTGTGACGAGAGGTGCAAAGCAAACGGAGAAGGAAGCAGCCGTTAATGTGGCACGCTTAAAAGGAGTTTCACTGTCAAGGATCGCAAACAATCGGAGGTCGGGGATGTGAGAATTGCGAGTGAGTCGCCGCCGATGAGAGGTGGTGGGGCAGGTCAGCGCTGATGTGATGGAGATGGAGGGGTTCGGGCAGGTTCGATAAGGCTCCGTTATCAATGGCGCCCTTCCATGCAAGTAGTGGGGGCCGCGAGCTCACCGGAGGAGCTGTGGGGCACGAACCCGAAACTATCTGGGAGAGTCACGCCCGGCAGGCCGGAGCATGCCCGTCTGACAATACGCATTCAGGGGGGTTTATAACATGGCATGCATGCATGAGCGGTGTTATCCAATGGTTGTACAGGGCCTGCTGCGTATCAGGAGGGTCGTACAGGATGCCCGACCTCATCAGTTCCGACAAAATGACTGTGATTTTGGTATAATTTGCTATAAACACTAAACACGAGCTTCCCAACCGAGCCAAACCAAAGATATCCTGTTGCCTGGGCCTGACCTCTAAAGACAGTGGTGGTATTTTCGTACACGAGCGTACACAAGGGATATCAACGACTCAAAAATAACGAAGAAAAGTATCGACAGGGAATCTGCACAAATCAAGGTGCTGACAACATCGGAGCCAACGTATCAGCTCCGAGACGGACAAGCCCAAACACGTCAGTGAACACAACTTCACCTTGTCGGGACTGGGTATAGAAACGTCGTGCCACAGTAACAAAAGAGAAACAGCCCACCCAGCTCTGTCTGCTGTGACCTCTTAATCCCGGGCAATCTCGCCAGTGCGCTGTCACGGTGAAAGAGCACCCATGAAACGAGACAACCGCCGTCCACTCGCAGATATAAACATCTTCTGGTAACCGCGTCATATTCGGCCGATGGCAGGTCTTTCATCGCTGAATGTCTGCGCCTCTGTGCCATTTTACACAACGTTCTACCGCCTCGGACCCGAGCGCCTCATCGCCTTACGACCGCGGCCAAGCACCGTGCTTCCACTCCGTCCGGCCAAGGCGAACAATATCGGCGGCTTCAATGACCCACAGGCCCTTAGGCGCCTTGCCCTGCTCCACGAGGATGGCGGCGTGCACGGCCGCGCGGGCAATGACATCGGCGTCCTGACCAATGCTGTCCTGGACGTTGCGGCTGAGGTACCCTAGGGACCTAACGGCCGTCTGAAAAATGCCCTCGGCGGCACGACTCTGCTCGCGCTCGCCGAGAATCATGCCCGGCTTAAGGATGATACCGTGGTCGAACTCGGCCTCTTTGATAGCGTCCTCGACACCATTCTTCATCTTGGAGTAAGGGGCCTGGCCTGCGATGAGACCGCGGGTTCCCGCGCTCGAGACGAAGACGAAAGCCTTCGCGCCCGCGGCCTTGGCAGCTTTGACGAGCTCGACATTGAGGTCATGGTCGATCTTCCACTGCTCGGCGATGCTTCCGGCGGCCGCGCGCGTGGTGCCCAAGGCGGAGAAGACGACAGTTGGGGGCGGCTGCAGCGCAGCCAACTTGGGCGGCCATGCGGTGGTGTCGGCCTCGATGATGGGCTTGAGCGTGGTGCCACCAGCCTTGGGCGGGCGGCGTGAGAGGGTGTTTATGGTGGCGAAGGCCTCTGAGGTGATGAGGTTGGACAAAAGGTGAGATCCGACGAGGCCGGTGGAGCCGATGACTGCGGCTGAATGCGCCATGATAGCAACCGTTCAGAGTAGATTTAAAGCGGATGCTAGGTTTGCAATGGGGGAATATGCAAGAAAGGTGATACGACGATGATGACCCAGCGATCTGGTATATGGTAAGATGGAATTGTCTGTGTTTTGCAGCTGCCGGTGATCCCCTTTTTTTTCGACCGGGTCTGTGTATGGTTGATAAGGGAGGAGAAAAGAGAAAAGAGGCGTGCAGGAGCAAATGTCTGTGGGGAGAATTTCGTCGAGGCTGGGCTTTATGGGATCTCCGCCTTCTTTTTCCTCTGCTTTACTGCCCAATGACCTCTGCAATGTCTGTGTGTCTCTGGTGAGACAAGGCAGTGAGGGGGTGCGACGAGGCAAGAAGAGGGGATGGAATGATAGGGAAGATTCAAGCTTGGACTGTGTGTATGGATGACGAGTAAAGTGTCCTTATTCTGAGTGTGAGCGATCGAGACGGGGGGTGCAGGAGAAAGACGCGGAGGATTCTAAACCTACCTGTGCTTCCTCTTGTTCCTTCAGGCTCTCGCAGTGGTTTGCACTTGTACTTGGACGAAGGACGAGGCAGGGGTGGAGGGGGTGGAAAGTAATTGGGAATGGCTTAGTTTTTAAGCTCAGACAGGGAGGCCGAAGCGGGTTTCTATCACAGTCTCACACGTCTTGCAATGCCCCACACACAACGGCGATGCTGATCTTGTCATGTCATGCCTTGGTCCTGGTAGGGTGTTGACCATTACACATCACTGGCTGGGCAGGTTTACGAAGGTACTGCTGGTACCAGTCCACCTTAGGTTCGCGAGGCGGCGTATCGGTCATAAGGCAGAGACGAGATCTTGCATGAACGAACGAGTTTGCGCACGTACGTCCATGACTAGCATTTTCTGCCTTCTCCCCAACCAATTTTTGACTTCTTGCTCTTTACATAAAAACCAATTTCGAGACGCGACAACAAGGCTTCCAAATAGCGGTCGGTAGAGAATCCGACAGTGATGAGAACGAGGTCCCATGTAAATGGGACGAAATGCTAGGGGGACAAATCCACAGCAGCTGGCTAACTCCATGCAAAGTCCGCTTAGACAGAGAACTCGGCGGCGGATTGTGATGCTGCCTTATCGCCGCCAGACCTATTCAGTTTGCGCCTCTCTTCGTCCCAAATGGATGAAGCAGCTAACCTGGTATTTCCTAGGAAACTCTTTTCTCATAGGCAGGCCCCATACGTAAATTGCGGTTTAGCTGCAGATACATGACAACCTCTCAGGGTCTTTTCCTTCTCGCTCTTTCTAACACTTGATTTTTTTCTCTTTTTCGGCGATAAACGATGATGTGATATGCGGATGCTCCGCTGGCTTACAGATCCATAGCGGAATCATGAGCGGAATATCACCTCGGTCTTCCCGAGGATTACCTCACTTGAAGAATTTACTAGGGCAGGCAAAAGAAAAATTTGTTCATTGCCGATTTCAAGAAACCAGCTGGGATGGTGGGAAATGCATCCGCCGGGTGAGATCAAGATTGCTCCGCAACAGACTTTCGGCATCAGCGGCCGCTCAGTGAGCTACTTGGAGGTGAAGTTGGAAGGTGAGGGTGAGGCGGAGACAGCAATGGCAGCCACACCTGTGCGGGGTGCTGCAATAACCCCTGCAGACATACTGCAATCTGCGCTAGAAACAGCTTCCCCTCCTTCCCTGACCTTCCCCTCACCTCAGGCTTTCTCCGCTGACCGAACTTGCGACACCACGACTGCCTAGCCACATCATCACCATTGCAGCCTCACCCTTGCCTCCAAAAGCTGCTCCTCGACCGCACCGCACTCCTACCTCGTTCACCAACAGCACCCATTATTGTGTCGTGATCCCCAAGAAGCCTAGACGGTCGTAGCATCAGTCGCCCAGCCCACAATGGCTTCCCAATACGAAGGTTTGCAAGAATCACTATCCTACATTGCTTCTCCCAAGGATACAATTTTTGAGCTCTGTCGTACTGACTTATACCCCAATAGTCGAGCACAATATCAAGCCCGGACCCTCCACACAGTCCGGGACCCGCCGCATCGATATGTCCTCGTTCACCTCTTTCCTTGCGAATCTGACTACCGAAGCCGCACCGTCATCGCCTCAACAACACAGACATACGAACCCTCACGCAACACCCACTCCCGTCGACGCCGCGGCCCTTTACCACCTTCTCCAACAGCAGTTCCAGACCCTCTTCTCCACGGCCCCTAATGACGACAACGCCCGCTTTCTCTCCTCCCTTGTTGAGTCTCTTGAGGCCGACATTGCCAGCCCCCCCTCCGAAATCCCCGGCGTCAGCCAGGAGTACCTCGACTCTCTCGAGCGTGTGCCTAAGAAGTCTCTTGGAAAAGATGAAGCGTGTCCTATCTGCGCCGAAAAATTTCTCGATGATCAATACCCCCTCATTGTTGAGCTGCCGTGCCACAGCAGCCACCGCTTCGACCTCGAGTGCGTGAGCCCGTGGTTGCGCAGCAAGGGCAGCTGTCCCATGTGCCGTAAGGACTTGACTAAGAAGAAGGAGCAGATTGTTGTGGAGGATGACGAGGAGAATGACGACCCCGACGGACTGTATGCGTAGGAATAAACTGTTGACAGTTAAAAAAGCAGTATGGATGGCGGTGCTGGAGTTGACTGGAGTTGGGGTTGCATTGATATCCACGGAGTCCCTTGACTTTCACAGCGATGGACGCAGGCACACGAGCAGGCCTTCAGAAATATTCAATAACGATGCAATTGATATCGAGACAAACGCCGTCTCCAACCATGATGCTGTTGATGGTACTGTACACCCCCTACTCTACACCGATCCCCAATTGAGTCCTGTCGGATGACACAAATGCCCCATCATACCCATCAGACGTTGCCAGCCTTGGGGCTGCTCCCGCCGCCGCTCTTGCCTCCCTTTCTCGTCTCTTTTCCTGCGCCACCCTTGGCGCCCGGAGAATCACCCTGCGGTTTCGACATACCCTGGTTCGCGCCCGAGACTTCGAGATCCGAACCGCCTGATTCCCGTTCCGTCTCGGGCCGGGTTGTGGAGGGGTTGAACGCCTCCGAATCTTCTGCTACGTCTTGGTCCCGTCCCGACTTGGTGCCCTCTGTGCTGCCGGGCTTGAGAGTATTACGATCTTGGTCGTCCTTGTAAGCGAAACGTGTGCTCGCCGTGTATGCCAGCGTGCGTGTCATGGCGGGAGCTCTCAGGGAGCTCACGGCTTTGAGGTTGGCGGATCGCAGTGCTTGGAATGCCATATTGATATGGAGGTGGATCTTGGAAGATTGGCGAGTGTGGTCTTTCTTCTTCTTCTTCTTCTTTCTGTGTTGCTCTGAAATATGAGAGTTCAATTGGGATTGAATTGAAGAGCCTCCTTTGTTGTTGTGTAGAAGGATAGAAAACTACGCCTCGGGGAGGGGAGCACCATCATCATCGAAATGCTCTCATTCTGTTGTGGTACGTGACGTCATCCATACGTGCAATGGACGACTGGCAGCCTGCGGTGTACCCCAGTTTGTCATCATCTTATTTTCACATCACTTGCAGCTTATTGATAATGGGTTTACTACTTTCCAAAGTTTTGACTTATTTTCAATCTTGAAATTGTGCCACAGCCTCTGGTAAGCTTGCATTCTGATCAGGTCACCCGTTGAGCGGCCATAAACGAACTCATACTCCCAATTGCCATCTGGACAATTTTATTCTTGCGGCGGGTAAGAAATAAATTGCGGATTTTTTATTTTAACGATTCCGAGGCCTACAGCCTTTCATTGGTTATGGCCAATTGCTGGTGGACAATCAATGACGGATGCTGCATCCGGGCATCAAGGGACCGCCGCACACAGCAATATGGAGGTCCAAGGTTGTTAGACTGTCTCAACTTCATCGGCCGTACAACACGCCGTCAACTTCTGACTAGTCCTATTTCATGCTGTTCAGGCAAACTAAGGCTCTTGCTTCATTGAACACTCCGGGTGAAGGCAAGATTCGCGGCCTCTGAAGGTGAATTTGGAAGTCCTTTGTCAGGACCTCCAAGCCATAGCATGTCAAGGTCCATCGTAAGGGACCGTGTCGGAAATTTGGGTTAAGATGGCATAATGCCATGGTGCAGCTGACGGCAGTTGTCCTACATTCTGCGCCAAATCCATCTGTTGCCTTGATTGAGCTTGTCTTCAACTAGGGCAACATGTGAAATTAGCCTTACTTGGTTCATAATGCTTAGATGGTGGCGCGGAGTAGCCGCCTTGCCATCTCCGAAGGCTAATGAGTCGAAAAACTGGTTTGTAGGCTACCAGATAAAATAGGAGACAATGTCCTTTGCTGCTTTGTTTGATGGTGCGGCAAAGCCAGCAACGGACTTTTGTGCCCTCCCTCGGTAATGATATCGATGCCCCCTCAGATCCTACGAGCGCTCACGATGTCTCGTGCGCATTTGACTCATTAAAACCAGGAGGCGGCACAGCGGCGGTACTGGCGTTTCGGGTTTACAGAACACGGCATGGCAACTTGTTAGTGACCTGGCATACGAATTGAAATTAGACGTGCGTTATGAGCCTCACTAACCTGCTCAGGCGCAATGCAATGGTGTGGCACAGGGAATGGGTTACCGGTGCTGGCCAGTACGGTGGTCTGGTCGTAACCGTCCCTCTGAAATACTATCGCTCAAGTCATTATAGCAGCTTGGAGAAGCTCTAAGAATGTTGCAATGTCCTGCAATTTTTCCAGGCGTAAACAGTCTGCCTTTCAGTGTTTAGGGATCAGATTTCGAGGTCGAGGCATTGGTCCACCCAAGGAATTGGGCAAATAAGCAATGAGAGTGTGGTTGCTGCTGGAATGCGAGCCCAGGATCAGCATGGCGCCATAAGCTGCCTCGGTACGAGAAAGGGAGTCTGGTCGACCGGCCACGATGACCAACCCCGCTATGCTGCTCTCAGAGAACGCTGTTCATTCCTGCTTCTGTTGCAGCCGACAGTTCAACTTGCACATCCGTCCCAATTTGCTACTTTCACTGCGTGAAGCAGTTATGGTATAGCGGTGAATTGATACCCGACATGGGCTTTTGTAACCTCTTCATACCAGTCTTCATATGCCGTTAGCTATGTGGTTGGCAGCCGCAGTGCCTGTCTCAAATACGGAAGGTGACCAAGCTTTAAGTATATTAAGAAATGAGAGAGGTTAAAATGAGGCTCCTGGTGGGCGCGTCGAGACGTCAAGCTAAATGCTACCCTAAAAACCGGCGGGGCTAACACTTTACTGAGGCATGTGGCCCCCCTAAAATTGGAGCCTGCCAAACTACTAGTACCTAGGGCGGCAGGACCGACTGTCGCGGCAGTCGTGTTTTGGGTTTGAATGCGATCTGCGGGATCAGCAACGTAGGCCAAAGGAGCCTGGACAGATAGCCCACAACACAATCATTGGTGGAGAGTATCGGAGTGAGTCGCGTGTACGAGACGCGCTGCCAGTGTGTCATTAGCTGTCAAATGTTAAAAAGGGGTCAATGAGGGATTAGGTGTTATGTTTGACGGAGATGACCGATGTAAGATGCGAGCTGATGTGCTCCTGAGTTCTTCCAATTGAGCTTCTGAAACGAACGTGCAGATTTGGGATGATCTTACTGGGGTCCGACGGAACACGGTGTTGTTGGCCGTTTGTTCGTGGGATGATTCATGGTTGAACTTCTCTGCATATGTGATCATCAACCACACGAATCGACTATTTTAGGCATTCCCCGAGGGAGATGTGGCTTACTCTACTAATTGTAAACGTCGCAGCCTGCGTCTGGTTTGTAATGCATGACGGAGCGTGGCGTTGAACGGAAGACTGCCTTTTTCGTTTCTTGCTCCGACAGCGGTTTCCTCTGCAGCAGTGTCTCGAGTTGGCTGACGTTCGTGCAGGGTCTTGTTGGGTCCCGCGTGGCATAGTGGAGGGTGGACGGGAAAGAGACGAATCGCTAATCTGGGACGGCATGAATCTAAGGGGCAGAATCTTTCCAGAAGACTGCATGTATTGTCGTTCCACATGGGCTCCGTGTCTTGGATTGGCCCAGCCCTGTGCTTCATTGTCAGGCGGGATGGCCGCCGTCCGTTACTGGCGGGGGTGGCGGCGCAAGCCATCTCTGTGTACAGCATGGCAGGGGCGGTCCTGACACATCTAAAGCACAGTGAGAGATGGGAAAAGCCTCGTTGAGAACCTCAACTTGTTTCTCCGGGGGAGAAGCTATCTCTCGAACGCCCCCTCCGGCGGGTGTCCAATGGACCTATTAGACTGGGCCTCATTTCAGCGACATAGCCCCCATATCCGTGGAGCCTCCAAACACGCCAAAGAAGACATTTCTTGCATGGCTAGCTCGACCCACGAGTCGGAATAGTGTGGATCTATTTCCCTGGGCGACATAGTGTAGGTGTCTAAGCATAGGATAGTTAGCCGTTTCCGACGAGATATCCATGGAGTTTAATAGGACGCTGGAGGTGAACCTGATGATCACAAGATGGGAGTAGACACCATCGCTCTTGACGGTATGGTTGGTCGTGAAGGGTGTCACAGAGCGACGAGTGATACCGAGTCACAGCATCACACTCGTCGCACGTGGTTGGCAGGGATACCACATTAACTTACTGCCACTTGCGTCGTCTGTTTGATATATTGCTGAACCCAGTCACACCATAATACGTCGCCCATTTGCAGAACAAATGATGTTACGTGTTGCGATTATTAAAACGATACTGAGCTTCCAAGCTTCCAAGCTTCCAAGCTTCCAAGGTTCGTGACTGTCAGCGGCATGTTCGCGTCCCACAGTGGGCCATCGCGGAGTAGCATGGCACCGATGCCGTGATACAGGTCACCCAGCATCTAAGCCTACATCCGAATTCCTGGTGGCTTGACATTGAACCAACAATGACTTGTGGTCTTGACTTGGTCTGCGACAGCCGATAACTCCATACGTAGTAGATGCTACTCGGAAGCTACGATAACGGGCTGCTTTGTCGCAGGCGGCCGGCACAACCACCTTAGGAATAATTTGGAGAATCCGCGTTGCAGTAACTGGAGTGTTTGCTGTCGGCCTCTGCAAACCACTAGACATAGATGTGTTCCAAACTTGGAAAGGGTTGGGGGCAGTTTACCTCGTGGCCGCAAGTATTATGGCTTCTTGAATCAGAACGCCGCTGCACTCAAGGTATTTTGCCCGTTTTGCCACCGGCTTTTCCCTTGCTCCAGAATGGAGAGGGGATTTGGCTTCTTCCGATGGTCGGATAGTGCCCTCGACCTGAGTAACACTGGGAAAGTTTGGTCCCTAATCCCTTGGGTTTCCAAATAGTAGTGATGAGCAGTTTAGAGCCTAGATTTAGACGGTTTCTATTCTCTGCGAGGAACTAGCCAAGTTGAACATGCTTCCCTGCTTGTGATTGTTTGGTGTTGCAGCTAACTGAGTCGCAGTGCTTGACTGAGTTAAGCAACTGACCGGTCTGTAGCTGGCCTAGACTGTTGAATAGAAGTGTATGGTGGACGAATGGCAAACTAGACGATCAGAAGTCAATATTATAGATTCCCTTGCTATCAAATGCGTCTTGCTTCTGGGAAGGGGAAAAAAAAATCCTCTTAATAAGTTGTAAAGATGCCTAGCAGACAAATGGCTTTTGGCACGGTTTGTATTTGCAATTACAATTGAAGCAATGGAGCAAGCGCATCTGAACCGCTCATCATAACCACTATTGGGCGGATGCTCAGCATCATCCTGGAAAGTACGGCCAATTTCACCTCGGTGCACGTCCCTCAGCCCACAAATGAGGGAAGAAGGTATGGTACATGGAGACACCTCCCCATCGCGACACTCTGGAGCCGCTACTTGCACCACCAAACTAAACCGACCGCGCCGGTAGAGTGAACACATTTCCCGAAATTGGGTCTTGTTGCCTTGCAGTGAGTACTCCGACGACACCCACAACCCGACCCCATTTCCAGCCTTGAAGGTACCTTGATGATGGCACACTCATAGTATGCTCGGACTCTCCAATATCCCACACCCAACTTGGCAAATTGTTTACTTGTTTTTCTCAGCCGCCCTTTTCTTCTTTTCTGGCCCTGAAAAGATTCTCTCACTTTCACAATCTTGTGACCCTAGAATCATGGACAAGGTGATTCTGTATTCATGACACAGCGGTTTAAATGGGGTAAGAGCACCGAGCCGACCTGGGATGATGACAACAAGCAGAAAAGAAAGGTGCACAGCCTCGCTAGTTCGTTCTGCACTTATCTGTGGCTTGCTCGATGGCATTTTGACATGCACCAACGGAAACTCCAAATGCCACGAGATTTGCCCCTGGCGAAGTCTTGATCAAGCCACGGTCTGCGGCTTCCTAGCCAGAGGAACCATCATTTGCCTCCAGCCCATCATTTGCCCTGTTGGATTCCGTACAAGGAATGGCATCTTGGCTCGCCGAGACCCTTGACGTTCATTCCAGACCCAGGCCTCGTCGTACGCTTGCTTCGTACCTTGCCATGAGGGAAGGGCACTTGAATTCAACACGAGGCCTAACCCTCTTTGGAAGACTTCTCGACCAGATCATCTGAAACCTGATGCCTCTTTGTCTCTGCACGCTGCGGCCTTGCACGGTCTTGCTGCATCTATCCAGTCAATTTGTTGCTGGCGGCTGTCTCTGTTGCTCATTATTGTTGGTTTCTTTTCCCATCGGCTTTCGGTTTCTACATGCATTCCTGAATGGTCTGGGGACAGGAGGCTAACCTTTTCCCGCAGCCAGGCAAAAAAGAAAATAAGAGAACGCTCAACAGGGTATCGACGGCCGGCCTGCAGGTTAGGGATGCCAGGCCGGGTTTAAGTTGCTTCGTTGCCTGCTAGCATTATCCATAATCCAGCAACCCCTTCGCAATTGGTGACCCTCTGATCCCTGCTTCGTTGCACAAGCCTGTCTGTTCCCACTCTCGCTCCCACTCCCACTTACATTTGCACTCCCCCTGCCACAACACAAACAACCCGCCACCCACCACAAGGCAACGTGGGAGACGGCACACAGTACCTGACCATACGGCACCTTACCGCTTATTGCGCACCAATGCACAGCAGACCGCAATGCTGCCCACCGTATTGGTATCTGGTGCAGCAGCGGGCAGCAACAAGCACGCGCTAGACCAACCTAGCCTTCCCTACCTACATTACCGACAGATCCAGCCTCCATCCCGACAAAGTATTAGGCCACAGGTGACCTCGGCGCCATGAGAGTAACATTTGAGATATCCTACTTGGCGATGCAGACCGACTGTTGCTCACGTATCGAGGAAAGTGATTCTTTTGCTGGCGTCAACGGATTTTGGGCGATGCGGAATATACCACACTGGCTTCAGTGGTCTGCCCATAATACTAAGCCTTGGTGTTTAAAAGGGCATGGCTCATACGCCATGGTAGCGGCTTGTCTCACCCGTTCTTAGTTCTTAGGACAGTGAAGCAGACTTAAAGTACCTTATCGCCGCGACGTCGGTACATGAGATACCTACGGAAATGTCTCCCATTGTAACATTGACTGCCTGTCTTTCAGTCCTAGCCACTCTTCGCTTTAGCCTGGTACGCTGCTTCGTATCTCGATCATGTACAGGACCTTACTCGACCTCGACGCACTTTGAAGACGAAGACGACGACGACGACGACGACGTTGTGCTTGTTTGTTTGCTTTCCTGTCTGCTTGCTTGCTTGCTTGGTGTGGCCCGGCCTTGTTGCCTTTCTTCCCCTGGAGACAGACAGACGGAGAGGAAGAGGCGAACAATTGCATCTCTCTCCTTTTTTTTTCCCTCCTTGCTCTGTCCAATTAGCCCTGGTCTCCGAAACAAGGAAAAAGACAAAAAGTAGCACATCCCTTCTTTTTTCCGTTACTCTCGTCGTCTTCCGCCTCCGCTCTGCCCTGTGTCTGTTCTGCCTTGTCCGGCCCTGTACTTATCACTCCCGTCGACCGCTGGCCTGTGTCGGTACTGCCTGTCCCTTGGACTTCCCCCATCCACCCCCCTCTCTTCTCAGTGTTCTCAGTAGTCTCCTCCCTCACTCCTCCCCCTCCACCACAGTACCACCAAGTCCCCGATTTTGAGACCATCATTCGAAGCAACTGGCCCTCCATCCCCCTGTCACCCCGTGCCAGCTGACTGTGGCAGACTCCACTCCTATCTATCTGCCTCCATCTGCTCTTTCGCTGGCTCTGTCTCTCTTTCTCGCTCCGCTCTTTGCCTTTTGCTCTCGTTTTGCCCCAATTCCAACTCTGCGGCACCTTCATCCCAAAAAAAAAACCGTCGACCTGTCTGGATCATGGTGCGCTCGAGACGACACTGTCTTCCTTAGATCCAATCAGTGCAGACGTGAGAGCCATTGAAGACGACTGCACGTCGCAATGGGCAACAGCCAGGGCAAACCCATCGATTTGGATGGCGAAGGTATGTCTTGCAGTTCCTCCCGTAACTGAATGCACAGCGCGGCACCGCCGCCGCCTCCGCCTGGCCTTGCTGCACAACGCTGCCGCCTCTCCCCACCACCACCCGATGAACGCCAAGCTAACCAACTTCCTTCATCTCTGCAGTCAACCTCAACCACTTCCGTCTGCTACGGGTAGTCGGTAGAGGTGCTTTCGGCAAGGTCCGCATCGTCGAGAGGAAAGATACGAACCTATCCTTCGCTTTGAAGTACATCCGGAAAGATGAAGGTACACATACACCGCCTCGTTCCACGACATCGCCTACGGCTTCAGGGGCGAGCTGGACGAAACATTAGATCACTTCCATGCTGATATTGGCTTTTTGAACAGTCGTACGATCCGAGAGTGTACGGAATATTATACGAGAGCGTCGGATGCTGGAGCACGTGAATCATCCGTTCATTTGCAATTTGCGATACAGTTTTCAGGACATAGAATACATGTGGGACGACCCTGTGATTGCTACTCGACGAGACAGCCCACTGATGAAATTTTAGGTATCTGGTGGTCGATTTGATGAGCGGCGGCGACCTTCGATTCCACATCTCAAGAAAGACGTTTACCGAAGACGCTGTTCGATTCTGGATTGCCGAGCTGGGGTGCGCGCTTCGGTACATCCACAGCCAGAACATCATCCACCGCGATGTAAAGCCCGATAATGTTCTCCTTGACGCCGATGGCCATGTGCATTTGACCGACTTCGTGAGTTGAGACAAGTAATTGCTGAAACGACGTACTAACAGAACAAGAACGTTGCTTCAGACATTGTTCCTGGCAAAGTTCTGTCCAGTAAATCAGGCACACTCGCATACCTCGCACCCGAAGTTTACGCCGGTAAGGGTTACGACGTTCGTGCAGATTGGTGGTCTTTGGGTGTTCTGTTTTACGAGTGCATCTACAATAAGGTTAGCTGACTTCTTGGGGAAACGACTTGTTGGCATTCTGACTGATTTATACTTCAGAGGCCATTTGATGGCAACTCGGAAAGCACCTTAAGCCAACAAATTCAACTCGCAAACCCTAAATACCCCGTCACCCAGCCGGCTGTTACCCTCCCATGCTTGTACGCAATCAGAGACGCATTAAACCCGAACCGCGATACGCGAATGGGTGCTACGTGGGAGAGTTTCACTAAGCACGAATTTTTCATGATGATTGACTTCGAGGCGTTGGAACGGAAACAAATCGAGCCGGTGTTTGTCCCGGCGGCTGACAAGACCAATTTTGACGCCACATACGATCTCGAAGAGCTTCTTTTGGAGGAAGCCCCTCTCGAAGCGAGAGCCAGACGTCAAAAGCCTCGCGAACGGTTAAAGGAGGACGCTTCGGAGAAGGAGATCCGGGAAGACGAGCTTTACCGCATGATTGAAAACGAATTCCGGCCGTTTGATTATACACTAGCTGCGTACAAGAAGTATGGCCGTATCAACCCGCAAATTTTCTCTCCAGACACTAACAGCTGTAGAATTACTGGCCAAGGCGAAGAGACCGGCTTCCCCAACGGCGAACTTGCGAGTCAATTATCACTTAATACTCAGCCACAGGCCTTGACCACCGACGAGGCGACACCAGCCGCGATGGCTACCAATGGAGGGGTCCCGAGAAACGCCCCACTTTCAGCACCGCTACGTAAGAGCTCGAGTCTGGAAAGGCGACCGGGCAGCAGTCACAGTGGTGTACCACGACGACCAGTCTCGAAGCCACCCCCGATACCACATTACCCCAGCGAGTACTCTAATCAGAGAGCGGCGCCTCCAGTTGCAGCTGGAAAGAGGGTCACCAGCCCGACTGGCGGAATGCAGGTCACACTTGATGGAGGTGGCAGCTGGTCAGACCTAGCCCGACAAGACGCTACACTTCCCACCGACGCGAACGCTGTTAACGACGGCAAAACCGAAAGCTCAGGAGGCGTATTCAGTTTTTTCAGAGGCAAGAAGGGTAGAGGACACAGCCCTAAGCCGAAGGAGCGAGGAGTACTGGGCAAAGAGGGCGCCAGACAGATCCTTAACTAGAGGGCGATGTGGAATAAGTTGAGGAGATGGAGTACAAACAGCACGGACGGATCAATACCCTAGGGATTCAGCAGAGCTCGAAAGGGAACCGCAAGGTCCGCTACCACGATTCAGTGGGGTGAATGACGAATGCCCGATTTGGCGTTACGGTAACCGTCTCCAAAGCGAGTGTCCCCTACTACCCAGGGATGAGATGCTGAGGTTTCAGTATAAACGCGATACGACGCCCAGAGAGCAGCGCCAGCACCAGACAGCCGGGGCTGCACATTACATCAACAACCCTCACCGGCGGGCACCGGCAGGCATGATCAAGGCGGCCTGTGCTATGCGCGAAATACCTGAGTCAGCTACATCGGCTGGCCGGCCGAAGACCTGGCCTAAGGCTGTCATATCGATTCACCGCGTCGCAGTGTTACAGAAGGATAAACTGAGGGGCAACCAACTCATGATGCATCAAAGACGGTATGGAGCGTGGACTAGCGGAGAGGATTAGGATAACTCATCAAGAATATACCCTTTGTAATAGCATGTTTGCCTTCTCTAAAGGCCAACGACAGTGCATGTGTTGCCCATGGTGTCCGAGTTCCTCTCGGATAATACTCTCTAACTGCGAACTTGAAGGTTGTCACCCTGATAATTGATGAATTACTATATTCTTACGTGCGTCGGTCGTTGAGCTTCTCTCGCTTGGGACGATTCAAGCAAGTCGGTCCCCGGTTCCGGGACGTGCCATTGGTTGATTGATCGCTGCAACCGGTAAGTGGCCTTGGAAACATGGGGAGGGTAGACTGCAGATCCCCTCGCCTCCCACCCACTTCCCCATCCATCAACAAGCACCCTTTCACCCAAGCATCTAGACATGGGGGTGCGTTTTCCTTCGTCCCCCTCCCCTCCCCCTTTCCCTTTCTATGCCGAGTCGATACCACCTTGGCGGACAGCAGAAGGGGATGAGAGAAAAGAGGGGACGGGAGAGTGGTATGTCTACGAAACAAACCTGGATGAGCAAGGGCCAACAGTTACACATGCGACTAGTGAAGTACATGGCAAGCACGGCAAGTCTCGTGATGACTCTTAATGGACGGAGCGAGCTTTTGCCCCCCTCGTCGTTGTGAGGGGAAATTCCGGGTTTGGGTTTAGCTAGACGTAGAGATAACACAACAGATGGACTGATTGTCAGAGTTTCGCCGCATACCACACGCACCGCTCATCCAAGGCATCCCTACCTCCGTCCCCCCCAATCGTCCGTCGGGCTCTGCTTTGTGCTCATTAAGCCTGCGTCTCCACGTGCTATCCTTTTTCTTCCCCTCCCCCTACGCCAAAGCTTCGGCATGTCCAGAAGAGAGGGGAAGCAGCGGTGATGGTGGTGGTGGTTGGAGAGCGCCCACACAGAACAGAGTGAGACGATGGGCCGGAATACGGTCCTAGTAACACACGCACACACATACACACACTAACTAACTAACACCATCCCCCCCCCCTCCTCCATTTCTTTCTCTCTTTTTCTCCCTCAACAAACCCCTACGGCCATGCTTCTTCTGCTCATGCAGTACACCCATGACAGGTATCCCGCCCCCGGGAGGAGCTATCCTGTGGGTGAGGTTGCATCCGCAGTCGGCGCAGGATTCGACCCTGTTCTACAAGCGCCGCCGACAGAAACCTCATTCCCACAATCCCATTGCCCCTGGTCCTCTTGCTCGCGCGCTCTTTCCGTTTGATCCGCCCGCACAAGGCAGGCACACGTGCAACTTGAGGTTCTACTGTCGGATGTGAGGTGCGGGTACGGGTGGATGCAGGGCGCCCTAGCCTGTCGTTTGGGAGTTCATTGGCACTTGGTATAGGGGTGTTGTTCCCGACGCTGGTCCGGATTGAACTTAAATGCTGCCAAGCTGATGTGCCCTGTAGATATACGACAGGCGCAGGTGTATGTCAGAAGTACTGGGCGAGCTTGTCGGCTCCATGCTACCATGCCGCTGCTGCGGAGAAGCTACTCAACTCGGAACGGCTTTACCGAAAGGGAAGAAGCCATTCTTCGCTTCTTTTATGATACACAGTTGCGTTTCTCGGTCAGAAGTGTAAGTCCAATGTGGAGATTCTCATTTGTTCATTGTCGGAATACCTAACTGTCCGAATACTTGATGGCATCAAAAATTACAACAGCAGAAAGAACTGTCACCCTCAAAAAAACCAAAAAAACAAAACCTGACCTTTGTGGTCATCGCAAAGTCATCATCGTAGCCTCCTTAAGCCATTCTCAACCAATTCGGAAAGTCTCCCACCAGGGGTACAAGGCAATGCCTTGCTTGCTTACTACCGGTCGGACAAATTCCGCGATCCGTATCTAGATTTCCGGTATTTGATGAATAACCATTCGCCTTGCCATGAGTCGGAGCTTTATGTCCGCCCTGTTTTTGGTCCGTGTTAAAACGCCTGCCGTCCCCAGAATAACTGACCCAATCCTGATATGCTTTCAACCTGTCCGCCCGACCCGTTGCCGTGGGCATGTGTGCCAATGTACATGTAGACGTGGTGGCGACTCAGGCATCCGTCTTGTTCTGGAAGCAGGCCGCCGCGTCCTTGCCCATCCATTTGTTTACGACTGTCTGAAAGTCCGTCTCGGAAACAACAGGCCCCTGACCCGAGCACTTGGCCTTCTTCTGGAGCTCGGAGCAGAGGCCATCGAGATCGAATTCACCACTCTTCACGTTAGGGCAGTTCTGCAATTTTTCCCTGGAGGTTGTGTGAGTAACATGATCGATATACCGTCCTGAGGGTTCAGCGTACCATATTTTGTTGCAGTTGTAGTTCTCGGCTTTAACGGCATCCTTAATCACGTCATCGTCGGCATTCTTGGCGGCATCAATCTGGTCAATTAGGTTCTTCTTAGGCACAGCAGGGCTAGGTGCCATGTTGTAGGGCGTAAAGAAGTCGGCGTCGAGGGCATCGTTGAAGAAGCTGTCATCTAGATTGTTGCTCCCAAGGATGTTCTCTTGAGGTTCCCTGTAATCTCCGAAAAGTTGAGGATCAAACTGACCACCGTTCTGTTGGGCAAGCCAGTCAATGCTGTTGGTGTCGATTCCAGCAAATAGCGACTGTTGGCCGGTCGACTGTTCCTCGCCAATGGTAGTCATAGTGTCAACAGGTTTGAAGCCCATGGGTGACTGGGTGAAAGGTTCTGGGGACGTTCCGCAAGACGAACTGGGACCAGCATTTGACTGAGATGATGCTGACGGCGAGCTGGTCGACGTGCCATTGTGCATGCTGTATGGGCCCGAATCGACACTGGCTCGCGACGTACCGGTGCCGTTGGAGCCATTGGTCATTGATGGGCTGAAGAGGGAGGTGAAAGTGGCCAAGTCGTCCTTTGTGCTAAAGTCGAGTCCGTTGATGATATTTGGGCTGTTGTTGTCCTTGTTGAGAGGGCTTACGGGGTTGCTACCGTTGGTCCGAGGCGAGGCCGAAGACCCTGATCGCTGGGCGGGTTTAGGCATCTGAGCTCCCGGGAGAACACCAAACTTGGGAAACTCGAATTGAAAGTTGACGTCGCTCAGGTTGCTGATTACAGGTGCGCCAAAACCCATGGGCGACTTGTTGCGGGTGACGGAGAGAGTGCTCATGGCTGTGAGCTTGGTCTTGTACTCGTTGAGCTCGGCAGTCATCTTCTCAATCTGAGCCTTCAACAGGCTGTTCTCGCTGTTCGCATCCTTCGATGCCTTCTCCAACTCTTCCACCTTAGTCTCGAGATCCTTCAAATGCTTCTCCTTACGCTCACGGAACGCTCGCTGGGCAGCGCGGTTCTGGGCCTTGCGTTTCTTCAAACATGTTAACTTTAGTTCATAAAGATGGGAATTGAAAAAGACGTACTGAGCTTGGTTCGGAAGTAAGCGGCTTACGTCCAGGCTTTTTCGGGACCTTTTCCGTGCTCTCCCGTCTCTTGGCGCCGTTTCCAGGAGAGGCATCGTCGTCCTCATCGTCGGGGTGTGCTCTCTTGTCGGAAGTTTCGTTCTCAGTAGAGTCTGACTTGGTGGACGTGGCAGTTCCAGGAATATCGCCAATCATCTTGCCTTGGTCATTGGCAAAGTCAAAGTCAAAGCTGGAGTCGCCAAAATCGTAGTCGTAATTGTCCAGATAAGGACTCTCCTGGAAACCGTTTGCAGGGGCCTGGGCCGGGGAGGTCTGGAAGGACGAGGGCGACATCGAGGTGGCCTTATTACCCGGAGACTGGTTTGCCAACTGCTGCTTATTCGAGTTGAGGGCGGCAAACAGCAGGCTTTGTTGCTGCGGGGTCAAGATGAAGTTGGTAGGGAAACCACTGTTCGTTGCGGAAGCCATTGCGAAGGGATGTGAATAAACCAAGTGGTAACAGCAAAGTAAGGTCAATTTGTTGCAGGAGGGCTATGAAGAAAAATGTAAACTTGAGAGGCCGATTGCGGCTCGAAATGCCGGGGCCAAGGTGCCGTTAGGGTCCAGGTAGACCGGGGCAAACGGTGATGTCGCGTGGGATAGGATAATATTCAACTTCTGCGCGAAGCAGGTAGTCAGTCTCCGCAACCCAAGGACAAATTTGCCGTAAAGGTATGTAGGAAGCAAGTGTATGGGGTTTGCGAATGAGTGACAATGATGCTGTGGATGTGACGAAACGGTCTCCAGAGCTGGGCTGGGGTACGGTTGGAGAGACTGCAAAAAAAGGTTGGTGCCTTTGCGCCTTAAGTTGCGGCCTGAGTCACAGAGCGGTCTCCAGACCACCTGTTTCTCTATCGATGGTCTTTGCAGGATCCGGGTCCAGATATTCCACGGGATTCGGGGGGAAACGTGCTTGGAGGAGGGTGTGCGTGATGCGAGCGCGGTAAGGGGAGAAAAGTTGGTGGTGTTGGCCGCAGTGCGTCTGAGTAGGAAGTGGAGAGAATCGAACTGAATGGACGGTGGCAGACGGTGAGGAGGGGAAGAATTTCAGCGCCCTTTCAGCGTCAATTTGTCAGCCGTCATGGACGCCAATTGAGGCAGGGCAAGGGGAAGAAATGGAGGGGGTCGGCCGATGGAGTCGGGGTCCCGACCAAAGGGTGCTGCAAGAATGCTTATCTATTGGTCGGTTGACCTTTTATCGCCGATAAGACGAAGGGCGCGACTCGTCGTTTTCGCATCATTCAGCCATCGACCCTCCTAATTCCTGACAATTCGCCCCTCCCGTCCGAGAACTGGCCTGGTCTTGGAAGTTTGGACCTGCCCACCTGAGCTGCCCTGCCCGCACCAGTGGACCAGTGCAGCCCTGAAGGGACCCTCATGCCGCTGTCCAAGACACCAGCCTCGCATTCCCTGTAACAGTAGTGGCTCATAACCCCCTCTAAAAGGCACCTTTGCCACGCATCCTTCTGCCTCTCCGTTCCTCTTTTAGGATTGGGGATGACTTCCTCCACCGGGATTTGCACTATGGATGAAATATTGCAAGCCATGCAGACAGGCAGACAGGCAGCTGGGCCGGGCGACTGGACGCTCCGACGGGGGAATATCATCGGCAGAATGCCCGCGTCTCATGTGTCTCTTCTGTCTCTCTGCTCACCATTTTCCGTCTCATCCACATCGGCTCATCGACTTACAAAATTTTGCAATTTCGCCGCCCAGGACTCCCCGGATCTTATTTTGGCACCCTCAACATGGCATGACGGCAATAGGGCTCCAGCATTGCCTGGCTATCGTCAGTCAGTCGCATGACGTGGGGATTATCTTCATTGCGTAACAATGCGAGGGGCGGGTCATCGGCCAAAGCCTAAGGACGAGTTCCGTGGTGCGCAGCATTCGTCCGTCCTTTCCTTGCAGTGCAGCACTAGCCAGCCTGCCAATTCTTCAAACGGCGGGCCCGGCCTGCTGGTTATGACTCAGGGTCATCCTCCCTCTACTCTGCACTGGGGCGGACACCATGGTCCGTGGCCACTGCCGTGCTGCAGCCAGTAAGCCGTATTATGCCCCTATCCGCCGGAGGTAACGCCGCCGCACAACAACTGCTGCAACGACACCTGAGCTTGGTAGCCGTCTATCCCGCCTCTGGCCCGAATAAACCGTGAGTCCTCATAGAGCCTGGCGAGTCCAGCAACCCATGCTCAGGCTTACACTTCCGATCACCGGACGCTTTCGAAACTGGACTGACTGCCCGAAACTTTGATGGGCTTTAGCCATGAGACCGTCTTGGCCTTGGCCAACTGTTGATGGGAATTCTAGGGAAACGGGCGTTGGTTCAAAAGGGGCTAATCTAATTGATCGTTGCTTCCCTAGCCGAGAGATCTACTCAAGTGTCAGGGAAGACGTTAAAAGCTGTCAACACCTGGATGACAAATGACGGGCAAGCATGCGTCTGTTCAGTGTTTCCATCGCAACATGCAGGCATTATGCAGAGACGAGACACAGACGTAGTTCGCGGCATGAGTCTTGACTAGGCAAACGGCAATTCCTTTTTTACCTTCTTCGGCGCTTCGCACCCATCAGCATGATTCTCAGGACTCTTTAGTCACAGACCACAAGATGATCGGCTTGCTTACTCTATTGCTTGCATAAGTTGCCACAACCTAAGAGATGTCTAGACCTGAGCTAGCCCCATCTCGAAAAGCTTACACTATTTCGTAAGCCTCCTATTACGGGGGTGTGCTTGGCCCCTACGGCAGTAAGAAGGTTCGAACCAGCAGTTCTGAATGAATTTCTTTACAGTGCTTTACAGGGCTTAGGGGCTATTAAAGTTATCCAAAGCGATAGTACACGAAGCTATCGAAGCTGCCTGCAACGGTTGTAGGCCGGAAATTGCGATCACCAAACAGAACATACCACCGTAACAGCTGAGGTCTTTAATCCCAAGGAAACTTACTATGTTACCTTGGGCCGGCCCTTATGAGCCATCCTGTCATTAGAGACAGGTACATGTTGCCACCCAATATGGCACCATCCGGTCCCGCATCGGTCTCTGTGTCTGGGGAAGAATGTCGAAATAATTTGAGCCGTAAGCTGCAGGCACCTGTGTCATCGTCAGTCCCCAGCGTCAGACTCGGGTATCCATGAGTAGTTGAACCAACTCAAAGTTCGTTTGTAGGTCCCTTCGTGCAGGAGGAACCAACCTTAGGTACAATATGCCCATATTCCCCTGCCAATTGTGACATCATTTCGGTCGGCTCGTTCTCCCTTGCTGCGCCGAGCTAGTGCCCAGGTAAAGGTCAATGGAATGCTACAGCGTCTCCCGCCCAGTTGATACAGTGGATGCAAGCAGTTATTCGCCTTAGAGGACCGAAAGCAAGAAGGCTACGGCAGTCACCGTGCCGGGCCCACACGTGCGTCGAGGAATCCCCGCATTGACCACATGCAACCGTCTACCCCCGCCCATCAGGGGGAAAGCAGCCTCACGCCAGAGCCAAACATCATTCGTCCGCCAGCTTCGACAACTTGAACGATTCGCATCATCTTTTACCCCCCGCCAGCCAGCCTTGCAACGGACTATTCGAACTCCCGATACAATACCGGCCAACTCAAGCTTGGACTCTACAGCCTTGCGATGGATCTAGCGTATGATCACATCCAGGAGAGCGTCCTCCCTAAGGACGACGACAAGAAGAAGGGCGATTCCAAAGACCCAAACAACAATCAGCCGCAGGCTTCGCTGAATGAAGACCTCCAGGAGGCTTACAAAGCTCTCTCTACGAGTGCTTGGGGCATGCGGATCGGTGGCTTCTTGGGCAATGCTGTCAAGCAGGTAAGCGGACAATGGAGGCATTTACAAGGGAGACAGCAACTAAACCCGGCTCCAGGGGCAATCTGTCTACAAGGAAGCCTCCAAAGAGGTAACGGAACTCGGCGGAGATGCTGCTAAGGGATTTACATCCATCATAAACCGTACACGATCGCTCACCGTCAACACGACACAAGGCGAGGCCTCTGGGGATAAAAGCAAAGAAACAGACAACCAAACGACACCGACCAAAACCAGAGACCAAGGCTCCGACGAAGCCATGAGTAACTCGGAAACGTATATGACGAAGTTCCGTGCCGAGGCAGCCAGACGGCTAAAGGAGCTTCAAAAGGCAGAAGACGCGGCCGACGAGGCTCTGCTGCGGTTCGGCACCAACATCAGCAATTTCCTCAAAGAGGCGGTCAGCATCGCTCCGCCTTCCGATTCGAACCAAGGTAACACCGTCTTGTTCGAAAGCAAGGATGCACAGGGAAAGCGTGTTATCCATACCTCAAGACAGGACGCGCAGCTTCACGTCATTCACACAAGCACCGAGAGTTTTACAAAGGACCCTGCCACAGAAGAATTCGCAGCTTGGTCCACGACTTTTGATGCGGAGAAGAAGACTACGGATATTAGTGACGACTTGAAGAAATATCCTGAGCTTCGAGCGACAATGGAGAAGATGGTGCCTGATCAGGTTCCATATGCTGATTTCTGGAAGAGATACTACTTCCTCAGACACGGCATTGAGGCCGCTGAGGCTCGTCGCCGAGATCTTTTGAAAGGTAAGCTTGACTACCAAGCTATTTCGATAAATGCTAACTCCTACAGCCGCATCTGCCGAGGATGAAGTTAGCTGGGACGACGACTCCGACGACGAGTCTGCCCCCGCTCCCGCGCCCAAGGTCGAGCAGAAGCCTGTCCGGCCGCCGTCGGCAGAGTCCTCCACCACCATCCAGCCCCCTGCACATGCCTCCCAAAGTACTCTCAAGCCTAACGAATCCCGCAAGTCCAATGATGAAAAGTCCCAGGCCGACAGCGAGGCAAGTTACGACGTAGTTGGCGCTGCCTCGGGTGTGCAGAGCCGAGCCCCTAACAGCCCCAAAGAGTCGCGTAAGGCCGACGACAGCGATGACGACTGGGAATAAGCGCAAGATTGGGTTTGTCTTCTTTTTGCTGGCTGGCGTTGGCTGGGGTTGAACTTTTTCTGGTTTCAATGGCAGCTTTTAATTTTGCGCACTTTGTACATCAGCCGCGGCTCGTAGTGCATCATCTCCCTGAGACCGAGTCGGATTCTGCTTCGCTTGTTTATCGCTTCTTCTTCGTGACCATTGTGAATCCATCTTCGTCGACCTCTGGCTGCGGCTTCTCCTTTGGCACGGAGACGAGCTGCGGCGCATCGTCCATGTCAACGTCCTCATCCTCATCCTCGCTGTCATCCTCCCAGTCTGTCTCCTGGTCACCGCCCTCGACCTTCTTGTAAAGTCCGTCAACCTTGGCACCCTTACGACTATCCCACTTCTTGCGCAAGTCGTCGACAGCTGCGAAATTGCCCTTGGCGCATTCGGCACGCAGCTTAATTATACGGTCGGCGACGTCAAAACCCGTCTCATCGTCGACATTCACCTCGAACTCGTCGACCATAACCTGCAGCAGCATGGTCTCGACATACTCTGTGTCGGGCTCCTCCACGGCATTGTTGGCAGGAACAGCCTGGCCGTTAGAAATCTTGGTGTATGTCGGGAAGAGCTCGACAACGGCGCCGGCAAACCAATCCCTCTTGTCAGCCGAATCGGGGCCTCCCCAGTTGTTCTGAACGGCGAGAGAGAGGGCAGGCCACATGTGCAGCGACAGGGCTACAACCTGCTCGAAGGTCGACTGGCAGGCCTCTATGGTTGTATTAATATCTTCTGATATACATGCTTGAGAGTATTCATGCAGTATGACTTACCTGCCGTGATGGGGCTGGAGGATGCCGTGGTTGCCATGTTGACTTTATGTGTGTCGCGGGGTACTATGGAGGGGCAGACAATTCGGTGACAATTCTCGAAATCACAATTTTTTGACGAATAGTGCATGCGACGGTGGTTACTGTGTTGATCACTGTGTGGAGCTTCCCGGGTCCGCTTCCAGGCCTGGGCAGGGTCCTGTGCTGAACTTTGAGATTGGGTTTGCCGAATACGTAGTGATGCCCGCAGCCAGCAGCATGATCGCTTTGAAAAAGACAGAGAATAATACGTCCCAGCCTTTGAATCGAGTGTCTGTATAAATCGAGGAAGGCATTCCAGATCTCTAAGATTGTTTTCGTACCAATAATTCAACCTTTGTTCAACCGGCTGGCCTCAGGTGTCATAAGTTTGTCGACCAGGACTACGGACATTATCATCCACATTCGTCTCGCGTGATGTCATCGGTCCCCTATTCCGGCATTCAGCTCGAGAGCCGTTTCAGGGCCGGCTTTCTTCCATGCTCATCAACAACGCGATGGTCTTCCCCTGGCCCTGACAATCATTCGGGAAGCTTCAAAAAGGTCTTGCATCCGCTCATGCAGACGATATAGTTGCTTTTTCTCTGTTACTAGCTCCTCCGGGACAGCGTGACCATGAATCCACTCAAGCTAAACACCACCTCGGTGTCTTTAGCAGTGACGCCAACAGTCGTCTCCACCCTCTTCTCACATGTGAGCCTTCTATCCCCATCCTTCCCCAGATTCTACAACGAGATCTGAGATGACGTGAGCGACTCCATGGCCTAATGAATGCTGACTTGGCCAACGTGCTAGTACCTCAATCGCAACCCGCTGAAGCAGAAACCAACCGCTCGCCTGTCCTACGATGAAGGCCTGCATCTCGTCCGATCATTTTTAGAGTTCGCTTCTCATCACACCGTAGAGGAGCTACAGGCATTCACAGCTCAATGGGTACCGCATCCACAATGGATTAAAGTCGAGGATGCCGAGGTTCCCGAAGACCAGGTTGACAAGTCTGCAGATCTGATTGAGGCGCAACTAGGCCCGGCTGGTGTCCGGGAAGTCGGAGGGCGTAAGTGGTGGAAATGGCGAAAGCCTCACAGCCCGCTCAAGGCAGAATGGATTGAGATGCGATCCGACTACCATGAGCGGAAGAAGAATGGCGGGAAAACGAAGCGGGTGATGCTTTACGTCCACGGTGGTGCCTATTTCTTCGGTAGCGTTGATGAACACCGCTACCAGATGCAACGCCACGCCCGCAAGTTGAAAGCAAGAGTTTTTGCGCCCCGGTATCGACTGGCACCTCAATTTCCTTTCCCTTGCGGCCTGCAAGACTGCCTAGCGGCCTACCTCTACCTCCTTACGATCCAGGACCCAAGTACGATTGTGTTGGCCGGTGATTCTGCCGGTGGCGGAATGGTTCTTTCGTTGATGTGCGTCTTGAGAGACCAGAATATCCCCCTCCCGGCTGGTGCAATCTTGATCAGCCCCTGGGTTGATCTTACTCACTCGTTCCCGAGTGTGTCTGGCGATAACCCACTCGACTACATCCCATCATCCGGCTTCCATCATAAACCGTCTAGGGCTTGGCCACCTCCGAACGAGGATGATATGGAAATGATGAGAGAGCAGGCCATCAAGTCACGTGCTGGTCAAGAGAAGAACGCTACGAAGCTAAATACGCTTGAAAAGAAACAGGCAGCGCCAATTTCACTATCCTCTACCGCCGTGGAAGGTGCTGCTGTAAATGGTCCCTCTGGCAGCAAGGCCGACTCTTCTGAGGATGCGGACCCTCACAAAACGGCACTGCAGCTTTCGGTCACGATCGATGGCAAGCTAACTGTAGTCAAGGATCAGATTCAGGTTGGTGTTCATGTTCCGTCATGTTGAGAAGCATGCTGACTGGTCTAGATGTACACCACCAACGCTCTTCTATCACACCCAATGGTCAGCCCTGTAATGCAGCCGACCCTAGGCGGTCTCCCTCCTTTGCTGATCATGGTAGGAGGAGGCGAGGTTTTGCGGGACGAGCAGATTTACCTCGCTCACAAGTGTGCGAACCCCTCCAAATACACACCGCCCGGCCTTGACGATGTAGGCCTGGCACAGGTAGAGCGATATAAGCCAACAGATGTGCAGCTTCAAGTTTGGGACGATCTCTGTCATGTAGCCCCTACACTCAGCTTTACCCGGCCTGCCAAGTACATGTATCGAGCGGTAGCACAGTTCGGCGCCTGGGCTCTGGCCAGGGCTCAAGAGACGGAGATTGAGATTCTAGATGACGACGAAATCTCGGTGATTTCGAGTTCCGCATCCGATTCTGACAAGCCTCAGCAAGGAGAGGGCTCAGGAACTACCACACCTCCGCAGCAAGTTGGGAAAGCGGGCATGCCATTGCCTCCATTCAAGAAACACATGATTCGACAACGGGTTACCCATCACGGTGTTGTTCACGACCTCGTTCCCGAGTCAGATTTACCTGGCTGTACTATCAAGCAGGAGGAAATAGGTGTTGTTAGGCCTACGCCAGTCCGAAGATGGCTTGACACGAAGGCGGTCTTCGACAAAAAGTTCTCCAGTGCCAAAGCAAAGGTGCACAAGAGTATTATCAAGGATATGGCGGCCGGATATGTCGACTTCGGTGACGGCGAACAGCCGCCACCGACAGCTCTAGCCGGACGAAGAAAGGCTCCGGACGAATTAGTCGACCGTAAGAGGACCAAGAGCTTAGGTCTGGCTCTATGGTCACTCTGGGGGTCGAAGCACGATGAGATGACCATGGAAAGGGAGAAAAAGGCAGACTCGGAGGTGAAAAAGTCAATGACCACGGATGATGAGGGTGAGGGAGCCAGGTCGTTTCAAGACATTGAACACCAGGATCCAGCCCCAATCGAGAGGCGCGGCAGTAAAACACGGATCGTCACTGATGAACATCAAACTTCTCAGGCTACTGATTCCGAGGCGGCAGATTCTCAAGTGTCTGGCTTGCAGGTCATGGACTCTCAGGCTACGGAAGTGGAAGAGACGCCCGTCGCCGCTCTTATCGAGAAGAGAAAGGAGCAAGAAAAGCAGAGCCAGGAAACAGCGGATCACCTGAGCCCAGAGTACGTCACGGGAACCGGGGTGGCAGGCAAGCGCCCTTTCATCGACGGCATTGCCTTGCCGTTCAGTCTCGGCAAAAAAGACGCAGAGACGGCTAGCATGATGACGCTCATGTCTACTGGTGATAGTCGGCCTATTAGCCCTATGCCACCCATGAGCCGGGACCACGACGCGGAAGAAATCACCGATAGTCAAACCACCGACGTGGCCTCTGGGCCGGAGCCGGCCTTGACAGGGGAGAGCAAGCGCCCCCATTTGGATAACTTCGTTACCGCTGCAGAGGACCTCCCTCTCGCAAAGGGCAAAGGCAAGGAGATTGAAAATGGTCCCACGGCGCAGACAGTGTGATTCCGTGGCTGAATATACCCTAATTTGTATCTGTAGTGTTTAGTAGCATAGCTCTGGCTCAGCCGGATAATACTTTGCATGTTTCACTTTCGACATAGCGGCCGATGATAGCTTGGTGTGTGATCATTTTACATATTGTTACAGTGTGTCGAGGGTATATACAGCTCTTGTACAACTCAATCGGGCCTCGCTGGACCCCCTACGCGGTTCCGCTCGGTGATACCTTGCCGCCGGGTCCGATATTTTATGACTTTCCTCATCAATCATCCGACCAGTTCGCTTAATCGAGGCCGTTCTGTTCCTTCCACTGCGCAAGGTACATGTGAGGGTCTCGGGGGCCCTCCTTCGTGTCGTATTTTCCTTTGTACGGGCGCACGGCTTCGGAAACAAATGGCGTGAGCTGCACAGCATGAACACGTCAGAAAATAGGCCCCATTTCCTTCGACATCGAGTCGAGGTTTGCCAGAATTAGGGGGTGAGTAGACCAACCTTGCACTCCTTCAAGCCCTCAGGAACGACATACGTCCGCACTTTGTGCCAGTCGATAATGTATCCTCCGTACTTGGTATGACGACCCATGGCACCGGTACGGTTTCCCTTGTAGAAACCCTTGTTGACATCCTTCGTTGTGAGGCGGATGTGCCTGTACTTGAGCACCTGGAGGACGGGGGAGGGTCTCATGGTGGGCGACCTAGGACAGGTATGTAGACAAGACTTGCTAAAGGATTTTGATTTGTTTTAAGGGGGCCCCTTCTTCGAAAGTCGTGGTCAATTGGCCGCGTCTCGTCGTCGTTCGTGGGTTGCGTAGGACAGGTTCAGGGCCGCGTCGTCGTCATCGGCTTCCTCCTCGATTGAAGAGCTCTGGTGATGCGTGATGGTTGTCCCCGAAATTTTGGCGATGCGCCGGATTAGAGTTGACCCTTCAGCCGTGCAGTGATCTCTCGGGAAAGTGGAGCGCATACTACTATGGTATGGTAGGGTGGAAGCATGGGCCGGAAAGTGTGTGGATAACAGTGGGCTTATCCGGTGAATGGGGCCGGGTAATTGCCGCATTCGGAACTGTAGCTTGAGAGCCAGTCCGCGACCTTGTTTATTCCAACAGGAAATGCTAAGGCGAAAGGTGTTTGATCTGATGGGTTTTTGGCTTCGGCGTCGACATAAATTCCGACCCAGGACTTGTTGATGAAGACAATGACTTACGCTTTTTTTTTTTTTTTTAATCCCAACTGCAATTCCGACACCTCATGCTTTTGCATGTCTTGTACACTATATAGACGATCTCACCACTTGAATGGTAAAATCAATGTCGAGCTCACAATTACTTAGCGAGTGACTTTGATGATGAACATTGAATGTTCTAGTGAATACATGCACCGCTGTCCTAGGCATGTACCACTATCCTAGGAATAGTCAGCAAATCCTACTCAAAATACCTGTTTTAATCAGAAAACCTCTTTTGCCTATGGGCGCGCATCTTAAGAATCATGCAGCGGCTATACTCGGCATCCTTCGACACTGCCTACATACCTGTTTTTTTAATTTTTTTAATAAACGTTTCTCTCAAAACCCTCTTGAATGGATGAAGACCCTTAGTTGCCCGTATATGTTTCTCAATCTTCTCCTCTTGTGTTGGATTCATAACCAAACTTTTGTGTGGAACTGCGCAAACTGAAGCCTGATATGGCTTCCTATACTCACCTTCCCGTTCAAGTGTTGATTGTTATAAACGGTTCTGGCAATTGATCTATGGGGTTTCATGCGGGATAACATATGTTGAGCTACTTCTAGTTGGGATCACTATGCACAATCTGACGGGAGCTGATTCTGCTTGTGCTGCTTACGCATCTCCTTCAGATTACAGCTTTACCATGAACAAGAACACATCATTCCTTGCCCTTGCCTTCTAAATCAGGGAATCCTTCAGCTTGTAGACATGCGTAAGCCTTGTGTCTATGGATATGTGAAAGCATTATTCTTCTCATCAGCTATTACAATGTTCTTTTAGGGCAAGGTAACTCACCTTTTTCCCCAAATCTTTTTGGTTAACACAGATTGTTGAGAATTAAGGTACAACACAGTTTCCATGATCATTCGAACCACATGAACCCAAACTGATGCATTGGTCTATTGATATGCTGCTGGTCGTCGCCCTGAATTTCAACCACTTCTATGGGTCTTTGAGCTTATTTCTTCTAAGTATGCATCGTACAAGTGCGGTATTGCTATGTCCCATGTTGCAGGGTCGCTACGATTTGCTTCAAATGAGGGTCTCTCATTCAAATCGTTCTGTGTTTATTACGCAGTCCTGCCTGATGAAAATTTGGTATTCTATGGTGAATTTCTCACAAAGTAGCCATTCTCCATCCAAGTTGTGATGGAGGCTGTTTGGCCTTTTTTCGGTGATGGTCCAACTGAAAGCTCCATGGTAAGAACAAATGGATCTGGATAACTAGCATTGATGGCCTGGAGGTTTCCAGTGCCTCCTGCTCAAAAGAGGCGGGAAAGAGCGTGTCTTCGTGGAAGACAGCACCCAGTTAGCTAGAACATCAGAGATATAAACAAGTCGGTAGTCTTATCCTCCTTGAGCTTGTAAAAGCATCCACGCCGTATCTGTCTTTTCGATTACAGCCAACTCTGTAGCAAAGCGTTCCGGATGATATACATCTCATTGAACTCAATACTATAAAATGAACAAGCATGTGCAAAAATACTTCAGTACAGTATGCCCTACCCTCTTCTCGCTGTTCGGAAGAACCGGAAAACGGCCCAAGGGTCCCGTTGATCATAGATTTGGGAATAAAAAGTGGATAAGTTCCCTAGATCAACACGGGGACACTATCGTACGTCCTCTTCGTCCCACCAGCCACTGAGTCGTCCGAATCTCTCCGGCCTCTTCTCCCTTCGCCGTTTGGCCTCAGCCAAGACTGGGGGGTTTCAGTGAAGAAGACATCCCAGGAAAACTGGATCGAGGCACAACTTCTCGGCGGTGCCATCTCATTCGTCAGCGGCTGCCAAGCCGGTCGCTCGAACTTGGCGATCATAGAAATGAGTGTTAAGCTAGTGCAGCACTCTCGCGGCTCAGACACATCACTCCAGACGTTTACACCGCCCCTTCCGACAACAACACAACAAAGTTGTAATCACGCAAGTACCCTAAACAAGACCTAGAGGCGCGATCTACATAGATTCTTTATGACTCCTTGAACGGGTAAATAATTACGTGTTGTTTCCTTTGTTTTTCAATAGATGCTCTTTATGTGATACATATCTGCCGTCCCCATTTGTGTTTCAAGTCATTCCACGCCGCTTTGGAAAAGCGGGTTCGATATCATTGTGCTCCACGCTCATTGTGATCGTACGTGCGTGCGTCCATCCCGTTAGTTCCCGTCTCTTCCCGTCATGATGCAAGCGACTGGGGTCGAGATGAGCGCTTGAGAACCTTGCTGGAACAGGATCGTGGGGAAGAGATAAAACAGATCATATCATGTTAGTGCGACAAAAACGCCAAGTCTCCATATCCCTCTCTGGTCTTGCCTTTATTGCTTGCGCCTTGACTCTTTAACGTAATCCGTTCCTCTTTACGCCAAGTTCTGTCCACTCGAAATTTCAGTCTCGCTTGCTTGGCTTGTATCCTTCTTTGACCGCAACAATATGTCCTTCAACGTTCTCTTTGGCTTTTTCTCGACTCTTTCATAGAGTGCCTTATGCTCGGTTTGTACGCTGTGTATGTCCTCATAGTCAACATGGACAAAAGCCCTCTCGACGTCCGACAGCCCTATGATCACAATGCTTGTTAGATAAATATCATCAACAATACCAACGCCGACACATACCTTCAACCTTCCTCTGCAAGTCCTGCGCCACGTCATGAGATATCTTTAGCGGGGTCAACTCGTCCATGATAACGTCAATCTCGACGTAGTATTTCTGACCAGCATGGTACGCCCGGCACTGTTAACAGTCAGAGGGCTTCAATGCACTTGGCAGTGTAGCTTACAGTATCAACTTTGAGGATCCGAGTGTCGTGGGTCATTGACATGTAAACTAGCTTGGCAATGAAATCTCTTGGCGCAGACTTGCCAACCAATAGCCATACCTGCTCGAAGGCGTTGGAGACCCATGAGAACAGAATGAGCAAGGCAATGCAGATGGCACCTATGGGGTCGAGATACCATACGAAGCGATCGCCAACAACGGACATTATGAGACCGAAGCTATTGACGACGATGTCGTTGCGGTGGTCGATCTACGGTATTATTAGTAACATCATCTGACAGGGCTGGTGGGATTTGTTGTACAAAGAAGACATGCACCGAAGGAAATTTTCTGTAAGTGAAGCAATACAACATTAACGTGCCCTTGGCAAAGATGGCAATGCCAACAATGATGATAGGGATCACGTGCAATTCCTCAGAGGCTCGCTTGCCCTCGCCAAGGGCGCGACCTGACTCAACCTGTTCCAAGATCAGCACCTTCGTACTTGCCCAAGTCAAACATCACTTGGCGACCTACGAGCAACTGAATAGCGACCGTGGTCATAAGAGCGCAAAATAGAATGATACCAATGGTCTCAATCCTGGTTCGTCCCTATGTTTTCCATATTCCCTGTCAGACTCGTACAAAGATGATCGCCAAGGTGTCGCGGCAACTCACCACCGGATACTTATAAACGCTTGGCCGGGCTGCCATTCTCGAGGTAACGAGCATGACGAAGGATGAGACGAGGTCCATCTAGAGGTCTTTTTGTCAACATCAACCTTTATGGTGCATTTAGAAAAGGTCTACTAACGAAAGCATCGGCTGCAGTTGCAAACAGCTGCATTTTGCGAGTCAACAACATAGTCCGTGAGCGCAAAGTATTGGTTGCTTGTTTACCGAAAGAGATCCGGTTGAAACTGCAGCATAAAGCTGGATGACAAAAAGACAGAAGTTCACAGTAAAAGATGCGTTGACGGCGAACTTAATTTTGGGGCCATTCCGGGCATCTTCAGCAACCTGTTGTCTCTCTTCATCCTCTGCACCAAGAAACTGGTCGATAAGCTTGTTCTGTCGATTATAGAACTTTTTGAGCTTTCTTTTGTTACCCTTGGGATGCTCAATAGCCATCTGCTTCTTGGATATATTGTCACGACGATGGCGACCGAAGTCGTACGGGTCTGGTCTATAGGTCTCGACAGTGGAGGTGTCATCCCTGTTGACGTTGGACGATATTCTTGCGACATTGTGCTTGTTGAAGGCATTGTCATCTGTGGTGGGCACGGAACCGCCATCGGTCACAACTCTCTCGTCCGTGCCAGAAGCTATTACCGGCGCAATTGTACCCGCATGGTTGTCTTCAAGGTGTTGGTTTGTATCACTCTTTACTGCGCCTTTGGGATAACTTTCTAGATCGCCAACAGAATTGCCTCGAGCTATTTCAACTGAATCAATTGGTCAGCGGGAACTGCTTGATGGTGTAGTGGGATGAATAATTCGCCGTGATTGTCAATGGGCAAGGAAAAGCCGATGCGAGGCAAGAGTAACAGATGTTGCTAATCTCGTGGAGGATGTGATGAACCAGGAGTCTGAGAAAGGGAAGTGAAGGCGAGGCCAAGGAAATGCAAGGTAGGGGGAAAGGGGTGCGGGTGTTGAAAGGGTGGGGGCAGGAAAGCAGCTGGAGTGTAACCAACGTACTGGACGATGGTCGGACATTGTCCTGGGGCTCGCGTGGGGATTGCATGGTTGAGAAGATATCAAGCCAGGTGTGTTGTTGGCAGTATACAGTAGAAGAGAAATGAGGATTGGATTTGATGCAATTTGCGAATGGTAATATTATATTGAGCGACAATGGCCACCTTCCCATGATTATCATACTATGCTTATTATCCGCCTCCGCATCGTCCGGAGGAAGCAGCCCGCTTCATGTTAGCCCCTTACGTGGTCGATTAACAGTAAGCTCCAGTGGTAGATGCCCTGCTTCAATGCAGCATAAGCGGGCTAGAACATTGACGGGAGGGTGGAACACAACCCTGGGAGAATGATGGCAGGATTTCAAGATTTACGTGTCATACAGCAGCTTCTTTCAGCTTGTTTCTCGCCAAAACTCCGCCGGCTAGCCAGTTGAAGGGCTGTGATGGCGCACGAAGCTCGTCAGTCAGGGGTATCTATTTCTGTCTTCCTGGCCAAGGAGACTCGAGCCGGGAAGAGGTAAACTTCAACTGTAAGCGAGGAGAGATTATAGTCGGCAAGCGGAGTCGAGTGAAGTAAAGAACCACATCTGGACTAGGATGGAGACAAACTGGCGGCCGAGTCCCTGCGACAGATTGTCACGAAAGTGCGAAGGTGCCGCATGGATAGCAGCCAAGTGGTGAAGTCGATCAGTCGATCACGACGAGGTCCAAGTTGAGGACGCCGTGATTGGCCGGGGTAGGTGTTTCACAATGGCGGCAGACCCATGAGCCGCGTAGATACACCGAGATAGAAAGCGACGTTTATTCTGCCAAGAGTTTGGGGCTGTTACAAGCTGGTCGGCACTGGCACAGACGACAAGGGGTAAAGAGACTGACACAGAGATCTCGTACAGCACCTGCCACTACGTACTAGTAGTAGGTAGTAATTGTGGCGTAATCAAGAGTCATCCACCCACCACACTCTCCTTCTCTCCTTACCGTCTCGCACCTCCCGACTTACACCATTACATACAGTGTATCCACTCTTTTCTTCTTTTTGGACGACAGACATGAGACCACGAAGCAGGGTTTGAGAGGTGAAGAGCGGAACGCTCGGGACGTCTTGCATGTTTGTTTCTATGGAGAGCAAGAATGAACGACATCAAGACGTAGCGTCTCCACTGTTTTTTCGTTTGCGACTTCTGTTGTCCATCATCGCTCGGATGCAATAGTCGCTTTTCGATGTCCACACTATACACCCCTCACACCTGCACACCTGCACACCTTCTACGCCCACCATCGCCCAGCAAAACTGAAATGTGCAAGAACACACGACAGTTGTCTCCAGTTTCCCAAAAGACTGATGGCATGAGACTAGTCACGTCGTCTTGCCCAGCCTCGCTTGATCTCAGACGCCGAGAGATCCTCTTTTCACTCGCCTCCTTGGCTCCCCAAGTTTTACCAGCCCTAGCTAGAAACCCTTCATGCGGGGCGATTAACGATTCTCGGCGCCAGGGTGCCATCCCATCCCATCTGTGAGCCCATTCAGAGTCAGTTTCTCATCAACCACGAGCTGTGGTGCATTAGCCCCCGACTGAGTCTCGACCCCGATCATCGTGGAGCTCTGATTGTTAGGTTAGCCCTGCCTCCTTCTCTCAACCAGAAATTCGAAAAGGCAACAGGGCACGTGAGGCGAGACATGGAAACACAAGACCCAGAGAAAGAAAGAAACAAAAAACCTGTAAGCTGCAGACTTGGACAGATAGAATGAATGAGCAGCAGACAAAACGGGGGCTGCAGATGTCTTGGGCAACCAACACAGACAAATACAGATGCAGCTGCGGATGCATGCACACAATATCAGAGGCCAAGCAAGTAACTGCCTGCGTAGTAACATGTCGCCAAGAAAAATCTCTTGATAAAATCCCGCCAAGCTTAAATGCCCTCCCAACCCAAAATCACCCTTCTTCGCCGGGCTGCACAAAGGGTTAAGGGGTGTCAGCAGCCTCTTGGCTTCAACGGTTGTGCCTGTCCCGCCTCCAGCCTCCCCCGCGCCGCCAACAAGACGCCCTCCATAGGGTCAAATCGACTAAGGAATTTTCCGACTGGCGACCCTGGAAGTGGGGGACCCCCCCTGGCAGCCTCCCGTTTCACACAACCCAAATTTTTCATATGCCGGTAAGCCCCATTTGACGCGCACCCCACGTCGACACCCCTACACGCTTCGCAAATACCCGATGGAAGATCGACTGTCGTCGTTTTGGATTGTTGTCCATTATCAATCAGCTTAAACTGATATCTCTGCGCAATCCATAGTGCCAAGGACAACTGTTGTGAGCCAAGCTGTTGAACTCGAGACGAATGCATGTCACTTGGCACGATCAGCCAACCTACCTCCCAACCCAACTGTATTTGGTTTTTTTATATGTCAGGTTGAGCCGGGGTCCCGGACTTCCAGTCTCGCTCTGCCGGCAAATCATGCCAGAATGAGAAACAACATCGAACAAATGGACAACACTGGCTCCAGACTATGGCGTGGGTCATCGATGCCCAGAGACAAATTGGGTCTCAGGCACTGCTGCAAACTGCATCACAGAGCCGTGGTTGACTTAGCCTACTGTCCACTCAGCGCAGCTGCCTGACTCCACCCCATGCTAATATTCATTGCCCACGGGCAACCCTGCTCGCTTTCAGGTCCTCCCGCCTCCCGCCTCCCGCGAGGCGGACGCTACGACCACATACCCCATCATGAACCCACAAGGGCTTTCATCAGCTGGCTCATCCTTGACTGGACGACTTCTATTTCTGATTCGGTTGGGCTGTACATGCGCAGGGCCTGTTGTCCCATGTTGACGTTTATTCTTTCCTTACCCGTTTCTACGCGGGAAGTCTGCGCGGGCTGTCATACACGAAGGATATTAAAGCAAGTCGAGCCCAGACTTTGCCCAGGCTTTTTTTTCTGCTCCTCACAGAGCACCTGGCCTCGTGTGATTCTTTTCCCGCCTTTCACTTCTTGTCCTTTGTTTTTTTCTTCTCCGGTGCTCTTTGTCAAATAACGACAGCGGGTATTAGATCAGCATTTTCGTCTGTTCTATATACACTGAAGCTGCGGGACAGCTTCTCGTGTCCCCTTGTTTTCAGTCACATTCCTTTCTCTAATGAGTCGTTGCCCTTAGGCGGTCTTGGACAACTGACCGTCTTTACTTTCTTACTCTCACTTCAATTCTTTTCTTTTTGGGCTACCAATCAAGTAGTCCTTTTACAGCCAGCAAGGGGAAATCTTTTAATCAATATGGATGAAATGAAGGAGCCTAAGCCGCAGTGCGGCGGTAAGAAGGGTGGATCTAGCGAGTACGATGTTGGGCTGCATGTCGCTGGTCTCTGTAAGTTGGAGCCCTGGACATGTCACAAAATTGGAAAATTCAGCTAACTTAGCATAGTCTTGGTCTTGGCCTTTTCGATCTTTGGTACGCAGACAAGCGATGAGATATCCGTGGGTCGAACGGCTAACTGAGTGGATGCAGGCGCTGGATTCCCCGTAGTAGCCAAGAAGGTTAAGTGGATGAAGGTCCCGCCCAAGGTCTTCTTCGCATGCAAGCATTTTGGTACGGGTGTGCTGATCGCAACGGCATTCGTCCATGTAAGTGAATGGCCCCAGAACAACAATAATTCTAGATACTTACGCATAGCAGCTACTCCCAACTGCCTTTGGCAACTTGATGAACCCTTGCCTTCCGGACCTGTTCACTGAACAGTACCCACCTCTTCCTGGCGCAATCATGATGGCTTCCATGTTCATCCTGTTCGTAATTGAGATGTGGATCAACACCAAGGTCGGCGGCCACTCCCACGGAGGCCCCACTGGCGATGTGATGCACGACCACGGGCACAGCCATGGTCCCTCGTCGACGCCTTCCCGGCCTCCGCGCTACGGCCGCAACAGCTTTGATGCTGAGGCGAATAGCATCGACTTCGAGAAAACTATGGCGCAGCGCGCCTATGATGAAAAGTCCGGCTTTCCCATGTACCCGGAGAGCAACAACGGCGCACCAGCCGCATCCAGCCTGGCCAACTCTGATATGCCACCGTGGTTTGTCGTCTTCTACGAGCAATATGTGCGCCAGCGCATGGAAATGATGAACATGATTCGATCCTCGGAGGAGAAGCAGGGTTCTCAGGTTGTCGTGGCGGAAGTTAAGCAGGAAGATCCATTTTATGATGCCGAGGGCCAGGTCGTTGATCCCGCTGTGTATCGCAAGATGTCTCTCAACATTACCATGCTTGAGGGCGGTATTCTGTTCCATTCCGTGTTTGTCGGCATGACCATCTCCATTACCATTGACGGCTTCATTATTCTGCTCATCGCCATCCTCTTCCACCAAATGTTCGAGGGTCTTGGTCTTGGCTCTCGTATTGCCGCCGTTCCGTATCCCAAGGGTAGCATCCGCCCTTGGGTTCTCGTCGTCGCTTTCGGTACCACAGCACCCATTGGACAGGCTATTGGTCTTGCAACCCGGAACACATACGACCCTGACAGTGCCTTTGGTCTCATAATTGTTGGTGTCTTCAATGCCATGTAAGTACGGTAAACCTGATAATATCCATCGCCCGCTAACATGGAACAGTTCTTCCGGTCTTTTGCTCTACGCCGCTCTGGTCGACCTCTTGGCCGAGGACTTCCTCTCTGAAGAAGCCAACCGTCTTCTCAGCAAGAAGGACAAGATAACGGCCTTCTGCTATGTCCTTGCTGGAGGTCAGTTCACGTAAAACCCTGTCTGGTCGAATGTTATGCTAACATGTCGCAGCTGCGGGCATGTCCATCGTTGGCATTTTTGCCTAAGTCACAACCTCTTTACCCACAACCATCAATATCTTGGACCCTCTCAATCCTAGATGTCTCTCCCGCGAGGGAGTCCAAACCTCTAGTCCAGTCGGGCTTCCAGCCGTCACCAACTTCCGGTACCCGGCTGATGATTGAGCGTCGTTCTCGGCATCCTCACTCTCTGCGGGATTCAATAGCAGAGAATCATCGTTCGTTTTCTCTGATGCTGTACCGGATTTCATGCAACAAAAGTAAATTCAAAAACCACTGGGAAGGAACTGGTTTGGATACCTACAGCTCTTCTCCCAAAAATCTACTACATTCGTTATTTATGATTTCATTATCCTCCTGGCGCAGCCTGCAGCTAGGAAACTTTGTACAATAGTAGTGATGCGGTGCGCGTCTTAGTTTAGCCACCGCATCAGAAGTGCGCACGACAACAGGCAACATTATTTTTGGGTACAGTTAGGAAAACGATTACACGAGCATTTTAACGGCGTCAGTAATGTTTGCAAAAACATAATGTATTCATGAACAGCACAATAGAGCATTGATAGAGGCATTTCATGTACGATAGCATGATCTTTCTGGGCATAGAAAAAGATTTGACAGGTCACAAAAAAAAAAAAAACAAGTCACGTAGGATGCAACAATTTCACAGACGTGAATCGCCGCTACTGGCCTGTTATTCTACCACTCTTCTCTCTTCGTGAAACCGCTCCTCCGATTGCTTGTTATTGGCTGGATTTATAAGCGTATATGGAGACAGTCTGGTATGTCAGATCCGAGGAGCCCGAGAAGTCTGATCTAGATGGGATAAAACATCACGAGCCCTCAGAAAGACTGACTCCAAAGTGCGATCCTATGGGGTGTTAAGTAGCCGCCTCTCGGGCTTACGTTTTGACTTTCTTCCCCAGACTTCATGGCATCCGAAATAGAGTGCGACCAGGTATGATCAACGGAAAGGGGAAAGAAGAGACAAGATGCCAAGAGGATAAATCGTCAAGCGGTTGAGGGAAGGGGGAGGTAGGGTTGGTGGGTGTATAAGAACCAGGAAAAGTTACGAAGCAACGTTGAGAAAGGCACCGGCATGCGCCGAGCAAGGGGGGGGGGGGGGGGGGTGGTGGGAGGGCAGAACCATTAGACGCAGCGGAATGTCAGGCTGAACGCTACTTGAGGTGGCAGGAAGCAGAAACCAAGCAGCCTCGTTTCTTTTCACTTTTTGACTTTGTTCTGCCCTCCTGCGACTTGGAGGTCTTTCTCGTCATCGCCGCAGCGCCGCAGGTCTTCCGGGGCTAGGTTACTATGGACTTAACCATGTTTTGTATAAGGTTATTATCAGGCCGGAGGAGGGTAAGGTGTTGGAGAGAGAGACAGGCGGGAGCAGAGCCCCCGCCGACCTCTCACACTTACACCCCTCTTTCTCCCCTCGCGACTTCTGCAAGGGACATACTACTCTGTAAGGCGGTAAGTAGGTGGTGCAAGTGGGCGCGCTCTATGAATAACATCCCAGATGTTCAAGACCGGGGGGTCGTTTCCGGAACTCCAGACAAAGAGGGGCAGGGGTATGCGGACGGAGACCGGGGGTGGGGGAAAGGGAGGAAGCGTGGTGTGGGAGCAAATGGAAGGGTTTGAGGCAACACACCGCTGCAGAAGCATGGGCGAGCTTGACGGGCGATGACGAAGTTGGTTGCGGTATTGGTGTCGTTTCTAGAAGTATGGCATGGATGTGTTGGTGTTTCCGTGGCAGTTTACATGCGCTTGAGTTCTCTTCCGCAGGATGTAGTGTGGGAGGCACAGACGGATATCTCGGCGGGGATGCACAGCAAGATTGTCTTATTTAACAAGGCGAAAACCTAGAGTTTATGTGCCAGAGGAAAATCGCCGAGAATCTGATGGGGAAAAAAACTTCTTGACAAAACAGTTGAGTGGGATAGATTGGCTTTCCTTAGCAGACGTACATAGCCAACCGAACTCCAGGCACCCTCAACGGGGGGAGATATAACCACCATGATTCATTCGCGGCAAGACGAAGCGACATTCGCAATGTTGACATAACTGTTGCCAAGATGCCAATCACGATTATCCGGTCTTGAGCAAGATCTCTCAAGTCTTCGCAAAGCCCGACAATAACGTGGCATGGAGTACATGGCCCTGGCTTGTGCCTCTCTGTGAGATTATGGACGAGCGGAGGCCCTGACCGTGCGCTGCGTCCGTTGTTCGGGGTCATCGGTGGTTTGGTTGGTTGAGGAGGGGCAGAAAGTGTATCAGGATCTACTAGGCCTTTGCATCTGGAGGCCTTGGCGCTTGATTGTCACCAGATGGACACGGGCTGCATACTTACCGCCCATATCTCTCGTTACCATGCAATACTTCTTAGAGGATCGGAGGGGTAGGTAATAGAGAGAAAGGGGGAAAAGAAATAACAAGGTAGCATTTTCTAAAGCGGAAGGTATCAATTCCTGCACAAACTACTTTTACCGATGCTACCGTATATCATGGTCCACTATCATTATGACCATCCTAGATGATGTCAAGACCTCATCCGACGTTTGGAAAAGTATCAACTTGCTGTTTTGGCGGTGGAGGCAGAAACCAAACAAAACAGAAGGTCGAACCGGGAGGTGGTGACGCCGAACCACACTCTGCTGAATGATGGTAAGTCAAGTGAGCAAGAGGTTTCATTCGCGCATAGTTGCCATCTCGCACGCCTCACTTTGTCTTAAATCTCCGCCCTTCAGGAGCAAAACAAGACTTACTACGACTGGCATCTTGTATCAAGCTGGACAATAGGGTAACCAGAAACGAGGGGTTCAAAGGGAAGCTGTGGCAAAGCTCGTCATATCCAGCGAGTTAGGATGAAAAAGAGGGTACTTAGAAATAAAACAAGCTAGGGCATGAATAGGCGGGAACGGAGCATTGAGCATGATCTGGCCGGAGCCCTAATGAGCTTGTCTTCTTTTGCCTTTGGAAACGCTGTGGCGATTCATGAAGCCAGAACCACAAAAACATACGTCTCAATAGCAGCATTGATTGCGGCGTAGATACTGGCGACAGAAATATCCCTGGACAAAGCCCTATGCGCCAGAAAGAACAACCAAAGGTGAGTCCTAATGGGGCCCGTCTTACGCATCGACCATTTGTCACCCAGAGAGGCGCAGCGAGGGAAACGGCTAGGTAAGCTTGTTCAGCATCATCGGCTTTGATGCGTGTCATTTCATCGTTTGTGTTCATTCAAACTTTACACAATATCTACAGAGAAAGCGGCCCAAAGCTGGCCGAAATTCACTCCGCTAGCCCTTTTCGCTCCGACTTTACCTGGGTGGTTTCACAACGCTAATCATCCTCATTTGACGGTGACAGTGGTGTTTCCGCGGAAATCGTCGCTCGAAGAGCCAACACGGATGAGGAAGTCGCCAGGCTCGACAACGTACCGCAACTTGATGTCCCACAGGCCCCAGTTGGAAACGGGCAGGTCGATAGAAACGGTCTCGGTCTCACCAGCCTTAATGAAGACCTTGGAGAAGCCGCGCAGCTCCTTGTTAGGTACGACTACGGAAGCAACCACATCCGAGACATAGACCTGAACGACCTCGGCGCCGTCACGGGTTGAGTTGTTGGTCACGTCAACGGTGAGCGTGACAGTGTCGGTCGGGGAGACGGTCGACGAGGATACGGAGATGTTGGAGTAGTCGAAGGTGCTGTAAGACAAACCGTAGCCGAACTGCGATTGTTAGAACATGTATGTCATGAGGTGGAAGGAGGGAACGTGTTACCTCGTAGAGTGGAAGAGGCGTAGACAGAACGTAATTGCTGCCAAAGACCAAAGTGCCGTTAGGGTACTCCTTACCCGGGTTGGGCCAGGAGCGAGCAGAGTTGAGATAGTCGTAGTAGACGGGAGTGGTGCCAACATCGTAGGGGAAGGCGACGGAGAGTTTGCCAGAGGGGTTGACGTTGCCGTAAAGGATATCAGCCAGGGCGTGACCACCCTCCTCACCCTGGTAGAACATCTGGACCAAGGCGCCAGCATCGTCGGAGATCCAGGGCTCGGTGATGGGCTTGCCGGAGCTGAAGACAACGACAGTAGGCTTGCCAGTGTCGATAACAGCCTTGACAAGGCGGCCCATGGCACCGACAAGCTTGAAGTCGTGGACGTCAATGTGCTCACCCGTAGTGGCATTCAGACCTGCCCAGAGCTCGTCCTGGTCTCGTGACCAAGTTCCAACAACGACGACGGCGACATCAGCGGCGTTAGCAGCAGCAACAGCCTCTTCAAAGCCGGATTCATCGTTGGACCAGCGTTCGGCACCCTTGGCATAAGTGACAGTGCCCTCGCTGGCAGCCTTGATGCCGTCCAAGGGAGTGACTCCGCGCTCCATGGCGGTGTGGATAACGTAATCGCCGTACTGTCCAGTCAGCGTTAATCTGTGCAGTCCATGCGAAGGCACTTACGTTGACATAGCCGTGAGCCATAGGCCCAATGACAGCAACATGGGCATCCTTCTTCAGAGGCAGAGTGTTGTTGTGGTTCTCGAGCAGCACAATGCTCTCAGCGTCAAGGTCGCGAGCAAGCTTCCTGTGCTCCTCGGTGTTGAGGTAGTTGAAAACTTCATCGTCGGGCACGGCAGTATAAGGGTGCTCGAAGATGCCAGACTTAAACTTGGCGCGGAGTACGCGAGAGACGGCAGTGTCGACGACGTCCTGGGGAAGAGTGCCGTTTGCGACGAGCTCAGGGATGTACTGGAAGCTGTAGCGGCCACCGCCCATCTCGACGTCGTTACCAGCTGGCAGGGCCTGGTTCGGTTAGCAACTTGCAATAACACAAACGAGCCTATGACCTACGCTAAGTGTGATGCAAGTATCATCGGTCTCCGCGCAGACCTTGAAGGCATTGCCCAGGCGAGCAGTGCCGCCAGCATCAGACTGGTTTTCTATTAGCCACGATCAAGGACGTTTAACACGAGTACTTACGATGACGTAGTACTCATAACCCCATTCCTCGCGGAGAATCTCGGTCAACAGGTGGTGGTCAGATATGGTTGGGACTCCGTCGTAGGAGTTGTAGGAGGACATGATACTCCAGGCGTCTGCCTCAAGAATGGCACGCTTGAAAGGAGGCAGATAGGTGGTACGGAGCTCTCTGGGGCCGCCATGGACAGGAGCTGTGTTGACACCTTGTTCAGGTGTGGCAAAAGCAGCAAAGTGCTTCACCATGGCGCAAACGCCGTTCTCTTGGAGGCCCTTGGTGTAGTGGTAACCGTACTCACCAACCCTGCTATCTGTCAGCCATGCTTATTGTTGAACGAGGTTATTCGAACGCACAAGAAGGGGTCCTCGCCGTAAGTCTCCTCGACACGGCCGAATCTCAGCTCGCGAGCCAGATCAACAACAGGGGCAAAGATCTGGTTAACACCAAGAGCCTTAGACTCAACGGCAATGACCTTGGCCATCTTCTCGATCAAAATAGGGTTCCACGAACAGCCGTGGGCAATTGGAGAGTTGAAGATGGTGGCATTAAGGGCAAGGAACCCGTGGATACCCTCACTCTGGATAAAGGCCGGAATACCTGGAGAGTCTCAGCATTAATTGGCAATTGAAGAAAATTGAACCCACCCAGAGTAGTGTTGTGCACGAGATAGTCCTGAGCAAGCTTCGCTCCCCGGGCGACCTTGTCTACAGTAGTGTAGAGGCCGGTCCAGATGGAGTTCGCTCTGTGTTCGGCGGCCCAGACGAGGCCACTCTCGTTGAAGCGGCCATCAGTCAAGTTGAGGTAGTCGCGAATGTCAGCCTGAAGCAATTGAGCCGTCTTCTCCTCAATGGTCATGCGCTTGAGAAGATCGGAGACTCTGTCGTCAACAGAGGCTTTGGGATCCTTGTAAATGGGCGAACTGCTGTTCTGGGCGCTGGCAAGCGCCACGAGCAGTGAGGCGAAGGCCAAAGAGAGCTTCATGTTTTCTCGATCCGGCTTCTGGTCAATTGAACACAAAATGACGTTCGGATACGACTCCAAAGGTCAAAGAGGTGCTCCTCGAGATGACACGCGCCGCCAGTGGGTATTAATACGCTTGAAAATCTTGCAGGCGACGGCACGAGTCGGTAGACAATAGGCGACATGATGCCACGGCCAAGGAACCTACGTAAACAGATGTCATTGCTTTGGGACAAACAGCCGGTGAGGAGAGGGCTTTCTCCGCATCAATCACATATTCCCAGCACATCCCGGAAGCCAATATCTGGGGCGATGTAATGCTAATTTGCTCGAGCAGCGGTCTTGTCTATTGTCCATTGGGCGGAAGTAACAGGACCCCTGGCCATTTCTGCACATGCATCGCGAGGAGTGGCGGTGTTGGGACCACGAACGGTGACCTCAAATCGACCAGCAGCTGCCGGACAGCTAATTGGGAACTGCACCATGCCCTTTCGAATGCACATGAGCTTGTGAAGCTGATGATGGGCAAGACGATGAGGGGAAGCTGAGTTGGGGTTGAAGTTGGAGAAGCTCTAGCTAGCCCCAGATCTGCATGGGGGAAGACTTGACAGGGGTTGATGTTGTTCAAAGCAAGCAAAAGGCAAGAAGGCAAGAGCATTGGCAGTGTGGGTCTTGCATATACGGTTTCCACCAATAGGCAAGCTCGCGGTATATACTGATCCGGCCCCCGAGAACCGCCCGAATCCGACCAGTGCGATTAGCAGCAGCCAGGCTGGGCCAGCACCTGTGGGCAAACGCTAACAGAGCCGGGACGGCAAAAAACCCCACAAGGATGGCCCCAGATCTCCGCAGTCACCATTCTGTGACCTGCTGATGCCTCTTTGCTCCTTGCCCTCCAATGTCCATGGTTTTCGCTCATATTTTCGCCTACAGGCTCCAACCCACCCGATCCTGCGCTGTCGGGCCGGCCGCCGCGCCCAATCGGTCGACAACAATGGCTAAACATGAATCAGCGGCCTCGTGGCCGAGGCTCGCTCCATTGCGGGTACGGGCGGGATTGCGACCACCGGATTCGCTGGCGATTGCCTCGACAGCGGGACGCCGCCTTGTAGGCCCTCTCACCTCCGCCTAAACCTCCGCCCTCGTGCAAAAAACCATCGTACAAGAGACGAGATTCACTCGGTTTTTGGCAGTTTGGCCAAGTTGTGACTTAACTTCTCAAATTATTTGGCTGTTGCCGGCTTTTTTGTGTGTTGAGATACCCTTTTTTCTGAAAGTTGCCCATCATGGTCCGCCTTCGCGATGGAATGTGGCTGCCTGCCGAGGGCACATTGACAGAATACGCAGAGGAGGTTTATTACACCAACGAGATCGAAGGTGGAAATGGCCTCAGTCTGCTGTGCCCAACGAGGAAAATCAAGACTCGTGGCCATACGTTGAATGCGAGTACCGTGACCATTGTAAGTCAAACCAGCCTCACCCCAAATCCTTTGCACATCACTCACACCCGTATAGGACGTCAAGGCCGAATTTGACGGCGTCATCTCAGTCGAGGCGACTCACTGGGCCGGCGCCATCAACAAGGGTCCTCATTTTGAGCTTTTCCCAGATGGCAGACCCGGGGTAGAGGCACAAATCGTGAAGGGAGACAAGGGCACGACTTTATCCTCGGGCTCGCTGTCTGTGACCGTCCAGAAGGATTTTGACATTCAGTTCCACAGTACCGACGGCTCCAAGCGGCTGACGTCCCTTGGGAGCCGAAGCGTCGGCCTGGCATACAACCCTGCGCCAAGCACACCAATGCAGACCGGGGACATGCGCAACTTCAAGCACTACATGTTTACCCAGACTACGCTCGGCGTTGGTGAGACGATCCATGGCCTTGGTGAGAGGTTTGGCGCCTTCAACAAGGTCGGCCAGTCCGTAACCCTTTGGAATGCCGACGGCGGTACTTCCAGCGAGCAATCCTATAAGAATGTGTCTTTCTGGCTCAGCTCCAGGGGTTACGGTGTCTTCATCGATACACCTGGCAAGGTGGAGCTGGAGATCGGAAGCGAGCGTTGCAACCGCCTGCAGACCGTAGTAGAGGGCCAAAGACTTAAGTGGTACCTGATTTACGGACCCACGCCCAAGGATATCCTGAAGCGCTACACCACTCTTACAGGCAAGGCTGGCAAGGTGCCCAGCTGGAGTTTTGGTCTTTGGCTCACTACGAGCTTCACCACTGACTATGATGAGAAGACGGTCAATAACTTCCTGGAAGGCATGAAGGCCCGCGGCTCGCCTGTTGACGTCTTCCACTACGATTGCTTCTGGATGAAGGCCTTTACCTGGACAGACTTCGTCTTCGACTCTGAGCGCTTCCCCGACCCCAAGGGACAAATCTCTCGCCTCAAGGAGTCTGGCCTCTGCAAGAAGGTCTGCGTGTGGATCAACCCCTATATCGCCCAACACGGCGAGGCTTTCAAGGAGGCAGCTGAAAATGGCTACCTCGTGAAACGCAAGAACGGTGACGTCTGGCAATGGGATCTTTGGCAGGCTGGTATGGGCCTGGTGGACTTCACCAACCCAGCGGCATGCAAGTGGTACGAGGACAAGCTCAACACTCTCTTTGATCAAGGCGTCGACGCCATTAAGACAGATTTCGGTGAGCGCATTCCCAGCCTGGACGTCGAATGGCACGACAAGTCCGTCGACCCTGTCAAGATGCACAACTACTACGCCTTCATCTACAACAAGGTCGTCTACGAGGCCCTGCAGAAGCGCTATGGCCAGAACGAGGCCGTTCTATTTGCCAGAGCCGCGACTGCCGGCACGCAGCGCTTTCCCTTGCAATGGGGTGGTGACTGTGAGTCGACGCCTGAGGCCATGGCTGAGTCGGTTCGTGGTGGACTCGGCCTTGGCCTCAGCGGCTTCTCCTTTTGGAGCTGTGATATTGGCGGCTTCGAGGGCTACCCACCCCCTTGGATCTACAAGCGGTGGGTTGCCATGGGTCTCCTGTGCAGTCACAGCCGGCTGCATGGGAGCAGCTCGTACCGTGTGCCGTGGGTCATCGACGATGACGACCAGAGCGAGGAGGGCTGCTCGCAGACGCTGGCCAAGTGGACCTCTCTCAAGTCGCGCCTGATGCCCTACATCTTCTCAGAGGCGCAGGCTTCGGTCGAGCAGGGCATCCCCCTGTCCCTGCGCGCCACGTGCATTGAGTTCCCCGAGGACCCGACCTCCTGGTACCTCGACCGACAGTTTATGCTCGGCTCCAACGTCCTGGTGGCCCCCATCTTTGAGGAGTTGGGCGAGGTGGAGTTTTACTTGCCTAAGGGCAAGTGGACCTCATACTTCTCTGGCGAGTCCCGCGAAGGCCCCGGTTGGTTCAAGGAGACGCACGGCTTCGGTACGCTCCCGCTCTACGTGCGGGAGAACACTGTCCTCGTACTGGGCAACTCCAAGGTTGTCGGCGCCGTGTACGACTATTCCCAGGACGTTGAGGTCAGGCTATACCAGGTCAAGGAGGGTGCCAAGGCCACGATCGTTGACAACGAGGGCAAGGAGGTCGGAGTGTTGGAGGTGGGGCCGGACGGCAAGCTTAAGGATACGGCAGCCCTCAAGGGCGATTTCACCGTTACGGAGCTCTGAGGCTAGGACTGGGCTATGGTGTGGTGTGCTATAGTATGGTTTATGTTTACGAATGTATGAGGCTGCCTGCAATACCTAGGGGTTAGATGGCTTAGAACCGGTTTCAGTCAAAGGTCTCCAATACTTCAACCATGATCCTTCTCCGATAATCTGTATCCGCACCATTGTTCGTCCCATTCCTCACCGAAAGGTTCTCCGGCCCGTCCCAGCGGCCAGGCCAGCCAACTGGGATCTGTCGGCTGGCGGGTATTCCATCCAGCCCGACGCATAGCCGGGTGAAATCGTTTCCCCTCAAGCTTAACTGATTGAGGTGTCACTTTTGGACTCCACATCTCTCATCTTCGTGCGCCACTCTTCCCCTCCAATCTGGCATTCATATCACTTCATGGTCTGATCTAAACGAACCTCCTCTTTCTCCAATTCTCGGCGAGGTTTCTCAAGGTCGCCGTCCTCCACAGTTTCTCTGCCCTGTCTACAATACTAACCCAACCGAACCCCTCTCTCATCGCTAAGAACGACCCTAGTCGGCCAAAGATTCCCCGCGAACCAGGACGATCGATCCCCACATTTTAACCCTTGCTTCGTTTTTCCCCCCCTCACCACAACCCTCATCCTGGTCCCGAACAGCCCAGTCAGAACTCTCCAATGCCGCCGCTACCAACAATGCTGCTGGTCTCTTAGCATGGCCTCGACCTCATGTCGTCAGACCACGGGATGCTGAGAGTTTTTCTTCTTCGCTTCTGCCGTTGCCTGGCGTTCTTAGTCCCTCATTTGGTGTGGCAGTCTTTACGTACTGCCGCCGGCTCTTCTCTCCAATTTCGGCTCTCGTTTGACAAGGGTTCCCCAGATGTGGGGTAGGTCAGTCGGTGGAAAGGGACGGCATCCGGTGTGTTAGGCCGCCAGATTCTGCATATTATGCTGGGATGACGATGGCCATTGCGAGAGGTCGTTCGGTCCTTAATGCAATGAAGCAAATATATGGGAAACGATAATTCGTATTTGCAAGCGCTAGTTGAAGAAGGTTTATGTATGCTCCGAACCGTGTTTGAATTTTTAAATTGATGACTGCAACGATCAAAGTTTAACGTCATTTCGTCAATGTCCTATGCAAGTCCCTGGATTCTCCACTATGTCGGCGATGCGAAAAAAAATTAAAAACATTAATACTATACGCTGGGTTATATCAAACGACTCATGCCAATCTGGGAAGTAGTGTCCGGTCAGAATCCCATCTACCAGACAGACGGATCATATTGCATCAATGAAAGCATGCATTACTCCCTGGCCAGATCCCCCAAACCTCTGGAAGCACCAGCACTTAGCAGCGAACCTCGGAGTGCGACTCTGCAATACAACTTCAAGGGTAGCTTATTGTCCGTCAGATGTGTGCTTCTTGCTTCGATGTCAACTGTGATAAGTCCCATGTGTTTTCGTATGCAGCGTGATGCCAAGTAGAGGTGACAACATGATCTTGTATATTTTAAAGACTTTTACTTGAGCACTCTTTCAAATGGACCAACTTGAAGTATAACTGAAACTATGACGAATGGGTATTCCGGATCCTGTGCCTCCCAAGGCATCTTGTAGCTAGTTCAAATCAGTCCACTGGGCGAATCAGTTAGCTTGCATTTCCAGAGCATGCCATTTGTAACTTACATTGTCTGGTGTGTTCGTAACCTCCTCGTATGATTGTAGAATTTCAAACCCCATCGCCATGACATGTTCGTAAGAGTCGTCTTGTGCCTGCATGATGTTAGCCATGACGCAGTAGAAATCAAAGGTCCCACTTACCCAACTGAGCATCGTCTTGGATGACTTATGTGCCTTGTTTTGTCGGACGCCCATTAATACTAATCCCTGAAGCACCAATGTATCCTGTGGTCCGGAGTTGACCACTGGTGCCAGGACGCCCCCTATCTCTTCGTCCCTGTTTGGTAGAAGAGGCGGAATAAACGTTGAAAGAGGGCTGCCCGGCCTGCAGATTATGATCGTCCCCAGCAATGTATCACCCGGGCCCTTGGCCCTGACAATACCACACGCCTTTGTCTCCTGCAGGGCACATTTATACAAGCCCATTACTTCGGGGTTAGCGTAAGCCTCAACGTGGTCAAGTACGGTCTCTGCGTTATCTAAACCGTGAATGAGGTCAAAGCTCAAGTTGGCCCTCTGAATGCTCTGTAGAAGGCCTTCGGGGATGCTCCAGCTGCTCAAGTCGTTGATGATCAGGTTGGTCAGCCGTTTAGGGAACTGAATGTCCCATCCATTGTTGGAGAACCAGTTCTTTACTCCACCCTCGTCAATCGGAATACCCAGAAAGACGCCCGGGAAGGAAGTCCCGAGCTGGACTCTCTTGATACCCCGTTTGCTGATGAGGCATCGCAACGCTCGTCGGTGAAGGGACCTTCCTACCGAGACATTCCGCTTTGATGGGTCTACAAAGATGGCTCCAAGAATACCGATACCTTCAACGAAGTATGTCGCAGCAAAGCCATACAGCGCGTGCGTGCTGCTGTTTCTGACGACAAAATGCGCTTCCTCGATATCCTGGCTGAACAACTCGAAGCAAGTTGCTGGTATGTTTTCCAAGTGTCCCAAGTCAACAGCGTTTGCTCGAGCAACAGCCTTCGTCAGCTCCTCGAGTCCCTGACCATCACGATCACGGTCGAATTCTTCGACGATCCAATGCTGACGAGATTTGAGGACCTTTTTGCTCTTTCGTAGTGTCCCAGGGAGAGTTCCTTTCGGAACGAACATTCCACAAAGGGCGCGAACTAACGCATGCATGGCATTTTCGGTAAAGTCGAAGGTGCAGATGTAGGTGCCGATAGATTTGTCCATAGCAAAATCGTACGGCGAGCTTACTGCGACGACTATGACGGACTTTTTCTGACCACGCGTCCGTAGCATAGAACACATCATCTCAACGTGCTTGGTGAAACCGGCTTGATACAGGTTCCTGTTGGCATCTGCAGTCACAATGATAATGCAAGAGGCCCGGTTGATAAGGTTCTCATGAACTATTTGAGTTAGCTCGGAATTTTGTTATCTTGGAACAGTAGTCTCACCTGGCCTGACTCCATTGGCAGTGTAGCTGGTATGAAGGAGTTTGCCGTGACGAGCTCGAGCCAGAGAACGTCCAAATTCTCGGAAGACGCCCTCTCCACTCATGATGGCCCCCTTTTCCCTATGGAGCCATTTGTCATGGGCTGTTGGCGCAAGCATTTGCGCATCCTTTGCCTCAAGAATGCTCTTGGTCAAACTCGAGGCTGGCAAGGGCTTCACGAGCGGTGTGAGAAGAAGTAACTCTTCGTCTTGATGCATAGACTGTGGCAGTGGCAAGAGTTTTTCTTTGTCTCGAATGACCGTAATCGAGTCGTCGTAAGCCTTTCTGGATAGAGCCATGTGTGAGGGGTGAAGTTTAGAGAGGAGTGATATGCCAGGAGGATTTAGAGCAGTTTGCCACGATGTGCAGGTATCCTTCAGCCGGAGTACACGATTAAGTGAGGTGAAAATTCTGTCCTTTGAGAATATTCCGTTTTCGACTCCTAGCTTGAGCCCTTTAATGGCTTCTAGCTGAACGTCGTAGGCTCGGCACAGGAGGACAAGGTCGCATCCAGCCTCAACGGCCATGACAACTCCATTCTGCACGCCAAGTTCGTGAGTGAGTGACTCCATCTCCAGACACTCTGAAATGGCGACTCCATCAAATCCAAGCTCTTCTCGGAGAAGGTCATCCACGACCTGGTTTGATAGGCATGCATGAGACACATTCATTGAAGGATTCGAGATGCCGCATCCTCCAATGAACATGGCGTCAAGCTTTCCTGTGGCGATGGCATTGCGAAATGGTACCAGGGCACTCAGGCTCAGCTCCTCGAGTGTTTGTGTAATGATTGGGACTTCGAGGCTAGAACCTAGGAAGTCCAGATTTCCGTATGACGGAAAGTGTTTCCCACAACAGGCAAGGCCAGCATCACGAATACCATTGATAGCGGCGATGCCATATTGAGACACCTCTTGGGGATCGTCTCCTGTAGCACGGACTCCAACTGGCTGGTACCTGGCGTTTGAGAGAACGTCCAGAACAGGGCCAAGCATAAGGTTTATGCCACAAGCTCCAACCTCAGCAGCAGTTGCTTTTGACACTTCATAGGCCAGTTCAACTCGCCCCGTAGCGGCTACGCCCATGGCACTCGGGAACTGACATACATAGTCTTCATCAAATAGGCTATTGACGCCGCCATTCTCTTGATCCAAGGCAATTAGCAGAGGCTTTGGATGGCCGGCGTTATGAGCAATAGTCTGAAGCTCCTTGACCAGTTTGGCCGTCTCTTGGGCCGCTAATGCGGGATTAGCATGAATGCGCAGATGACCGTCGTAGAAGAACAAATCAAGAATGGGAGAGGAATTCTAACATTTGAGGTTCTTGGCTGTCAAAATGATGGTTCCAAGATGGTGATTCTCAATAAGTGAACGGATCTGGGGAGTCACTTCTGTACCATCCCAGCCCATAATCAGCATCTGGCCAATGGCCCTGGAGGAGACAAGTCATGTCAGCTAGCGAATCGAAATAGCCTCGCACAGGCTTTCTTCCAGAAGCTGCAACGAGCACTACACACGACAGGGAGGCAAGGTGGCTTGGGAAGACTAAGTGGTAGGGCGGGTCGAGGATAACGTACCAATCGAGATCCTGCCATAGTAGGTCGAGCTCTGTGTTGAGCTGGGCCATGGCGAGTGGTCTGCGACTTGTCACGTTTTGACGCGCATAGTATCTTTCTAGGTTGCGTGTCTTCAATGGGGAGAGGTAACGACGACCCTTCTCCGACGTTGACGTTGACTCCTTGCTGGCGTACGAGTGCGGATGCAGGTATGGTCTGGAGCTGGAGCTGGAGCCATCGCGTGGATGCGACGACGTGGACTGCAACTGAGTGTGGGACGCCATGTGCCACACGCGCGGGAAGGGGGGGTGGCCTGGTCTTTGCTCTGGTGGATACAGGACGATAATGATTGGCTACCGGAAGGCGGGGAATTCGATTGGCCGATGTTTTGCAAGACTTAATGTGTTGGGCGGATACCTGTAGTGCGGGGTGGCTGGAGATCGGTCCTGATGGTACGTACCAAGCCGATATCTCTAAGTCCCTTTCTGTTAGCGCCCTGATCATCGGCTTCGACAACGGAACGTTACATGGAGCCTCACCACGTCAAACCTTCTTTTCCCTGTCTAGCCCCCGAGAGTCTGTGTGACTGACAGATGTCTCTGCGCCCGTCTTGGATCTTCAACAGTCAAAGACCCGACTCTGTGTGGGGTCTCTCCGGTTTTGAGGTCTGGAGGCAAAAGTGTCCCGCCGGTGCTTGGGTGCTTGCAAGTGAAACGAAGCAACAAAATTGAGTCCCTCTACCATGTGGACCAGCCGTTGGTCAAGTAGTCTCTGACTCTGGCGTGGTTCCAAAGGCACCTGGCGGTGCAACAGGCACCATCAGATAACGGGTTCCAATACCTCGTCCCCACTGAGGGCACGTTGATGCCAGTGCCCCTCGGCATACCAAACAGCCCCGTCCTATCTCATACCACCATGTGTGCTAGCCAAGTCTCTGCAACTGTGAGGGGCGATGACGAGGTCAACATTATCATAGCCATGAGACTTTAATGCATGCCGGGCCATGCCGGCACCGTTGGATTTCGCCGCGCCGGTTGCAGCACCACATCAGTGCCTCCGGTCAATAATATCCGGAATTCGCCCAGCATACCACTCTGTTTCGGATCATGTTCATGGCGTCGATATTGAGGATCAAACCAGCACTCAATCCTTTTTTTACCCCAGAACAAATCAGTGCTCATCATACACTTTGACACAATGCCCATCGCTATTCCCAATACGCCTAAGAATGGCATCACAAAGTTTACAAACTGCCGCCTTGTCAAGGGCGACAATTTGGTACAGGAAGACATTTGGGTTAGCTCCGTCACCGGGAAGATTATCCACAGCCAGGCTGCCTTCTTCGATGACCTCCTACTTCCGGATGAGACCGTCAACCTCGGTGGCCGCATCGTGTCTCCTGGTTTGATCGATTGCCAACTCAATGGGGCCTTCGGCTTCAATTTTTCTACACTTCTTGAGGACATGACGCACTATGGCAAAAACGTGCGGGAGTTAAACAGAAAGCTGGTGGCCACTGGCGTCACATCCTACGTCCCAACCCTCACCAGCCAAAGACCCGAGCTCTATAAAAAGGTAAGCATCACTTGAGGAGGCGAGGTTCTAGAAAACTGACAAGAATAGGCCCTACCATACTTGGGGCCATCGGGAGGCTCACAGGCAGCCAATGACGGCGCCGAATCTCTCGGAGCACACGTCGAAGGCCCATTCCTCAACCCCACCAAAAATGGCATTCACAATGTTGATGTCCTACAGCAGGCGGAGAAATTCGATGATCTAGTTGAGTGCTACGGCGCCGAGAACATCGATCCTAGCGCCAACGGTGGCGTCATCCCAATTAAGATGATAACGGCCGCGCCAGAAAGGGGGCAGATGACCAAGATCATCCCGGAGCTACGGGAAAGAGGCATCATCTATTCTATTGGACACTCAGAGGCCTCATATGAAGAGGCTTCAGCCGCTGTAGCAGCTGGGGCGACAATGATTACTCATCTCTTCAACGCCATGCGGCCGCTTCACCACCGCAATCCTGGTGTTTTCGGTGTCTTGGGTATCGCAGAAAGTCTTTCCCGACCTTACTTTGGCATAATATCTGATGGAATTCACTTGCATCCAACAACAATCAAGATTGCCTTCAACGCCCATCCCGAGGGCTTTATTTTGGTCACCGATGCCATGCACATGATGGGGCTACCAGATGGCTCGTACAAGTGGACCAACGGGCAAGATATCAACAACATCATCAAGGTGGGCTCTACATTGTTGCTGGAGGGCACCGATACTATTGCCGGAAGGTAAGATGTTTTTTCAATATCGTTCGTTATGGCTAGAGCTGACCAGAAATAGTGCGGTTACTCTGATGGAATGTGTGAACAACTTCCTGAGATGGTCCGGCACAGGTATCCCAAAGGCTCTCAAGGCCGTCACCGCAACACCGGCGGCAATGCTCGGCCTTTCAGGGGTAAAGGGATCTTTGGAAGATGGCGCCGATGCGGACCTGGTCATCTTCTCTGAGGAAGAAAGAGAGGGCGCCACTCAGCTGGTTGTAGATGAGGTTTGGAAGGCAGGAAAGATGGTAGCAAGTCGGGAGGAAACACAGTCACCGATTTCATAGACTTCTTTAAGCAAGAATTGGTCGGTTTCCTAAGACAACACTAAAGACCGGGCCTGGGCCTTGGAACAAATAGACTGTGTTTTCATAAAGTTGTCACCTGCGCTGTGAACGATAGAGAAAGACATGTTTTAGTCACAACAAAATAGGTATGTCGCAACAGTATAATGTGTTCTATGTATATCCAAAAGGGGAGGGAGTACTTCATTTAGGCTAAATGGATGTGACTATACAGAAAGCTCCAAAGAGATGACCTCAGCTTATCCAACACCTGCTAGCCCTCCTGTGAAAACCAATCGATAATAGCACGAGGGATGACGGTCTTACTTAATCGAGAATTAACAAGCATCCCGAGAAATGAAAAAAAGAAACTGGGTATAAGATTAGCCTATAACAACTCTGAGATTCCTTAGTATCACTGCTCTCGGGCGCGTGGGAGCAGAAAACTAATGCAGTGATCTAGAAATCTACTGGAACTGAAGCTTAGAAAGGAGAAGTACCCGTCTACAATGCTTTCATCTTTTATACCAAGAGTAAGTCCTGGTATTTGGGACATTAGTATAAGATAACCATCATTCGCACAAATACTCGTGTGACAGTACCAAGCTCTTACGATTTTCTTAATTTACGATAAGTTTGCGAATTATCAAGCTATGGCAACACTGGACTCTCTCACATCCACCTATAAGGCTATAGAAAAGACTCTTCATGGCTTTATCAAAGGCTACGAGAACGCCAAGATACACAATGACCCATCCCTCGTCAATTCGCATTTAGCCCCCGATTGCCAGCGCCGTCCTCTACCCTCGTCGTTCCTCAAGTCACTGGGCGCGCCCCCCGGCATTACTATAAGCAATGACATGTACCAGCAAAACTTTGCTACTATTCTGCCTTTCCATGGCATTCACAAGTCTGACATATCTAATGTCACCATTGACGTTTGGGCGAAAAAGGCCGCCGCAACATCAGTCTATCGTGGCAAATACAGTGATGGTGAGGCTTATTCGTTGGATATGGCGTGGTACCTGACCTTCAACGACGATGGAACTCAAGTTACAGACATTGTTATGTTCATGGACGCCATTGAGCAGCCAAAGTTCAAAGCCAAGTGCGACAAGCTCGCGGAAGAGCTAAAGGCTAAGGATGAAGAGTAAAGGGGGGCTTATGGAGTATGCAGATGAGAGCTTTGACCATTCGGTCTTGAGTATTGCGAGATGATACTATTTTGATTTCATTCATTAAGCATGTCCAAGTGTGAAAGAGGCAGTTGGAAGCGTGACTTCGTTTGCCTCAAGTTAGTACAGGCAATTCAGGGAGACCCATCGTACATCGCTGCCAGGAAACAGCCAGTGGGACACTCATCTCGTTCCCCGCCCACTGTTTGCGGTTAAGGAGACCCCAGGACAGACAAACCCCGTAGGGGTGTCCCCCACCTACCTCCACAGTGCGATAACGCCCACCGCCGTTGACATAATGATCAACCAATGGCAGCAAGTCAGCCGCCTGATAGGGGTTGGTGCAGCGCCTCTCCACTCAACCTCGACGGCTACCGTGGGCTGGCTCCAAAGACAGATCCCTCCGCTTTTGCATTTCGATTTGAGGTCACTCAGACAAGACATTCGCTACCTAGGCGCGGAACTCGCCTCTGCCTTTTGCGATTCGCGCTTTTCTTGATTGCGCTCGTTCTCTCATTCGATAACTTTTTCTGAAGGACCAGCTTTGCTGTAACTCGCCCTTTGGGCCGCTCAAACTTACGATCGTCCCTTGCGACGACGAGCAGCGAGCGCAGTCCTACCATGCGATGGCGGCGTTCCATTCATTGTCGTCCGGTGCGACGCCTGGAGATGGCATGAGCCTCAACAGCGCTGTAGTGGACGGCCTGGACTCTTCCATGTTTGATGACTCTTTGTTGTAAGTTGTTATGGGCAGTTCCTCGCCCGAGATAGCTGTCGCAACCCCAAGACGGCAGGAAGCCAGACGGCTAACAGTTTCATGTATAGGGATAATGTGAATGGAACCTTTCCTACGTTGCCGTTCACGCCGAGCTACGATTTCCAAGATTTCTCTGCCCCTGGTTTCGAGGATCCTTTCGCATACTCGAACCGACCGTTCGAAGCGCAGCCGGCGCCGGAGTTCAACCAAGATTCGCCCACGCAGGAACTAGACAATAAGCTTCTGGGCTTCTCGGCTCCCACGCTTAAGGCAACCCTAGTCGATGGAGCTGGGCAGCCTGCGGAGCTTACCATGACGGCCGAGCTGTACGGCATGTTTTTTGTGGCGGAGGATGTATTTGGCGCAGACAACAACGGTCGACCTCTCGAGCTTACCTGCTACCGCCGGAATCTATGGCAGTGCTCTGGGCAGATCACCTTACCTCGGCACATTACGCATGCTGTGGACGAACAGGGACGTCAAATACCTATCTTTGAGCTTGCGGCTTCGATTACGGCAATAGAGTCCATCGAGGGTAAGGTGACAGAGATAATATCGATACCCTGGAAGAGCGCGCATCCGATCGGTACAGAAGAGCCCAAATCATCTGGTGGGCCGCCCAATATTGTCCTGGATCTGGGCAATGGCCAAGAATTAGACGCGCAAAGGGTGTCGCTGCCTCTGTCATGGAAAAGATTACAATTCAAGCATGCGACGGCAAATAACGGAAGGAGGAAAGGCCTCCAGCAGCATTACTTGGTGCAAATCAGCCTTCTCGGAAAGCAGCAGTCTGGGGACTACATCAAAGTCGCCGACATCCACTCCGGTCCCGTCATCGTAAGGGGCCGCAGCCCAAGAAACTTCGACAGTCGGAAGGACATCCCTCTGACGGGAGACAAGAAGCTTGAGAGGAGGAGTAACAGCGATGCTTCTGTCTCCGCCCCAGTGTCTCAGAAGGACGGCATGCCAACACCTGTTCAGAAATACCAGCCTCTGAGCAACGTTCAGGTACGAGATGACCCAGTTGTCACAAATTCATCATCACTAACGCCTTGTAGCAATCTACAGAATGGGGAACACCACATTTGTACAGAGAACCGAACAACAGTCAACCTCCTGCCAAGAAACTGGCTTTGTCGCCAGGAATCACACGACCGCCAATCCCGGCATGGTCGTCAGAACCGGCCAGACAACCAAAGAGGTCGTCAATGTCTGGCTCGCGACCAGGGATATCCGGCCCCATTAACTTATCCCTATCCGAAGACGAGAGGAGTCCGAATAGGTCAAACTCGGACGTGCAAAGTCCGCAGTTTACGAAATCCATGGCAGCAGCAGCTCACAATCCAAGCCAGAGTCCTAAAGAAGAGGACGACTTATTATATGAATACTTTCCACTGAGTGTTGATGACTGGTGAGCCCCTCTAGACGGTTCTAAATCAGAACCGCCAGCTAAGATGCAGCAGGATGCCGCCAGTGGAAGCCATTTACCGTCCCCACGTTGTCCATCACACAATTGTGCCGCCCGAGATCAAAGCACAGCAATTACGCAGCAAAAGCAAGCGGATGTTCACAGCCGAATCTTAACGGTGATTTGATCTGCAGATATTTGCCCATCTCAGCTTGACGATAGAAGCCTCTCAGCATGTATGTGCCGGGGCAGGGATACATAGGGATTCATTTGAAATGATTTAACGAAGCCAAATCTTTCTTTTTTCGATGTTGAATTGTACTATAAGCTAATTTAAGCCACCGGGTGGGCCAGGAAAATGGGAGGAAGCCAGCCATATGCGGAGGACGAAGGCGATCAATTGAATGGAATGCGTGGTTATACCCAGATTTAGTGACGTTGAACGATGGAGTAAAGAATATGATGCTTTATTTAGCTAGACTCCTTAGATCCCCATCGTCCAAGTGCTAATGAGATCCAAGCTCCGCGTAGCCCAATCATATGATGATGCATGACCGAAGAACCTAAATGCACTGACAGAGGCAGACCAAAGAAAAAAAAAAGAAATAAAAAAGGCACATGCCTCCGACACACCAACTCTAACCCCACAAGTTCTGTTCTCGTCTTTCGTCCCATCTATCTCGAATAACGGCGGCGAGGCCTGCTCTCCTTCTCATAATACATACAGAGTGTCAAAGTCGAACGCGGCAAGGGTCATGATATCCCCGTTTCCTTCCCCCCCCCCCGTGATTTATCCAGTCTTGCGATCCAAAGTCTTATAATAAATACCCTTATAACTTAGGCCATATTCTGCTAATACTACATTCTGGCAGAATTAAAAAAACTGACACATGCGACCTATGCGTCTCCTACATCTAGCGAGTGACAGTATAACGGATGTTTCAGCTTACAATCGATAAAGCGCTCACTCTCCTCATGCTATTGGCCATGTCTCCTCATGTCCTCCCCAATGGCAAAGGGGGTTAGGTCAAGCGCCGACGGCGTTCACCCGTAACTGCTGCTCTGGGTTTGGAGTCAGCCGCCGCGCAAGTGCTGGCTCGGGGATGCGAGATGCCATCCGGTCGGGAACCAAGTCAGGGGTCGCTGAACGCGACAACGACAGCTGCTGTTGCTCTGGGTTGGGTGTAAGACGCCGCTCCATACCTGGCTCTGAAATACGGTTGGCCATACGGTCAGGAATCAGGTCCGGGGTTACTGATCTCGACAGCGAGAAAGACAACTGCTGTTCGGGGTTTGGTGTGAGCCGCCTCGCCAGGGCAGGCTCGGGAATGCGGTCAGCCATCCTGTCGGTGATGAGGTCGGGCGTTATAGCACGAAGCTGTTGCTCCGTGGGGGACTTTGTGCGGGCTTCCATGCTTTCGAAGACCAGCTCAATGTCAGGGGAAGCCGATCTGATGGGGTATTCAGTTGCCGGGGAAGCTCTTAGCAGACTAGAGGTTGTGGGCTGGGGATGCATGATTGAGGGCGTCTGCACCTCGTCGACCACGGTCATGGGGATAGGACCAGGGCCTGTGCGGACCTTGGAGGGAAGAATCTGCTCAAAGCCCTCCTTTCTGGCCACCTTCTCAATGCTCTTGAAGTACTGAAGCAAGTTAGCGACGTTTGCAGCTCAGGGATCAAGGTCGTCTTACCTTGACTGTCTTGACCTGCAATTCCAAGGTTGCGTCCTCATCAACAACAAGCATGGGATGCGGATGCAACTGTAAACTGGACAGCGTCCACATGTGATTAACACCCTGTTCGATGCATCTCTGGAGGGCGGGCGCCTTCCTAGCGCCCAGGATGATTGCAACGACTTCCCGAGACTCAAGGACAGTCTGCACGCCGACGGTTAGGGAGAGTTTAGGGACCTTGTTGACGTCGTTGTCAAAGAAGCGGGAGTTGGCGAGGATGGTGTCATAGGCAAGCGTCTTGACTCTTGTCCGCGAGGCGAGGCTGGAACCTGGCTCGTTGAACGCGATATGACCGTCCTCGCCGATCCCAGCTAGGAAGAGGTCTATGCCGCCGACAGCCTTGATCTTAGCCTCATAAGCTACACACTCTGCTTCCAGATTCGCAGCGTTGCCGTTGAGGATGTTAACGTTGTTGGGGTGGATATTCACGTGGGAGAACAAGTGCTTCCACATGAAGGAGTGATAGCTTTCAGGATGGTCCCGAGGCAGACCAACATACTCGTCCTGTCGAGGGCTTAGAAGGGTCACGATAAAAGCAGGCACAGGTGACGTAAAGGAATATCAGTATTGAATGGACACACTCCACACATACCATATTGAAGGTGATGACATTTTCGAAAGAGATCTATTAACCAAACCGTCAGCGGAATTCCCCAGTAACTACAGTGAACTAAAAAACCCTACCTCTCCAGCCTTATACTTCTGAACAAGCACCTTATACACACCCAGAGGGCTGCTTCCAGTTGGCAGGCCAAGCACAAACGGGTGAGCGGGGGTGGGACGGAAGTTCTTGATCCGATCGACTATGTAGCTAGCCACATAATCGCTGGCAGCGTCGACATCTTTGCGGATAATCAGCCTCATCTTGGATGGATCTACGGAAGTGGTATGGCGTGGATTGCAACGATACGAGGAGGGTGTAGTGTAAGCGCGGGAAGATGATGGATGAGCTCAGGTTTGCAGGTAAGGCAGTTCTTGATTTCTAGAAAGAGGACAGGGGAACGAAGAGATACGAAGGAGTGAAGCCGAAGGGCCCTGCTTATGAGGGGACAATACCCCGGCGATCAAAGTTTGGAGGTTCCCCCAGAGGGGTTCCTCATCACAGTTGACATCACAGACTCGCGGAAACGGCTCCAGAAAGTCTGCTGAAGATTTTTGAGGTGGAGGGATGGAACGTCACTGCTATCGGCGGTGTTTGAGGAGACCGAGTCCCACCACCGGGCGTCCCACCACCGCCGCGGGAGACATTATCAACGTTGCCAGTTGCAGATATCAGGCCAATCGCCTTGTTTCAAGGACTGGATTGGTGAAGCTCCGATCTATTGCGGGATATGGTATTGCGGAGTGGGTGTTAAACTATTGAAAGTGGCCACGACGAAATGAGGGTAGGTAGGCAGTGGGCGGCACTGTGAACCCCCGTCCCAATGGCCATCGTCATCTCTCATTTAGACTCAATGTGGCCCACGTAGCCGAGCAGGGTTTGGCATGTCTGTCCAGAGAAATGGTGGGTGTCGAATGAGCCAGGTGGTCGGGTCTATATCCCAGCACGGAGCTACCTGGAACGTCTGGAGGGGGGGGGGTGGTGATCTCTGAGTGTTCTGTGGAGGCTTCGATATCACTAGGAAAGTTCGTGACACTACGCACGGGTGGCGAGGTGGTCGTCGGCATGGCGGAGGAGGGGTCACCACGTCTGTGAGGCCGGGCCCCTGGTTTTACGATCTGGCGGCTGACCACTGCATTTTCTGGACGTGGAGTGCCTTTGCTTTGCATGCAACTGATACGTGGGACTGGGACCCAAGCTAGCGATCTAACGTGACGGGCATGGTTGCCGTTTACCGTTCGCCGCGTGGGACACCGTGGGACACGACACCTACTTCGGAAAATACTTAAGGTGCCAAATCGGATAGCTCGTGTTGGTGGTACGAGGTTGAATGTGGTGGATGCTGGTGATGATTCAGACCAGTGAGAACAATATCATTTGTTCGAGTACCGCCAAGAAAGAAGTTGAGGACGGATATTGATTCGGCATTGACAATGCTGTAAGGAAAATTAGTTAAGATTGGAAGAGCGCGACTGTGGCTAGCACATGGAACATGGCATTAACAATGCACCGCTGAGAAATCGCTTGAACTGCTGCTGTTTTGTCAAGATGGAAAGTCTTACCTTCCTCTATAGAAACCTCTGTTCGATGTTTCCTATACTGCTTTCTGCTTGCTGCTTGCGGCTAACTTGCTGGTGGCAGCGGTTCCTCCACTGTTGGTTGTTGCATGTTGCTTTAGGTGTGGGTCTTAACAATTCCGAGGTCCAGCTTGACGGTCACCTCATGCTCATGGTGTGGGGGATTGGCCTGAGCTGCGTGGATCTGAAAGCGCTGACGACTTACACCTCAGTGGCCCGCCATCAATCCGCTTTCATCTGATTTGGTCAGCCACGGCCTGACGGATACAGTGTGCACCCCCCCCAATGGCCCCCTCAATGCATTTCGGTATCAAAGGCAACGTTACAACTGGAGGGGCGATGGTTTTTTCCCCATCTCACCGTCAACCACTACAATCAAATGTCCATCACAGTGGAATCCTGCCAATCTACCCAGGCCCAGTTGGCTGGGTCCGAGCTGGTTACCTAGTGTATAACGTACTAACGTAGTTTGCGGCGCCCAGCGACGACCACCAGTGGCTGTTCAAGGCGTCAATCAGCAAAGTCGCTGTTCCAGCACAGTGCACATTCATTTCCTTTCAGTCGCTGTTCCATCACATCATTTCTTTGTCCGGGTGTCTCGCGGTGAGAGAGGAAGTCTTTCGTCTTGCTCCATTGCTTGTCTTGTAGCAGTCTATTGTTGCACCGAACTTATCAAGCGCCAATCTCTTCAACTCCTGAAGTCGAGTCTCTGCTCTGACATGCATCCCCCCTAACCAAGACCTTCCCTCCCATCATTCTCCGCTGCCTACCCCCATCAATGAGGTATTCAGCCCCCAAGTGGGTGGATTAGAACATCGCGCTTGACTGGACTAGGCCAGTTGAACATAGCCTAGGATTACGGTGTGTCGCCCCATCACCTGTGCGACGTTGGAGATCCAGAGAGCGAGGGCCCCTTCGGTGGTTCCCGCTCTTACCTTGACCTCCTCTACATGGCCTGGATCAAGGGTCTTCCCGTTCGTATCCCGACCGTCACCTCTTTCGTTCTGTAACCTATCGGCCCTTGGTCGCTTTCGCCATTGCCTCTTACTACTGTTGTTATTCAGCCCACCGCCGACTGGTCGGATACGACATCCTACCAAGCCCAAGTTTGTTGAACGAGAGGAACACCACGGCAGGTTTCACTCTGCTGCTCGGTGCGTGCTCCAGTCACCATCCCTGAGCTTGTGCCTGTCGATCCGTCCCCAAGTCCGCTTGTTGTACCGCCCTGGAGGGTTTATACCTCGTTTACGACATCTTTTGCGGCCCTCCTGTCGCTGCGTTCCTTCGTTTCCTTCATCCTGGTGGTCACATCTCTGGGGGACATGGCTCGTGCCTTGCTCCGTTTATTTACAATCCATCATCTCGTCAGCTAGATGACCCGGCATTGCCCATTACATTTTTATCATTTTAATTCCCTTTCAGTGTCATGCGATAGCACTCTTCTGTCATGACGACATTTCCGAAATCGTTCCTGGCCGCCGTCGTCAAGCACCTGCTACGGGGCAAGTCTCTGATACAGGCAATTCTCGCATTCTGGATCACTCCCCAACCCGTGTCTGGTAAGCCGGCGAGAGCGACAACAGTACAGTGCTCACAGTCGCCGGCGGCGTCCCCCTTTCCGCGGAGGATCGATGAATTCTTGAAGGAGGCCGAAAACCTGCTGCTAGGGCCCCTAGCCGGCGATGGGTTGCTTGAGCTGTCCAACGCTCTAAAGGCCCAGTTCCGGGACAAGCTGCAGACCAGTATGGCATGTATGTTGCCATCTTACAATCACCAGCTGCCTGGCGGCCACGAAGTCGGTCAGTATTTGGCGTTAGATGTGGGGGGATCAACCCTGCGTGTTGCACTGGTGGAATTGCGGGGCCGCGATGCCAAGGGAAAGGAGAGTGAGATAGTACGTCTAAGCTCTTTCGTGATCGATGCCGATATCAGGAACCTTGAGGGTATGGCATTCTTCAATTGGATGGCCGATAGAGTATTGGAAACAGTATCCAAGGATGGAGAGGACCCCTCACGACCTATGCCGATGGCTGTCTCCTGGAGTTTCCCCATCGAGTAAGTACCCTTTCTGACTATGATAGATAATTGCCTGATACTAACCATCAGCAGCCAAACATCATTAGGAGGTGGACGTATTCACGGTATGGGCAAAGGTTTTCTGGCTGCGGATGGCCTGATGGGCCAGGACCTCGGCGAGGTCATCAAGACTGCCTGCACGGCCAAGGGTATGAACGCCATCCTCAGAGTTGTTGTCAATGACGGCGGCGCCACGCTCCTTTCACAAGCATACATTCACCCTGCCACGCGCTTCGGCCTCATCCTCGGTACCGGTGTTAACATCGCCGCGCATATGCCCGTCTCCATCATTGGGAGGCCTAAATTTGGCGATCGTCCGCAGGAATGGTGGAACGAGGCTCGCGACGTCATTGTCAACACAGAAATTGGCATGTTTGGTCAGGATATTTTAAACGTAACCCGTTGGGATAGGTTTTTGAAGCAGGGTCATGCGAGGCCAGACTTCCAACCACTAGAACAAATGGTCAGCGGGTATTATCTGGGTGAAATGGTGAGGTTCGCACTCATCGATGCGATCGAGACTACCGGTGTCTTTGGAGGTGTCGTGCCAAAGTCCCTTAACGAACCGTACTCTCTGAAATCGGAGACGATATCCGCCGTGGAAGGGTAATGATGGCCCCCCATTTTTTCGAGTCGCAGCGGCGTAACTTTGCTAACATGTCACAGTGATGTATCGCCCTCACTTACCTCATCAATCGACCTCTTTGTTTCCCGTCATCCTTCATCTCACACACCTACATCGTCTGACATGTCTGTCCTTCGCGATCTGGCGTCATTCGTCTCACGGCGGTCGGCCGCCATTATTGCCGCATGCTTACACGCCATCTGGGCGCTACGCCTCGATGCGTTGAGCGAGGAATCACCCGAGTACGCCGGACACGAACGGTTGGTGAAGGAGACCGGTCTGGTGCGAACCATGGTCGCGTACAACGGCAGCGTTATTGAGCATTACCCTGGATACCTGGGGATGCTGCAGGGATACGTGGATGGGCTGGTCAACAGAAAGGACAGGAGTATCGATCTCGTCCCAGCAAAAGAGAGCTCATTATTAGGTGCAGGCGTGGCATTGGCACGGGCCTGTGACACGGGCGTATAAGAGAGACAGAGGAGTAAATGATAATAAGTAGGAAATGGATGGAAAGGTGTATAATCCTTTGGGAGGGGTCTGTTAAGGTGATCCCGGGCCGTAACGCGTAGAGTTGTTGTGGCGAACATGATTAGAAAAGCAAAGCCCGGAATTCAGTCATATCCACATGTGTTTCTGTTGCGTTGATCCCGTACTTTGGGTCCGACGTACATCGTAAATGTCAGTTCACGTTGTTGACTCTGGGTATCATCATTGTTCCTAACTACCTTGTAACGCCCCTTGTCCCAATGACCTCGTCGTTCGAGCATATACATTTTGGAATGGCAACTTGCGTAGTCACATTCACTCGTCATCAATTTCTTCAACCTTGCGCTTCTGGCTCCTCGCAAGTTTCCTCCGCCTTACCTCTTGCGGGTTGTCGTCATCCCCGTCTTCGTCTACACTACTGCTGCCTCCCTCCTCCGCAAGGCGCTGCAACTGCTGAGCACGCTTCATCTTGCGCAGAATAACGTCGTCGTGGTAGAAGTCCTCGAGACCAAATTCCTACGAACATTAGCCATTTCAGTGTCCAAATTCAAATAACAAACAACGTACCTTGGAGCAGCCTGGCACAACGCATTGAGAGCGTTTGTTCGGTTGTTTCCGCAGCATATCCACGATCCACTCCTTCTCGTAAGTATGGCTGCACATGCGATTGCTGTACGGCTCTTTGTACTCCTGCATCGACAGCGGGCACCTGTAGTCCCTGACCTCACCGGCAATAACCACGTCCTCGTCTTCATCATCTTCCGCTCCTTCTCCTTCATTCTTGACGTCTTGGGAGTCCCCACTCACAGTGCGCGGCATAACAGGGTTCCCAGCGTCGTCGAACCAGCGCTTGGCGTTGGGGAGGGGCGCACCAGTGTCACCATGTACGGCGTCATGCCACAGCTTCTTGAAGCCGGCGTAATCGTTGTTGACAGCATATCGTTGATACGCATTCATCTTCTCGTACTCACGAACCTTTTCGTCTCTATGCTGACGTAGCGTGTCGATAACGGATTGGTCCGGTAGAGCCGGCGCCGCAAGTTCCTCACCTTCCTCGGCCCCGCCATCCTCTCCATCCACATCTTCTGCTCGGTGCCTGGTTCTCCGTCGAGAGCGAGAAGAGGGCGCGGCGGGGAGCTGCTGGTAATAGTCTACAGTCTCCGCCAGCGCCGCCTTATCGTCATCAAGCTGCACCTGCCTGTCGATCAGGTCACGGACCGCTGCTTCTGCTTCCTTGGTGAGGCGGGGGACCTCCGCATCTAAGGCTGCCGTGTGCTCCTCAACCTCATCCTCACGCTGTGACTTTTCTTGACTCTCCGATTCCGCCCGCTTCGCAGCGAGGCGCTTAATCATTTCATGGCGCTCTCGTGTCACGTCGTTGATGTCTGCAACGCTTTGGCTAAGATTTGTGATTGAACTTTTGATGTGATTCTGATAACGGTGAACATCGCGTGAGTTTGAAAGCTCTGCAATTGCACGCTTGGCTTCGTTCGTGAGGGGGCAAGCGAGGGGTTCGTAGGGAGGGAGTTCGATGTCATCATCTTCGTCGACGACTCGTCGTTCAGGACGCCGTTGAGTTGGCCGACGACGATCGAGGATGGGCATGACGGTCAGATTCGACGCTTGTCACGGTGGCGTTAATTTCGTGTGGTTTATTGACCTGTTTGGGATACCCTTTGGGCTGGTGTTGCCAGAATTCGTCTGATGGCGATTTGTGGTTTGCATGCAATGTTGAATTTCTGGAGAGTGGAAGACGCGGTTGACGTGCCGCAGCGCGTTAGTGGGGTTTGCACTTTAATAAAAGCGGGGTGGTCCCTGTTGTCTCTTGGTTCGAGGTACGTATACTATCTCCCTGTCATAGCTCACACAACTTCACCCCTCATTGCCAATTCAGACTCACTAAAAATGTGTCTCGCCCACAAGATAGAATCAAGAACTGACCTTCAGTTATCTTTCTGGAGGCTTGAAACAGGCCTTATCGAGTTAGGCTTTAAATCTAACACAATAAGGCTATTTACCCACTTCCACCAGCTATACGCCCAAGCCTCAAGAGTTTGTAGTCGTGAGCTAACTTGATCAACGGAGCCAATTCCTAGATTGGCAACAATCTAAGACCTCCTTCCACCAGGGACAGCTTTAGAAGAGAATGTAAGTTCACATGCAATTTGCGCGTGTTAATGAAGACTATTACCCTGATGGTTGGTAGCAGCTCACTTCCCACGAAATGCATGTCCGACATTTGTCCAGAACTGTTGAAGATGTGTCCATACCACCGCAGTCGGAACCCTTTGGTACCACATACCATATTCTTAACGATTTAATGACTATGGTATGTGGAGCTTGGCGAGGATTCAGCTGCGGGCTAATGTCTGAATTTGGCTCAGTTTGGTGACTTGGTGGTTGCACACCATTCCAGCAGCACCTGATATCTCCCTTCCTCATTTGCCTCTCAGAGCATTTATCTATCTTTGTTTTCCAAGCCGTAACGTAAATTAATTTAGAATGAAAGAGTGGAAAACATTCATTCAGGTCAATTATCCCTTTTAGTAATGCCACAAGGTCTTATGTCGAAAACGCTAAGATTAAAATACTTTTAAAGTGTCCAACAACGCCGCATGAACTACACTATGTATCCCGTCAAATGGTTGACATTTGATGCAAATGGTATAAAAGGTAAGTCTACATCTCATCTCACAATGTATTCCAAGGGTTTGCCACCGCGAAGCTCTTATCTGCCCTATGGCTGTAGACTTAGAGCCCGGTTGTCTCAATCCACTGTTTTCTCATAAAGTGTCTTCATCCTCGTCCTCTTACTCAAACGTTTTCCCTTCTCCCCGCCATCAACGTTTTTGGCATCCCATTGCTGTCGACGCCGTCAACTTCTATACTGTTCAGGAAACATGGGAGAAGTCGATTGTGTCTGCCGGTGCATCTTAAACGTCCTGATGATCTCCTTGTCTAACAACTCCGAGGCCAAATTTCTAAATTTCTCACGGGAATATACCATCAGCGATGCTAGACATGCTAACTGACCCAAAATCGTAGCCGACGACCTGCAGCATTGTTTCTTTCCACATGACCAGACCTACGAAGGCCATTGATAGTGTTTCAGGGTGTTCCTATTCTCGCTATTTCGCCGCATAGGGCGTGCTTCATTCTATATACATAGGCCTCGTGCATCGTGAACACATTCGCTTCGCCCACTCAACGAGCCTTACCAAATCCTATACCCAAGATTCTTTGTATATCATACACTAGTAGATATCCTCTTTCCCAAATCAAGATATGAAAAAACCAAAAATAATTTCGAAATTGCTGTGAAAATGCCCAATGCCGGTGAAATCATGTCTCGTGTCTCTCCTTTTGTTCCTCCTCATTATCTTTCGTCCCAAATCATTCTGATCTTTTCGTGGCTCGTTAGGACTGGTGGAAATGTAGCTTTGTAGCCGCATACCCAATAGTCCCAAACAAAACGATGCCTTCAGTGCCCGGAGTGCTGCCGGAGTCGTGTAATAGTGGCAGCGGGAGGCAAATCCCACGACGGAACACCGAGGTGCACCGGGCGATAGTCGCTAACGGTCGACAATCTCGTCGCTGCTACTACTACTCGACCCAGAAGACGTTACGCTCATGCTCTGGCGCGCGACATGGACCAATCTGTAGATACCGAAGGCGACGCCAGCGAGTACGACGAATAGGACGATGACAATGATGGCAATGGCATCATTTTGCTTGACCATGGCTGCGGCGGTCGGGAATCAGGTTCTGTCAGGCCGAAGCTGACAGGGACCTGTAGGAGTGAAAAGAGGTGGGTTTCCGGGTGTGGGGGTGGGAAGCGCACGATCCGGTTAGAGCGGAGTCCCCGTGACTGAGAGATGTCGTGTCTCGGGACACAAAACACAATCAAACGTGACCGTTGGAAGTTATAATCAAACACGTCTATGGAATGTGTCAGCGGTTTTGCCTCACTGAGTTTTTTTTTTTTTTTTTTTTTTTGAAAAGATCGCACCTGAATGGTCGTGTTGTGGTTGCACAGTTCCCCCACAATTTGTACAAGATACCTGCGTGAGTGCTATAACGGGGTCTGGTGGTGGATGGATGCTTTGGCCGAACAACAACGAGTATTGATTCTCTTCAATCGGTTGAGAAAAGTATTTCGCGGTCCTGGAAATTTTGCAGTCAAGGAGCTGTGTGACATACCAAAGGGAAGAGGAAGTTTTCTGGTTAGTTGTGGAATGCAGCCGGGCAGGGCAGCGTTAAAAAGCAGCGTTGCCCCGCCACCAGCTTTCTCACACCAAGTCAATAAAAATGGGAGAGGCTGGAAACGCAACAGCGCGCGACCACCACCACCCAACCGCCGCGAAACAGGGGTCTAAAGCCGTTTTTAGTGGATTCCCAACAGGGGTTCGGATGCACCCAACCTCGCGGTGCTGCATGTGCAGGTTTCCCCCAGTTCCTTCCCGTCCTGGGCTGAAGTATACTCACTGCACATTTGTATAGCGGTATACTTTGGCGGTCTGGTTCCTGCATCTACCCTCAATGACATACACCCAGGATCCGGGCTAATTCCCATGAACTTGAGACGACGGGTTACGTTCGACGTGGAACCATTGGCGCATTTAGTCGGCTTGTCTTCGAATTCAGTTCCTAAGTCAGTGTTGATTTCAACCACCGCATGCTCTGGGCACTCCTACAGATGGAGATGCGACACTTAGCCGCCACCCCTTCCCACCGCCAACCTCAAGGCCTAAATACATGTGAGGAGGGGCATGTATTATTTTGCGAACCTCCGACGCATCAAAACAGGTCAGTCAAAATCAATGAAAATAATAACTAGAGCCAATAGACGCTTTCCCAAAAACGTGTGATGTCAGTAACCTAGACGCCATTCCGATCCCCGGCGAGCCCATATCTCCATCCTTTGGTCGTCAAGTACCCGCTATTTACGCCGTGGCATGGGCATAGCTTTCAACACCGGTCTCATCGTCTGCTTCTGTTGTATGGTCTGACTTGACAATGCGGATATGTTTTTCATAGAAGCGCAACATCTGAAAACGGTCAGCGCTCCAGCCTATTCAATGCAAACAAACCCCGGTCTCACCTTCTGCGGACATCGCTTGTACACTACTTCCGTGGGATGCTTCGTCTTCTGGCCGTTCTTCCAATTTAGGTAGATGACCAGGGCATTGGATTCCTCGTCTTGACATGCATCAATGCTCTCGACCTCGTCTTCCCAGCTACCACTGGGCAGGGTCCAGGCTTTCTCCCTAGCAGCCGTTGCAGAGGCAGGGGGTGTAGAGTCAGCAGGGTGGCCGTTCCGCCTAGCTTTTTTGTTCCCTGTTGATGGTGTGGAAGCAGCAGAGACGCGACCACGCTTTTTGGTAGTTTTTGCCTTGGTCTTCTGCTCAAATAATGCTTCTCGCCCACCGATCAATGTGAGATACTCCTCCAAAATCTCAGATGCGCCTTCCCTGGATGTATATTAGCAACAGTCGAGACAGACGTTATTCATTCCATGAGTGTGACGGAATACTTGCTTCAGGCTGTCCTCTGGCTCCCACGTCTGATCTGACTTCTTGTCATAGCCCTCCCACTTGACTCTGAAATTGACAAGCCCCTGCAACATATGTCAGCGACAGATCGCTAGGACGCGATTTCGGAGCACAAACATCTTCGCCAACTTGGTGATCAAGAATCTTCTCAACCACATATCTAGAAACGAATCAACCTTGCATCCAGACCAACTGCCTGGTCGCGAGATACGTACTCGTCGGCGTCTAGGTCGTTGTCGTCACCATCGCCGTTGTCTTCGTCATTCTCTTCATCTCCATCGGTATTTTTGCCATTTAAATCGCCAGTGACCTTGGAAATATTGTCATCGCTCTTAGTGTCGCTAACATCACCTATGTACTCGGCTGATCGGCTCTTTGCGCGCGTGTCATTCAAAGGAACAACAATGTCGTTACCCACGTCAGACTCTTCGTCGTCACTGAGAGCTTTAGGTAAGGTTAGCTTTGCTTTCTTTCTCATGGAACACCGTTTGCGCGGCATGGTGGAATATTGAGGAGAATCAGGCCGACTGTCGCATCGGAGAAAAGAGCTGTCGCAAAGCTGGCGGGCTGGATTGAAATGTGTTAGGTTGGTATCAAAACAACTGGGGCTTACCGGGAGGCATTGTGAAGGTTTCAGCAAAATAGAATGTGCTCGAAAATGCTGGGATAATATATCGGGCGACAACTGCACGAAGTGTACTTGAGCAGGAAGCAACGACGCGGTATTGCTAGGCGCGACAGAGAAGCTGTGGGTGGCAGGCCTCGCCGGCCCGTCACGTGGGCTGACGGCCGCCACCACTGGTCTTAGCCAGCCTCCACAGCCCTCTAGCCAGTTAGTTAGTTCTTCCAACCAACAACACCACTTTTCCCATTCTGAGCGTTCTGTGCTGGTTTCGCCTATAGGTTATGAGCCTAGCGTTATTCTTTCGGAATAACGTCGTTTTACCTATTATTCTACTCGTCTGTTAATTTTCTATTGATTTACGAATTTTTGCGATTTTTGTTACGACCCGTAAACAAGGATAACAGCTGAAAGACCCACTTGGACGTCGGGCGGCTGTAACAGGACATTTGTACTGCAGAATCACAGGAACAACAGGGATTCACTCGGAAACGGAAGAACTATGGTGCAAGTCACGTGACGATAAGATAAGAGATTAGATCCGTACGCTAAGAATACGGAGTCCGTCCTTGGCACATACGGGATCCGTATGAACGAGGAACGGACCCCGTCAGGATCAGGAACGGTAAAACAAACAAAGGGTACTGTTCGGACTTGTATATAGTATGACCTGAGCTCGACTCATAGTCAGACTTCCATAGCTCTTCAGCAATCAACTTTGTATTCATCCTCAGGATACTTTCAGCTTACCTTCACTGCGAATACTTGTTGAGCCTAAGATTGATCACCTTAGCCTCTGACTACCGATCTACGACACAGCCTACGACCTACGAACCAGACTTACGACACGACAATACTGTTTACTAGCGTCAATCCCCAACTTCTGTTAGCAGACCCTACTGTCGGATAGCTGACCGTAGCAATTTTATTCGCTTTATTTACCTTTCTATGCGATTTTCTCGCTTTCTTTCTTCTTCGCTGACGAATTTTACTTTCTGACGCGATATTAGCTGCCTGGCGCGCACGAATATCACGTGGCACGCGACCGACTACCATAACCCACTAGTTTTCACGAACACTACGGAACCATACTATAACCATACTTTTACTTCGATTCCTCGTTTTTACGAGAATTTAACTATTTTAGCTTCGGTTTTTCAAACCAGCCTATTAGTTTCTCATATCTTCTATAAGTATTTATTCTTCCCTTCGATTTACTATATTTCTATGGTTAGATCTTATAATTCTACCTATTTCTCGTATTCTTACGTAAGATTCTCCCTCCTATATAATATTTATACTTTTTTAATACTATTTACTTTTTAATACCTTCCCTTTCTAATAGTATACGTAGGTAGTAGCGAAAGTAAGCTATCTAACGTATAGACACGCCTCTAAAGCTACGGCCTCGGAGAAACGCTTATAATCGAGGTACGACTATAAGTCTATCCCGTACTATTATAATACCCTTATTTTTTACTTTAAGATGTCTTAAAACGACTTTAAGACCGTCTTTACGCCTCTCCCTTGCCTGAAAGGTAAATCTAATTAGAATACCTAGCGTATGCTTGTTATAGCAACCTTATAAGGATACGACTTCGAGATATTCCTCGAGACTAACGTCCCTTGCCTTGCTAACCCTATCGCTATAGAGGAATAGAGAAAGAACCGTAACGTTACGTATAGTCTCCTTATAAACGCTAGCAAATCGGTTCTTAACAGACTCTATATAGCAGGTTAGGTTAATAATAGAAACCCTTACGAATTATAGCAAGCGCTCGAGAAGCATATTCCGAGAATCTTATAAGATGCTATAGCTACCCTTATTAACGAGTTTGCTAAGACTACTACTAACGATTATAAGATACTTTACGATGCCCTTAATCGCTATTACTACCTTAGAAAGCGTATTAAGACTATTTACGGTCGTCTGCTAGACTCCTTCCTTGCCGTTTTTCTCCTTAATTTCTTTAAAGACCGACTTCCTAATATATATAAGCATTTTACCTCGAAAGGCGCTACTTATCCTACGTAGAATAAGGTAGCCGATACGATTTATATACTTACCTAAGACGAAGATCAAAAGCATAGTTATGCTACTATTCGTAATATACCTAGAGGCAAGTCTGCTAGCAGTAGGGGTCTTGCCTTTCTAGCCGTTACTACTACCGTTACCTCTACTATTACTAAGGAAAAGAAGAAGTACGACTATTATAACTATGATTACGAGACTACGAAGTACTACGTCGCCTACCTTAATCTTATCCCTCTATACTACGTTAACTAGGATAAGTTAATTAAAAAAGTAAGAAAGTATATATATAGCGATCGCTACTACTAGGATTAGCCTACTTCTATTAATAGCACTTGCTAGACTATTGTCAAAGCGTTACCTACTATCTTAGGCTAGTCTGCCCTTGCTTATATCGCTAGCCTAGTGGTTTTTACTACTGCTTGCGATAACCTTATTACCCGAGACGATATCGTTCTCGATTCTAGTTATACTACTTTAACCTTTAACAACTTATAATATTTCGTTAAGTATGCTAAAAAAAGCGATTTAATACCTTCTACTTCTACCTCTAGCGCTTTAGTCTAGTTACTTAGCATAGGTACCGTCTTCTTCTAAACCTAAGACCCTACTAACCCTAACGTTATTTACGATTAGATACTTTATAACGTTAAGTATAACCCTTCTAGCCTAGCTAACTTACTAAGCCTTAGAAAACTTTGTCGTAATTACGTAGAATATAATTAGCAGACCTTAAGCCTTATATATATAATATAGCATACTTCCCTTACTAAAGTTTATTAGGTTTCTAACGTCTATATCGTTAAGACTTATAATACTAGGAATTATATGCCTCGAGATATTACTATCAGCCTCGCTGCCTTGCAAGCTACCTAGCGACCGTCTCTTAAACTGATATACCGCCGGCTGGTTTACGCTTACCTATTACGTATTATAAAGGCTTGCTACCGTATTAGCATTCGGTTTATAACGTCGGAAATTAACGCCTTTTTCTATAAGTCTTACTATCTTAGCAAATCTACTAAACGGATTAGTCGAGACTAACTACTTCTACTTATAAGTATTAGTAATAAAATTTACCTTAATCTCGTTAGTATTCTTCCCTTATTAATAAAAGGGAACCGTTAGGTTCTATACCTTATGGATAAGTATAGTAGTTACTACTAGGTTGTTTTTCTACCTAACTATAAGTTTGCTACTATCCTAGCAGCTATTAAGAAATAGGATACTAAATTCTATAGTCTTACTAGCCTTAAGCCTAAGGTTTAGGTTTCTAATAATGCTCCCGAGCTAATCAAGGTTTTTAACAACCCCTACTTCGAGGGTACTTGCTATAATACGACTATTGCCTATACGCCTTTTATAAACGGTATTATTAAGCATGCTAGTCGTACTATCGTCGAAGGCGCCTAGATATAGCTGATTAACATATCCCTTCTAGAGGAACTATAGGATTATAGTATCGATTTAGTAACTTAGATTCTTAACCTCTTGCCTATACCTTCTAAAGGTAACTTAAGCTTTTACGAGATCATGGCGAGAAAGCTAAACTTAGCTGCTAAACGTAAGGCCCCCTATATTAAACATCTCCGAACGTTTAGCTATACTGCCTACGTATATAAGAAAGGCCTTCGACGCCTTATACGCTCTGCTAAGATAGAACTATAAGCAATTAAGGGATTCCTCGTTAGTTACGGTTCTTTTCGTAGCTATATTTACTATGTTTACCTACCTAATTGAAAGGAGGTTATTTACTATAGAGATGTTTGATTTCGTAAGTGTTACGACCCGTTAGATACACCTAACAGGACCCACTCGGTTGGGCGGTTATGACAGGACTTTGTATGCAGGGCCACGGGAACAAAAGGTAACCTCTCGGAACGGAAGAACTATAGAACGGAACAAGTCACGTGATGAATTATTCTAGGTCAGAATGATCCAAGAAGAGTTGGGGGCCAACGGATCATGTTCGATCAATATGATCTCCAACGACTACAGACAATACGTGTAGATAGACTCCTATATAGACCAGGACTTGAGTACCTGCTCAAGCCCTCTAGATAGTTCTTCAGCAATCAACTTGTGATTCATCCTCGAATGACTTTCAGCTTACCTCTCAGTATTGTGAATACTAAGAACCTCGTTACCATAGTGTAAGACTGATCACCTTACCCTAACCCTACGATCTACCAGAACGACCTCTACGAACCAGTGTTAGTCTCTTACTGCACCTTCTGTTAGCAGAACCCTACTGTCAGATAGCTGGCCGTAACACTTTGATTGCTCCTGTTCAGTAAGTTGCCCTTTGAGACTAACGAACAGTATAAGACAAGATGTCTTCGCACGGAACTACCGAAAACCCTACTCCTAGAACCTCGTCCACGTCCGAGAGACGTATTCCCCAGAATCTGGCCCAAGAGATTCAAGACCAGGAAATGAAGGAGGAATCCGATAGCGATGACGACAATGAAGAACTTAAGCGGCAACTTGAGCGGAATAACAACGAGCTCAGGGAAATGAAAAACCTGTTCAACCAGAACGTCAAAGCCCTCAAGGAGCTACAGGAACAAGCCCGCCGCACCAAAGAACTAGAGAAGGAAGTCACAACCCTTCGAGCTGCCGCGAACGTCATATCAGCTCCTGTCGAAGGAAGAGAACGCCTTAAGCTCAACACCCCTACTACCTTCGACGGAACCCCTGGACAGCTCAAAGGATACTTGGTACAGATACGGACCTACCAAGCCTTCCACATCAACACGTTCCAGAACGATACCGAACGTGTCGTCCACGCCGCCACCTTCTTGAGAGGGAAGGCCCTCGCTTGGTTCGAACCCCTCCAACAAGAATGGCTGGACACCCCTATCGAGAGATACAGTCAAGAAGTGAAGGACATCTTTTTCAGCTTCAGTGGATATGTTAAAGCCCTTCAATCTCTCTTCTTAGACCCCGATGAGAAAAGACAAGCAGAAAGAGAACTGGCGAGCCTACGACAAAACAAATCAGCTACAATGTACGCCGCAGAATTTCGACGACTCGCAGCTAGACTCGACATGACTGACGAAAGCAAAGTCTTTGCTTTCTACCAGGGTCTTAAGGACGACGTCAAGGACGAAATGGCCAAAGTGGATACGCTACCTAGCTTCCTTGATTATGTCGAATACGCTATTAAGATTGACAACCGACTGTTTGAACGACGCAAGGAAAAAGGAGAAAAACGTCAAACAGCCAACTCAGGAAAGAAATACCAATGGCAACCCCAACACAAGTTCAACAAAAACCAGAACAACAGGAACAACAATCAGCAGAGCACCGCACATGGACAATACAGCGGACCCATGGACCTGAGCGTCGCGCAAAAAGACAAACCCAGACGCAGAGAATTCAAATGCTACAACTGCGACAAGCCAGGACACATGGCCAGACACTGCACACAGCCTAAGAAACTTACGGCAACCCCTAAGCAAGCCAACGCTGCAACCAAAATCCCTAGCCACGAAGAAAAGGGATAGACAGCCTGCTATGACAATGATTGCACCACGCACAGGCATGCAAAAGAGAATAGTGGATGGTACCCTCAAAACCCAGCAGGACGATCGGGATACGACACCACCAACATACCCAAGGCCATTGCTGTGATAGACCGATACACCGGTGGACCGGATTACACTAAGCAGCGACAAGAGCCACTCGACGACTGGGAACAAGCGAAGAAGGCCGCGGAACTCAACAACGCCTTCCAAGATGGTAGCATTGTGTACCAACCGGGACTCTTATGGGACATCCCACGCCTCGCCAACTATCGACAGACGAATGAAGTAAACACCCCGGAAAGTTTCTCAGAAGAAGAAGCCAGGAAACTCGAAGAAGAAAACGAGACAGCCATCAAACGGATACAAGACGCCATCAACTACACGATGCAAATTCGAAACAACAGCGAAGTTGGAGACACCCTCCAACACATGCGGAAAACCCGAGACCGCCGCATCGCACTACGCGGAAACACCCGAGGACAGTATCAACTCAAGTACAAAGCAACCCAATTTGTCTACCGACCCCAAAACGATAGAAAGACGGAACGAACCCTCGCGGTAGCCAGCAAATACGCCCGCAAAGCCACCGAGCAATTGGATGAAATGCTGAGACAACAACAATTCAGGGACGCCAGCACCCAGACCCGAGTATACCAAGCAAAGGACAACCTAAGCCAACGATGGAGCTCACCATATACCACGGTAGCCAGCGACTCGACCTTTGAATTGCCACAAAGAACCCGCGCTACTCCTCAACCTATCTCGGAATGGGCTGAAGACGTCGTAGACGGACCACCCTCGGCGGAAGTACGTCCACAAGGAACGTCGATAGACGATACCGACCCGGAAGACGCAGAAGAAGAACACCATCTCGACAGAATGGAAAAAATTAAGGAAGTACTAGAATATAAATACATCGACCCCTAAGACGACTGCTAACAGATCGCCTTCCATGCAGAAGAATATCATAACAAAATCCCTACAACAATCATACAAACCCGGGATGAAGAAATATTCTTAGAAGACGATCCCAGGATTACGACACAGCACAGAGAACACAAGGAGATAGCATGGATCTACTACATCTTCGATCACTACGCCTACCATCTCTCAAAGAAAGCAGAAAACGAACTATACCCTAAAAGAAAAGAAGAACTGCGAATCCGCAGAGCCCATGAGGAACAAGAACTCTCATATTGGGAAGTACGGGGAGAACCCGGAGAATGGAAAACTAACAACAATGGAATAGCATTCCTACGACCCAGCATCGAATACCCTCAGAAGTGTGTGAACTACTTCACGGGAGTCTGGTAGAATTGCAGGGAAGACCTATGCAAACTCCACTACATTCCAAAAAGCGAAAGTTGGAGATTCCGACAACAAGAACTAGACAAGCAAGGACAGGACGGCGAGACGCCCAGCCCACCTCGTCTAGGAATCAGAGAAAGTAACCTCGGCAGAGACCGAAAGAAGGGCGAGAAGGCCCTCTACTCAAAAAACTAGGAGAGCCGCCTTGTCCGGGACACATGGCGAGCTCCCCCAGCAAGTCCCTATGTGCTACATTCGACGACGACGCACAAATGAAGATCACAGTAAACCTGGGCGGATACACCACACAGGTCCTGATAGACTCAGGAGCCCAAGGAAACTTTATCGCACCCCGAATAGTGCAACAGCGAGAAATACCATAGAATCAGAAGCAAAACCCTTACCGACTAAGGAATGTGGAAGGGAAAGAAGTCGAGTATAGCGGAGGCAGCATTGATCAGGAGACAGCGCAACTCCCTTTGCTCTACCATGGCCATCAGGAGCTTATCAGCCTCGACATTACGGAGATAGGAAACCACGACGTTATCCTTGGAATTCCATGGCTACGAAGACATAACCCACAAATCGATTGGGTTACCGGCCGAATGAAATTCAATCCAGCCTCTGAGAAGCACTCGACGAAGGCCTCACGCGGATTACTAGCAGCAACCAGAGCGAGACCACGCCTGATGCTAAGGATAAAAGACATTGGCACTAGGACGCTAGCAGCCACGACGATTGACAAAGTCACGGAAGATCCAATGTCAAAGATACCTGTTGAATACAGGGTCTACAGCAAACTCTTTGCACCAGAACTCGAGACCGGATTACCGGAACACAGCAAGTGGGATCACAAGATCGAAATTAAGGAAGGACACGAACCCACCTTTAACAAAATATACCCACTCAACCAAGAAGAAATGAAAGCCTTAGACGAATGGCTTGACGAAAATCTTGCGAAAGGATTCATCAGACCTTCGAAATCACCCGCAGGATACCCCGTACTATTCGTACCAAAGAAGAACGGGAAGAAACGACTTTGTGTCGATTATCGACGACTCAACGATATTACGATCAAAGACTGTTACCCACTGCCCCTCATATCGGAACTAAGAGACCTACTCTACGAGGCCCAATGGTTCACAGCCTTGGACCTTAAAGGAGCCTACAACCTTATCCGAATTGCAGAAGGAGATGAGTGGAAAACAGCCTTCCGAACGAGAAGAGGACAGTTTGAAACGTTAGTCATGCCATTTGGACTCACCAACGCACCGGCTACATTCCAAACTATGATCAACCAAGTACTACGGGAATATCTGGACAAGTCTGTTGTTGTGTACCTCGACGACATCCTTATATTCTCCAAAACGTTGGAAGAATACAAGAAGCATGTCCACGAGATTCTCAAAGCACTCGAACAAGCGAAGCTACTTGTGGAACCAGAGAAGAGTCTGTTTCACAAACAGGAAGTAGAATTTTTAGGGTTCACAATCACGCCAGGCGTAATCAAGATGTCCCCTAACAAAATCAAGGCTGTGCAAGAATGGCCTACACCAGAAAACCCGAAGGACATACTATCCTTCTTAGGATTTGTTAACTTCTACCGAAAATTCCTTAAAGACTACTCTAAAACGATATTGCCTCTTACCGAACTCACTAAGAAAAATGCACCTTGGGAATGGACAGACAAACAACAGAAAGCGTTCCAAGAAGTCAAGGACAAGGTCACATCGGAACCCGTCATCCAGATTCCGAACCCTGAGAAGCCCTTCGAGCTCGAAACGGATGCTTCGAACGAAGCTGAAGGAGCGCAGCTAGGCCAAAGGGACGAGAACGGAGTCCTACACCCCTGTGGATTCTTTTCAAGGAAGTTCCAAGGACCTGAACTGAATTACCAGATCCATGATAAGGAACTTATGGCAATTATCGACGCATTCAAAGAATGGAGACCCCAACTATCAGGAACAAAGTACGAAGTAAAAGTGTACACGGATCACAAGAATCTGGCATACTTCACCACTTCGAAAGAGCTCAACAAACGACAAATCAGATGGTCAGAATTCCTCTCAGAATTCAACTTCAGAATCATCTACAGGAAAGGATCAGAAAACGGCAGAGCAGACGCGCTCAGCCGAAGACCCGATTACAAGGACGAAGTCCCAGAAGAAACTCAGGTTATCCTCAAAAAAGACAATGGCGACCTCGTACCCGCCGCGAAACTCTTAATGATCGGCGACCGTGTCAAGACCAGCACGACTGGAAGAATGACACACGACCAGATCAGGGAGATACACAGCGCACCCGCTCACGGTCACCAAGGAGTTACGAAAACCTGGAAACGAATCAGACAATACCACGACAAGCGAGTAATAAGAAAAGACGTCGCTGACGCAATCAAGGATTGCGAAGTCTGCGCAAAAAGTAAGCCCAGCAGACATAAACCATATGGAGAATTACAACCATTGCCAGCACCACCAGCACCCTGGCACTCAATCTCTCTAGACTTTATCGTCAAACTACCAAAATCGAGAGAACCACTCACTAAAGTACAGTACGACAGTATACTAGTGGTTGTGGATAGATTCACGAAGTACGCGTATTTCATACCATACTTGGAATCAAGCACGGCAGAAGACTTAGCATACACCTTTCTCAGGATCATTGTCAGCCAACACGGCCTGCCCCAGGAAATAGTGTCAGACAGAGGATCAGTCTTTACGTCCAAGTTTTGGAGATCCCTGATCTCGCAGCTCGGAGCAAAGCACAGCCTCAGCACTGCCTTCCACCCGCAGTCCGACGGACAAACGGAAAGAATCAACCAGATCCTGGAAACGTACCTAAGGAGTTATGTGAACTACGACCAGGACAACTGGGTCAAGTTGTTACCAACCGCACAGTTCGCATACAACAGTTCAATAGGAGAAAGCACGCGAGAATCACCTTTCTTCCTCAACTATGGATTCAACCCTACCGCTTATGGAGAACCCCGAACCGGCTCTGCCGCGATAAAAGCAGTAGCAGACATTAAGAAACTTAAGGAAATCTAACAAAAACTACCCCAAGAACTCGAATTCGTACGGCAAAGAATGAAGAAACACGCCGACCGACATAGGGTGAGAGGCCCACCCCTAAAAGAGGGAGGTAGCGCCTATCTCATACGGCGAAACATCAAAACGAAACGACCTAGCGACAAACTCGACTTCAAAAAACTAGGACCTTTCGAAATCACGAAGAAAATTTCCGAAGTCAACTACGAGCTGAAACTACCGGAAACAATGAAATGTCACCCAGTCTTTCACGTCTCATTATTAGAACCAGCTAAGAACCTGGAACACGCTCAGGAAGAACTCCAGCGGTACTGGAACCAGGAACGCCTGGACCAAGGAAATCCGCCTCGACAAGGCCAACACCGAAGGAACCCCAGTCACCAGAATCCCCGGCACCCCAGGAATTGAGATCCTTGAGGACTGCCGCTTCCTGCGCCGCTACAACACGTTCCTCCTCCTCCCACTCATCAACAGACTGCATACCTCGACGAATTAGATCAGAACCACGCTCCTTAAGAAACCTCTTCTGTTTGCGAAGACGAGACAAACGACCTAGAGCAGCGGCAAGCTGAGTCTGCAGGATCTCGAGGGCCTCCTCGGCCTCCTGTTCCTCCTGCTCAACCTTCTTCTGCTCCCGGAAACAACGATTCACTAGAGAAATTAGCAAAAAAAAAAAAAAAAAAAAAAAAATCATAGGAAAAGGACATACGGGCATTTGCCACATCACCACCATCACAACCCGTTAGACCCCGTGCCACACACTCACTACAACGCTTCGAATTGGCGAGATCCATCTTGCACACACGATGATGCTGAAAACAAGGCGAGCAAGGCATTGCGTCGTAACCACGATGCTCGACAAGAATTCCTAGAGCCTGACGATTACGCTTGATTTGAGCGCGCCGACTTTCGTTGGAAACCGATTTTTGAACGCGACCTGACATGGTGTCAGCATCATGAATGAATAAGGACGCACGATTGACGACTCCCCAACCTGGGAAGCCACGACCTACTTATGTTGGCCTTGAGGACAAGACCATCGAGGGGAGACCTGATGTTACGACCCGTTAGATACACCTAACAGGACCCACTCGGTTGGGCGGTTATGACAGGACTTTGTATGCAGGGCCACGGGAACAAAAGGTAACCTCTCGGAACGGAAGAACTATAGAACGGAACAAGTCACGTGATGAATCATTCTAGGTCAGAATGATCCAAGAAGAGTTGGGGGCCAACGGATCATGTTCGATCAATATGATCTCCAACGACTACAGACAATACGTGTAGATAGACTCCTATATAGACCAGGACTTGAGTACCTGCTCAAGCCCTCTAGATAGTTCTTCAGCAATCAACTTGTGATTCATCCTCGAATGACTTTCAGCTTACCTCTCAGTATTGTGAATACTAAGAACCTCGTTACCATAGTGTAAGACTGATCACCTTACCCTAACCCTACGATCTACCAGAACGACCTCTACGAACCAGTGTTAGTCTCTTACTGCACCTTCTGTTAGCAGAACCCTACTGTCAGATAGCTGGCCGTAACAGTAAGGAACCGTATAAGACAGTATTGCTTCTAACTATTAGCATACCTAATATTAATAAAATTAAACATAATACTGCGTTTATTAAACTAGATATTATTATCTAGTATACTATCTATTAGAAGCCTATTAAAAGTAAAAAACCCGTAACTAGTAATCCTAAACTAGATAAGACTATCGTTAAAAAAGCGATAGTACCTACTAATATATATCTTATATTTCCGCTACTAGAGAACCTATTAGAAACTATTACTATACTACGTAATAACGATAACGAATTCGTTGCCTCCGTAGAAATAATAGAAACTAATTACTAAGACCTTGATTCCTTCTCTACGATTGTTAAGGAAGTAATAAGTCAGCCGGTAGAGTCCTCTCGACCTTGCTACGCCTCGGCCTAGCGACTACCTAGTTACTACCGAGCCGCTAGTAGTATACGCTTTTATGCTAAAAAGACCTTCCTATCTACTAATATTCTAGCTTTACTAACTTCTCGTTAATTCTCTCTTAGCATACTTTCTACTACTACCTTTTTGAAAGTCTTACCCGACGGCGTAGCGATTCCGAAGTCTTACCGCGAGGCGCAAAAGAGCCTACAATAGCCCGAGTAGGAGTAAGCCTTCGAACGAGAGATAACTTAATTTACGAAAAAAAGGGTTTACGGAGTCGTTTACCTACTACGTAACGCTAAAGTCTTACTTAGCAAATAGGTATATAATATCAAAATAAATAAAAATAACGAAATCGTATACTATAAGGCTTGATATATAGTTTATAGAAACTACGAGAAAAGTAACTAGTTATTATAAGAGGTTTATGTTATAGTTACCTCTACTACCGTAACCTGCCTTTTTTTCGTAGTTATCGTACTTCTCGATCTCGAATACGAAGTATATGATTTCGATACTACCTTCCTAGCCGCCTCGATTCTAGAAGGGGTTAAGGTATACGTCTAGCCCCCTGCTAGCTATGCTACTATAGATAATAAGGTTTAGCTACTTTATAAAGCATTTTATAGATTAAGAAAATTACTACTTTAGTAGTTTCGACTTATTAAAGGTAAAATAAAACGAATTAGCTTTACTACTATTAATAAGGAGGTTTATCTCTTCGTTAACTATAAGATTAAAGCGTACGTTCTTATATACGTCGACGATAACGCTATCGCTACTCCTAATAAGCAAGTTATAATAGAAGTTTGTTATCTCTTCGAGAAGGTCTATTCTCTTAAAGACCTCGGCGAGGCTACCGATTTTCTCGGTTTCTAGATTAAACGCGACAGGGCTGCTAGTAAGATTTTCGTTTCCTAAGCTAAGTATATAAAAGCAGTATTTTAACGATTTAACTTTAATAGTTTAAGTATATCAAGACGCTTATAGCGACTACTAACGATCTGCCTATTACCTAGGATAAGAACGAGTACTTGCTTAACGAATAGCAACTTTATATCGAATAGACTAGCTGCCTTAACTTCCTAGTAGCTAGAACTCGCGTTAACATAGCCTATACCGTTAGTAAATTATTACAAGCGAATTCAAGGCCTTCTAAGGCCTATCTTTATACTATTAAGCACTTATTCCGATACCTTAAAGGTACCGTTTATCTCGGTATTATACTTAGAGGCATCCTTACGATCAACGAGTTAAGGCTTTACGCTGCTATAGATACCTTTTTACTAATAACAAGCTATTATAAGTCTCGATAGGTAGTTACGTCGTCTTCCTCGCTAGTACGCCGATTGCTTAGAAGTTAAAGAAACAGACTTTCGTAACTTTAAGCACTATAAAGGCTAAATTTATCAATCTTATACCTATAGTAATTACTATAAAGTAGATTAGACATTGCCTCTCCTAACTGCTTAGCAAACCTATTACTACGCCTACTATTATATTTACTAACAATACTAACGGCTACGATAACGTCATAAACCTACTCAACGAGGCACGAACCCGCTATATCGACGTCCGATATAAATAGATTATATAAGAGGTTTATACTACGAAAAGCATCGAACTCCGACTTATCAAAGGCGCTGATATAGCCGCCGATAGACTTACGAAGCCACTAGTTACGGTTAAACACAAGGAATTCGTTCGTTTGTTAGGCATGGCGGAGGGATTAGATTAAGAGGGGGATTTTGAGACTATAGGACTATTGATATTGAGACTTCGGGATTCGGAGGATTTCACAGCCTCCTATTAGCCAGGTTTAACTAGTAATTAACCGAGTTTTCTAATAGTTAAGAACTCCTCAGATTTGGAAGACTTAGGACTTTTCCTATATTTCCTATTATTCTACTACTTTTTCGCTAAGGAGTCTGAGAGGGGGTGTGGGTGGCAGGCCTCGCCGGCCCGTCACGTGGGCTGACGGCCGCCACCACTGGTCTTAGCCAGCCTCCACAGCCCTCTAGCCAGTTAGTTAGTTCTTCCAACCAACAACACCACTTTTCCCATTCTGAGCGTTCTGTGCTGGTTTCGCCCACAGAAGCTATCCCAGCTCTGCATAATACTGGAGCAGAGCATTATGTCTCAGCCATATGTGGCGTCGCATCTTCTTTCACGTGACATGTATCAAGCCACAGTTGCCCGGTCGGACAATGCTCTCCCGACATCAGTTCCGACCATTTCCTCCCAACACGGGATCCCGTCCTTTTGAAAAGAGCTTGTGTGGAGCCTCCGAACCGGTGGACCTAGCTCCAAAGTATCCCTACATCAGAAGGTGCGCCAGGATTGTACTGTGTAGGTCAATCTGTGCCAAATGTGTTAAATATCAAGCAGGTGCATCTAAGACAGGATTAGCTACCACCATAAGAGTTATTGGCGCTCCCAGTAGGTGATTATCAGGTGGTTGTCCTAGGAGGAACTCTCGAATAAAGGGTCATCTTTTTACCTTTCCCCGTCAGTTAGCAAGATTTTCCGACAGCCAATGACTGTAGCTACGTCTTTTGAAAATCGAGCGTTTCAACGCCAGTGGCTATTGTCTGCCATGTCCCAACAACATCACTGCAAAGTATTCCTATAAACGTACTTGTCATAACATGACCCCTTCTGTCTACATTGTAGGATGCGGCAGTCGCCTGCATGTCACCGGGTAGCTCAATGCCCAAAAGCAATAGGGCAGTGCTGAGTAGAATCACTTTTCCTGGTTGATAGAAACGTGCAACGTAATTATACGGTATGGATGTTTCCGAATTGTCAGCAAGCCTGCACCGTTCCAACCAACGACCAAGAGCCCTTAGTGTGAGGCGCGCCTGCAGCAGTTGCAGAAGCGTAATGAGATGTTCATCAAATTCTCTGCGGCGCAAAAGGGGTGCATTACTGAACGAACGACAACCAACAACACTTACTTGCGCTACAGGGCAGGCATTTGTCTTATTGGATCTCGATTTTAACAGCCCGCTGGCAAGTGCCAACGCGGCCCTGAAGCAAGGTTCTTCACAGCCAATGAAATGCAAGTGGAGGCATATGGCCTGCCTCTCTCCTGTTCCGGCCTTTTCAACGGTGATGTCGGAGGACGGGCCACCTTGTGATTGCGGCTCTGTTACTCGACCAAAATCAGTATGCTGCGCTGATGGAGTCTCCCTTCCAGCAGCCGCCACCGTAGAGTAGGTGACGAGAGAAATTAGCGGTGTGTAGTGCGCGGACTGGTCGGCAAACGACCTACTAGATGGGTGTGATGGGGTGAGTTGCAGTAAAGACGGCCCGGACAAGGTATACCCAAGACGCAGCAGTTGCATTCCAGGCCAGGGTCAGCAGTGAACCACAGGAAATCCACAGGAAGCGCACCGCCCACTTGATTTTGCGGAATGTCTGTCCTTTCCTGCATCTTATCTCGCTGATGCCAACTCCATTATCCGACGCAAGAAGAAAAAAAAAATGAGGGAGGCTATTGCGCACCAAATGCAAGCAGAGGCAGAAGCTAAAGATCAGGGAAGATAAACTTGGAAAAACAGAGCAGAGGGACTTTCAATTTGAAATCTCCAAAGAAAGTTTCCCTCACTAAGAGAAATTTGATCAGCGCAACATGACGCGGGAGCTGTTGGGCCTGCTAGGTAGAACCGTTGGCACTACCTGCGCTCCTTCGCCGGCTCCCCTGGATGATCTCCCGGAAACCCCCTGGAAAATTGGGCCGAACACAAGCCGGTGGGCCTGAGCAGCCTAAAGAAACGAACCGGGAATGCCAACTTGTGCCCTGGTCCAGACTAGCCAGGATTCTTGCGTCCAGCATGGCCAGTTATGAGGCTTTTGCAATTAGACGAGGCGCCTGGGTAGCATTTGCCGTGCCGATACTGTACGGAACACCTGGGTCTCATTATCATCCACCGTAAGGACTCCTAGCGATGGCCATTGGCCCCATTATTCAGTGAGCAGTCGGCGGCACCTTGTCTGCAGAGTCATATGCAGCCAGTTCCATTTTGTAAACCTTTCAGGTCGCTTGAGTCAGATTCGCCTGCTGCCCAAAACAATCTAGGCTCAATAAGGCACCTTGGCAGGGTGGGTAGAAATGTGTCTTCTTGAAGCGTAGGGATGTTGTAAAAAGGAGTCAAAATGACCGAAGAGACAACAGGCAGCCCAGGTGCTTGATGCAAAAGTTCCCCGTGCGCCTCTCAATAACGCTAGGCCAGTAAAAGTGAGGCACAAGGCGGTGCCGGCCTGATCCTCTCCTTTCCGCGGGCCAGATCAGAATTAGGCGAACGACGTGGGCGCATGTGAGAGAGCGCCTACGAGGGTCAAGTGCTGGAATGAAGAGTGAGGACGCTAGAGAGATCTGAAGCGGGATGCGTGCGTTTGTCTGAGCCAAAAGAATGCCGTTGGTATGCCACCTTATTTTTCAAGTACTTATGTGAGAAGATACTTGATGTGCTTAGGAAACATGTGAGTATCGATTGGTTGGTTGGACTGGATTTTTGGTTTGGAAGCTGGAGGGTTTGCTAAGCAGGCTAGTGGTGATGCATCAGTTTCGCCTTGGCCAAAGCACAGGAACTCCAGATAGACCAAGTGCAAATCTTCTCAACAAGAAAACAGTGTTTGCCTAAGATGCTTCAAGTGTGCTGCGTTGTTGTCGATTAAAATCACTGGTCGGTCAGGAGAAGGTGCAGGAGAGGTACATACACGCACTAATTAGCCAGTTAAACCCTACTTTACTGGTAAGCTGCCACGGCAGAACCTCCTTCATACGTACAGTCCAACCTCTACATAGTACCCTACTAGGTGGAGAGTGCCCCACGAAACTGCTATTAAAGCGCAGCAGTGTTGAGGTGGGACCACCATATGGCCCTGAACGAGCCTGATCTGGGCCGTCCTTGGCTCTGTCTGTGCTGCCACTGGCGCTAATCTGGGGGAACTGGATGGGGGAAGCTCGTCTTTTTTTTTTCTTTTTTTTTTTTTTGGCCAGCCGGTGGTGCTACCCCTGCCATCCTGCCTCAAAAAAAAAAAAAAAAACTGCAATAATTAACCCCGGGTGACATTTTTGCAACTTCCCCTTACTCTGTACTTTGCTTTCCACCTCTCCGTCTATCCTTTCCCGACCCCCCTCCCCTACCTCTTCATTCGACAGAGGTCGAGAGATTGCGAGAGTCAACGGTTGAAATAGAGATTGCAACGGCGAGATTATTCCTTAATTCCTAACAAAGGATCGAAACCGGAAATCCTCTCTCGCCTAAGCCTTATCTCGCCACGCTCCTCCTACCCAGGCACGAACCACCTCTCTCCGACCATCACAAGGATCGGCTGTGTTCTGTTCGCGCACGGGTTGGCAAGCAGCTGCTTCTCGACATCTCCCCACGACCTCCTTCTCTTCGCACACTCGTTTAGCTCTTCAGCATCCAGTCTTTCTTTCCCTTGTTTAAACCTCTCCTTGCGTTACATCTACTCTGTCCTTTACACCTCCTTTCCTTTCCTGGTCGTACCTACTATCATACTCACTTTTAAATTTTGCTTGCATTCGTCTTTGCTTGCTTTTCCTCGCTGCAACACGAAAACACCAACTATTACTCGACATACCGCATGAGCATTAGCTGCACGGCTCCCCCGGAGCAGTAGCAAGACCCCGTCCACACGAACGGCCTGTAGCCCTGTACTTAACCTATTCTCGTTGGCGAACTACTACGTCGAATCACTCGTTACCCACCAAACAATTTTCCAGAACCCTTCTCAAGAAGGGGATCAAAAAAAGAGAAAGAGAAGCCCGCTGAGCGATAATGGCCGAAACCGCGAGCAATGCAGACTCGAACCAGAAACTGAGCGCCCCAAAGGATAAGAACTGCCCATACTGTGGCCAGGCATTCACCTCTTCCTCTCTTGGCCGACATCTCGATCTCTACATCAAAGAGAAGAACCCTAAGCCCCCAGATGGCATTCACGATGTCGACGCGATAAGGCGCCTAAGAGGAGGCATTACACGGAGACAACCCAGGGGGTCACTGGGCGCTAGGAACGCCTCAACCCCGACGGGCACACCGAGGGCAGCCCCAGCCAAGGGCGATCCCGCCACACACGATGCTGAACTCCACCAGTCTCCCGCCCTGCCTAAGGACGGCCAATATGCTGTAGATTCCACGCTGAGCAAATACCCCTGGACTCCTTCATGGGAGGCTACCGGCGTAATCAACAACATCCCTCCTAATGGCGAAACTGCTACCTCGACAGACGGAGAGGGTAGCCAGAATGCTGGAAAGAGACAGAGACAAGTGAGCAAGCAAGTGATGCAAAAGGCGAATTTCGATCAGAAGCACAAGCTAGCCGACGCCCTTGACACCGCTCGTGCTGCAGAGCTTGCCTACAGAGAGCTCTACAGCTCGTTGAGGGCTGCTAAGTACGTTAATGCTGGCGTATACAAAGAAGCATACTTGCTAACCATGTGACAGGCAACATATCGACAATAATTCAATGCCTTTTGACTTTGATCCCCTTGCTCTTGACTTTCCCGCACTAACCCTACAATGCCTCGCCTCGCCGCCTACTCTCTTTTCTTCTACGCAACATCCCACGTCCACTTCCTGGTCTGTACAGTCGCCTGGCCAGAGAGAATACGACGCCTTGAGAGCTTTCTTCCAAGAAGAGTTCAGTAACTGGAAGCTTGCCTGCGCGGCTGCTACCACAGCAGCAATAGAGGAGTTGACCTATCCTCCACGTGACGGTCCGTTTCGTGATAGCCGCGATGCAGTCAAGAAGGCCGAAAAGTCTGCCGAAAACCTCGAGAAACAGGTAAACGAGCATTTGCAGTCAGCCTTTTCCGTGTGGAACTCTCTGCCGCTTCAACGGCGCAATGAGCTGTGGCTTTTAGAAATGGCAAGGAGCGTGGGCAGGAAACAGACTGAAATAAGTAAAATGAAGGATGCTCAACACAAGTTGGAGCAGGAAAATGCCCATTTGAAATCTCAAATCGACCAGCTGAACCGCCTTCAACAGCCACGAGAGTTCAAACTTTTCGCCCCGACTATGATCCCCTTTGACAGGCAACTCATGACCCATGTCTTGGAAACGGGCTTGAGCGGCGGCGTCCGTAGTGTTGGATTGCGCCTGGAGGATAGACACTTGGATATCAACGACGTTGTTGTTCAGAGCATTGAGCGGTGGAAGACAGTTATCACATCGGCTCGTGCTGCGACTAGTGGTATGAATGCCCAGAGGTCCTTGGATCAGATGGGCAGCAACACGACGACGCCCACGCCTACTCCTCAACAGCAACAGCCTCAGCAGCAGCAAAATCAGCAGCAGCCACAGCAACAGGTTCAATCACAACAGCAGCAACAACAACAACAAGCACAGCAACAAATGCCACAGCAGGCTCAACAGCAACCCATACCTGTACAACGGCAATCAACGACAAGCACTAATGGTCATAGTGATCAAGGTGCGTCGACTAGCGGCCCGCCTTCGATTGATGAAAACAGCGACCAGGATGCCGACGCAGATGCTGATGCGGATGCGGAGATGGAGGATGATGATAGTTTCGCCGTTATGAACACGCCGACTACAAAGCCTATGCCACAGCAACCAATGCAACGGCAGGCTACTCTCGATGTCCCTCGGACGAGACAGGTGCAGAGAGGTGCTAGCGATGCGCGGTTCATACCGCAGAACGGAAACCCCAATGCGAATCGGGGCGCGATCAATATGAGTCGCTCGATGCCGAACATGCAGGCTACGATGCAGGGCATGCATGGCGGTGACATGGGCATGGTCATGTCCCAGGTACGGGGTGATCCGATGTATATGGATTGAAGGATTATTTTTTTACAAAACAACTCTTGAGCCGGAGGGCAAAAGGCTGCGGTGTTTCCTTTATTTCCAAGCCGCAGCTTGTTTTCGGGGCAACAGCCCGCTGTATAAGCTTACTTTATGGACTAGCATCTCTGAGGCATACAAGGCGTAGCCCAGAATGACTTTTTGGCATTTGGTGTTTTAGTATAAAGTCACCTGTCGGATGACACGGGAATCTTCTATCACCATATTTCGTTACTACTCAAGCATGTGAGGTCTATCTTTACTTCGTTCGTCCACTGGATTTGTGTCATTCAAGGAAGACAAGAACCATGTAGAAGTTGGGGCTCTATCATAAGGGTTAGCTGCCGAACTAATACACAGCGTTGTTTGTTGGATGACGATTTCAAGGATTAGATTCCGCCTAGATCCTGCCAAATTGCTTAGTGTTACCATTCCGTCGGTCACGCTACGGCCAAGGTGGGGGGGTTTTGCATCCACAGTGGAATTCCTCAGCCAGGGGTTGTCACAGATTAAAAGAGTCCTGGAGCATAAAGCAACTTCGTTTAATTCGGTAAAGGGCAGTCACCGAGATAAGCAATGAACAATGCTGAGCTTCTTTGTTGTCCCTATAAAAGACAAATGTTGCCTTAGTCTTGAGGCTCTGGGAGCAGTATTCGCTTGCCATGAGTAAGTGTCACCAGAAGCGTATTGGTGAAATGAGTGGATTTACGGTGGCATGGACTCTATTTAAACTAGCAAGGGTTTCAGCGACTGAGCTCCATTCAAACTTCAATATTCGAAAGGAACAGTTACCGGGGCTATGTAATAATATTTAGCTATTTCGTGTGCGTCGCTTAGGATGCGCTTTCGTCTACTATGATGCAGTGCACTGGATCCAGTCCTTATTCCTATCTTGCCATTATTTTGTTACTGCCCTTCTGCTTGTCTTCTTCCTCGTCTCTGTCAACCTCCCATGAGCCCTTTCCATTCTAATCAAGTTCTGTAGCCATTTCCGTGGCCTTGGAAGGCTAGGGTATTATTATGCTCGAAGGACACGTCCAGGGATTCAACACATGATGCCTTTACCTATTTTTAGGCTAGTAACGGGTTTATAGCCCCAGGGGAGAAGAAGGAGGAGTTAGAAGACACCTCGACACTCATCTTAACTGCCGAGGGGCAATGTGAGTCCGCATCCAGTTTGAGCCCATATTCCCATTTCCCGAAAACCCGGACGGATGGAGACAATGAGACATCGTTGGCCACTACGACAAGGTGATCTCCCTATATTTGGCAATTTCACGACGCCGCGGGGATCCCAAATCCGGAGATACCACCGAAAACAACCAAATCGCAACATTTAATAACCACCTACCCACCTACCCTGGCCTCGATAAGATCCCTTCTTTTTGTCCTGCTCTTTCGTAGCCATGACCTCGTATTATGTTATGGCCATGAAGTGGTTCCCCCCTTTCTTGGCTTCGTTGGAGAAATGATGATAGCTCGATACTCCGACGGCAAGGCTATACCCCCTGCCTGTCGGGTAATGGCGTCCCCGAGGCTTCCATACGAAGTTCTCGGAAGCATACAGTGATTACGTGGAGTCCTATGGTTACTAAGCGGGTATGTCTTTGAAAGCAAATTTTGAAGGGGCCTGATGCGGTGTCGAGAGCAACTCAATGGGCACTGAAAGCCGCAACGGCGTGTATTTCTTGGCGACCTAGGATGAATATAGATATACATGGAGGGCACTGACTTTAGTAGACAAACTTTCCTGGGCCTCATCGAGGCGGGCTCTTTCTATAGTCCAGATGTCGGTGAGATGCTATAGTGATTGGTAAGAGGATGCCCAGGCGCCTAGAGCGCCTTGTTGGGTAGCCGATGGCAGAGGTAAGGAGAGGGCCTAGTTGTTCCACGAATGGATAAGCAAGAGCGTAGGAATGTCACAATACATCATAGCTTTGTGACCCATCAAGTCTTTTGCCATCTTTTATGTCAAGTTTCTGGATAAGCGCAACAGATGTGGGAGTTGACTCGTTCTGATGTAATTAGTTCTTTGTAGACTCGGTAGAGTAGTCTTGCTTTTAATCCAGCCGAAATTTGATACGTCTCGTGTCCCGAGGTCATATCCAGGCTCTTTTTCCTTAGAAGGTTGAGAAGATGTTTGGGATCCCTTCCCAAACGGGAACCTTGTCAGCTAAGATAGAAAGCAGGAATACAGCTGGTCTTTGGTTGATACATGATAAACTACTAAGCAAAATCTTCTCTAATGATCTTTCTTTGTACTGCGCTTAGCTATAGCAACTCTGTTGCCTTTGTTGCTTGTGCTGCTGTCTGTAACTTTGGCGAATTGTATATCCTTATCTGCTATTGGTAAGCTTTAGTGTTGCGGACGAACACATTATACAGCAGAAGTTATGCATGAATATCTGGACGGTACGAAGTGGCTAACTGGCAGACTTGATGATGGGGCTTTGCGTTCACAACACATCCCTCGAACATGTTTAAAAAAACAAATCGAGGCTCGACCATCGTTTTCAATGCCCCTTTATGAGATACACATACAAACAAAGTTTCCAATATATTTTAAGAAACAAGCAATGGATCAACGCCCCAGCAGTGTCCTGCTATTTGTTTAGTCCTGCACCGTTTGGTGTTTGTTCATTTTGTTGACAGAGATAGTAAAAGCGAGGCACAAACGCTCTTACAGATCTACCTTGCTGCTATCTGTTTACACAAACCCGTCACTTGAGTCGGCTTCAAAAAGTAAACCAAAGACCTGTCTTGTAGGTATCCTACCTCCGGCAGTTGATGGTGACATTAGACTAGTCATTGCCCGCCCTTAAGATGGAGAAGCAAGGGGCGTGTTTACACCAGCCTGCGATATTCTGTATCTATTCGCCGTAACGTTTTGGGGCATAGCTGTGACTCGTGATATGCTCACGAAGCCTGGAATTTATTTTTCGGTATCTTGGTCTTGCCAAACCCGGTGGTTCATCATTAATTTGTAAGTGCTCGTAATCAACGGACGCTGCCAGTGACTCCATTCTTTCTTCTCAAGTTTCCCTTCATTACTCATGCGAGCCAAAGCTGATATTGAAGGACGAAAAAAGCACATTATCTAGCTCCATAGGAGTTCAGTTTCGAGTTTGTTCCCAGGGTTTAAATGCATTCAAAGGGCCAACTTGAAAACCTCGGGCGAAGGGTACAAAGGGTACGGTGAATAGGGCTCTGATGAACTGGCATTGGGAACTGCCTCAGGTGGTGCTAGCATGATCGTTGTATCGCAACTATGAAGGGAATGAACATGCTGCCTCTTGTCAGACAAAACTGGCCATCGACATTCCATCTCAGTATCTGCGACCCTCGGCTTGGTCTGGACATTAGGCTTGGACTTGACACAAGCATGTCGTGACGCACGACTAAATTGCCCTCTTGGACACATACTTGATGACCTAGGGTTGGATGCAACATAAGGAAAAGTGTCAATAGAAAGTATTTGTGGTAGAAAGCAGGTCAAATCAAACATTGGTTGACCAAACGAAAAATATTGTTTTGATGTTAGCTTTGACTAATTTCTCAAGGAAAGGCATGTAGATTCTTTCTATCCTACTGTCTTGCCACTTATCTCCATAGCCTTCAATGGCGCTTACCGGAGTGTGAGGCAATGTCCAATTGAATAAAACCGGCATAAAGTTCAGACAAGCTAGATGGAGATAAGAGTGAATAGAAGGGGGATGAAACCACAATAGTAATGAGACAAATGCAAAGAGAACGACAGGGGCATGGAACTTTGGAAAAAAAAAATCCATCAATATACTCAAGCAAAATGAAGAAGAAGCCGGGATTAGAGATAACGAGAACGAGAACGGGGACAAAATGGGACAGGCGGGTTGGGAGAACTCCCACAAGCACTGGTTTAGTGAATGTACTCTAACTGGGAAAAATTGATGAAGCTTGAAATGAAGAACATGAAGCCAAAAAATTCTGTGGCTTTTTATGTTGATGTCATCAAAGCATCCGCCAATGTCAACCGTAGCTGTACGTGCGGCTGCGTGTGTTGTGAGCTTTTCCCGCATTCTGTCAAACTTCAGGGTCCAGAACCCCGTCCGATGTAAGAGAGCACAGGCCACATGATGCTTCCATAAAGAACTTACAGGATTCAAAGGAAAAGTAAAATCCTGTTCGGGTGCTAATAAGTATAATAGTCGCCAATCCGTGTCAGAGTTCTTGTCAACTAGGCAAAGACGTCTAAATTCCGGGGAGATAGGCGGCCCGAAAGGTGTCAAGGCCAATGTCAGAAGTGACCGGAGGCTCGGCAGGCGAGGAGCCACTGGGATAGCATTGGGTTTCTGGGATTTGAAGCGACTGGAGTGTGGAGGGGGGGGCACTTCATTCATGGGCAGGGCAGTTTGAAACAAGGATGAGTGGGAGGCATGACGACGAGCGCCCGAGCTCTCTCACGGGACACTTGCTCCGATGGTGCGTCTGATATCGGTCCAGTGCATAGATGGCCAAAGACAGCATAACCAAAGGTAATTGGACACCGTAGTTACAATTATCTTTTTAAAATAAAAATTGATTTTGCGTGTTGCAGTCAAAACATTTAAATGATACTTGCTGCACTAAGAACTGTCTCTCGAAGGAGAGATGCAGAAAGGGATAAGCTGCAGGTGAACGAGCCAGGCGATTGCGAGACAGAAGTTAATTGGTGGTGGTGGTGGTGGTGGCATTCAGCTCGCAGAGTGAGCCACACTTGACTTTGGCCTCTCCCCTCCTAACCTCCTTCAGCACCCGACTGGGTGGCCCAGGGGAGCAGAGGCCGCTGCAAGTTCCCGTGGGTTAGTAGAGATACAGGCATTAGACAGGTACGGCAAAGTACCGTGGAGTCGAAGCAGCCCTGAACTGTTTAGAGATACTTGGCCACGAAGTAGAGCAGTGTCAGAGGCAACGAAGAAGTAGGTCCTGGTGAATGAGATATGTCACGAAAAATTCTTTTTGAGTAGTCACATCAGACTATTAAACCACTACTCAGCTATAAAGCTTTTTCTCAAAAGCTGCAGGCGATAAAGTGGCGGCGCTACTATTGAGCTGCTTAGTCCCGCACTAACAGGAGCCCCAGACTGCATGATTGAGATACTTGCATCCCCCCATTCCGAGCGGGCCCTCGAGGCTGTGGCAGCAAGCTATCCCCAAGGACAGACACAGCACACGTCGCTCTCCTACTGGCCTGCATCACGACACGACCTCGAAATCCCACCACAACCTCATCAACCTCCTCAAAACGCCCTGTCGACCACCATACCACCACCCGGCGTCGAGATAATCATGCGCATGCTTCCTCCTTCTGTCCCACGAACCCCCTCATGATTGCTCCATCTTACTGCGACGGATCGCCCAAACGGAGCAGCCATGGACAGCAGGGCCCAACGATTCGAGGATGAGAAGCGCCGCATCATCGAGAGCTGCTTCAATAAGAAAGATGTAGACGGGTCACGTACGTGCCGTTCATTTGGTTTCTTTCGAATTAGAACTAGTCTTCTCACGCTGATCATTCGTCCATCATAGTACTCGAGACCTACATCACCCATATCCGAATCACCGAATATTCCTCCCACCCTACTTCTCCTCCTCCCCCCGAAGCACGAACGCCTCAATCAGAGAAGCCCCGCGTCATTGTCATTGCCGTTAGAAAATCTGGCCGCGTGCGCATGCACAAGACGAAAGAAAATGCGAACGGCTCCTTCTCGATTGGAAAGACATGGAACCTAGATGATCTTTCTGCTCTCGAATCCTTTACGGGACCTACAGCTAATCCAACCCTCCGCGAATATGCCGGCGACACGGGCTTCATTGTCACCATCGGCAAGCCTTATTTTTGGAATGCACAGTCAGATAAGGAGAAGAGATTCTTCATCGCCAGTTTGGTAAAGATTTATGCCAAGTACACAGGAGGCAAGGTCCCAGAGTTATTAGGCTTCGACCAGGCCGAGACGGCTCAAATCCTGCGCAACGACCGACGACCGCCGCCGCCCGCCCAGCTTCCTTTCCGGCCTCCGGGCATGACACCAGATGGTTCTACTGGCCAGAGCAACCTTGGTGCTGCGAGCGCAGCGCCCTCGAACTATGGCTCTCCCTCCCCAGGACCACCGCCGGGCCCACGCCGTCCACCACCCCTCAACGGAACCAACTCTCCTGTGGGGAGCATGAGCTCATCCCTATCACAACAAGAACCGCCCACATTAAGGCGCTATGGAAACAAGAGTCAGGAATCGTTTGCTCCGTCTTTGGGAGCGCGGAGCGATGATGCGAGTAGCATGCCACCTCGCTCGAGAAACGGCATGCCTGGGCCGGGGTCCTTCAACAGGTTCGGCGACACTCCTACTGAACCGATTCCCATACCGCCACCCCAGCGCCCAGACAGCCGAGAACCGCCACCCGAGCGAAAGAGACCCCCTATGGATCCCGCGCGGCCTCAGGGCTATTCTGACCGGGATTTGGTTCCTGCGCCTTTAGTAAGCCCTGGAATGCGACGAGATCAGGTAGCCCCTCCTCCAAGGAGTACGGAACGAATTGCTGGCAGGAAAAACTCTTTATCGCAGCGATCTGATGCGGGTTCCTACAAGGACCGGCCTGTTACGCCTCTTACTCCTGGAGATGCAGGAGCGGCAGACGTGCCACCGGCACTTAGGACCCCGACGCGAAATGGAGCCACGCCGACGAGACCCCCTGCGATCGTGTCGCCGCCGCCGGAAATCCCTGTTCCTCCCGCACCTGTTTCTCCTATTGCTTCTACCCCGCCCCCGGCGCCGGCTCCGGTATCTGAACCCGGCCCCGTCGTTGAGGAGCCTCCCGTTGAGCCTGCCGAACCTCCAGCCTCTGGGCCAACCCCTCCTGTGCCGCCTCCAGTGCCAGACGAAGACAGCAGGCCTGGCCTTGGCCCGATGATCAAGTCGAAGAAGTCGAAGGGTGACCTTGCTGGGGTGCTCTGGAAGGCTGCGTCTGCTGCTGCCGCATTCAAACCTCGACCTGGAGGTGCCGGAGAAAGACTGCGTTTGGCTGCGAACAAGAGCACAGAACCTTCCGAGGGAATTACTTCTGTCTTCCAACCCCCGCCCCGCCCAACATCTTCCGATGGTCCCAAGGAGCCATTGCCAGAGTCTGTTCCCGCAACCGACCCTGCCCCTGCTCCTGCTGAGCCTCCCAAGCGGAATTCGGGTGTACCAGAGGTCAAGGTCACAGTCCCCAATTCCAGCCGTCCGACTAGCTTGCAGCCCTCAATCAAGGAAGTCAAGAAGCCAGAGGAATCTACAGCGAAAGAAGAGGCTCGAAAGTCTCTTGTGGTGGGCAATGACGCTAAATACCTCGCATCTCTCGGCGTTGATCCCACAGTCCTCGACAACAGAAGCAGCGAGTTTACAAAATGGCTCGACTACTTCGGTTGGGTGCCAGGCGAGAAGATGAGATCCCGTAACATTGAGGAGATGAAGACTGACCTCGAGCGAGAACTTAATAAAGCACAGGCGGGCGGTTGGGTGGCCCGATTCCAGGAGGAGGACGACCGAGTTGAAGCTATCAAGCGGGGCATTGATCTTGCAATTTCCGAGTGTGAAGAGATGGAGAATCTACTGACTTTGTACAGCGTCGAGCTTTCGGTAAGTCGGATATTGCCTATTTCACAATGGTCGCTCACACTTTACAGACACTTTCCGATGATATCGCATATATTGAGGCTCAAGGCCAAGGTCTGCAAGTTCAGACCGCTAATCAGAAACTCCTCAGGACAGAGCTTGAGTCTCTCCTCGAAACAACCACTATTACCACGGCTGACCTGAATGCTTTGAGAGCTGCGCCGTTGGAGGACCCTGCAGGCCTCGAGGATATCGAAATGTCACTGGTAACACTCTACAAGGCTATGAGCAAAATTGACCCGTCACTACTTGGTGGTGAACCGAGGAAGAGCGATGACCTTGAGGGTGAAGGCAATCAGGCCGTTGGTCTCGACAATACCGACTACGGCAAGATGCGAATCGTTCAAGAAAAGAAGGAGATGTACAGGCAAGAGAGTGCCATCTTCATGCGGCGATTGGTCGAGTACATGGCACGACAATTCGACGACGCTTATAACGAGACAAACAGAGCGCTCAGTGAGGCATTGTCGAGGAAGGTTGACTCTCGCCACCATGATGCCGGCCGAGACATGCTTTGGAAGTACAGCCCTTTGATCAAATACGCTAAGGACGTCGACCCTCCCAACTGGGATCGTATGATTCAGATTTATCAGGACAAGAGCTACCCTGTGTATAAGAATGAGTTCCGCCAGGTTCTAGAGGCATGGAAGCGTAATGCGCGCAAGATGTCTCCCGACGAGACTGCCGAGCTCCTGTTTACGTACGAAGTCGAGAAGCAACAGGAAGGCAGAGCGACCACCGTCAGGAAGCTTACAGTTAAGCGGAGTCAAACCTTGGCTAAAAGTCTGCGGTCGCCTATCGACAGCAGCAGCAGGTCAAACCTGAAGGAAGCAGCCGAAAGTCGCAGCCTCCCCTATGAGGTATTTGGCCACGTAGTAGATGACTTACTGCCCTTGGTCGAAATGGAGCAGAACTTCATCGTCGACTTCTTCCATGCCACAACGATGGAACAGTCGGACTTCCCTGATCTTGTCGCTGCTAGCAGGCCGAGAGACCGTAGAGGAGGAGACTTACGACGACATCGCCTAATGGAACCGGACCGTGATCTCGCCCGACGAGTCACTAAGGCTATGGAGGTGATCTTCTCCTTCTTGGAGAGGGAAGTTGGAAACCTTGTTACATGGGTCCTTCAAGCCGATCCTTTGTATGTTGACAAACCCCATCAAAGGAGGGAGAACTTGCTAACAATGTGGCAGACAAGGTGCTGGTGTGCTGGCTGTTCTCGAGCGCAGTCTCTTCGACATCCAGCAATCAAATCAGGATTTCCTTAATACTCTTTTGCAAAAACTTCACGACACTCTGGAAGCCCAATTCAAGAAGTTTGTGGACGAGCAAATTAAAGCCATCGAAGACACAAAGGTTAAGATCAACAAGCGCAAGGGAGTCATTTCCTTCATTCGAGTCTTCCCCCACTTCTCCAATGCGGTGGAGAACATCCTCTCAGGAATCGACCCGAACCTATCTGTGCGCAAGACGGTTGACCGCGAGTACGACCGCATTCTCAAGTCCATGTTCGACTCGCTCAAGATTATCGCCCGCGAGAACCCAGCCGTAAGTGTCGGCGCCGCTGGTGCCGATCCGGAAGACAAGGAAGCGCTCAACTTCCACATTCTACTCATTGAGAACATGAATCACTTTTTGGAGGAGGTGAACACACACAACCTTGAAGTGCTTGAGGACTGGCGTGAAGCCGCTACAAATGAGCTGAACGAGCACATGGGCTTGTACCTGAACGCGGTTATGCGCCGTCCACTCGGCAAGCTCCTTGAGTATATTGAGAATATCGAGGGCCAACTTCAATCGGGCAAGGGCGGTTCCAGCATCGCAGCACAGCCCTCCAACTCTAAGTCTACCTTCAACAAGGTACTCTCCACATATGATGGGCGCGAAGTCCGCAAGGGCATCGAGACACTCCGCAAGCGTGTTGACAAGCACTTTGGCGACGCAGACGACCCTGCTCTCAGCCAGAAGCTGGTGAATAAGGTACTCCGTGAGTGTGAGCGCTTCTACGGCGAGGTGGAACTACGCATCAGCCGCATCACCGCCGACGTCTACGGTGGGGACGTAATTTTCGAGTGGCCGCGTGTCGAGGTTAAGGCTGGCTTCCGCTAGGCAACGAAGCCGTTTTAATATACCTTGACTGGAACGCAGTCAGAAGTGTTTTTCTTGTGTTCGGTTTACTACCCACCGCCCTCCTCTTTTTGTGTGTTTTGCTTAACTGATGGCTGGGGACCTGAAACTCGACTACCAGCTAGCTGGACAGCTACTGATTCTTGAGTCAGTCATTAGAGGAAAGAACGGGAGGGAGAGAAGGCAGATGATGGGTTTTTCTCGCGTGTGTTTTGTTTCTAAAGGCGGGGAGAGGGCGACAGGATCGAGGTTTCAGTACCTAGGGCATCTTTTTTGCGCAAATAGGGGTCAAGATCCTGTGATGAAATGAGACTTTTTACGCATGCAATCAATGGCAACCTGTTTGTAATTTTCTGAAAGTGAATTTCTGTGCTACCAGATAAACCCTGCGCAACGGTACTGTCTAGTAATGCCATCTCCAGGTCACAGATAATATTGCACTCACAGGACCCGGTTTCCTCTTCACATGTATGAGAAGACGGTTGGGTTTCACAAATCAATTTAACCATTCTAAAGACTACGATGAACCCCATTCGTACTTTGCGTCAAGCTTCGTCTGGATCCAGATGTTGACCCAGGAGACAGTGCCGAAACAATGCTGAAAGAAATGCCTCGAGGCCAGAGCGTAGAGGCAAACTAAAATGAAGCTCTGACGCCTTAACAACCCTGCCATGCAAAGTTGGATGAGGTGTTTTCCATATGTCCCCACCCTCCAAACCGCCTCACCCAAAACTGGTGTCCTACGGTACCAGGCCGTTACCATCCGTGAAGTCTTCAGCTGTTAAAATAATGCTGTCGTTGGGCACAAATTAGATGTATCAAATCCTCTGGCCCAAAAAGTGCAGCTCTTATCGCTGCATAATCCATACTAAATTTCATGCAGGCGGGACGCTGCCCGCTGAGATGGCATCTTAGCCACCTGTAATCGCTTTCTTTTTTTCTTTTATCTCATCTTTCAGTTTTCCTCCCTCATGCTCAATTTTCTGTGTGACACACTAATTCAATGGTAGACACGTTTTCTATGAAAGATGGAACGCTCCTTGACCTTCCTTGATCGCCGTGGATAACTGCTTGCGCATCACGTCGATGCTGGTGTAGTCGGGTAGTTTGAGGTAGTTCACGCATGTCATGACGCTAGGGAGGTAGTCATCAGACGTGTAAGGAGCCTCGCTAGGCTTGCAGACGACCGTGAACATAGGCGTTAGGCTCTTGAAACCTATGACCTAAGTTAGACACGTTGGATTAAAAAGGAAACCAGGTGGTAACGTACCTCCAATGGGCAGTTTGGGGCTGCCGGTTGTGAATTGCAAGAAATCACGGCGCTCAGCTGGACTCAATTCACTCATGGTCTGGAGCAGATTCTTAACGCTCTTGCTATCCATATTGTAACCATGGTCTGCCTTGATCGAATCCATAAGTGCTAGGAGGATTGTTAGTAATTTTCAAAAGAAGGTGCGAAGTCAGCTTACTCTCAAGAGACCAGTCTTCTTCGACTCTGCCGAATAGTGTAACGAGCTCATCTGGAGTGAACGCACTCAAGGCCGAGTAGGGAAAGACTTGGGAGAAGCCAGTGCGGAAAGCATCAACCTGGCGGCGAACACCAACCCCCAAAGTCATGTCAACAACATGCTCTAGGTAAGAATCCACATTGTCAATGGTGACTCGGACCTGAGCGCCGTTGGGCATAAGCTCAATCTCTGGGTATCCGGGGAGAGTGAAGTCCAAGCATAGATCATCCAACTTAACACCATCAATGGTTATGTCTTCGGTGTCGGCAACCTTTTGTGCTGGTGTACGTGAAGGATCCTCGTCGATCTCCTTCTTAGCCAGGGCAAACTTCTTAATAGTCTTCAAAGATCGAGCCAAACCAGGGTCTACGACCTTGACAGCACCGAGGGAGGGCTTTACGCCTGGTGCAATTGAGCTGTCCCCGATGCGGAAGAAGATAGGGTTGAAATTCAGATCGATGATGCGGGAATCAATCATGGATCGAGCGACGAATTTGCCTAGGGTCTTGAATAATTGAAGAATACGTTCTCCGTTAGGAGAAGATGCTTCATCGTCACTAAGTGGTCGAGGGAAGAGTCCACTTGCACCGGAAATGTATTCCTCCGAGTCATTGGAGTCCATTTCTCTCCAAAGCTTCAGCTTCTTCTTCGAAAATTCTTTGGAGACGGTTGAATAGAATTCGAGGGTAGGTCCCAAGCCAGTACCGACCTCCTCGAAGTATTCAACCTCAAGAATGCTCTGTGAAGCACCATATAACTCCATGACCTTCAAAGCGGATTCCAGTATTTTAGATCTCGAAATGCGGACCTTCTGACGTTGGAGACGACCTAAGAACGGACGATCGTGGTCACGGCGGTCACGTCGGGAATCATCGTTGGCTGAGGCATTTTGCCAGCGAGTCATCGAACGAGCATAACCAAACGAGGTCGATTGCAAGAACAGGTGCCTTGTCTCGAAAGGAAATAGGAACGGGTATAGTCTCGCCAGGTCCTCCACCCAACTAGGAATACAGTTGCTTGCGACGATGAGCGGCTCCTCCAATTGCCTGTTCAGCTTGGCAGTAAGCTTGGTATTCACAAACTGAGACAAGGGCTCAACGTTGAGTCGAACAGCATCCTTCTCACTGTTTTCGACCATGACGTCTTCAATATTGGCATTCAAGTCGTGAAGAATGTTTAGGAGACGAAGAATCGAAGAAGTAGATGGATGCTTCGCAAGAGACGCTGGCACATTTCCTTCTCCATTCTCCTCGGCATTAGACTCAGTGTTGGGGCTGAATGATAAGGTCTCCGCAGGAGGCGGGCCAGGAGCACGGCGGAATTTGATGGGGTGAACAGCAGACCAGACACTACGGCTAAGGTGCTCGTCGGAGTTGGAGGCTGATGTGTGAACCGCACGATAAATCGTGGTTTCACTTGGGATCACCTTACCATCGAGGGTGAACTCAATGTGCCAATCTTGAGGCACAGCCTGAATGGCCGCTGCATAGGACATGGCTCGCGAGGAAGTTGAAGGCGTGGGGGTTTCTTGTGACGTCGGGACAGGTAGGCCGCTGAAACGAGTGGGTAGGGCACTTTGAGAAGGCGTCGGGATCCTTGTCCCATCGTCCTTGCGTGCAGTAACCTTCCCACCCGCCGCAACTTCCATATTGACAGCGCCAGGTTCGGGGCCGGGCGATTCTCCCATGTCCTCGTCTAAGTCCCCAACAATGGCGTCGAGGGCGCTGCTACCGCCAATGTCCTCATCATCAGAAAGCTGCTTCTCGTCTGCGCATTCCAGCGCGTTCTGCAGGTCATCGTCCTCTTCCGGAGGCGGCCTTGAGGGTGCCGGGCTGTCTCCCCCGGCTACGGCACTTCGGCGCGATGATCTCCGCAACACAGCCTTGTCTCTAGTGCTTGAAGAGGTGTCCGGAGTAGGTGCTGTCTCTGGTTGAGGCGTTGTTTTGGATTTTGTCTTGCGAAGAGATCGCGAGGCACCAGGCGTGGGTGCGCTGGGTGGAGGTGGAATAGGGCTCGAAGCAGATGCAGCTGAGGCGCGCTCGGCAAGTCTTGCTGCGGCATGGCTCAAGGGCAAACCAGCAGAGCCTGCGAGTGACGCGAGTGCTCTGGAGAGGTTGTCAGCTCGCCTAGAGCCACGTGGTCTTTCGGATAAGCTGATTCTGGGCCGTAAGTAGTCGTCCAGAGACTTGAAGGTTGCAATAGCGTGAATGGACACCATGATGTTCCGATATGACCGAGGGATTTCTGATTCCTCATCTGCTACTAGCCTGAGCCTAATCTGTTTTGCGAGCATCGATGCTGCGCTGCTGCGGTTGCCATCAAAAGTATTGTGGTGAACCGTAATGACCTCGAAATGCTCAGACCTACTGAGCAAGTCTTGCAGCTTGTGAACCATTACGCTGAAGGGAGTTGCTGGCGAATCAGCTGTTGCGGTCTTTGGTTTGGACTTAACGGTGTATCCCATGAAGACCTGTAGAAAAGCCGACTGAGCCGATCGAGCCAATTCTTCATCTGGGTTACTGAAAACATCCAGAAGAACACGAACGAGGCCGGACGCTAGTAGCTCAGCGCTCGTGACACTCTCAAGTACATCCGCGTCAAATGATGATGCCAGTCTCTTGAACAGTTCGACACCTTTCTCAGGTGCAAGGTTAGTGGCAGTCCTGTGAACGTAGAATGCCTCGATTTCTTCGGCAAGGTCTGAGAGGTTGGACAAAATCTTGGCAGCCTTCTTCTTCATGGTCTTACCATGTTTCTCAGTTTCGTGATTCTCCAAGAATTTCTTTGCCACCTCACGGATTCTTGCACGCATAGACTGTACATCCGACAGAAAGTGTTGCGGAGGTCCATCGAGTGACATAGTAGATCCTCTTGAACTAACAGGTGAGCCCGAAATGTCATCAGGATGAGGCTCGTTCTCGTTATCCTCTTCATTTTCTTCATCGTCAGACTCTTCGTGTTCGTCATCGTCTTCAGATTCATCGTTGTCTGATGACCGATCCGCAGAGTCAGCTGATGCTTGTCTCTCAGCGGTATTGGTGTCCTGAGTATCGGCGGCCTCTGGTGGGGAAGGTGTCTGCTCCTCGGCCGCGAGTTTGGTAATCTCCAATATGACGCCTTCACGGTAAAGTTGGTATCGATATACTTCATCCAAACGACTCAGAAGGAGCTCAGTGGCTTGCAGTGCTAGCATGACAAGAGAAGGATGATCTTGCTGGGATAGAATTGAGGCGAGGAAGGAGGCGTAGGGAACCGTCTTCAACGCTTCTCCCAAAATACCCTCATCCAGATTGGAGAGCATCTTTAACTGCGCAGTAAGAACCTTTTGTCGAACATTCAAGTTGACAGTGCTTGAAAAGGCGTCCGTCAAGGTTGGGAACAAGATCAGGGCAAAGCGCCGAACCTCTGATTTGCACCCATCTAGCAGCTCGATTCGCTTGTCGTTTGGTGACTTACGTGCCTTTCCAGGTGCAGTTGAGGACGGGGTAATGGGTTCTGTGGTGTTCATCTCAACAAAATCGCCGTACGAAGGGTCGGCATTGCGAGGGAGGCTAGGAAGGAGCTCGCAGATGACATTTAGGGTCTCAATGATCTGCTCTCTTGGCCGGTGAATCAAAGCCTGCATGATAACAACGCTGTCAAGCTTAGAGGCAACATCGTCCGTTCCGCTGGGCGGGGAAACGCCGGTGAGGATCTGATAGAGTGTCTCGACGACATTAAGTTTGAAGAGCTCTGCTGACAGCTGAGGGCTGGCACGAGCCGTAAAAGCTAAGACTCTAAGGAATTGGGTGTGGATATTGGGCCCAATGAGGTTGGTAGTGCCTGGAACAAGTAGTCGAAGAACCGCTTTCAGCAGATCCACGCTTACCAGCTCTTCAAGCTTTGCAGACTGGTATTTGAAGCTCTCAACGATGCCAGAAACGCAAATAGAGGCTTGCTCAACGACTCGCTGATCACTGCTACCAAGCACGTTGAGAAGGGTCGGCATAACGTCTCTGATGACAGGAAACGAATCCTCTGGAATATTTCGGCAACAGTTTGCTGCTGTTGTCACAGCAGTTCTCTGGGTGCTTGTGGCGAAAAAGTCCAGGTACGACAAGCATGCCGTGAGGCCACCTTCTCGGACAATGCTCGAGGGATACTCGGCAGAGATCTTCTCCAGTGTGCTCAGAGCTTGCTCAGCGAGATCGATGAAGGAGATCTCCAATAACTTTTGGCAGAGAACTGGCACAGCACCTCCATATACAACGTTGGCAACGCTCGCAGGTAGGGCCTCCATCAAATTTGCCAAGCATCGACAAGCGAGGAGCATGATCTCGGGGTTCTCCTCTCCAGTGATTTCGTTAGGCTGCATCAGAATGACAAGTTCCTTGACAAAAGAATCGGGCGAGAAGTGGCCAGACAGGTTGTCCTCATTCGAAACTAGGAGGATCTCGGACAGTTCCTGCAACGCGATCAGTTGCATTGATGGATCATCTTTTTGACGCAAGTTGTTCAGCAGCTCACGCAGGCGGGATGAAATGCCCGACATCATGCCTGTGAGTGCTCGCAGAGTGCTGGACAGCCCTCCAGGACCTCCTGGGCCTCCAAATCCACCAAAAGGGTCATCGTCTTCATCGTCGTACCTCCTACCATCCTCATCATCTTCATCATTATCGTCACTGTCCTCATCGTCCTGGTGCTCGGGAGGGGGAGGTGGCGGTGGAGGAAGGATTGACTCCTTCTCTGCCTCGTCAGTGCCTGTCATGGCAGTATCTTGATCGGCATTGTTGGTAGCATTTCGTTTCGTACGACGAGAAGAACCGGGTGTGTTGGCAGAGAGATCTAAACCAGCCGAGTCAGTAAAACAGTCAATTAGCCTACATTTGTTTGTCTTAGGGTTACCTGTTGCACTGGGAGCTGTTCTCTTGCTTCTGCTCGACTTGCGACTCGAGGACCCAGAAGGGGCAGTATTCTCTGAGATGCTTGCAGGGCCTGCAGGCGTGCTGTTCATTCTGGTCAGTCTAACATATGACTACATTGAATTGAAACTGCGGTTCCTTACTCTGGGCTCGACATGGTTGAGGTAGCTTTGCCTTTCCTCTTAGAACGAGGCGGGGCAGGTGTCTGGGTGGAAAGTTGAGCTGGCGAAAGGGGATCGGCGACTTTCTGTCGCTTAGATCGTCTGGTCGAAGTGGTTGTCGACTGCTGATTACCCGGAGTAGGACTGGGTGGCTGAGCTGGAGCCTTTCGTTTCCGTGACGCAGAAGCGGTAAGGTTCTGGGGACTGGAGCTCGCTGGTACAGTGGCGTTGGTGAGATCAGCACCAGCAGCGGGTTCTGTCGATGAAGCTGCGAGACTAGCTGCTTGTCTAGCAGAGGATCTGGTAATTCTAGGAGACATGAGCGACTGGTTTTTACGAGGCATGCCGACATAAAAAAAAAAAAACGAGTGTCAGATCAAGGTAGGAAAGTCAGTTGCATCCCCGGAAATCCAGGATGCCGCCAGCCATGTGTCTCCAGCCAGGGTCAGATGTGTGGTGGATGTGAGTGGATGCGGGTACAGTGTAAGGTATGTAGTGGATTGATAGACTGGGGAGATAGAGAGGGGTTAATGGGCACCGATCTGGAGGCGACCCAGGCAGATCAGAGCAGCTAAGGAGCGAAGGAGGAGTCGAGATGAAGAAGAACAAGAAGAAGAAGAGGTGCCGAGAAGGAAAGGATCAGCCTCAGCGGTGCGGATGCAGGCAGCGCGATGCAGCAGGCGGCGTGTTTCAATGTTGGGAAGAAGACCTATCTCTGTCTTTTTTTTTTTTTTTTTTGGAGGTAGGTGAAGTGCGGTGCCTGGCAGATGGTACAGTAGGTAAAGACCCGCTTAAGTTCGATATCCAACCTGCCGGGTACCTAGTAGAGGTAGCCCTGGGTGAAGTGAGAGAGCCAGGTACCAACTGATCCTGAGGCAGAGATGGCCGTGGCGGTTTAGATTTTGGAGAATCAAATATGGTAGACGGATGGGAAGGTGCAAGGTAGGCAGGGACGACTGGCTATGGCTGGAGACTGGCTCACGACATCGGAGGCACTTGCTCTTGCTCTTGCTGGCGGTGTTCCTGGTCGCTCCCGCCGGATATTTGTCTTTCCACTTTCGTCTTTTCTTCAAGCTCGAATCTCTTTCTCTTTTCTTTCTTGCGGCACACAAACAGTGCAAAGGGATCGAAGAAAGCCTGCAAGCAGGGGCTGAAAGCATTTACCTACCGGTGGGAGGGTGACGTCGAAGCAAAGGCGGGCGAGCCCGACCCGGAAGACGATATCGTCGGCGTGGACGAGAGACGCGCGGGAGGATCGTGGTCGACTACCGATCTGGAGCGCGGATTTGCAGAGGCGATTCGTTCTGCCATGGATTACGCCATGAGGCAAGGCGGCTCTGAGCTGTGCTGACGATATGGCAGGTTTGGTATCTCGATATCTGTCGGGACGGTGTGCGTTGGAGCGTAGAGGCCCCGTGATTCGGAAGTCGCCAGCGGGAACGGAGCAGCAAGGGCGGGTGGAAAATGTGCGGTCGACCAAATCAACTGATCAAACGAGGCTTCTTTCGATCGTGAGGAATCATCGACAATCGGGTGTGGTTATTATCGTTGTTATCGTCGTTGGTGGTTGTGATCGTTCTCGTCGTCAACAAGTCGATACCGAAAATGGTGTGTTTACGGTAATGGCTCGGTCGAAGTTATGCAGAACTAAAAGCAGCATGGGAGAAGAGGTAGGTAACTGGCCTGGACTGAATGGGCCGGGCACACTGAATGACTGATGCCCGTGGCCGGCGGACGGGACACATACACACACTCCACCCACACACGCACACCACCGCTAGCAAGCACAAGGCCATACCAACACACACCAGGCAGGCGGCTCTGGTATTCCTCGTCCAGTCCACTTTTTGCACCAAGCAGCCATTAGGTCCCCCCCGGGACCACCAACGCAACCGTTGAAGGGGGATCCCTGCGGCTGAGGAGCCTTGGCTCCAGCAACTCAAGCCGCTCTTATGTCATGATACGGTCTCCTCTTGTCACACCCACCGTTTGGGTCCGTCTGAAGGGGGGCGCCAATCAGGTCGCCCTCTGCACACCGGCTGGCGATTGGAACACAGCTATTATTCTAAGCCACCTGGCAGCGTTGGCAGCCCTTAGCAGCAAAAGTAGCGCCTGCCCAATGTCCGACCGTACAGTCTTTGGCAGCCTGACAGGAGGACAGAGTCCAACATGGCAGCAGCAGCATCCCAATTTTCGCGCTATAGCATCGCACAGCACGATATCATTATGGAGCCCGGTCTCCGTTTGGCACCTCCACATTTACGCTCAGGACCTTACACCAGATCCCGACGGAGCTGATTCAGGCGAAGTGGAGAGATGGAATTCCTGACTCCTGTTACGCCATCAAGGGACCTTTAGTCAATCGTTGCCCATTTCTAAGCAATAGAAGCAAAAAAACACCTCACAGAAACTGGGTCACCAATAATCTCATTTAAAACCACTTGTTTCCTGAGGCTATCCGTACTACTATCCGCTGCTCCGGGGACTCCGCCGATATGACTGGTTTCTAAGCAATAATTGTACCATTATGCAACAAGAACAAGAACAACAAGTTGGTCTAAGCTTTTAGGCTGTCCTTGCCTCCCTCAAATTCATTAAAATCGTACTCATTGGGGTATTTGTCGAGGTGTTCCCGCAGTTGCGCCATTTGCTGCTTTAAATCCGGCGTCAGTTCCTCGTAGACGTCTTCGAACATGGTCCGGATGGGCGGCTTCTTTTCCATTTCGGCCTCCTTGAATGCCTTCAAAACCTCCCGTCTTGTCGAGTCTCGGCATTCCTTCTCTTTGCTCTCATCCCACATTCCCTTGGCCTCCATCCACTTGCGCAGTCGCGTGATGGGGTTATCTCTGCGCTTCCAGTCTTCCACTTCAACTCTGGCACGATAGGCAAAGGAATCATCCGATGTGCTGTGATGGCTCACTCGGTAGGTCATAGCCTCGATCAGGACGGGTCTTCCCCCGTTCTCAAGCGCCATCTCTCGGGCCCTCTTCGTAGCCTCTCGGACGGCCCAGATATCGTTGCCGTCTACTCGGATAGTGTCAATTCCGTATCCGAGACCACGGCTGGCGATACCATCTCCTCTGTACTGCTCCAAAGTCGGCGTAGAAATAGCGTAACCGTTATTCCGGCAGATGAAGATGACGGGGCATGATCTCGTAGCTGCAATATTCAGAGCGGCATGGAAATCACCCTCACTTGCGGCACCCTCACCGAAGTAAGCCGCAACAACTCTCGGTGGTATTGATTGGTCCTGCATCCTCTGCATTTTCAAAGCATACGCTGCTCCAGAAGCCTGCGGCAGTTGCGTGGCCAGCGGTGACGAAATGGTATGCTGTTCATGACTGTTAGACAAGACCCTGTTAAGAGGGGGAAAAACAGGGGACCACTTACGATGTTCAGCTCTTTACTACCGTAGTGCACCGGCATATTCCTGCCTCTTCCAGGATCCTTGGAGTTAGCAAACAGCTGGTTCATGAAGTCCGCTGTCGTAAACCCTCGTTGCTTGAACACGCCCTGCTCACGGTACTGGCAGAAGACAACGTCCTCGGGCGAGAGTACGCTAGCGGATCCTACGCTCAGAGCCTCCTCGCCGGCAGAGACCATGTAGAAGCTCAGCCGACCCTGGCGCTGCGCATCAAACATGATAAGGTCCATGACGGAGATGAAGATCATATCCTTGTACAGCTTCACGACCTCCTCTTCGCTGAGATCGGGCGTGAAGGACTCGTCTACAATGGCGCCGTTCTGGTCGACGACTCGGTAGGTCGGAACGGCGGGGTAATCCCCAGGGGTCTCGAACTTGAGCGTGCTCGTGAAGGCGCTCTTCACAGCGCCAGGGAAGGAGACATGATTCGCATTGGGTCGCTGGGACAGATTGCTCGCTGCTCGGCTCGGGACCGTCGTTGCTGCGAAGGGAGCCGCAGCTGTCGCTGGAGAGATGCCGCTGGCTCGAGGAATGACCCTACGCAGGGGTGCACGGCGAAGCATCCTAGAAGACCTCATGGCGACGATTGACTGGTTCCAAGTTTTAACGATATAGAAAGCAAGAACTTAACATTCAGTCTCGTACTAAAAGAAGTAGAAAAACGTCCCAAAACGCAGCGGGAAGCCGAGACAAACAAACACCCTTCGCGCGGCGGGAGTCGTCTACCGTCGGCCGGCCCTGCGACGTCATGACTGAGCCGAAGGAAAGCGAAATGCGATTAACCCGAGGCGAGCAAGCAAGCCCCTCACCCCCGTTCAATGCCGCCCCCGCGCCCCCCGCGTGCGACTGGAGCCGATAAGGGACCGAACGAACTTTGACAGGGGGTGTGATTGCGATTATTTATTTACCAGCGCAGACAATAAAGTTATGTTTTCCCCCGTGCTGGATGCACCTGTCTGGGGGCCTTGGGGTCGAGTATTTTTCTGTTTGAGGATCAAACTGACAGCCGTTTAGCGCATAAATGAGGCTTGCTACCTTGACAGAATGACGTATGTTTCTGTAACGGAACGTTTGTGGCACCGTAACCTGTAGATGTGAGTTCATTGAAAGCGTCTTACAGAAATAGAGGACTTGACACATTTTGCTTCCACCACTTATCAATGTCTCGCGCGACCACATTACGCCTCTCTATCTCCATCAATGGGACGTTCTTGGAAACAAAATAGTCTCTTGGCTCTTCGACATCACCGCTGAATGAACATGGATTTGCACGGGGCCTCTTTTTGTGGTTACCATGACCTTTGCTCGGAAGAACCCCTACCAACATTTCTAAAGCGGCCGTCCAGTGCTCAATTTGCTTACTTTATCAAATTGGACTTCATTTTCAGTTAATTTCTTGCTGTCACGGTTGGTGGAGCTGCCAATGGACTTCTTGTTGGTACTGAGTCTAATATGTATAACGAAAACCCTTGTTCTCCCAATCTGTCTTGTCTTCTCTCTCCGATTCGAGACCAGCTTGCACTTTGTCTTCCGGAATGCCGTAGTTAAAATCCCGGCGTTTGTTTTCGAAAATGCACAGCAGAGAGTAAACCACGCCAGACACGGCCATGAGAGCAAAGGCGAACATCATGGCGCCGATACCAAGCGGGTATCTCGGGGCCTGGCTGGAGAGGAACAGTTGCGGCCCAATGATATTTCCGATAGCTATGAAAATTTAGTTAGTCTTAGTTCCTAAAGCCACAACTCTGCTGAGAGGGCGAGGCTCTGTCACTCACCATAGCAAACAGCAACGGAAACGCCCATGAAGCTCTTTTTCGTTGCGCCCGCCGTATTAGAAGAGTTCAGACTCAACATGAAAACGAAGGGGGGGTTATAAAAGCCCATCAGATAGACCATGGCTAATGAGGCGTCCCGGTTCACGTTCACGTCAAGAGTATGTACCATGATGGCGCCAACAAGACCGATAAGCGCTGAGACGATCCAGAAAAGGCAGCGCAGGTTCTGCACAAAGAACGAAATTGCCGTCAAGATTGTACCAGCAACCATAGCGACAGCGGCCTGGGGTGTGGCCATAAGCACTGTCTTGGTCTGGCTGAAGCCATAGCCGGCGATGATGAGGGGGTTGAAATTTGTGATACCCGCGTTGGCGATGGCATAGCCAATGCCGCAGGCCCATACGCACCAGCACTTGGGATCCTTCAGTGCTTCAAGAATCTGCTTACCGTCGAATTTCTGGTCCGACATTAGCCTTTGACCCCAGGTTTAGGGTTGAAGCACAAGCCATACCTTGTGATTATTCACGCCCGTCTGGTTAGCCGCAAGTCGGATGATAGCCGCCTTCTTTTCCTCTTCGCTGAAGAACCAGGCCTTGGCAGGAGAATCCGGCAGGGCAAAAAGAACAACGAAGCCTGTAAGAATAGTAACAGCTCCGTAGATGAGGAAGATGTACTAACAAACAAGTTAGTAACTCACGTTTCTGCGATCTACAGCTAAACAGGACCATTTTACCTTCCAAGTAGCCAAAGACCCCTTGATATTACCAATAGCATATGACAGAATGCCACCAAAAACACCGGCAAAGGTGTTATGCCACAAAGCTGTCCGAAGCGGCTGCTCCTCACGGCGGTACCACGTCGAATTGAGCACCAACATGCACGGCAAGAGAGCTGCTTCAAAAACGCCGAGGAGGACACGAATAGTTGCTAGCCCTGCAAAATTGTGGCATGCTGCCATGAGACAAATGGCGGCGCCCCAGAGGACGAGGCACGCTCCGATGTATTTGCCGATTGGCACTCTGGTGATGAGCCACAGACTAGGCAATTCCATGGCAAGGTATCCGAAGTAGAAGATACTGCCGAGCCAAGAGTACTCTTGGCCCTTAAGATTGGTGTCTTGTCGCAAACCATAGACTGCGGCGAAACCGAGAGCGTTCTGAATATATCAAGTTAATTTTTGATATTCAGAGTGCATTGGAAGGGGGCTTTATGCCTTGTCAAGAAATGCGAGGGTCATGCTAAGCACGGCGCATGGTAGGACTACAAGGTCCGTCTTCATGAGCAACCTTCTGTTCAGCGCGGGAGTTAGCACCTCAGACTCGTTGAAGTGCGTCTCATCGTGAGATCTCTTGTCTTCCGCCTGGTTGATCACCCCATTGTTGGCTACAGGTTTCGGATCCATTGTGCAGAGCTACTCTGTGTTTTGGGTTCGACAGCCGTGTAAGTCGAATATGTCTGAGGTCAACAAGTACCAAAACTTGCTGGGTCGACAATTCAACTGGATATAATTCGGTTCAAAACGAGGTCGAGGTTGAGAGCAAAACAAACAACAAAGCTTTCGCCATGGCAGCAAAAGTCGCGGGGGAAAACGCAGATATTTCACTTCGCACCTTACATCATCCACTATCCTGAGTAACAGAATCCTTGGACGTCGATTTCGATATGGAGAATAGAGCTTCAATAGCGATTGACGAAATCCAACTACGAGATCACGCAATGAGAAGGTGGACCGAGTTCGGTCCCCACCGAGACGAACGCCGATTGATATCGGCCCAGTCCGAGTTCTCACCGCTGACTCGTGCCACCAACACCCACTTGTCCGAAGTGCTAAGGTTATTTCTAGTGGTCTACTATGGCGACATGGTTTCAAGTGGCAAGTAGAGACTGATCCGGGGTTACGATGCTTGTGGAAGACCAAGCGTCTCGCATGGGAGAATGTGGCACTCAACCAGACCTGCAGAGTGTTCTGGACAAATATTTCCAAGTATTTAGAAACCAGCGGTGGATTGCACATGGTGAATGGCACTATCTGCTTGCGTTTCAATATTTTAAACCATGGCTGAAAGACATTTACAGCTTCAAACACTTCAAAATACTCAAGTCTCGCGGTTTTTCCAGATCAGCCAGAATCTCCTCTCTCGATCTAGCCACATCCCGTGCCACCTCCGCTGCGTATAATTTCTGGATAGCGGCAGTCATGGGCCCCTTCTGTCCATCTCCCAGTTTCCGCCCATCTACCTCGGTGACATGAATCTGAGATGGGAACGTTCCGGTGCAGAAGGCCTCGTCGGCACCATACACCTCAGTCAACGCAAAATCGAGCTCCCGGACAGTGATGCCATTGGCGCGACACACGTCGATGGTCTTCTGACGAGTGATACCCTGCATCTGATTGTCCTTAGTCGGCGCCCAAACCTCGTCTCCGCGGATGATAAAGAAGTTAACGGAGTTGCAAGTCTTGACAAAGCCATTGAGATCCAGCATCAGAGCCTCGTCGACGCCCATCACATTGGCGCTCACGCAGGCTTGGACGTCTGTGGCTTTGGAGATGTGATTCCACTGCTCGTCCTTGACGTCGGGCGGGCCACGGCGTACCCACGTTGTGCCAAGACGCAGGCCACGTTCCTTTGCGGCCGGATCAACGGCCTTGATCTCGGGGATAATGACAATGAGCGGAAGCCCAATGTTCACATGTGGGTTCTGATAAGGGGTTGACTTCAGGCCTCGGCTGACCACAAGGCGAATGTGTACGTGAGGCTCGCCGCCCATATCGTTGGCGTCAAGGGTTCGATGAAGTAAAGATAAGAGGTCACCCTTCGTCAGGCCCAGGTCCATGTACATAGCCTTCGCAGATTGAAATAGCCGGTTGATATGTTCCTTGGCGAACTGGATGCGACCCCTGACAGCCCGAATGCCTTCCTGCAGTAGACACACAATGTCAATTCAACTGTGAAACCCACAGTACCTTAGTATTCCCGTCTACATACCCATATACCATCACCAATAAGAAAACTGGAGTCGAATACCGAGACCATTGCTTGGTCTCTAGGGACCAGGCGGAATTTGTTGGTGACTCCATCGCGAATGCCAACCTACGAAAAACATAAGCACAAACGATGTTGAATTAGATGAGTCTTCAGATTAAACTTACTAATATGGATGCATTCTTGGCATTGAAAACAGATGTATGGCTTGTAGCTGGTTGGTTCTTAGATTCGGGCTGAGCCATGGCTTCTCTGATGTTCGCCAGGGGCGATTGCGAAAGTAACCCCAAAAACGGTGTGCTTGGTGACCAGGTCCCAAATGAGTTAGAGAATTCCGCACGAAATATTAAGGCTTTTCTTGGGATTTATCTTGAAAAAAAATGCTCGCAGTTCAGAGCTGTGTAGTTGCCATTCAGACACTTGATGGGGTGGTTTGGTGGGCACTAGACTCGGTGGAGGCCGAAGGTGTAATACCGTAGATCGAAGATTGTACTTGGTACAATCTCGGTCCGTCCCGAACCCCTGAAATCTGGTTGAAGCTCTTTCGCCCGCGGTGGATTTTACAATTCCGCTCTAATGAACAGAATATTATCCAATTTGGTAGTCCAAAACTGCAGTAAATCCATCTGTGCGTGGGAAATGACGTAACTGTCTGTGGCTCACCCCAATTCTGCGTTGTCGTTAGGTTGAAGTTCATCCAAAAAGGAGCCATACCAGGCCGCCAAGCCTTCATCCATATTGACATGACTGGTATCGAAGTAACCTGTGACCTGACTAACATAAGTCTCCAGCACGTCACCTTGGAAAAATAATTGTGACTGTAGACCATCAGAATCAAACATGCCCAGTCCATTGGAAGAGTTGATGGGGGCTGCTGATGAATGATCTGTAACTATTGCCTGAGAACTCAGCGAATCCCAAGCTGCGGGACCGTAGACTTTGATCCTAGCAGCCTGCAGAAGGTCGCGGTATTTCAAAAGGGAGTCTTCTTTCATCCAGGCAATCCCGCGGTCGATGATATCGATACATGCCGCCACGTCGTTTCCATGGGTGTGGAGTACATGAGAGTCAGAGTTTCGAGCCATTGTTTTCGTGTACCTGGAAAGAATTGTCAGGGTTTAGGAATGCGGTAAAAACTGACATAGCTCAGTAGAAAGTGATCAACTCTGAAGAGAAGGAAAAGTAATTGAACCAGCTCACCAGTCGCAGTAGAGGCCTGCGAGCCCTACCATTAGAACTGCATGTACATGACGGAAGCAGCGGCATACAGCGCTGATGCCATGATGTGTCTCCAGCTTTGTCCATTGGCGTACGGTACCAGATACAGCCCGCGAGGAAATCTCAACCATCTCGTGGGATGGAATCATGAATGTGGGTGAAGGCCGATACATCAGCAGCAGAAGAAGGCCATACTCAACTTTAATTTCTGAATATTCCCGAGTGCCTTCAATATCTAAGGCTTCGGTATCCCGTTTCCAGGATTGCAATTCCTGTTGAATCTTGTCGATTTCGTCACAAATGTTCTGGAAGGTAGTCCGGGATGCTCGTCCATCAGCGCCTCTGGCAATGTACACAGATTCCAGTACACGCCCGCCTATTTGCCGCAGCCGTACCAGATGATTGAAGAGCTTGACGTTGAGCCTGTGAATTGTAGGCGCAAATTGCGCCTCGTGATTCGTCAGGCTATCCATACTGTTTTCTACCGGCTTAGGTGCGTCTATTGCGTGGTCTCGAATGGACAAGACCCGTCCAGTTATCAAGGCGATTTGTCGTTCTAAGCTGTAGACACACCACCACGTGCGGTTACGGACTTCAGTATCCTCGTAGCTGAAGTCACCCGCGGCCGCAGAGCGTCGGTGAAGTCCCATTTCGATGGCTGCTGACATAGCATACCGGCTGAGGTGCCAGAGGTCATCGCCATGGCTTCTTATGTTTGAGTTTAGCATCCACAAGCTTAGAAGAAGGACACATTGTAGCCCTTGAATATCCCGTGGATGGTCGTGAAAGTCCAGGAAATATCGCAAGCCCGTTTGAAAGTAGTCAGATGGGCTGTTTAAGTCCATCATTCGACGGTACTCCTGACTTTCGGAGGAGTGTGCAGAAGCAAGGGCCAGAACCATCAAAACCAGAAACTTTTGATAGGGACTACATCTAGCTGGATCTTCGTATAAACAGCCGACGCTAGCTCTCAAAAATGGAAGCGATACAAAGGGCCACCAGATATGAATGCGACGGATGTATTCAGCAAGCAATTGCTTCGCAACTGGCTGCGGGGGAAGCGCAGCGTTGTGACAAAACAAGTCTCGGTCCAAATCAAACATTGGCGGACGACTCGCATGTTGCCTAATTGGGGATTTTAAGTCAATTTGCTTGAAGAATATTCGAGCAAAGGTTGAGCCGGTGGCACTTCCCACTGCGCCGAACACATTTGGTCAACGATGGGCTTTTCTGAGGCAGAACCTAAGCACGAGAGTCCACTTACGGTATAGTCTGTCTACATAACTATTTGGCCGTCCAATTGCTAGAACACCGATCTCCTCGGCTTCCTTGCGCAAATCTCCAAAACGACTGGCTTCAAGGTCTTGAGGTGGCTGTTCTGCCGTGCCTTGGCTAAGACTGTCGACCTTGGCCTGCAGCTCCTTGATTCTGTCTTGTAGGCTTTTGACAGCAGCGTAGGAATAGGTCACGCATTCCGTGATATTGCACTGCTCATTCTGTTTCTGGCATGCCGAGCAACGGGGGACCGTCAGATCACACTTAGCTAACAGCATTAGTTAATGATATCTAGTTTGGGGTTTCTTCATCGTTCCTCGATGATATGAGGGCGGCCTAGTACCTTTACTTTACGAGAATGGCATCGACTGCACGCTTTAGATGCGGTTGGCGGAAACCGCGCCTCCCAACTTGGATCCATCAGTTGGAAGCGTAGACACTGACCAAGCTGTTACTGGCACGATAAACGGAGTTGTGGTTACCATGGCTCGTGGTGCCAGAGACTCTGATTTGAAGGGCAGTGTGCTTACAGTATTGCACACCGTGTTAAATCTGCCCGTAACCTGTAGTGCTATCCCACGTTGCAGACCAGGTTCCTTATCGTTGCCCCACTTCCCGATATCGATACAAGGAGGTCCACCTTACAGCATTCAGCGGGGATGTAAGTGACCCTGGGCAAGGCTTCATGGCATGAGATTGTGAGAGTTAGGTGAAGGGAACAGAGGCAGTTGCGTGTTCAGTGATGCTCAGGTAACTTCCAATAAATCAGCATATTGGTACAAACACAGAAATTCAAAAATTCCACCTTTCTTATGCACATAGCAACCACACCCATTCCACAACCTCCAGAACTAGACCTTGTCGTCAACTTCACCCAGGCAGCTTCACCCACCAAAAATCCTAAAACAGCCAACATAAAGAAACAAGAGAAAAAGCAAAACGATGAGTCCCTCTTCCAAGATAGCCATCTTGATTATTATGATCACACTGCTCCTGTGTGCCTTAGCCTACTACGCTCGCAGTCAAATTCACGCATTCGCCAAGGCTCTTGCCCAGCATCGAGCTCAAAGTAAGGAACGCGAGGGTAGCGACACAGTCGCCACGGTCTAAGTAGGTTCTTCCTGAAAGCCTATGCGATCTTCTGGACGGACTGGTGTTTCTTTACTCGACGTTGTGGTGTTCATCTTCAGTTTCTTATTAGTCAATTAAGACGTGGCTTGACCCCCTTGTTCTGGCCCAAGAAAACGTCTCCATGTCGCGCACCAGCCACACCAAATCTATCTCCACCAAAATTTCCATCCTTCGCAGCTCTCGATCGACTGACATCCCAATCGCCAGGACTTCCCGCTGTTCCGCGAAACCAAGCCATTTCTCGAAAATGGCGACCAGACGCGCCCTCCGCACGCCATTGAGCGTACGATCCATTTCCACACCATTTGCTTCCTCTCAATATCTGCCCCGCCCTTTCGCAATCGCCTGTCGATCCATCAATACCGGCTCCGCAGAGCGCCCCAAGACAACACACTTTGGCTATGAGACTGTTCTTGAATCCGAGAAGGCTGAGCGTGTCGCCGGTGTCTTCCATAATGTTGCCGACTCTTACGATCGTATGAACGATCTCATGTCCTTTGGCTGGCATAGAATATGGAAGTACGTCCTTATTGTTTCTCCTTCACCTTACACGATCTTTCTCACCACTAACACTTCTTCTGCCAGGGACCACTTCGTCTCCTCCCTTCAGCCGGGCCTCTCGGCCTCTAACCCCCCAGCTCCCCAGCACATTCTAGACATCGCCGGTGGAACCGGTGACATCGCTTTCCGCATGCTTCATACTGCACACAACGTTAACAAGAACCCCGACGTTCGCGTTACAATCTCTGACATCAACGCCTCCATGTTGGCTGTTGGTCGCGACCGCTCCAAGGCGCTCCCAGCGTCCCAGCAGGCCGCCATTTCTTGGCTTGAGGCCAATGCCGAGAAGCTCCCTGAAGGCGCCATCGCCGACAACTCAATCGACCTGTACACTGTCTCGTTCGGTATCCGCAACTTCACCAATATCCCCGCTGCCCTGCGCGAGGCCTACCGCGTCCTTAAGCCTGGCGGCGTCTTCGCCTGCCTCGAGTTCAGCAAAGCCGACCAATACCCTCTCTTCAACGCCGTTTACAAGCGCTGGTCCTTCAGCGGCATTCCTCTCATCGGCCAGCTCGTCGCCGGCGACAGAGACAGCTACCAGTACCTCGTTGAGAGCATCGAGCGATTCCCTAGCCAGACGGAGTTCCGGGACATGATTAAAGACGCCGGGTTTGTGGTTGCTGGCGAGGGTTATGAGAACTTGACGGGCGGTGTTGCAGCCATCCATAAGGGCATGAAGCCCATCGCCCCAAAGGGGGACTCGTGAAGGGATGGTAAGGATGGAGAAGTTTTGGTCTGGATTGGGAGGCAGACGAGCCTACGGGCTCTTGTACAATGTTGAAACTGTACTAACACAAAATCACCTGGCATGACTGCATAGACGGCGGGTAACCCCAATAGACTCTATACGATGAATGTAAATCAAACTGGCCGCTGGCCCTGTACAACAGCCAATCTCTAGCACACTCTGTGCGCAGGAGTTTAACAAGCAATATCCTTCTATAAGCATGACTGGAACATATAGATGACACAATTAACCAGTGCCCTTCTGTCGGCCTACGTGGGTTATCAATTCCGGCACGTTTTGCTTGATAGTAACAACCCCGCCTGAGGCGGATAATCATCAGTAATTCTTACAGCGTCAAAACTCCCAGGTTAGAGAAAGTCAATGCAGCCTTTATGCTATTCCCAAAGGAGGACGGCATCAGGTCTCTGCGAACAGGCGAAAATGGAATATTGAGATCACAAATGGATTCGATTCAACTCTATCTCTGCCAATCAGCTCTCCACCTGCCTTCCCGGCACCTCACACCATCACCGAAGAAACGGACCAACGGTAGTTCCTAAAATTTGGCTCTCTCTCAACTCCACCGAAGCCGTCAAGCCTTTTATTTCTCATCGACAAAGAACTCCTAACATGGAAAACGGGAAACTGAGCTAAGGACAAACAGCCCGGATAGACTCGTCCAACCCGAGAAACCCCACCCTAAGTTATCTCATTAAGGTACGCGTACAAGAATTGGTAGCACTTATTTTCTTTGCCCCCTTTCTCCTTTCATAACCGAAAAAGAATCTGAATCGTGTCCTTCATTCCCCTTGCTTTGAGGGGCCAAACTTGGCCATTAGGGCTGCAAGGACATCATTGGCCGCATACGGACGGCAGCGCCTCGATCTCGAAGAGTTCGAGCCGCCTTTCGCAGCATGTTCATCATTGACTCTGAGAGAAGAGTCCTACTCCGCCGGAGTGGCAGGGCCAGGAGCGGGTGACGAGGCGCCACCCTCACCCTTGAGTCCGCCTCGACCACGACCGCCACGTCCTCGGTCGCCTCCACGGCCGCCACGGCCACCACCACGGCCGCGGCGGTTGCTCTCAGAGTCACTGGCTCCGCCGGCGCTACGGTAGCCGCTGCCTGTGTTTGCAGAGTTGCCGCCGCCTCTGCTGCTTCCCCAGTTGCCGGCACCGCCGCGGGGCTGGAACTTGGTCTCACGGTGCTGGAAGACCTTGACAAGAGGGCGAGAGCGATCCTCTTGGGCGCGGGTCTTGAGGTCCTCGGGAAGGCTTGCTAGGGCCGCGTCACGGTCCTCAACTGTCTTGAATTGCACCACCTTGTTCGAGTTGCCCCACTTCTCGATCTTGAGGATCTTATTCTTATGCTCCCCGTCGAAGAGATCACGCGTCTGCTCCTCAGAGCTGACATTCATAATGAACAGTCCGATGATGTCTTGAGCGGGTGTCTTAGGAGCAGGCGAGGAGACGGGGTCAGGGGCATGGGCCGATCCGTTGGTGCCCGTCGGCGCGGGGCGCTCATCCTTGGGAGGAACTGCAGGAGGGGCAGGAGTGGCAGCAGGCTGAGGAGTCGCAGGCTTAGCAGGCGGAAGAGGTGTCGCGACCGCGGGCTTAGGGGGTGCCTGGGATGAGGGCTGTCTGCTGGTAGGTGGGGGTACTGTAGTTTGCGTCGAAGGGGGAGCAGGGGTAGGAAGGTTACCAGGAGCTGCGGTGGGGGTTCCAGCCGAGACGGGCGCTGCCGCCTTTGCACCCCTATGTGAGAAGTTGAAGCCCTGCGCACGCATCTCAGTTCCAATACGGCCATCTTGGATTTCGAGAACCAGCCAGCCGAAGGCGGCATCCGCCAGGTTGAAGTTCCACATGTTCTTGAAAGCACTTTCATCGACCTGGCCGAGCTGAGCTTGGCCGGCGACAGGGCCTCCAAAGGGGTTGCCACCTGCAGCAGTGGTGGGCATCTTCTCGACAAGTTGAAGTGCATTCTTGAGCAGGTTCTGTTGCCCCTCGTTCTGGGAGATGGCAGGCTCAACCTCGCCCTTGACGGTTTCCCAGACATCGTTGAAGGAAGCCTTGGAAGCAGCAAGCTTGCCACGGTAGTGGTCGAGGGTAGGGTTTACGCTGAACTCGTTGTAAGAGCTGCCATAACGGAAATGCAATCCGGCAGAGATGGAGAAATCGGCCTTGAGGGTAACAGAGAGCTGGTTCAAGATACCCTCGCGAGCGGGAGAAGCGTGCGTAACGAAGACACGGGTCTCGGTGGGGTCATAGACTCGGTGTGCAGTGTCGACAAGCTCACCCATCTGCAGAAGGGTGGTCCACATAGTACCCTGACCTCCCGCAATCGTGGTCCTTCCCTCACCATTATCGAAAAGCTTGTGCATGACGACGGCACCGCCAAGACCGAGCAGTCGAAGCTTCACTCCGCCAATCTCCAGGAGCATTGATCGAGCTTCATCGATGATGTGCAGGTTCTGAACCTTGTACTCGCCAGACCGAAACTTCTCAAGAACGCGCACATCCTCACAAGCACCCCATACGGTGTATACGGGGACATCGAGCTTGATCTCGCCGCTGAGGAGCAATGGGAGTTCGGAAAGGGGAAGCTCGTTGGCTGGGAATCGGCTCTTGACTGGACCAGGGCCGCCCTGTTGAATCGCCTTCTTTACAGGCTCCGAAATCAGGGGAGAATACTGGGCAACATGCTTGAGGGTCCTTCGAACAACTGTCAGAATGACGGCGGTCGGGTGTAGGATCGCGGAGGGGTCCTTACTTTTCTGCGATTCGCTCCAGGGAGGTGTCGTCGTAGAAGCCAAAGTCGCCAGTGTGAATAATGTGGTCGGCTCGTGCCTGTTTTGCCAGCTCGTTCAGAGATGTGAGATTACCTGTCACAAAAAAGTTAGGCTAGAGCTTGATCACTAGTCATCCAGCGGCCTCTAATGGAATGGGAACGAACCTCGAACATCAGCTATGCAAAGAACTCGGATGGGGCCAGTCTGGATAACGCGACCCTGGTTGGGAAGGAGAGGCGCAGCTCCGGGATTAATAGAAGAAGCTCCGTTAGGCATGTAGCCCGGGTTGTTGTTGTATGGACGAGGCTGAAAATGCGATGCCATGTCAGCACGTGGTTCTACGGCGGGGGTTGGTTGAAGCTATCAGGGCCCCTAGGCCAAACGACGTAGCATCGCGACAGCAAAGTCGAGAACCCAAGCAACGAGCGCAAGTACATGCAATGATTCCAGGCCAAGCATTTCGGCTTCCTTGAATCTTGGTTGTGATAAGTAGAGGGGAGCACTCACAGCAGCCATGCTAAGTGGTTGTCCAGGTAATCGCGAGATGGAGTCGGGAGATGGAGGCCAGAGGGGATCGGTCGGGATCGGGGATTTCGTCGAGGTCTGGACCGGGTGCTCGGGTCGGAGGGTCAAAATAGAGAGGGTTTGGGTATCAACGGAGATGGAAATGAGGTTGGAAGGAGCAGACGGCGATGTTTGCGACGGAGAAAGGAACAAGCTCCCCTTACAAGTTGGTGATATTTTTCTGGAGGTTAAGGAAAAGTGCAAGGTGTAGGTGGAAGCAACGAACGGACGAATTGGCGCCCTGCCAGAAGAGGCGGCCTTTTCCCCAAACGGTTTAGCGCGGATAGTCACAGCTGGCAGGGGCCAGAATTGCTCCTTCCTCAGAGCATCAGTGCACCTCGTTTCTGGAGCGGACAGCGGGACGCACGCTGGGTGCTGGGCACCTCTAGGCACCGCAGCGGGGCTGGGGCAGCTGCCTTACGCTAAAAACCTGCCCCAAGCTGGGCCTCTCAGGGATAGACACGACATTCATGACAAACAGAAGCTATGAGCTCTCAGCTCACTTGTTGGACAATGTGAGGCTTTCAGGGGTTCCATCCGCTGCACGTCTTGTGGCAAACGATCAGGTAGGCATAACCATTTATGATTTTGCCTCACAGTAAGCTATCTCATCATCGAGAAAACATCACCACCTCTCATATAACATTAACACTCATGGACATCTCGGGCGGGAGGAGCAATATCCCGCCGACAATTGACAAGCAAGAGATCCACCGTATGCTGTGCATCTCGACCTTATTGTTCTTCCCCGCGCCTCTCGATGGAACCCAAATAGCGTCAAAAAGAGGCTGGCCGCTACGTTATCTGTGTACATGTGCTTCAACAAATTCCCCCGTCCACCACAATACAACCCAAATAGGACAGTAGAGATGATGAGATGTAAGATGAGAGAAAGACAAGGAGGCCGGCGAAAAGACTTGACTAAGCCATTAACATGGCCCCCTTTTTAAATGTATGTCGCACTCGCGCCCCTCGAACTCCGCCATATGCACATACGTTTAGATAATACAGAGCTTCCAGACGAAATCACCTACACTGGTCCGGATTAGACAGGAACCTTCCTCCCCTCAGAGCTCCTCGACACATCGTCACTCCGTCGTTTTCTTGCTTGCCGAGACTACCACATGTCATCTCGTCCATCACGGCGTCTACTGTCATCGCTAGCGTCCCGCCCATACTGGTCGTGGTAGTACTGTTTGCCAGGCTGAGGTTCGTAGCCGTCAGGGCCATTGTAGCCATCGCGTCCTTGTTGATCCATGTCCCCACCATGGTCATACTCGTAGATCTGAGCATCATCCACGTAGTCCACTTCATTGTGGGGATGGTCTCCGTATTGGCTCTCGCCCTTCTGTATGTCAGTGTGAACCCGCCAGTGACCAACATGCTTGGATGAACTCACGCGATGGTACTCAAAGTTGTACTGGCCCATGGCTTCCTGGTCCCCTGATTCTTGAGCCTGCTGCATCTGTTGCTGTGCCAAGAACTGCTCCTCCTGTTCCTTGCGACGGCGCTCCTCTTCCAAGCGTCGCTGCTGTGGCGATTGCGGGACCTGCATCTGGGGATGCATCGCCTGAACGATGGCAAGGTAATTATACATGAAGTTGCTCAGTAGCACTTGGCTAAGCAATGACCGACGCGGGTTTGCGAGCTTAATGTGAGCCATCCGGTAAATCGCGCGTTCCTCGAGCAGCGGAAATCTGGTCCAGTGGTAGTCGACATCAGGCTTAAGAGGCCTGTAGGGTACCTCTTCTGATACACGCAAGTGGCCCTTCTTGTTGTTACTTTCCTTCTCGCTCTTCTTCTTGCCGCCGCCGAATAGGCCTGAAAATAGGCCTCCTTCCTTCTCTTTCTTTGCCTCTGTCTTTCGGCTCTCCTTCTTACGCTCTTCTGCGAGCTTGTTGTCGACATTGTCGCGGTCCACGACGATGCTCTCTCTTCCCTTGACGCCCTCGATCGAATTCTGCAGAACGTCCAGCCGTGCGTTGTCCTGTGACTTGTCGCCATAGTTCTTCTTTTTCTTCTCCTCGTCCTTCTTCTTTTTGTCCTTGTCATCGCTGCCTCCCTTGAGCCATTTCGACCAACCACCAGAGGACTTTGTTGAGGAAACACTCGCGGCATCATCATCCCTTTCTTTCCGAAGCTTCTTTTGTTCGGTTCGTTTCTCTTCCGACTTCTTCTCCTCTGTAGGTAGAGTAGGAATAAAAGTCAAGGTGTCAGTACGATTAGCACCACTACCAGGCAAGGCAGACGGATGGGAAGACAAGTCGTTCAGGCCGTGACTAGGAGCATTTGATTGCTGCTTTGCTTGCTGCTGTGGTGGCGGCTGCTGCATAGTAGGCGTTGTAGGGCTTTGCATCGAGTGAGAGCTCTGCACCGAATGAGACGAACCAGGTCGCAAATTCGAACGAGCCGGAGGTTCCTCCACGGCAGACTGGGTATTAATCTGGGGCCCTGCGTGCTGCGAGGAGGAAGAACGTTGGGGGTATTGTTGGCGTTGCACACTTTCCTCAGTTGTGGGCGATTCAACGATGGAAGGAACACTTTGTCTGGCGTCTGCCGAAGCCGAGGACGTTCTCGCAGGATGTTGCTGCGCCTGCTCGGAACGCGTGCTAGTGGGAGATACCGGTTCCTCAACTTCAGATGAACCACCATCGGACCCAGCTTGCGAAACGCCCATGTCTTGAGAAAACTTCTGTTGTCTTCGGACTGATCGATTAGGTCGTGAGAAGTTCTCAGCTATAGGCTCTGACGCCACAGGAGCATGCGCAGGAGCCTTGGGCACTTCAGTGGGTAAGGGAGGTACTGTGTCCGCCGAATCAGAAGAATCCGTATGAACATGGCGGCTTGCAACTCGTTTCGAGAATGGTAAACGGTCTCCCGATCGCACACTTCCGTTCTTTCGGTACGTTGTCCGCGTCGAACGCCGAAGTCCCATGCCCGGAGCCACCGGCAAAATAGGCATATCCTCAGCGCCGCTCTCCGGTTGAGTTTCCTTCGAAAGCTTCTGTACCACCTTGGAAGGGTCCTTCACAAGTTCGCCTAGGTCCAGCTCTGGGGTCGAGTACTGCCTTAGAGAGCTTTTCCGCGAGAGCCTCTCGGCACCGTCTATGTAGCCATCTCCTCCTCTTGTGCCTAGCGGGTCGATTTGTCTGGAGAGCATGCTCTTCTTCCGTCTCAGCCCCCCGCCGGAGTCGCTCCGGTCGATACTGCCATCGCTGGAAATGAAGGATTCCCCTGATCGACGTTTGATTGTGTTCACTCGTGTTTCCAAAAAGTTCTTGAACTCTGTTGGTGCAAGCTCCGGATGAACGGCTGCGGGAACCCACAGCAATCTCGACGGGTCGTTCTCGTCGTCATCTCCCTTGGGAGCAATGGGGGGCATGGCCATGAGGGAAAGGCCTGAAAAAGGCAGCATATCAGGATCGGCATTATTGCCCACATCCATGGACATGCGCCTCAGGGCCTGCAAGTTACTGAGTTCCTGAGCAATGTCGTTCGGATTTTCGATGTTGCCCAAGGGAAACTGCGACGACTCGTTTTTCACGTCCCGCAAGGAGAGGGGAGGCGACTTGGGGCCATTATCAAAGTTAACGCTTCGCTGACTTGGCGAGCGCGTAGGCAGTGTGTGTGACTTTTTCAGCGTCGGCGTACCGTTTGGTGCCACAGCTAGGCCCGTCTTATCCGAAGTCGAGCGTATCACTTGGCCGCGAGGGTCTTGAGCAGAAGGATCGGACTCGGCCTGCTTTTGTGTCTCGTCTGAATAGGCTTGGCCGAAGAAACTCGTAGGGCGACTTTCGCTAGAATAATCGTCCTCGTCCCCATAAAGAGTCCCAATAGTCTCAGTCACATGGTGACTAGGGTCTGAAATTGACAGCTGGCTAGCATGACCGCGTCGACTCGCAAAGCTGCCACCAACATCGGCGCGGGGTCTAGATGAGGTCTGTAGGAGTTGCACGTTAGCCTTAGGTACCATTTGGACAATGTTACAAGAGTGCCAGAGCGGGCGCAGCCGAGACCAGCGCCCGATGAAAGTTGAGGCCGGGTATTAACAATAGTAAAATGCATTCAGGAGCCATTCCTAGCTGTCTGGGGAAAGCTGGAGGAGTTCATAGGGGCAGACGCACCATCATCTAGAAAATTGGAAGACCCGCAGGGAGGCCGAAAAGCCAGCAATTCCCTTAAATACACCACTTCTCTGCCAAGTATCTCGTTCGGAAAGGGTTCGTTGGTTAGCTCTCATCTGTCTTGGGTAGGGGGTAGCATATGCGCGGCCACGAGAGAGCGAAGTGAAGGTGGTGAGCGGAGAGCGGAGGGCGGAGGGGAGGAGTTGTGGCGAGTGAGAATGTAGATAGATGTATCTATTCGAGAGGCGGTCGTAGTGTTCGGGATCGCATTCGAGGGTTTATTGAAGCGGTACCCACGGCGTAGGTAACTAACGATAGTATGGCAGGAATTACGAAGTCGACCGTTGCAAAGGAGGGAAAAAGAAAGCGGCAAAAGACTGTTGGGAGGTGCAGAATAGGCGAGGACAGGAGAGAATAGCACACAGGATGGGGCACGTCACGGCGGGTAGACGATTGGCGTGCTGCTGCTGTGACTGTGTTGTGTGTTGTAGTGGTAGCGGCGGCAGTCGTAGAGGTGGATGTAATGGATGGTGGTTAGATGGTTCTGGGAGTAGTTAGTGGTCGTGGTCGTAATCGTAGTACTGGTACTGGTACTGGTACTGGTCTGCTCCAGCCTATAGCGCTCTAATCACGTAAACAGCCCGTTGAATCGCTCGTCCAGTCGTTCTTCGGCTTTCGACTCGGGGGTCTCAAGGTTTGGGAATTAGAATTGAGATTTCCGTTCGGGTCAGTGTAATGTAGTGGGTGGTGCAAGTCAACCCCCCTACTGCAGGTCAACTCGGAGAACGGACAGCAGACCCAGCGCGAGCGAGAGCGATAGGCAGGCCGGGACAGCGGCGCTACCAAGGTTGAGGTCACGTCGTGGAGATCAGGTACTTAGGCACCCAAGTATGTGGGTACGAGTCTATTTGCAGAATAACCCATGAAAATACGCTGTCACAGCGGGTGGTCTGCTGGGAGTGCCAGGGTGGAGGCCTGAGGGGGCGATGTACCAGATACCTGCCAATGAGTGGGCAAATTGTGTACTCTGGAGAGGGGGGTGCCACTCAGCCTGCATTAGCGCAATCAAACTGGGCTGCCCGCTGCTTTGAAAAGCGGCCAGCCAAAGTGGTCTGGTCCGAATGAGCACATCCGCGTCACGTGCACTATCTATCCATCGGCCGCCAGTAGACCTGCCAAAAAAAAAAAAAAAAATCGAACACTAGACAAAGGTAGTGTGTGCCTTGGAAAGAACACAATGTGCAACAAGACGGAGCCATAATCCATTAGTCCTCTTTTTTTGGCCCTTATTTCTTTTGTTCCTGAATACCTCACAATGGGCGACCGAGGTCAGAGCGGGTCTAGTTTGAAGGGGAAAAAAAAAAACGCGACGTGCTGGTATGCAATTTGAAGCAAAGCAAAACTACTTTTTGAAGATTAACTAATTATGACTGCCATGTCTTGCTTCATTGCACAGTCTTCGTCCGTTCTACCAGTTCCGTAAGACCAATTACCATTTAAGTCGTGCATGTATGTACCGCATGTGCCTTACCTTTCTCAGCATCATACAGGAGCTAAAATCTGTACCGACCGTTCCCTACCTACCTATATCACGGAACAATGCCCCTGGCTGAATTTCCGAGCTAACTGGGCTACCGTTGTGGCATAGAAAAGCTGCAGGCACATAAGACGGAAGGGGTAGGGGCAGCATTGCTGACAAAGAAGGAAAGACAAAATAAAAATAATAGTCGCCTGCTCACCAAGAAGTCACTTAATCCAACAAACTGAACCCTCTTTCCACAGAATAATTATGAGTAGGACGAATGTGCAATGTCCTGCGCACAGCAAATTCTAGCCAAGCCTGACCGACACCAGATGACGAGACAAATGAGCTGGCCCCGGCTGACTCTTCCCAAAAAGCAGATGGCAACCCCATGGCCCGGACATTGGAGTGGATGGCTGCATGGATGGGCCATGGCCGCACAGTACCGCACAATCATTCGACTAGGGCGATCAAAGAAAAAATGTCAAAGAAAAAAAGATAGACCATAGGAACTTCATCTCCTAGCCCTAGACGACACCTGTTGTCGATGATGAAACACCCAAAAAGCGATACGAGCTCCAGACTTTTTGTTGTCTTTCTTTCTCCCAATTCCAAGGAGTTGAGCTGATTCTGAATCTGCCACCCCTCAAAAGCGTGTTTCTTATTCCTCACACTGCCACAGCGGCATCCGGCCCGCGCAGGGAGCACCCAACCAAAGTCGAGAAGCTTATGATGTGCAGCTGGGGACCAACGTCACTTCATTGCTATTTGAGGACACTCAAGGAAGCCTCTCCTTACCTCTGCAATATCGCATTGAACAGCATTCATTGGTGTTCGGGGTACTTAGCAACAAATCATTGACGATTGAAACCACATTGTACTTTACTTCAGTTTTGCTTCTTCGACGCCTGCCGAACGGATGTCGAGCTGCATCGGTGTTCGCTGCTGGCTGCTGCCCGCAATCGAGACTAACGCGGCCCCAATTGCCCCAATGACTCCAAACCTACGGGGTCCATCCCAGACCACTAACCGGGCAAAAAAGGAAAGCCTCCAGAATACTACGCAGCACTGATAACTCACTACTCCCTGGCAGGGAACAGCAGCTTCCTGGACAAGGTTTGCGTCTCTACCTTTTTGCCCGTGATCACAGTTACCCTATTGAGATGCCAAGTCTGTGCCAGCGTGGTCCTACCAATCGAAGGGTTCCTTGGGTTCTTTGAGCCTCGAAGAATATTACCCACTGCTCTGAACCGCACTGCCGCACACCTAGCCCAGCCCCCAGTGTTCCATGCCATTCTCGAATAACACGAAGAACCGGGCACCGGGGCATACTGGAGACAGGGCTGGAGACTCACCGCAGTGCTGTGGACTGGTGACTGCTTGGCCCTGTGGATATTGTCGGCCATGGTCTGACGGCCATGTCACCTCCTCGGGCCCCTATTCACACCGGCGCTGCCGGCCGTCGTCTCCGTCCCGTCACGGTCATCTCCCAAGCTCCCACTTTCGCCCCTTGAGCCCCTTTGCGCCTAGGGATGACTTTGATTTCGAGGCTAACCGGCCTTGGCTCCACAGCGTCAGACCGACCTGAATCGGCAATCTCATTTTAACGCCCATGGCCTTCTACATCCTCCCAACACTCAAGCTCCAGTGCCCCTGTTCTCCATCACAATCACAGCGAAGCGCCCTTGCCGGCTCTGAAAACTGTTCCCTGAGCACAGCCAACCAGAGGCCACCCAACAGCGATCGCAGCGTTGCATGTTATCCCATCTGCCGCTCGGGGCTTGTCATCCGCCTGCGATAAAGACCTGACTGCTTGTCATTGACCGTTAAAGTATCTTTCCACTTATGTGAGTGATGGCTTTATTCAAAGGCGAGCTATCCTCCGTTTTTCGTAGGCCTTCTGTTATATATATCGCTTTCGTCACATTTCGCGTTGACCGTGTTTAGGGAAGACAAATTCAATCACTGGATGACTTGTATTATGCAATCCTGCCGCGCATGTTCTGGCTGTAACAAGTACCGGCGATCAAGTGATTAACAAACAGGTTGACAGCAAGGCCGCCTCTCCCAAAAACACAAATCCATGCGCCAGGCTACTCTGGATTGGCGTCAATCCTTCTCACTGTCGAAATGTTTGACCAGTAATCCCTGGCACCAAGTCGGTGACAGTGACAGTATTCCCTCAAGTGGCATGTGCGACACATGATATCCCGATGCTCACCCTCACGAAAACAACAGTATAGGTCTACCTCCAGTTTTGCATTCTTTTCGGACTCGTTGATACACTGCATATCATCTACAGTGCACTGCGCTGCTAGATCAATACAGACACTAAATGTGGCGGATTGTGGGAATCGGGAAAGCAAAATGTGGACTGATGGTGGTTGTGCATTGGTCATCCAGACGATCAGCACCTCAGAGTTCCCCGCGCCGCCACACCATCTCCAACGCACGGGAGGCCTTGGCCAGGCTGACGTTCACTGAAAGGTGTGGCAGCTCCGAGCACCATACTTCGTCATCACACCTCAAACCCAGAGAGCTATGCAGCACCCACCATATTTGCATGGACGTCGCACGCACTGAAGAGAATGTCATGACTGCGGATCCCAGTCAAATGGCTTTCCGAGCCGTAACGCACTGGCTTCAAAGTCAGACTATGCCGGTATTCTGCTGCACCACGCCGGCATTCCGGGTTCGGATGCCATCAGAGCTCGACGCTGACCCTCCATCGTTACAGAGTCAACTAAGCAAGGTGCTGAACCAGCAACAGGAGCAGCCACAGCAGACGCTCCAATCGTCGCAGATCGATAACGGCGAGAAGGACAGTCACGATAGTTTACTGAGGCGCGCATCTTCAACGAATCTGTGGACAAAACCGCTTCCCCAGCTACCGCCGCCTAACATGTCCTTGTCCGGCAAAGTCGCCCTCGTCACTGGTGGCGCAAGAGGTATTGGAGCAGCCATCGCGTTGAAGCTCGCCAGAGAAGGTGCCAGAGTGCGTCCACCAATCTCAGCCTTACCGTTCGCAGAGAGCCACGGCTAAAATTAGTGTTTCATCATTGTGCAAGTAAAAGGTCGCTTTCACCTTTGTAAATACATCGTCGATAGCGAAGGCTCATGAGGTCATATCCGAGATCGAGGCGTGCGGGTCCTCAGCCACCGCCATCCAGGCCGACGTCTCCAAGCACCAGGAAAAGGTAGTAAAGCGTGCCATGATGGCCTTTGGTGTCGAAAAGATCGATATTCTTGTTAACAACGCCGCTGCCACGCTCAGCGCGACACTGGACGAGACCAGCGCCGAGGACTACGACCGTATTTTTAACACCAATACCCGCGCCGTGTTCTTCATGATGCAGGCCGCCAAACCCCATATCGCTCAGGGCGGGCGCATCATCAACATATCCTCCGTCGCCGCCCGTGCCGACAGCCCTGGCAGCATGGCCTATGCCGGTAGTAAGGCGGCTGTCGAAGCCTTCACGCGTGTAGCCGCCCGCGAGATGGGGCAGGCACACGGCGTGACGGTCAACTGTATTAGCCCAGGGACCGTGAAGACAGAAATGTTTGATTCACTCCCAGATGACCAGCGCAGCGCGGACCTTGAGAGGGCAACACTCACACCTGCGGAGGCCAGGCTGGGCGCAGTCGAGGATATTGCCGATGTAGTCGCCTTTGTTGCGAGCGACGAATCGAGGTGGATTACGGGAACAGTCATCCCGGTCAACGGGGGTCGACTGATGAACTAAGAACACACGAGGTAAATGAATCTATGGACAATCTAATGGGTTATGGGTAGTTTGTTTCTTCAGTAACAGTAAGACTGCAAGGGTCGAGAATATGTAAGATGGGAGTCTGAAATGTTTGGGTTATTGCTTGGGTCATAGGATACCGGTCCGGTTGGGTCACGTCGGGTCAGGTTATGCAGTGTTACATGAATGGTCTCGAATGTAGGATGCCCTGCCAGATTATTTCTCTTTCGTTTAGTATGTATTTCACAACTTCAGTATACGGCCAGAGTATTTTCTCACATGCCAGTTTGATCATGTCTATGCAAAGCTGCTGGTTCTGGATTCTCGTATCCGCGTTGAGTTGCTATTCGATGATGAGGAAAGAGACGAGGCCACGGAGACCAGTGTGTTTATACCATTGCACGGGGTGGCCAGCAGTAGTTAAGGAACGAACGAGAATATAATGATGTTGCTGGGCTGTAGACGGGAAGGACGGCAGTTGTTAGGTTATGCTATGTGCTCGACATATGTGATCGGCATTTCGATAAACAGAGGCCTCTCGATGCTGACATGGCCGCGTAGAGGCACGAGTTTTCTTGTAAATTGAGAGGGCCAAGATCCCAAGACATCGTCGAAATTTACAGGAAATCTCCATGACCATCTTACAACGCACATTAAGTCATGATCTGCTGTATGCACTTTCATGAAATCCGCAGCTCGTCATTTTCAAGTTCTCGTGGGCGGGAAGGCATTTACCATCGGGTCTGGGCATTAACCCAATTCGCAGGCAAAGGTCCTCCAGCCGCAAAAACGAGATGTTAAACATTGCTTAAGGCACATCCTCAGAGTGGGAGTCGTCGAAGAGCTTGATTGGGTCATCGCCAACGGGCGCCGCGTTCATTAAACCAGGTCCAGACTGCTCGAGACTGTCATGAGCACCGGAGCAGCCCGGTGCTGCGTTCCCACATTCAAACAAGCAGGCTGCTCTGACATCCTTGAAAAGGGGGACACGTTACCATAATATGTCAAAAGATACCGGAGCTTGCTATCACGTTGTAAGACCTGCTTCATGGCTGTCCAGTAGCATGACGAGTCAACCCCGGTCGTGGGTGAAGCAAAGCAGCAGCTGAACTTCAAATTCCAATTCGGTCTTCTCCCCCCTTTTATTTTTTCCTTCCTTTTTCGCTTGCCGTGTATCAAGTTTCTTATCTATGTTTATTTGTATTGCACTGTCTCGGTTATTGAGAAAGAATGTCCGTCGATGACCTGAGGTGGGAGTCCTTGTCTCATCATCAGTAAATTGCGGTAACACAATATACACCAAGCACATTTTGTAGTTAGTATTCACAATTTATCTGTCACAATGATGCGGGAAACTTGGACACACTGCTTCTTAGAAACTATGGGGACGACAGACGAACTTTCCTTTGCCTAGGTTGCGTATACAGCCGTTGAGCGAAAGATCACATGCTAGTATCCATATCTTGGACCATGGATGACTTACATATTATCCCGCCCCGGGTTGTTCTATGGCACCTGGAGTTTGCCCGCACTGGAAACATCATGCCATTTTCTAGGATGGGATACTGCTTCCTCTGAATGTACCTGCTTACGACACCAACATAGAGTCGCTTTCAGTTAAATCCGCTGACAGTTAATAAACGACAATACTGTACTGCATCACGCTCATGTATGATTTGAAAGTTCTGTTTTCGTTCTAACATACAAGAACTGGAGACCTCATGTGTTTGATAGTCAACAATATGAACTACTGTACTTGAAGTTGAGTAGTGGACTACTTCTTATATACCACTGCGTCATACGGACAACCTTGGAGTCCACCGCCGAGAATGTTTCAATTAATTTGATTAGAGACTACAATCCTTGATATATAATGTAGGGTGGAGTTGGGTATCATAATTCTGCTCCAACGAGGACAATGAGACTTGCGAAAACGCGCCAACTCCGTAAAAATGCATATGAAAAAAAAAAAAAAGAGTCAAGCGCAAGCCCACCGTGTCCTCTAGGCCGATGTAGTTGAGCGCCGCCAAATCATGAAGGCGGCAATGCCGGCGCAAGCCGTTGCGCCCAGGGCGAGATACAGACTTGTCCTGTCCGGGGGCGGTTCTTCACTTCGGGGGAAGGCGGTGCTAGGGTTCGTTGCGGCGTCAGCCAAGGCAATGAACAACTCGCTGATGTTGTTCCACTTAACAGTAACGTGTAGTGGCGTGCTCATCATCAGACTCGACGTATACATGTCTGGCTGCATTTGGCTGCGCTGCATCGTCTTGTCCTTATCCGCCTTCAACGCGGTGTAAATATTGGGGAGATCATCCAGCTGCGGATAGCGCTTGCGCAGCTCGACGATGTGGGTGAAAGAGTCGGGATCTGAAGAGTCGTACGCGTAACATATGAGATCGCAGGCATCAAGCTTAGCCTGGTTCTCCAGGATAGCAGGCTCCAGCTCGCCAAGCTCCTCGAGAATCATGTAGCACTGCTTTCCTCCAGGAAGCTCAACGCTATTGACGGCACGCCGTGGCTTGATTGTCGGCCGATATAGACTGTCGAAAGGGCGACTCAAGAACGCGTCCAATAGCGACGACTTGCCGGCTCCAGAGGCCCCGAGGACATAGCATAGCACAACGTTGCGTTCGACCTTGCCTGGGCGCCTTCTCCGCTTGCGCGACTTGGTGACCTTGAGAGCAGCAGTGGTAGTCTCCCGCGCGGTTGCTGGCTCAAAGCCAAGGTACGCCAGGTATTCCAACGTTGTCTTCGGTTCCATGAAGGTTGTCATGCTCCACTGAGCTAGCCACCCCTGCAGAGTGACGTGCCCGGCTTCGTTACGTACAGTGGATGACGGGAACGACGTTTCAATCCACGAAACGGGAAGCCCGGGCGTAGGCGCAAACAGTGCCTCCAGCTCTTGGTCATTCAGACCACCATCGTTATCCTTATCGAACAGCAAGAACAAATCCACAAAGAAGCGGTAGCCAGCAGGACTCAGTTCTGCCGAAGAGTACTCGGGTACGTCAAACTTGGGGTGTAGGAAGCTGTCCTCCAAGCTCAAGCTGTCGGTGTAGCGGAACTTCCGTAGAATGATCCATATCGTCTCGTGTCTGCCCTTCTCGGCATAGATTTTGTTCAATTGCAGGAACCCTCTCTGGTCAATGCCGTTCTCCGCCGACCAGTGTGATAATGACTTGCTGATAGAGAGCTTGATGTTTTCTAAGTCTTCGGCTGTCAGGGTTTTGTCGAAGCAGCGCGACTGGAAGTCATGCATCTCCTGATCATTAAGGTATCCATCTTGGTCCTTATCACACAGGTAGAATATCCGCTTTAGCGCGTCAACACAGGCCGGCTTCAAGTTACCCTCCTTGTAGTCGAATAGCGGGGCGATGGGGTGGGTGACGGCCTTTTGACACAGGAAGAAAACTTCGTTTACGTTCCGGTGCTCCCTCGCACTAGACCGGATGCATGAATCGATCTCGCGAAACTCGGCCATAACCGGAAGCATTTCGCCCTCGACGACCTGAGGCGTGTTTCCATCGCCGGTCAGATCTGACTTGTTCGCGCAGAGGACGACTGGCACGTTGACGCCGAGAGAGCGGAAGTAGGGCATCCAGAAGAGGGCAACGCGCTCATAACTGTAGTGATCTGAGTAGACGAGGAGGATGACGTTGCATTTTCGAATCTCCTTCCGCAATGTTGTTCGGTCCTGGGGTCGGGCTGAGGTGTCGACGATGGTGGTGGTGACGTTTTCGGGAGTGCCGAGCTGGGGAGGGATGGTGATGGAGGGGAGAACGGACTGGATCTTGTTGGAAATGAATACGTCCTTGACGAGCGAAGCGATGAGGCTGGACTTTCCGGTGCCCTCGTCGCCGCAGACGCAGATGCGGACTAAGTTTGGACAGGAGTGGTCAGTTTGGAGCTTGGGCGAGAGGGTATTGAGGTAGGACAGAGCTATCCATCAGGCCACCTACCAGAAGCCATGGTTGGGATATGCGGAGCTACGACAGAGAAATATCTCTATTGAGATTCCATGGCAATGTGATCCCGAATTGTTGATTGAGAAGAGTCGGCTCGATCTGATTGATCTTCAGCTTGCAGCCTAGGTGGTTGATGGGTCTCTTGGGTGCGATTGTGATTCAGGTTGACCCAACGAGTTCGAAGAAGCTTTGGAGCGGGTAGGACGGGAATCTGCAGGTTGACGGGGGTAGAGTTCGAATGACGACCTGAATTGCAAGGATCCCTCCGGTGGGTGGACCACTGGAAGGTGCTGGCAACGCGGCGGCACCAGCGCCTCGGCGATGCAAGGCCCGCTGTGAGAGCAGTTGATTAGCGGAGCAACACTGTGCAACTCTGTGATAAGCGAGCCGTTGTTCAATCCAATGAGCTAAGTAAAGCACAAGTAACTGAACAGCAGTTTCTTATCTTGCATTGGTGAGTAGAGTGCATCTCATTGGTGCTTGGAACTGCAGCGTTGAATTGACGCAAGTGAATAAGAGAGTCTGGTGATTTGAATATTAGTTAAAAGTGGCAAAAGTGATTGTTCAAGATAAGCTCTTCTCCTAGGGATAATCAATGGACGTTAAGGTCTGGAAACTCAAACGAGACAGCACTGCCCTTCAGCTAGCGTATTTACGAGCATGTTAACTAAAAACTGCTTTGCCATGCCCGAGTTTGAAGCCACCACCTTTGCCCACACTATTCATTGTCACATATTTGAGTTACCCGTTCAACTCGACTCTGCTTGGAACATGTCTGGAGTCGGATAGAACAATTTTCATATCTTTGGAAACCCCCATAATATCGTGAGTTTATCTGCGAAGCCATCCCTGGGTAAGAATGCAAACAGCTGGCTCTAGTGGCCTGGTATTCGCAACTCTGAGTCTCCATGGCTTGTCCGAGGACATCTCAATATTGCAGAGACTCCAGCAACCCCTCATAGCTGCGCCAATGAAACTGTCGGCTGACCGTGGGATTTACGACTCGAGGGCCGGGCAAACAAACCGACTGACCGAGACGACTCCAGCGCCAATGGTCTCCTTCTCCAGCTTTTTACCCCACACTTTCGCAGGCCAGTCTCACCAGATTAAACCCGGCCGTCAGGGACAACTCGCCTGTCGATGCAGCGTGCTCTTGTTACTACCCCCGCCAAAATGGAGCAGGTTGCCCTCCTTCCCACCACTCATATCGCAGCAACCCTTCTCCGGACCCCAGGCTAACCTGCCCTTTTCCCACGCGGTGGCCTTCTTTCATGGACAAATAGGCAACTTGGATGGCTTATCCCAGGGCGCAGACATGACCACCCCCGGGTCATAGGAAGGCGGGGACCGAACCAGAACCAGACGCACGTCGCTGGGTTGGGGTTGGTGCTTGGTGCACATTACCTTCTTCAGCCAACCAACCTAACGTTCCTGGTCTTCAAACCCCCAGCCTTCTCGGCCTGTATTAATACTCTTCGACACCTCCCCTTGCACGAAGGAGTCGTCGCCCCCCATCGAGAACTATTCTTGAGTTCGTCTGGTTGTTGGCGCACCACCCTCTATCAGTCTTCCCACCCCGACCTCTCTGCCATCCGATCCATCGCCGAATCATCCCTCCCGAAAAGCCTCACCTCACCTGGTCTTGTGTGACCTTCCCGAAACGTTAACCTCACTATCAGCCTCTTTGTCTTCGACCTCCCCACCGCCCTGACGCCGCTGCCAACGTCCCAAAACACCCACCCCAGCCGCCAGTGACGAGCCACTATCCCGAACCCCGACCATAATTACCTCCATCGTCTCTCGAGGTCGTGTGCTACACATTTCCCTCGCCCTTTTCGTCGGCCTCGTAGCTCTCACCACCTGTCCAATTCGTAATTGTATCGTCGCCGTCCTCGAGACGTCTAATCGCCCATTATGTTGTGAGTACTCTTAGCATTTTGATTGTGCTGCCTGGCTATTTGTCGTGCCCCTTCGTGCAACGATCGGAATCCTGCCTCATTGCACAATTTCGCTGTCCTACCGGCGCACAGCCAAGCCCTGCCATAATGCGATCGAAGACATCCAGAAAACACATGGCTGACATCTCGCCTCTTGTGCGACACTCCATCCAGCGTTCTCCCGCCTCCCCCGCGATATCCCTCGCACTCGGGCGCCTATGGCGCAATGGGCGCAGGCATCGCTCCCATGATCGAGACGAACAACATCCTCTCCAATCCCGAGGGTCCTGAGTACCAGTTCCTGGTCGGTGAGGGAACCTACATCCTCAAGGAAGACCTCCACCTCGCGACACCGCCCCCTCACCCCTCCGAAGCTCCCGTCGTTAACCCGAACCCGCTTGCGACGAACCCGCAGCCTGCGACCGCCGGCACGAAGCTATCTCTCATAAGCCTCGACATGCGCGCCGCACCGCCTTTCTTCTACAAGGGTTCATCCGCCACGACCCTGTCCCTCGGTGGCGATATTCAAGAACATCCCAATGAGAGCCGGTACTCGACCGAGGCAGGGCTCAGCAGTGATGGCGGCGGTGGGACCTCGCTCAGTGATGCGCCGCCAACATCGCTTACCATGGTATCGGCGCCAGCATTCGGTGACGGCAACACGGCGCTCGCGCCCACCAACACCAAAGATGCTGCGAAGAAGAAGGTGCCGAAGCCGAAGAACAACATGACTAAGAGCAACTCTTCATTCATTTCTAGAGTGATAGTAAACGAGAGTTTGACCAAAAAACTTCAAGAGCGGCCCACGGATGGAGTCTTCGCATTTGCCAACATTAATCGGGCGTTTCAATGGCTGGATCTGTCATCGCCGACAAAGGTACGGACGTTGATCTGGCGATCCATAGAGCTGATTCTAACATCTGGCAGGCCGATTACTTGACTAAGATTCTGTTTACTAAGGCTCACTGTCTCTGCCACGACGTCAATTCGGTCACGAAAAGCATTTCACACATAGATGTCATCATGGGCTTCTCTACTGGTGAGATTATCTGGTGGGAGCCCGTGTCGCAACGATATACCCGTTTGAACAAAAACGTAGGCGGCGATCCTCCATGTTGTCTTTTGTGTTTGGCTAATACTCTCAGGGCATCATCAACGGCACTCCGGTGTCTGAAATTAGATGGATTCCCGGCTCGGAGAGTCTATTCCTGGCCGCACATATGGACGGTTCGCTTGTGGTGTACGACAAGGACAAGGAGGACGCGCAGTTCTCGCCGGAGGAGGAGTTAGCAGCTAATGGGATGACGAACGGCGAGAGCGAGTCGATGAATGGCATCAACCACAACCTCAGGATCCAGATCAACAAGTCAGTTCACTCCAAGAACCAGAAGACTAACCCTGTAGCGTCTTGGAAACTGTCCAACCAGCGGATCAACGCCTTTGCTTTTAGTCCCGACAACAGGCATCTGGCTGTGGTTTCAGAGGATGGCTCTCTCCGTATCATTGACTACCTAAAGGAAGAGTACGTTTGCACACCTCACTTGAGGAGTGATTTTGTTGACGTGTGAACAGACTGTTGGACCTCTACCACTCGTACTATGGCGGCTTCATCTCTGTCTGCTGGTCTCCGGATGGCAAGTATGTGTTGACAGGCGGGCAAGACGATCTAATTTCAATCTGGTCCGTCGTGGACTCGGCCATTGTGGCGCGCTGCCAAGGTCATCAATCCTGGGTCACGTCGGTTGCTTTCGACCCGTGGCGTTGCGATGACAGAAACTATCGTTTCGGAAGCGTCGGCGAGGACTGCAGGCTGTGTCTATGGGATTTTAATGTTGGCATGCTTCATCGCCCCAAGGCGGTACGTTGGACTTGACTCAAGATGTCATACGAATTTTGAAGCATGTAGGAATGCTGACAGCGGGAACAGGCATCCGTCCACCACCGGGGCTCCGTGTCATCACGATTCGCTAGTCCTCTGCAGAGACAAGAAACAGCGAACACATCAGCGAGCCGGATCCGGTCCAACTCGACCCTTTCGGGAGGCGCTGTCGACGAGGAGAGCAGCATCGTTCACCCAGTCGAACCGCGGGCTAGAATCGCCATGTTGCCCCCTGTATCTGTAGGCTAAGCCTTGCTTTTCCATGTGAAAAAAGCCCTGTTGCTGACGTGTTCGCAGTCTAAAGCACTTGATACCCACCCTCTCTGCTGGCTTGCTTTCACGGAAGAAGCCATTATCACAAGTTGCAAGTCGGGTAAGTTGACCTTGCATTGGCAGGAAAACCAAAATGCCGCGTTTGCTGACTTGTACCGTAACAAAAGGACACATCCGGACGTGGAACAGGCCGACAGATGCCCCAGTGCCAAAGGAGGGGACATCTTAGATAACGGCAGTTTCACACTCATTTTTTCGGGTTCGATGCAGATATTGGAGCTTGGGGGTAGGATTAGCCAGTGCCGTATTAGAGTCACCATGGCTACTGTTTTAAAAAGTTCCACGAGCAATTACACTTCAATTCCGTTACCATAATATCATGCAGGTGCAAGGCTCGTTTTGCCGCCGCACTTCTGGTGGTAAAGTGTACGTGTCTCTCATGAGGACGGGATGATCATGACGTCCCGATCTGCGCGTGAACGAGGGACAATATGTCAGAGCTTCCCACCCTGAGGGGACCCTTTTGAGACAAAAATCTGCGTTCTGCTGCACAATCAAGATGCGGCTCATGGTGGGCTGGGCCCCTTGCGTGCTTGGGGGGGCCCTGTCTTGGGATTTGCCTGTCTGCCACCAACAGCATGCGTGGGGGTTCCACCAAACCGTTGTCGCCCTCACCACACACAGGGATGGGAGTGAGCGTCACCGAAGACGGCGGGCGGGCGAGGTGTGGGAACCAAGACGGGTTGCCTAAGTGGTGGTAATTGGCGCGTGGGTGGAATGCCAGCCAGCCAGCCAGCTTTCCTGTCGACCACGAAAAGAAGCCGGGTGGAAGTCGAACGGTTTTTTTTTTTTTTTTTTTTTTTTTTTTTGGCGTGGTACAACCGTTAACGGTCCCTGGCCTGGTAGAGATAAGACGTTGGAAAGTCTGGAACACATGGAACGGAACATCGAATGAGCTGCGTCTTTCTCGGTGATTTCCACTTGGGTCGTATTTGGTCTTGAAGCAAGGAAGAGGAAATTCCCGACGGTCCACTTTACTTTGATATGCGACGAGAAAATAAGAAAGGGTGTCGCGGTAGGAAAACCCTCTTAGGCAATGAAACTCTGCGCGAAGCTTGAGCGGATACCTTTCACATGCTGTTGATACCGAACCCTGATACGACGGCGTGATTGACATGAGGCCAAGGGGACTGATAGGTTTCACTGCTGAGAAGGTGGATGGGAGATCGATAGTAGTGCAGCCGCAGCGTATGCTATGCAGTAGTATCGCGTGAGAGCTTGACCTAGTAGTGTTTTTGAAGCATATGCACGCCTACCGGGAGATCCACGTGCATGCAAAGTCCATATGGAATTGAATTAATTTTAATTTTTTATTTTTTTTGCACGCAGTATTCTTGTTGGTGTTGGGCTCCATTGTCAATGTGAGGGCCCCTCCCCTTGGCAACAAGGCGTAATCGGAGGTGTAGGCGTAGACGTGGACAACGGGTAGCAGGCCCACTTTGAGCGGTTTGTGTGCATATCTACAAGTGCTTGAGAGGTCGGGAAGCAGGAGGCAAGGCTGAATATTAGCCCCACCTCGTGGTTCGAGTTGAGCTTACGACAGGTCAGAATTTGGTCCGCGGCCGTCGGGTATCAAGGTTCATGTCTCTGTGCTGGTAATCTGTGAGAGGTGACCCCTTAGGTTTTCACCGCTGCGAAGGGCCGATGGTGAGAAATTTCAAAGTAGTGGGGATTTGGAGGCGGTAGTTGGCTGAAATTCCAAATGGGGCCAGACTTCGTGACTCAAATTGGTGCCCGAGATGGATCATCGACCTCCAAAGTTATTGAAACGATGGACCTGTATGGGTAGTCGGACCTTTGCAAGCTTTTCGCCATCGATGGCAATTGGAAACGTGCACCCATCTGCCATGTTGTGTAGAGTTATACATAGGAGCAGACTCCTTGCGGTTCAAAACATCCGGATGACCCGCTCGGTTCCGACGGACCTCAGTCGATTACACACACCGGCGACTGCGATCAGTGAACGATACTCAGGCCATGATGTGCCCTGAGACAAGACCAGAAACAGGCCAGATAGGTTGGTGGAAAAGGTACGCACGCTGCAAGCTAACGTAAGGGCCAAAACACCTGCTCAAGAGATGTCATGTTGATATCAGTGGGACTTGGGTGATCTGACCCAAGGAAGCAGGCATGATGCTATCTTTGCACACGCCCAGGCTAATGGTGTAGTGGATACCTGTGGCTGCGGATGCCATCTGCGGCAGTCGGCGAGCTGAGCCGTTGGGGCGCCATTGATGCTCAGGACAACTTGAAGTGTGCGCTAGCAGACTGCGTGCCGCCGGACCTCGATCCTGTCATCGTGGCCCTGGACCAAACCTGCATATTGGGCCTGGGTTCCTTGTTAATGGCACCTTTCGTTTCGCGCGGCGATATATCTTGGCTTGGCGGACCAACCGTTCTTCGCCGGCGTATACCGGTGGGTAATGGCTTAAGTTCGCTTGTGATATTTACCCGCCTTCTGCGCAGATGGAATGGAGAGGCCGGTCTAGTAACCGGGATATCTTGAATAGTGCTTATTATGTAAACATGGAAACATGGTTGGCGAGTGCGTATGGACATGCTAACAACAACCAAAATCTCACAAACTCATGAACAGCCCCCAAACAGCAAAAGGCCGGGCTTTACGTGCATAGCTGACCTAAAATCGCCTTAGGGCTGGTGAGCTTCGAGTGTGATCCTGGACACGAAGTGCCACAAGTTCGACTCTGGTGGCCACTAGTGAATGCGGTATACTAAGTGAATATTGCGTCGCTTGGGCAAGAGATTGAGGTTTGATGATGACACAATCAAGTCCCAACCTTCCACAAACATGTGCTCGTACATCTCGAGTATAGCCTAGTAAGCCTAAGTAAGTTAGCTCTGAGAAGCTTGCCGGAAAGCTAGTGCAGTTCGACGGGGAGAGGCCGTCATTGACCGAGATTCAGGTCCGTGTCTCGAAGATTGTCACTCGGCATGGATCCGGGCTTGGTGCGGATTCGGACCGCTGCACGGGCGACTTCGCATTTTAGTGCAATTTGCTGTTATCTCGGAGTCATCCTTCCTAGCGCGACCCCATTGGTTGCCAACCACCAACGGAGCGTAAAGAAGAAAAAAAGTCGCAATCGGAGAAATAGCAGGGTCGAAGACGCCATCGCCAAAATTTCAGCGAAAGAATCCACAACGAGTCGGTGAGCGACCCATTAAAATTTTGGGTTTTGTTGGTCTTGTTCTTACATGGTATTATTATTGTTGGGGAACAGGTTTCGAAGCCCTCGAAACTGGAGAAAAGTCACAGTAGCAAATGATACTGGGCGCGAAATCGTATGGTGATGATTTGATTTCTGGTTCTGTTTCATTCGTTTCGTTATGCATGTTGGAATGGCAACGAAAAGCGCTGCAACCGCGGCATCGTGAATTGACAGGCCGGGACTTGACGGGATGACAAGACAGGCCCCCTGGGCTTGAGATCCAGAAATCTGTGTCGATAAGGAGATAGTATGAGACAAGACGGAATCCTGGCTCGCTGGCAATCTGGACTTCGTCCTTATCGGTGGGGTTTCTACCGAGCTCCCCTCTCTCAGGAAGAAATTCCCATGGCAAGGCTCGGTCCAGGTACCAGAGTGGTTTCCGTCTCTCCTAGCGACGATCTTCCAAGCACCCGACTGGGTCCTGGCAGGGGGTGAGAGAGCGTTCTCGGCTCGGTGGATTGGATCCGTAAAAACGAGAGGAGGTCAGTTGAAAGTACGGTCTGGAAGTCTAGAAGGCTCTCTATCTGCGAGGAATATTGCATAAGGGAGGCAGCCCCGTAGAAACAAGCCTGCCAGAAGAGCTGGATAAATTGACTTGCATTGACTTCCCGCTGCGCGTGCAGATGCCAATACGGAGGGGTCATGCCCTCAAATGAGTAAGACACGAACCCAGCGACAAAACACACAAGAATTTCAAGAGTCAGTGGTTGAAGCGCGAGACGGTATCGCATTGTTCACATTCTTTGTGTGAAGTAGTAAACTGGAAGTCACGGGCTTAGCATGTAGAGAACATTGTGAGATTTTTCGTATCAGACAGAAAATTATGTCGCGGAACTGGCCCGGCAGTAGAGATCAGTCTACCTTACCTTGCTGCACGTTTTGGTGTTATCCAGTTTGTCAAACAAATATTGATCATGTTCCGAAAGGTTGTCACTCAGTTGCAAGTAAAATCCATTCTGCCGTGCTCTCCTGACCAGTCTCCTGACCGATGGTGCTCATGACCGTCAACTGCATTTGAGAATCCATCATGCGGAGGGGGTCAAAGTAAGCCAATCAACCTTGTCCAGGGGGATTGTTGTTGCCTGTCGTGAGGGGTTGTGCTACACGTAACTGCCCGTAATGTAAACGTGCCGTCGATTTGCAGAATGTGAGAATGGTAGACACGGCAAGACTGGCAGTTGGCGACTATCGACATCTGGGACATCTTCAATATCGCGACGAGATAAATCTTGGCTTCTCCGTTTAGATTCGCGAGGCGGAGTAGACCACATATGGTGACAATGGCGTATTTTGAGGCGGTCTGCAGTTTGTTACAACTAGGTTAGCACTTTGGCTAGCCATATCGACCGTCACGACCGTCCAATTACAGACCCGATCCAATGGCGATCGGGGTACGAATTGATCAGCAGAGGAAAACCAACGAGACAACTACTACCACAAAACAATTATCGGTACGGAGTACACTAATTGGTACATCGAACCAGATCCGGATCCGTGATGGACGGAAGGAAGACCGCTTGCTGGAACAGCAATAGAGGCGGGTAAGATGGGAAACATCCCACGCAGACCCACCTGCCTGGTTTTTTCTCACTTCTTTCCCCTCCTACCTCTGCACCTCTGTTCCCTCTCAAGAAGGAAAGGTTTCTCGTTGGCAGACTGGCTGGTGGTCATTGCCCTTGGTCATGTTGCAGTGGGTGGCAGGAGGCAGCGGCAGTACATAGTACATAGTACACAGGCAGGTGTGTGGCGGATAATCGCCTACCAAGATGCCAAGACAGGGAAGAAGCAGGCTCCATAGCTTCCATTTGGCTTCCATATCATCGCACGATTCATGTAGGGGGTGCCAGCCTTCGGTCATCGGTCGCCTTATCCGTCAGATGAACAGCGGGAAACGGGAAGATGTTCCTGTTTTCCATTCCTTCCCTTTCTTCTTCTTCTAAACTTCCCCTTGCATTACTGGTGGTGTTGTTGCTGACTCTTGGATGAGTATTGACGAATAAATCGACTCCGCGGAATCATTCAAAGGCAGTTAGCGAATCAGCCAATACAAGCATTATGGCGGACGCCCTATCGGAGTTCCTGCGCTTAGGGGCACAAGTGACCGACGCACTCGTAATGGTGATTTGCATCGGACTATCCGTATTGCGGACGTGATATTTCCATTTGCTTGTCAGCTGAGAATCGTGGCGGGCGCATGTTGGCTTCCGCACAAATAAGATGCACATAACGTGAATGAGACCGTGGCATCGTAGCCGGGCGCAAGCAGGTGTGAAAAACCCTCCAATCAGCCCAGCCTTAAGAGCAGAGAAGCAGTTTGCAGGCGCTCGAACCATGTGTTTCGATTCCAGTTGCTTTTTTCCTTCATCGTCCTTTCCTTTCCCACCCTGTTTCACTTCCACATGGATTTTTATTTCGTTTTTGTGCATTAAGGTTGATTCTTGTTTTTTTCAGAAAGTTTTAAACCATGCATGATGACCACATGAGCGACAGTAAATCGATTAGTCGCATGCCCTGATGAGGCATAAACCCACCATCTGACGATAGTGCCCTGACACGATAGCATGCAGATACGTTGCTCCTGCTTCGAGGGATTACGAAAGCAGGCGTTTTGTACTGCAGGCTTCGCTATCAAAGGAAAATGTCAAGCTGGACGGCTAGTCCGCCATGCTAACCAAAGTCATTGCTGGCAAGCTGTGGGCTTTCTTTAGTCCATAGCAGCCCTAAGCACCACTTCGGGTCCCGATTGAGAAAGCGGCCGAGAGATACTGCGGACGTCTTAGCCGACGGTAGTGTGGTGGTGGTGGTGGTGGTGGTGATAGCACGAGAGTCAGATACAAACTCAGGCTTACACTCAAGACTCAGACTCCGCGTCAGCAATAGCCGCACAGGTAACCACAAGGTCCAGTCAGCCAACCTGAGGTCTCAAGATGCACCTCATGTGAATTTGCGCTAGTAGTCCCAGATTCAGTACTCCCGTCTGAGTTGAGTTTGAATGGGTGTCCACACTTAGGTGTGTATCGAACGGAAATATTGCGAGCTGATGGAAAGGTATTCCCGTCACTGGATGCATTTTTGACCGAAAGACTGACCATGATTCGCCCACACCCCCCTCTTTATCTTCTCCCATTACCGTCATCCTTTCTCTCGAGGCAAAGTAAAAAAGAAGAAAAAAAACCCATCCCACTTTCCATCCACCGGACCATCGCCGCCAAACCCACCCATGGCAGGGCAGGGCAGATAGCGCAGCTCACACACACACACATATACACACACACACATACCCCTGCCTTGACCGCTGGGATCCATGACGAGGAGCCTGCCAGTCTCGTACTGCTCACTACTCACTCCTCTTCCCTGCTGGGTCGGTGTCTGGTCGGGATTCTCTTCCCGTAGCCAGCAGTATCTTAGGATGGGGGAGGGGGGCAAATGCACGTACCACCTGTGCCTTACCTCATTATTAGAGTAGTTTTCTTTATTTTCTTCGCCTCGCATGGAATTCTGTAGTGATACGTATCTAGTCTCGTACCTTACGCTGGTGCATCGACCCAGCCCTGCACCTCGTTTCTTTACCTGCCATGGTCACCCCCCGGCTCCGTTTTGGGCCGTCGTCCTTGTTCGGTGGCTGCCGCTGGCCCCCATCATCCTTACAGTGGACGTACCATACGCAAGCCAGCGCAGGCCCAGGCCTCGTCCCATTCTCTCCTTATCCAACTCCGTTCAAAGTTCGGGCTTCCAGGGACCCTGAACAAGGAACAGTCTTTCTCTCATGGATCTATCTCTCCCGGCCCTGCCCCACCACGACACCCACGCCCACGTCGTCCACCCCTCGGTGGTGGGCTGCCCGTTTGTGAGATGAAGGCACCGGCGCTTTTTTTTTTTTCTCCCTCCCAGGTTGATGTTGCTAATCATGCTTGCGCTTGCGCTTTGCCTGGTCTAAGCCCACCTTTGATCTGATGAATGTATCTTCGTACCCAAATGGATGCTCCGTTAATAAATACAAGCCCGCCTCCAGACCTCCCCATCCCAAATGTTTAGGCCGCTTTCCTCTTGCCAGGCATATTGCTTGGTTCATGTTGTCTCCAACCGCTGAAGATGCCGTCATTCAATCCATTCTCGACCGTCACGGGCAAGCATGCCGCTTCCCTCTTTGAGATCAGGTATGCTCTACTACTTTCGTCCAACGCAATTTCTCCCCTCTCGTAAAGTCGCATTCTCAGTGCTTGCCTACTAACTTTATCTATTTTGCAGACTCGACAATGACTTTATCGTATTTCGTGGAGGAGAGGACGAGTCTGCTGGTCAGATTCTCAAGGGTGTTGTGGTGCTGTGTCTGCCCACTCCCCTCAAGATCGAAGATGTTCACCTCCGACTGACCGGCACTCTCCGATTATCGTATGAGCCACTCCCTAGCCCCGGTTCGACTTTGCAGATCGGCCAGCTGACCTGACCCCCTTCTGCAGGTGGGATTACTCCAAGAGCGCCGCTTCTGGCGTATCGAGCCAGAAGGTCGATAAGACCACTACCCTGCTCCAGCATCGATGGGCTCCGTTCGTCGGCGGCACTGGTGGCAAGAACACCATTTTGCCGGCCGGCAACTATGAGTGGCCGTTCGAGTTTACCCTGCCCGGCAACACCGCCGAGAGTGTCGAAGGAATCCCCGAAGCGAGCATCACCTACAAGCTCAAGGCTACTGTCGCCCGCGGCAAGCTTGCCTATGATCTGCATGCCTACAAGGCCCTGCGCATCATCCGCACCCTCGAACCCGCCGCCCTCGAGTTCCTCCATGCCATGAGCGTCGAAAACATCTGGCCTAATAAGGTTGACTATTCCATCATCATCCCGCAGAAGGCTGTCGTCTTCGGGGCCTCCGTCCCCCTTCAGATGCGCTTCACACCGCTGTTGAAGGGTCTGGAGCTGGGTGAGATCACGGTCAAGATGCTGGAGATCCGCGAATGCACACTGCAGGGACCTACTGGCAACATTTTCAAGGAGCATAGGACAGAGAGAGAAGTTTCCAACTGGAAGTTCGAGGTCGACAGAGACGAGCATTGGCACGACACTATCGAGGACACTGGCCAGGAGGGTTGGTTGGTGGAGAAGAAGCTCAACCTACCGAAGAGACTGCGACAGTGTGTTCAGGACCTAAACCACAACGGAATCAAGGTGCGACACAAGTTGAAGCTTGTTGTTGCCCTGAAGAACCCAGATGGACATATTTCAGAGGTAATTCGCTCCCTAGTATTTCCTACAATCTTCTTCAATTACTAACAATCTTTAGCTGCGAGCCACCCTCCCCGTCTCCATCTTCATCTCCCCAAACATGCCTCTCGACGAACATGGAGTTCTTGTCGACCAGGCTCCCGGCTCCTCAACAGCTTCTCAAGCTGAAGTTACTCGAATCGCGCCCCCGGGCTATGGCGAACACGTTCTCGACCAGTTGTACGAAGACGTCGATATGAGCGGCTTCCAGACTCCCGGATTCCAAACACCCGGCATCCAGTCAGGCTTCAGCAGTCCCTTTTATGCTCAGTCTCGTGCTGGCTCCTCGGAAAATCTGGCCTCTCTTGCAATGATGAACGGGCATGGTGTTGCACCCGCCGCACTGTCATCTCGCCTCCAGAACGTCTCTTTGGACCCGTCTCAACGCAACACGTCTTTCAACTCACTTAACGCCATTACTGAGGATGTAGCTGCTCCCACATCAGCACCTACTGGCCACAGCTCGCAGACACACTCTGCTGCACTGACTCGCCACAACAGCGCCGAGGACCACCCCAATTCTCACTCGTCAGGCCGCAACTCGCCCGAGCACCTCGATTTCCCTGATATGGCTACCTTGAGCAAGGTGCCTAGTTACACCACAGCCCTTAAGACTCCTGCTCGGGTTAGGGGTCAAGCTGGCGAGGCACTTCCAGATTACTTCTCCGCCATGAGTGCTCCCAACACGCCTCCTGCTACCGATGCCCCCCTTGCGGACCCTCTGAGCATGATTCCAGAGCACCAGGGTGGTGCCGGTAGCGAACCAACTACCCCAGGAGGCTCGCACCGTTCATGGCATCGCCCTGCGAGCATGACCACCCTGCTTCACGCGGCTCAGGGTGGTGAAGACCGCAGATTGCATCTCTTCCAAGGACGAGAAAGGGTCTACTGAGATTTCCAGTAGGAGATTTTCACTCATTTGATTTAAACCTATATTATAGAGGGCGGCACTCGGGTATTTTAGCATGGCATTGGCGTTGGGGGAAGCGGGAACCCAGACTGGGCGGTACCCTTTTTGAAGTTTACAGTATTAGATTTGCGCCTTGAGGCAACAGGACTCCTTGGCTGCTAGGACACATGTACACGGATTGATTTGATGTTAATGGGAAAATGGGGCGATATTGGGAAGGCATTCAAAGGTTACACGATATACCCACCGTCTAGAGCGCGGCATGTCGAACGCGAGATACCAAATGAACAAAAATTGATACTACTTAATGTGCCTATTACTATCTGACGTCCTCTCCCATGTTACAGTGTGTCATAGCCTTGTCTCTAGTACAGTGGCGGGATGCGAGCACGACGTTGCAAAATTCAGTCACATGCGAAGCCCATATGGCCTACAAACAGCTAGCAGAAATTGCATCATCCTGAAATAAAATTACTCATTCACGGACGGGTTGTCGCAATGCCGAGGACGAGCTCCTCGGCACTAAATCGTTCGGAAATCTCGCCCCGCTAGAGTGCTGAGGATACGGCACGGCATGTCTCCACTTCCGCCGACCCCCGGTGACAGCTTCTCCATCGCCGGCCGATGTCGGACACCCACGCCGCTGCTGCATTGCAACATGTAAGATCTAGGCTATTTGGTTACAGGGGCTTGTGGCTAACCTTTACTCCATGGGGTGAACTGGTTAGTCGATGTTTAGATGATTTGTGTCGTAGAAGACGGCGATCCGTCGCGTTGTAGCCATGGGCTAGAATGGAGCAGGCACTTCCAAGATGCGCCTGGTAGCGAAACGATACAGGTCTGACTAATTATTGCTATATAATTACGTGGTTTTATAAGGTATTCCGTGTCGTGAACGCAATCAATATGTGCACTATATCTATATTCTGCTTCTAGGTCCATTTTGCAACGGTGTTCCAGCAACCAGTGACATTGTCTAGTAGCTCTGGAGGAGCACGTTGGTCATCACATATGGGCACAGATGTGTATCCCTACCTACGTTCGACAGGTCCCTAGTTTCTCGGAGTAAGGAGTTGCTATCAATATCATCTGACTTGGCTAAGATGAATATCCTTTTGTTGTACGCATCTGGTTATCGTCATTGCCGAATATGTAAGCTGCACCGTCAGAAGTCGCATATCTTTCGTTATTGACACAAAAATATCCTTAGGTTGTTCCGAATCTTCCATCAACGTGCAGTGAGCGCTGTTTACACACATATCATGCAGATACGATGTTGTTTTATGCAATACAAAGACAGGGGGAAAAACAGCAAGATCTGAGACAAAAGAGAGCAGGAGTTGGTTCCACAATTGATTGGACGCCACGATCAAGCCCTTTCAACCGCGCCCCTGCCAACAGTGTAAAGGCTTCAGAAATTTTCCTAACCTGGTGGCTTCACTGCGCATTGCCCCTTCATCACGAGCAGCATTCGGGTAAGCTAGGCCAAGACCATGAATGAGGCCAATCGGCTCAAGGGGCCCGGTCCAGATTTCCATCCGAATTCTGAATGGTCAGTCCTTAGGCTGTAACCCTGTCATCAAGTATTGAATGGCCGTCATCGCGGAACAGTGCCTCTGGACGATCGAAAAGCTTGTTATTTGACGAAAGGGTATCCTAGCATGTGCGACATTACCATGATTTCAGTTTAACATATTTGTTAGCTTTCACACATGATGTGCCACAACGTCACTACCATTACTGTTGGCAGGACGGACAGGGACCATCTAATCTCAACTAGCGCCGTTGTGCGATGGAAAGTAGGGGACTGTTCACTAGATGTTGACGTCATAACCCTATGGAATCACTGCTTGGCTCTCATTTAGCGTGTCGCAACAGAAACACCTGACGGGTGCCAGCGCAAGAGACAGTGCCGAACAAAAGGCGATAATCCAACTAAGACGTGGTAGACATTGCCTGTCTTAGTTGGTTTTCACCACAAGCAGCACAGCAAAACGGGAAGTCTGGATTTGCCCTTCAAAAGCGAGGATCGTCACAGGGGGCCGGTGACTCCACTTTTGGGGACCAGTGCAAGCGAGAATATCTGGGCGCTAAGACCAAAGGGTTAGCAGCGGTAGTGGAGAACGTCATACGCTTCTGTGGTGCAGGGAGCTTGGGCAGTTTAATTACCAGTTGTCACTGGCGGGGAAGGGGGAAGGGATAGGACAGCTACTGCAGTTCTGTCGCTGGCGATATAACAACCGCTGCCCTACTTCTTGCAGTCTCGCGCTCCCCTATCCCAACCGACTACCTAAAAGCAGCTTGAGCGAACTTATTTACATCCACGATACTCCTCTCAATCGGATCCGGCAACTAGAGTACCATTCAAACCGTAACTGCACATCGTGAAAAGATGGCGGACACCAAGACACTGCCCACAAGGTCAGGGACGATCATGACCAACTCGACTGCCGACGAAGCGGTGCCCGAGGTCGACCCTACCAGCGTGAGTATAGTCTCTTCATTGTTTTAGTTTGACTCATATGTCCATTTCATATTCCCTTTACTTCGTTCTCGCAAGGCCATCCCCTCGCTTGATATCAGCTAACAGTTTGCGCCCAGACCGCTGGTCTCCTTGCGGAGCGTCTTCAGGCCTGGAAACATGCCGTTGGATACTTGGAGGACTACATGGAGGCGGTCGAAAAGATTCACCGGGCTCAGTCGAAAGAATATGAGAAGGCCCTCAAGGTCATCTCCCACCCCTTGAAGGAGGGCCATCATTTTGACCAAAGCCTTGGCGGAGTTGCGGGCTACTTCGAGAACATGCGCTCCAACACTCAGGCTATTATCAACACCAATATCGAGACGGAAAAGAGCATCAAGGGGTCGGTTCTTCCTGTGCTGGAGCGTTTACATAAAGAAATCAAGCACAAGAGCAAGGAGCTGGCCCACGGGGCCCAGAAGGGTGCTAAGGAAGTCGACAAGGCTCGCAACACCACGCAAAAGCACATTGAGCTCCTGGGCCAACAGACCGCTGCATTTGAATCGGCTGGCGGTAAGATGCATGGCTCTGACGACCCTTATGTCGTTCACCGTGGTGTCCTGCATAGGCTTCACAAGCAGGTTCTCGAGGAAAACAACAACCGCAACGACTTGATTGCCGTCCAACACAACTTCGAAGCCTTTGAGGCCCACGTTATTGAGGTCATCCAGCAAGCTATGGAGGCATTCATTCAATTGACTGGAGGCCAGGCGGAGAAGGTTCGCGCCTTGTACTCTGACATGCTCGGCGCCATCCAACGGGTCCCTCCTGATATGGAGTGGAAGGGCTTTGTAGCCCGTAGCGGCGACCGTCTAGTCAATCCCAACGAGCCCCCTCGATCGGTTGAGTCTGTCACCTTCCCCAACATGGACCACGTGGCAGTCAAGCCTCTTATCGAAGGTACCCTGGAGCGCAAATCACGCAATAAGTTGTCCTGGGGCTACTCTACTGGCTACTACGTTGTAACCCCAGCCAAGTTCTTGCACGAGTTTAAAGATTCTGATAACGCTCGAGTTGACCCCAAGCCGGAGCTATCTATCTACTTACCCGACGCAATTATTGGGCAGCCTAGCGGAGACAAATTCAATGTCAAGGGCAAAGACAAGAGCGGATCTATGAGTGCCAAGCTTAGTGGCACTGCTGAGCTGGCTTTCAAGGCACACACTCCTGCGGACGCCCAGAAGTGGTTTGAGATCATCAAGAACGTTGCGGGAGCTACTGGGCCTGCTGAATCAGCTTCCCCCTCCTCGCCCGCCTCGCCTGTCGTTGCTTCCGACGAGAAGTTTGCTGCTGTCTCGCCAGTCACCACAACCTCAGGCAACCACCAAGCCCAAGAAGCTGGCGTCACTGGTTCTGATCCTACCGCAAGCCCGGAATTAATGAGTCCTGTAGATGGTCCTTCTGCGAGCGCCGCTATTCCTGCAACCAAGGCGCCGGTGGACGAAAAGAAGGCGTAAGGGGCTCTTCGGACACCATCTTTCTGCTCGTCTCCCACATGCACACAAAATCTGCCTCAAATTTGACTAAAACTTGTCAAATCCGCCCTGCTTTTTTAGTAAATGAGGCGGTGTTATGTTGACAGGGTGCCCCTCTTCGGTTGCCTTACTGCCTAGCCTTGTGAGTAGGCGAACGCGCCGCAGTGATGCGGTGGCGTTTTTTTTCGATTGGCCACACCAACTCCAAACAACACAGCCTTACACCTGCTTGCTTTCTTTGCTGCCATCGCGTTATGGAGGATACCAACTTGACTTTTTTCCCTGCGATAATATATAGGTCTCACAATGTAAACCATAATTTTACTTTGCGACATCTCTATCTTGACTTTTGGTGGAATTTCAAGATATCAGTTGAATTTCATTGCAACCCAACAGTTCGAAGATTCTTAGCGTTGTTCCCAGGTCGGCTGTGTTGAATGTCTGACACCAACCAGCTCTATTTGATCATTCGCGTCCTCGCTGAGACACGGTGCCGAAGCCTGCATATAATTCACGTGGATGCCTCCAACCCATGGGGGAAGCCTCAATTATAAGTGCGGAAAGTAGCAAGTTCAATGCTCAAATTCCCGTTATGGCTAGCAAAAACACAACATGTCACGACAGAGGTGAGGCATTGCTTTGTCAACTAAGAGCCAAAGCGGTGCGCACTGCGACTCGGCCAGAAGAATGGGTACCATATGTGCAACCAACATAGCTTGTTGCACTTTTAATAGAAAGGTTAGATGTTTGAGATGTTCTGTACACCTTGACTTACCTCGCAGACCTTCGGTGAGGGGTTGTCCTCAAGGTGGTGTGGAACACAATGTCCTCCACACTCCCCTCAGCCTCCTCCCCTCCATTGGGAACCAAGGCTGTTAACCGATGGAGAAAGGCAGATTTGAGTACCCTGCCATCGTTAATCTTTGCGCGCAATTGTGCCGATAGGCGGTTTTGAGGATGTGTTGTCTGCCTCTTAGTGGACTCGGTGAAAATCCTCGACCGCAAGTGCTGCTACAGCCAACGTAAACAACATGCAAGACCTCCAATGTTCTCGAGCCAGCGGGAAGCCTACTCCATAAGTGTTTTTTCTCTCTTCGTCAGCCCCAGAATTGCCTGGGCACCTCATCGTAGCCTGTTCAAAAAGCCGTGAAAGAGGATCAACAGCCTGATCCTGAAAATGGTTATATACATACGTTGAAAAAACTGTTTCCCAGTTCCCCTCTTGTAATCATTTTGATTATACAACCTCGGTTCACAAATGCAACGGTGACATCCATTTCAGCCTTCCATTCTTGTCGAACTCTTTTCTTTCAATGACCCGAGATTACCCAGTTAGAGTCCCTTGTCCACCAGCGCAACTATGACCAAAGCCTGGAAAGAGCACCGCGATGTCATCACGAATCTCTACATAAACGAGAACCGGACTTTGGACGATGTCAGGGACATAATGCAAAAGAATTATAACTTCAGAGCTTCGTTAGTCAACTATTCTACCTTTGTATTATTTGGTTCAACCCGACTTTACCTTAATTTACTATGCCCAGCTGTCTTCAGCATACATACCCCTCTCACCTTGTGCAACAGACCGCTTTACCTTTCACTTGTCCTACAATTGGGGGCAACCTTACTAACACTTTTACTGATAGAACTAGATCCTACCGCCAGCAATTTGACAAGTGGAGCCTCAGCAAGTATAACTGCAAGAAACGCAACAATCGTCGCCAGCAACATGGCCCCTCAACTGGAGGAAGCCCAAGCCAGATGGGAATGTCTGCGCCATCTGAATACGGCTCTCTCAGTCCGCAGAGTTTCCAGAGCCAGAGCCCAGACCTCGATCATACCCATGATGCCCTTGAAGCCGAGACGATGGACTTGAGCCACTCCGGGCCTGTCGGGTTTGCGAGGCACTATACATATCTAAACCAGGCGCAGCCATCGGCCCAGGCGTCCATGGACCGTCACCACTGGGAGCAACAAGAGCGATGGCGAGCAATGTCCTCCTCAAGCGCAGCAGGGCTACCCAGTCCACCCGACGACAATGGTGTCTTCTTCCAAATGGAGACCCAGTCGAACAATATGGAGTTGATCTCCCCCCAGCCTGTCCATCCTCAACAGTCCTACTCAGTTCTTCATCAGAACGTGAAGTATACGCAGCCGCCAGGGGGGATGGTCATGACCTCGGGACACCGGTATGCACCATACAATAACGCGGTCCATTGCGCGTTTCGTACCTCGGATTCTGGCGCCTACCGCCGCTAGTCGGGGTAAGGAGGATGACACGGAGGCTTTTTTTTTTTTCTTCGTTAATTTTATTTTTCATCTTTTCTTTCTTTTCTTCGGGAGGTGTTTATGGCTGACGGGTTTCTCCTTTTTGGTTCGTTTCCCCCCTTATTCTCGGCGTTATCCCACGTTCGTTTTACATTTATTTATAAAATTGTAGAAAGGATGGGAGGGATGCTTCTGGTGATGGAACACAGGACACACACACGATGGCACCTCGCTCCTTTTTTTTTTTTTTTTTTTTTGAAATAGATCTTTGTTTTCGTCCCCCACCCCTTTCTATCCTTCTTTTTGTATGGTCATCCTTGATGCTCGCTCTTTACACTACCAAAAAAGAAAATTGAGACTGTGAGGTTTGGACTTTTCCCCTTTCCTTTCCCAATGTTATGCTACTTGCGCCCGGTTCTCCCTTTTGTAAATCCGTGAACATGTCTACATGAAGTCGTCCTCCGTGAAAGGCTCGTTGGTACCCTGCCGTTTGTTTGAGAGGTTCATCTTGGCCGCGCTTTCCGCCAGACCGTACGGGTCGTGCACGTGTTTCTTCCCATCACCGTCTTCTTGAGATGTGCCGTCGCCTGCCGGTGCCGAATTGGAGCGGACCTGGACCTTGACCTCGCCTTGGATGCCGTCGACACGGATGGTGGAGGTGGTCGTGCCTCCCGGAGGAGGTCGCAGGTTCGGCGGGGGCGCGAGGTTGACGAGCTCGCGGAAGAAATTGTTTGCGGCCTCGCAGCCGTCCAGAAGCCACTTGAGACAGATCGTAACGCGTTCCTTGGCGAAGGGGTTGTGGTCGTCGTAAGCGCAGCAGTTGAGCAGGGGCACGATACCGTTGTGGTTAACCATCTGGTTTTGTACCTCTGGGTTGCCTGGAGATGACTGTCCCGGCGGGGGTTGGAGGAGGGTGGCAAGGATCGTAAAGATCTGACCCTTGATGCCGGACCAAGGGTACTTATGTGCCGGGTCAGAGAGGGACGGCGGGGGTGGAGAGGGCGGGAGGCTGTCGTTCGTTGAGTAAGGACGCTCAACGATCGGTGTGGTGTTGGCGCTGGAGCTTTGTTGTTGGTCGGCGGCAGCGGGGCGGTTGCGACTCGGGACAGCATCGACGAGAGGCTTCTTAGGAACGCCGGCCTCGAGGCCGTTGAGGAGAGTGATGAGGTCGTACACAGCCTCCCACTCGATGAGTTTCTTGCGCGACTCGGCGATCTCAGAAGCGGTGGTAAGGAAGTCAAGGTACTGTGCGAGACCATCTTTAGCGCGTTCCATGTCCCAGGTATCGACAGGAAACTCGGCTGGGTCGACATTGTCCTCGCGGATCTGTGCCTGGAGGTGCATGAGAGCAACACATTCGGGGACAATGCGGCTGCGGAAGAAGCTGAAGAAAAACATGACGAGCTTCACATCGCGATCCTGGTCCTTCTTGTCCTGCGGTGGGTTGCTGATGCGACTGCGGAAAATATGGTTGACGAGGCGAAGGAGAACGGTCTGGGCCGGGGAGATGATATCCTTTGGGATGCGTAGGGAGTTCCAAGCATATGGAACTAGGGCGGAGTGATGCAAAGCCTCGATGAGCTGGGAAGTGATCTGGAAGATGAGGGACTGCTCATCCTTCTCCCAGACTGCAATGAAGACAAGCATCTCACGGAGTAAGGACTTGCCACAGTCGAGGGCAAGAAACATACGGCAACGCGTCTTCTGCAGGTTCTCGCCCGCGCGGGTCAGGCCCGTGCCGGCGGAGTCAAGAATGCAAGACTTGACAATCATGTGAAGAGCCTCGATTTGCTTGGGGTCGAGAATGTTAGGAATCTCAGTGAGGAGGCCTGTCAGCGGTCCTTCACCATACGACTCGTCATCGTCAATATCCTCGTCATCCATCATGTCGTCCAGGTTTTCGATTTGATGGTAATCCTCGACGTATTCCTCGGGTGAGCCCTCGGGAAGGTCCTGTTCTGACTCTTCAATCTCAACGACCTCTGCCTCTTCTGTTGTGTGCATGACAGGAACCGGAGTGTAGCGGTTGAGGAGGTTGTTCTTGCAGTGCTCCGTCCTCTGCTTGGCGAATTCGACGGACGGCATGGCCACCGCCCAGCCGTCATAATTAGCGTCTCTAGCCCGCAGCCACCAGGTATCGATTTCTCTTGAGACACGGCAGTAAGCCCGGTCTTGCTCGAACTTGTCCTGAATTTCGGGGTCCCACGTTGGCACAACACGCTCCCCTTCCTTGTAGTTGTCTGCGCGAACCTTGACCTGTCCCTCGGGGAACCAATTCCATGCTAGAGGGGCGATAGGTGCGAGGACGCCGGGTGGTTTATGGGACTTGTTCTGAGAGTAATCTGTGAGAAGCTTTCGAGCCGTGTCGCACATCCTCGAGTTGCGCTCTAGCCAGTGTTGGATTTCCGTCTTAGCGACATCTACGCGGAATCCAGAACCGTCACCCATGCCTTCTTGAGGATCATCAAGCTGCGCGTCCTCGTCGAAGAGAACGTCGTACCAGAACGACATCTTGTTTCGGTCGTTCTTGGCAGTCCAGTTGTGGGCTTGCTGTAGGGAAGTGACCAAGAGCTTCTTGTACATGTCTGTTATCTCATTCAACTTCGCTCGGGATGTTTCATCCAGAATCTCGCCGTCATATCCTTTGCTCGTTACGTTCACACACAAAATGATAGTTTGATAAACCATCTGATCGAAGTGAACGGCGGCGCAAATATCCTGAGGGACCTCCGGCTCTGAAGTCACCAGTAGGTTCCTGGCAATGTGCATAAGTTTGTTAAGAATAGAGAGATCATCCTTGAGACTGTGATGGTTTTTCACGATGAGAGCCGTGCTTTCCTGAGGTGTGACACCCTTCTCAGGGTCGTTCAGGCTTGACAGTGGGCCTACTGAGCGCGTGGTGAGACTGGGAATGGCGGCGCCGAAAATCTTCGTCAACCATATCCAGATTTCCACGTTTCGTGACAATGTTTCTCTGGTTCTTGTCAGATATGTGTGATGGCTCTTAAGCACGCGACGCAACTACTTACCTGACATGTTTGAATGTGTGTGTCTTTTCGAGCGTTTTGGCGATCATGGATGATACCCTCGCTGCCGTCTGAGGGCCCATGGGCGGTATGGTGTAGTGGCCCTCCAAGCAGATGAGGGCTGCTGAGAAGCAGCGCTCTTCAATCGTCTCGTAGCCGGGCGTCCCATTCTCAAGGTCGAGATCCGGCAACGACGATGCTGTGTCCTCCGCCATAGCGTTGTAGCGGAGGTTGATTTGGGCTCGGGAGATGCTTGATGGTAAGCTACTGATTTAGAGAGCGAAAATGAGTTTGACGCGGAGAGTACAATCAGACAGTGCACTTGAGGGTACCCGGTAGCCCAGAGATTAGTAATTAAGCTTGGAAAGTGAAGTCTTCTGGTCAACGAGACTTGGAAACTTTTGCAGCAAATAATAATTCATTTGAAATGGACATAGATCCGTCGGGGTGGCGGCGCCGGGAGGACGGGGATCAGGTCGCCAGCGAGGAAAATTTCCGCCCGCCGCCTGGATTTCGCGCTGGAAGTATCTATGCACGGCAAATTGGTAAGCAGGTACACATGGGCTGGCCGTCACTTTGAGGGTTTTTGAGCAGCCGTGAGCGTTGCTACTCTCAGCGCTAAATACAGAATCTAGTTAAACATCAACTCAAGAAAGATATTTTGATAACAATAAGCTGTCAATTTATATATGCGGTTTGCATTAACCAACCCCAATGTCTGATTGTATAAATCCTGTGCGAAAAAGCGAGCCTGTAAGTCGGGATGCGACTGCTCTTCTAGGTTGAGAGCCCTGTGAAATTTGGAGTAAACCCCTCCTGATGGATCCCCTGAAATCGACCAATCGTCAGGGGTCATTGCCCCGTAGACCCCTCTATCGGCCTTGTCCAGTGTGGCCTCCGACGTCCTCCCCTCGGCGGGGTAGTCTCATTGCAGTGTCCTGCCTTTGACACGAATTTTGGACAAGTCACGACTTGACTCACCGACAGCAATATTTCTCTGCGACCGTCATACCTCAGTCACTTTCGCAACCTCCGCCCCATTCGATCGCAAACCCATACCCTCTCGATTTATATTTCTCGAATCTCAAATCTACTTCAACATGGCGGAAGGTGCGAAGGCCCAGGAGAGGTTCGCCCTCATCCAGGAGAACCTGGCTGAGGTCATGAACCCCGAGATCCTTGAGAAGATTCTGGCCGAGGGACGCAACCCGAAGATTTACTGGGGTAAAATATATCGCAATAAAACTGTAATCTTGCAGATTGGCTGATTGGGTGCGCCACAGGTACCGCGACAACGGGCAGACCGCACTGTGGTTACTTCGTCCCTGCCATCAAGTTGGCGCAATTCCTCGCCGCTGGCTGCGAGATGACGGTTCTCCTCGCAGACATTCACGGTTTCCTCGACAACCTCAAGGCCCCGATTGAGCTCGTCGAGCAGCGCGCCAAGTTCTACAAGTTTGCCATCACAAACATTCTTCAGGCTGTTGGTGTGTCCACCGAGAAGCTCAAGTTCGTCTTGGGTAGCTCCTACCAGAAGAGCCCCGAGTACATCATGGATGTTTACAAGATGAGCTCGCTCATCAGCGAAAGAGACGCAAAGAAGGCCGGTGCGGAGGTTGTGAAGCAGTCTGACGTGAGAAGATCAGTTCGAGTTGTGCCAGGGTTAGGCTGACGGTCTTGTAGAACGCACCAATGAGCGGTCTTCTCTACCCCGTTCTCCAGGTTTGTGACGAGGAACACCTTGGTGTTGATGCGCAGTTCGGAGGTATTTGTCCCTATTGCCAGCTTTTGGAGGCTCGGACTGACACCACACAGGTATGGATCAGAGGAAATTGTTCGCGGCAGCGACCGAGTGGCTGCCCAAGGTCGGATACAAAGTGCGCGCGCATCTGCTCAACCCTATGGTGCCAGGTCTGAACGGTGGCAAGATGAGTTCAAGTGACCCTGGTAAGACGGCAATGCGACTCAACGGTTTTCTTTCCAGAAACTGACGTATGATTACATAGACAGCAAGATTGACCTTCTCGATGCCCCCGAAGTTGTTCAGAAGAAGCTCCGCAAGGCCGAGTGCGTCCCTAAGGTTGCTGAGGGCAATGGTGTTCTGGCTTTCGTCGAGTACGTACTGCTGCCTGCGGCCGCTCTGAAGGGCAAGAAGGAGTTCCGTGTTGAGCGCGAGCGCGACGGTCTTGAGCCCTTGGTTTACACCAATATTGCCGATATGCATGAGGACTTCAAGAACGATGTGGTAAGTGAACCGAGCTAAGTGAAAACTGAATATACGCTAACCCTGTATCAGTTGACGCCTCAGCTCCTGAAGCCGGCTGTCACAAAGGCTCTCAACGAGCTCCTGGCCCCCATCCAGGCGGCTTTCCAGGCCTCACAGGAGTGGCAAGAGATTACCACCAAGGCCTACCCGCCAGTGGAGGACGAGAAGAAGAAGAAGAAGAAGCAGCCCAAGGACAAGGGCTCCCGCTACCCCGGCGGAGCCAAGAACGATGCAGCTAAGGATGGCGCAGCCAAAGAGACGGAATTGCCTGTGCGCACGGCCGAGGAGAACAAATAAGCGATAATATCTTGGTTTGCATTGCATAGAAGTGATTTTCGTTTTGTCTGTATGTACTAGGGTTGGAGTTCGGATGAAGACCAGCAAAAGTCTAGAGAGCTAGATACCTCAGATGAAAAGAGCATATGAACGATCCCTCCATCCCAACTTTAGGGTCGAAATATACTTCAGTGACAACTTCCAATGCTTGGAAAGAGAAAGCGCTTGAAATATCCCATTATTTAGTGATGTTCGCCCACACGTGGTGAGAAGATTGGCGGTACGTGGTCGAAGTTCATAGGAGTATTGCTCTAATAGCATGGCGGGATGCGCGGGAGGTCGCAATGGCGGGGCCTAAAGAGACGCAATCAAGGATGAAGGATGGCGGGGTAATTTCGGCGGGGTCCCCCGAAAAAAAAAGGTCAGAATGGACATCCCTCCAAGGTATCGCAATCCCACCTGAGATTTTGAGTCTGTAACCAAGCTCGAAGCTGCCCTCTTTTCCACTTTACGACCTTCATTATTGACCTTGAGATACCCCTTTCCCTTTAGTGACACCAACCTCAAAGATAAACAATGGCCGATCTTCCTACCACCTTCGACCGTAAGCCATCCTCTTCGTCCCACCTCCATGGATGCGCGTGAAAATGCTTTAGATCGATGCTAACAAGCCTTCCTTCCAGGTCCTGTCCACATTGCCGTCATCGGCGGCACCGGTCTGGGAAAGCTGGAGGGCTACACGCCTGTCGCGGCTCTCAACCCGACCACGCCCTGGGGCCAGCCCTCCTCGCCCATCCAGATCCTCGAGCACAATGGCGTGCCCATCGCCTTCCTTGCCCGCCACGGTCTGCACCACCAGTTCGCACCTCACGAAGTGCCCGCGCGCGCCAACATCGCCGCTTTGCGCTCCATCGGCGTCCGTTGCGTCATCGCCTTCTCTGCTGTCGGTAGCTTGCGCGAGGAGATTAAGCCCATGGACTTCGTTGTCCCTGACCAGGTCATCGACCGTACCAAGGGCATTCGCCCATTCACCTTCTTCGAGGGCGGTGTTGTCGGCCACGTCGGCTTCGCGGACCCCTTCGACTCGGGCCTCGCGCAGGTTGTCAAGAAGTGCGCCGCGCATATGCAAGGCGAAGGTGTTGTTCTGCACGACAAGGGAACCATCATCTGCATGGGTTAGTTCCACTCAATGTTTCTATGACCGTATACGAAAAGAGAAAGCACCATGCTAACAGGCGATGTCCAGAGGGCCCCCAATTCTCCACTCGTGCCGAGTCGCATATGTACCGATCCTGGGGCGGCAGCGTTATTAACATGTCAGCCCTTCCCGAGGCCAAACTTGCCCGCGAGGCTGAGATGGCCTACCAGATGATTTGCATGGCCACTGATTACGACTGCTGGCACTCCTTTGAGGATGTCGACGTTGCCATGGTCATGAAGTACATGGCCGCTAACGGCGAGAACGCTAAGCGCCTCGTCGGTGGCGTGCTTGATGAGCTTTCCAAGCAAGAGCACAGCGAGATGGTTCTCGCCAAGCACTGGGAGGGCGCCTCCTCTGGCGCCGTTAAGTTCATGACCAAGCCTGAGGGCCGCAACCCCGAGGCCATGAAGAACGTCGAGTACCTCTTCCCTGGTTTCTGGAATTAAGCGGATGCCTAATGCTGCAATTTTTATAAATTTGATGAGGGAAATGTTTAGAAAGGGTCGGGTTTGGTGTTATGTTAATATGGGGGGAAAACCAGCGTGAACTTAACTAAATGGATGCTTCATGAGGGATAGACATTTGCCTAGTCATCAACCGTGCAGGGCCATATGGTAGATTTGAAATAGAGGAGCATCTGCAAAGCGACTATCATGTAGGGGGAAAAATGCGGCCTGGGATATTGATCATTGAATTTCTGATGACCTCTGAATCCCATCAGTGCTAGCGAAAGTAAACAGGTCCAACGCCGTCTAACGCCAAGTTTTGGACCAAAAGCAAGTCTACCTTTGAAACCCCCCTTCCCAATCACATCAAAAGGTATAATGCCCGGACGCCCTTCTCCGCCGCCGCGATATGCCAAGGCCGTATATCAGTCCCCCTATCTACAACACCTCTTGCTCTGGCCAAGGTACCTAACCCCCTAAAATACGTGAGCATCTCTCTCATGAGAGGCTCATACAGCCGCGGGTTGCTGTCCACGTGCACAATATTGACTTCTAAGACTACCGGCGGATCTTCAAGTTTCGTTCCTCCACGCTTGACAAGATAACCACTGACAAGGGCAGGGTTGAGTTCGCCCAAAGTAGACGCGTTACTGAGACGATGAGAGAGCACTGCACCCCAAGTCTGATCGGTGACGTCAAGGAGGATGGCGTCCCCTTCCGCTGGGTCTGCACCCCCATCACCAGGGGTGCCTCCCGGTGTAGCTGCGTTTGCTGGGTTGCTTTCCTTCATAGGCGTTGCCGGAGTTCCACTTTGCTCAGGAGAGACAATTGATGCCTGTGGTGTTGACACCGGCGTGGTGTAGAATGCCGATGATGCCGATGCTGGTATTCTGATGGCTGGCGGAATCAATTGAAGCGAAGGACTCGTGTCAACTGATATCAACGTGAGGCTTACAGTTGCCACCGACTCAGTCTGAGCAAGACCGTGCCAAAACCCAATTTCCTGCTGATCCATAGGCCCGCATTTGGTGATGATAACCCGCCAGTGGACTTTCCACTTAGATATCAAATCATGGGTAGTCTCCCAGATCTCATGATAGACATCATTAAGCGGCGTTGACAGTGGCTTGCCTTTACGTCCAAGATTGTATGATACTGTCATTTGCTGGCAGCCTCTATTGTCGGTCCATGCCGCTGTAATCCATCTCTCGTCAATGCTCTGCGCATAAGCGATGTGAATACAGGTATTTTCATGCATAAGAGACGATGAAGATGTGTTAGCAAGCTTGAAGTCGATGCCTCGGGGCAGTGACTGCTCAAGCATGATGGCAGGTGATGGCATTGGTCCGCCAAACAACGTGCAGCGGTCATAGGTCTCCAATGCTAGTTTGATAGCTTCGCTTGGGGGCGGTTCAACGATGCCCGCTGCCGAAGTCAGGAAGTCAAGGGGCACCAGTTGTAGAACTAATTCATTGACTGGAGTTAGTCTCCGGTCGGTTAGCGACCTCTTATGCATTTCGAACAATTGTTGGAAAGCGGTGCATTCCTCCACGATGGATCCGGGATGGTCTGGCGGGTAAACGAAATAAACCACAAAATTCTTTTCTGTGACGGTTGCTGACAGGAGCGCCTGGTTGAGAGCTTCCATGCGATCAGCCAAACTTCCGCCAATATGAGGACTTATGGTCCCCGGTGAAGTTGCAATCTTGTCTGCCTCAAATGGCATTAGCCCATCACTCACTTTTGAGCTGGACGGTAGTCGTTCAAATGAGCCAAGTTTGAGGAGTTCGTAAACGTTCCGCATTCTATCCAAGAAAGCAGCTGCGACGTCTGGCATGCCGTCCCAGTTTGGAAACACGCAAACAACGTTTAGATCTTTTGGTCCTTGCGCTGGGCCAAGGCCTAAACTTTCCCAGAATTGGACGCTAGATGGAAGAACTGACAGTCTGGCCTCTGCACGACGTAATTCCATGTGCGGCGTCGGGATCTGGAAAAGATTGTTTGGCTTGGGTGGTTCTGCATTTGAATCTCTCGGCGGTACTGGCCTTGGATGTAGCCTATTAGGCTGACCGAGCAATGGAACGTCGGGAATTTCAACGACGCCTTTGAAGTTGCATGTGTTAAACTCTCCAAGGCATGCGGGAATGACTTCACGCAGGGAATTTATGGCAGCCCGGCCTAGCGACGCCAATTGACGCCGCGTTTCTGAGACTATCGCGGTGCTTAGAGTGTTGGCATTTGAATCGCGCACCATCAAGTTGCCGGTGACCGCCTGCTCGGTCACAATCTGGGCAATGGTGATCATATCCTCGTCTGTAAGTGAGAAATGAATTGGAAGTGATTCGGCGTCCTCGAAGTATTTGGTAATTGAAACTTCTGTTGCCTCGGCCTTCGCTAGCCTGGGAAGATCCAATGCCAATGTCGGATCAGAATCTTCCACAGATTCAATATCTCTCAAGGAAGTCACTTGAGAGACGACATCATCATCAAAATTTAGCCTTCTGATGCTGGACTTGAAAGGCGATGCTGGTTCATCTGTTGTCGAACTGGAATCATCCTGGTCTGAGACCAAGCTGACATCGTCAGCATCTGACGCCAAATCTTCTACCTTTCCAGGACTTGTATTGAGATTTGCATTTTCCAGTCCGCCTGTAATTGTGCGAATAACCGCACTGGTCTGCTCCGGATGTTTTAACAACTTCCTCTGTTTTCCATGTCTCCGTAGGTAATCCGTAGTAGGGGGGCCTTGGAGTACAGAATGCGTGGTCGGTTCATGGGATGACCCTCGAGACGTCGGGTTACAGTCAAACCGGCCACCTTGCTCGTATTTTTTATTGACAAGGGGTAATACAGGGTCAAAGTCCACGCTGTCAAATATACTTCCTTTTCGTGAAGGCGTTCTAGTTGGCATGGTGCCAATATCTGCCAGGGAGGCACGAACTCTTTTATAAACGGTGTCCGGATCGAAGGGGCTCGATTCTCTCTTAAGACCGGCCGTCTTCTCAATGCTGGATCTTTGCTTGCCTTCATCCATCAAGGTGCTTCTAGCATGCTTCAATTCAGGTTTTGTGAATATCGGAGGGCTTGGTTCTGGCTTGAGCTCCTCTACGGGAGGAGCGATCATTTTCTCAGGCTCAGGTACCGGAGCTGGAAGAACAGAAGACATCGATGGTGGCGCATCGGGCATGCCCAAATCCGGTAAGCCTGATAAGTCCAAGTCATCGCCAGGCTGCTCGTCAAAGAAGCTGAAATCAGCATCTGTAATATCGGCGTCGCCAAACATATCTGGGCCGATGTCTCCGAACAGGTTGTCGCTCTCACCTCCAAGGAAAGAGTCCGCTCTTTGCTTGGTCTCATTCGATGTCCAACCTTCGCCATATGCTTCACTTGCCTGGCCACCGTTTGTAATCGGAGCGTCAGGGGCGACCGGATCTGTCATGGCAGTATCTATGTCGGCGACTGCTACTGTTGCATTTGGAGCACCCGGGCTAGATGTAGTTCCGTCGATAGATGGTGTGATGCCCAGGGGATTCTGGACACCATCTGGGGGCGTTGGATACATGGCACCGACAGCAGCTGCGTTGCTTGCACGCCTCAATCCTAAAGGAGAATGCCCGTTGGGCTGCTGTGTTGAAACAGACGCTGACGCCTCTTTCGCTGCAGCAACTTCCCTTTCCTTTTTCCGTCTCAATACTTTCTCGTCTCTGTCAGTCCCAAGTTGAAACCAGGTCCTGGCCTCGCTCAGAAAATCTGAAGTTTCATCCTGAGCAAGCAGAATGGGGTCTCCAAGGCCATGATTTCGTGCCAGAACAACAGACTTTTTACGGAAGCAGAGAACGGCTGGCCAAGATATTGTGGCCATAGCAGAGAGCAGCGGTGTCATCTTTCCATCCATTTTCTGTTCACCATTTTTTCGGCGGATCATCTGAAGTGCAATCCAGGGACAAGACTGGAGTAAGGCGGGGGACAGCCCGCGGGATTGAAGAATTTTGATGCAGGTGTCTCTCCATTGTGAGGATCTAGCATCCACGTTCCTCCAAAGTTGAGTATCAGGTGTTTGTCCCAGGCTCAACTCTGGATACGGCAAACCTCCGCCCATGAAGCCTTGGTAATTCGCCAAAACTCCAAATGGAGCTGCCAGAATCTGAGAGCCCAGAACAATTTGACTTGGACTTAATGGCTCATTCACAGATAATAGACCTTCGCAGCATGACAACGACAAACTCATGACTAAGCCGCCCGTTGTCGTCAAATAGATCCTGAAGGTTCCAACAACTGCTGATTCCGTATCCAGAGCTTTCTCAGATTGACTGCCGCGAGTGACTTTGGAGGGTAGAAGAATTGTTCGGTAGTTTAAGGGGATCGCTGAGATGCGGTTACAAAAAGAAGCCGATATTGTCGATAAAAGTGCCGTAATAAAGTGCTCGTATGCATCTTTCAAAGCAACAGACCCTGTGCTTTTAATATCGGATCCTCCGGCAGAGGCGGGTTTCGAATCGGGATCGGATGAGCTCGGCGGTCCAGTGCTAGTCGTCGGCGGGTTACGAAGCGACAAATCGAGGGCCGAATTGGTCGAAGACGAGCTTGTTGGTGTATTTGCAGCTTGTTGGCCTGGTGCGCGACCTTTGAACAAGCTGATCGGTTCGAAGGAGCCATCCTCAACCATCAACAGAGTGGCACCAGCGACATCGACCGTGCTACCCAAAATGCCACTGGACTCGTCGGCCGAAGCCGCATCTTTGCCTGGAACGTGGAAATACCACAAGACGCGTCTAGTAGCATCGTAGTATACGATATGGCCGCGGTTCCTCAGTTCGGTCTCGATATCGGCAGCTGCCGATGGAAATGCTTGCACCTGTTCTTGAGAAGGCTCATAAACTCGGAAAACGATCGACGAGATGTTATTCTGAAGGGGTGAAATGTTAATCTCAAAGCTCAAGTCTGTAAACCGTCCAACATACATTTAATAAGGTATTAGTATCGTATTCGCTTGTATCCATGTCGGCGGTCGAGTCTCGCGACGGCGGGATCCGTTCCTTGTCGCAACATCAACTCCCTCAGTCGTTAAAGCTCCTGAAGGCTGCAGGAGCCAGTTTGTTTATTGAAGAATGCAGTCATAAAAGAACAAGGTCGTTTCGGCATCGATTGCAGTGAAGTTTGCAATGGAAAAGGGTTTCGAACGGATTGTCTGCTGGAATTCGCGAAGTCATCGACTCCATCTCCGTGAGTCGAAAGCGCGACCAAGTGACCGGCTTGTCGGCATCTACCGAGTCCACGGTTGTTCCAGGGCCTTCAGATACTATGCGATTGGAGATACAAGCGGCTGCACGCAAGTTGTTGTAGCGCCCAGGTCCAGGACACGTCGATGCTCAGTGCTCGATCAAGGCCGTCTTTGGAGTGGAGGTTGTTGAGGCTTTCGCAACGTTGCTGTGTATTCAGCAGCCAGATTTGGCCGGGTCGGGATAGCGGCGGAAACTCAGCACGGTCGTTGACAACCAGACACCTCAGGGAGCAGTTCGTTCGGCTGAAAGCCCGTCGTAGTGCACTAACAGGGTCCAAGGGGATCGGAAGTCGGTGGGCGTTTCGCCCAATGACTACAGCTCCCGACTAAAGTGCCTGGCCAGTAGTGGGGATAGACGCTAATGCAACTTCACCTGATTCAGCAGGGGGAATCGGACTTACTTTTCCACGGCTTCACCGAAAAGCCTACTCAGCGGGCCAAGTGTGGCTCTCGTAGGCGTATCCACCGAAGCACCGGCCACCGCATTCTTATCTTATCAGGACTTTTTTTTTCCTGGCTCCCCTCGACCGCAGATTTCCTTCAATCTTCGTCGCATCGTCGCGCAAAAACCGCCCGTGTATTTCGCCTCGGTCTCCGACAACCAAAATGCAGTTGACAAATCCAGGAACCGTACCGGTTTATACCGTCTCTGGTGCTTCAACAGCAAGACCTTTGCCTGATTGGTTGGCAAGACGCAGAAAGCGATCGCTCAAAAACGACCCGGAGTACCAGAATCGAGTCGAGTTGCTGCAGGATTTCGAGTTTGAAGAGGCAAGCACCTGTATTCGGGTCAGTGAAGATGGCGATTGGGCCGTCAGTGCAGGAACCTACAAGCCCCAGATTCACGTTCACAACCTCCCGCAACTGTCTCTTTCTTTTGCGCGCCATACCAATTCTCTTACTGAGAAGTTGACGATCCTCTCGTCCGACTACTCGAAAACTCTGCTTCTCCAAGATGATCGAAGACTCGAATTCCACACCCCTATGGGTTGTCACTATACGATTCGGATACCTCGGTATGGAAGAGATTTATTGTATGACAGGCAATCTACAGAGGCACTTGTGCCGGCTGTGGGCGTGGACCAGGACGGCTTGGGCGAAGTGTTTCGATTAAACCTCGAAATCGGAAGATTTATGAAGTCATTTCAAGTCGATGTTGGAGGAGACGAGGAAGGCGCTGGCTTACAGGGAGGCATTGAAGCCGGAAGTGTGAACGCCGCCGCTTTGGCTGAAAATTCACATGGCCTTGCCGCCTTTGGAACGTCTCTCGGTACAGTTGAGTTCTGGGACCCCAGGTCGAAGTCAAGGGTTGCGCGCCTTGCTTGCCAAGAGGGAGCTATCACCGCACTGGACTATAGTGCTTCGGGGCTGTCTATTGCCACAGGTTCTGCCAACGGCATGGTTCAACTTTTTGATCTACGTCGCCCGGTTCCCCTGCTAAGCAAAGACCAGGGATACGGCTTCCCGATCAAGAAATTGATTCACATGACCACTGCTTCGCAGGAGAAGAAAATACTCTCTGCTGACAAGAGAATTATCAAAATCTGGGACGAGACCGACGGCACACCCTGGACTTCGGTTGAACCCATTGTGGACCTGAATGACATGTAAGTTGTCTTCATCTGAAGGGAATGAACCTTGACTGACAAAGAAACAGTGCTTGGTGTAAGGACACTGGTATGCTTCTGACTGCCAACGAAGGAAAGCAGCAACACTCCTTCTTTATACCCAGTTTGGGTCCGGCTCCCAGATGGTGCTCCTTCCTGGATAACATGGTCGAGGAAATGGCCGAGGAGGTCCGTACGGAGACTTACGACAACTACAAGTTCTTGACCCTACCAGAGCTCAAGCAATTGAGCATGGAACATCTTATCGGCAAGACCAACCTCCTCAGGCCTTACATGCATGGTTACTTTGTGGCCTCGAAGCTCTACGAACAGGCTCGTCTTATCGCAAACCCGTACGTATGGGAAGAAGAGCGGACGAAGCGTATCAAGGAGAAGGTCGAAAAGGAGCGCGCCAGCAGGATCAGAGGCAACAAGAAGGTCAAGGTCAACCAAAAACTGGCCGACAAACTCCTCAAAAAGCAAGAGAACAGAGAGGTTGTGGACACCAAGGCCGGCTTGCTCGGCGACGACCGTTTCACCAAGCTCTTCGAAGACGATGCCTTCGCCGTCGACGAGACCAGTTACGAATTCCGTGCTCTCAATCCCAGCACGACTGTTGCCGCTCCAGATTCTCACGAGGTCGGTGTCAGCTCCGCTGCTAAGCCTGTGGAGGCGCCTAAGCGAGGCCTCGGTAAGAAGGCTCAGGCTCAGGCTCAGGCCGAAGCGGATATGACCATGAAGGTTTCTTCCTCTACTCAAAGGCGTGGTGGAAAGGAGAGAGATACCGCGCTGGGCTCCAGAATACAGAAGTCGGGCCGCATCAACAAGACAAACCGCGGAGACTCTTACGGCGAGAAACAAGTCACGTTCGTCCCAGAGGCGAAGAAGAAGAGCCGAGGCCCGCCGCAGCGACAAGAGGAGAGCACACCACAGGGCAAGCGATCCGGTTCGAGAAGAAGCGCAAGTACGAACACATTCAGAAGGCTTTAAAAAAGGCCGCTATGAGTACTCTGAGAGCATAAATAATGGTACATGAAAGGCTTTTTCTAGTCGCCAAGCAGACACTGGCTGCCACGATTCGTTTCAATCATTCAATTTCCACCCACATCACCAAAGGAGTCGATATACCAGCACCAAGCCAGTTGGCGGTCTTCGACCTCGATACCTTATTTGTATCTTTAAATATCATCTTACTTGCGACCCCACTTCATGAGTTTTCGCTTCGATTCAGCCTGTGCGAGTCCTTTTTCCAGATCTTCTGGGCGAAGTCTTGGTGTTGGGGGCACGTCGTCAAGTCTAGTGCGCCCTCGGTGGCTGCGGGGAGGCGAGTTCGACTCCTTGACTGATCTGGGAAACTCGGTTCTTCGCGGCGTTAGGGCTGTAACAACCTTTCTGGCTGACTTGCGCATAGTCTCTCTTATTTTCCATTCACGCTTCTTGGCTATGTAAAATAAGACAGCCATGCCAACTGTATGAGCACAATGTTGTGAGTAAAATGGGTTCAGAGGCGTTAATCAATAAAGGTGCCTACGTACTGCCGAGTGCGCCAACGATGGATACGACCACGATGATAGCAATCATGGCATTAGGAGAGAGGCCGACAGCTCCAGGGCTGTCTCCAGAAGCACCGGCATCGTTGTCGACGTGGCCGCCCGGTGAGCTAGCATCGCCGGCACCTCCTGGGTAATACGTCTCAGTCGCCAGAGGGAAATAGTTGGAGGTCGTGGTCGCCATGTTGTTTGGGCTATGTGCCGCTCACAGAGGGCAATATGGAGACTCAGCAGTATAGAGGCGGCAAAAAGCACTAGCGAATGTCGGAATAGAAAACGGCACAGAGTCGTATGAGTAGAGAGAAAAGCTGGATAAAATCGAAAAGATACCCGGCGCCACGAATGTGGCCCAACTCAGTATTTACATGTTCAACCGCTCAGGGACCCTCACATGTAGTCCAGCGCCAACCGTTTACCCCTTGCCTGCAAGTGGTCTACCAGCACTACCACCTTTGAACAATGAATGTGACGACCGAGTCAACCCCGTAGAAATGCGTGTGTCCCACGGCAGTTGTGCGTATGGTGGGGCCTGCTAAAGTCAAGAACCGTGTCGAGGCACCCTGCTGTTGCCATGGGAGGTCTGAACCCAAGACGGTCGAGGTAGGTTCACTATGATCCTATTGGCGTTGAGTGGCCTCGAAGCGCCGGCACACGGCGCTTTCACATCGAGGCCGGGGTGCGGCGGCCAATCAAGGGCCGAATCCCAGGATTCGGCGGTACAGGCGAATTAATTAGGGGAGCAGGGGCGAGCCTTATCACAGCCCGCCCCGGCCTGCTCATTATCTACATCTTTTTACGTGTCTGCACGTCTGCATGGCGGCATCAAGTAATTGCTGGGCCAATCTAAGCCGTTCGTCACGGCAGTGGCTGCAATATCAGCAAGCTTAATAGTGTGATCGGGAGAAATGCGTCTTTTCTCCTACTCAGCCATGCAGTGTGACAGGCGCCTGTGGGTGCTCATTTGGGGATTCCCGTCTATATGGTAGCCGGCTCTTGTGATGGCATCTGCACGTCTAATCACTATCACGATGCTTCTTGCAGAGTGAAAGAGAGTTTACGAAATGGAGAGCTTGAGAAGAGTCATATTTTCCCAGTTAGTCCACTGAAATCATTCGTCATCCGGCAGTGCTATTTCGGAGGTGTTACTTCCTGCCTATCTCCTCCCACAAGCTTCGGGTGGTTTCGCGTCTCTTGGCTTCGTCTCTGGGTTCTAAATTTGGATGACGGCTTGGCGGCCTTTCTGGATGGACGAATTTTCTCAACACCGCATTGAGGACTCCAGTATGGGTCACTTTTAAGGCCAAACCATGAGATTGGCAACCGGCCAGAGGCCGAGTGGCCTCGTCAGATTGTCGCACTAACTCTCGGGCTTTGAGTCTTCCGGCATCGAAAATAACGAGATACATTCACCAACGATGGCTATCGAACGACACGTCTCACAAACGATGAATCAACTTGTCAAAATGTAGTCGCTTTGCGCTTCTAAATCTACTACAGTCAGCCCAACGAACGCATCAACATCATGATGTTGCTACTCGTCGAACTCAAATACAAATAGTTTTCCTTATGAACTGTTCGTGCCTTCCGAACCGAACTGCCCTGGTCATCCGAATAGTTGCAGCCTCATTGCCTTGCTTTTAGAAAGAGCCCAGGCTCTCTCTAGGACTAGGTAAGAAGGCATTGGGGCTACATTCCAGTACTGGAAATCCCCTTTCCTAACCTTCCTCATCCAGATACCATAGATGCTGAGGACAGCTAGTTCTTTGCACAAGCGATCAGTTTTAACAAGAGGCAGATAGTGTACCTCAGATGCGCCAGGCGTTCATAATTGTATTGTCGCCTCGAGGACATTCCCATCTGCAGACAAAGTTGTCTTCGCTGGCTTGAATGAACAAGCAGAATGCTGCCTCCATATCCACTGGTTGTAACATGAAGATTAAGTGGCAAGCTTCAAGGAAAATTAGGCAGTATAAGTGCACTACCCTGGAAGCAGGGCCTTTCCTCGTGCACCTGTTATGGTCTATATGTAAGGACACAACACTGGTACCACAAATTGTTCCTTCCTCCCGGATCAAAATATCTCAAGGCATTACATCGTAACTTCCTAGACTCGCTAAAGTCAAAAGCTCAATTTTGAAAACTACTTCTGGATACGCCGAGCAACCTATGTCGATGTCTGGGCAGAAGAGACTCGAAATCCCCCAACCACTTCCAGTCGCCGTGGTGATTATTCCTCTGCAATTCTTAATTCCGCCTTGGTAATTCATGGCTCAGAGAGCCTGGAGCTTCTTTTATTTTTGTAGCCTTGTTTCTCCTTGTCGCTCCTTGTCGGATTTTTGCACCTGACACGAAACGGGGAGTCTGGTCCGACGACATTACAAGAGTGTTAGGTGTATTTTGGGCGAAATACTCAACATGACAGCCCAAGCAAGCCCTAATATTCTTCATGGGAAACAACCTATAGCTCAATGCTCTTCAGACAAACCTGAATCTCTCCAAAAACGAACCTGCTCCAGTGATTCTCCACAAAGCGACGGTTGTAGCGAAAGTTCTGCATCCATTTCAAAGATCCATTTAACGCTACAAGTGCAAGGAGACATGCAAGATGGCATTTCCAAAGCCAGTCAAAACACTGGACCTACACGGCACCCAATATCGTTGAACGGAAATCAGTTAGACACTGATATCGCATCCTCTGCACAAATACTGGAAGATGTCTTTGAATTGCGGGAGAAACTGTTTGCACGTCCGCACAAGTATAAAGCCGATCAATTCTCAGGCAAACAGAAAACAGGGCTCTTTCAATTTGGCACCGCTGAAATAGTGCAGGCCTCAGGTTTAATGCACGTTGAATGCAACGCGTTCAAGCCAAATGTGCAAGAACTTCAACCTTGCAGCATCGACCGAAACACTCAAGGCAATACCTCCAAGGTTACAATTGAGAATGACGCCAGCATTCCAACACAGAATGAGGAATTCTACTTTAGTTCTAATACTCATCGCCTCAAAAACACAAAGGTTAGAACTGATCAACCGGGATACCAGTGTCCAAGGAAAACCAGTTCCAACGCAGAAATGGAGGCGATTCGGTTGGTTAACGAGTCGTTCCAAGCTCAAGAACTAACGCACAAACTACCTCATTTCGAGTCTCATCTAAGCCCGCTTTCAAAAACTGTTGGCCATCTCCGCCCATTCCCTGATGCCGATGATAGCATTACCAACGGATCAGGTCGGCTTTCATCTTTTGAGGATCTAGGAAACAAGACAGAGGTAGGCTCAAATAACGGCCACATTCCAGAGATATGCGAGATATCTGTGGGGTCTGCCTTAGACCTGGATCGGTCGAAAGACGCTCAAATACCAGTAAGCCAGGCGCGTTCTCAAAGGAGCCACATGGCAGGTATCAGATTCCCCAGACACGATGAAAATCTTCTTAGAGCACGCAGAGTGGATATGGAATCACTAGTGAACGAACCGCAAATCCCTGTGGAGGATTTAGGGGGTCCTCGCCTTTCGCCGAAGCCTGGTTACACTTCACAGTGTGGCAACGACATATTAACTCATGACAGTCTCAAATCACAAGATCCAAATATTTCTGGATCTCGAAGGTCTCGAAACAGAGGGAAGCCAGTTGCCAATCGCCGATTTCATCATGCGGAGCCCCAATACGAGCGCAGCTATCCGAACACTGGTCGGTACCGGGACCTTGAACATGTCGCAAATGCTTTCAATGGACTGCTTGCCGATACAAAACAAAAAGAAGTCAAATACTGTGAGGAAATCCTGATTCACCGTGAACAAATTGCGAATCTGAAAGGCAGACTAAACGAAATGCAAGAGAGACATGAGCAAACCCAAAAAGAGCACAAGCAACTTGTTGTTGAGTCAACTCAGCTTTGGGATGATTACAACCAACTCACCCTTGAAGCAGCACAGCGAAATGATCAAATGAAAGAATTGGAGACAAGATCGAGCCATCTTCATAACCAGCGAGAGGCGCTCAAGCTCGAAACGAAAACATTCCGATCCAAACTTGAAACGACTCAGGTTACGCAGAATAAACTGCGGGATACCGTATGTGAATCCAAAGACCGTCTCACCAATACAATTGCAGAGCACAGAAGCCGCTGGAAAGATTCCAATGATGCCTTCCAAAGTCATATGAGGGATGCGGAGGAAGAGCATCAGATATCTTTTCGCAAGTTGGAGCAGGTCATTAATGACGGGCAAAGCTTGTGCAAGAATCAGAAGAAATATCTCGAATCCAAAATTTCACTTCTCCAAGAGGAGCTTGGCAACGGTAAGGATTAACTATATGTGTTTCGAAAAATGAACATTACTGACAACCTAAAAAAGCTAGCAGCAACTTTAGAGAGTTGACACTCGAAATTGGTATCCTCAAGGGCGATTTTCCCAGAGAACAGGAGACCACTAAAATTTTGGAGGAACAGCTTGCTGAAAGCAAGAAGCGTGAGAACTTCCTTAAACAACTTGAGGCACGTATGGTCAACATCTTTGCAAGATTAGAGAAGGTTGATTTAAAGGCAGAGAAGGCCAAAGAATTGCCGTCTCTGATTTCGGAGAGGTTGGTTTGCTGTAATCGTGGAAAGGTGACGCAGGTGGTAACAGTTGCAGGCTGAGTGAAATAGCAGAGCTCGTCCAGTCTGCACCGCAACTACAAGATCCAATTGAGGTCCGAAATGTTATAGAGTCATTTCAGGAGAAAATGGCTTCTCAGTACGTGCTCACTGATCTACCAAGATATTGCAGCTAATGTTTTAGCAGGCTAATGCAAGAAATGAAGCAAATGATGACGGAGCAATCCAACATCCAGGGCAAGTTACAAGCCCTTAAGAATTGCGTGAATGGTCAGGCGATTCTTAACAATTCTGAGCAAAAAAAACGACAGGAAGTCTTATTACAACGGATTTCTGAGAAAAGAGAAGAGAACTCCAGATTGTCACAAAATCTGCAGTCAAAGGAAGGGCAGATCATAGAACTGACGAAAGCTGTTGTTAATATGGATCAATGGTTAAAAAAAGCTACGGAATCAACGGCACATATGTCTCCAGAGCTCGCGCCTAATGCAGAATTAAAGGTAGCCCATGAGCTTCTGACTAACAACAGAGACCTAGTGACTCAACTGCAAAGTGGCATCCAGGCACAGCGTGTTGCATATGAGTCCCGCCAAAATGAGCTTGAAAACCAGCTTCAAATAGCACAGGAAGAACTTCGAATTACCAGCAAGCTTCTAGAAGAATTGAAAGAGAGCAGAGCTTTCACGGAACACTGCCTTGCTGTAGCGTCTCAAGAAAGACACCGTGAGTTAGAACTTCAATTGGAAGAGAAAGAAGCGACTCTGAAGGCGCTGCAACAGCAGCATCACGAGAAAATAACTGAACTTTCAGAATTTAAAATAGGAGAGGGTGTAGCACAGAACCGTCAGCTCCGGAAAGAACTCAAAGCTGCTAATCAGAGAATCACCAATTTGACTATAAAGCTCCGAGAGATGCCAATGCCAGCAAACGAAATTGACCAGGTGTATCCACAGCTGGATGAACTCCAGGAAATGTTGAGGGGAATCAAGGAAGACATGATGCCGGAGCTTATAGAGGCCAGTAAGCTATTTGCAGACATGCGAGGTTACCTAACAGATGCCTCCAAGAGACCTTCGGCTTCACCTAAACAGGCTATTGACTTGGATGACGATCAGCTGCCCATGAAACAATCGTTTTCTAGGGGGCAACCTGAGAAGCTGTCAAAGAGCCAGAATGATGAAGGGAATATCTCTGAGAGTAATCGGGGAGGGCGAGAGTTTCTTGAAGTGTCACGAACGGACCCTCTCGATATTCCATTCAGGCGAGGGCTTGATAACCTTAAGACAAGCTCATCCAACAAGATTCTCGAGCCAGAGTCACCATATGCAAAACGAGTGGTTATACGCAGTCCCATTGAAGATTTGTACCAGTCTTCAGACCCGTCCTCAGTAGCATTTGGTAAGCTCTATCTTTCGGAGTCAGAAAGTGATTCCGCACGGCCCAGAAGCATTATGCGGACTGGTGCTTCCATGCAAGAGACAGCAACCAGGGGTACTGTTGAGCCAGTTAAAAAGCCTCTCGTCGCCACTCATATCGGTCACACCAGGTACAATCGTCCTGTTGGAAGTCAAAATATCGTCCCAGATGTTGCGCTTAATTATGTTGACAAACGCAAAAGACTTAAACAGTCACAAATTCCTGGCTCAAGGGTTCTCAGTAACATAGACAAAGATCGAGAGCAAAGAAACAAACGAAATCAGGCCCAACCACCGGTAGATCGACTTGCAAAGCGCACGAAACCATACTACGACATTAAGGAGGATGAGGGCGCAGTGTCTTCATCCGGAAGAAGTAACACTAATACCGATGCACGGATCGGGCCACTACAACACAGTCAAAGAGACAGTACTGAGGTCACAAGGTTTCAGCCGCAGGACGATGATGTTATTTCGCAACACTTCCACATAGGAGCGGCCGAAGTAAATGAGAGTGCGACAACGACAAGTGGAAGTCAGATGCAGCAGGTCTCAGGCAAGCCTCTGCGGCGAGGCCCCGCAGCAGCAAGACCTATTCGAATTAGGCATTTCAGAAAGCTATGATGCTGAGGCGAATGCGCACGTCTTGAAGGCGCATCGATAGTCATTTGCAAGAAAAGACCCTTGGGGAAGAGAAAATCGCAAGGGTGCAATAACATCGGACGTATTTGTACGACTATAGATTGGCAACCTTTGGTAGAATATACACTTAAATTGTGGCAATCAAAGCCCGTAATTTCATGAGCCCATGAGTTGTGGTACAAGGTTCCAGCGTCTTCCCTTCTTGTATCTGTCGAGAGGGGGTGGTTCGATGGTGCAATCCATGACCATTTCATGACGTCCTCCAAAACCAATTGCATGCCGCCGTGAACGCCGTTTATGATGATATCAATGTTGGTACAGGTGGGATCGATGTAGACGTAATCGAGATGTTCATTTGCCCTTCTTCTTTTGCTCCAGGAACAGAACCTTTCTGCGGACTGCGACAGGGTTAGCTTAACGTTCGTAAGCTCGACGTGATGGCTCGCGGTAGATTTGTGGCCATGACAAGCAACATATAGTTGATGTTCAATAGAACAAGAACGCAAAGAGAGCTCTTACTAATCGGGTCGTATTTAAGCATGCTCATGGGTGAAGCTGTCCGGAGACGCTTGAAGGTGTAGAAATAACCCGTCGCGGCCATGGACAAGAGCCGGACGATCATCACACGGGACTTAGCTGTTCATTCGTTAGCGTGTGATGTAATTTTGTGAGCGAGGCATCAATTGGGAGCTGCGCACCTTTCTTGGCCATGTTGAGAGTCTTGCCGCGTGGTGGGAGCTTGAAGCTTGCGGTCGATCTATGTGGACGCGGATGGCCCGTGGAGACGGGAATTTTGCAATGGTGAGAGCTTTCGGCAGAAAAAAGGGCCGTTCACCGCGGATAAGTGGATCGATTTCGGTGAACGTCTTGAAAAAGTTATTCTAATTGGGCGTACAAGTGACACCAGCTGGTGCCTGTCGGGAGGCTTAGCTCTTTAATCAGTGTCTCAGTGACTTGTATATCATGTCTACATTTCTGCTCCAAAAATTAATTTTCATGACATAATTCTGGTCAAATGACTTGATTAGAATAGGCCAAGAACTTAGGGCGAGACCACCATCGTGGATGTCGGTGGCAGGGCATTTCGGAGGAAGATACAGCGGGAGGATTAAAAGGCACAGCGCCCTCACGGTCGATACTGCAAGTCGCCGAAGCTTGAGAGTGTTCGTAATCCGAAGAACGGAGTTGGTCGGTGGACCTCCAGGGTGTTTGCAGATGGAGCCTGCCATCAATGGCCTAGAACGTTTTTTAGGAGCTTGCAGGGTCCAAGCATGGAAGAGCTGGTGCCGCCTTCTATTGCTATGTGTTCGGATGGGAGGCTGCGAGCGACAGCACCGAATAGGCTTCAATGCGGTGAGTCTAGGTGGTTCATCATTGTTTGGCACCGTTTGTTGCCCACTCTTTCATGCATGCTTGTGACCACGCCCCCGGGCCCTTGGAGTCAAGCCTGCAGTCGAGGATAGTCTGTCGTGAGGACCACCCAGTTGCCGGCGATCGGACTCAGCAAGTAGGTAGCCCAGCAACCCCAGGGACTCGGCGGGTAAGTTCATTTGCAGCTGCTAGTATTTCTCAACCGATATGTGTAGCGAAAGATAAGCTAAGGTAAGGGTCTGGGGAGGAGAAGGAGGAGAAGGAGGAGTGGGAGGGAGGTGGTATTGGAAGATGGGTGACCGCCTACGGGCAAATAAAGAGGAACAGCCATCCTGTCTTGCCTGCTTGCGTTGGGACGAGGGGGTGCACAACCATAGCTGACAGACTCTTCTTTTCTTCTTTCTTTTTGTCTATGTGAACTCTTTCGATAATAAGACATTCCAGCTGTTGGGCAATTTTGCCGCAACCGAAAACAGAGCTGTGTCGTGCCTACTCTTTGTCCAACACAACTTCCACTCGCCTTATTTCGATTCTGAGGTTCACCCCGCCGATTGAAAGCAGCGGCGTATCACCACATCGTCAACATTCCATCGGACAAAGCTTACATCACCCTCTCGATACAGTCGCTACGATGAGCTCGAAGATGGCGGCTTGCAGGTTGACTGGCGGCACGGCTAGATCGCTAGGAGCGCACGGCAAGCAGACGGCCACTGCCAGCCAAGCAAGACTGATGAGTAGTTGCGGATCAAACGGTACGTCACGGAAGAGCGAAGACGAAGCTCTGTGTTAATTGCACCTGGTTCTTTTCGCATTCCGTATCAAATGTGTCTATTTGCTTGCCTCTTTTTATTTTACTTTGTGTGTTATTTTCTTTCTTTCCCTCTCCACCAATTTTTCTTGTCTGGTTTTCCCGAATTCCATACTGCGATAGCCTGGTTTTATACTACGTAGTATGCTGTTTGGCAAGTGCGAACAACTCATTGCTCCAGAGCAGCTGGTGGGAGAGCTGTAATTTGGGAGACCTAAGCTCCAGGTCCCCCGCGGCCACCTTTCAACCCCGACATTTTCAGGCTTCACCTATTCTACACCGTCCGTAGCGCTCATCCATACCTCACCGAGCCAACAACATTCTTAGTCAAAGATCCATCCCGATCCGGCCCTATGGACCCCACGTGGAACCCCGCGCCTTTCTCTTTTTTTGTCATTCCCTCAGCCACTGATTTTTCAAGGCATTGAAAAGGCCCTCATGGAAGCCTTCAGGAAACCCGGCTGGGCCCCCTAGTTACTGGTCACCGGTTTCGGACAAGAGACTTTGGAATAGGCAAACAATCCAACCCAACCCAACCAACGTATTGCCAGGCCTGGTCTGATACACGCGATGGCGTGTACGGTCGGCCACGTCCAACTTCCAGCAAGTGCTGGCACTCCCGGGAAAGGGAAAGGTGGCAAAAAACACACAAAGGATTCATGGCAACTTAGGGAGCCGAAGTTACAAACAGGCATCCCGTCCAGGTCACATCCTGTCCATGATGCAGGGCCGTGTCTCGTGGTCCAGTGTCCTAGATCACAATGGGAAGTGGGCAAAGTGTGTCCAAGACTCGATGAAATTATTAAATAAGAGTTATGCACCGCATCGGATGATAACGGGAGAAAAGTGTGCTGATTTTCTGGGGAATCCGTCGTCCCTCCTCCTTCTGCCCGTTTCAATCCGTCAATACCAATACATCGGGTACTCAGCCGGTGTAATAGCTCCCCCACGTCCAAGCTCGGTGCTGGTGGTCATTGCTTTTATAAACCCCTCGTTGAAGAAAGATGAATGGGAAATAAATAGCTATTAGTGTGGCTGCAAGTTCCTTCAGCAATTTTCAAATCTCCTCATAGCCTCATCAACACCGTGTTTTTCCTCGGTAGCCGCGGCGATATTTTCCTTAATCTTTTTTTAGTATCTGAAACATTTTTCTGTCAGGCAGTTGTCAGTCTGAAGAAAAGGTGCTTCTCTTTATGATCTCCACTGTTTCGCGTTTGAAGCCCTTTATCCTAACCTATGTGACTCTTACACAGATACCCCGCGGTCCCCAAAGATCTTCCTCTCCAATACCCCGCCATACCACCGGCAACTTTTCTTGAGCAGCAGCAACAGTCGTTCGTCACCCCACCATCGAACCATGTCGACCACGCCTACTCGTCGGTTGAACGTGCACAACATCAACCAGCATGTTGTTGCCGCCAAGTACGCCGTCCGTGGCGAGCTTGCCGTGAAATCGGAGGAGTATCGCGCGAAGCTTGCCAAGGGCGACAAGGACCTCCCCTTCGACGAGGTCATCTCGGCCAACATCGGAAACCCCCAGCAGCTGGACCAGAAGCCTATTACCTTCTTCCGCCAGGTTGTTTCTCTTCTCGAAAACCCCCTGCTGCTGGAGCATGAGGACGTGCTCTTGAACCAGCTCGGATACAAGTCCGATGTCATTGCCCGCGCCAAGTGGCTTCTGAGCAAGGTCGGCTCCGTTGGTGCCTACAGCGCCAGTGCCGGCGTTCCTGCAATTAAGGATAGCATTGCTAACTTTATTGAGCGTGAGTTGTGACCGGTTTTGTATTTCTTGTTTTGCGCGGCATGAGAACTGACCGAGAATTTTCTGCAGGCCGAGACGGGTTCCCCGCCGATCCTGCCCACATCTACCTCTCTGGCGGTGCCTCCTCCGGTGTAAACACTCTCCTGCACATCATCTGCAAGGATTCGTCGAGCGGTGTTCTCGTTCCTATTCCCCAATACCCTCTCTACACTGCTACCCTTTCCGTCCTCAACGCCACGTGCGTTCCGTATTACCTCGATGAGGCTTCCGGCTGGGGTACCGACCTTGCCACCATCAAGGCCGCCTACGAGAAGGCTACCAGCGAGGGCACCGATGTCCGCGCCATCGTCATCATTAACCCCGGTAACCCCACCGGTGCCTCTCTCCCCGAGGAGGATATCCGTGCCGTCTACGACTTTGCGGCCGAGAAGAACCTCGTTGTGATGGCCGATGAAGTTTACCAGACCAACGTCTTTGTTGGCAAGTTCCATTCTTTCAAGGGTGTCCTGCGCAAGCTCCAGAAGGAGACCGCAGGCAAGTACGACGGTGTCGAGCTCGTCTCGCTGCACTCCATCTCCAAGGGTATGGTCGGCGAGTGTGGCCACCGCGGCGGCTACTTCGAGCTTGTTAACTTCGACCCCGAGGTCGAGGCCAACATCTACAAGTTCGTCTCCATCATGCTCTGCGCCCCAGTCATCGGTCAGTGCATTGTTGAGCTCATGGTCAACCCCCCCAAGGAGGGCGAGCCTAGCTACGAGCTGTACCGCAAGGAGTACGACGGTATCTTCAACGGCCTTAAGGAGCGCGCCACTGCCCTGCACAAGGCCTTTGACCAGATGGAGGGCGTTGAGTGCGGCGCTCCCCAGGGTTCCATGTATCTCTTCCCCACTATCAAGCTCCCGGCCAAGGCTGCTGAGGCCGCTGCCAAGGAGGGCCGCACTGCTGACGAGTTCTACTGCATGCAAATGCTCGAGGCTACCGGCGTCTGCGTCGTTCCCGGCAGCGGTTTCGGCCAGAAGGAGGGCACACTGCACTTCCGCACGACCTTCCTCGCCCCCGGCACTGACTGGGTTGGCCGCATCACCAAGTTCCACAAGGAGTTTATTGAGAAGTACCAATAGATGCAATCTTGAATCTACATGTTTCGGAACCATCTACGGATAGGGGAGTTAGGAAAGGTGCGAGGAGGCCAGCCGCTTAGGTGAGACGAGACTTGCGAAGCATAACAGCGAGCGCGCGGCTTGGACAAATATCTTTTTTGTATTTTCTTCTTTTTTTTCGGGGAGGTAAAAGACCGAGCGTGTTTTTTTTTTATTTCTGAATAAAAAATACAGCAAACCATTACTTGGATCATGGTTGGATATAGCGGTCTAAATACGAAGAAAATGAAATAAAATGAGATGAGATGGGCATGCTATAATCTGGGAATGGGGCATTCTACCACATTTTCGGAGCAGCAACGGTTTGCATCAGGGCACATCTAAGACGGTTCTGTGATTAATGGCGCCTTTGGCAGATAGCTTACGAAAAATAGAAGCATCTCGCGCTCCGCCCCGTCGTGTTCGGAAACGCTAATTTTCCTTGGGTAGAGACAAAGTGTGCTGGTGGCTAGAAAGCAAGGAGAAATACATCAGACCACAGCAGTTGCAGCACATAATGGCATGACCAAGGGGCAAGAACCATCCAAGCCAAGATTTTTCATATTGGCTCGTCTATCCGTAGGTATCATACAGAGTTTGTTGTAGTAGCACACGCATTTGCTCACCCATTGTTCTATTCGCCGCCGTAATTTCTACCTCTGCGCGTGACCGCCGTTGATAGTATTTGATTTTAAAGGGCCCCTCGGCTCTCATCGGCAATACCTTCTCAGCTTTCCATTACTTTAAGCAATTACGCACGCTCGCTTCCCCTTAGGCGCACGGCCTGGCCATACTTCTGAAGCTTGGTGATAAGCTGATCACCCTGTCGAACGACGTCCTGGTACTGCTTGTTCTTGTCGTCTGGCCGGTTGGTCTCGATGACGCCTTTGCCGCTAACACGGTCGATTGTGCAGGGGATACGGCCGGCCGCAATGAACTTGGCGAGGTCACTAGACGTAGAGTTAGAAAAGAGAATGTCCGTGGAATTCTGGTAATACGCACCGGTCCAGGAAGTCAACTGTTACGCCAAAGTCAGTGGCCATCGTCTCCAAGCCGACGACGCGGTAGCTCTGCAGAAGCTGTTGGTAAGCGCGCAGGCGCATCTCGCGGATAAACCAGTTCTTATGCTCGTGGAGGTAGCGATCCTGCGTGAGGAAAGATTCCTCGACCTGAGCGAGGGCCTGGAAGAAGTACTTGTATTGGCCGTTGTAAAGGCTCGAGACGAGCTGAGCCAGGGGCGAAAAGTCGATGGCCATCTCGGCCTCGGGCTGATCGGTGCTTGTTCCAAGGGTTGTCAGGTTGACGGCCGTCTTGGCAGCGGCGGTGGTGGCCGGGGCGTCTGTCATAGTATCGTCGGCACCAGGACCGGCACTCAGGGCGCCTGACAAAGCCAGAAGCTTGTCTTCTCCATCACCAAGGATGGCCTTGATCTCGGGGGCATCAACAACCTTGCTCTTGAAGTCAACACGCTTCAAGGAAACAGATCCAGCGAGTACGGAGTAGACGACGATCGACGAGTAAGTGCAAAGTTCGTAGCTGGTGAATGTGGACAAACTGTCGAGAAGGAGAGGTGCAGCGCTGTTGTACGACCGCACGGTCAGCGAGTAGATGCCCTCGTAGGCCTTGAGGCGGTTGCGACGATCCCAGTCACCACCAGACTCGACGAGGGTCTTTGCACGCTCGATGTGCTTCTTAACAAGGAGCTTGTCGCCGTAGAAGAGACCCATCCGGACTATTGCGAGCACCAAGTCGATCTTGGTGCCCAGGATACCCGTCTTTTCGAATACGTCTTCGTATGCGGCGATCGCTCGGTCCTGCCAGCCATGTCAATTACCCATCCTAATGATGGCCGACAAACGTGAACGTACCTTGTCACCAACTCTGGCCCAGAATTCTGCCCGCTTCCCCCGCGCGGCCTGAATCTCCGTGTCACCTGCCTTCTCAACGGCCTCATCTTCCTCCTTCTGAAACTCTTCCAGCTCTCTGTCGTTGTCGGCCTTGAGTTCCTGGTAGCGGCCCTCATCCCAAGGCAGGTTGACGGTGGTGGGGGTGCTTTTGGTGGCGATCATGCCAGCCAAACTCGACTTCCGGCTCAGCGGCTTGCCAGGTGTCTGGCTGCCGCCCTCACCGACCTGGTTCAAGATTCCCTCGAGCGGATGGGCGAGGTACCGGTAGAGCGGTGCCATCTTGTGCTCGGTGATGGCATCGTTCAAAGCTTTCGCGGCGTTTTGTTGGGATGGTCGGGAGGCGTAGGCGTTTGTGAGGGTGAAGACATGCTGGGCGAGGGGAAGGAGGGGGTACTTTGCGTACTGGGGATCTGAGCCCATCTTTGCGGTTGTATTTGCGACGGCGGCCTTGGATCGAGGGAAGAAAATCGAGGTATGAGGTTGAGGAGAAGATTGAGGCTGTGGGATCAATTTACTGGGTGAGCAAGAGTGATGTCGTTGTTTGGAGGTGTTTAGAGCTGGAGCTTGAGGGCCCCTGCAAACCGCAAGCAGCCGGTCAGAGTCTGACGTGATTGGCCCGCTATCGGGGGTAAGCTTAGAAATTCGGGCAAGGCTGCAGTGCGACACGTACTGGAACTGCCTACGCATTACACCTGAACCTGCCAAAGAAACAACTCAATATCACCAAAAACAATTTAAGAAGCTGCATTTACTTCTTAAGATTCTAAGAAAATACTATTTGAAATTTTCTTTATTATTTCACAGGTTGTTCGTCATAACATGGAAGGAACGGAATACTGACGATGGCACGGCACTTGCCTTACATTACTTACACGCCGGCCGTGTTTTGGGAAATTTATTTAGTGGGTCCTACCTCACCCTTGTTCTGCGACCACGATCAGCTTCTTCCTCAAGGCCTTTCTAACCACAATCACTCTTCATTTCCCATTTCTATTAAACACTCTTGAACGCCAACAAGGATAAAATCAAACACACTCACGAAAACCTAACATAAAGGGCATTGTCTGCTGATCGGAATCATGGCGGGCTACGACAATGATACCACTGATTCCTACGACGCGAGAAAGCGCAAGAGATCGCAATCACCACCCAGGAAGGGCAAGAGACGTGATGAAGAAACCGATCAACTTCCCCAACCATACAATGCGAAAGAACTTCAAGCAGCAAAGCGGCGGGCGGTATCTCCTTCCGAACAACCGCGAAAGCAAAAGAGACCTGGCGCACGCGCTCGCATCTCTGAAACCGAGCGAGAGGCAATTCGCCAGCGAGCCCTAGACCGCGAGAGGGCCTTGGAGGCCGCAGCACACGCAGAAACTGAGCGCCAGCGCAACATTAACGATGTTGTCACACAGCACTACAACAGTGTCCCTGAACGCGGCAGGGATTGGAGGCGCACCGACAGCAAGATTAAGGGGCTCCGAGCATTCAACAACTGGATCAAGAGCTGTATTATCCAAAAATTCTCACCAGATGAGGACTATTCTCCTAGTTCCCGTGAGCAGGGCTCATCCACAGGCAAGGAGCTTCTTGTGCTTGACATTGGTTGCGGAAAAGGTGGTGATCTGGGCAAGTGGCAGCAAGCACCACAGCCTGTAGAGCTTTACGTCGGCCTAGACCCCGCAGATGTCAGCATCGACCAGGCAAGAGAACGTTATCGTCAGATGGGCAGTCGCGGGGGTGGTGGAAGAGGTGGGCGAGGCGGGTACAGGCGACCTGCTCCCCGCCTATTTGAAGCGCGCTTCCAGGTCAAGGACTGCTATGGCGAGTCCATTGAGGACATTGAAATTGTGCGACAAGTTGGATTTGATACCAATCCTCTCAGTCGCCGAGGTTTTGATGTGGTAAGCATGATGTTTTGCATGCACTACGCTTTCGAGACGGAACAGAAAGCTCGGATGATGCTTCGTAATGTGGCTGGCTCACTGAAAAAAGGTGGCCGGTTGATTGGGTGCATTCCCAACTCTGACGTCTTGGGAGAGCGCGTCAGAGAGTTCAATAAGAAGATGGAGGAGAAGAAACAGAAGGCTGCCGAGGAACCGCCTCCGGAGACCGAAGAGGGCGAACTAGAAGACGGCGAAGCAGAGCAGTCAGCGGAGTGGGGTAACTCCATTTACCGGGTCCGCTTCCCCGGTAAGACCCCTGAAGATGGTGTGTTTCGTCCTGCCTTCGGTTGGAAATACAACTTCTTCTTGGATGAAGCTGTCGAGGAGGTTCCTGAATATGTAGTGCCATGGGAAGTTCTTAGAGCCCTTGCCGAAGACTACAATCTTGAGTTGCAGTATCACAAAACATTCTCGGAGATCTGGGAATCGGAGAAAGATGATGAGGTCCTTGGTCCTCTGAGCGAACGAATGGGTGTGCGGGAGCGCGGTGGGGGAAGACTATTGGTTTCACCAGAAGAAATGGAGGCGGCAAGCTTCTATACTGCTTTCTGTTTCTACAAGGTCTAGTTTGGTCATGATGTGGTGCATTTGTACCTTTGGAGGAGTTCTACCCCAAGAGAGAAACCTACCAAGAAGAGCCGTTAATCGAAGTTACTTTTGGGACGCAAACATGGTAGGATGACCTTACCAGCGTTCAGAACCATTCGAGAACATTGAGAGGTTTAGATATTAGATGAATAGCACGACCTTTCATGATTTTCGAGGAGTACCTGAGTAGTTGTGCGTTCTATATTCTGTCGAATAGTGCCTTAAGGCAAACGAAACTGACAAAGGGGCAAAGATCCCTTTGTGAACGCTGCAGGGAAGCCAATAGAAAGGATGTCTTATCTGTTCGTTATACGCAGCTCAACAGACGTTCCATCTGCATGAATTGATACGTCGGCCAGCAACAGAAAGGTTATGGACTGCCGCGTTCGGTTTTTACGGGGTCTCGAGCGATTCAAACAGTGGATGACGAAGAGCATGTAAATATAGGTCTATCTTCATGACTACCCAACCCAACATGGCATTAAAAAACTTGAATTATATGTTTGTATTTCTGCCATAAAAGTTCACTTGAGAAATTCCCTGCTTAGGAGAACAAACCGACATCAAGATCACCCTTCTATGGAAAACTATTGACCGCTGTTATAATAATAAAATAAAATGAGTAATGAACAACAAATAGAGTTCATAACATATGGCAGGGTAGAGACTGTTTCCACGAATGCTGCATCGGAAATGACCTCCTCCTTTGCCATGGCAGGACAAAAACTTGTTTCACCAACCGAATGATGCTGGCTCTGTGCGGAAATGAGGGTACCGTTTCCCCCTTCCACTCTCAAGAAATCCCAAGACACGTAGATAGCTTCTTAGACCAAATCACATCCATCACCAAGCCAATAGGTACCAGCTTACAATCTTTTTGTTGGCCTATTCGGCTGTAATGGCGATGCCACCTATTGAAAACTTTGGTGAGAAGACCAAGGCGTATTTCCACTTGGTAATGCCTGCAAAGGCACAGTGGTAAATTTAAAACAAAGATGACTTTGTCACTGTTCAAAACGTATTTTAGCTCCGAGTAATGAATGCTTTAAAATTCACCCTCATAGCATTGGTGGGAATATCCCGGATCGTTGTTGCTAGATTCCAGATAACTTGATCCAGATCCTGTGCGAGATGATGACATGGATGTGTCCAGGCGTATTGAAGGCACCGGCAAGGCCGTAACATGCGATTGAGACGTTAACAGAGTATCGCGTGTAATTTCTTCCGGCATAAAGCTCCAATTAGTCATGCCTTGAAATATTGAAGGGGAGTCCTCTGAAATGAAGTTTTCCCAGGTTCCGGAAACTGAAGTGACGTCTGCGTTGGCGCATGTGAAAGAAGGCTGAGATCGGTGTGGGAATGCGCGAGTTCCAGCTTGTATCTCATCCAACTGATGACCCTGGGCCTGAGTGAATTTGTCGTGATACTCAGTTTCAATGTGACGAATAGCCGGCGAAACATCATGTGTTGCTGCTGTATAGGGTGTGAAGGAGCCTTGGCCAGCACTGTAGCTGTTAGAGCAGCCTGTCGAGGTAGAAAAGACGTTTTGTGCCGCGTGATCATCGCTAGACAACTGAGTAGTAGGAGTTGTTTCAACTCTCCCTTGGCTGACATAGTTATCCTGACTAGGCCCGTATTGGCTTTCGTACCATTGGCAGGCCACGGCATCCGTTACGGGTGACTGGATGGGGATTGATCCAGAAAGGGAAGTTAAAACAGTTGAGCGCGGAAGGTCGCTGGTCGAGATGTTATAAGTCAGACCGCTATTGCTTTGCGTAAATGGAGACTGCGGCTCGATAACAGGCTGAAGACAATCGGCGGCACTTTTAGCCTGTGTCATCCAAACCCCATTTCCTGACACGAGACCTACTCTCATTAGTTATTGATTTACTGTGTTGAAAAGATGTTGTATTTACCTGGTATGTCCCCAAGGGATGGAGACGTTCTTGGTCTTGGGGATGTCTCAGCAGCGCCGATGCCCAAGTAGCAGTAACTTTCTTTTGGCAGTCCACCTTTACATTGAAGTCGCCTGATTACCTTCTTACCCACAAGAAGATCAACGCCAAGTGGCTCAAGAAGGCTATCCGAGACAACAGCTATATTGAAAGTCCCAAGCTCACAGTCTGACAACCAGGAAGCCTCGATCTCCACGCTAACGAATTGCTTGGAGCTGACCATGCCCAACTTTGTCATGATGCTTATGTGCATACTTGGTGGGTATATCATAGTCCCTAGCCCCAATCTTTTCGCTGCAGACAGTGTTATGAGCGAAAAGCTACTACTTGGATCATAATGTGCGTTGAGGGGTTCTGCTTCTGTGAACACCTTCGAGTCTTTGACCCATAATGTGGCGTATGTGTTAGGGTCTTGCATTGGTGATCGAGTTGGTTCTGTGATGAGAGCATTCGGCTGGGATAAGCGTTGTTCCAGTAAAGGGAAAGACTGATCTCCAAGGCTTAGAGCTCGAACGTGACGCCTTCCTTTACTAATCCCGTTTACTTGACTGAGTTGGCGACCATTAGCTGGTATTCTTAATGTTCTTGGTGGGAAGAGTCCGTTCTGATTGTTCTCTAATTGGTTTTTATCCTGGCTGACTTGCAGCGTCTCCCGTTCAGAGGCAAGGCTTCGAGGGTCATTCCCCAGAGCTATGTTTGGGCGTGTTTGGCGAGAGTTTGAGGGTGCATGCGGCTCCTTTGAGTTGATGTCTCGCGGCAGTGTGAGTGATTGAAGCATCCGCTTCCTCTTCGTCGCCTCGTATAGGCCTTCTGTTGTAAAGTTGCCTTTCATTGTAGATTTCCTCAGTCTGGCTGGTAGGGCCGTGTGACTCAGCCTGCAAAGTCGAAGAAGACCTTTGTGTAAGAGGAAAAGTGCTACAAAAAGTGGGATATGAGTTCGTATATGGGGCAAGTCAGATCAGGCTTTGGGGAATGAGGAGCGGTCTATGGAAGGAATATATTGGGCGAGCCCAAATATTAACCTTCCACTGCGACGGCTTTCTTCCGAGGGGTGGAATAGGGTGACAACAAGATAGAAAATGGGGAATAATATAGGCAGTGCATGTATAAGTCGTCGGCTGTCTTCTTAGAAAGACCTCACTCTTGCCAGAGGCCTGTAAGGCGTCCAACTACACATTTACAAGACTGGAACCTCGACCGGCGCAAAGGTAGAGCAGAAAGATCCAGGCAAACAGAGGGGGTCGGCACAGCCACTAAGCTATCTGGCAGAGTCAAATTGTTATCAAAAGTACAATCACAACATGATGAATCGTGAGAATGCCTGCCGCTGCTTTATTATCAAGTGTGGCTGCTTTGCGGGGTTATTCTGGACGCCTACTCATCAGCCTGCTGGGCGTTTTTCGCGGCAGTATGGTCCTTATAGTACACATCGCATGTAATCCAGTACAGCCTCAAACCATCCATTTCTGCCTCGAGTCGAAGACGAGACGAACAAGAAGGGTAGCGGTCAAATATACGGCGGCAACTGCCAGATGGAAACAGGACCATTGAATGAGAAGACACGGAGACATTGAATATCTTCTCGTACCTAGATCAGTGAAATAAACGAGAATCAAAAATTTCTCAAAATCAAGAAATCCTGAAAGCCTCACCCGGGCTGGCTTGGCTATACGTGTACACGCATGTGTGGGAGAAATGAACGGCCGTACATGTTGGTGCTCAGACGCGGTCATCTGCACGCTCCCCCACTTCATCCATTCCACTTTGGACAATACCCAATCCTATCGACTTTGTATGCCCAACCTACATCTTCTTTTGATCATGCTCAGTATGCAGTCGATTTCGGCCTAACGCTGTCTTTCAAGGCAGGCAAGGTAACACTTGTGCTCTATCGTACCCCTTGCTTCTCCAATGACGTTCTAATAAAAGTCCACTGTTCTAGTAGGATCAAATATGCCAGCTGCATTTACATTGTTTCTGCATCCAGACTGTTCTATTTGTGTCTGAATTGTAATTGTGGCCAAACTTGCCTCATGCATGAGTACGTGCTTTTACAATTACAATTGAATGTCTACAACTGAAATCCTGCGAGATACTTTGGGCTCGGTGATTGAGGGAATCGTTTTTTACATTCTCCCAATTTAGTAGTTGATTGGTTCCAAATCGTCATTCACCGGTGAGAAAATTGGAGGTTCGATTCTGTCTTCTACGAACTCGCACATCGCCACCCGCCTCACTACTGTGGACACCGAGAAGCGGCGTCTCGGACGCAACTTTAGTGTCAGTTTCTCATATTGCTTCTCGGGGATATCGGGTTATGTATTAAGAGATTCTTTAAAAGTCGTGCAGATACCGCATTGCCCTCTTCTGGTTGCCGGGCTTTGGCGCAGCGGCTCTCGTTAATCAAAAGTTTTATTGGCCAGTTACTTATACCATCTCACAGTCTTGAGGCCTTGCCTTTCACTGAGCTTCATTCTAGCCGATATGACAGATCGCCTAGCTATCCCGCGAAACACCGGCACCTCAAACATGTGCCATCAAGCTCAAATATTCAACGACCGGCGATATGAGCCTCTTTATCAACCAGGAAAGCAAATAGCCAGACCACCAAACGATGAAAATCAACGCCAGTCTCTTCCTCCCACACCTCCAGAAACTGTAAGATCCTGGCCGCATTGCCATGGGCCTCTATCAACAGCTGAAGGTTCTGATGAAAGCGAACGAAGCCATCAGACCTTGAGCTCCGATTCCACAAGAACTGGCGAGCATAGCGAGAGCTATACATTACTTACTTCATCCGAGACATGTAAGCGGTCACGAGAAGAGGAAATAAAGCCTCATATCTTGTCGTGGAGTTCTGATACTGAAGCGCTCGGTCGGTCTGACAACAACTGTGAACTACAACTTGCAGAGATTCCGGAGCATTTTATCATTGGGAATTTACATAGAGTGGGCTCTGAGAAAGCCCTACAGTTGCATCCCTTCCCTGCCACTGTGACCCGAGAAGAGAAGCTGGAAGAAAATCGCCTTGAGGATGATATGTGGAAACAAAGTCCATCTTACAAAGACTTCCACGAAGACCCAGCACATGAGTTCTGGAAATGGGACCAGATGAGGTTGCAATGGTTCCACCAAGATAAGGAGACAGGATCTTTCATCTGGTGTCCAACAGAGTTGGATTGATTTTTTGTACATATACGCATTATGCGGATACCCTGGAGTTACAACGCCCAAAAAAGTTGCTTCCTAAGGTAATATTATATTAGGTATTCAGACTAATTAGTTGGTTGGAGTTGTAGACAAAAAAGGAATGAATGCACAGCTCTCTGAACAATTCTACTTGAAATATAATTTATAATTCTAAACCTTATCTTGAGCAGCCTTGCAGACTTCATGCAAGCATCTTCTAATTCAACCCACGACGTCTAAATACAATATGGAAGATTCTGCCACTACGGAATTCAAAGGCTCTAAATGCCTCGAAGAGTGTATGAGATGTGAACATCTCTATCTCATGATGTTATTATGTATCGTCATATTAAAACTTTAAAATCAGTTTTCAATCAACTCCCACGTTTCTATCTTATCGCTTCGTTTTCATGCCCAAAACTCCGACTTGCTGAAGGCTTGTCTCGGGGTTGCTCTACTCCTCATTTTGCCATCTGATTCATGGAATGAAGTAATTTATCAATGGAACCGATGAGCAGACACTCAAATAGACTGCTGGATATAAAAGCCGACAAAAAAAAATCAAGGAGGAAGCCCAGCAGAACGCCCCAACACCTTTGCGGAGATAGAAAGATCCAGTAACCGGATAATCTCCCATCAACATAACATTTGTTAAAGTATGTCACAAGCAATCTTGTCGCTCTGAGCTTGCTAAACCGTTTAAGCAATTTTGTCTGTCGGCCGTATCCAAGGAGGAAGATGCCAAATCCTTTTTAGAAATAGACGTAGGAGTGAAGCTATCGGGTTTAGGGTTGGTGATCGGGTGCAAATTCCCACGGCCCGAAGTGACGTCGTAAGAGCGCCTAGATGTCTCGTCCAGTCCCAGAGTTGATGGCGGTGTTGACAGTTGGTGATCGATAATCGTGAAAAAAGGCGTCCCTTCCAAACGACTTGTAGTACGGGAGTGGGCATCTGGGGGGTTGGGAGTTAGGAGACCCGGGTCCGGATCCGAAAATGGGTCCATTTTCACGTCAAGCGGGTCCAATTTTCGGCCCAAACCTCCGGATCCCGGTGGACTGTGAAGCGAAGTTGTATTCTCCACTAAGCCTACGGTCGGCGGAAGATGAGGAAGTTGCCGGCTAGGCATGGCTTTGCAGTTTTCGGGAGGCAGTGCAGATAATTGCCCGTTTTGGTCCAGCTGTGTTTTTTCATTGAGGTTCGTCAATGTATCGGTCATGTCCCTGACTCTCTTCCGAAAATTGCTCCCAAAAAAAAGGTCGACATCTCGCCAGCAGTATCCTTTATCAAGAACTACTACATGAACAACCGTGTATGGAATACCTGCTAATGGAGCTTTAATTGGTATGGAAACGAAATCCTTCAAGTAAAGGAGACCAAAGTTTGTGTGGTAGGGGCGTTGCCGCATTGGTGGAGGTAGTGGAAATGTTCTGAGCTTCAAGCTAGCGACAAACTCGGCGGTTGCAAGTGAGTGCACAAACTTGGTATGCATGGCAATGCGAGTCTCGAAGTGTTCATGGGCCGACTCAATCTCGATAGAGAAAGACAGGCTGTCAACAACGTCCGGCTGGTCGATCCTTGTGTTTGTTCTCATAATGTCTGCATGATTTGGGGTTGATTCGCACGTATTTGTCGACAGAATTGGGCCATTACTTTGTGTGGTCAGGTACGGATACGTTGGAGAACGCCTCAAAGATTCCGTAGACGACATTTTCAACTTCTCTTTCAGGCAGTAACTTGTTACAGCCCAGCTGCTTCGCCCAGGGTGATTCCGGTGCTACTTCTTGAATACGATGCGATTTCCCCGAGGTGCAATTTACTTGACGCTTTTGTTGATTCTGGTCAAGTGGACTCTTGAATTGTCAATCCAGTTGATGTCTCGTTCCAAAATCGAATTAAGGTTTGGACTCGAGTTGTTGGTCGGGCTTGCAGGCTTATCGAGGCTGGCAGAGTTGCGAATTGGGCTCTTGGGCTTATGCAACTTGCTGTGCGAAGGATCCAAAAAAGACTCTAACAAGAGGTCGAAAGATAGACAATGTAAGTCACCCGGACGGCCCAGTGATATATCTTAGTGGGCTAAATCTTGAAGTCAATGAGACCTGCTTGGGCTTTTAGCTATCATCACGTACCACATTGTAATGTAGCTTCAGATGAAAGCAGCCTCGCCGCACGTTGGTTCGCGAACCATTTCTAAAGCCCGAGCATGAAAGGCTTCCCTGGCTAGGTTATCCGAACAGTATTCCATCCCAACAGCCCAAGGTAATGAGGCTGTATCTATCTATACCATGGGCTTTCTCTGCATCGGCCATGCCGTTCAGTGCGGTACTTTCTGAGTGAAGCCCAGATTTATGACCCTTGATCCACCGAGAATCAACATAGCCTTATGAGTTGCTGTTGGTAATGATCATGTGAAATAGTCGTTAGTGGTCGTCGAAGCCCAATTGCCTCTCACAGCTCCTGCATGCCGATCCAATTGTAATTTCGGCCCAAGAACGAACCCCAGGACCACCGTCAGCATCGCATCATCACGTACTTCGGCTTGGCACTTACATCTCCACCTCCTCTACGAAATTTTGTGTGACCCGTACCGTGCCAACACATCGGAGCTTGTCTGGCCAAAACACTGAATAAGAAACAAGGCGAACCAGGAGGATAATTTTTTTCTGAATATTACACCTCGAGTAGAATGGCACACTTTACATTATATGGCGCATTCAGTTTCGGTCAGTCTCCCCCTGTAGACCTCCCAGTGCCGTGTCAGCCTGCAGGTTCAATGTAGTGGTGCATACGTTATCCACGACAGCTGCATGCCTTACTCTACTAGTGGCTGTTATTATAGGTCATATTTTCAACAAAGATGATTAGATTTGAGGCCTTCCATTTACGAGAAATGCTCTTCTATATTGTCTATGTGACCAATCGTGTACCAAGCGACCTATTCCGTATGGTCTACTGAAACATTGCAGTTTGAGATACACTAGTTCAATCTTCTCGTGACGCTCAAAAGATTCACCGAAGTGTTTCCAGCATTAACATTCTCGACAAGGTTATGTACATGGAGCATGATGTTTCCTTTATACTTGTGTCGAGTCTAATGCTTTCCGCCCCCAGGTTGACCACCTAATTTCACCTTCACATTCAGTGATCTTATATACCTTTTATGAGCGGTCTCAATACAGAGGAGTGCAAAAATCACCGAAGCTTCCACAAAGCCCTCACTGGCACGGAACCTGTGAGTGTAGACTTCGTCTGGGCAAAAGGACACTTGCTCATTGTATGGAACACAGATGCTCGAGCCCAGACCGCATACTTTTACAGCAATAACAAGACGCAGACCCAGGACTAATGGACGCTAGAGGTGTTACCCAAAACAATGTGCCTCATGAATCTCAATCGAATGCAGAGACACCAAGGAACGACGTGTGGACGAATGGAAGCCAGTCTCATCACACTTACTCCTCTATGGGATATTCATCACACACGCACCAGACACCGGCCAGTAGCATACACATTGTAGCACCGGCAGAGACGGCGACGGAGCAATGGAGTCAACGGACGTTGCCGTCCTCCCAGAAGCGCTCGAACCTGGCCTTCCCGGCTCTTAAAGAGCCAGAAAGTAAACAAGTCATTAAACCTTTAGAGGCGGACGCTTCTGATGATGTTGTTTGTCAGAGTCAGATGGAATTTGAGGCAGATCCCGCCCACGAATTCTGGAAATGGAGTGTGCATAAGCAAAACTGGTATCACTTTGATGAATCAACGGGCTCGATTCTTTGGGCTCCTCTTCAGCTAGACTAGAAATTTCTGCTATGCATTCCTGTCATTACCACATTCAACATATTCGCGTTTTACTTTCCGGGTTTTCTGGTTTCTTTGGTTCGTTCTGCTGGCAGATGTGGGCGCAATACCGAAAGATTTCGAGTAATTGGAAAACTGAGATACAATATAGCCAATGCTGCTTCAGCTGCCCCTGTATCGCAAACTGGAACATATCTTGAATCATCAAAGCATATCAGTTTTGAAATTGCAAAATCCATCTCCTGGGCTGCGATAGTGAGCGGCCATATCTTAGATGAGCTTAGTGACTAGTGAAATCTCAAATATTTAGACGCCAATGACAACGTCTTGGAAAAGACTTGAAAACTAGCATAGTATGGGGTAAATGCTCGAGTTACATATATGTCGAAGTCAGAGACTATGTTCTAGAATCCCTTCTCATTCAAAACTCCAGTTGCAACCCAGAATGGTCTAATTCCTATGATGTCTATCTGTTGCTTTTGGCAGATGTAAAAATCCTAGAAAGAAGAGAAACTCTGACCAAGGGGGGTTGCATGATGCATCATTTACTACTTTCAACCCTGTATTCTGGCGTTTGAAAGTCTGGTTAAATCTACCCGGCTGTGATTTGGTTGATGAACTCGTGATTTGTTGTCCTTTCTCAACATACGTTTCTAACTTGCATAACTATCAGCTATGAGCTAAGTATCTCCTCTACGTACCTTTCATGCCGTCGTCCTTGATTTGAAGAAATAACATATATGACACTCTAATTCACCTGAGGCCGGTAGTTCTCAGACACTAATTGAGAAGTCGACGGACAGGTGGGTATGGCAAGCGAAACAACAGTTGGGTAGTCTGCAACCTCTCGAGAGAGAGACACAATATTATGCTCTCAATACCAGTACCAATGTACGTTGTAACTCTAAGCTTGACTTTATGGATAGCCAGATGAACTAAAGATTTGTCAAAACGGGCTAGAGAAGTCTGTCCTCTCAGGCCATTACCCAGACACCTCAACCGTAATCCCCCAACACTTGAGGCGCAAACAAGGACTTGTAGTTACCATGGAGTAGCTATAAGTAACCACCTGACTCAGCATATCATGACACAACGTTTCGACAGCATTTATCAACGTTTGCCCACCCCCGCCATGTCGTCTCATGAAACGAAAGTGCCCCTCTCTAGCCGCTGACAAGCGCCGCTAATCTCATCTAATACCACCCTTCCATATTTGGTTATATCCATGACGTCGTGTCGTCGCAGCATTGAGCTCCGAGCTCATGTAGTCGGCAGTTTACGATCCCGGAGTATGGATATGGAATGATGTGCATATGCACCTGTGCTCCTCCCCGTCAGTCCGTGCAAAGGAAAGTTGCAAGTGCGAAAGATAGCAAACCATTTGTCATGGTTTGAAAGTAGAAGCGCTTCTTTGATTTCTATCTCCTCACCAAAGACCCTGGTAGACATTTGTGTTGAGAGACTAGCGACAGATAGGAGTAACTGAACCCCCTTTCAATCCAGAACGCCCAGAGCTATTGGAGAAATAGCATGGCAAGGAAAAAAGAAATTGTCATCATAAAATAAGTCGTAGATAAAATAGGATGAATGCCACCCGGAGTATCATAAATAATTAGAAAAGGTCCTTCCTTCCTTGCTCCCTCACTGCCTCCTACAGCGTCAGATGCAATTTGAACCCGCAATGACCCAAAATGACTAAACGTTGGGGTATTCAAGTTCGCATTATATTGCCTCGATCAATTTCAAGCATTATTCCTTCATTTTGACGTAGTTACTCGGGAAAATACCGTGCCTCGATCCAATCATACCGGTCCTACAGATAATGTCAGTTTGCGCTTGTAGACAAAGGTCGTTTGATTACATACCACCAATCGGTGTCGCTTTCTGTTTTCTTGAGCACCGTGATGACGTCGCCCTTCTTGAACCCAAGGTCGCCAGGCTGGTCCGCTTCGAAAGTGAAAAGCGCAACAGCCTCGTTTTTCTTGAGCATGGCCGTCTTGGACGCGAAGTTGGGCTTCGGCGCTGCGGGCCTACCTGGCGGCCCAGTCTTTTGCTCCAACCCGCCAAAGCCAGGCGACGGGTTATCCCTATAGACATAGTTGTCGTTGCCTCCTCTTGACGCAAAGGTGTTGGAGCGGGACAGGCCACCAAAGCCGCCGCCGCCGCCGGTGGGCCTGTCGTAAACGTCATCTTGCCACGTGCTGGACCTTTTGGGCCCGCCGAACTCGTCGGCACCGCTGCCACCGCCGAAGGTGCTGCTGCGGTTGTTAAACTCCCCCTCGCCATAGCCACTACCCCGGCGGCCGTTCCACACCACATCGTCGTGACCTTGCTCGTAGACGGGGATGTCATTATACATGGAATCGTTGGCCTGGCCAGTGCGGCCGGCGTTAAAGGCGCGGGAGTTCAGGATGTTCATGAGAGGTGCGGCCTGGGGTGGTGGGCGAACACTGCCGGTAAGAATCTGAGCAGCGGTGTAGCGGGTGCCGTAGAGCTTCTCGTTGGCGTCGCGGCGCTCGATAATGACGGAGCCCTCGAGCGATACACCAGCAAACAAGCCCTTGGTCTTGGAGTAGGAGAAGATACCCGCAACACCCTTAAGCGAGGCGGCGCCGGCGGCCTCGGCATTGCGACCTACAGGTCCCGCGGCAATAGAGACATTGCCTCCCAGGGTAAGAGAGCCGGCCTGGGCGAAGGTCTTTACGGCGCTCGCATCGTTGAGGATGAAGACGAAATCAGTAAGCTCGAAACCAATTTGTCCTCCAAAGCCGGCACCAGCGGTACCGATAGCGCTTGGGGCGCTCCAGGACCCGTCGGGGAGCCGCGAAACGACCAGACCGCTGCCAAAACGACCGGAGCCGAGGAAGCCTGCCTTAAGGACAGTAAGGATCGCGAGGCCCTATTCAGTTCAATGTATGTTAGCAAACATTGCTTTGCAACGATTCGCAGAGACACGATCCGGAGGCCTCTGAAGGCAAGGAAAAATGGTGTGTGTGTGCGCGCGCGCGCGCCAAGGCGGCGACGGAAAAGTCGTGTAGGGAGGGCGGGGTGCGAATATGGCTCACCTTCGCGTTGGCGAGAATCGAGGGAGGAATAATCTTGTCGGGACTAAATGCTTGCCGAGGGTCGATAAAGGACGTCAGAATCTTGCCGCACTTCTTGCATTCCGCTGTATATGAAGGTTAGTTAAATGTTTGCGCCGGGGGGAAAGATGATGGAAGGGCGGGTGAACCGGATCGCCGGCACAGAGGAGATGGTGGACTTACACGCCATAGACGACGGCAACGGGTTATGGAGGCCCATGATGACGACTTATCGAGCGCGATATTAGAAAAAGGTCGAAGTCGCTTACTCGAGAGGGGAGTGGTGAAAGATTGGGAGGTTGAAGGGAAGGGGGAAAAAAGAGAGACAGCTACACGAAGAGGCGAGGAGGTGCCTGGGATATTGGGATGTGATTTAGGTAGGTAGATCCAAAAGTACTTTCGGGATCCTCTTCGTCCACGGTTCCCGCAACTATGGTGAGTCCACACCTCCACGTAATAGCGATTTAGTGGGGTTCTAATGGGTGAAGAGCCGCCGAGGCCTGCGCCTCTTCTTTTCGTCTTAACCAAGAAATTTGGAGAAGAGCAGCTGTTACTGTGAATGCTGAGAGCATCCCAAAACAGGATGGTGAGTCTTTGGCTTGGCCTTCCGAGAGGGACACGGTACTCCTTATCATACTCGTTTCCTTTAAATGTTTACCTGCTTGTTTCTCTCTACAAAACAGATTACTATCCTGCCATTGGACAGCGCTGTCTATGGAGTTGCTCGTCAGACAGACAGGATCTAGCTCTGATTTCTTCAGCATCAACCCAGTGCACCTTTTTACGATAGTTTACGTTTGTCTAGGGTTGGTGCAGGTGACCAAAAAAATCTTGGGATCGCCGAAACAAAACATTTTTCAAAACAAAAAGTCGACTGGGAATGGGTGAGAGGGAGCTACTCTGGTGAGGCGTTGCGGGCTGTCATTGCTACGGTACCTTGCGGCGCGGTGGTGAGGTAATACCACCTCTTTATTCGCGGGGTACGGGAATCTCTTAACAGAGTTGGAGGGGAGAAGGACCACTGCTCTCTTCTCGGATTTGGGGGCTCCATTGTAGGCCTGAGTGTGGCGCAGGCACACTGACGCGCAACCCCACTAACAAGGGTACCGATCCGAGAAGCGTCACTGTCGCTCCTGTTCGCTGCCGGCCGCTAGTAGTAGACGCAGTGACCATTTATCCTTCCCGCCTGACATACCACTATGTGCACTTTCCCTACTCGGGGAATGACGCTAGGGAAAAACTCACACTACGCTCCGGGGTTCTAGACCCCCCGGTCAATCCCGTGCCTTTCCAGCGCACCTTTGCGAATTCCAGCCTCGCCTCGACTGGCTTTCTTTGAAAACGCCCGGTCCGGCCATCGTCATTGTTTCGCCGCCTGCTAAACCAACCACATCTTCGCCCATCAATCCACCCATCCCTTTTAAAGCCTTTCCCATACAAAACCACGAACAAAACCACGAACAAAACAGCCGCCAGCGGGACATTCAAATATAATTACGCACACAAGCTCCGCCTATCCCAACACCTTTTGATCCAAGTATCTACGAAGACCACCAAAAGACGAAAGGTACACTGAACTGTGCACGCGGCAGTCGACACGAAGCGAAGGTCAATCGAAGCTCTTACATCCTCGACCAACTCGACCAAAACCACCAAAAATCGACAAGATTTTGACTGCACCCGCTTCCCAGGGTTCCGTGCCGTCACCTCCGTTGTCGCACGCATTGAGCCATCTTTCTTCTCTACCCCAAGCTACCGCCGGTCCATCGCAAGAATGTCGGAGGCATACGAGCGCGAGCGCCAGAACAATGCCCGTTTGGACGAGCTGTCCGCAAAAGTGTCCGCTCTCCGCGGCGTCACTGTTGACATTTACGACAATGCGCGTGCCCACGAGGTCATCGACAACACAGTATGTCTATTCCCCCTTTTCCCCTTCTATTCCTCACAGCAAAAGAGGCGGTTCAGCTTACAATCCCACCCCCTTGTCAGTCCGAAACGTTCTCCTCCATGTCCACCCAACTCAAGGGTTCCGCCGGCCGGTTAACCCGTATGGCTGCCTCCGGAAACAAGGTCGCCATCCTCAAGCTGTCAGCCATCATCATCGGCGTCTTCAGCCTCCTGTTCTACATTTCTAAACTCTTCTTTTGAGAGTTTCGCGCGAATACAATCTTTCGGTCGGTTTTCTATGTCCTTGGTTCGATAGACATGGGCGGCAAAGCAAGAAAGGCAGGCAGGGGGGCACCTATGAGACTTGACAAAAAAATAAAGGAGGGATGACAATAGGCGAACCCATCAACTGCATGATGGACTCGGCGCCGGCGCTACATTATGGTTTCAAGGGGTGGGAGGGGGTGAGCGAGTTGGATTACCCCAACTCACAAAGGTGCCACAGGATGAATCGGCAAGTAAGAACATAAGGGAAAACAACTTTTTTTTTTTGTTATTTGATGGCGAGGACGTTGGGCGTGGACGTTCAAATACCCTGCGCATGGACAACGGAGTTTTCATATTAGGGGTTTACAGCAAGACGACTGGACTGATTGACTGTATTGATTGCACTGCACTGCACTGCACCACACATACATATCATATCACACTCTTATGTTTATGTTCTGTAGCATGAATTTTAAATAGCTTGCTTTTCAGTCTTTTGCAAAGTATTCATCTATGACGCTTTTGCATCCGAATTACAGACATATCACATAAACCCCCCGCCCTCTGTGCCCGCAAACCCATCAATCGACCACTTTCGTTGAAATGTCTATAGACGAACAGAAATCGCAAGAATACTTGAAACTTCCGCCGCGGCTGGAAACAAATTCTACGGCTTCAATTCACCATCGCCCACTTTCCACACCCTCCACACTTACTGCCATACGTTCGAAAACAGGTCATCGTTTCCTCCAGCGGGCTTAGCCGACCCGGATCCAGTGGTTGGCCCTGTGCTGCTCGTCCATCCTCCAAACTCCTCATCAGCCGCCACTTTTGGCGCTGCGCTGAATCCGCCAGACGCACCGGGGACGATTGGCGTGTTGGCAAAGGAGCCAGAGGAGCCCCATCCACCCAGGTCGGTGCTTCCTCCGAAACCACCAGACGGCTTGGGTGCTTCCGCAACCTTCGGAGGAGCCGGGGCCGCGGCTGAGGTGCTGGTGTCGGGTGTGCTCCAAGCGTTAGAGCCCCACACGTCGGAATTTGCCCAGTTTCCTGAGTTGATAGTGCTTGTAGCAGCTGCCGTGGGGTTTGTCACGGCTGGCGGGGACTTGGGTTGATTGGAAGAGAGGTTGAAGACGGAGCTTGAGGCAGCAGCTGGTGAAGGGTTGCTGGGAGCAGCGGCAGGTTGAGAGGGGGAAGAGAGGTCGAACAGGTCACCCATGGACGAAGACGCTGGTTGAGCGGGCTTGGGCTGTGATTGAACAGGCGCCGGGGCAGGGGAGCTGGACCAGCCAAATCCACCAAAAGCGCTGTTGGAGGGTTGCTTCTGGTGCTGAGCAGCGGGTGCTGGCGCGGGCTTAGAGTCGAAGAAGCTGCCTCCACCAAGGCCACCAAAGGCATTTGACGAACCTAGCGGCGGTGACTTGTTACCGATGGGGCTGGCCAAGCTCGCAAATGGGTCTGCTTGAGCTGGCTTGGGGCTCGTAGTGTTTGAAAACCCAAGGTTGCTGAAGGCATCAGTCATGCCACCGAAGGATTGCTGTTGCTGGTGTCCAAAGGTGGGGGAAGGCATGCTGCCAAAGGAGCCGCCCGGGACTTGGGGGGCTTGTTGCTGCTGCTGGGGCTGCGGTCGTGGGGCAGAAGCGTACAGCGAGAGAATCGATTGCTTCAGGTCTGGCCTCGAATTGCCACCCATGGCGCCGGCAGCGTTGGTGCTAGCAGGCCGTGGCGGAGCCGCGGGCTCTCCAAAGAAGTCCAGGCCTAGCAAGGAATCCTTGGTGCTCGTGGCCTTGGGGGGAGCGGGATCGGATTTGGGAGGCACCTTTCCGGGCTGCGGGCCGGCCGTACTTGCTCGAGGAATGGGATCGCCGCCGATAAGATCAGCCTGCGGCTGCGGGGCGGCAATGCTCTTGGGAGGGGCAGCTGACTTTCCGACCGAGCTCTTGCGAACCGACTCTCGTCTCTCTACGTTTTGCTTCTCCCTGACCAGGCTCAAAGGCACGTCGTCATCGCCATCGGCATCCAGCGTGGCGGGGTCCGGAATGGGGCCGTCCATTGTCCATCTCTTAAGCTCGTACTTGGTGCGGATGAAGTTCTCAATCTTGGATTCGGAGGGGACATGACCAGGCGCCAATTTGGCCTCCCAGTATTTGTTCGCGCGTGCGTTACCCCAGCTCAAAATGCTTTGGAGTTGCTCGTCGGTCCAGGAATCGAGGTCGACAGACTTGACTCTGCTGATGTGCGTGCCCATGCCACGGTGGATACCCGAGCACCGAATGCAGATAAAGACACCTAGGTTCCAGCTGGCCCATCGGGGGTCTGCCGTCATGCAAGAGTTAGAGGGGGAAAATCAAATGAATAATAGAAGCAAGAGAGCACAGTCAACTTACGCTTGTTTCTTTTGCAGTCGGAGCATACTTTGTTGCACTCCAGCTTCAAGAGACTCTTGATGGTCTGCTGGTTTTGGGCTGCTCTTTCAGCGGCGGGATTCGGCGGTCTTCGAGACATGGTGGTGTTTCTTTGTGCGGTGTGTACTGGCGGGACGATTGGCAGTTTGCGCGAAGAAGAAAGCGTGTGCGAGTCGGCAGACGAAATTTGACTGTCGTGGCGAGTGCAATCGGAGAAAGGGGAGGGAACGCAGGATCGCAAGTTGACCAGCTGGACCTTGGACGTCGTGTGCCTGGGATTAATATTATGAATTAACGTACCCACGCAGCGCTGATACCAGCTAGGTCAGGGGCGACTGGTGGTCTCGACTGTACAAATCGTCCCTGCCTAAGGCAATGATGACGGTAGTGAAGGTGGGGTCCTGTTAGCTCTGACCATCTCACTGTTGCGAAAGCAGCCGTGGCATGGCTTGACAGGTGGCTGTAGACTTTGGCAGGTGTCTGTCACTTGGTTTATCATCACTTACACATTCAATAAATCCTCTGTGTAGTTCTAGATGTCTTGTTACTAACCACTTTCGGGCTTTTCAGGCATATTTTATGGCTGCCAGATTTCGTAACAGAGCGACATGTAGTATGTTGATTGAGAAATGTTCTCTATGGCAGTGAAATCGAGCCTGGTTGTGCTATGACCCTGTCAAACATTGTTTAGAAGCTGGAAGGTTATGTACGGAAGAACCATAAATCGCATTCAAAAGCCCATAGACAGGTAGTCTCGTGCTCGACCCGAATTTCCTGAGTTTCCTGACTTCTTTGGTATTCAATTAATCTGCGTAACCATAATCTCTCATTATGCGACCCAAAGCCTCTGATGGTACCATACTCATGCTCAAAGGATTGTCTATAAAATTAGGCAATCAAAATCAGAATGAGAGCTTGCTGATGCCTATCAGGTACTAGGTAAACGAATGATGACTAAAGTCATTTTCGAGAATGTAAATTCTTCTAGATAGGCCAAATAGCATTCGGACACCTTTCAATTAAAAAGGTAATCTGTCATGTTGTGGTACAGGGCCTCGCCCTGCAGCTTGTTACTTTAGTAGCCTACGTGTATCACCAATAGATCCGTAGCTACTAAAACGAATTCCCAAGCCGCCTGTTCTTATTTCGTTCGAGATGAATTACAGGGCAGAGTACACGAGTCAATGACTGCCCGGCCATTTGGTCAGCTTGCGAGCCATTGACTCCCCATCATCATCGACTCATGGTGGGACTTCTATGTGAAGGGCATAGCATGGAATTGTGTATTGGATTTAGTACCCGGGTTTCAAAGACAGCCAATTGCCATGTCAAAGAGTTCTAACTGGAATGCGGGCAGCACGCGCCGGTTCTCTTCCGACTGAAATGCATTCCTGCAAGCCTAGAGGCAGGGCAGCCTCCAATGAAGACTGCATCGGCAGCGCTTGCCCGGAAAAGAGCCAGCCGCATCAATGGTGCAAGCGAGGCAGCTTCAAAGACATCGATCTGCCCAGACAAGCCAGTAAAGTTGCGGGGGCGGCACGTCGGTGCATTAGTAGAACGTGGGGGAAGTGAGGGGTTGCGGCGTTCTCACGCCCAACTTACACCTTAATCCGTCGCATTTTGACGTCTCACTCACCAACCCTCCCTCTTTCATAGGTAGGATGGCCCTCGAACCCGCAGCACTTTGCCTCGAGACACCGTTTCCCATGCCATGCCTCCAGCTTCTATTAGCACATGCCATTAGCTGAGTGACTGCCCCCCTCGCCGACGCCGCTTGGAGGACAGCCATGCCGCCTCATGGCTATGTCGGGACATCTTTCCTTGGTTCCGAATGAGGCATGTAGTCTTCCGTCCGCGGTGTACAGTTCGATATCGGACGTGGCCAGTGTCCCCAGGCGGGGGGGCGCTTTTTGTATAAAACCTTAGCGGCTGTAGCGCGTGGAAGGAAATCTTGTCTTACACTACATTTCCCAAAACTCTGAACTTCGTCTTCTTGTTCAAGCTAGCATTTTTACCGCTTTACAACCTCTTAGTCCAGTACATCTGAAGATATCTTGCAATCTGTTCCCGTTTTGCCATGGCTCCGTCAGCAATTGATAAGATAGCATCAACAGTGACCTCCTTCTCATCTGACAGGCCTCGAATCCTAGTCCCTGAAAAGGTCTCCCCGGACGGTCTCGCGCTTCTGAAGGACAAGTACGATGTGGACAACCGCACCGGCTTGTCCGCGAACGAGCTCGTCGACCTGATCCCCAACTACCATGCCCTGATTGTACGATCCGAGACGAAGGTCAATGCCGCCGTGCTCGCAGCAGGCAAGAAGCTCCGAGTCGTGGCACGAGCCGGTGTTGGTGTAGACAACATTGACGTGGATGCTGCCACCAATCATGGAATCATTGTTGTCAATTCACCTTCAGGCAATATCGTTGCAGCGGCTGAACACACGATTGCTCTTCTTCTCGCAACGGCCCGCAACGTCGGACGCGCGGATACCACGATGAAAGACGGTAAATGGGAGAGAGGCAAACTCGTTGGCGTCGAGGTCGGCAGCAAAACTCTTGGAATTATCGGTCTCGGCAAGGTGGGAATGAAAGTTGCCCGCATGGCCATTGGGCTCGGGATGAAGGTGAAGGCGGTCGACCCATACGCCAGCAAGGATATTGCTCTACAAGCAAACGTCGAGCTTGTGGCCGACCTCAAAAACCTCTTACCGGTGGTGGACTTCTTGACCATTCACACGCCACTAATGGCCAGTACGCTGGACCTTATCAAGGAGGAGGAGTTCCAGACAATGAAGAAGACGGCCAGGGTTCTGAACGTGGCACGCGGCGGAGTCTATAATGAGGCGGCGTTGCTGCGCGCTCTGGACGAAGGGTGGATTGCTGGAGCTGGTTTGGATGTGTTCACGTCGGAGCCCCCGAAGGCCGATTCAACAGCATCCCAATTAACCAAGCACCCAAAGGTAGTTGCAACCCCGCACCTGGGGGCGTCCACGGTCGAGGCTCAGGAAAACGTCTCCATGGACGTCTGCACCCAGGTAGTCGAGATCCTTCGTGGCGGCCTGCCAACTGCCGCAGTCAATGCTCCTCTTATCATGCCGGAAGAGTACCGCAAACTGCAGCCTTTCGTGCGGCTCATTGAGAAGATGGGAGGGCTCTATACGCAGCATTTCGTTGGCAGCAAGGGTGGCATGGTAGGCGGGCGACGATTCGAGCTGATCTACCAGGGTGACCTGGCAGGCACCTCCAACACTCGCCCGCTCTTTGCGGCATTGGTGAAGGGGCTCGTTTCGTCCATCAGTGACTCTGGCGGGCGTGACGTGAACATTGTCAACGCCAGCCTCATTGCCAAGGAGAAGGGCATAATAATCAGTGAGACACACAGCGGAGAGGTGAAGAATGCGGTGTATGCCAGCCTGGTGACACTTCGGTCACATGGCGAGGATGGCGAGCAAGTGATTGAAGGATATGTGTCTGGGCAAAGCATATACATCTCCAAGTTAGACCGGTTCAGTGCGACTTTCCAACCGCAAGGAACGATGTTGGTACTTCACAATTATGACGAGCCAGGCAAGATTGGAGGTGTAGGAACGGTATTAGGCCAGTATGGAATCAACATCACCTTCATGCAGGTGGCCAGCTTGGACGGAGAGCAGAGGAAGGCAGAGAACGGCAACGAAGCTCTTATGATTCTGGGTGTGAGAGGGGAGGTTAGTGCAAAGGTAGTGGAGGATTTGCAGCAAGCAGAAGGAATCTTGAATGTAAGTCTGGTGAGGTTGTGAAGACGCCTCTCGAGTCGAGTGGCTGTATGTATGTAGGGAATTTGGTTGGAGTCCATCTCGCCGCCAGGCAACGGAATAAGGTCGGGCGGACCAGGGTACTCAGGAGCCACTTGCACTATACTAGCCTCAACAGAGAGCTCAGATGGAGGTGAAGAGTGGTGCAGGTTAGTGGCCCCCCACGGGTTCATGGATGCTGGGAGGGTTGGTGATTCTATTGGTGAGTTGTAGGGCTGTTATTAAGAGGGTGGCATGGCAGACGGGGGACCGTTGGTATGTGGTGCTAGCTCGGCCGATATTTAAAACCGTTCAATTTACGGAGAAGTGCCTAACTAGATCAAGATGGGACCCCAAGCATTGCTCAAAGTTCTGGTAATATGACCGACGCAATGAGACATTACCCATTGGCAAAGGCTCTTGGTATGTTTCCTCTGCCTTGGTGGTATCCAATCATGGAAGATGCTAATACCAGGTATAATGCTAGAAGACAAGTGGTAAGATAACAGGGGTGCCCAGCGGAAAAGGAAGTTGTTGGACAAACAAGAAGTAAACCAAAGGGATTATAGCGGTGAGGATGAAACAGAAAGGCGAAAGGTCGTTCTCGGGTGTCAGTGTTCCTTGTCACCTGCGCGACTTGATCTAGAACAAAGCAAAATTAAGCATTAACTCTGCCCTCATCGGTTTTGAGATTTGATTGAGCTCGGTTGTTAGCAGCAAGCGGCGAATATGCGTTGTTTCTGATTGGGTTTCGCTCGGTTCAATGCCCTGGTTCAGTTGCTGCAACTCTTGCGACAACCCACAGGAGATCTGGGGATTTCTGCGCAAGGTCCTCGGTTAAGGCGTGGAGGGGGAAAAAACGGGATCGTGGGGAGGATTTTCTGGAAGAGGGTCTGTGAGAATGAGAGTGACGCAGGGTCTGCGGTCATGACAACAGGCTGACTCCATGCCACTTCCAGTCTTACAACAGTTCTCATTGGGCACGTGGGTGCCGCGTAGCAGTTAACACTATAATGAGGCGCAGGCTGGCCGCCACTGACTGCATACTATAACCATTGTGCTATGTCGGGTAAGGTAAGCCCCCTCTTTGTACCCCTGCACCGCGCGATTAAGGTGAGGTACCTGCTCCAGCGAAGCTGCATCCCCAATGAAGGAATCTCGAGGTAAGGGACAGGCCCCTAACGTAGGCCAATCGCACCGGGCTGAATTCTAACCGTGAGATTGGGTCAGAAGCTCCTGTGTGCGTGTCAGTATAAGCATCTTAGTTCTGCTTAGCTCTGGAGTTTAATATTGTAGACAGCAAAAATGGAGAAGGTCTCGCCGAGACATGTCATGTGCTCATGAAAGGATAAAAAAAAAAAGGAAACCGAAGTAATAATTATACATATTCATAGAAATTTACCCCGGATTATACACAGCAATGACGAGACAATACTCCAGTAACCAAAGGCGGGGGCGGGTTATTGGTGAGACGATGATGACTTTGCCTTTTGTTGCGCTATCCGAATAGCCGTACGACAGCGCATGCCAGTCAAATTTAACCCTTGGATGCACAGGTCCCACGGGTATACAAGTACACAGATGCATGCCAGCGTCAGTGTCAGTGCCAATGCGAGAGGGGGGATTATCTCAGTGGCAATGATGCATCATTCGCCGCTCCTCTTTTTTTTTTTTTTTTTTTTTGGCACTGAACAAGCCGGCCACCCCCCAGGGCCGTTGATGACGCCAAGGTTGTTGCACTACTGAATGCGTTGATTGGCTAGTATGTCGCTGAGGAGAGGGAAGGATGCTTCCGACCACGGGCAGTCGCTTCTTCCATAGCAGACGAACTCTACTCTACGTCTTTTCTTCGCCAGATCTAGATCATCTCTCCTAATTTTCTTTCGTTTCCTACCAAAGTCTCAGGCCTGAACTTACACAGCGTTCATTCAATCTCCCATAATACCAACTTCCATCTCGCGTTGCAAGCACGTCAAGTGCGGTTCTCGAACCATAGCATCCACTACACCACCCACTTCTCTTCCGATCTTGGCCCGTTAGTGGAGCTCACCCACCCGCCTTGCCTTGTGCATTTGCGTACGCACCGCAGCTGCAGGTAAACAGAGAGTGGAGTAACCACCCTGAGTAGTCCAGCGCCTGCCCGTTGTCCGCGTCCGCCGCATAAAATGTGCGCTTGATCTTGATCTTCCTCTCAAGTCTACTCCACGCCACTTTTACGACCACCCATTACTCAATTGACGAGCCGACTATGGCCACGAGGGGAGTCGTCCCGATACGACGGGGTAACAATGTTGGCAGTTTCGGCATCGTTCGCACAGCTGTGCTTGGCCTGGCAAAGGCATTGACACTGGGCATATCTTCCGTCGCCGCCGCGCCTCTTCATGCGAGAAGCCACCCCGACAAGGAGCCCGAAGTAGATGGCGACGATATTTGGGTCCTCTATGTCGCCTCCATCGTGCTTGTCCTCGCTGGAGGTGCCTTCGCTGGTTTGACCATCGCGTAAGTCTAAACTACACGACAAGGAACGATCTTGAGCCCCCGTTTGCTGACCTCGGCAATTAGCCTGATGGGACAGGATAGCATCTACCTCCAGGTTCTCGCCGGCGACCCGGACGAACCTCAGTCCAAGAACGCTAAGCGCGTCTACAAACTGCTCAAACAGGGAAAACACTGGGTTTTGGTCACTTTGCTCTTATCCAACGTCATAGTCAACGAGTCGCTACCCGTTGTTTTGGACCGCTGTCTTGGCGGAGGTATAGCTGCCATTGTGGGCAGTACTGTCCTTATTGGTAGGCTCAAGCCATCACGCACGCCACAGAAAACATTGGCTAACATTAACGCGCAGTCATCTTCGGCGAAGTCGTGCCCCAATCCGTCTGCGTTCGATACGGCCTTCAGATCGGTGGCTTCATGTCCAAGCCCGTGCTTCTGCTCATGTGGTTGATGGCCCCCGTTGCTTGGCCTACTGCCAAGCTTCTCGACTGGGCCCTCGGCGAGGACCATGGCACCGTATACAAGAAGAGCGGCCTGAAGACACTGGTTACGCTGCACAAGTCCCTCGGTGAGGTTGGCGAACGTCTGAACCAGGATGAGGTCACCATTATCAGCGCTGTTTTGGATCTCAAGGAAAAGCCCGTGGCGAACGTCATGACCCCTATGGACGATGTCTTCGTCATGGCTGAGGATACCGTTCTCGATGAGAAAACCATGGACAGAATCCTCTCTGAAGGCTACTCTCGTATTCCTATCCACGCTACTGGCAAGCCAACCGATTTTGTCGGCATGCTTCTTGTCAAGATTCTCATCACTTATGACCCTGAGGACAGCCTACAGGTCAAGGACTTCCCTCTCGCCACCCTTCCCGAGACTCGACCTGAGACGAGCTGCTTGGACATTGTCAACTTCTTCCAGGAGGGCAAGTCACACATGGTTCTTGTCTCGGAATATCCTGGTGCTGACTACGGCGCTCTTGGTGTCGTTACCCTTGAGGATGTTATTGAGGAGCTGATTGGAGAGTGAGTAAGCTTTGTCTTTGATTACGACCAAGTGCTGACGTATCGTAGGGAAATTATTGACGAGTCCGATGTCTACATTGACGTGCACAAGGCTATCCGTCGGCTGACTCCCGCGCCCAAGGCCCGCCCCCTCAAGCGATCCACTGAGCCATCCCCTCACCCTATTCCTGAGAACGGGGATCTCATTGAGTTTGACCGCGAGGCTCCTTATGAACGCAACGGCTCCATCAGTGCGTTGAGTGACGCCCCTCATAACCTGTCAAGCAGTCCTGGAAAGACGACTACTTTCTTGATGAGGAGAAGCTCGGCCGGACCAGACGGCCGCATGACATCGACAGCTGTACCCGTAAAGGCCACCTTCGACGAGGCCAAGCAGCATTTGAAGCACCTAGGACCCTCCAACCGCGCATCGAACCCCAAGAACACGAAGTCTACCACTGTAAAGATCAAGCCAGTTGCAACGGGCATGCCCTTGACACAAGTACACAGCCCATCGCAGCCGTCTGCAGGACTCCGTCCTGCCTCGGTAGCCGGAGACGTGAACGAAGAGAGACACGAAGACGACTCAAATGAGCAGACCCCACTGATTAGACCCAAGATTACCGGAAAGGGTGGTGTCCACGCCGTTCGTAGGAGCTATGGCGGAGCGGGCATGAGCGAGGCTCAGGCCAGACTTGCAAGCGGCTCTCCTCATCACGAAGCTGAGGATCTGAAGGGACCCAACGAGGTAGATTTACCCGCGACTGTGCCTGAGCATGGTAGCCCCGTAACCATCAAAAGCTCCGACATCGAGGCAAGCCGGAAGGATTTGACTGTTGTTGTTTCGCCTGGTCGGGGGAGCAACTCACCTAGCATCACAAGTGTTGTAGAAGATGGGTCGGCCACTCCTAAGCGCCGACCTCTTGTTCGAAGCGGTAGCATCAGTGAGAACGTGGTTGAAACTAGCAGTGGTGTGCAGAAGATCATTATCCAGGCTGCTAGCTCGGACTCGGATGAAGCTGGATCTAAGGGTTCGTCTGGGCACCGCTCGCGTGCCACCAGCCAGTCCAACGTGGTGTCTAGCCATGATTCAGATGATGAGGAGCATGATGGAGCGTCAAGTACGGCGCCCAGCACCAACGCCGGCAACCAGCAGCCCGGCAAAAAGAAGAACAGACGGAAGAAGAAAAAGGGCAAGTCTTAGACATATGTACCAGTATTTGATTGGGTTTTTGTATTTGTATGGTATCGGATAGTAATTTGAGTTGCTGTCCCGGTCTTCCTCATCTGCACCATAACCAACACCATTTAAGGATATAGAAATCTATCAACACAAATGCAGTCGTCGCCTAGATCGAATTCCTTTTTCCTAAATTAAAAAGAATCGATCTTAGTTTTATTTTTTTTGCATAACCAATTCGATCATGCATGCTCAATGGAATGTCACTTATGAGATCTTCCTTCTCTTGGTCTGTTCGCCCGAATTATCTACTACTACCTCAGTCGTACCAGATGGCGTTCATGCCGAAACCTGGCTCGGGAATGCGCAACCTCGCGACACGGCCGAGGAACTCGTCGTGCCAGCGGTAAATCTCGATCCAGCCCTCCTGGTCATCGGTGATGGCAAGCCACTCGTCACTCCAGTCGCAGGGGCTGACGGCGTTGCTGTGGCCTCCGCTGGTCGGGGTGGGGTTCAGGCAGATCTGCCTCTCGATGTGGCCGTTGTCGTCGAGCTTGAAGGCGGCGATGTAGCCCGTCACGTCGAAGCTGTTGGAGCGGGCCGTGGCGAAGAGGTACTTGCCGCTGTGGGAGAGGGTGCACACGTCGGAGCGGTACATCTTGTTCTTGGCGCCCGGGATCCCGGGGGGGATGAGCGGGAACGAGCGGTGGGTGTACACGGGCAGCTTTGAGACGGGGTCGATCACGTACTCGCAGAGGCGGTTGCCGGCCTCCATCAGCGCGTAGAGGTACTTTCCTGAAGGGTGGAGAGCGATCCAACGCGGGTGGTCGCCCGGGTCGGGGGCGTCGACGGAGCCGACGAGGTCGAGTTCGGGGCCGTCGGGGGTTTTCTTCTTGTGCACCCAGAGCTTGTTGGCCGTCAGGTCGGCGGAGTAGAGGTAGGTTTCCGTCGGGTCGAAGACCATGCCGTGGATGCCCGTGTTAGGGTCGTAAGGGTAGTTTTGGACGTTGGTCTCGAGGGTGCCGGTGGGCGAGACGGAGAAGACATTGCCGTGGGAGGCGTGCTTGTAGAAGGGGTTGCAGTAGACGGCATAGGGAGGCTTTTGTGCTGCCAGGAGGAAGATGGCACGGGTGTTTGTTGTGGGAAGGGCAGCGTTGGCTTTAGGGTGGGGAGGTTAGGTGTTAGTTGCTTTGCAAGTAGGGAGGGCAAGATCATTTGAGACGTGATGAGGAACTGGCGCAAAACTGGACAGGCCATCACGAATGAGACTTGTAAGGTTGGGGTCGACGTACGATCATGGGTCATGTCGTGAGAAGCCTCATGGACGATCTCGGACGGGCTCTTGACGGCAAAGCTAGCCCACTTCTTCATGGCGGCGCCGTAAATGTTCTTCTTGTCATGCTGTGTGCGTGTCGCGTTGTATAAGCCAATTGGTCAATCGCAAACATTTGAGGATAGAGGCTTGCTCACGCTGAAGGTCATCCATGATATAGGCTGGTCCTGGGGGATCTCGGTGCGCTTGACGAGCTCGAGGGTGAGCTTCTCATCGTCGAAAGCGACGGTGAAGATGGCACCTGGAGGGGTCCAGGTGCCGATCATTAGGTGGTGGACGGGCATCTTGAGGGTTGTCGAGAACGACCTGACGGTAATAGCCTGACGATGTGAGAAGAATGGGATCTGCTGCAGAATCGAGCGAGCACGGGATTGCCTCGATAAGAGCATCGGCTGGGTGCGTCACTGCAGAGGAAAGACACGTGAAGTGAGAATGAGAAGAAAGAAAAGAAATTGAGAGTCACGTCGTTCGGTTCGGAATACTTAGGAGCGAAGTTTGTCGGTTAGTCCCACCGAGGTAGGGGCTCCGTAGTACAGCTGGCTAGCTTGCTAGTAATTTCCAACAGGTGAATGAATCTTGCTTGCATCATGGTCTTTTCGTCCTGCTCTAGACACTCGGGGGGGAAGCTCTCTCTGCCCCTCGTTCCGAACCCCGGACGACGAGGGGCACGCTGCATGGAGAAAGGTCCGCTTTTGTCTCCCTGACTTGTGGGGTCACCGCAGCGTTGGAGGGGGCTCTTCGGGAGATGTGACGGTAATTGGTGCTGCACCGTCGACGGGACAATTGTTCCCGGCAGAGTGTTCTTCCCCAACCTGTATTTTCCACCCTCTGTTTCTGTAGGCTGGTCAAGCCACCTGCGCCAGCAGGAATTATGATTTCACGGTCCGACGAAGCAATTACGTGGTTTGAGATGTTTTCGAGCCTTTCCCTCTTATGATGTGTGGATTTAAATCAGACGAGCCGGGTTGGCCCGTTCGATTCCATGGTAAACTCGTTCCTCTCAGCCGCAGACAGACCCGGGCAGATTTTGACAGCGGCAACTATTTAACCTTGTTACTCGCTCAATACTTTCCCTGCGAGCGCTGCATATTGGAATTATCAGCTGGAGTTAGTCTGAATAACGTCAGCGGGCTCCGTATTCGCATTGTCGGAAGCTGAGAACGGCATTAGTCAACACGATCTCATGCTGAAGAAATCGCATACGGTGCGCTCTGTGCGGTGAAGATTGATATTCACAAAGTCTCTTTTGTCCAAATGCTACACTACGGCAGTAAAACTCGGCTACTGGAGAACAAACTTGCAAGGTGAAGAAACTCAATCCCCTCCAATCAACCAGCCCGGAACCTGTGAACGGAGTAGCCGTTGCTAGTCAGGTTCCCGAGGTCTTGTCGTAACCCCACCCAAACCCCCCATGTTCCCCAGCTTCTCCATCAGCCAGGTCTCCAGAGTTGTAAGTAGCCAGTCAGACACAAGCAAAGACAGACAGAATGAAAGACACACTAAACTGTGAAGAGAGTTGATGAAGTCGCAGCTGAACGCTGTTTTACGTTGGTTAACTCTAATTTACCTACCGGGTTATGCCAATACAGCTTTAATACTACCTTGTCTTCCGCTGTAAATTAATGGATAACAGTTTTCGCATCATCAGCCCCATCTGCGTAAGGTATAGAGTTATAAATGAGAAAGGGGTATCATTGATTACTACAATTACAGGAAAGGAGCTGCGATGGCCGCTCTACTACTAGTCTTACAACCCGACCTTTTTAATCCTAACCAGACGTCTTGGCAGAGTACCCATACAGCCCCTTAAAGACCGAATCCCGCTCAAGAAGCTCCTTGGGCCTGTCGTACTCAACCAACACGCCGGCATCGACAACCGCAACCCTGTCGAAATCCAAAATGGAGTCCAGTTTGTGGGCGATGGCAATGACAGTCCAGGACTGAAACCACGACCGCAGGACTTCGTCTATGACTTGACTCGACTCGTCGTCCAAGCTGGGAGCAGAGGTTATTCAATTGTTCCATCGGCAGTAGGCAGTATGAGTATCTTACCTGCTGGTGATCTCATCTAGAATTAGAATCTTGCCCTTGCGAAGCATAGCCCTGGCAAAGACTAGCAGTTGCGCCTCGCCTTGAGAGAAGAACTTGTCATCAATAGTCGTGTCCAGGCCGCCTCTCTCTTCGACCTTATCCCAGAGTTTCACTCTCTTGAGAACATCGATGACATCGGGATCGGAAACAGTCTTTGTGGGATCAAGGTTCAAACGGACGCTGCCGTCAAAGATGTACGACTCTTGTGGCACAGCAACAAGTTGGGAGCGGACATATTCGTGTGGGAGAGTTGAGAGATCAACGCCGTCGATCGTGATGGAGCCACTGTCTAATTCCAACATACGAAGCAGGGAAAGAACCAAGGAGCTTTTGCCGCTACTCAAGGGGTTAGCTACAAAACAAGATGAGATGGCTCGGAATTATTTTGGACGACTTACCTGCCTGTTCGGCCGCAGATTGCGACTTTCTGACCCTTTTGAATCGACATTGTAATGCCGCTGAGAACAGTTCCTCCCGAACTAAAAAAATCTTTAGTGACCTGATTCAGTTTGCACCAAATGACCTCTTAGAAAACTTACGGATATGACGCCGTGACATTGCGAAGCTCGACGTTTCCTTGGCTGGTCCATTCGCCCTCCGGCTCAACAAGGTTTCCGCCGCCGTCATCCTCGGACTTCGTGTTCAAGGCGAAATTCCTTACCCTAGCTACAGCACCAAGTGATACCTCGAGCATAACCCACGACGTGATGAATGCCTTGATGACTCCGCTAAATGAGAGAATATTGTTCAACGCAATTCCAATGAATGCCGGCCCAATCTGATCGCGGAGTGTGGTCACAAGGACAATAAGGATCACTGCCATGACCGCAATTGTCATGTCCACGGAAAATATCAACCATCGCTGGAGGCAGGTGAGGAGGTAGCTGGGCCGTTGCGAGTCGTCCAGCCGGCCCATATTAGTTCTCTCGAAGGCGTCTTCCCATCTGAAGGCCCTGATGGTGGCCAGACCTTCCAAAGTTTCGATAAGCTGCGAGTAGAGAGGTGCCTTGTGTTCAATATCAAGGAGGCGCATTTGGCGAGAAGTACGGAGGTAGAAGTGCTGTATGGCGTAAAAGACGGGGATGAGAAATGGGAGAATAGCTGCCATATATCGTGATGATACAGACATCATGACGAACCTGGCAATGCCAAAGACCAAGCCTATGGCAACGCCGAGAGCGGCAGCCGGGAGTTCCATGTCGATGAGCTGCAGGTCCTGGCTGAAGCGGTTGACCGTAATGCCGCTGTCCACAGCGCTGTGGAATGACATGGGGGCACTGGAATTTGTTAGCCTTGGGAGGACGCTGAGAGAAATGGAGGCTGTGATACCGGGATGTGGTTTCCAGAAGTACACCATGGAAGAAAACGCCCGAGTTGTTGATAATGACAATGAAGAGTTGCCTGCGGTAGAATATTAGGCTGGTTTGAGGGCTTGGTTGGCGGGGGATCATACCACATGCTGACCATGAACGACAGCATCGACCCGACACCCAGAGCGGCGTAAACTCCAACCCACTTACCAAGATCTTGGTTCGGCTTCTTCTCGTTTGCCTCCGTCCACCATTTGAGCCAGATGTCTAGGTAGTTTTCAAGTCAGTTTTAGGATTAAAAGTCGACATCACGGTCAGGCTCACCGGGAAAAGAGTCAAAAAATGCAAACGCAATCATGAATCCAACAAAGGTTGATAGACTGAACCAACCGGCTGCCTTGGCATAGAAGCTATACATGCCCCAATCGCCAAGTTGACGTGTAGCGTCTGCCTGATCTTCTAGCTTGCTAAAAACGGCGCCAGGGCCTGGACTGGCGTCAGGAACTACCGGAGCGATGTCGGACTTTGGTGTAGTGTTAGATACAGTCTCCGTTTTGGCTATGTTGAGAGATTGCGTGGACAGCAAAGCAGACTGTCCCGCCTTGATGTGGCCGTCCTCATTCAGAAAGAAGAGATCATCGGCAAAAGGAATACGGCGAGCTGTAAAGTGTCATGTTAGCAGTCGCAGAGAAACATTGGGTAATTAGAAAACGAACAGTCTGATGACACCAAAACTACGCTCGTGTCCGTGTTCCGCAGCAAGCCTTTGCTACCAAGGATGTTATTAAAAACAATATCCTCTGTGCTAGAGTCTAGACCGCTAAAAACATCGTCAAGCAGCAACAACTCTGGCCTGGTGTACAACGCTCGCGCAATGGCCTGTAGAAGTTAGCGACCCGACCCCATATTTCAGGGTAAGAAGGAATACATACCAAACGATGCTTCTGGCCGCCGCTCATCGAGATGCCCTTCGTTCCAGCCACCGTCTTATCTCCATTAGGCCAACTTGCAATATCCTGCTCTAAAGCGCACGCCGCGATGACCGTTTTATACCAAGGCTCGTCAAACACGCCATGGCCGACAACGATGTTGCGCACTGTTGCATTTGGAATCCAAGCTGCTTGGCCACAGTATGCGGCACCAGAAAAGTTGGTCCGAATAATGCCCTTGAAGGACGACAGTTCGCCGAGAAGAGTTTTTAATAACGTTGACTTGCCGCAGCCGACAGGGCCTAGAAGTAAAGTGAAAGCTCTCCGCCTGATGTTCCATTCCGCAATGTCAATGACTGGCTTGGAGTCGTCTGTCCAGGAGAATGTTCCGTTCACGGAAGCTATCATATCTTCTGGAAGACTTTTACTACAAGACTCAGGCTTTTGAATCTCCGAAAGCTCAAGATCTTTAACCGGGCTAATGCCTCCTGAAGTTGTGTCGCCCTTCAATGCCTTATAAGGCGGCTTATCGCCGTCTGTAGTCATTCTAGTATCCGCTCTTTCCTTTCCATTCAAAAAGTCCTGGATTCTTTGAAACGACGTCATGGCAACGGCCGTGATAGGCAGAGCGATGATGATGTTAGATAGAGGCTGGTTCACCAGAATCAAGATGGAGGTGGCAGTGAACGCCTTTGAGATGGTAAGAGTATCATTTGTTTTCGATGCAATGCCGGCATAGGTGGCGAGCGTGAGAATTGGAGACAAAATTGGCGTGCAAACCACTTTTTTTGTGTAAGGGGCAATCCTGTGGAAAAAGGAAAGATGATAACTTACTCAACATCATGGATACGCCGAGCAAAAACCTATACTTCTTTGACACGACTAGCTCGATGTTACGGAGCCTCTGGATGACTGAAAATGCCACATCGTTAAGGCCAGATATCTTTAACCACTTGATGCTTCCCAAAGTCTTCGACGTCGTCGTCACGCGGTCCTGTGAAGCTTTGATCCATGCTGCCGAGGCCTTGCCTGTTGGAATCGCCAACACACCCATCAAGATCATTGTGACTACGGTAGAAGGTTAGTCAATCATCATATTCAGCCAAGCTGATCAAAACACGGCCATACCAAACACCAGGGCTACGGGCATGGCACAGGCAGCTCCAACCTGTCTGTAGATAAGGTAAATCCCGATGGCAATCTCCACAAGACTCGCCCATATCTCATGCAGTTGGTTGATACCTTGACCGATTTGCTCGCTGTCTGTTCCGACTAATGTCAACGCCCCCGACGGGCTTACGTTGGGTGAGGTCAAATCCAGACGTAACGCTTTCTGGTAGACGAGCGCAGTCGTGCTACCTCTCGTCATAGAGGCAGCACGTTGAGCACGCCACTCATACTGACCGGTTGAAACCTGAGCATCGAATTAGATGTTTCTATTAAAACAGGCTAGAACTCGGTCGAAAACCCACAGCAATACCGGTATAGACAAGGACGTAAGCTCCTATCAAGCCAAAACCACGGTTGTTGTTCTCGCGGGTCTGAGGCAAACCGGCCAGCCCGATGGCCTGTTGGATAAGAAGCGGCTGGGCGTAATTGAAGCCGATCAGGAAGAGTCTCGGGATAATTGGTGCGGACATGGGACCCGCAAAGACACGGAGCCATGTGCTGAACAGAGCGCCGGGAACTGTTTTGTCGGGCACTTTTTATGGCAGATAGATTAATTAGCCCGTGGAACAATCTTTTGACGCTACGGAGATTTGTGAAGCGGGAAGTTAATTACCTTGGCTCCACGCGTCGGCAAGTTTCCTGTATAGAGGCTCCGAAGCAAGCTTTGGGTCCAATGGATACAGGTCATCTAACTTGAGAATGTTTTTGTACCCATCAATGAAGAGGGATGTCAACCAAAAAAAGACAGAGCGGTTGAAAGTACCACTCGTCACTTCCTTGGAGTATCCCTTATGTTGGGGCACTAAGATGCGTCGTTTTTCTGCTGATTCAAAGATAATCATAAGCGCTCTTAGAGCTAATGTGCAGGTGAAGACGGCAGGGATGGCCTGGTTGGGACCCAGCATCCATAAGGTGCGAGCACGGGCAGTGTCCAGCAGCACTGAAAAGAAGAGATAGGTTGAGAGGACAAAGGATGGCCTCAGGGACCGATCATGCTCAAGCCATGACAGGAAGCCGAAGCCCAAGGACGCAAGGAGCCCCAAAACAGCAGTGGGAATTGTGGCGCGTGTATGGGTGATGGCAGCCGAGGAAGTGGTGGCCCAAAGAACAAGTAGAGCAAGGTTGAGGGCTACCAGACAGATGGATGCGCACTGTACAGCTTGTCAGTCAAAACAGCAACCGAAACTCAATCCAGCCTGGGATACGACGAACAGCCTTGAGAGGGCGCTGAATGCTGGCCACGACCTTGACGTCGGCTCTTACCAGACGCAGGGCGCAGGTAGGAAGGGCCAGTAGAAAGATACAGTGCAAAGGCACGGCTAGGATTGACTCTTCGAACAGCAGCGTAAAGTCGAAGCCGCCCCGGCACGTTTCTCCGGCCCACGGGCCGAACGACTCGTCTATGCCGGAAGAGCATGCCGCTTGCGGGGTCCGCATGTCGAGCGGGCAGCGACTTCTTGTCGCTGGTGTGTTTCAAGATGAGCGGGCGGAGAAGAGAACTGATGAGCAGGACGCGATTGTCAAACAAAACAATGGCCGAATGTAACGGTTCGCAACTTCGTTTATTCGAAATGTCATCACGAGTGATCGCCAACAATGGAAGACGAAGCAGTCTCATCAACACTTGTTGAGGAAGAACCCAAACAGCTCTTGTTATAAGAAAAAATGGCGGCGAACATAGACGGGTTGCCTACAAAATGATCGGAATATCATGGAATGGAGGCCATGCAGCTACCCCAGCCATACCACATTCTTACGGATCACCCTTTGTAGTAATTTTAAGTCACCAGCCTTAGGCAGAGTTGCCGTGCTCAGGACGCTTCGATCCGTAAAGCCAATCAATCGAGCGCAAAGGAACCTTCTCGGTAGGCGGCACAATACAGCCAGCACAGGCGGCACAGCCACCTTTCCAATTGCCTAAAGCGGAAGCGGTCTCATCTGTGACTGATGAACCAGATGACGTTCGGAATCAACAGTGATGAAGTCACAAGAGAAAACGTCGGGTAAAAAAGGGATGAGGAGACTAGACGATCAGCTCGTCGCAACATTACAGAATTTCAGGTGGCTGCATCGGACGAGCCGTTTTCCGCGCTTCGACCTCATTGCGAATGCAGGTATTGACACTGGCAAAAGAAAAGGATGCAAGATGGAACAAGCGAGTGCAGTGATGACGGCTTAGGAGGGCACATCATTGTCTGACCGTGGAACCGCAGGAGTCGGAGGGATCACATTGATGAGATAACTTCTCGAGGTGACGAGGCAGGTGTCAAGTAAGGCGGGAGTTCCTGTGTAAGTGAGGGCGTGAAGGCTCGGCGAAGACATCGGAGTGTCAATGGGGATTGGATGAAAATGTGGAAATACTCGCTCATGTAGAGTCCGGTTCTGACAGTCCCGACAGCCGTCTGAAGGTGTGGTGGTGTCTGTGTCCATCTTTTGCTAAATACAGAATTTGAGCGATTCAAACCCAAACATGTGTTTGCGGAGGATAGAGTCATTTGGAATCTACCAACCGGTAACCTCCAGAGCGGCACACGTGGGAACGACGTGAAGAAGAAGGGAAGACCTGGCATAACCTGAAATGGGGGACTCGTCATCACCCACGTGACCGGGTTGATGCACCAACTTGAAGGTTGAGAGGGTTGGTTGGAGATGGAAAAGTGCTGGGGAGAAGCAAGAGAGAGATAGAGATGGAGACATAGAGACGGACAGATAAAGTGCTGCCACGTGAGATTGATTAACTGCCAAGACGGGACCCGTTGTGGTCTCTCTTGCTGTTTGGGTCGTCAAAGCAAGCCAGTCTGCCAGTCTAGGAAAGATGGGGAGGGTCCTCCCAAAGCAGTCAATGTGATGCGGACCACAGTGCCACAGTGACAGCTCTCACTTTCCCATCCGGGGCAGTGGCAAAGAGCAGGAAAGAGTGGACGAGAAGTGGATTCATCGTTCAATGCGCTCCTGAGTCCTCAGATATGTCTGATTTTCTGGCTCGCCGATCATCGCTCCCGTCTCCTGATTCTCCATGATTTCCCAAACAGGATCGTAGCACATCCGTTCATCCCCCCTCGCTAAGGAAATGCTTGGCCTTTTTGTCATTCAAGCGCCCCAGTCATCCCCAGAAAGTGCCCGAGGATTTTATTGTGGATAGGATTCCAGACTTTTGCCAGGCGACTACCAGGTAATGCCCGCTGGTCTCGGGCGCCGAGGAAAGCATTCATTCCAAAAGGGGCGAGAAGGAGAGACAGCACCCAAGAGATTGGAAACCGACATTCTGAGACTCGAGAAGCCCGATCGCAAGGTAAGAACCATCGCCAAACCCCAGGGGGACGTTTCTTGGCTACCATTCATAACTTATCTATTATTCAAATTATACCCGTTCACAGCCTCTGAGATTCTTGGCCTTGCTGCACGACGATCATCACCCGAGTTTGGTTCAATATCTTCGAGACAGCGGTCCTTGGCAATGCGATGCGCCAGTTGAAACACCTTGCTTTCACTCCTCTATCTTCTTTTACTCACAAAATCGTCCTTGAAATCAGGCTGCCAGGCTGCCAGACCTGCCAGACCTGCCAGGTTCAACCAGTTTCTGCCCGGTTCGGACCAGGCCAAAACCAGGGGGGACCTATGGTTACTTGCAGCGTCGCTTTTTGTTCTACTTGTCGGCATTTTTTGTATGAGAAGGAGAAAAGAAAATTAAATCAAGGAAACAGGGACGGACGGGATGGCACGGAAAGGCGCAGCACGCCCGGCAGTTTCCCAAACAGGCATTTTGCCAGCATCAATACCCAAATTCTCAACTGTCCAGCGGAGCGAGCAACAGTCGCCGCAAATGGAGGTCGTGGCTGCGGAATCAAGGGACCGTGACAAGGGCGTTGAAGCCAAGCTTCGCGTTATCGCACACTACTGTGCCGTAGCGTGCGTGCGGCTCCCCAATACAAGCTCGTGGGGGAGCCCCTTACAGAGTGGGGTCAAAAGTCTGAAGCCACCCTCTATTTCCCAGCCACCTGCATTTTGACCATACCACTTCAAACAGCTGTAAAACAGCCAACTTTTCGATTTCTATGGTAATACTATAGTGAAATTGAACGCTGAAGTTTGCTCTTTAATACCGTGTATACCATCCCCGTGCTTTAATTACTGCCTCTAAGCGGCGCGGCAGAGACTTAATAAGCCTCTATATTCTTGTCTAGGGTATAGCTTCCTACGCCGTAGTAAGCTGTATTTTAAAGAGATCGATATCTAGCGCGTTCTTTTTTAAATTTAATACGTCTAGGTATAGGCGACGTAGGTTATTCTTTATTATCTGCTAAACATGCTTAATAAGGTTAAGATTAGGCGAATATAGTAGCTACTTAAGCTAGGAGATCCCCTAGCTTAATAGCTACTCTATTATTTTTGCTAAGCTATAAATAGGCGCGTTATCTTAAATAAAATGCCTTATATTGTCTATAGTAAGGAGATATCCTTCTTCTAAGTACTTAATATAGCTATTTAAGCTATAGCCTTGCCTCTTAGCAGTCTCGTCTTTCGTAAGGAAGATTAACTTACTTCGGTCCTCCCTCTATATTATTACCTATACTATAATCGAGATATTTGCTTTTATATAGCTAACAAGGTTAATAAACTTAGAATCCTAGCGTTTATAAAGTAATCTAAAGACCTAAGCGGAAAGGCTTGACGTATTATTCTAGTAAGAAGACTTATTAGAGAACTAGGCTTAGAAGAACTCTAATTAGCTTAAGAATCGCTCGAAAAGGTCTAATTATAAAAGGAAGTATAGTAATCAATTCTTCTATGTTTATAAGCTACTTACGTATAAACTAAAGCTACTTACAAGCTACTTCTTTTATAATAAATAGGCGCTTTATAGCTTTCTATTTACGAAAGTTTGCTTTCCGTAGAACCTGCTTAATAATACTAAGGCTAGCCTAACCCTTCTACTTAGTTACAAGCTTACTATAGGACTTCCGGTAGTAGATTTTAGCAGTACGTACGATAGCTTGTTTCTGCTAACGCGAGAGTATACTTAGGCGTCCTTTTCATAGTTTAGAACCGAAAGTACCGTCCTTTTCATAGCGGCGAAGGGTTTGCTCGATCGCGCCGCGTGAATAGTTGAAGAGCATAGCAGCGTCGCGTTAAGAAATGCCGCTCAAAACAACTGCTATAATTGCCACCCGTTGTAAATCCGTAAGTTCATCGTTAGAGGCTCGATTTCCCATTAAATTAGAGGCAAAAGCACGTAATTTGGTCTCTATTTGCTGTAGTTATGGGTGGTAGACGAAAAAGTGGTGGTTTGTAGAAGACGCGTTGTGTCAGATTGAGCGCGCTACGCGAGGCTTCGGCAACGCTCGGCAGAACACTATTTCCGAGCGCCGAGCCCCGGGTCAGGGGGTGGCATACCCCCTTCCCTACGCGCCCCTGAAGGGCCCTTAGACAGTTACACACATAACGGAATATACATCGTTCTGAACCCTCAATTCGACAATTAACAGTCTGATACGTGCTGCGTTTACGTTAAACGCCGCCAGCCATCTATTCTACGCATACGAAAGCCCTTTCTACGCGCCCAATTGAACCCCTATCGTCGAAATGTCCTCCTCAAGCGCGAAAATCACCCTGAATACCCCTGCCGACTGGATCCTATGGATCGACCAGCTGCAGTCGAAGGCCAAGTCCTACGACCTCTGGCGATATATCGATCCCCAGCGCCCAGGCGCCTTAAACACGGGACAAACGCGTCTCGAGCGGCGGATGGAGCGGCCGAAGCGCCCCGAAATATACGATCACCCCAAGACCGGCAAAGCCGAAGTGCTAAACGAAGACGCCGACTACGAAACGCGCGCACAAGCGCTGGAGGAGCTCTCGGCAGCCAATCTCGCCCTGTATAAGGAACGTCGGTCTGAATATATGGAGCGCTCCAAGACCCATGAAGCGTTCCTGAAAGGGATTCGCGTGCTCGAAGACTGGGTCCGAGATACAGTCAGCACCTCTCTCCTCAAGAGCTGCTGTACCGCGGACCGCGCACTGGACCGCTGGGTCTACGCGTTGAAGGAACGCGTAGGGATAACCACTCGTGAGAGACGCACCGCCGCGAGCGAAGCATATAAGAGAGCGCTCCAGATACCGGAGCGGAAGCGACTCGCAACGAAGAAAGAGCTGGAAGAGTGGCTTACGAAGTGGGAAGAATCAATCCACGAAGCAGCAGCGGCGGGCGTCCCGGGTACCGAGCTCCCCAGTATATGGTTCCCGGAATTCACCTACGCCGTGAGCCACAGCTACGCCGATACATGGATCTTCTTATACCAGACCGTCAAGGACGAACGCGTCGAAAGCGAGAAACTGAGCGTTGGAGAAGTCCTGTCAGACGCGCGGCGGTTCCTACAAACAACCTCTCAACACAACCCGAAGAAGCAGGCCGGACGCGGAGCGTTTGGTCCTACCACAGAAGCCACTTCAAGAAACGAAGAGGAAGGGGAACGAACTTCCCCCGCGCGCCTAACGGTACCAATGAGAAGCAGCCGGGGATCTCGAGGAAACACGCGCTCCAGAGGAGGAGCTCGCAGAGACCGGTCGCGGAAGAGAAGCGATGGGGAGAGCGAGGGCAACCGGCTGTGCCCTGCGTGCCTGAAACCTCACCCGCTCTCGAAGTGCTGGCTCGTCAACGAACGGGAGCGCCCTGAGTGGTACGAGCCGAGTAGAGAGCTTCTCGCGAACCTCGACGAGCGGATGAGAAAAGACGAAACGCTCGCAAACCGTGTCAGGAAGGTGAGAGAACCAGCGAAAGAAGAACACTGACTATATGGCCGAAGCAAGGGGACCGTCCCGAGTGCCTTCCACACCGCTCCGGAGACATACGAGCTCTTCAGATCGGCGATCCTGGACTCTGGATCAACGATCCATGTATTCAACGACCCCTCGTGGTTCACCACACTGTCAGGAGCGCCAGCAGGCGACTACTTATGGGCAGGCGCTCAGCAAGTGGCTATCGAAGCATACGGAACCGTCGACATCAGAGTCAGAGAGCAGGGGAGCACTGTTACGAAGCTCCGCCTCTACGACGTCGCACTCTGTACCGGCTTCGCGAGCAACCTGGTTTCCCTCACGCGCCTACGCAGGAGAGGCTTCTGGTGGGATATGAGTCCCCGGAATAACTGCTTACGACGCGCGGACGGAACGTTTCTCTGCGCTCTCACAGAAGTTGCTGGCCAGCAAGTCCTGGACTACCGAAAGATCGACGCGGCATTCGCAACGGCGCCAGTCACGCGAAGCGCGGCACCAGACGACCCCAAGCCGCGCAGAAGGCACAACTACACAACGGCGACGCGCAGGAAAGCAATCAGCGCAAGCGCTGAACTCTGGCACCGCAGACTAGGCCACGCGGGACCGGAAGCTATCCGCCACCTGGCCAATTCGGCGCGAGGAGTCCGGCTCGCCTCAGGGGGTGGTCCAATAACAACAGTTGACTGCGACGCTTGTGGCGAAAGCAAAGCACGCCGGATGGTTCGCCGAGCGCCCCGAGAATCCCTGAAGCGCGCAAAGCCTGGTGAGAGGCTCGCACTGGACTTCCACGACTACGAAGAAGGTTACGAAGGGTACACGTCAACCATGATCATCGTGGACCGCGCAAGCGGTCTAGCGTGGGACTTTTACCTTACGGGACGCACTACTGACGTTCTGCTAACGACCCTGACGGACTTCCTGGAGCTCCTGAAGACCCATTACGACATATCAGTGAAGTTCCTGGAGACCGATGGGGAGCTCGAAAAGCACTTACGCGTGACCCAAATGCTAGCAGCACGCGGGATAACAATAGAGCCATCGGCTCCTAATACACAGTCACAGAATGGAGGCGCTGAACGCGGGGCGGCAGCTATCAAAGAGCGCGCGAGGGCAATGGCTAGAAGCGCAGCGCTACCGGACGTGCTTTGGCCGGAAGTCACGAAAGCAGCCACCTACGTCTACAACCGAACGCCGTCAGCAGTCAGGGGGTGGAAGTCGCCGTACGAGCGCTTCCACAGACAGTTCTGGCACGAGGAAAGCGGCTTCTACGCGCGCCCAGACCTCTCTCATCTGCGCTCATATGGGTGCAAAGCGTACGCAATGACTACTGATGCGCAGCTGAAGCGCAACAGGCGCCAGAAACTCGCTCCGCGTGCCTGGATAGGCTACCTAGTCGGCTACACATCAAGCAACTCGTTCCGGATATGGAATCCCCTGCGTAGTGAAGTATTTACCACGCGCGATGTGGTGTTTAACGAGAAATGCCACTTCGACGGCAACGTCAGGTCCCTAGTGGAAGAAATCAACCACCTCGACCTGCAGGCGATTCAGCAGCGCATAGAGGAGCTGATCAGACAGACCACGGGCTCAGAAAACTATATACAAAGCGCTGACGAAGAAGCAGAAGAAGTCTCAGAGCACGCCGATCCCGGTGAGCCTGCCCTGGAAGCAGCAGAAGCGCTCGGGCACCATAACGCTGAAGCGGACGCGCCTAAGCAAGTGGAAGGGCAATACACGGGAGCGCGGTTTAAGCCCTTTCCGACGCCGGAGGCGTCGCCTCCCACATCCTTTCTCGCGGTGCTCACCGAGCTCGACGTGAGGGGGTGGGGAGAAGAGCATACGCGGGATATCCCCGCTACGAAGCCCATCTATAAGAAGGTCACACCACGGACGTCGTACAAAGCCGCTTTTCTAGCTGGAACGACGCTTCATAAACAAAACCCTAGACGTCAAGACGGCCCACGAAGGGATCGCGTTGTGCCTGGCCAGCCGCGCGCCCCTGAGAGGGTTTCCGAGGCAACCTTCACCGTGAAATCCGGGAATGACGGCGCGGATGAAGGCCCTTTGGAAGACCAAGTTACAGGTCAGCAAGAGGCAAGTGAATCCCAGGAAGGTTGCTCCGTGGTAGAAGCGTTTGAGACAAGTGAGCCCAGCTCCCACAGAGACCGGAGCCAGACGCTCGCAGAAGAGACGAAGGATCTCAGAGCGCGCGGTAACCGGGATGTGGTGACTGCGTTGGCGCCGACCGAGCTCCGCTCCCGCGTGGAAGCGCAAGGCCGAAAGAAAGGCGCCTACTGGAGGGATCTGGCCCCTTTGCCAACGTCTCACGATCAGTTACAACGTCACCCTTTCCGGGAGGAGTTCCTGCGCGCTGAAAGAAGCCACCTAGACGGGCACAAGGAGTCCCGCTCGTGGGAAGAGGTCGCAAGAAGCGCCTCGCGCGGCTACCAGGTCCTCGGATGCCACTGGGTATACACTTACAAGCTTGATAAGCACGGGCGATTAGCCAAATTCAAGGCACGCCTGGTTATTCGAGGAGACCAGCAAGCAAGAGACGCGCGGGAGACGTACGCCGCGACGCTCGCAGGTATGTCGTTCCGAGTTCTGATGGCCGTTGCCGCGCGCTTTGACCTAGAATTACTACAATACGATGCGGTAAACGCCTTCGTCCACGCGGATCTAGACGAGACTGTCTATATGGAGCTTCCGCCGGGCTACCGCGTTCCAGGAAGAATCCTGCGATTGAGAAAGGCGCTATACGGCCTACGACGTTCCCCTCTCCTGTGGCAACGCTACTTAGAAAAGGGACTCGTAGAACGTGGATTCGAACGCGTGGCAGGCGAGAATTGCTGCTGGCAAAAAGGCGAAGTCATGTTCTTCTTCTACGTGGACGACTGCGTACTGGCGTTTCCCCGCGCGCGCAAGGAGGCAGCGCTGCGGGAGGTCTCTGAGCTACAGAAGCGCTACCACTTCGAAGGAGGCGGAGACCTCCAGTGGTTTTTAGGAATCGAGGTCATACGAGACCGAGCCACACGCCGATTATGGCTCTCGCAGGCAGTTTACGCCGAGAAGGTGAGGCGGCTGCTTCCACCTACAGCTAACGCGTTAGAAGACGGTTCTGAAGCGCGCTCGTACACTCCTATGGTCCTGGAGGAGCTTCTACCCTACGAAGGAGAGGCCAGCGCGTGGGAAGTCAACCAGTACCAGAAGAAGGTCGGGACTCTCCTATACGCCGCAATAATGACGAGACCCGACGTCGCGTTCGCGGCAAGCCGTCTCGCGCGCTTCAACCAGAATCCCGGGCCGAAACACCAACGCGCAGCGGACAGAGCGCTCGCCTACCTCTATTCCACCCGCTACCTCTGCCTCGAATACGGCTGCGAACCCGGCAGCGAGGAAGACACGCTTATCGTGGCGTCAGATGCCAGCTTCGCAGACAACTCCCTGGATCGGAAGAGCTCTCAGGCGCTCGCTATGAAGCTATTCGGCGGGCTTGTTGCGTGGCGCGCTAACAAACAGGCCACGGTCACCACATCTACGACGGAAGCTGAGCTGCTATCCCTCTCGCAAGCAGCAAAGGAAGCGCTATTTGCAAGCCGCCTGATCTCCGCGCTAAACGTACACCTTCTAACAGAAGAAGCGCCGGAAGCGACGTTTCCCGCAGAAAAGCGCAGCGTACCCACGATTCAGATCCAATGCGACAACTTACAGACCGTTCGACTGGTGACAACGGATCTAGTGACCCTTCAGACGCGCTTACGGCACGTGGATATTCACAACCACTGGCTACGACAAGAGGTCGCAGCGAAGCGCGTATCCGTGGCATACACACCGTCGTCAGAGCTTATGGCAGACGGTCTGACGAAGAGTCTCGCGCTCCCACAGTTCCGCGAGTTCCGGAAGCAGGTCCGTATGAGCGAACAGGCAGAGCTCCTGAAGCGGAATCGGAGACGCGAATTAGAAGAAGACGAAGAAGCGTGGGCCAAGAGAGCCGCGCAGGAAGACGTCTGGGCGGTCGAAGACCACGAGAAGCGCGCTCCGAGTGCCACGGGAAGCTCGTGACTTGCTGTGGTACGCGAGTTGTACGTATAAAACGTCCTCTTAGCAGAAGGAGAGGAGACAGCGCAGTAGAAAGCCTACCAGCCGAGGGATGAGCGAAAGAAGAGCTCTGAACGCAGTGTAATCTAAATACGAGGGGGAGAGGGCGACTCGAGGGCAGGGAAGCCCCGATTCGGCGCTCCCCTGAGGGGGTGTGTCAGATTGAGCGCGCTACGCGAGGCTTCGGCAACGCTCGGCAGAACACTATTTCCGAGCGCCGAGCCCCGGGTCAGGGGGTGGCATACCCCCTTCCCTACGCGCCCCTGAAGGGCCCTTAGACAGTTACACACATAACGGAATATACATCGTTCTGAACCCTCAATTCGACACGTTGGGCGCGCGCACGGGTAAAGTGGCTTCAGACTTTTGACCCCACCCTGTATTTGTTACGCTCCGTTTACCACCCACGGCCATCATAACCGGTTTTGCCCAACTACCCAGTTAGGTGCTACGTTGAACAGTCCGCGGGATCCAGAAGAATACAATCCAGCCATCTAGACCCTTTTCAACGGGGCGACCGCCTACTGCTTAAGGGGTATTTACCGGGTTTCCCTCACAAGACACCCCTGTTCATCAAGAAACAGCCCGGCTGGGTCCCACCGTTGTAAATCTGAAATTTAGGCTTTTCGCTTCGTCTATGCTCACCTTTCAAACACAATCCTGGCCAAGCCCACATGTCAGACCAGTAGTTAGGCGTGCTTGAGATGATAGAGGAGTTGAAATGGCTGCAGGATGAAGAGAGTGAGCTTGGCAGTTGGAAGAGACTGGAAAGACTGTTCGCGACAAGTAGCCAAGCGCTCGCTTTGGGTGTGTTTCATCCCAGGTTTGACAACCTGTCCTCCGATCAAACCGCTTGACCTCCCCCCCCCTCAAGTCCCATCTCCTCACCATCTCCAGTGGCCGGTCCCAGTCACAAACACACAGACATCGCCTCATCTCAACCAACTATACGTATTAGACAGGGCTGGAAGGGATGTCAGCCAACCAGCCGAGTCCTCCATGGTACATGGCTGTTCCGCTTGTCGCCGCACCTCGACAGCCACCGTACAGCACCATCGTTTCCCACAAAACTATACCCTTCTCAACTTCACAGAGAGAGTGAGGAAATCCGCTCTGCGGTGGGGCCGTTCTGAATCACCAGCCGCCTGATCAACCGTTACCCACCATCGTCTTCACCCTCCATCAACCGCAGGCGCACGGTAGCGAAGCCCATCATCAACCGGTTACCGTACACCTGGTTCTTTATTTTTGGGTCATTCTCGTCTCCGCTTTCCCCGGCCCACGGCTGCTCCGGGGTGCTAGCGCGACATGGCGGCGTCGTGATGCTTGGCACACACCACCCCCATTCGTCCATTAACGTCCTTTTTCTCAAACCCGCCTCTCGTCGTCCAGACTCCCCTGACTCCACATGCACATGTAGCGTACAGAGAGGAAAAGTTGAGGCCAGGCCAGCTAGCCGGCTGCACTGCCCTCCAGATGGATCAGGATCACTATTCTGTGACATGGCTTGACATGGTGGCATGGCACCTAGATAGTGTTCACCTCATTTGTTTGACAAGACGTCTCAATTCCTTGGCACTGTGACCTCATGGTAGCAATCAGGGCTGACCGAATATCCCCGAAAGGATCCAGGCACCAGATCAGAGCGAGATTTTCAGGAAGCTTATACTCTATATCAACCCGTCCCGATCTGGCCTGTTTTGCTTCCTCCTTCTCTCGGCACTCTTCAGTCCTACATCACTTTTTCAATTCTGGTACGGGTCCTTCACTTGGCTGGTCCAGTCTTTCCTTGTTTTTATTTCTCATTTTTTCATATCATTCCATTCTCTAAGGTTCTGCGAACCGTGTTCTGTTGTAGTTTTACCACTTCAGCTTTTACTCAACTCTTCCTTTCTCATCCATACCACTTCCTTGGATCTTTAGGAAACACATATCTTCTCCAAAATGAAGAGCTCCATCCTTTTCTCTCTTGCGGCTCTCGCCGCCCACGTTATCGCCCTCCCTACCCAGGCCGAGGAGCGTTCCGTGGCTCTTCCCATTGATAACATGAACCTGGCTCCTCGCGTGGACGTCAGGCCCAAGCTCCGTCGGGGCAAGAAGCAGGAGGAAGCTGGTATGTACTCATCAAGTTAAAGAAAACGTCGAGAACCTTGACTAACACCTATACCAGCCGACGGCGCGGACGAGGCCGACGGAGCAGTAGCCAAGAAGAACAAGGCCGCTGAGAACGCCGCCGCAGCCGGTGGTAACGGAGCAGCAGGTGGCGCTGGTGCTGGTGGTGGTGCCGCCAACAACAACGGAACCGCCAACGCCGGCGGAGGCAAGAAGAAGAACGGCAACAAGAAGGGCGGGAAGAAGGCCAAGGGGGCCAAGGCCCAGGGCAAGAAGAAGAACGGCAAGAAGAACAACAACGGCGGCGGCGGCGCTGCTAACAATGGAACTGCCAATGCTGGCGGCGAAAACGGCAACGGGGGCAAGAAGAACAACAACGGCGGCGGCGGCGCTGCTAACAATGGAACTGCCAATGCTGGCGGCGAAAACGGCAACGGGGGCAAGAAGAACAACGGCAAGAACAACAATGCTGCTGACGGCGGCAAGGCTGCAAAGAACGCAAAGGGTCAGGGCAAGAAGAACAACGGTGCCGCTGGCGGTGGTGCCGCTGCTAACAACGGAACTGCAAATGCGGGCGGCGGCAACAACAACAATGGTGGCAAGAAGAACAACGACGGCAAGAAAAACAATGATGGCAAGAAGAAGAATGGTAACAATGGCGGTGCTGCTGCCGGCAATCAGGCTGCAGGTGGCAACGCTATTGAAAGCATTCTCTCTAACGTAAGTCAAATCAACACCAATTTCTTCTTCTTTTTACGATGGTTTGACATGCTGACTTTCACTCTCTAGATCCTTGGTGGCGGTGCTGGCGGCAACAATGCCAACAAAGCTGCTGGCGGACAGAACGGCCAAAACGACCCTCTTGCTCTCCTCAGTGGTATTCTCGGACGTGACGAGGGTTCTGCTGAATTAGTCGATCGCCAAGAGACCGAGGCCGATGCCAATGACGATGACGACCAGGAGTAAACTAGAACATGCCAGATCTGGTTGATGGGGCCTCTAGTTGCCCAGGTCCAAGGACGAGATAACCGCGCCGGAATCGTCCGGCCGGTTTGGATGGCCGGAGCAAAGGCAGCTACGCTGGCAGAGCTGTTGTCCAGAGCGTTGTCCATCTGCGTGTGTGTCTGCGTGTGTTGGGAAGGGGACTTTTCTTTCTTTGTGGTGCGTGCCATAGCTAGCTTCTCCCGACTTTGTGGAGAAGGAATCGGCTTTTCCTGTCATTGCCGATGCGGATCATGGTTTAAAGACGTGATTCTCGAGGTCTCTGCGGGATTACTCAACGGATTTGCTTCACGGGGCTTGCTGGTTTATCACTTTGTAGTGTCCTGGGGGAGTATAGGAAATTGAGTGAGGTGCGCACTGCAGTTTCAGGGCCAGGTTGTCTTGTTTTAGTGATGATACCAAAGAAACAAAAATCAAACAGCGAGTTATTGATTTCATGAAACATTATGTAAGCGAGTACATATGTGGCTTTCGTCTCTACCATAAGTCTACTACGACGATCCTACGGGTGTGATGCCGTGCCTAGAGATAGGTAAGGAGGAAGCCACCGGCGAGGGAAGGAAAACAAAAAGGTAAAAGACAGGGGCAGACATACGCTTAGAAAAAGAGGACCTTGCTTGACTAGCACGTGAGGGCACTGATTGGCAGGCGATAAGGCATAGATTAGCGCCATAGCCTAATCAATTGAACCCCCCTGCAAAGTCGCTCGTCGCTCCAACCATCCTCCTCCGCACCTCCACCACAACGACACCTTCCTTCCCATCAGGCTCGGCCAACAACAGCAAGTCACCACGCGTCCACTCACTTTCGAACCCTAGCCTGTGCTACCATGTACTCAACGGGGGTGAGTGGGCTTGCCCGGCTTGTCATTGAGTCGAGCGACTCATTGCCCGTCTTCTTATAGGCTAAGGCCTGCCTGCCAACCGCAATTTCAGATGGGCCATGTCTATATTGCCCTGCCTGAGCCTAAAGCAAGTCGCTTTTTTTTAAGACTTTTCACTTTTCAATTTTTGGATGTTATTTCCATTTTCCCCCACATGTTATCCTTAGTGTCGGCTGTTTCCCCACGGAGCTAGAGACCAGCTGGGTGACACTCCCGCTCTTGTTGGAACCCTTCACCTTCCCAATCGAGTCAGGTCCCCATCTTGTCGACTGGCCAAGGGCTTCCTCTTAGCCGTGGAAAACGTGCCAGGCACCGAGAGCTCTAAGAGGTCAATTGATACGACCCCTGCGTAGATAGACAAAGCCCGATCTTTGAATTGTCCAGTTAGAATGGCTCAGTAGAACTCTACAAAAACTTGCAATATCGGAGCTGGCCGTTAGGCGTCATCGATAGTCCACTCAAGTCCGAAGATTCGCGTCTTCGTAGGCCACATGCTCACATGCAGAGAGGCACCTTCCGAGATGCAAGGGCGGATGGGCCGTGGTGGGACCCAGAGATGCAGACGGACTCCATCGTCGCCTCGATACAACCCTACACAGGGGGTGAAGGACAGAGGGCTGAGAGATTTCAGCTCTATCCTACATATACCATGAGGCCCCCGACGTAACGCTGCGTTGAAGTGACTGTCGTTCTTTGCTTGAGACGCCGATCCGGAGGAAGAGCTTTCTGATCGCATTCTCAGTCGGGATCCAGACTTGCGACGCTCTGCATCTTCTGCCTTCAAGATGAAGATTTCCTCTCTCTTCCTCTCCGCCGCTGGCGCCGTCTCGGCCCTGACCATTGCCGAGATCAACGGCAATAAGTTCCTCTCCCCGTACAAGGACCAGTCCGTGACCAACGTTACCGGCCTGGTGCTTGCCAAGGGTCCCAACGGTGTCTGGATTCGCTCTACCGAGCCCGATGACGATGATGCTACCTCCGAGGCTGTCTACGTCTTCGGCAGCTCCGTCGGCACCAACTTGGCGGTGGGCGACATCATTACTCTTGACGGCAAGATCCTGGAGTACAGGTACTGGAGCTTCTTGGCGCCCGCGTTCCCCCAACACAAGACCCCTAACCGACTAACAACTGCAACAGGTCTGCGGCGAATTACATTTACCTGACGGAGATCAGCTCTCCTCAGAACGTCGTCGTGGTGTCCAAGGGTAACAAGGTTACGCCTCTCGTCATTGGCGTCGACACCTCCAACCCGCCCACCGAACAGTATACCAGCCTGGATGGCGGCGATATCTATGGCGTACCCAACGCCGTTGCTAGCATTTCTACTGTCAACCCGGTCCTCGACCCCAAGCTCTATGGCTTCGACTTCTGGGAGAGCTTGAGCGGCGAGCTGGTCACAGTCAAGAACCCCATTGCTGTCACCCGACCTAACCAGTACGGAGACACCTGGGTTCTTGGCGATTGGCCTGCTACCGGTCGTAACAAGCGCGGCGGTATCACTATGACTGCCAAGGGTAACTATCTCGTACCTCCACCTATTCACTCTATTGACTTACACGGCGATAGACTCTAACCCCGAGGTCATCGTTATTGGTTCTCCCCTTGACGGTACCAAGAACCCCGAGTCCAAGATGGGTGACCAGCTCACCGAGATTACCGGTGTCGTCACCTACGCCTTCGGCTTCTACCGCATCCTCCCGCTGACCGCCATCACCTTCGTTAAGGAGGTCGTCAACGACGCCCCTCCCACCTCCCTCGTCAGCAGAGGTGACTGCAGAGGCATTACCGTCGGCGCCTACAATGTCGAGAACCTTGCCCCCACCTCCGCTCACCTTCCTGCCGTTGCCGCCCACATCATTGACTACATGAAGACCCCTGACCTTATCTTCGTCCAGGAGGTTCAAGATAACACCGGTCCGACCAACAACGGAGTGGTTTCCTCCAACATCACTCTGTCTACTCTGACCGCCGCCATTGAGAGCCAGACCAACGGCAGCGCAGTTTACGACTTCATCACCATCGACCCGGTCGACGGCAAGGACGGCGGCCAGCCCGGCGGCAACATCCGCGTCGCCTACCTCTACAAGCCCGACGTCATCGAGCTGTGGAAGCCTAACCCTGGCAGCAGCACCGACGCCAATGAGGTCCTGCCCGGACCCCAGCTCAAGTACAACCCCGGCCGCATCGATCCTGCCAACAGCGCATGGGACGCCAGCCGCAAGCCCCTCGCTGCCGCCTGGCGTGCCGTCAAGGGCCCCCAGAACAAGATTTTCTTCACCGTCAACGTCCACTGGGCTTCCAAGGGCGGCTCCTCCTCTCTGCACGGTGACCCTCGCCCACCCAGCAATGGCGGAGTCGACCAGCGCACCCAGCAGGCCGAGATCACGGGCGTGAGTTCCACAATTTTCCTTCACAACTTGAACAAAACTAACAAAGAGACACTAGAACTTCATCGGCCAGATCCTCGCCGCGGACCCCAACGCCCGCGTCATCGCTAGTGGTGACTTCAACGAGTTCACCTTCGTTGAGCCCCTCACCACCTTCACCGCCAAGTCCGGTCTCGTCGACCTCGATGAAGCCGTTGGCATCCCCGTCACCGAGCGCTACACCTACGTCTACGACATGAACGCCCAGCAGCTCGACCACATGTTCATCAGCCCTGCTCTGGTCAAGGCTAACCAGACCCGCTATGAGCACGTTCACATCAACTCGTGGGAGCTGTACGACAACCTCGTCAGCGACCACGATCCTTCCGTCGCGCAGTTCAACGTCTGTGGCTGCTAAGTCCTTAGCTATAGAAGTTGGAATTAATGCGGTATAATCATTATTTGGGCACTTTATAATGAAGAAATAGGAAAATGAAAACGGTGTATGAGGACAATTTGGTAATGGCATGAATCTGAGCTGTATCATCTTATGTAATGTGATGAATTAATACAGATTAAATCTGTAGAGGGAACGCTCTGAAACTTGAAAACTATCCGTTGCAGCAAGTTTGAATTGGAATACTGTAAATATCCTGTCGGAAAAAGAAACCCAGGCGTAACTATCAGAAAAATTTCACAACGTAGAATGTCGTCAGACAATGCATATATCCTCCCACTTTATCTCCCCTGTCGTCTGCGAATAGATGTCTGGCAGATGTTTAGCGGTAAATGCGTCCTGTAGGGGAAGCAGATGCTGTTCAGTCTCGCGTGCGAGGTCGAGTAGGAGGTACCATACTTCGCTCCCCGAACCCTCTGCGAACTGTTCTAATGAGTCATTCTCAAATTCTTCCCACATTATCAGAAACTTTTGTCCCCATGTTAAATGATATTCATCAGACAAGGTCCATTCAGAATTCGGCCGCAGTTCCATGGAATTCATTAACCACCTCAATACTCGGATTTTTTTTTTGGTCCTTTAGACTATCAAACTCAAATAAGAGTCTTCTGAAAATCCTCGACTTCACGGCCAGAGATTGTTCCATAAGATCTTGAAGGAACATTTCAGGTGACATATTTCCCAACTCTATGTTCTTCAACTCTAACCCAAACGCATTTCCGACCATTTTGAGAATCTGGGTGACGAATAGTTTGTTGCAATACGCGGGATCCCAGGGAAACTTGCGCATAGTATTCGCAGTCGCAACGCTGGGCTTTGGCGGTTCTTCTTCATCGATGATATTCCCTTTTGACCCAAAGTCCCACTATATTTGCATCAGAAATAGTTCGATTCCACATAGATCTGATGATGACTGCTCTAAAATTCCTCTGCATTTGCTATTCTTTTCGTATGTTTCGTGTGCGCGAGTCTCTTTATTTCGTTGTATTCGAGGCTCCAACTTTGCGTGCAACGCAGCTTGAAGGTCGAGGGGACTGTTTTTGGGCGTCAAAACACTCAAAGTTCTGGCATTGGAGTCCTCAGAAGTGCATTGACTTCCGTTAGAGCTCATGGAATGCATTTTTAAGAGCGCAGGTAAAGCGTCGTAGGTGCGAGCTTTCTCAAAAGGATAGTAGCGGTGTATAAGGCGACATACATCTCTAAGATCGTCCCATATCTGTGTAGCGAACCATGCTTCTGATGTATAATTTAGTAGTATGTGATTCCAAGTCGATAAAAGCAGGAGTGTCTTTCGGTTTAAAGAGTTCCGAAAGCTCGCTGCGCAGCCAAAGTGAGGTGGGTCGCAAATGGCAACGAAAGAGTGTTTGGCTGTGTTATCAACTGGCCGGAGAACCAACAGATGATTGGGCAAACCTGCTACCAGGAAGATTTTGTCCTTATTTTGGGCCCGATTTGTATTACCACCCAATGTGTGCTGCTGGCGTCTAGATGACTCTGGTTCATAACGAAGACCAGTGATCACACCCGGACGGCAGGTTGCCGCCCACCTGCTAAGAAAACAATCGCCGAGGCCAACGAGTGGAACTCCCTTCATGATTAGAATACGGCTATGGTGAAACCTCGGTATGGAATGATTAAAGACCATGTTAGAGGTACTGCCAAGTAAGGGAGCAATGGGAGTTTGAGTACTCCGGTCAATCCAGTCGGTTGCTGATGACCAGTCGACAGCCCAAGAGGGTATTTTGTGTGAGGAAGACGGGCTCAACACAGCAAAACAACGCCACCAGAGGTAGATGTTGCGCTGTAGAATAAATGCTGTTACACCACTAAAGACCTGCTCTCTGCTAAGGGAGTAGTCGGGAACCAGGCCAGCATCTTGTGTGCCAGTAAATAAGCCTAACAGAGCGAATACCCTGTCCCTTGCGTCTGACGCGCGGCACCTTCCCGTTGCGATGAGTAGTTCAAAGAGTTCTTCCAAGTCTCTATGTTTCGGTTGAGTTACAAGATAAAGCCAAGGATGTAACTGGCCAAGTCGGGTGTGATTGATCTTTTCGATGTTCCCTGACGGAGTGTCCGTCATATACGCCTGTGTGCGTTTTGTCAAAAAGTCCCGCCACCTAATCCCTTGTGATCCAAGGAGTACACAGGCATATCTCGCAGATGCAATTTCTTGTATTACCCAAGTTCGAGTGAAGTAAGGTCTGTTGCTTACGTCGGTGCTTAATTTGAGGGTGTTGCCTTGGTTCTCAAAAACCCAAGGTGCGGTCTCTGGCTCAGGATCATCGGTGTCTTCGCCCAAAAATATATAAGAACTTTGGAAGCAGTTGCATATATGTATTGCATTATGCCAACCTGGTGTGACCTCTCTTCACTATTTTTCTGATTGATGCAGATTGCATCAACCCACAGCTTCCTGCTCCGGTTGGGGAAACGTAATCGCCGAAGTGCAGTGGCACAGTTGACTGTGACGAATAAGACATCGCAACGCTTTCCAACGTAAATTCGTTCCGAATTACAAGTGTCTCCGTTAAGATTGGCCCAAGTGTATGATAACGCTTCATATTCTGGTTTTGTTTGCAAATCCATGGTCCGCAGCTCACAACGTATGGGATCGTGGTATTTGCCCCGAAGCAGGTGAAGAATGCGGGGTTTTCGGGCGCTCAGAGGCTCATATAACGATGATTCTCTCTTATGCTGTTCAAAAACCTGTGTATTTTCGGATACTGGTGGTTCTGATGTTGAGTTTGGCCATCTTTGCTCGGGGATTCGTCTGCTTGCTTGACGCTATGCTTTTTCAGGTTCGCCTCTCCAGGAACATCCTCCACACATGAGAGTGAAGAGGGCCAACATAGTTTGAAATCAGCTTTGAGCGGTGGCTCAAACACCTGTTGTTGCGAACCCTTGTGGCTTCTGTCATCAAGCATTCCGTTCTCTCCACAGTGGAGGCATGACGGGGCACCAAGCCCGTCCAAGAAATAAATGTCAGGACGCCGGCAACTGGAGGCGTGCCAATTGATCATTTTGAATTCTCTTGACATACGACTAATTGTTATCAAGAGTTTGGCTTGGTCACTCGAACTGTGGAAAGGTTGATTAAAGTAGGAGCTTTGATCCAAATGAAAAGGCTGCGAAGAAGAAAGCGAAGGTCAATCAGGTTCTGCCAACTCAGCAAGCATGAATCACGCATCGCAGCTCAGCCCCGAAGACATAAACCCAATTAATGCCGTGTTTTTCTCAACAGCCCCTCACGAGGCGCACAGCAACGTGGCAATGGCGATACGAAGAAGAGGCCACCAGTAAGGCTGCGAAGGCTTTATCAAAGTGGTTTGAGACACTGAATGCTTCCAAGACCACTCTGCTTTAGTATGGTAGTAGCAGATCCTAACTGGAAAAACTGACTAGCTGCCTCCATCGCCAGATAATTCTGGGGAACTAACATCAGTCTGAGCTAGTCCTGCTCTGCGCACATTTCTGGCCCACGTGGGATGTAGACAGTGAGGAAACAAATCATTGACTTTGGCCGGAGCGCAGCTTCTCGCTTTTGTCTCGATGTATTAGGGAGCATCGAGGATATCGAGCCTAAAGGGAGTTTAACCCATCCTACCACCTATACCTCTAACATACAACTCCTCGCCTTTTTTCGCTAAGCAAACCCAAAGCCCTGTGCATTTTCCAATGCCATAGAAAGCCTCTCTCTCAGAACCTCCTTATCTTTGTACTCAGGTAGCAATAATGTACCGTAACATGTGTACGCTGTGGGCAAATGTCCACCCTCGCCTTCCTCCTCGCCGTTCCTTTGGACAACGAACTGTAAATTCTTCATTCCTCCAACAGGAACACGGTCTGAAGCTGTCACAAACTCCAACAGTCTCCTCTTCATCTTTTCATCGTAACGCTTAACTATCGACCAGAAGTCGCGAACACTGCGATGGCTAGCATCCCAGCCCACATATCTCGTGTACCTGCGTAGCTCAGGTATGTCAATCTCCTGAACGCCCTCTACAACGGATTGAAGAAGTGAGGGTGTCAGCAATTGAAGCGCTTTAGGGTGAAGACAAGCACGGAAGCCGCGCTCGAATGCTTCGTACTGCGGGCGAACAGAAATATCCGTGAGGTATCGGATGTAGTCGCTCACATAGGCATTCCTGTTTTCGTTTGTTACCATCGGCGCGTCCTCTGGGTTCTCGTCCCCCAGTGACCTCTCTGCCGATGCTTCAAACTGTGGCCAGCCGCGACCTTGAGGGCCCATTTCCCTGGACACGGGTTGGCCAAACATGGATACTGAGAATTCGTAGGTGCGTGAGAAGACATCCTCCACCAGCCCGTTGCTCTCGTCCCATTCCAACAAACTTGTCAAGCCCATGGCAAGGTCTGGCCATCCATCGGCAATGTGATACAGCTCATCCACGGGCTCACCAAGGAGCTTGCGATAAAGAACCTTTGGAAAAGTAATCGGAAGTGTCAAGCCATTATACACGGCCAACGACATTAGTAGGCCAAGAATCTCAAATTTCCAGACTGGAACCACGGAACCAGGGACGAACCAAGCCATTCGCGTTCGCTCATCCACTGTAAAGGCGCCGTAATCAGGGTTCAGACACTCGGCTACGGCAAGTCTGAAAAACTCTTGTTGGACTCCGCCTGAATCGAACCCCTCTTCGCCAGCTTCTTCGCCGAGATGAATCTTTAGTGGCCTGTGCAACTCTCTGTCTTCCCGTCGCCATAGCTGATCAAAGGCATCTCTAATGACATGTTTCCTGCTGATCTCAAGAATCAAATACTTCGAAGACGCCGTCTTGAGGAGATCCTGCAGTACGAGCTTGTGATGCGGGTTGGTAATGAGGCCACCCGGGGCAACGATGGCCTTCATCCTAGTCTGCAGAGAGCTTGATTCTTCGTAACTTCGACTCATCTTCGAGAAGTTTATGGACCGGAAATATGATACAAGCGTAGAGGGGTCAAAGATGAAAGGGAAATCCAGCAGATGTCTCTTCTGCCTGGACGACGTATGAGAGAGCCAGGCGACAGGCATGTTAATAGAATCAAGCCTATCAGCAAAGTAATCCACTCGGAAATGGGGGTCTCCAATGAGAAGGGATTGACGTTTCTCATCTGCTTTCTGTTAGCTGAAGTACTGATTAGGATATGACTTGAAGCAAACTTACACATCGCTGCAATAAGCGACAGAGCCCCGCCGAAGGAGCTGTCACACGAAATTTCTGGCTTCCCATCCCACTCTTGAAGCATCACAGTTTTGGCCCAATCCAACAACAAGGTAGAAACCCTTGTTTCATGCCCGGCTCGGTCGAGCTGGTCCAATTCCGAGTTAGATGCTACCTCCCCACTAAGAGAATCCAGCTGGGCAAGGAGCGGACGGAGAGCGTCAAGATCGTGATCTTTGTCATCAGTGTCATCTTCTTGAGCAGCCATCTCCGCGAAACATTTGCGTGCTGATATAGCCGCAAACAAACGTCTTGCCAGTCGGAGCGCAAGATCATTCGAGAAAGCGTCGTCGTAGAGAAGGCAAAGCCAGGCTGGTTGTCGTGCCAAAGCACCACTTCCAGCTAAAGTCAGACCATTCGAACGGATACGAGACATGTCAAAAAGCGTTCTGGAGTCTGTGATCAATGGAGCTGCCGCCACCAAGGCATGTAAACAAATTGATAGCAGCTGGCCTGCTTCCACATTATCTAGCGACCGTTCGTGACGGCGGAAGACTCTGGCGGTAGGAGAGCGAAGCGACTGGAGCGACTTTGGTGCACCAAAAAGACTCCCAGACGCCATCCACAAGCTGTGGAAAACGAGACTGGGGGCGACGCGGGTAAGTCGCAGCATACAGTACCAAATGGTGTGGGAGTCGAGCAATCCATCGTCTTTAACAAAGGAAGACACCAGGCTCTGGGGATCGCTTAGAATATTGAACAGACTCTGCTCGATGAAGAGTTTCCACTGTCTCCGCAATCGCTTTGGATAGTTGCTGCGTGATGTCTGCTTCCTTTGCATTTTCGGCCGGTCCTTAAGCCCAGAATATGTGCTCGTAATTTTGGAAGGGTCAAGCAGATGCGGTTCCGAGGTACCGTCATCCTGGAGAATGTCGCACATCAAGTCAACAACTTCGACATTCAGCGAAATCAGAGATTGTGGGAGCATGTTGTCCGCGATTGATGCTTCTACTGATTCCTCGTTTTGCTTGGAATCGTCTGCAGGTGGTATGGGTTGAGCAGGTTGGGGCTGCGATGTGGATTCTACTTGGATCTTCAAAGACTCCACTGGAGGTTCGCCGTTGCTCAAACTTGATTTTGGTAATGACTCGGGCTCCTGAACAATCTTGACTGTATGGTTCTGAGGCGGGACGTTATCAAAGAAGGACGGCGTGGAAGGGATTTCTGGAATCGCATAAGGGTTCACATGAGCTGCCTTTGGAGGCCTTGGTGGTGGTTTCTCATGAGATCCTCCATTCAACTTAGGGGAGACCAAGCCAGAGGTGACATCTTCGGATAAGGAACTCGCCGGGTATGGTTCGATAGACAATTTTCTCTTGGGTTTTGAATTCGCCCGCACCCGTGCACTAGAGCTTCTTTTGGGTTTCCCCGGTCGAGAGCTGGAAAGAGTCGAACTCGAGTTGTGGAGCTTCTCTGAGGCTTGTTCTAAGGCCGCATCAGGTCCTTGATCAACCGTTGGCTCTGGTAAGTCGCTCTGACTCTTCCCATCGGTGTATATAACTGGTGATATGGATTGAATGGGTGTCGACTGGCCCGATGGTTTCTGAGATCTTTGCAGTTCCTCCTTACCAGGGCTTGGTGTAGTGTTTGCTTCGAGAGCAGCAACCCTTTGAGACATGGCATCCAGACCTGCTGGAGTGAGCCATTCCAGCATTTTGAAGGCAACGCTGCCGAACACATTCGCCGCAAATGAGCGGTAGTCCTTGCTAATGGGGCGTTCGGATATCTTTACAGGTACATTTGCTGTACCTGTTGATGAGTCGAAGTGCGACCGTTCATTCTGCGCAGATGCTACATGATGACTTGACTCGTCCATATCTGTGAGAGGCTTGTTAGACCCCCTGGTCTCACCATTCACCCTGACAGCCGAGCCTGATTTCCGTCGCCGTGAATCCTTTGGGGCAGTAGAGCGTTTCGAGAAGGGATCGCTGAAAGCCGGTGCAGTAGTGTTCGGGGAGAAGATGAGTGAGTTCAGTGCGGCTGGCGGTTCTTTCGAGGGTTTAAGATGAGGACAGAGTCCATTCTCCGGATTATCTTGGCTGGCCAAATAGACGGCCAGTGTCCTCGCGCTCGTGGTATTGTACCGCCTGATCGGAGCCTTTCCAGCGAGGCGTTTGCGGCAAGAGAAGCAGGTTGACGTCGTACATGACTTGGAGTCGCATCCGTATCGTAGCTGCAGGATGTATCTACAGAGCAATCAGTTAGCTCCAGCCCTTGAGATACAGAGGTGGCAGTAAGTCCTGCGTACATCTCAACGAGGATCTGAAAATTATGCCGACGGCTGGCGCGGTGAATTGCGTAGACTCGTTTGGGGTTCTCGATGTTCTGGACCATGTCCCTCAACTCTGGTGGCGCATCGGCTGGCAGGCGCGCAAAGGGCGCGTCTTCCCAAAGACCGGCAAGTACATCGGCATCAAATGTGTTGTCGGGCTGAGGGCCCTGAGAAGGGCGACGCATATCTCGCGTCATGTCATTCGGATCGTAGGAGCTCTCGATTTTGATGCTGGATCAATACGGCTTTCGGCAGGGTGGTGATGAATACGTAAGCGCGGAAGGGAGCGACGAAGGGGAAATGAAGGAAGAGACGGTGGAAATAAAGTAGGATAAGGGTTTGGGGGCGGTGTTTTTTGCGGTTAAATTCTAATGGTACAAAGATATTACAACCACCAAGCGATAGACAGCTGGGGTATGCAGAGAAGATGTTGACGATGGTAAATGATCTTGTTCCCGATGACGGGTGGGCAAGGAAGCAGGTGGATTGGTATCCTCTATGCTGACGGCAGGACTGGGCACCGTATAGCCACGCCACGAGGCTAGTCGATAACACCGTGCGATCCCAACAACAATGAGCACGGCGGCCGGGGGAGTGCTTGAAGAGTGGGGCCGGGAGGACGGGAGCAGGCAATCAGAACGTGGAACATTCCGCGAAGGGTCTGATTTAGTACCAAGCATTCCACTCCCAATTGGACCAACTTAGCCAGGGCCCGGGGGGGTTCTCGGTGTCTTCTGACATCAGCCGCATTACCAGTCCAGTGCCCTGCTGGTGCTGCCGCCTCCTTCCAGTAACTACTATGTAACCCTGAAGCGAAAACGGGTCCGGCCCTCCAGTGGGAAGGACCCGGTTTCCATGCCAGTCACGCTGCACAGCACAGGACTGACTCTGAAGGCCAGTCCAGTCTCGGTTTAGTGCTTGGGGGCTCGGCCTGGTCGGCGCATTTTGCCTCCGACTCTCTTGACTCAACTGCCGCCACCGCCAATAATTTACCCCTCCATCCTGATCGGGCGTCATTCAGTCATTATGTACATGATTGCGACCCCCGAGGCCTGCATGGAAGACAGGATGAGCCGGAACCAGTTGTCAACTTCCATCTCTCCACTCACTTGAGAGCATTCAAGAATAATTCAATGGATATATGTGTCACCTGTGTTGCATTTTATCCAACTGATTTACCTCATCTGAAGAAGAAGGCCTCATTTACAAGACATGAGATCTGGGCAAGATATCTGTTAGTAAAAGCCCGGTTTTTTTATGTCTCAAGCGAACATACTCTCTCGAGTTGATATCGGCAAGTCTCAATCATCATGTAAAAGAGGGCCGAGGCAATGTGCCCTAAAGCTGGAAACTAATTCGACGCTCCAAAGAGACATGCAAAGTAGGTTAATAGTAGCCTCGTCGATAAAGTGCGGCACCTTATCGATAGTACGGTAATATGTCAGAAGTGAATGGGCACGAGCACAGTCACATTTTGCCCCTCTTACGATCCCCTTTCTTGATATGTCAGCCAGGCAGAAAGGAACAGATCCAAAGAGATCGACCTTTCTTCTCGCGTCCGGTGGCTCGGGAAGCAGACGAGGCCCCCACTCTCCAGGGCATCAATTCCCAGAAAGACGCTAAAAGTTGAGCCTTCGCAGTGGCACAACTTCAGAGCAGTCCACCCCAGCCCAGGTTCTGACTGTGTGACGTGCCTATCACGGCCCTCCAAACCCCCGCCTAACCCACTAAAGCCCTTGAGAATTTTGTCTTTTAAAATCATTTTCCCCTCCGTCGTCCCCGACACACTACACCCTTGGGCGGCCATCTTTTGCCTGAACTCAGTTTCCTTCTTGCGCGTAATCTGCAAACTCGAAATTTGCTTGCGCTTACTCCCTGTCATAAGGGCTCGATCAAATATTCAAGCATCGAAAACATCTATCATTGTCTGGAGGCTGTATTCTTTGCACGCGACACTTCACCATGGCGAGCGTTGACGTCGCTGCCCTCGGCAGTGGAGGGGCAACCGCAACCTCGCACCCTTATACTTGCAACACCTGCGCGGTTGCCTATCGAAACATCGATCTGCAACGAGGCCATATGAAGAGCGACTGGCAGTATGTACTCATTTTCCCCTTCCATCTGTGCTTTTTTTCTGTTGTGTTCATGGTCTTCACCCTCTCCCCCACCTCTGTCCCGCGCAGACCAACTGACATCATCTTTTTTTCAGCCGCTACAACCTCAAGCGCCGAGTCGCTTCTCTCCCTCCCATCACTTCTGAGATCTTCAACGAGAAGGTCCTCCAGGCTCGCGCTGTCCAGAGCGCTGAGGCTGAGAAGGCCATGTTTGAGCGCACCTGTGAAGCCTGCCAGAAGTCTTACTCCAGTGAAAACGCATTCCAAAACCATCTTACAAGCCAAAAACACAAAGTGCGCGTCGCCTCCCTTGCTCGCCGCAAGGGCCCAGTCGCCGATGATGCCAGCTCCGTTATGAGCTCGACTTTCTCTCTTGGCGAACCCATATCTATTGAGAAGGAGGCTGAGCTGGATTCTGAAGCTGAGGAGGAATTCATTGCTGTTGTCGAAGGCCTAAAGAAGACCAACATCGAAGAATCCAAGGATGAACGCCCCTCGCCTGTAAAGCGTCCTTCAAACCCTCACTTGTCAGCCCAGGGCCAGCGTGCTGGTGATGATGCCTCCATCAACAGGGAATCTGATTCCACCACCCCTGTCCCGTCCAAGCCAGAGATCGCATGGACTATCAAGTCTTGCCTCTTCTGCAACTACGAGTCTCCTAGCGTAACCCTGAACGCTAGCCACATGGAACGCTTCCACGATATGTTCATCCCCGAAAAGCAATACCTCGTTGACCTGGAGGGATTGTTGCAGCATCTGCAGGAACGCATCCATGAGGGCCACCAATGTCTTTACTGCTTCAAGACCAAAAAGACGGCTTTCGCTGTCCAGACCCATATGCGCGACAAGGGCCATTGCAAGATTCCCTACGATACTGAGGAGGTTCAGCTCGATATTGGTGACTTCTACGATTTCCGCAGCACCTACTCGGACGACGGCGAGTCAGATGATGAAGAAGAGGTTGATCAGAACGGTGGAGCTAAACTGGGCTTGAAGCGCCCTACCAAGCTATTTGGCGAAGATGGCGAGGAGGTCGACGGTGCCGCAGAGGATGGCTGGGAGACGGACAGCGATGCTTCTTCGCTTGATTCGGACGAGCTGACGGCTTTCACTGCGGATGGCCGCTACGAGCAATACGAGCGTTTGGACAAGCATCCCCATCACTCTCGTGACGATCCTCGAGCACACCACCAAGCAGATGGCTGGCACTCTCATGCCCACAAGCATACCCGCGCTGTCTTTTACGATGACTACGAGCTGCACTTGCCGTCCGGCAAATCAGTTGGCCACCGCGCTCATAACAGATACTTCCGCCAGAACCTCCACAACTACCCTACTCCCGAGGAGCGTGCTGAGCGTCTGGCGATTGAGGCGGGCTCCGGTGATGAGATGGATGTTGACGGGATGGAGCTTACCACCACCGGCAACCCCCGTTCTCGCAACAGCCGCGCCATTGCTCGTAGAGACGCCGCTGGCATGGCCGGCGTGACGGACAATCAGAAGCGCGTCGCCAAGGAAGAGGCGACCAGAGGCCGGAGCGCTGCTACCCGACACGAGAAGAGATACAACTACAAGGTCAGCGAGAAGTTGAACAACCAAAAGAACTTCTACTACCGCTACCAGGCCGGTGGTTGATCGACTCGCATTTGGATGGTCAGGCGTTGGGCGGTTTGCTTTTTATTCAGTTTTGTGGGATTGTATCGAGCCACCATAGGAATTGGCATGCATGATGAGGCTATGATTTACCATGCATATGGGAGGTAGACAAAATAGAGCCCACTGAAGCAGATGCATTCTTCGCATAATATTTCGTTCCATGGTCCAAGCTTTGAAAATGACGTTTTTCCATCCACAGGCAGCTGTAGAATCATGCTTGTATCAGAACGTCAAAATCGCTTTGATGCATTTTTCCCCGAGATCAAGTCAAATAGTGACCACGCCCCCATCAGTCACGTCCAACTGTTGCTCTAAACTTCTCAAGGTCAATAGTGTAGGTGTTGAAATAATGAGGTCGTTCGTTTTGGTTTCTAAATAGAAAGCTCATGATGTTGTCCATCAATATGCGCAGATCTCGCGCAATCATACAAAATTTGTCGCCGCTTCCTCGGCGATGGCTGAGCAGCAGGCCAACCAGAACAACATACAACTCCTCGCGCCCCAATCGAGATGATTCTCAGTATGAAAGGCGCAACTCCTCTTGGCGCGACGATGAGGTCTCTTATAGAATCCACGGGGGTAATCGAGGGCGAGACAGCAAATTTGCATCTCCGCGTACGGGCACCGGCCGCAGCTTTCCGTCAAGAGCACCGCCGTCCAGCCGAGACGGTTTTGAGTATGAGAGACGAAATAACTCTCGGCGCTCTGATGATTTTTCGGATAGGGACATGAGAGTGGATCGTGGGCGGGACAGCAGATTCTCAACATCACGTACTGCTACGCCTCGGACGCTACGAAGTCTGCCGCCGAGGTCACAACCACCACCCAAAAAAGAGCCAGGGTTGGCTTTGATAGTAAGTGGAATTTCTCGTTTCTACACCGCGCGTAACTAACCAAGTCTGAAGCCGAAGCTGTCCGAAGAAGAGCAGAGCAAGATCAGCACTCCCAAGCAACTATGGGCAGCCAGCTCAATGTTTTTCACACCACCCACGAGACCCAAACAGTCTCCGCAACCACGTCAACAGCCCCAAAGAGGTCGCAACTCAGCCGTAGCGTCCGCAAGCGCAATCAGAGCGGCAATTCGAGGCCTACCGGAAGAGACACCTGATAGCGGCGTAACCTCCGGGGGCACCATCTTCGCTGGCACAGCTAATGACACCTCCTACGGTGAAGCCAACAATTTCTTCCGACTCCCGCCCGCCACCTTCCTTTACAGCGCATTTCGCTTCAAGCAGCACCCGATCAACACCACCACCCCCGAGATCTGTATCGTAGGCGCCAGTAACTGCGGCAAGTCGACCTTCGTTAACGCCCTCACTGGCGCGTCTGCGGACAGGCTCGCGAAGGTGAGCGACAAGGCGGGCAAGACTGTGGCCATGAACGCGTATGGTGTGGGACCTCTAAGCGGCATCCCTTTCCGCAAGCCACTTTCCCCGGATGCCGCTGGCGAAAAACCTTCGCAGCATGGTATGATACTCGTTGATACACCTGGATACGGCCACGCCAGTCGGCAGGAGTGGGGCCAGGAAATTGCCGAATATGTGAACAAGCGTACGATGTTGAAGGGCGTCATTCTTCTTCTGTCTGCGGAGAAGAAAGTTTCAAAGCAGGATGAGCAGGTCATGAAGCTGTTGGCGGGCGCGGGCAGGCCCGTGATGGTGGTGTTTACCAAGATGGACAAGGCCCTGCGCAGTCGTGCCAGAGAGGAGGGTGGTATTGCAGAGAGGCTGAGGGAAGTGGAGAGGAGTTTTTCATACACTGGCTGGGACGGTTGGGTACCGAAAATTCACCTCACGGCGGCAAGGATGGAGCGCGATAAGAGTTGGGGGTTGGACGTGGCGCATAGCGCGGCTGGAATGGCGGGCGTAAGGATGGCGGTGTTGGAGTTAGCAGAGCTCAAAGAATTTGTTGCACCGGAGAGGAAGCTCCATGTAAAGAGAGGGAAAGATGAAAAACACCAGGCAGTTGTGTCTAATATAAAGGAGGAGGAGCCCGTGGAAAAGGAAATGGGGCAGAAGAGACAGGAGCCCGGAAAGGCTTTGGAGAGCGACCCTGCGGCATGGTCAGGTAAGGTTGTCTCATTTGAGGAACTGGAGAAGAAGTTTGGAGATTGGAGCTCGTAGGTTGATGCATTGTAAGATAGTGTTTGATGCCCAAGGTGGACATGATACCCTCTAAAAGACATACAACTCATTTCTTGACAGATGCTACGTAAAACCATGCACCAGGGATGTGACTTCATCTTCAAATCATTTCAATTACTACGTCATCTGGAGCAAAACCGTTTTCAGACTATTAAATGAGCTCCGTCATATGGGTATTCCAGCAGTATCAGACATCTTGAGCGCAGCACCGTCTGCGGCTCAAGAACCCTCAAGAACTCCGTTCATGCCAAAAAAAAAAGAAAGAAACAACATAAAGGGAGCGGCGGTATAATACACTACTGTTCATGAGCTGTCATCACACATTCTCCTTTTCCTTCTCCTTCTCCGTATTTTTTTCCGCTTGTACGCCTGCTCCCGACGCATTTGAATGTGCCGTTCCTGGTCTGCTAAGCGACCGGCGGAGTTTTTTCGCATTTTTTGATTCGAAAAGGCTTTTTACTCTTCTCAGGCGGGCCCAACGCTCCTTATCCTTGGCATCTCGAGTCTTCTCATCATCGTCACCTGGCTCCGTAACAGCGCTGGGAGAATCATAGGGCCCTCCTGGTGTCGATGGCGCAGCAGCACCTCGGCGAACTGGAGTTGATGGCACTGACGCGCCTCTACTATGCCAAGCCTTGTTCTTTGGTCGGTCATCGAGAGCTCCTCGTAGGTAGGCATCGTTCTTAAGCACCTGCGCCAAGCACTTCCAGGCGGCCATATTGGACTCCGAGCCTGACTTCGCAGTGCCAAGGCGTTGTGTCATCGGATTCTTCCATGGGCAGAAGAAACGATGCTCCTTGACAGGATCAAGATGGTCCATGGGCGCTGGAACGAGTATTTCGCCGTCGGCGCTAACCTCCTTGCTCTTGAACATCCACAGACCAAGTCTTCTCAGGCAAGTATGACAAGAAGCGGAATTTGGCACAGCACCAATTCGAGGGTTCGTCAGGCCCTGCCAACCCATTAAGGCAAGGGCAAGGGCGACCCTGTTTGGTTGTTTGGGGTCTGGTGAGTCTTTGGCTGGCGGCGGGTTGGTAAAGAAATCCTCAGGTAGCTGGGTGAGAACATCGTCGATATTAAGCCCCTCAGGAAGCCGTAGATTAAATTCATACGGCAAGAACGATTTTCTCCCACAGAGTTCATCATATCTTTGCCGTAAGGCCTCCATGCTCAATTTGGCGTTGGTGAGAGACAGCCGCAGCAGAGAATCTGCACATGTCAGTTTCGTTCCTGAGTCAAGTCAGAATTCCAATGAACACATACCATCGCATCCACGTTTCCTCCACAGGCATTCCTCGAGGTGGGCCGACACGATAAGATCTGAATATTTCTGGACCAAAGCTTCCTCTGCTTTACCAATCAGTTTATATGCCGACGTTCAGAAAGGGATATCGTGAACCTACCCACGTCAGACGCAACAAGAACGGGCACTTCCTTGCCATCAACCTCCCGCTTGTTCAGCTTGACGACAAGCTCTTTGTTACAGAGCGCGCAGCGTACACGGTCTTTGCCCTGACATACCCATCCTCTCTTCGCCCACTCAATTTCGTTGACCCTATCGGGCTTTGGCGTCCAATCCGTGATCTCTTGAAAGCTAGCCAACCTTTTTAACAACTCATTCCGGTCACTCGGGGCGTACTTCGACGTGACCTGTACTATTTGCTCCTTGGACGAGTTTGGTATCCACTTCTTCAGAACAATATTCGAGACGGTCGTTGCCGACGCGCCTGTTGTGGTGTTGGTGATCGTAGACCTCTTTTCAGTCAAAGCCTGCAAGCGCCGGCGCTTCAACAGTATATCCTCTTCGATCGACATAGGCGTTTTGGTATTGGTGTTCGACGAGCTTGTGTTCGAGGCCGGGAGAGAAGTCGTTGAGGGACGAGGCGACTCGGTCGGCAGGCTGGAGGACTCATTGTTGCTAGACTTGGTAGACGCTGACGATCTGCCCATTCCCTGGATCAGGGAGTTGAACTTGCGCTTGGTTGCATTCATTTTCCGCTAGCAATTTGACGTACCGGAGACGAGAGCTGTCGAGAGCGCTCAACTTGGCAAGCTGCAGGGTTAAGAAATTGAGGATGGACAAGAAAGAAGCAAAGTTGGTGACACTGTCAGCACGTAACTAGTCAGGCTCGTCAAAAGTCCAACTTCGACACCTCTTTGGATCGCCGTGAGTCAAACTTGTGCTTGCGTGATGTTGTAACATGGAATAACTTCAAGGATGGGTTAACGCTTTGTACTGGGTATCAAACATGGGCGCCTGGCTCGCGAAAGTCAACAAACGCCTGTTGCTGATCGGGTAATAAGCTGATACCCCTGTCGCATATGCGCTAGCAGTAGGAGGGGAGCAACCAGCAGGCAATTGGCTAACTGAAGGTCTGAGCTACCTGGGCTTATGTGCATTTATTAACTTATCGAGGCACTTCTTGATAAGATAAGAAAACTGTGGAATGGATAATGGGGAAAAAAAAAAAAAGCGAAAAAAAAATTCGCGGGGCAGGGGTGCCGGCGTAAAATTTTGGGAACGCCGACTCGCCGACGTTGTGATTCCACAGAAATTTTCCCAGGTGAAGACTAACTCCATCATTCACCGAGGAAGTCGCTACACGCCCACGTATCCAATTGCTTTCCCTCTTATCATTTTCGCCACAAAGAAAAGCTTGAGCACTTGAAGCATATGTCAGCCTCAGGTCCTCCTTCTTGGCTTTTCTCTAATAACTCTTCCAAAGCCGCGGCTCCTTCAACCCCAACCCCTGTTACCACGATAACGTCGAAGCAAGACAAGATGGTCAAGAAGGAGAAGAAGGGCAGCAAGGCCGCTGCCGCGCCTGCTAAGCAGTCTCCCCCCGATCAATTGATGGACCTCGTCGACTCCTTCCTCTCTGAGAACGCCTTCACTTCCGCCCATGAGGCTTTCCAGAAGCAGCGCTCCAAGAATGGCTGGAAGCCTTCCAAGAAGCAGGCCACCAGCCCCAGCCTCGTCGCCGTCTTCCAAACTTGGCAGACCACCACCAAAGCTCCTGCCGCTAAGGAGGCCGAAAGCAGCAGCAGCAGCGATGATAGCAGCTCCAGCTCCAGCGATGACAGCAGCAGCGACGAGGAGGATGTCCCTATGGCCGATGCCGCCGATGAGAGCGACAGCTCCAGCTCCAGCAGCTCCAGCTCTAGCTCTGATTCAAGCAGCGACGACAGCGATAGCGAAGATGAGAAGCCTGCGCCCAAGAAGGGACTGAAGCGTAAGGCTCCCGAGTCGGACAGCAGCAGCTCTGATAGCAGCAGCGAGAGCGACTCCTCTAGCTCAGACGATTCCAGCTCCGAAGACGAGCGTCCCCAGGCTAAGAAGCAGAAGACGAAGGCTTCTAGCAGCAGCAGCTCCTCTTCTTCGTCTTCCGATTCTGATTCCTCGTCCTCCAGCTCGGACAGCAGCTCCAGCGAGGAGTCTTCTTCTGATGAGTCCTCCGACTCGGACTCTTCTGACAGTGATTCCGACTCAGACAGTGACTCCGACGCCTCCGAGGCTGCGAAGGTGCCCCTTCCTGAATCTGACTCCGACTCCTCTTCCGACTCAGACTCGGATGACGAGAAGAAGACGAAGAAGGATGACACTGCTTCCAACTCTTCTGGCACCCTTGAGAAGACCTCTCCCGAAGTCAAGGATGCTGCCGACCCTCCCCTGCCTCCTGACCCGGTCACCTTCCGCAACCAGAACAACCGTGGTAAGAATGCCAACGGCAAGAAGGTCCCCAACAAGCCCTTCTCGCGCATTCCTGACGATGTTAATGTCGACCCCCGCTTCGCCAGCAACGAGTATGTGCCCAACGACTATTCGCAGCGTGCCCACGAGGACCTTATTGTCACCAAGGGCAAGGGCTTCACTAAGGAGAAGAACAAGAAGAAGCGCGGCAGCTACCGCGGCGGCTTGATTGACATCAGCAGCAAGAAGGGCATCAAGTTTGACTTTTAAGCCAAATAGCTCATACATGCTTTGCGTCAAATCAAGTCTTTTGGTCTCGGAGTTAGGAATTCTCCCAAAAATAACATTGCGGAGTTTGTTCAGTATGGAGAGAATAGGAGCGGTGGTCGGTTTGCTTTGGCAGTTCGTCGCATAGTTATATTCAGAGCATCGCACTTCCGGTGAAGAAGCTGCTATTTCCACGAAAAGGCGACGGAGTTTCTTTCACGGCATAATTTTTATAGACTCGATATCGGCGTCTCACGCACGATACCGTGTAAATAGACTAAAAGTTCTCACACCGCTCTCCTCGGTTCCTATTCCCATATTCCCTGTACGAGTGACATGTCAACAGTAATGCACCTAGCTATGAGCTTGTTTGGCTGCGATCTACAAGAAGCTGTGGATTTTCGTGTGAAGTAGATCAGATGCGCTTGGATCAGCTCACTGGTAACGACCAGTAAAAGAGACGTCTTTTTTGCCGCTTTAATACTTGAGAAAGATATTGAAGCTGTCCCTCAAAAACTCAGCCCATACGCATTGCATCGTTGTGTTCAATGACCGCCAAGAAGAAGATCCTAACCGAAGTTACTACAATCGCCTCCAACGGATGCAAAAAATGGAAGACAGAAAGGCTGTCCAAGTTTAGGATCAGCCTGGCTTACAAAAGATTGGTATTGGTTTATAAAGTCGCCTTGGGCCTGTCAATCCGTTTCGGCAGTAGGAAATGCCTTTGCGACCCTTGCCATAGTTCAAAAGTGTACAACAAATGAGCGAAAGAAAAGTTTTCAGGACGGGAAGGTGGTGATGTCACACCTGAAGAATAGAAAAGAATCCCAGTCCAGATCTTGAACCCCGGCCAGTTTCTGGGCTGGCCTGGCCTGGCTGGATACGGCTATGGTCAGGCCAGTGTAACCGGTCCTAAGTTAGAACTGCAGGTCCCAAGCAGTGCGGTCAGATTTCCATTTGCCTTGTATGGCCTAGATGCGAGATAGCCACCGCTGGCCTCGTATGCAGCCTCGAGGAGAAGGGATGAACAAGTGGGGGGCAGCGTTGATACAAAGATTTCAGATGGAGGCCAGCACATGAAGGCCCAGCAGAGGTGGGTTCGGTGTTCGCTTCATGGCGGGTAAGGCGCCCGATGATGGCAAGGGGGCCCACCGGCCTTAAGCTTAAAAAGCCTAAATTTGATGGGTGCGGAGAATGGTGCACAAGCACAAATGGAGGAAGGACCCAGCCCAAGGACCTCGTATCCAGACAGAGAACATTTGTGCTGTTACAATCTAAACAAATTACAGGACACCAAGATATATGACTTGGTGGTTCATTGCATATGAAAGCGCACTATAACTCTAAGCGCAAGTAATCTGATTCCGCCTTGAAGCTTCGGCATCGCCCCACTGATGCAATTCGATGGCGGTAACTTCATTACGGAGTAGATTGACGCAATCACAATGTGAAGAGGTGTCCCAGTATTTCGGGCTACAACCACCATACTTATCCCTACGAATACATAATGATCTGCGAGAACCGTTAGTGGAGCCCAGTGTTGGCTGAAGATGAACGCCAGCTTCGCAGTTCTGCTCTGTTGTAGGCGTCTGCGGCCCGATAGAGGCCAAGAGGGACTGATTGGTGGGCTAGTAAAATGCAAATTGCCTTTTCTGACCAGATCTTATTAACAGCCTGGTGACGTATCACATGTCATTTGGAAGGTGCATTTGTGCCACTCGAGGGCTCCAGCCTCAGAAATAGCGTCCCTTTTTTTTCTTCATGATCATCAGGACGTCTCATCCGTTATCATTTCTGGTAGCTTTTTGGCCAGTCGAGCCGAAGCTTGGTATCTCTAAGGTTAAGGCAAAGAATCGAAGTATGAAAGAGGCTAACGTCATGCCGATGTTTTCGACTTGTCCTCCAGCACCTGCACACCGCCGTACTCGAAGATGATCCAATCGAGAAAATTCTCCCATCGTGTCTCCCACTCTGTTCGCACAGCCTCCAGTTCCTCTTTGGACATACATGAATGCTCCAAACTCCACTCGATAAGTTGCCGCCAACCGTGCAACGTCATGTCCGTCTTGCCAACCATAGCTTGGTAGAAATCGTGAGAAAGACTTGATCTGTACCTCTTGTTAGTATGAGAACCATCTATATATACTAACAATATCAATACATACCTAAATATTGTTCCATTGTCTGAGTTCAGCGTACAATGTACGTTATTTGCGAGGAGGTTGTACATGGAGTGTCCCGTAATCCTTGGCGTAAGGCCAAGCTCCTCATTTGAAATTGGACAAACCTCGAGGCAGATACCTCTCTTCTTCATGTGTTCCATAATGTAAGGGTGTCTGGCAAGAGCAAAACCGTGGCCAATACGTTTTGAGTTAAGCAGCAAAGCGTCTACAAGGTTGCTATCGGTATCGTTGCCGATCTCTGTCGTCTCGCCGCAATGGAAAAGGAACGGGATATCAACCTTTGCCTCGTCGCAGTTCTTTCTAAACTCTAGAAACTCGGGAATAAAGTCCTTCAAAGGCCGCCCCTTAGATTCCTCACCAACCAGATCAAAACCTGTTTCATTAGCAACCCTTTATCTGTTAAGTAACGAGGAATATGCTTACCAGCAATCCATTGGGGCCACTTCTGCTTGAATGTTAGACATTCAGCGAGAGCGAATTCAACTGACTTGTTGGAAAATGATCGTGGTGTGCAGTAAATGACTTTCAGTCCGCCAAAGTAATCTTCGGTTGTAGCCTGGAAAGATTCATACTCCTCGATAATAATTTTCATAATACCCACATTATTGATTTGTCTTGTGCCGTCGTCAGTCCAGAGCTGGTTTGTCTCCATAAAATTCGGTCGAATCTCAGCGTATTGGATGTTATCCCGAACAAAATCCTCTAAGCAACTCCGGGTATACTTGCGATATGCCGTTTCGTAGTTAAAAAGTCCCTTCATCATCCGCGTGCGGCCGTTAAACTTTTCCCAAGCACTAACCATATTAGCAAATGCCTGGTTAAAACATAAGTGTATATGATTACCCTTGAACTGTCTGGAGGTGATTATGAGCCTCTTGTTCGTGAAAAATCATTTTGCTTGTGAGCCACTCCTCAGCATCTTGGCCGTCATAGTATTGAGAGAATTCCCTTAGGAATTGAGAGTATTTCATGGTTTGTCGTTTCACATATCTCGGCGAGAAGATATTGCCGGGATCTTCCTTCTCAGGAGGTAGAATAGAGAATTGAATTTCGCACCGATGGAGGGCTATAGCAACATCTCCTTGGGCTATGCCATCGCCGCTGGGGGCTAATGAGATGTCGCTGGTGATGAACATGCGATCCATCTCCTTGGCAATACCCAAAAGGGTAGTAGGTTTTAAACAGGCATTGAAATGAATATGAAGATGCGCCCCTTTGGGCATCTTGGTTGCAACTTTGAATAATTTGGTCTTCTCGATCAGGTCCACGTTGGACAGGAAGTGGTCAGCGGCAAATCGGGAGTGCTTCTGACCACCCCACCCCAGCCTTGGCTCAGCCGCGTCATACACCTCGCTGTTGTCTTCCTTCTTGAGAGCCTGAATGATGATGTTGGCTTCTTTCTCTTTCGGCGATGCTAATACCGTAAGCCGGAAGTCAAATGAGAGTGTGCTTTCGCGGCTCATAATCTCGTTTCGCTGGCGCATGTACTCATCGAAGCGATCAATCTTGACTGCCGCGACAGCCGCTCGTGTCCTCAGACGACCAACATCTAGGATAGTGTCCTGGCGGCGCCTCGGCCAGGGCTGGCCGAAGAGGCTGTCGCCGGCCTCTTCAATGACTTTATCGTGGGCATCAATCATTTCTTGAGCCATGTCCATGTCAGCCTGGTGATGTGGGAGGGGACCAGCTGTAGGGGGCGTAGACTGCTGGTGGCGACGGTGGTGATGGGGATGCTTTTGGAGACGTTTGGAGGAGTGTCGCGTGAGTGTATTGCTGTCCCTTCTATGTCCCTGACCATCCTTTTCACCAGATGCATCGTCTTTCTCGATGTTTGAGCATAAACTACCCATTAAAGTATATGAAATGAGACTAGGCGCAAGAAAAGTGATGATTCTTTGATGAGTTTTTGAATGATCCGTCTCTGGGATCGAGGGGTGATTCAGGGCACAGGGTGCTATGTCGCAGTGGAGTAGCCTTGGTCAATCGAATCGCCGTAATGGCAGGATAATACTTTCAATTATATCTCTGCGAAGGGGTTCCCCAGCTTTGTTGGACCATCATGAACCCAAGTGGAAAAAAGGGTCGGCCTAGCTCGTATGTGTCGCCAGGTGAATGTATGAGTAAGAAAGAGAGGTACCCTGAATTGGAAGTGCTAAAGATGGAGCATTGGGAAATGTTGCCAAAGGCAATTGAGCGCAGCCTCAAACCTGGCGGCAGTGGTCAATGGTACAATGCAGCCAGCCCAACTGATAATAGCTAGAGGGCCTGTAAGCAGGCTACCAACCCCCCAGGGATCCCAGGGCTCTCCCAGAAGACACTGGCTGTGAGGTTGGGAAGAAGGAGGGGCTACTGCCTAAGTATAAGCGCCGATCCCTAATGGGGAATAGTGCCATTTTAACACAGGTCGCTCGCGGGCCCTCCCCCTGTCCCAAGCCCTTATTCAGTTGATTGGGCTGATTGGGAGGCATTCTACTCAGGTTACCTCTTTTTCTGCATAGGATATCTGCGTTTTCCAGCATGTTATACAGCCACGTGACATCCTTTGTCTGCTTTCAGCATTGATGGTAAGCATACATTTCACACAACTGTATGATTCTTGGCTTGTTTGCAAGCAACTTATTTCAAGGTGTCATCTTATCAATCATCGGCTTTGTTCCGCATCAGACCTACAATCAGCAAACAACAAGCGAAAACGGGCCCTCATGAGCTCCCTCCTTGTAGGCTGAGTCCTTAGTTCAACTCGTGTTTGGCCTTAGCCAAGAGTCACTCAGCATCCCTTGTCATTCACGATCGCCATGCCACAACTGCTACTCACACGACCCCCATCTGAAGACTAAGCCATACGCCAGGGCCCGTCCACATGGCTGCCAGACTTTAGGGCTCTGCCAAACGCCCACCTGGGGTGCACGAACCACTCTCTAGAATCCCAGAAACCTGGGATTCTTCAACAACCCCTGCTTGGGATGTGCAAGCCCTTTGTCGTTTTTCAAACGGGCTAACTCTAAATCCAAGGCAGCAAGCCTCAAGCGCCCTTCAAACCAATACCCTATTGGATAGCCTCCATCCAACTTTGGCCAAGTTTGGCCAGATTTATATGCCGGGCATGTCATAAGCCATTCACTCTCAAGCCTATTCATACATGACCTAGGGGCTTCTGCTTCTATTTCTCCAGATGGCAAGGGGCCAAGCACCGCGCAGCATCAAATAGGTATACGCAGTCACTATGCTATTCTCATCATGGATCTTAATCTTTCGTTTGGATCGTAAGCCGGGTAAAGGATTTGAGGCCAAACAGCAACAAAGCACATCTTCTAAGCAGCGGATGAGCTTGTCATCCGTCATACCAAGCTTTATTACAGGGCTCAGATCAGTAACAAGGCTCAGATCAGTGACAAGTGTCAACTTTCTTCCCAAGACGGCAAACTTGGCTCTTTAACGAAAAGGGTCTAGACATAGAAGCAGGGTTGACATGCCGCCATTACATGCCCCATCCAGGCCTGACTGATAAAATGATGGTCATGAGAAGGTGCCTTGCCAGAGCACCACTGTACTCGGTGGTGGCTTGGAGTGCTCTCTGAGATGCCAGACTTCACGCTATGAGGTTTCCCTAAGCACTACTCGTGGAACAGGCTAATCAGTTGCGCCGCAGAGTTACATGTTCGTCACATTGCGCCCTCCAACGGCCATTTTCTACATTTTTCCAGGTGCCTCAAGCACTTCGCGACTGCATGAAATAATAATGCGCTCTCCAATACGAGGGTCCTTGATTGCAGTTTTGTTCGTCAACTGGTTAACCTGAGATGTGACCTGTCTCTCTCTCATCGAATCGAAGTGTACCCTGTTTCGCTTGTCGGTGAATGAGATTCTCTATGACCGACATAAATAAAGGGAAAAAACATCTTAAATACTTTAACGGTATCGACGGCGTCGCGAGATCGGAAATTCCGGTGTGGATCTACGCAAGACGTGGGTGTCTCCAACTCTGTTGACCAGGAATCTCGGGAATTCCGCCGGCGTACGTCAACCGTGTGGAAACCAACTCCTTCCTCTTTATGAAATAAGGCGGTCCAGAAACAACATCCCTTCCTGAAATGGATTCCTTTCGGCCTGTATTTCGGCCCTTATTCGTCGTAGCGACCTTCAAATCATCTACACCCCGGTTCACGTCATGCCAGATAACTGTGTGACCCCTGCGATCTCTGATTTGCATGGGATGAACGGCGGGCCAGTGGGAACGAAACGGGGTAGGTCTTTAGGAATAAAAGAACACTTTACATCAACAAACATGATAGATAGTGGAGCCGTCGAGAAACGGCGCGAAATTAGAAAGGCTCTAACGTTCGACGTATGCATGAGAAGAAGCAATGCCGACTGCCAGGGTTACATCGAATGAGGTTCCCTTCTGCTATGGAGCTGGCATCAACGGCGACTCGGACTCCGAGCGAGTTGCGTAGTTCCTGTCCACATTCCGTCACGTTGTTGACTCTTTATAAGCTGTCTTGTTCTTAAATCCTGAGCATGACCTTTGCTTTGCCTATTAACTGACTGCCCGCTCCGAGCTCCTCGTTAAGCCAAAGTGCAACCGCCCTTGAGCCAACACCGTCAACATGAGATTACTTACGACCCTCGCAGCTGGTCTTCCCCTTGTGGCAGCAGCTCCTCAGGGACTTGCAGCCAAGGCTACCAAGGACCTTGTCCTTGAACAAGCCCCTCAGACTCCTCAGCCCTACGTCCTCCGCAAAGGAGCAGGCCGTGCTGTCTTAGTGGGCGAGCAAGTTTATCGCTTCTCCGTTACGGGCAATGCCTCCGCTGGCGCTTTCACTCTCATGCAGACCAACGCGCCCGACTCGACCGAACTGGGCGTTCTCCCACATATCCACAAGACGCACTACGAAAACTTCTACTGCTCCAAGGGCCAGATCCAGCTCTGGGCCAAGACCAACTCATCCGGGGAGCAGGCTCGTCTTCTCACGCCCGGTGACTACGGCGCGGTGCCCCACAACACTGTCCATACCTTCCAGATTACCGACCCGGATACCCAGCTCACAGGGGTTATCCAACCCGGCGGTTTTGAGGAACTGTTCATCGCCATCGCCAACTCTGAGTTCAACTCCTCTACGGGATCAGAGTTCGTGCCGGCTGCCGTTGGCGGATCCTCTGGTTCCAACCCTGATCTCATCTCTGCGCTTGAGGCGTTCGATGTCTATGCACAGCTTGACTTCAATCCCCGCAGGGACTTGGTGAATGGCAGTGCTGGTGGACCTACGACCTGGCATACCGCTGCCAATGAGCTTGCTGCTGACTCGGTCACGCCCAACTTCATTGCCAAGAACCGTGGACCCAAGTACCTGAACGCCGATGGCGGTGTCTACCACCTCCTCGCTCCCTTCGCTACCGCCAACCAAACGCAGAGCAACTTCACCATGGGTACCGCTACCGTGAGCCGTCTGCTTGCGAACCAGACGGCTACCGAGGCAAACCTCACCCAACCTGTCGCTTTTCAGCTCGAGGAGGGCGCCTTGGTCGTTGACGTTGACGGCTACGATCCTGTCACCTTGATCCAGGGCGACATTGTCTTTGTCCCTGCCGGCACCCCCTTCACCTACCATGCCTCTGCTGCCTTTACGAAGTTTCTCTACGTCAGTGGCGGTGGTGATGGCTTTGATTACCAGCTTCTTCAGAGGGCTGTGCCGTGGGAGTACGCGACGTACCCTATCTACGCTGGTTTTACGGTGCAGTAGATGGCGTCGATGAAGAGGCGGTAAGAGCCATCATGGCTCACCCTTTTTCCACTTTCATGTATATTGTTCACCTGGTATGATACCCCCTTCGGGATGAACACCCGTCAAGCCGCATGAGGCCGTGTACATAGTCCAAGGGTACCGTATGTGTTTTAGATAGTTGAGAAAAACATACAAAAACGAATTACTGGCGGTCCTTTACGTCTATTGTGATCCTTATCCCTGTTAACATCTAATGGCTCTTTTAGCAGTGGCGAAGAGCATGGGGATGGTTTTAACTGGGAGCACATGAGCTTTTACCCAGTAGGACGAATAGTCGCCGTTCGATTCACACATGTTTCCAGCACAATGCCATGCGGGGCACATGTATCTCTATGCTTCCAATACAAGCATCACGAGTGTCTCCAGTTTATGCTTGCAGTGCAAGCGCCTTGGTGACCCATTCAGGGGCAAGGCTGACTGTCATTTTGACCGCCGGAATCATCTACGCCTCAAAGTCCCAGTTAAATGATCGGGCCGATCAAACAGAGTTTTCTGATTTTAGCGGCGTTGTCATATCGCCGGCTCCTAAGCCTACAGAGCCCCAACAAGGCAGACTCGCAGGCCAATTTCATCGTGCCGCAAAACTAGGTTTTCCCCAGGTTCTAGATGAGAAGCAGACGTGATGCGGTATCACAAGAGATTCCGACGATCTGGTTAATTTCCATGCATGGTTATGTTTCCCCGTTTGTTTAATCTTCCCGGATGAGAATTGGCACAGGGGCTTGGTGAGGCACAGCCACAACCCCAGGCTCGACTTGCCATGCCGACTTAAGTTGGTCCCACTAATTCCAGGCAGAAATGTAGAATCAGAGTATGAATATGGGAAAAGAGTTTTATGATAGGAAGCCTCATTGAAGTGGTTCGTTTTGATTGACATCACACCTAACAGTTTATGGTGTTGACATGACATGACTGAGTGTGCCGTAAGATACGCCTCGTATCGTTCCCAAGCTTAGCTTTTAGCTAATGACCAGTTCATTATTACACTTCAGAACTCGCAATGGGTCGTTGTGTTTGTTAGCCGGAATAGAGGAAAGATCGTCAGTGTTGCAACCAGCAATGAGTGCAGAATGAGGCCAAGGCATCCCAGAAATAAACAAGAAACCGTATCTCCATCTTTTATTGAGGCTGTAGGCTGTGTAACTTTGCAGAGTCTCATATTCTGTGTTTAGAACAGTGCTATACTTGACTTTTGACGCCTGACTCCATTTCTCAGTATTTCAACATCTTGGACTGATACAAATCCAAAGCTGTCACAAAACATCAGCGAAACTGAAGGGTAGTATGTGTATTTTATAAGTTTATTACAGGTATTAGCTACAACAGCTTCCCTTTCTAAATATGTTTCCCGGTAAACGCGGGATGCTTCATCTAAGCCATACAGCCAGTATGACCTTGGTGGCCATATACTTAGCCCAGTATCCCCAAAGATTACACATAGAGACCCAAAAAGAACTCAAATCGCCTTACCCAAGCCAAACAGCTACCGACCGGACACCTTTCCCCGTGAATAACCCCTCTCGGGAGGCAAATAAGCACATGGCGTGACTCGATGCATGTCAGCGGCACGGTTCTCCATTGCATCCCCGGGATGCAACCTCACATCCTTGCCTTTGCCCGTTGCACTCGTTTTAGCGAAGGTTTCCAGACTACCAATCATCAAAGTCCGCATCTTGCGCAAAGTACGTGAAGGAATAGTAATGGCGCATCTCGGCGAAGCAACGTGCAATTTACCCGAAGTCTAGGCAGTCTTGCCCTTGCAGAACGGCACCTGAATACTTCGTAGCCATATGGTTTTCGGTTACTAACAACCATTGTAGTAGAGGAAACTAAGTTTGCTGTAGTCAAACCTGCCATTGTTTTTTGACGTAGGATAAAAGGCACTTGGGGCACCTTTACTGGGTCTTGAAAAAGGTATACATCTACAAGATTTCTGTCTTGACTAGTGACAAAGGCAGGTCCGGACTAAGCGGGAGCACCTGGATATGCAAGAATTTCAAGGGTATATTGTCGAATACTGGTTCGTTGCAACGCTACTTTCTCCAACACATGTATACAAGCCATGGCACTTTTTCAACGAGTGAGGGGGCTTGCTTGAAATAATCGAGCTCTACCAAGACTGGAAGGACAAAGTAATAATATGCGTGTCAATATGGGCTATGACTATATGTAGGCTTCGCAGCTGTGAGCAGGGGTCTCCAAGTCCATATAGGTAGCTCAGAAGCTGAACTAAGTCTCAGTCTCCTTTCTCTTTCTCGCGACGCATTTCTGTGCTATGTTAACTTTCAATTATCCGTCTGCAACGAACTCAATGCCTTTGTTCAAAATGACGAAAACCTCGTCCACCGCGACCTTGGTGGCCTGGCTGGTTTTGGGTGCTGCGGGCGCAATGGCGCTGAGCATACCGCAGTCCATCGCCCACACCAAGGTTCTCGCGAGGGCTGAAGACGTGAAGGCCGAGTATGACTACGTAATCGTTGGAGGAGGTACAGCCGGCTTGACCGTCGCTGATAGACTCACCGAGAATGGAAAACGTGAGTAGGCAGTAGCGGGGTTTATCAAGTTTCAAGATCTTGGTAGCTAACAGTCTATGAACAGACACTGTCCTTGTGATTGAGCTTGGTATATTTGGTAGGTTATAGGGTTCCCAAGGCGGTCTTCTAGTCGCCGGAAAGCTCAAAAAACAGATCCAGGCTAAGTAATATCTAGACAACTCGACTTCGGTAAACACTGTCGCTGGAGGCGCCGCAGCATTTGCTGATCCTTCCCACCTATTCGGCTTCGCTTCCGTCCCCCAGGAGGGTCTGAACGGTCGCAACTTCACTGTTTTTGGTGGTGTCATGCTCGGGGGCTCATCCGGAGTCAACGGTATGCAGGTTCATCGAGGACAAAAGGATGACTACAACCGGTGGGGATCGTACTTCAGTGACAGTTCCGAATGGAGCTGGGAAGGCCTTTTGCCATACTTCAAAAAGGTTGGCAATACACAAGGACCAACTCCCGAGCTATACTGATAATCCCTAGGCCTGGAATTTCCACCCTCCTACCCCTGAGCTGACAGAGCCGTTCGATATCAAATATGATGAAAGCTTTTGGGGCGATTCGTCCGACGTTCATGCTTCGTTCCCTACATTCCAATACCCGATGCTAAGTATGTATTGGCCCCTACTATATTTCTGCACCGCATCTAACAAGAATTTCAAGAAACTGAGGTCGCCGCATTTGGAGAGATTGAAGGAGTCAAGCATCCAGAGGACTCAGGAGCCGGCGAACCCGGCGTGTTCTGGTACCCCATGTCTGCCGATCCATCTACAATGACTAGGTCAATGTCTAGAAACGGACATTGGGACGATATTGAAGCTGTCCGTGATAACTATGAGACAGTTACCGGGCAGAAGGTGCTCCGGGTGCTGTTCGATGGTCAAACAGCTACTGGTGTTTCTTTCGTTCAAGCGAACGCGACCAGTGCCGAGAGAGCGCAAACAGTCAAGGCCAAGAAAGAAGTTGTTATCGCTGCTGGCACAATTCATACGCCTCAGATCCTCCAACGTAGCGGTATCGGCGGGAAGACCCTGCTGGAAGCCGCCAATATCGATGTCGTTGTCGATTTGCCCGGCGTCGGGCATAATTTCCAAGATCATCCTCTCGGTGCAGGTGCTACATTCTCTTGTAAGGTTACAGAGCTGGTTCTATAGACTATGGCGCTGACCAGTTCGCAGTCACAAACTTCGACGTCCACCCCGATCCAACCGATCTTCAGACAAACCAGACCTTCATTGACGAAGCTAAAGCCGAGTTCGAGGCTAAGCGAACAGGTACATACTCCAATACTAAGAGTACAAAACACATGTGCTTACCATTTCTTAACTCAGGGCCCTTGACCATCGCTTCTGGAAATGCAGCCTGTTTTCTCCCTTTCCCAGTTGTCGCGCCAGCCTCTTTTGAGAAGATTGCTTCGGCCTATGAGTCCCAGGATCCGGGAGCCTACCTCCCTGAGCGTACTGATGCCACCGTTATCGCTGGCTACGCAGCTCAGCAGAAGGCTCTTGCGGCAGCAATGCGTTCTAATGGTTCTGCGTTTTACAACCACTTCCTCCGTGGTGCTGATATCGAGGGCGCTTTTGTAACCCTTCATCCACTCTCCCGCGGCACCATTGAGATCGATCCCACCGACCCCTTTTTCAAAGAGCCTATCGTCGACTACCGCGCCCTCAGCAACCCCGCCGATCTTGACGTGCAGGTAGAGTTCATTCGTTTCGCACGCAAGTACTTCCTGGAGACGAGCCTTGCGGAGTTCAAGCCTGTAGAACTGGTTCCAGGCGCCAATGTCACAAGCTTCGAGGCGTTGAGCAACGCGCTCAGAAGCCAGTTGAGCCCGACCACGTTTCACCCAATCGGTACAGCGGCCATGTTGCCGAGAGAGCTTGGCGGTGTTGTTGATGAGAAGTTGTTGGTCTATGGCGTCGAGGGGCTGAGTGTTGTTGATGCTAGCGTGCAGCCTGACCTACCAGGAGCTTACACGCAGCAGACCGTTTATGCAGTTGCCGAAAAAGTAAGTGAAAAATTCTTGCGATTCATAAATCAGCTGGTTTCTGACTCTTTCTTAGGCTGCGGATTTGATTAAGGCGCGAGCATGCAAGGTGTCTCGCCGGGGGCTTATTACTACTACGACTGGCAAACGTTGATAGAACGTATAGAACGCGACGAGGGTACCTTATATTGTAAATCCTTACTACCAAATATAACTAGATTTGACTTGAGATCTCCTTTGCCCTGGAAATATGTACTGCCTGTGGTAACTGGTTGTTGATATACACAATTTGTGGTTGTCTCATGAAATCGGCGTTACAAACACAAGTCCGCATTTGAGAAGCCGAGGTTGTTCAGAACGCTGCTTAATACTTCTTCCAGACGCAACTCACATAAAAACCAAATAATCTCAGCCACTCCGCATAGAGTCGCGTACACATATGCGTTAAATAGGGGCCAGTACGATAAGTCTGCGATGCGATAACCGAGCGCTGCTCGTCTGGTAGTTGCGACACACCATAAAACAGTGACCCGGAGAGCCAGTTTTGGCACACTGTTTTGCAATATCAAGCCAATGCTGTGAAGATACAATAAGGCTGACATGTGTGCCGCTGACTCTGAAAACATGAAAAATGAAAGAAAAGATACATTATGCTGTATCAGGATTATCATTCAGGGCAGAGAAGACTAAATGATATCTTGAAGGGTCATAGAGAAAATTTCTGAATATTCAAATCAGTCCCTCATCTGTCTTACGTTAAGATTTATTCTCTTATTCTGCATCCACCCTTTCCATTTCTCATACTTGCCATCCTCCCCAGGCCAGTCAGCTAGGTAGTCTGGACACGTCCCCTTCAAGACCTTTGGCACACCGTGCCATGCGAATCGAGAGTCCTGGGTCATGTAGATGGCGTCGCCGGAGCGCAATCGCAGGATGAGGTATTCCTTTCCTGTGGCCTTTCCTTCTTCTGAGACCATTTCAGGGTCATTCGGAGCAATCATGAAAAGCCCATCGCATCCAAAGCTCAAGCTGACAAGGCCCTTGTCGGTCTCCTCGCTGACGTCGCGATGCATCATCATGGTGTCTCCGGGCGTGTAAAAGTTAACGATGGCTGCTTGAGCTAGCGTTGCTGGGAAAAGTGTCTCAAGAAATTGAGAAATGTCCGATGGGAACTGGGGAGGAAGCTCCTCAGGGTATATCCGGTTTGTCCAGTCGTACTGCCCGCCAAGGGTAACCCAGTGTAGGCGACGCTCCATGACCTGCTTAATGGACAGGGGCTTGTGGACGGAGGGGTCTTTTGGTTTGAAAATTGGCGTTTGGTCGGGCGGATATGAAAAAAAAGACTCTGGCGAACCGTCAGAGGCCTTTGGGTAAGGCATGTCATAGTGAAGGTGAAGATTAGTTTGGTGCGTTGGGACGCTAAGATCGCGGTTGATCATGAGAGAAAGCAGAGTCTTTTGAATCTCAGGAGGAACCAGGTTTGGTACAATTATCAGACCTTTGTCGGTAAGTAAGTAAGATTTGCTGAGGTCTGGGGCATTGTACCTGGGAGAAGTGGGTGGTAGAGAAGAGGGACCTCTTGAAGTGACGATGAGTCAACTGCATTTGGACTTATGTGAGAGAAGGCAGCCTTCAGCTGGTCGACTGAGATCTTGCCAGCCACGCAAAATTTATCAGCTTGCTCTGGCGACCTTGGATCATCAAGAGCGTCTCCATTAATGAGTTCTTTCTGATCTGCTCTCGAATATCCTTTCCATTGTGCCCGCATTGCCTCAGAGGGCTGTTCGTGAGCATCCAGCTCGGTGATTCCGGCCGTCATGGTAGGGCGATTAGTTATAGAGTCTCGGTGGCAGGTGAGGGTGCAAGGAAAGAGTTATATAGAATTCTTGTTGTCATTGACTCAGTGGTTTCATAAAGGGGTAGTTTCTGAATTTGATTTTGCTACCTGCCTCGACTTTCACATCGTACGTTGGCTTCATTGAAACTGCGGGACAAAATCCGTCAGTGAGTCCTTGGACCCCACCACGCACAGCGACAGTGACCCTATCGATAAGAATCGTCCAAGCGATAAGGCTGTTATCGATCAGCTTAGCGCGTGTAACCCACCGGGGAACCCACGCCACAAGTCAACGCGACCCTGTTGTAGCGGCCTTGGTTGGGTGAGATCGGATCGCGCCTTGTTTTTCTTCATTGCTAGTAAACAACGACAACGAATTGCAATTTTAGCACCACAAAACATCGCCCAATCCGTCCCGACAAACGCCCTTCCCGCCCGGCTTGCGAACCGTCACCGACAACAACCCCTCCGACACTCTTCCATGGAGATTTCCCCCTTGTAGCGGCACTCGTATCTCGACTTCCAGTTGTTTTTTCTTTGCGTTGCCCCCGTCCCAAAACGGAGTCTCTTTGTCGTGCCCCTCGTTCGGCCCAGACCCTGAGGTGACTGCTCCACGACCTGCACTGAAACCCCGCCACAAAACCGTCACCCCGACCGTGACGATTGCCATCAACAATCCGTTGAGCGATATACGAATTGAGGCAATCTTCCCATTTCTCTACTCTAATTGACTTTTGCTTGGCCGTTCTCGTTGCATTACAATCATGGAGAACTACCAGAAGCTCGAGAAGATCGGTGAAGGTAAGCTGCATCTGAACCCTTATTTTGGGACCGTTGTTCCAGCGCACAATGACGCAAACAATTTCGACTTTCCCCTGCAGGCGCATGCTAACCCGTCTCTTGCTCTACAGGCACTTACGGTGTCGTCTACAAGGCCCGGGATCTCCTCAATGGCGGGCGCATAGTGGCGCTGAAGAAGATTCGTCTGGAAGCTGAGGACGAGGGCGTCCCCTCCACCGCCATTCGCGAGATCTCCCTGCTCAAGGAGATGCGCGACCCCAACATTGTGCAGCTATTCAACATCGTGCACGCCGACGGCCACAAGCTCTACCTCGTCTTCGAGTTCCTCGACCTCGACCTGAAGAAGTACATGGAGTCGCTGCCCGTCAGCGATGGCGGCCGTGGCAAGGCTCTTCCTGAGGGCAGCTCCGAAACTCTCTCCCGCTTGGGTCTCAACCAGAATGTCATTCAGAAGTTCATGTGGCAGCTCTGCGACGGCGTTCGCTACTGCCACTCCCGACGCATTCTCCACCGCGACCTCAAGCCCCAGAACCTATTGATCAGTAGAGATGGTGACTTGAAGCTGGCGGATTTTGGCCTCGCGCGTGCCTTTGGTGTCCCCCTGCGCACCTACACTCACGAAGTCGTTACGCTCTGGTACCGTGCCCCGGAGATTCTGCTCGGCGGTCGACAGTATTCGACCGGCGTTGACATGTGGTCCGTGGGATGTATCTTCGCCGAGATGTGCACTCGCAAGCCTCTCTTCCCTGGCGACTCTGAGATTGACGAGATTTTCAAGATCTTCCGGTAAGCCTCGCCCTATGTTGTCACTGAGACGGACATGAGAAGTCTCTGTGTGCACCTTACACAAAGTTTCGCTAACATGGTTTCTCATAGCAACCTCGGTACTCCCACCGAGGATGTCTGGCCCGGTGTTACATCTTACCCGGACTTCAAGAGTTCTTTCCCCAAATGGATCCGAGACGAGTCTCAACCGCTGTGCTCGAACCTGGACGCAGAAGGCCTGGAACTCCTCGAGATGATGCTGGTATACGACCCTGCCAGCCGCATCTCGGCAAAGGCCGCCTGCAACCACCCGTACTTCGAGACCTACCCAGACCAACACCAGCGGACCGGCCGCACAAACGGATACTACGGTCACTAGGAGTACCCCATGATCCAGCACCCGGCCCCCATTCAGCAACGCCGCGAGCATTTTTGATAGGTTGTCCACGGACCGCTGTATACCTTTTCTTTGGGAGGTTCCTCTCTTCGTTTCTGAGGGCTAGCCCCCTGGGCGCAGATAAACACAGCAGACTCTTATCGGAACTGAAAGTATCATGCTTGCTTTTCTGGATACAGGGAGGGTATATGTCTTGCGCTTTTTTTTTTTAGGTCACTAGGCGGTCGCCAATGCCGACAACACAGACCTTTTTGTTCTACCATCAGGGGGGAATAGATATGACAGGGCGGCTATCTGACATGCAATGCTGGTGAGAGGGCGACGGAAAGGGTTTGCAAAGGCAACTGGGCACTCAACGACTACAACGACGCATATCCCCCTTCCGAGATTGATTGATTGACGCAGAGTTGCGTCACAAAACACAAGAATTCTCTCGAGTTGGTTGTTTCATTCCAAATGCGACACAGGCCAGGAAAAGACAGGCGAGTCACCTCGTCACCTCAACGTTGTGGCAGCTGCACCTGTGGCCCCCCGGCCAACCGTCCCTCATCCAGACGGCGGCAGCATGATCCCAGACACCAGCCCGTCCAACACGAAAAAGGATTCTTTTTTCCCTCACTCTAATTTCTTTTGTCGTAAATCTTAATGTACGGAGTAAAGATGATGCATACGGTCGGTTTCGGTAGGACAGGTTAATGGAACAAAAAAGACACGTTTGGCATTCTGCCGTTTTTCCGCGATGAAGGCGTTATTCTCGGCTCTCACGTCCTTTGCCCCCTCTTCCCCGTCTTCGTTGTGTGAGCTGGTGACGTGGTGTATAGCAAAACGTGTAAATCTGATGATTTCTGACCCCAGACGCTTCCAGACCAAACGCCTCATCACGAGATGAGGCTTCACTTGACTTTCCGCTTTACCCATCTCTGTCCTGTAGACTCGCAAGTGGACCTGATCACCCCTCTCTTGTGTATCTATCTAGCCGTCCATCTGTCTGTCTGCCTGCCTGTCCGCATGCGCATCCGTCGACGGACAAAACGGCTCCAACTGCTCCGCCGCCCATTCCAACATCTCTAGTCCCCATACGCTACACAACGTGGGAGTGTCGAGATATCAGAATTCATGAAGAATAGGAGGCCGCGGACCTCCCATTCCGAGATCCTTACATCTCAGCTAGTAGACATCGGGTGACGGAAAGGAAGGTCCCCGATCGACGGTTTCGCGAAACGGTTTCCTCTTCCGGGGATATCATACCTTTTTTTTTTTCTTTTTTTTTCCCTCTCTGCTCACTGCGTAGTATGTTTGCAATTTTTACCACCTTTTCTTATTATGCTTTTTCCCCCTCCATCACCCTCGGAGTTTTTTCGGTTTAGCCCGTTTGTCCATCTCTCTTTCCCTTTCAGACCCCCCCTTTTTTCTTCGTCTTCTTTCAGGTGTAGATGGGAAAGTGGGTGTAAACACAACATTTCAAATCCTTGATCAGATGAACCTGCGAAACCAGTTTATCCCAGGAAAAGATCGGCCTCATGAGGGCGCAGATCCCGACTCAGCCGCTCAGCCAAAACTGCCGAACCAATTACGGTTTTTTTTTTTTTTTTTTTTTTCAAATCGTTGGTTGGTGTTTTTTTTTCCCGCCTGGTTATTGTTGATGTTGCTGCTGCCTTTTTGTTGGGAGTTCCTCGGGGAATCAGCCTGCATGTAGCCCGGCTCACGTGAACACCAAAGTCAACCTCATCACCTCCAATCTCCCCCATCACAAAGGAGGCGTTTTCTTCTCACGCAGACACATTGTGTTCCTGTACGCATATCACCACCAGTTCCTTCTCATCTAATTAGAAGTAGACGGGGATGGTTCGGTTGGTCGTTGGTTGGTTGGTCGGTTTCACCGTGGTTCATAACACAAAGGTCCCTCCAAAGTCCAATATTCCAAATTTGCATTATGCATTATGAGTACGCGAGAGAGGGAAGACCCCATTTTGAGAAACATAGAAAAACAAGAAAACAAAGAAGGGGTGTGTGGGAAGACCGAAACATGAAATTCTTTCAGTCGAAGCATTTCAAATCTCCATTGTTTGTTGGTAGTTGGCTGTTGGCTGTTGAACATGCGGCATGTGCCGGGCGTTAAGCTACCCTTACCTCTCGCCTCACCCCCATTTCTTTCTTTCTTCCCTTTCGGCCCCAGGCACACACTGCCCTGCTCGGGACGCCTCAACCCCGAAGACCATACCATCTCGGGTAGCTACGTCGATGGAGGAAGTAAAACAGGATCCGGATGTCAAACTTGAATACCGAGTTGGTCCAAACAACACCACACCACAAACAAAAATTTTAGGCATTAGAGAGAAAGAGGAAAAAGAAGCACAATGTATGCGTGGGTTGGCGTCTGTAAGTGTGCGTAAGTGTGTTGGCGTCTGTAAGTGTGCGTAAGTGTGTTGGCTTGTGGCCTGGCGGTGATGACGGCGGCCTGATGCCCGTGGTCGGAGGACTAATACTTCGGTGGGTGGCAGCCGCAAGGCATGAGGAACACATGGAATCAACGGAGCGGGGCAGATCGAAGCAGATTTCCGAACGCGGGAGCAAGGGGAGAGATAAAAAAAATAAGGATAAAAACAAGGATGAAATGGACCATCCCATGGCTGGTTTGGTATTTTTTGCGCTGTTTGCGGAAACATATAGCTCGCTCGCAGCGTGGGTGCGTGTACGTAAGGCAGAGAACAGCAAGCTTTAACTTTCTTCACGTCGCCGACATAACTGTCTTTGGTAATAGACGGAGAGAGACTTTTGCAGAAACTCCGTCGGGCTTGGAATAACGTGCCGTGCGGGAAAGGGGGAGACTTCGACGATGCGGGCCGGCCAGCCAGGAACGAACGAGACTAGAGGAAAAAAAAAAAACAATCTACGTAGCTTGCATGATGGAAACAGTAAGGCTTTTCGATGCGATGTCAACAACACGTAATAGGCAATACTATCCTGCTCTACGACTTACCTTGTTCAATCTAGATCCTAACGACAGTTTCATCGACGATCTAAGCGCCATCTCATCGAGCTGCCCCCATCTACACTACGGCTTGATGGTATTCGCACGTAAGGATTGAAGATGCCTTCCTCCCCCAGATTCCAGGTGGTTGGTATCGTACGTAAGAACAGGTAAGACATCCTCCAACAGCTTGCAAGCGTACGGTACCGATGGGTAGTAAGATCAAACGGGGTGAGATGTCCCAGGAACCCGGAAGAGGTTCACCTCGAGCTCAGCTCTACGACGCCTCCCAGGACCTGAAAACCTGGAAGATGCAGTATGGCTTTCGTGAGCGCGGTGAGGTTGCCCCGTCCTATACCGCTAAAAGGGAGAATGAGATACTCTGATCAATGCCACCCCCCACCCCCCTTTCAGGAGGACTTTCTTCGACCTGACTGAAGCAAAAGGACGTCTTTACCCTGCTTTTGCCTTGCGCCAAAACTGCCCGGGCAGATGAAACTAAGTGCTGAAAGCACAATTAGTGGCAGGCATAGAAGGCTTCTACTTCCAAGGAAGACAACCATATCAAGCACCACATACCACGAACTTTTGGCATCTTGCTGTAGATCACAAGTTGGGCATTTCCGCGGGTCGGCAACATGGGCCGCTTTTGGGCAAAAAACCCTCTTTGGTTGATGAAATGAGGGCACTGATGTCGAAAGGTGGTTGGCTGGGTCGTATAATAGCGTCGGCGGCAGAACACGCTAGAAGGCAACGTAGAAGTTTTCTGAGCATCACCGGCGAGGCCGCAAACGGGAGGCTTATGACGGAGGCTTAAGAGGCAGAAAAGGGATGTACAGGAGTAGGGTTCGTGAAGGCGTACGTTGGCTTGAAGCTATTCAGGCTTTCCACATGGAGGGTGTATAGCTGTAAAAGGGGGACATCAAAAGAGAATGCGAATACGACAGACAGCAAAGCTTTGATCATCGAGGACTTGGGGGTTGGTGCCGGCATCCTGAACCCGAAGCTTGCGGTATAGCAAAGAATCGACGCGACTAGGACCTGAACGACAGAGCTGGCTTGGTGACAGGCGTTAGTGCTACACTGGAGCAGAGGATCGTGGGATCTTGTGGAGGCTGTGTCCGTTAGGATTCTTGACATGCTTGGTGAGGCAGAAGGCTGCCATGTGCGCTGGCTGAAGTGTCTCGCCGGATGCGGTTGGGCTCTGTAAATGATTTGCTGGGTCGTATAGGAAGAGAAGCTCTTTTGTTTGGGGGTGGAAAAGGCCAAGTTAGTGGAGCCCGAAGAGGATGCGTTTGGTGAAGGCTTCAACTCCTGCGGGAAGGGAAGCGCCCGATGGCTGACTCATGTCTCAGTACTAGCTGATGATCTTGAACGCTCACACCCAGACTGTCGGGTCCCTCAGTGGATGACGAAGATGATAGAAGTGTGGGCTACGGTGGAAGTTTTGCCCAAAAGCGTCTGCTGCAGACATGTCGAAACGAAGTGTGCCATCTGGCGCTGCTTTCGTTCAATTTTCGACTAGTTTGGCAAGCGGTTAATCACGCAGCCCTAGTCTGGGGTGTTTTTTTTCTCTTTTGGTGAGTTGCGGCTGCGGTACCAATAACAAAACTTCATTATGCATAGAGTGGGCGGCGGTTGCGCAGATTGCCGTGGCTATTTCCATCGCTCAAAGTCCGTGCGGCGTTTATTTGAGGGAGACCGCCAGGATGGGGACCAACAGGCTACAGGCGGGCGCTTGTGGGGGAAAGTTGGCAGGCTCCCGATAAAATGGGACGATTGCCTGTTCGGATGAGAAGCGCATGAGGTTCTAGTCATGGCGCCCTCGTTGTGCAGGCCAGTAAATGAATAACACTGAGGCTTGGGGAACAGGACGCGCTTCCTGAAACGCGGCGCTTGGGGGCCATTCAGCGGGAAAGTAGTTCATCGCTTGTTTGTGTCATCAGAACGGATTTGCTTCGTCTCATTGGGCATGTCTGAGATTAAGGATTTGGACGTAGGTCGTACCAAA